TGTGTGTGTGTGTGTGTGTGTGTGTGTGTGTGTGTGTGTGTGTGTGTGTGTGTGTGTGGTTGCTATTGATGATCGATGGATTAACATGGCTTATACCTCATCCCAACCTCTATCCACCCTTTTTCCCTCTCCGACATCTACCCATCCACCCACATCCTCTCAATCAACTAACCAATGTACCACTTAAACAATCAGTGATCGACCTCGCGACACTATACCCGCCGGCCCTGACGCCGGCCGTCTCGACAAGCCTGCGGACCTACTACATCACCAGCTTCGGCGACCGGTTCTTCACCGCCCCACCGGCCTGGTTCCGCGCGTACATGTACCTCGAGGCCCTGTACCACCTGCCCGTGAGTCTGTGGTTCGTTTGGAATATCCCCAGAGGTAGGTTGGTTGTCGTTGCGTGCGTTGCTCCAGGGCCCGGTGGAGACCTACGCGGTTTGATCGGATATGATATGGAATGCAAACTTGCTCGCCATTGGCTAAAACCCCCAATCTCACAGGTCATCCGCTGATCGGGTTAAACCTGCTGGTCTTCGCGCTCGAAACCGCCGTCACGACATTGACCTGCGTCGTTGACACTGCCGAGTGGGCTGCCTACTCGCGGAAACAGCGCAATGATATTTACAGCCTGTACGTGCCGTATTTGGTTCTCGGTGAGTCGTGTTGCTGCTCCTGCCGGGTGTTGCTGAAATTGAGATCAAAGATGCTAATCATCTCTGGACAAATTCGCAGCTGGAGTCATGGGTGTCGATGCCTTCTTCAGGGTCAAGGCACAGCTGTTGAGGGCTGCTGCTTCGGGAGTGGTGGATGGCAAGGCGAAGCGGACTTGATATCACTGTGTTGCAATGTATATACACAAACTATATCTGGCATCGTAGTCGTTGCTCTCTTCTAGGGCTGAACACCACCACTGTGCGGAGCAAAGGCCGTTTGTTTCACGGCTCAAGAACGTTTTCAGTGTGTGCAAGTATCTACTGATGGTCTGTTATTCAACTATGCAAGATCAACTCCTGACGCCATGCGTGATTTGGTGTGCCGCTCGTTCTGTCCATATAGTCCTTCACCCGGCTTCCTTACCATTGATGCCAGTCATACCCTTCGGCTTGTCGTTGGGCTTCTTAGGCTTTCCAAAACCTGTTCGTCAGGACCAGCAAGTCGAAATGGTTTATTCCTCTGCCAGGGTTTGTCCTTCCCTGAGGCCCTCGACTTTGAGTTCTTCTCCCATAGCTCGTCGGTAGATGTCTCTGACATTTTCCGTGACTGTCTCAAAGTGACTTGAAGCGTCAAAACTGTTAGAGATGAATATCTGATCGTTCATTCCACTCTCAAGGGGTTGGTAGAGTGGGATTGGGGGACCTTGGAATTTCTCTTCGATGCGACCGAGACGTTCGATACCAGGCTGAAGTTCCAAATGATGGTTGGCGGATGACTCTGCAATTGTCGATACAATGGCGATGTAGTAGCCTTTGGGGCAGACATTGTGTGCTGATGAAACCACCGCGATATAAATGTCATTCTTGCGGCCGACTTGAGATTGAGGGATAATAAGTTGAAGAGAATCTGCGTCGGGAGCCTTGTCGATTGGATGATTCAGGATGCAGATCGCTTTCAGCAAATGTCCCACCACTTGCACCTTTCCGGGGAAGTAAGATGGATCTCCAAGTATCATCTTGGTCTTGGTAGTGAATTTCAAGCCGTCACCTTCTTCGCCCCTCTCCTTCATTGTAGCCTTGATCCCGCTGATCTTGCTTCCGTCGTACAAAAACTCATCAACGGAAGTGTTGAGCATGTAGGTACCACCGTATATGGCGGAAAGGCGAGCAAAACCTTGCGGGAGCTCACCTAGACCATACAATGGGTAGATATATGGAGATTTCCCGTAGCGTGCCATTGAGTTTGCATAGAGACGAATCCTTTCAACTGTCTCCTTGGCTTGGCCAGGGTTGTTGATATATTCATCAGTGGAATAGAGAGCCATTGAATGTCCAATGAAGTCTCTAGTTGTCGCCTCGAGACCGAATTTGTCATAGACTTCCTTCATGGTGACTTTGTTCAGGTTGAGTCCTAGGTTTCAAGAACGGTGAGTAACTCGACAAGTACCATTGGATAGATGACCTACCATTGTGTGTAGCAGGATCGTTCTCCTCAAAAGCGCCCACAAATTCCAGGAATTTCTTCGCACGCCTCTTTTCGAACAACCCCATCAAAGGTGAACTAAGGGCTTCGGTTGCGGTTGAAGGGACTTTGGCAACTGTAGCCCGGGGACCAGAGCCTTGCTGTACGAAACTGCCTGCAATCTGCTTGAATTCAAGATATCGTGTGACATCGGTTGAAACGAGGATATTCGTGAGCTCTCCGTTGGCCATCAGAAGCTTGGGGACGAGATCAACGTTCCAGTCATTGACTCGACCATATTTCTTCCACGGTTCTTCCCCCTCTTTGAAGTTGCCATATTTCTTGAAGAGCTGTGCAGACACAGATTAGCAGACCGTACCTGTGGGTAGGACAAATGTTTGGTAGCAGGCTGGTGTTGCATACAGCTTCAATGTTTACGGACGCAGCCTCTCTACAAATGTGTGTCAGTACTAAGCCGCACCAGCAGATGTCAATAGGCTTCCTTCCACATACCCGCCATAGTGATCATTTCGGTCGATGTGAAGGACCTTCTTGCCCTTTACGGACAACACACTTTTGAAGAGTGGTTAGCATAGTTTTTCATAACGGGATGAGAGGTGCTGCTATACCCGGACAGTACGCATTCCGTCAAGCCTGCGAAGATGTCAGTTCTGAATGGTGGGGCAGATGAGCGGTTGGGAAGGGTGTACCTGTGCCTAGAACCACAACGTCGTACTCTGGAGCGATTTCATCAGCCATGTCGGAGGATTAATGCGGAACTATGTTAAGGGGGTACGAAAAGTGCTATTGATAACAGGGGACAATGGGATGCAGGGACAGACTTCAGGAATATTCGGTGAAAGATGAGGGCGAGTTGTCGCACCATTTGCCTGCACCTTCCTTGCCCACCGCCCGCTGTTGATTGCTTCCGGAATAGGTGAGGTCATCTGCCAAGCGCTACTTTACGGGGATGAAGAGCACGCCGCTTTATCACGCCTTGAAAGCAGCATGTTATTGTACTCCTGTTCCATGCAGAACTTGAGAGTACGCAGAGTATCTCTCATTACGCACCCTAGGATGTACATTTCCTTGTCAACGATCTATCTGCGATTAGTTCTCGCTCACTTTTGAGAGTCTAGCGGACTGTAACTGCTTTCCTCCTCCCCGCTCATGGGAAGATGGCCGAACGTGGACAAGAAACCACGCGTTTACACAGTCTTCAGACCAATCGTGGCTGTGACTTGGGGCGAGTCTTCTGCTAAAGACAGCATCTATCTTTTCAACGCGATTCTTGATTTCACCGGGGTTTCCTTCCGTTATCAATAATGAGCAACTAGACCCACAATCCCGGTTGGAAGGGCTGGACGATGATGTTCTGGGTATGAAACCCCTGTATGCCGTAGCCAGCGCTCAGGTATCCCCACTCTGCTTGAGACCTTGAATTGCTTCAGCCAGAAATGTGCAGCGTCGAGATCCGATGAGCGAGCGAAGGGGAACGAGCAGCTGGGCACCCCTTTTATCTAAGAACCCCTTGAAGTAGAACTAAGTAGCCAGGCAGCAGAGGTAGCTTTGGTAGATCTAGAGCAAGTGATGCTTTGATCTTATTTCAGACCATTCCGCCGACGCTGCCAAAGACTGAGGTGCTCCACGTCCGCAAAATCTTCTCAAGGACGAGCAGTAGCCGCTTTCGTGGGGCGAGCCTAGGATCGGCATCGAAAGGCAACACACACAGACGACCAGCGTTTCTCTACCTCGAACTGGGGTATTGATTAGGTCCAATCTCATCTCGTTCGTGAGGCCTGCATACTGAGCACTAATGGGGCGTCTTCCATCACGTTTTGTAGGGAGTAGTCTGTTGGCAATTTGTTTCGTACGTGATAGCGATCGAATCCAAGGAAAAGTACCGGCGACGTGAAGCAAACCATGCCGCTATCCGTCATACGGGCACTTGGACTCGTGTTTTATATCTTTTCAAACGTCCATCATCAATGACTCATTATGAAATAACGCGACCCGGTTTCGCAAGAGCCTTAGAGGGTCTCTGATCGTTCAAGGCGCTGGCGCACTGGTCCTTAGTAGAAGTCGACAGCGTGAGTGTAGAAAACCAATCGCTCACACAGCAAGGCGCCAGCATTCGCGAGGTCGGGTCGACGTCAAGTATCTATCGCTGACAGAAAGTTTCAGGACATATAGGTAGACTGATATTGACTTGAGGTCATGGGACTCATTGGAGGGTGTGGCACCTGCTGGTGATTGAGCTCATATTGGTCTTTTGTCCTCTGCCGCAAGTGTCGCATATATGCACGTTGATTTTCTGTTACCGGCAGTGCTAATCTGTCGAATTGGCTTGGATTCATGACCCTGTATATTGCGGCAGCGCCTGCTACAGTGAGTGCTGCTGCCGCAAGACTTATAAAGAGAATCGCAAATGGTCCCAGTGCCATGATGATGAGCGTGCATTTACAGATGTTGAAGGAATGGTTAACGTAGCCCAACGTGATTGCGTACCACTAAAATGAAAGAGGTGAGATGGGCGGGGTGGGATGGGAAAGCCGGATGATATAAGTGAAGGATGGATGGTGATAGGAGGTGCAATATGCCACTCACCTAGCACAGACAGCCATTTTTCACTTCGGTCAATGCGGACAGCCGCTCGCCGTATAGCCGTTGTGTGAGCTGTCCTCGGTACCTGGTAGAACAACTTGCTGCAAAACCCTTGCACTTGGCTGGGGAGAACCACTCACGCGCGTAGGTGATTTGTCTGCAGACTCGTAAGCACGACCCACCGGACATGAAGGTTCCAAGTCTCGCAGAACACTCCCAAGAGTACTAGACATCTCAACGATCCGGGGGAATGCCATGGCGGCATACTGGAGGGACTCTCGTGAAAGGCGAGGCAGACACGACACAAGTGGGTTCTGATGGTTTGCAAGCAATGGTCATTCAATAAGACATTGTAGTTGTCCAAGAGTGTGTTTCGATTTGTGCGGTTTCACCTCGAGAAGGCAGACCACTGGAATGTCAAGACTCAGAATAGGTTTGACTGGGGCTTTCCGAGAAGAGCCGTTGCAAATGGCAATGCCAGCCTTGAAGTGGAAAGAAACCCACCCTGTTCAGGATCGGCGTGCGTCATATGTTGAGCGTTCATTCCAGGTTCGATACGCCGTACGAAGTACATTTGGGAGACATGGGCAACGTGTACGTAGCGAAGGTGGCGGAGCCCAAAAAAATAGGAGAGGCTGCAAGATCTCTCTGAACCTTGACCACATTGGATACCCACCGAACAGATAATTAGTGCTTCGGAACAGCCACACAAAAAGGATCGCGTTTGAGTATTGGGTGGAGTGTGATGTCTCCCCATCTACATGAAATCGGGATTTGTGCATGTCTTCGGCTCAATCACTTCCGCGAACATTTTGGCATCAAACTCAGCCTCGCCATTGAGACCTCACACGTCCGGAGTCCCAAGAACCGAGTCCTATCTGTGATTGACAATTATCGTGGACCTCAAGTGCCTGGCAATTATTTACAAGGCTACTAGTACGCAGTAGCAAGAGCGACTGTGCTTTAATTATACCTGGCTAAAGACAACCGGAGTCTCCTCTTGGATCCCCTTTCCAAGTCATATGTTAATTTTCGCCTAGATTGCCCAGATGTTTCGACTTCGCTACACAGCCTCACTAGGCTGACCTCTGGATGTGGCATGAAAGATGCCCACTCTGTGACGTTATTATCTTTTGTTCCTCTCCACGTGCATGCCAGCCTCTCCTCGGGAGAAAGCAATTCTCCCCAGGCAGTACGGAGTATCCGGTAGTGAGACTCATCAAAGGTTTGTACACTCAATCACAACCACAGAATATGAACGTTGATTTTACAGATTTGGACCAGCTCTTCCACAAGCATTGTCTTGGCCAGTCCCTAGGCTGAGATGTACCGTGCCCACCCTTCACCCAGTCCCCCTTTAGGATTTTGCGTTCTTCCAGCTCGAACTAGATTGTCCGTGTACTACTGCAGCACTCTTTTCTTCAAGTTTAGCGGCCGTTTCCTCGTCTTTGGATTTTTCTTGGCCGGGCTCAGCTCCCTGACTGCCTCCATCTCCCCAAATTTGCTCCCAAGTTGCTGAAGTTCCTCGACTTCCTCTACTGGTTCCTCGGCTTCTCTGGGTTCTGTGTAAAAGGTATCATGGTCAAGTTCCCCTTGGTCGGGTAGTAGCTCTGACAGTGACTTTTCGTAGTATAATGCCATGCCCTCATCGTGTTTAAACTGTCGCTCAGCTAGAACCGTTCGGATCCTTGCCATCGTATCTCGTACCTACGCCACAATGATGATCAGTAAGCGCTTGCCTTGAAATAGAAGTGATCGCGAATGGTAGGCAGATGTTTGTTGTTTCAGATAACTTTCCAGTAAAATATGTTCATAGATACAAGGTTTAAGCAGTCTTGTAGCACTCATATCGGCGAGTGAAAGGATGAGGCTCATCATAGGATAAGAGATATCTTGCACAGGATCTGGCGCGACTTACCACTTTTCTCTTCTCTTCGAGCTCCAGGTCTCCAAAACCTGCACGGACACGTGACATCTCTCTGGAACGAGTAAGGATCTGGTTTTGCTCTTTTATACAGAGCCAGTAGAGTTTGTGTAAATCTTCGAAACTTTTGATAGACAGTTCGCCATAGCTCCATGCACGACCTATACGAGTTAGATCATCCCTGGCCATTGATCGTGGACTATAGTGCAAGCATACCATGTGAGGATTCCTCTTCTGGCGGAACTAGGGCTTTTCTATCTGCATGGAAGAATTGCCAGAGACCATGGTCGGCTGTATCCTCATAGTCCGTTTGTTTAGGCACACGCGAACGGGCGACAGGTTCTGGGAGGGGATATGCCCAAAGCCCTCTGTTGACCAAAGGTCCAGTGCCTCGCATAGCCGATACACCCCGCTTCTTATTGGTTTCACCAGCTTTAGTTTGACGTTTTCCTCGGGGTTCGCTGCTGGAGAAGGATCGAGACGAAGTAACTGGACGGGAAGAACATGGTCGTGAAAATGCAGGGACAAGGAAGACGGGTATCGATGTCGATCTGCCCGAAGCAGAAGAGATGCCTCGAGTCACTGCCGCCATCGTGACTGTCGTTGGCAGATCAAACTGGCGATTGAGGATTGTTCGCGATGTTGCTCGTAGGGAACTTTTTGCTTAAAGCTTTCGAAATTGAGGTGGCCGATCAACGCCAAGGCCGGAGTTTGGTTTCGCCGTACCTTCCATCTTAGGCTTAATTGACATCTTTCCTATTTAGGTAACGTAAACATTTGGTGGGTATGGTAATGGATGAAACATGTTGCCCGCGCGTGCTGCTCGTGAAATTCTGCATGTAGCTGCAGCATACGGCCAACATGAAGATCGTTGAACTTGTAATAGATGGGTAAGTGCCTTTCCCCTGCGCACAGCATTGCGACACGTCTAACACACCACTTCAGTTTCAAGTCCTACAGCCAGAGAACCGTCATCTCTGGCTGGGATCCATCCTTTAACGCTGTCACCGGTCTCAATGGCTCAGGAAAATCCAATATCCTCGATTCAATATGTTTTGTTCTAGGCATTACCAATATGTCTACCGTGCGAGCCCAAAATTTGCAGGATCTCATTTACAAGCGCGGCCAAGCGGGTGTGACCAAGGCCAGCGTTACAATCGTTTTCGACAACAATGACAAGAGCACGAGTCCCATCGGATTCGAAGAATACAGCCAAATTAGTGTTACGAGACAAATTGTCATGGGCGGAACTAGCAAATATCTGATCAACGGACACCGCGCCCAACAAACAACAGTTCAGAATCTATTTCAGAGTGTTGGTTTGAACATCAACAACCCAAATTTCATCATCATGCAGGGACGTATTACAAAAGTACTCAATATGAAGGCCGCTGAGATTCTGGCTATGATTGAAGAAGCAGCCGGAACACGGATGTTCGAAGATCGGAAAGAAAAGGCCACCAAAACCATGGCCAAGAAAGAAATGAAGGTGTTGGAGATCGAGGGCCTGCTCAAGGAAGAGATCGAACCCAAACTTGACAAACTACGAGGCGAGAAGAGAGCCTGGCTCGACTATCAAAAGACACAAAGTGAATTAGAACGTCTGACGAGAGTTGTTACTGCGGCTGACTACGTCCGGGCCGGCGACAAGATGAAGTCAGCCTCTCAGGAGCATGAGATCAAGCGGGCCAAGGTTCAATACTTGGAGGACAATGCACTTAAACTCAAGCGTGAAATCGAAAATCTAGAGGAAGATGCGCACAGAGTAAAGTCAATTCGAGACAAAGAGATGCGAAAGGGAGGTCGTTTTCAGGAACTTGAAAACAAGGTCAAAGACTACAGTCACGAACTTGTTCGCTTAGGGACTGTCCTTGATCTGAAACAGTCCAGCATCGCCGAAGAGGAGCAGAGGAAGAAAGACGTGGCCAAAAATGTAAAGGCGCTCGAAAAACAAGTCAATGACAAAAAGAATGTACTCGAAAACTTGCAGTCGCGATGGGACACTGCAAAATCCGACTCTGACTCTCAGAATGCTGAGGTGGAGAAGAAGGAAGAACTCCTTTCAACACTACAGACTGGAGTCGCTTCCAGAGAAGGTCAAGAAAGTGGCTACCAGGGGCAGCTGCAGGAAGCTCGCAATCGCCTAATGTCTGCGGGCACGGAGCAAGGACAAGCGAAACTGAAAATATCACACCTTGAAAAACGAATCAAGGAGGACGAACCTAGAGCGAAGAAAGCCCGAGAACAAAACGCTGGATTGTTGAACGGGCTCGAAACTCTTCGCAAACAGGCCGAGAAGCTTGAGACTGACCTCCAAAAACTGGGCTTTGAACCTGGTCGTGAGGAAAGTATGCGTGAACGAGAAGTTATGCTACAGAAAGACATCCGTCGATTAACACAACAAGCTGACGAACTAAAACGTAAGGTCGCGAACGTGGATTTCCATTTCAGCGATCCATCGCCCAATTTTGACCGCTCGAGAGTTAAAGGGTTGGTCGCTCAGCTGTTCACCCTGGACAAAAATAAATCGATGGCAGGAACAGCGCTTGAAATTTGTGCTGGTGGCAGGCTTTATAATGTTGTTGTGGACACAGCGGATACTGGTACACAGCTGCTACAGAAAGGCAAGCTCAAGAAACGAGTGACAATTATTCCCCTCAACAAGATATCAGCGTTCAAGGCTTCTGCAGAGAAAGTTGGAGCGGCACAAAAGATCGCTCCTGGTAAGGTTGACCTGGCTCTGTCCTTAATTGGGTATGATCATGAGGTGTCCAAGGCGATGGACTATGTCTTCGGAACAACATTAATTTGCCAAGATGCTGAGACTGCGAAAAGAGTTACATTTGATCCATCGGTTCGGTTGAAGAGTGTCACCCTCGAAGGCGATGTCTATGATCCTTCTGGAACTCTCTCTGGCGGCAGTTCGCCAAACTCCAGTGGCGTTCTCGTCATTCTACAGCAGCTGAATGAGGTGACGCAAGAATTAAAGAGGCATCAGAGTGAGCTCCAGCAGCTCCAGCAGACTATGAAAAGCGAAACTGCTAAGCTTGCAAACATCAAGTCTGTCAAGCAGGAGCTCGATCTGAAGACCCACGAAATCAAGCTTACCGAAGAGCAAATCTCAGGAAACTCGTCATCATCAATCATTCAGGCGATCGAAGAGATGAAAACGTCGATTACCCAACTCAAGGAAGACATGTCCAATGCAAAGACCAGAGAAAGTCAAGCCGCCAAGGATGTCAAGAGAATAGAAACGGACATGGAAGACTTCAGCAAGAACAAGGACAGCAAACTCAAGGAGCTTGAAAAGTCATTGATAGAATTGAAAAAGACACTCACCAAAACGTCAGCAGCTATCAAATCACTTCAAAAGGAACTGCAAGATGCCCGAATAGACAGCGAACAGGCTATACTTGACCTCAGTGCTGCGGAGGAACAATTGGTCGAAGTTGGCAGTGCGATCGATGCTCAGAAAGAGGAAATGCAAACGCTGAGGCAAGAAGAAACCGAAGTCAAAAACAACCACGACATCACGCAGGCTGAACTCGCAGATGAGCAGGCCAAACTAACAGGATTCGACGATGAGCTTCGAGAGCTTGAGAAAGCCAAGTCGAAGAAGACCAAACAGATCCAGGAGGAAGGACTCGAAGCGCAGAAGCTGGGGCACGCGGTCGAGAAGGCACAGAAAGATGCGCAAGCGGCCGCGGCACTGGTGGCGGAGCTGGAAGCAGAACACGACTGGATTGAAGACAACAAGAACCAATTCGGACGCGCCGGCACACCGTATGACTTCCAGGGCAAGAACATGGCAGAGTCGCGGGCAACGCTCAAAAACGTCCGGGAGCGCTTCCAGGGCATGAAGAAGAAGATCAACCCGAAAGTGATGCCGATGATCGATAGCGTCGAGAAGAAAGAGGCATCGCTGAAAAACATGCTGCGGACCGTGGTGCGCGACAAGAAGAAGATCGAGGAGACCATCACCACGCTGGACGAGTACAAGAAAGAAGCGCTCCTCAAAACCTGGCGCCAGGTCACCGATGACTTTGGAAACATCTTCTCCGACCTCCTTCCGGGCAACAACACGGCCAAGCTGATACCTCTAGACGACAACATCGACCGGATCCAGGAGGGCCTCGAGGTCAAGGTCTGTCTGGGCAAGGTCTGGAAACAGAGTCTCAACGAGCTAAGTGGTGGTCAGAGGTATGTTCAGTTGTCCTTCTGATTGCTCAAAGAGACTCGAAAAGCTAACACTGACCCCCCAAAACAGATCCCTAATCGCACTCTCGCTGATCCTGGCGCTGCTGCAATTCAAGCCGGCACCAATGTACATCCTGGACGAGGTGGACGCGGCGTTGGACCTGAGCCACACGCAGAACATCGGGCGCATCATCAAGACGCGCTTCAAGGGCTCGCAATTCATCGTCGTGTCGCTGAAGGACGGCATGTTCCAGAACGCCAATCGTGTGTTCCGGACGCGCTTTTCCGAGGGCACCAGTGTCGTGTCGGTCATGACGCCTGGAGAAATCAAGGGTTGACTCGGTTAGCTTTACCTTTGGTTCGATTGGATATACATCTCTTTCTGCTTGCTTGCTTGCTTGCTTGCTTGGTCTGCGGGCTTGGCTGATTGATTGTCAGGTCGCGGAGCATGCTATATACCCCTGTTGTCAAACTCTTCGGTGGGCGGGAAGAAGGTACATGCATACAGTGCGTGGCAGCTGTACATGCGCTCATTACACAGCGTCTTGTCTTCGTGTTTGACTTTGGCCTTGGGATCTGTTTCACAATCACGCTCTGTAGAAGGAACACCGGGGGGCCACGACAGGTAGCTTGATGTGATGCATGTGACGAGTCCTATGAATAGCGTTGATGGTTATCAACTGACTGGATCTGTTCTTGTTTTCTGTGTCATGCCCATCTGTTCTTGATTTGGTGTTTCAATGCTGATGGTTAGTTCGCTGTTGATCACGTTGAAGAGAAATCAGTACTGTCTGATCGATATCGCCGACTCTGCCAGGGTGACACCCGGGATGACGGGATGACGAACATTATCACGACCGGTAAAGGGAATGGGGTCGTTGGGAGCGATATGCTCAGTTGATTCATTTGTAACATAACCCGAAGTTTTATCTACCATTGCGAAATATGCAATGCCGCTCAAGGAGGAACCCTCTATATTCATCCCGACCACGGTTCTTTGTAGAAGGTGTTGAGCGTGGGTAGAGGCTGAAATTGTTTGTGTACACGTTGGCTCTCTTCATCATCCATGCTATGTCCTCATCTTCGTCACGGTCATCATCGAGAGAAGGGAAATGTATCCGGCTTGGAGCTTTTGGGCACGGAACCACTTAATTCACATTCCTGACAACATCGTCCAAGGCTTCTGCAAAGTACTTGACGTTACCCGTGTTTAGACCAGCCATACTGATACGACCATTTTTGGTCATGTAGACGTGCCACTTCTCTCTGATAGCGAGGACTTGCTTCTCACTGATTCCAGTGAAAGAGAACATGCCAATCTGGCTCGTGATATGCTCCCAATTACCAGGTGTACTAAGTCTGTCAAGCTCTCCCTTCAGTGACTTCCGCATCTCAATGATCCGTCCAGACATGGTTCTCAGATCACCTTCCCACTCAGCGAAGAGTTTGGGGTCATTCAGAACAGTACTTGCAATACGAGCACCATATGCAGGAGGATTTGAGATCTCGGAGCGCTGAAGAATGGCAAGTTGGGAGGCAACACGTTTGGTGATGTCCTGAGCTTGGGATCCCGGTGCAGCAACGAAGTGGAAAGCACCTGCTCTTTCACCGTACAAACCAAAGTTCTTGGCGAATGATTGTGCGATGATCAACTCGAAGCCCTGCTCAACAAAGTATCGGATGGCGAAGTTATCGGTGGCTAAGTCTCCAGAAGCAAAACCTTGGTATGCACAGTCGAAAAAGGGAAAGAGCTTGCGATCTCGGACGATTTGGGCGATTTGTTTCCATTGATCTTGCGTTGGGTCGACACCTGTGGGATTATGAGCACAAGCATGCAGGAGAACAACGGAGCCTTCCTTGGCAGATGACAATGTGCTGAGCAGACCATCGCAATCGAGACCTTTCGTCTTTGCGGAGAAGTAGGGGTAGTTGGCGATGGGGAGATGAACGTTGGTGAAGATTTGGTTATGGTTCGCCCATGTCGGGCTCGAGAGATAGATAGTAGGTGTGGGTTTCGAGAGGAACTTGGAAAGGAACAGGCCACCGAGATGGACGGCGCCAGTTCCAGAGATTGTCTGGAGGGAGGCCGCCTAGACAGGAGAGAAGGAATCAGTCAGCATACAGAAATGCATGAGGAGGAGGACTGGGAGGCCAGAGTGAGGTGGGACATACACGGCCTTCTTTTATGGCGGGGGATTCGGGACCAAGGATGAGCTTCTGGGCGGCGGAGGTGAATTCAGCAAGACCGGCGATGGGCAGATATTCGTGATTCAGATTTGGATCCTGGCGGATGATGTCGTCGGCCTGGAGGGGGCGAGTCAGTAAGAGCATGTAACTAGTGTGAGAAGGGAGGAGAGCAGACTTTCTTCACAACGGGGAGAACCCATGGCTTTGCATTATTGTCTCGGTAAGCACCAATGCCTAGATCAACCTTCTTCTCAAAGGAATCTTTCCTATAAGCAGCCATCAGGCCGAAGAGAGGGTCTTCTGGAGCTTGAGGAACGACATTCTCAGAGAAGAGAGTCTCGATAGGGAGAGAACCCATAGCTGGAGACTGAGTGGTATGGTTTGAGAGTTGGGATAGACGTGCAGTTGCTGTAGTAGAGGTGGGAGAAGATGAGTGTAACTGTGAGGAAGTAATACAAGAAGAATGAGTTGGCGGTGAGGGCATCTCAAGCAGGGCTGGCGGGATGGTGGAATGGTAGTGAGGACCAGGTAGTCGTAGTAGTGCTGTAGGTAAGAATAATTAAATTTCTCAGACGTGTGACAGCTGCTGCTGGAGAGTCCAACTGCATGAGCAGCTGCGGACGGGCGCAGGAACGAACAGTAACCGCGGGGTGGCCGAGGGCTCGAGGGGCTGTTGCAAGCTGCCCAAGGCACGGGGACACGGAGCAGATACGCACCTGCCACGCTGCCGATTGGTACAGCATCCTAGGGGACCACGTCAAAGGGCGGGCGGATGCACCCGGAAGAACTAATATCCGTACCTGGTTACGAAGTCCAGTTTCCCGGCCTGTCGGAGTATTGTAAGAACACCTGCACCCGTACCTGAATAATTTGTACGAGCATCTACTCCGTAGTTCATCCCAAACGCCCGGATTACGGTACGAGATGAGGTTCATTACATACCATTACTTCTGCATCAGTACCTGCGTAGGTAGGTAATTCACCATCCACCGCTGATACATACATCCTCAATTGTTCTGCACACTATCAAGCACGCGGTTGTACTACTATCTATCCCCCAACCGTTTCTTCAAAATCCACTTCGAGGATCAATGATAACGTGTTTCATCTCAAAGCACACCACTCTCCCTCCTCCTCCACTCTTTAATCTGCCATTGTTCGTGCTCTTCCCCGCCACAACTCCACCCACCAAGCCGAATCGGCTGATACCGGAACAACCTGAAATCCGGGGCAATTCCCAATGCTCTCAACTCAGCATATCAAATATCAAAATATCAAATCCCAAGCCACCAAAAACGAACAGAACCCTGCTGTTGCATAAAACACCAGTCTTGCCGTGCTGCTCCGCTCACTGGCCTTCTTCAATTCCTTGTTCCCCTTGCGCACATTCTCATCCGTACTCGCTGCGTCTTGGACCAGCTGCCCGATCATTTCCCCTTGCACACTCAGGTGCCCTACCAGCGTCTGCTGTAGACTGCCAATCTCCATGAGGCTCTTCTCCACTTGGGTCACTTTGGCCAGCTGATCGTTGAAATGCTCAAACATTCCCTTGTTCTCTTCTTCGAACAATTGTAGCTGCTCAGGCGTCAATTCCTGCTCGCCGCTCTGAGACGGGTCAAGTGCCGGGTTGTATTTGTCGTGTCCACGTAGATCCCGTCCTGCTTGGGTCTCCGTGCCATTCAGAAGACTCTCGACGTCTCGGCTAGCTTTCACTCCCTTGTTTCTCGGGTCGTAGAGCATACTCATCTGCTTTTCTCTCTCACGGTCCAGGCGTTTCTCCACCATCTCTTGCTGCGCCGCAAGTGCATCCTTAAGCCTGTTCTCCAAGTACCACAGAACTCCATCTCGCACCGACTTGACTATCTTCACTTTCCCCTCCTCCTGCACCTGTTCCTCTGACTTTCCTGCATCCGGCGTATCCCCATCCCCTGCTGCCCACCGCCAGATCGCAGAGCTCGGCTGCCCATATTTCTTCTCAAGAACCTTCGTAGCCGTCTCGTATTGCAGATTCGCCGCGGATGAAATGTTGCCAATATTTTTGTTGATATCCCGCAGCACCGATGAGGTTTGGCTGTCGATCGCTTCGCGCTGCGAGTCTGTCAAATGCTCGGGGATGTCAGGTATATTTAACGAGGATAGGGTAGCACGCGAGCCCCCGGATTGCGGGCGCTTTGATTGTCGTGCTGGGGGTGCCGTCGAGAGGTAATGAGTTCGCACTGCGCGCAGATAGGAAAGTAGAGATGAGATAGATCGGTTCTGCAAGAGATGCTGTTAGCAATGATTGGCACGTTCGAAATTCTCGATGAGAGCTGAAGCCGTACAACTTGATATGCCTCCCTTAAAAACAGGTCAAGGCTGGCGGTGTCATATTGTGTGTGACTAGGAATGGGTTTCGCCGAATGCGCGTTGACCAAGATGGAGGACAATGACGGCGCGAGGTCGCTCATATTGGATCACAGCTTTACTATCCCTCCTCAATACAAGAGTCTGGAAACTTGCATGTTGGGGTTTAAAAGTGTAAAGGGAGAACGTCTGGTACCACGCTGGCCCTTCGACGTAGACACGGATCGCCATTTTTCTCCGCATGCGCAGCCTCGTAGCCTTGCAGCCTCGTCCCTTCTCCAAACGCGAACCCAAAGGCAATGCGATTACTCTCTATCCTAGGTTAATCCTGCAATACATGATGACGGAAGCTGGTGATCATTTTACTAAACTTCTGTGATTTTCCGGCACGAATGAGAAATGACAGACTATCGGAAAACGACAAGCCAGAATTCGGCCTATCAACAGATTTACCGAACTGCCTCCTAATACCCGTACCTGGGAGTTGGAAATGCAAGCACCTCCGTTGAAATCTGTTACCTGCTCGATTCCATTTCCGTAGGTGATTACAGAACCCTTACGAGTAGACACTAAATCTCGGGACCTAGAGATGACACTTGGGGAATTGGGAGGGATTGATGGACCTCGGTATGTACTTGCCATTAGTGATGGCTAAATATCGGCAACCCGTTCCACAAGCAACTTCATGGAACGAGCATCAACATCAGCACACACCGTGGCTCTGTTTGTTTTACAGCCTCCATTCAGGAATATCTAGTTTGACATAGCCCGACTCCTTTGACCGCCTGGAAAGCGTCCTTACTGGCTACAATACCCACAATGGCGAAAAAGACAGAACTCCGGGACTTGAACAAACCATACACCGAGCCCGACCCAGATGCTCCCTCGAGTTACCAGCGTGAGATCTATTCGTCCCTCCGCGCCCCGATATTCTCCACCAAACCAGCAGAATGGGAAAACCTGGCACGCACAAAGGTCCCTGCTGCAAACTTCGGCTACGTACATGGGTCAGCCAGCACGGCGACGACCAATGCAGCCAATCTATCTGCTTTCGACCGATACCGCCTGAGGCCATCCATGTTGGTCAACGCGACACGCCGAGACCTGAGTGTTGACCTGTTTGGAACCAAGTATCCCAGTCCGTTGCTGATTGCCCCGGTTGGCGTGCAGAAGATCATGCACAAGGACGCCGAGGACGCAACGGCTCGGGCAGCCAATAAGGTGAAAGTCCCTTACATTCTGTCGTCCGCTGCGACCCGGACCATCGAGGAGGTCGCACAGTCCAACGGCGACGGTGAGCGCTGGTACCAGCTGTACTGGCCGCGCCCCCAGTGGGAGGAAGTAACGGCCAGTCTGCTCAATCGAGCCAAGTCGAACGGATATAAAGTGCTAGTCGTGACACTCGACACATTCAACCTGGCATGGCGACCCACGGATCTCGACACAAGCTATCTCCCTTTCATTTGGGGCGACGGATGTCAGATCGGCCACTCCGACCCGGTCTTCAATGCTCGGTACGAGCAAGAGATGAAGAACGACATGAGAACGACAGGCGAGAAATTGCGCGAGTTGTACAACCTCCTCCGTCGACCCGGCTCCATATATGGCGCAACAAAAGTCCTAGCGAATGTCGCAAAGCTACAGAAGTCGAGGGTCTTGTTAGACGTATTGAACAGCGGAACCTACCGTGAATGGCAACACCTTGAAACCCTCAAGAAGCTATGGGACGGCCCGATCGTGCTGAAAGGCATTCAGACGGTCGAGGACGCGCACCGCGCAATCGACAACGGCATTGACGGCATCATCATCTCGAACCACGGCGGCCGCCAGTGCGACGGAGCGATCGCGTCTCTCGACGCACTCGCCGAAATCGCCGCTGACGAGAGAGTCCAGAAGTCCAAGATCACCCTGCTCTTCGACAGCGGCATTCGCTGTGGAAGTGATGTTCTGAAGGCGCTGGCATTGGGTGCCCAAGCCGTGCTCATTGGCAGACCTTACATGTATGGATTGGCCATCGCGGGCCAGGCTGGTGTCGAGCACGTACTCAGGTGTTTGTTGGCGGACACGGATAATATGCTGGGAAATATGGGGAAGAAGAGCATCAAGGATCTGAGTCGGCATGATCTGCAGATTAGGTCGAGTTCTAAGCTGTGAGTTTGGAGTATATGCAGTTGGTATCATCGAGTTATAAATCACCAAGTGCAAGTTGATTCTCTTTCACAATGCTCAACGTGGCCAGAACCCCGGATACGTGACTTCTCAGGTATTAGGGTACTCGTAAGCATGGATGGAACGGGCCGAGTCCGCCCCGAAGCTCAGCCTCGCCAAGTATCAATAGACCTGAATGAGCACCACCACCGAACACTACCGTCAACCCCTTCCTATCACCCATCACATGACCTTAAAATCAAAAGGTATAAATACGTGAATCACCGAGATTCTGTCACCCGAATGGGAATCTGACGGTCTCAGAGAACCCTCACTGCTCCAATGGCCAAGTGGTAAAACTCCTCCTCTCAAAATCTCTCCCTTCCAATCACAATCTCCCGCCCTACCCACTGGGACATCATTGGAGCCAGTGAGGGTTGCTCTGAGATCGTCCCACCGAACCCCCTCCCCGTGTTACTAACTTAAAAAAAACCCCTCTCCGGAGGGGCTTTTCTCACTCACTTCGAACCTGTTCGGTGGCGGGCTCGAATGGGTTGAGTTTTTGCTTTGGCGGGAAGGAGATACGTTTGTTTTTTGGTTGTATGAGAGCGAGAACGTATACACACTCCCACAGTATAGTTATGTCCTTGGCGGCATCAAGGACAGGCAATGGTCACATGAGATAAGGCTGACAATGAGTCGTGGAGGCGAACGAAAATCCGTTACTTTAAAGCTGATTGATGATGGGTCGGTGGGCACTTCGACTCTATACATCTCGCCATTTCCTGCTCAGGCTGTCTGGCTGGCAGAAGCTGGGCCACTTGATAAACGCGCTCTACCACTCAGCTTGAGACTTCTCCCTTTTTCTCTTTGCCCTGCCCAGCACCGCCAGTGCCTTCCTGCTGCTGTCCTCACAGTACGACCAGGCCTTTGTGCATACTCGTTGCCAGTTTGGAGGCCCTGAGGAGAGATAATCATCGTTTCTTTGTTTCAATCCACCATCGACACAACCATGCTTAGACTCACAATGGCAGAATTACGACAAGACAAAACCTGCCTTTCCTCTTTGTCAGCCACGCACAAGCAAATTCTTGTCAACAACAATGATACCACGCAAGCTGCTTTCTGCCTTTTCATCTCTGCCCCCTCCGGCTGTTTGCTTCAAGCTTTAAGAATAGCCCCCAACCGGGTCGGCCACCGCCCCATTAGTGTTTTAATACCTCGCCTAAATAATTAGCAACCATGATGGAGAACGTTTTGTGGTCTGGAATCTTCGCACTAGAAGTACTCATACTTTTTCAGCATTGGCACGTATTGAATCATCGCAAAAGCAACAACCACAACGATAGATACTTAACATCAACTGTCGGGAAACGGGATAGTTTTGGCAGAGCGAGGAGGAGCTCTGATGTTGAGACGTCGTTGGAACGAGATGCCTAGCTACGAACAAATCACGGTCAAATCAATGGGGAGGAGATAGATTTCGCGTTTGGAAAGTGCATTGATGGGCCTGGCTGGTCGTCGGGCTTGTCGAAAGTTTACGACGTTGGCATCCCAAGGTGCAGAAAGAGAGCTGGAAGTTGTCCAGTGTTTGATGTTGATGGAGGGGGTCAATGAAGGAAGTGTACCATCTGAACAAAGCGAGTCTGAAATCACTTTAGCGCCTTGCTCTGCTGCGGCGCCTGGTCCAGCGGCAAGAGAAGTGGCTAAAATCCCTGAGTCCAAGGTGTGCGACGACCGCGAAGAAGAGTTGTTGCGATTTCTCCCGGATCGCTCGAAGTCCGAAACAGTGGACCAGACGGAATAGTGTTAACCACCGGGGAAGGATCTGCCTCGCCGGAGTTCGTCGCCTACTTACAACGAACGTTTCGAAGCCGAACAGAGGCGAGAGGAGGAAGAGATGCAGAAAGGTCCTGCACTTGACGGCCCTGCTTTCGTGTCTCCATTTCCAGAAACCACATATATGCGAGAGAAGGCGAAAGTCTTTCTCAGAGAGCTGCAGGAGAACCCGCGCTTGGATCCGGAAGACTTGTGGATTGCCTTTACCAGATCTGGCGATAATAACTCCCAGCAACCTCAGCAGAAAGCTTAAGTTGGGCCAGAAGTGGTGAATCGAGGTTGTGGTGAAGCAGCTATTATCTCACAACAGGCACGGCTGGAGAAAGGTTCTTCTCGCGAGAGAGTCTCGGGATGGGAGAGGTCTATTGCACTCTGACCTAGGGGCTCATCGAAGCGAGTTCGACAACGATCAATTGACATCACCACAGTTCAAATAATAATCCTTCCCCTCGAAGGAGCGTGCAGAATCCAAATCCAGGGAGAATGTTTGAACTTATCCCTGTCTGCGTTTGGTACGTTGGTAGCAGTAGTCAAACTGTATCTGTTGCTTGCTATTTCTCGCACTTCTGCGCAGCCCCCTATGATGGTGTGTTGTAATAGCTATTGTAGCAAAGCCAACTTGCAAATGTTTTACACCAGCTGTAGTCTGTCGATCTCTGGTACATATTACGCATAGAGATCAGGTCGAGGGCCGTGGTTGACGTGGGCGTGCAAACAATAGAGGAAATTACGGTTGTGGTTACCAGAAGTCACAACCAGGTCCACCGTTTGTCTATTGCGACCGCCCGGGGCAGCTTAGTTGACGGCGGAATTGGCATCAGCATGAGACCTTTGCTCGGTTCAGCACCCAAATGGATCGAGACTGTTATGGAAGGGGTGCGGACTCCTGATTCTCGATCTGTGGCTCCAGTCATCCCTCTCAGCTCTCCTTTGGATACAGTAGAGAGACAACCCAAACGCTTAGTCCGTGGACGTGTCCTTTGGCATACTAGATGTGACATGGGAAGAAAGACAAGCCCTCTAGCCATACCAACTTGCTCTACTGTCTGTGCCCTCACCTAAGAGCACCCACCTACACCTCTCACCAAAGGAGGCGACATGACTGGTCCAAGCACGGTGTGAGCTACCACTGCAGCTTATTGCAACCACATCCCCCGACAAAATCATGAAGGATTATCGGACGAAAACAATCAACATCAGGCAGCGTGCGCCAGGCCACACAGAAGAGAGAATTTGTTCTCGTCGACCGCGGTCCAGACCCTTCTAGCATTGGCTTGATCTAGAATCCGATCATCAATCGTTAAACGACTCGAGCACAAAAGAAAGCAAGGCCACGTCCGTGACGGACACCTTGGTTCTTTTGCTCTGCACAGCATGAGAGGGTCAAGTCAAGAGCATCCTCCGTACTTTGTGTTTGGCAATGCTCTCATGCTGACCCAAGTTGGCCTTGACCGCATTTTGATAGTACATTCCTCTCCTAGTAATTGAAAGCAAGGTTGGGCTATAGACATGGCGCTAGTAGATATGAGCTGAAGGAACCCACATATTCGTATGCAACGTTCCTGATCCGAACTTTTCACAAGAACAGTACTCCGTACGCCGTACGAGTAGGGCCAGAGATCAGGTATAAGGACTCGATTGCAACGAGTGAAGTCAAGGCGATGCATGGGCCCGACCCGCGTACGAGTAGTTTCACACCCCACGCCAAACCTTATCCCTATCGTTCGCCGTCGATGTTGTGGAGGATTCCGATGGTCATCCCTTAAACTAGCCATTTAGGGTTCTTTAGCTTCCAAGTTCCAACTCATGTCACAGACTCACAGATGGAGCACTCTGACAGTATTTGCTCAACACAAGTGGAGAAGACGTTGCTTACCTCCAAAAGGCACGGAGGACGAAGCACGCCGGCTTCAAGCTCAAGCGACAAAATGAGGTCGAGATTGTTTCAGACTTCCGCGTGTAGCGAGGTCCCAAGCGAGCGGCCATGCAGTTTCCGAGCCGGTGAGATTGTGCGTCCTTTGGGCGCACTACAGTATGCTAGTGAGGACAAGACACAGCAATCCAGGCCATTCTGAGCAGATTCAGTAATTAGTAGTGGTCAAAGTCGCTCCCTCCGGATGCTCGGTTAAGTGTTTCCTGTACTCCGTACCTCGAAACGCTCGCCGCTTACCATCCGGAGCGAACGGGAATCCTAACCTGGAGACAGCCTCAGGGCGTCCAGAATCTCCAATTGGTCACCCTCCACCCAAACTAAGGGCCGAATTTCTGATTGGCGTGGCGTCGGAATTAGAATCGCTTCATAGTTGCCCTAATGTGGAGGTGTTTTGCACCTGTAGTGCGCAATTGAGAAAACTTTGAAGATTCTGAGCGGTACTATGTAGTTGGGAGGATTGACTCCTGTAGTGATCAAACTGTTGAGACCAGCAATCTTCTGGTTGGGTCTCGTTGGTTTCAACTGCCTCCCTTGAGCTTGATCTTGATGCCCAAGGCAATCTCCACTTCGTCCCTTGATGGGGCGCATGGCCATACCTTACCGGCAAATCTGCCACCTGGTCAACATTATAGCCTGGCAGTGTGAGCCGACCGTGGAAACCAACCCGTTTTGTTCGTACTTCTCCATCAGTAAGGTCTAAACGAGAAGCCTTTCCTTATCCCAGACTGTCCGATTAGCAGGAATCTTGACGTTATCAGGAACGTGCTTGGAGTACACCGCGGTGCCTGCAGGTTTGCGTTGGGGCTCCGATATTAGAAATGCCGTCAGGGCAAAATACTCAATTGCAATTGTGGCAATTCCATCGACGAAGTCCGTCGTACTCTTTCCACAAGGGCCCGCTCAGCTTGCCAGCTAAGCGTATTGCCACCTATCAAGACGTGGTGCCTGAACTCGAACGTCAGGATGCTCAAGCCCTCCAATGATGATTGTGAAGTAATCTCTGGTGGTGTTTCTAGCACCCCCTTATCAGGTATGTGGTGCAAACATCTTGTGAAGCTCTGTTTTCACAGAGGCAAAGACCTGCCCTGCCATTAACAAGATGAAATCTCCAGCACAGAAACTGTACAGCCAGACACCGGTCTCCAAAAAGAGTAGTTGGCAGTTGAGAAGGTATGGCGATCACACCTGGTACTGCTTTGGATTGCTGTTAAGATGACTCTACTAGGACCAAGAAAACGAAGCCTGCCTTCCTGAGCGACAGCCTCCCATCGAGAGATCGCTAGAAACTCCTGTATTCTTGCTTTTTCTGGAAGTTAGCGGCGAAGTCGGGAGTGGAACATTTAGCACAGCTGGCCAAAGGACTGCTGAAACCTCCATGGGCTCGGTGTGTCGCCAGCCCAAATCGAAAGATGAAACGACGTGAACGACAGCAGGCCGATCAGCGTCAAACCTAGGCTAGCTTTCATTGTTGAGTCACTCTTACGGGCGCTATTGGCCTGTTGTTCTTTCTGATTCACACATTGGCAATTTTGTATGTATGATCCGAAGTCACCAGACTACTAGTGGGTGATGCGGACTTGGGCAACCCACAGGCTTCAGGTCAGTCCGCCGGAATCATAAATCGGGCTGGTCCAAGCACGTTAGCAGAGCTTGGGACTCCCCTTATTCGTAAGCTCCACCCGCGTGATACGCGTGTTGTCTACTCCGTATCCGTATGGAGTCTGACACTCATAGAGCGGCCCACGGAATGTGAAGTGCCTCAACTGGCCATTTCGTTATTGGTGAGAGCCAGGAGCAAGGTATTTAATATTGTCGTTCAATCGGTGGCTGAGAGACTCGGATGTAACACCGGTCTCGGAAACAATGGATGTGGGTGGAGACTTCATGTCTAGAACGTCGACAAAAAAATGCCTCGAAGCAGCCTCTTCAAGAACAGTACAGTAGGAGGTACCTGCAGGTAATTCAGCATTTGACAGGTTGACTTGTGCACGTCTGGATTTCACAGCACGACCAGGGCGAAGTTGTGGAGTCGCCTAAACCCGAGGTGGCGCTTGATTGGTGATACATATTCAGCCTTGTGACCTATCTAGAGCCCGTCACCGAAAGATTTATCTATTGGATAAAACCAAGTGTGCTGTTGAGTATCTGCGAGCAGAGTGCAATGGATCATGCTGACGATCAGGCCCGAAGACGACCAACTTGCATACCAGGCGCAAGGGTTACATTAAACGGAGATAATCTTAGCACACATGGGATCCAGATCCTAGTAAGGGACGGTTGAGCAAATCAATGATTGGTGGACAGAGATCGAGATACGGATAGTGCTGTGGCACACGAAGTCGAGATGTTGATGTCGATGTCGACGTCAACATTGGATAAAGTTGAAACTTGAGATCGATGCGGCACATCTGCTTGAAATGTGGCTTAATGGTGGAAGGCAAGTGAGAAGCGGCCCGACGATCCGGAGAGTCGCGGTAGTCCAGTTACTGACTATTTAATTAGTGCGAACAGTTAGTTAAGTTAGTCGGTGTCTGATATCCGTACAAAGTACGGGCTACCATCTGTAGTACTCCGTACTCGGTATGTAGTACCGGCCTTGAGATGTGCTCCGAACCTCAAGCTGATCGGGGTCAATGGCAGCTTTTGTTCGCTCAAGGCTGTGCACTGTTGAGTTTGACTGGCAAGCTACCGGCCCTCAGGTACGGCTTCTCAGTGAGAACGAGCTTCAATTCGAGCGGCGACGCGTTCAGTCCGAGGTTCCCATGCGACTCGTCATATTTGCGGGAGTCGTCCTGAGATCGGGAGGCCGCTCGTATGGACTTAAGCACTGACTGCAGTGACGGTTTGATCCATGGAAGTCTGCAGCCGGGCCTTTCTGACAGTTTCCGAAGTGAACTTTAGTTCATAACCAATCATGCCAGAGAAGATTTGCGCCTCCCAGGTCGGGCAAAGGTTCAGTGGATGTTGACATTTTGCATGATCGACCAGGTCTGGGCCTGCTGGTCACCATTTTCGAGACCACCATCTCCGCCTCGACAGGTGTGGACGATTGGATGGGAAAGGCCTGGGGGGCATTCGGTGGAATTAGAGGGTCACAGGCCTGGGGCGTCCCCCGCAATCCTCCTATCAACTAGTACTCCGTGCTCCGTACATGTACATAGTTACGCGATTTAACTACGGGTAGTTGCTAGTGACTAACTTGTTGTATTTGCCATCCTTGGTCCTGGCTACCCCACCCACTGGGGCAGACGCTGAGTGGGGATGGTGTGGGTTAGGAAGAAAAGTGCGAAGGGTTTCCCTCGTTGCCAGCACCAGAGAGACGAGGTTACCACCCGGCGCCAGCAATCCGAGGTTGCTCGCTGACGTCTCTAGCTGGCCCATGACATTCCCAGTGCCAGTGTCTAGGCCATCATTGCATTGTCTAAGTGGGAAGTTGATTTGAAGAACGCGACGACGTCTCTGACAAGGATGCAAATGCAGCGGCATCAGCCGTGCCCACTTCTAGATCGAAGCCTTTGATTGATACTACTAGTCTTCGGCGCCTTGGTGACGGTGCAGGTCAGGACTCAGGTCGCCAATGATGTGCTCCGCCCCGAAGAGCCTGATGGACTCCATCGAGGGTGTGTCAGGGTTCAAAGGTTCAATTGAGTTAGAAGCATCACACAGTGTTAGGCCGAGACTGATAGATGGATCGTGTTCTACCTGTGCCTGGAATCCCTGGGCTTGGTTGTTCGCCTGGAGAAGCGCGGAATAGAGGGCATTCCCTACCTTGAGGCACCCATTAGGGGGGGTACGAGTCGGGGTCCTAACTAGGGGTCCAGGTGAAAAGCTCAAGGCGCCGCCCCGGTCCCAACCATGCCTGTCTCGATTTTAGCCCAGAGCTTTCCTGATAGGAAGTTGCAAGGGGCGCCCTGATGTTGCTGCCCGGCGTCTGGTGTACGAGTACCGGGCGCAAAGGTGGACTCCCAAGCCCCATGCCCTCCATCCTCCAGGGCCCAGGCAGGGTACGCAGGGTGTGCAGTGCTCGTATCCTCCCAGGCCCTCACTCTGGGGTCTGCACGGAGCCCTGGTCGCTTGGAACTACTCGTATTATGTAGGACCGAGTATGTGTACTCGTGCAGCAGGGGTGGCGCTGGCGCTGGCGCTCACGCTGACGCTGGCACTCTCCCTATCCGAAGAAAAGGGCCTCTCACTCGTCGCTCCCTCGCTCGGCCTCATGGTGCCATTCGCCCTTCTTCAACACATTAATGTTAATGTTAGAAGTGGAATGGCCCAGGCGCTATCGCCGACTATATACCACTAAACCGAGGAGAGGGAGCATCCGCCCTGTTATTCTGCAACCCCTCCCAACTTGACACCAGTCACAAACTCAGCATCACCAGTCGAACTCACCACTCTCGATCTTGCACCACCGCCTGTCCACTGCCAGGGGCTCGTTGTTTGAGCGACTGACCTCATGTTGACCGACTCTTAGCTGGACGCTACCGCCACTGCAGCTGCTCTAATTCCTCGTTCTTCGCTCGACTCGTCCTCAACACACTCCTCCACACCTCCACAACTCTTATTACTGTATACTTCTTAGCCTCCCTCCCATCCGACGTCGCTAGGGCCACTTTTCACTGCTTCACGGCTGGCGATTCTGTTTCTCTGTTTCTGTTTCCCGGTGTTCCGCTCCTTCTCCTGTACTGGTATCCTGATATGTTGTCGACCTCCCAGAGGAGCTTCTCATGGCTACCTCCATCTCTGACCAACCTTCTCAGCTTGAAACAGCCGGATCCGGCTATTCCAAGACTTCTCGGCGACAATATCAGAGTTGTGATCAATGCCGCAAGAGCAGAAGAGCCTGTGATGCCGCCACTTTGCGTGTAGTCAATTTTCCTCTTGGAGACGATGAATCTTCGCAGCTGCAGGACTACTTGGTTGATGCCTGTTCCAACTGTGCGAGGACAAGCAAGAAGTGCACTTTCGAATGGCTCCGAACGCTTCCCAAACAGTCTCTTCCCAAGGGCATCAAGCGGAAGCTCGGACTCAACGAGTCGCCTCCTCCTCCCACCGCGCATTCAACTTCCACCGTCTCAGAGCCTGGTTACCATTCACATTATCAGAACCCGGCGTCCAACACAATTCCCCGCCCTGAGCTCAACGTGCCACCTCGGTCCCGGTTCTCTTCATCCACGCCTGCATCTGACCTGCAACACACTCCTTTAGAGTCCAAAGCCAGCAACTTTCCAGGCCATGCTACAAATCATAATGGATCTGTACGAGCATTCGGCGTTCAATATTCACTGTCTCAGCCTGATGATGATCGCAATTCACAGTATTCTTCGGTCAGACCTCCAGAGAAGACGCTGAACGGCCTTGGTGGCGCAGAACAGCGGTTCAATGGAAATGTCGACCCTCCTGTTCTAACTCGTTATGACACCTCCTCCTCCTCTTCATCAGCAAGCTCCGACTCGATCAGATTTGGAAATGCGGGTGCAAAACCGCATAGTCATCCAAGTCAAATCTCGGTCACTTCGGATTCGGAGCAAGAACGCCAACGGCAACAGCCTCCATCAAAACTTGCCAGACTTACATCTAGAGGCGTTCAGGAGACCAAGTCTACTTCCCCTAGCATTTCTCATTTACGCCGTGCTTCTGGCAATCGTCAATTCCCATCTAATAAACGGCAAATTCAAGCCCCTCTTTCGCCTCGACAAGTCCGCTTCGCCGACAACGCGATGAAGTCAATGATAGCCACTGGTTTACTGCGCATCTATCATGATTCATTCGAAAACTCCTTGTCATGTTGGGTCACTGAGAAAAACTGTCCCTACGAGACCGAACTTTCCGACCTCCTCCAGCAAGCCAGTCCCTCATCGACGGCCGAAGAGGCTGCATACCGCCTTGGTGACAACCGAATTTTCTCACGTGTGTCTCGTCTTGACTCGGAATTTTCGCCTCTTCGGGGTCGTCCATTGACTGCCTATGAAAATCGAGCTGCCTCACAGGCTCTCAATGCCGCTATTATGGCTTTTGCAAGTCAGTGGTCTCATAGCTCGCATAATGCATTTTGGAGGAGCAAAGAAGGCAAATCTCAGATCGACGCATGGCAAGCAAAATCCAAAGATGGTCGGCCATCGGGTCGTGTCGAAGATCCAATCATGTCCGGAGAATGCGAGAGGATGATACAACGGACCCTGTGGAACGAAGCTAAAACCGCCATCCAGGCGAGTGGTGAGATAGACTCTTTCAAGGTTATTCTTGCATATATGATCTTTGCTCTCACCCAACGACCTGTGGATCCAAAACCTAACTGGGGATCCGCCCAGCAAAAGTCGAGGAAAGATAGCATTTCGACCCCCAACAGCGGTCGCGGTGGTTGGAATGAATCCAACTTGACTGACGCTACCCCGGAGCAGGCTTCAGACCCAGCAATGGATGCAGCTCTGAATGAGGAATGGAATCCTTTCTATGCAAGCGATCTCGAGGCTCTGGCCTCGCCTCCAATCTATCTCGAAACTGCCGTACGCAACTTGTTCTCCTGGAGACGCAAAGTCGAGAGATATCGGAGGATGCGCTCAAAAGCACAGGCATCAGATTCATCAACCCCCGCAATTGGCTCTCTCGCTCTCAAAGATCAACAGACGTTCAACATCTTATTCTGGCTTGGCGTCATGTGTGATACCACGTCATCAGCTATCAGCAAGCGACCACTGGTTATACCTGATGAAGATTGTGCGATGATCCACGAGAGTATGGACCGCTTGAGTATCAGTGATGCTGAAGCCCGATTCGGTTGGCAGCTTGGCCGCTGCAAGGATGATGCGGATGAAACACAAGACGGCGCCCTCTGGGGCTCATATTTACTTGGCTTCAAATATGCAGGACCACGGTCGACACCACCTCGATGGCCTTGCAGTTTTGAAGATGCAGCTTTGATCCTCCAAGAGGCAATTCCAGTCAAGGTACTCATGTTCCGAAAAGTCGGTCAGCTTCAAACGCTCGCCTATCGGAGAACCGCACCCCGAAGCCTGGAGAAATGTATTGAGGAGGCTCTTGCTGTTTACCAACAATGGAACTCGACTTACGGGCTATTTATGATTGACTGCATCAATGCGCACAACAGCCTCCCTCCCCATGTACAATCATGGTATGTCATTCTCGACGGCCATTGGCACTATGGCTGTCTTCTGTTGGCCGATGCGATTGCTTCTATTGACAGGGAGGAAAAGACCATGAAGCCACAGCGTGACTTACGTTTCTCCTGTGGTATTATTGTAGAGCTACGACATGCTAACGCACTCGCCATCGCAAAAATTGCAGCTGCATCCTTGTCCGAGCATGCACCTTCTTTCCGTGACAACGCCGAATTCCATTTTGCATGCAACGGCAGTGCGATCCTCACTGAGCCATGGACGGACATCCTCGTGCGAGCCATGGGTTCCGCTTGCAAGATCTTCATCAACTGGCTTGCAACATGGGATAATCCAAATGATCCTGCCCATGACTGGGTCACGATCCACTTTACCTACGATGATCTCCGTGTTCACGCCGACACGTGTATACAAGGAATGAGGTTGTTGGGCCGCAAGTCGGATGCCGCCAACTTCACAGCTTCGGTCTTTATGGACCGTCTAAATCGTGTGTCTTCCGGCCGACGAGATACATCAGCCGACCGAGATGGCAGATCTTGCTCCACCGATTCTGTAGCAGCGTGCTAAAAGACGGATCCATTCCACCAACAACCTTGGACGAAGACGGCCATTTCCAGATATATGAAGCATACCATTTATGCCATTCCTCAAGAAAAGCGACATACTGAGGTGGCTTTCAACTTTCGAAAACACCGACCCAAAAACATCGTCGAGATGATAAGAGAGTCAACCAGACAAGGAAGGACTGACTGACTATACGCTCTTGTGGGACAGCTCCCGACAAGATTCACGAATGCAAGGATAGTTCAACGGCCGAGAATCATATATATAATAATCCACTTTTAAGTAGCCGGAGGGGGGGGGGGGCGGTTTCGCCGGGCATGAGAAATTGGGGTGGGAGGGGTGGAAACACGGCATTGGAGGTATGAACGGAGAGGCTCCTCTGCATTCTCCATTCCCCTTCGCTATTTTCTATACATATTAGCCACTATTTCTTTTAATTACCTCCATTTTCACAGCAAACAGCAGACACACCTTGGTTCCAAAGCCTGGCGTGCTTTTCTTGGTCATCTGTCGTATGAATGCGATTTCAGGATCGATCATTGCATGCGCGAGGATATTGTTTCAACGTCCTGCACGCGTCCCAAAATTATTCACAGAGGATCACAAGACCGAGCGTGCTTCTAGTCCACTTGGGGTAGCGCGTAGCCAGCGCAAGCCGGATTTGGGATGAAGATCAGGAGTAATTCCTGTTTCATTTTCGTGGCTGCTAGCCAGGCGAACTACTGCAGGTCCAGATCTGAGGTCGCGTTGCTGGTACTGTGGCGCATCACGATACCTAGCCTTACCACCTGTTCGCGATGCATCCACCGATACCTGAAGATATGGTTCATACAGTACAAGAACGGCACATATGCATGAAGTAGATCCCTAGTGCAACCAGCCCCCGTTCCTCCGCCCCGCGCGGTCTTCACACAGTCGCTCCCTCAGCGCAACCACTTGGCATAGGCCCACTCAATTCTGCGGAGGGCATTGACCTGCTTCGTCACCGCGCCCTTAACGTCGAGGAGATCGTCGAGGTCCTCGAGGAACTCTCGCTGGAAGTTCTTCGGCAGGACCTGCGTGACACGCTGCCGCAGCAGGTGCGATTCGCAGAGCAGCAGGCCGTGGTTTTCTTCGGAAATGATGTTGTCACCGTCGAGGTCCGAGTTGGTCAATGTACGATCGATGTTTCTGAAGATGACGACGCATGGGGATGTCAGTGATGGCCAGACAAGATGGTTTGGAAGGAGAGGGGAGAAAGAATCTTACCTGATGAGACGAATAGCTTCACCCTTTCTCCGGCCCTGCTGCAGGCCCTTTCGACCTCCAAACGTACCTCGGAGCCATTGAAAGAGCGCCCAGGATATGAGTACCCCGGGCGCGATGCCGACAAAGCCGAAGAGCAATTCTTGGCTCTTGAGGATGGAGTCAATGCCGCCGATGGCGACTTCCACGTCGACCTTTGTTTTCTGGACTTGGATGAGCAGCGTGCGGATGAGGTCGCCTGCGATCGCATTTTTGATAGGGCTTTGCATTTCACGCTCGTACGCTTTCAAGACGGACGTCAGATCGCCCTGTTTGACTTTGCTTCTGATGTCGGCGATTTGGCTCTCGGTGAACGACGTCCCATTTTCAGGGTGTTGGATTGCAAAGTCGACGACCATGCGCTCCAGGCTGTCTCTGTCGGCTTGAAGGCTGTCTCGGCTTTGAATAGCGATTTCGCTGTTTTCGTCGTGGCGGATGGTGCCAATCAGTTTCTTCGTAGGCTCCAGGACCCAATTGATCCAGAAGTCGATCGCCGTCTGGCCGAGGTCGCGGAACCACTGTGCGATCTCTGCACGTCGATTTGAGACGATTCTGAGCAAGGTACTGCCGGAAAGCACAATCCCAACGGCTGGGATCCAGTACCGTATCAGTCGAGACGGTTTGCCGTATGCCGACCTCAAGGCATCGGCTTGGGTTTCCTGCTGGGGGAGGTGCTCGTCTAGGATCTTGATTAATGCATGAGCCACCTCAGTGCTCGAGGCAGTCGCTGGGTCGATTGAGTCGTCGTCGTTCTCCTCCTCGTCGTCTTCTTGTTGCTGAGACCGTACAGCTCCTCCGAGTAAATTGACGGCCCTGGCAACAGTAGTTTGCCAGTCTTCCTCTTCTTGTGCCTCCATCAGCATAGGAAGCGCACCATGTTTTCGATCCTCTGAAGCACCATCAAACACGAGACACTCTCGAACAAGTCGTCCGATAGTTGTTGCACTCGTCCGCCGCAAATTTGTGATGTGTGTGAGATTTCGGCGGACTTCTATCCGAGCTATGGAAAAGGGCGAGAGGATCTTGCTTTGTGCTTGGGCCAAGGATCTCTCCTTAATACTGTTTTGGACGAGGCCGTAAAATTCTCGCCAGCCCGCCGAAAGCGTAGATGTAGCTTCTTGTGCCGAGGCTCTTATATGTGTGCCTGATCTGAATTTCTGCCGAGCGTCCGCGTAGACTTCTTTGGCCTGCTTCCAAAACTTGACGGGCGACATCTGCACCGTGTACAGGGCGGTGTTTGCATATGACCCGAGTACGTCGTCCCAGTACCAAATCGACTCACTCAAGGGGATGGTCCTGTTTAACAGCGAGTCAAGGATCAAGCCGTATACTTGAGCGGTGGCTTTCCCCACAGCCACCCATTCTAGATTGGATACCTCTTGCGAGGTTGTTTGTGTCGCCGTGTATTCAGACCTCTTGTGTGAAATCTGCGCCAACAAGCTCCTCACTCTTGAGCGCCGCAACAGTGGATTGGACCTTGATGTCGTTGACAGAGCTCTTACAATCGCCTTCAGCTGCAGGCTGTGGGGGTCTTCGTCGGTGGAAACGGTCGCCTGCAGTCTTTCGGCGGCGGCGAGCGCGGATCTCTCTTCGGCATCTCTGAGCTGGAATTTATCGAGGGTGGCATCGACTCGACGGAGGTCACTGTGATCGATAGTTCAGCTTCTTTTTGTTGGAGAAAATAGATCGTGAGAACTTACTCGTGGATGAATGACATCCTCCTTGCGGTCTCGAGGCTGACGGACAGCCTTGGTTCAATGAGGCGATGCTGAGCTTCTCTCAAAGATACATGATGCGGTCAAACTAGTGGAGTGCCCTCGGATCAATGTTACAAGAGAAGAGGTCGAGTTGGAAGCGGGCCAGTCGAGGGCATTACTATTGGCACCCAGCTATCAGAGATTGCATAGACCAAGAGACGTGAGTGAATGTCGTGCGCCGTGCGGACAAGACCCTGAAGCCCAGAGACAGAAAGCACATAAAAATGGATTTTGGAAGCCGCCAGATGGGTGCCAGAGCGGGAGGAATTGAATGACGTAACGGTCAAAACATGCGTAACTACTCGTGGCACAAGAACTCCGGTGGAGTTTGACTCCCCCTAGTGCAACTGGATATAATATCCGCCGTAATGGCCTTCTTGCTCGTGGCACTTCCTGCGCCCGCTCCCCGTGCACGCCTCCTCATTCCATTTCCTCACAGGCTGATTAGGCTTTCGCCAGGCAAGCGCAGGCACCCAGTAGGCCACCATTAACCACGTTCAGGTAACAATCAATCCAGCCTCCTGCCTCCTACTGTACCTCCCCCGTCCCGTCCAGTTCCAAGAACAAGTTCACAGCCCAACGTCCACCGTCCGGTGCGCATCATCCAGAGGCCGTTGGCAGGATTGCAAGTCTCCAGTCCAGTTACTCTCGTCCCGTCGACATCATTCGACCTCCATCCCTCTACATCTCATCTTTCGATCTGCCTGTCACAAACTCGCAGCCACAGGCCATTCTTTTGCCTCCTGGATTATTTTTCCCACTCTCAATTTCTGTACCGAGTACTCTGTACACTCTTCTGTTCTCATCACCTTCAAATCTTAAACTCTTCCCTGCATATCCGGATTCCTCTCTGGCCACCGACCTTTGTCCACACATACTCCCGCCACAGACCAACATAAGCAGCCCCCCACTGACACACTTCCACCACTTCTCGATCACCACAGCGCCTATCTTTTCCTCCCACCTTTTCTCCTCTATCCCTCTCACAACAGTTTCAACATGGCAGGCACGAGGAATTATGACTTCTTAGTAAGAAAGCCCAAACCCCCCCACACGTCATCTCTCCCTCCTGGCTGTTCCCTCTATGTTCCTCCAAGGCACGAACGTCAGACCCTGACTGATTGTACATCGTTGTTGAAATAGATAAAACTCCTACTGATCGGCGATTCGGGCGTTGGCAAATCCTGCTGTCTGCTACGGTTCAGCGAAGACAGCTTCACGCCCAGTTTCATCACCACCATCGGGATAGATTTCAAAATCCGCACCATCGACCTAGATGGCAAGCGCGTGAAACTACAGATATGGGACACCGCAGGCCAGGAGCGCTTCCGAACCATCACCACCGCCTACTATCGCGGCGCTATGGGTATCCTGCTAGTCTACGATGTTACGGACGAGAAGAGCTTTAACAGTATGGCAAAACCGCAAACAAGGAGAAGAATAGACATGGGACATCTTGGCTAACTCTTTGGCAAAACAGACATAAGAACATGGTTCTCCAACGTCGAGCAGCACGCCAGCGAAGGCGTCAACAAGATCCTGATCGGCAACAAATGCGACTGGGAGGAGAAGCGCGCCGTCTCCACGGAGCAGGGCCAAGCCCTCGCTGACGAACTCGGCATCCCGTTCCTCGAAGTCTCCGCCAAATCCAACATCAACATAGAAAAGGCCTTTTACTCATTAGCCGGCGACATCAAGAAGCGCCTAATCGACAGTTCGAAAGAAACCGGTGCCGCGGGCGGTGCGGGCTCTGGCCCCGGAGGCGTTAACGTCACACCGAATCAGGCAGGCGGTAGTGTCGGTGGGAAGTGCTGTTAGGGGAGTGTTTGGTTCGACTGACTGGGCGGGTATCTGGCGTTTTGATTTTAATCGGTTTGCCATTTCACCTGGCTGATTCGTGCGGTCGATTTCCACCTTCTGCGGAGAGGAGGAGGAAACGAAGATGCAGAGCGAAAGTGAAGGTCGACACAGGTCGGCTCGACCAGGGCTTTGCTAATTGGTGAGAAAGGCCGGGGTAGGGGAACCAGAAGAAAAGGGGAGAACGGCACCGTCACTCTACGCCTACGCCTACACAACACACAGGAACGGTCCCATCGTTTGGGAGAGGATGATCACCTTGCGCACAATCGACCATCTGGACCACCAGAACTTCTCCCCATCGTCACTTGTGGAGAACATTGCAAATCGGAGTATAAGACGCATTCGTATGACATCATAATCGGTTGCTTCCTGGAAGGAGATTCAGATGCAGATGCAGATGCAGATTCTGGGGCGTGGAGGAAGAACTTCGAGAAGGTAGATAGACATCTACCTCCGCAACCCAAGGAACGAAGATGGCATGAACAAGCCTTTTGGAGAATGAAAACGGACCGCGGGAAGGCTTTCTTTACAACATTGTTTCGTTCACTTCCACTCGAGGCTCGTTGTTGCTCTCAATAGACGCTCATGCTGAAAGACTAGGGTGAACTGGACGGGAGGACCTTCAGATACATGTTTCCGCAATACCTTTTTTAATCACGCTTTCTGCATGTTTCCTCGTTTTGAACGGGCACAGACGGAAGGGCTTTTTCTTTTGTGCGCGCAGCATGTATAGTGTGTATTGGCCAGTGAACATCAAGCGACACTCTGGGATGGAGGGAAAGAAAATGAACCGCTTGTTGAATAGAGCAGTAGCATTGGGGGTAAGTAGCGGAAGCATAGCAATATCGAGCCTGTGTAGAAGCCTTCCAACCCACATGTGCACTTGGGTTTGCAGCCACACTATGTTCCAGCCAAGAAGACAGGCTAAACAGGCCAAGTTCAATGCGCCGTAAAATGCTGGCTTTCGTGGAGCAATTTCAAGCTCAATATCATTGCCATGTGATCATCTAGTTGTATCTCGTCGTCATCGTTCGATTTCCCCTTGCATCATACTCGCAGGCCATGTTCGGTCCTGGGAAAATCGGGCTTTAGATCATCCCGTTGTTGGCTGATGCTCAGTAGCCCACTGAAACAAGATAGTCGCCGAGTTTCTCGACTGTGTTTGCGGCCGTGCCCGGCTGTACTGTCTGGGGGTAGTGTGCTACGAGAAGAGCCTGCTTCGTCTTGACGATGATGATGCCTTCTCGTCCCTATGTCGGGTTGAGAACCCATTTGTCAGTTGTTGCTGTCCGCAATAACTTTCGGCCCTCGCGAACTCGCTGACACTATGAAAACGCGGACGAACCTTCTTGCCATAGATGCTCTGATCCTCAGCCTTAATGACGAAGTATTTGACGCCTGCGACGTGCACGCCTGCGGCTTGAACCTTCTTGGGTACTTGAGTGTCTTTGAAGGCGCCAACAATCTCTTGTAGTTCAGCCGGGTTGACGCTAAAACCTGGGGATGTAGCCCAGACGGATGTGCCCTCGGAGTTGAAAATGGCAGCCTGGTCAACGGCACCAGTTCCAATGAGGCTGAAGGACAGTTAGCGCTCCGATCTCCCGGGCGATCGATACGGTTGAAGCCAGTGGACAGAAGTGAAGGCCGGCATACCTAGAATCGACGTATGCTAAACGGCAGAGTTGTCAGCCGAAGTTCAGGTATCCTCATGGATGCCACTCAGGTGAAATTGAGAAGCCATACCTTGCCACGACATGGTTGTAGATGCGTAGAGATGTGATCGACGTTGAAGCAATCAGTTGTCGGGATAAGTTGGAGAAAAGCAGGATGTTGGGTGAAGCGGCTCGGTCTGACTGAAGAGGCAGGCGCAACCGAAAGCAAAAAGCAAGAGTTGCTAGGGACGATGGAGGAAGTAGGCAAAGGATGAGAGCTTGGTTATGATGAATAGGTCTGTAGGAGTTCAATTCAAGTTTGTTGTCCGTTGGATGGATGGCGATAACTTACTCGGGAGTTAGTGTCATGGTGGGGTGGACACTGGACCCTAATAATAATATATCGGCATGACAACATCAGGAAACTGCCATTGCCAGTTACAGTACTTACGAGTAGTACGGGGCCCCTTCGGTCTTTCACACTGCCTACAAATTGGGGCTCCTAGGTACCACTCCTAGCTCCCTGGGGATCAGAGGTGCCCCCTAAACGCGTACGTAGCAGGTCCCCACGCCCGGATTGTTCTGAATTTTATCGCCCGGCACCTGGTGCCTGTCTAGAGGGTGTTTCGGTTCCAGTCGAGTGCGAGTCATCCCTTGGGTGCCCTTCCCCCTCTCTGTACACCGTATTTTGCGTGGTTGCTCCTTTATTCCCGCCAGGCCTCCATTTGCCCCGCGATTCCCTTGGCATTTTCTTCGCCCCAACGCCGGAAACAAGGCACATGCTGCTTCAAGTTTTCTGCTCCTCTCATAATTACGAGTAGCAATCTCCCAGGCATCAATTCAATTATTCTCCAATTACTATCTTGCAAACCATCAGGATTCATCAACAGGAGCTTTTCCACCTCACCAGTTTTCGCTTAAAAGGTTTATCTATCCATTCGATAGTCTAGATCTATTGGTCATTAATTACCGCTTAGTGCATCCCAGTTGATCGAGGAAATATACCCATCCATGTGAAAGCAGAGGCTTGAGGACATGACAAAGACCTTTCCCTTCCTTTCGTCATACAGCTTTGATACCGGGACTGATCCATCGCCTTCTGAAATACAACATTCGAAATTTCCCATATACAATCAAATCACTTCTATCCTTGCCTCTTGTTGTTGACTGGCTCGTATTTTGTCTTCTTTCCCCCCTTCTTTCCATCGCCATGTTTTGTATGCGCCCACTTGTGCAACTTAGGCTTGCTGGATCCCGCTCACATCTTCCATTGAACCTTCCCGGGATGTCTTTCCCGGGGTTGAGCTGGGTACCCAGCCACCGAGGCGAGGAAAGCAGAATCCAGGATGAAATACGGTTTGGCAAATAGCTGCGATCAAGACCATCCTGTTCACAGTCAATATACATTCCCATAAAGATGGTGCTGCCACTTACACTCCCTCTAGCGCGATGAATGATGCCTCGTCTCGCATGATGCTGTTACCCCAGCCACCAGCCATCTCAATGATACGATAAACGCATCGGGTGAAAATGGTGAACCAAGCTGTAACCACCCCGATGATGAACAAGCGGAATTTGATGTCACCCAGGGCGGAAGCTGCCTCGGACGACAGTGGGTACTGTGCGAGAGCCTTCCATCTTCTCCAGACGTATACTCCTGCAGTAGCAGCAAAGATCGATAATGCCCCGACTTGCCAGCTGATACCGGCCATCATCAGATTGTCCCCAACCTTTTGTTGGTCGTCATCGTCGGCAGCTGATGCAATACCACCACCAGCAGCTTGCAGAATGAGGGAAAGCAAGTCGAACATGATGAAGATGTAAGTATAGAAACGTGGCTTGACGAATGACCATTGTTCACCGAAGCAGAGTGCGATATGCTTCAGAGTGAGATAGATGGCGGCCGAGTTGAAGGCTGGAGCAATGATCAAGCAGCAAATTTGTGTCTACAGTCCCACAAGTTTCTATGGTCAGCCCAGTTCGGTCGAATGTCGGACACGGCATGGGCAACAGCAGGGAGACTTACAATGAATCCATTGTCAGAAAACGGATTGTCCCGCATCAGAAGTCGACCAACATATCCGATGGTTTCCGTCAAACATCCAAGCCCGACTGCAGCCATCCAGCTCCAGGTTTTGTATCGGATCCCGAGTCCAATATTGGCAATGCACAAGATGCCGAAGAGGGCGCAAAAGAAAGCATTTGCAGCGAGGTTGGGCTCATATCCGTAGACTGACACTTCAAATGTGCAGACATCAGTGAGCTCGGTGCAGTTATGGCGGTCACTCATTTTGAATGTGTGTAGGGGATGGGAAAGGCTGTCGAGTCCGAGAAATAGGAGAAGATGTGACGATGTACAGGAAAGAGGCCGAATGTATACTAATACAATGACTGGAACACTTTGTTGTGCCTGAATGGAACCTGATGGGAGAAGGAAGAGACGAAATCACTCGAGGCTTTGCCCCCATTTAATAGTTTCAACGCTCGAGATAATGATAAGAGCACAACAGAGCTTTCGTCCGTACCCCAGTGCAGGTGGGCGCAGGATCGACCAATAGGTCCGCTTCAAACGCTGGTATGATTACTGCGCCTTCAGAGCATACAGAGTCAATGTGCTACTGAGCTTTAGTCAAGCCTCGAGAAAGAGTTGCCAAGTATTGGAGGGACGTCCCCGTCGCATGTCGACCCGAATTGGGCAAAGTCCCAGGCAGACGGATTCCTGAGAAGCCGCTGACATGATTTGCTGCTTGATGGGGCACGGATAATAAAGTGGGTGCGCAGCAAAGGGTTGTGCCCGTACCTGGGTGCACATGATGATGTAATTGAGATTGGCGGATAGCATCTACAGTTACACTACGGATCCAATTACCTCGTACCGGGGCACGTTGTTAGGAGGAACTGTGTCAGCAGGCGTAGAGGTATTCGTTGCCAGCTTGCCACTCAGATGCACATCAAACACATGGTGACGGGGCACAGGGACCAGGTGTGGATAGATGGGTGGACTGAATGGATAAAGATAGAACTATCTTCAGAACAAGCTTTTATATCGTGGTCTGATGAGGCTAAGCGCCTCGCAAATGTCCCCTTGAAATCCGGGTGCGCCCTCCTCAACCTCTGCTTCGGCTCAATAGACACTCCATGCCTTTTCAGGGTTTGTTTCATGTCCATGGTACAAAGTACGAGACACTGTCCTTGATAGATGAGCACGGCTCAGAGGCCTTTCATGCCTTGATTTCACCGAATCTCTCCTCCTCCCTCTGATAACTCCTCACACACAGCTGAATGTTAGCTCAGGTGATGCTCACGACATGGTTCGTGTTTGGACGAAAATTCTCTCCTGGAAGAGAGAAAGTCAATAGCAAATTCTGTCTGCCTGTTGTCATGCAGGAACTAGAAACACGGGGGGCTTCGATGCATTATCACACTGTGGCGCAGTGCGCAAAACCTACGAAACCGCATTTCGAGGTTGTGTGAGGTCCCACACTGGCTAAACCGCATTCGGGGCAACCTTGCGATGCACTCCGATTGGTGCAGTTCGGAAATGCCCCACAGCTGTGGTGGACCATCGGCTTTAGCCCACCTCGTACCTCGCATTTATCGGAATCTGAGCGACAACCGCTACGCGCAGCAAGGCTGAACCAACCCTTTCTCCTCCAGCCTGTCGTAGCGATAGCCGCAACGTCCCCTAGAAATGCGATGATCGGCCGCTCAGCCTTACATTTTAGTGACTGCCTTTTCGGTAGATACAAACTGTGATTGGCTCCCGCTGGATCTCCGCCCCCGAGAACGCCGCGACAGACCCTCAGAGGCTGATGCTTGGGTCAACAATCCCTGGCTTCTGGAATGATGTTTGCCTGAAGCACTGAAATCCTATATATCATAAATGTACAGGGCAGCGCTTGTGATAGGCGCAAACATATTCCATTTGGGCAGGTCCGTCAACAAGCCCACTCTAACCAACCGTTCAGAAAAATGGTGTACAACGGTCCCAGCGGGGGTTGTAGGGCTTGTCGCACTCGTCGAGTTAAAGTCTGTTTGCTTCCATATCCCACAATGTATTCTACCACTAACAATCTTCCAGTGCGACCAGACTAAGCCTACTTGCAACAACTGCCTTCGGCGCAAACAGCCTTGCCCAGGTTATGCCGATGTTTTCGATGGTGCGCATCGATCTCAAAATAGTATCGTGGTGCGGCGCGTTGAGAAGCAAAAGAATGCAGGAAATGATGGCAAAGGACACGCTGCCTCCAGATCGAGCAGCCCTATAAGTGAAGCTTCCACGGAGATCGCCTCTTCCTCGACCAACACCACCCTCGCGACATCCAGCAGGGGACCACTACAATGGATTGTCTACTCGGCAGGCGTCGCACCGTCTACCCCAGCATCGGCAGAACCATCAGCAGTGCCTTCACCCACCAGTTCTGAGGAGCCAGATTCAGAGGAAGCTGCTCGCCGATCAGAATTTCCCAAAGACTTTGATCTTCTGGTAACTACGGTCCCGGGTTCAGTGAAGACAGATCCCCAGATGGCTGCCGTGGGCTTCTTTTTCCGGCACTATGGCGGGAGTATGAATGAACCAGAGACGCACTGTGGATTCCATTCAATTTGGCAGCCAATGTATCTGGAATCAGCAGTTGATATGCCTCTTCGTACGGCAACTGCTGCTGTCGCGGTCAATGTCGCAATGATGTGGTGTTTCAAAGGGTGCGATACACGCCTGCCACGAAGTCTGTTCACCAAAGCGATCGCTGCAACACGGAGAGCAATGTTCAATCCGGCCGAGAGCACAACTGATCAGCTTTTGTTGACTATTCTGATATTCGACCTGTACGATGCTCTAGTCTTGCATTATACCCCCGGAGTACCCAACTACGGCAAGCACAAGGAGGGGGCGCTAGCTCTGATAAAACATCGGGGAGCCGCGAATCATCTCACAAGGAGAAGCCGCGGTTTGCTCGAGGCAACACGCCATTCACTTCTACACTATTTCCTTGCAGAGCGCAAAACATTTCCTGAGGAATTGGTTGATTTGTTCCAGCAGGGTCCTGCGGCTACGCCGGTCACAAGTCTCGATTTGATTTCCATGCAAGTGACGGCTCTCCAAGAAAAACTGTTCAGCCTTCGTCGCGAAGACCCTGAATGTATGAATGAGTGGGAGCGACGATCACGCTACGAAGAAATTATTGAACAGGCTATCCGCGTTGAAACTCTGCTAGTGAACTGGAAATTCCGGACCTTGACTACGTTGTGGAAGCCCTATTACGTCAGCCGGGTTTCGGTATCACAATCGATTGCATCAGCTGGGTTTTACGGACCTCACTGTATCATATGGCAGGACCTGGCATACGGTGACTTGTGGACATCGCATGCTAGCCGTTGCATATACACCTTGCAGATTATCCGGCAGGCTTTAGCGGACGAGCCAAGTCTGCTGCTCGAGCAAAAGTACCAAACTCTTCTCACGCAAACCGACCTTCAGATGCAGGAATTCGCCGACTTTATATGCTTCTCGATTCCTTTTCATATTGGCGATACCATGGTGCCGACGAACCCCTTGCACGCCGAGTCAATCAACTTCCCATACACGATTGTTCGTGATGACGACACCGGGAAGAACAAGCGCATTCCCAATCCGCTGACGAACTATCAAGCTCGTACTGCAGCATCAGGCGGCTGGATCATCTATCCACAACTAGTCACGCTCTACCGCTTCGCAGAGCCCGAGGACGACGCCGTTCCGATCGTCTTGCGCGATGGTCAGCTAGATTGGATCAAAGACCAAGTCAAGAGACTGCAGAAAATATTCCTATTCGTGGACCCGCCTTGGTTTAAAAGGCTGGCACCACCTGTTTTGAAGAGCAATGCCTAACGAGAAACGAAATGGAATCATTTCGTTCAAGATACCCAGCTTTTGTGCATGTTAGCCTTTGGAAATTTTAGAGTTGTCTATGTTATATATTATTGTGGAGTTCAACACTGGATCTGTGACGCTGTGATCTTCCATGCAGGTCGTTGGAAATGCTACATCACGCCATATCATATCGTACAACCTATAATCCTACATGAATAAAACTCCATCACTTTTACGAATCTGTCCCATGAAAATAATTTCCAGATTTCCAGAGGCCTTGTAGTGACATCCGTCATACATGGAATCTTGCGCCACTAAATTAGTCCCGCCACCTGATCAAGTTAAGCGATTCGCAGGCGCCAGGCATAACGCCAGTGAGCCTTGCAAGATCTGCACAGTCTAAGCGCAGTCTGAACCCACATGACCAGGGCGTCCTCAGCCTCGTCGTACTTCGTAAGAAGGAAAATCGATTTACGCGGCGCCAAGCCCGCCCGTTCTTCCTATTTCGCTGGCGCTCCACTCCTCCCACCTTCTGGAACAAGTTCAGCAAGGGGACTTGCGACCAGGCCTAATTAGCAACAAACCTCTCAAAGATGAAATCGTCAGCGCGTGCTGACGCCTGAGGCGCTGACCGTAGCTCCGCACAAGCAAAGCGCGAAGGACACGTGCTTCAATATGGCCATGAATGATGTTCTGCCCGGCACCTGGCGGAGGCCCGTTGTGAGCCGCTGCCGCACATTCTGCCGACTTCGGTTGGCCGTTACATAGTGCCAAGTTGGCCCCTGGTTTATCTCCGTTGGGATCGGATGACATGTAGGCTTTGTCACTCCAGCACTCCATACGGGGTAATGGCTGCCTACTACTTACTGACCCGTGCTGATGTTGCTAGTTCCAGGTATGCAGGTCTGCGCGGATGTGGTCTCGAGGGGGAGGGGGTTTCCAACTACTGTGTCTGCCCGTCTGCCTGCCTGTCTCTACCTTCTCCATTGCACGGGTGATGTTTGACACCTAAGGCCTGCGTTATTAGGCCCCCCCATGGGCAGGACTCGTGTCTCCACGAGGCGTGGTGCATGCATGGATGCCCAGCGCCAAGCTTGTGCTTACCTGCGTATTTTACGCGGACAAGAAGGTCCCTCACTGGCAGTTTCGTAGGGTTTCTCGCCAAAATACTACGTCACAACCGAGGAAACATGGCCTGAACCAGTTGTGTTGTGTTATCTTGACCTTGCTTGCAACTTGCAATGCCTCAGATGATATGAATTCATTGGCAGAACGATGGTGAATGATTGTGGTTTGCAAGTCTGCGGATAGCTCCTGGGTGCTAACTTTAGCCACTCCGTGATGAACAAGCGTTTTCCATTGAGGCACTTTTACGCTTCCAGACTCCGACGTATGCTCTTCTAATCCGCGGAAGGCATACAGCAGCCATCTCGTCATTTTGCGGTTCAGCACTAGTCCTCTGGACATCTCGTTGGCGACATCGTCTCCCCCGGGAGCCCTGGTGCCACGCCTAATCATGGCAACAATGTGTTTCCAATTGTCCAGTCTGCAATCACCGGCCTTCTGCAGACCCAGGTGACCATCTACTTCATCCCAAGATTGAAAGGACGGCAACCACTGAGGCGAGCCTATGCGTTGAGGCAGAGTACCAATGCTTGCCCCCCGGCGATTCTTTTCATCACCCTTCCATGCTCGTGAGCTCATGAGTCTAGAAGCACGACGATCGCGAGGACACTTCGTTCGGCCGCTCGCCCACATGCTTCAGCCGATCCCCAAATTCTAGGACTATGTGGAGCCCCTGGTCCATTCTTGGAATTGCAAAGTCTGGAGCGGATGAGCCACAATTTAGTGTGCGATGGTTTCGTGTGGGTGGACAGATATGCATATATGCAAAGCGAAGATGTTTTAGATGTGTGAGTACAGCTTCAAATATAGCAGAATTGTGTTAGCCAGCGGCATACACGAAAGTTATCTGGCACTCCTTAAGAATTCCACCACGCCTCTAGTATAACCCACCAACTGGCCTAGTCTCTTCTCCTCAGACTCCATTGCTGTCCGCCATGCCGACACTGCCACAACCAAGTCCTCGACTTCGCTGACAAAGTCACCGTGCAATCTGAGGAAAACACTCATCCAAGTGTTGACCAATTCGAAGTATTTCCTCAGTCGGAGTTGCTGCGTCAAAGCGCGAACGAACAGTGGCATTTCATCTAGTGTTAGAGAACGTATCTCGAGGTCAGCGGCGGACGGCGGTAGAGAGGCTAGATGCTGAGAAATTCGCGCTGGATCTTGCCCTTCTCCGGAGTCAAAGTCTTCCAGTAGACTGGACATCTGAGATTGGTTGCCGCTTCGCGAATCGGCAGCTAGCCGAGAGATGCGGGACCGTTCGGTGTCTCCAACCAGCTTAACTGTCTCTCCTGAGTTTGTGGGAATGCTATTGCCATTGCTGAGGCTAGACCCGAGAAAAAATGGAGCAGCTTTCGGTTTTTCAGGAGGTTGTATGGGTTTGTTCCGTTGTCGAACCTGGTCAAGATTGAGCAGCGTCTGCCACCTTGAATGAGGTACAATGGAGAGCGTTAACAGATGCTCGTGGATTTGGTCGAGGTCTTTTGTGTCGGCCAATTCTTCCGCAAGCTCGTCCTGAGACTCTGCTTCATCATCAAGGCCGAGCTGACTCGCTGCCTGGAATTGAGCGGTTTCGCTGAGGTCGATAATACCGGTAGTCTCATCAACCTGTCTGGTAGGAATATGGCTGAAAAGTGCTTTGTTGGTCCAGATGTTGATTCCAGTGCTACCGGCATGTGTGGTTGCGAGAAATTCACCGGTATTTGAAAATGCCACATTCGTACAAGTGGGAGTCTTAAAGCCGTCTATCAGATGGCCAGTTGCGAGGTCGAATACCCGAACAACGGAATCCATGGAACATGCCACGACCCATCTGCCATCATGCGAGAAACAGAAGTCATATATTTGTCCCACACAACCCCAGAGTTCCCGAACGGTCTTGCGGGTTTCGATGTCCATAATACGGATGCACAGGTCATCACAGGAGAGTGCAAGGAGACCCGAAACAGGATTGTACCGCAAGGCCGTGACCACCGCCGAGTCTAGGTACTTTCTGTACACGAGGTTTCCAGTTGAGAACTCCCAGAAAATGATAGAGTTGTCCAGGCTCGTGGTGATCATCATGCGGTTGAGATTGTCCACGATGATACCAGTGATTGCATCCTTATGCCCTCGTGGTACACTGGCTATGTGCTCGGAGCTCTGTCGTTGTAACTTGGCTTGCTTTGCTTGAGCCGGTGTTAGACGAGGAGGATATCGTTGGCGGTGAGCCCCTGACTGTAGGTTGAACATGTCAAGGCAACCTCCAGCAGAGCCAACAATGGCGAAAGTGCCACAAGCTGTCATTGCCACACTCGTGACATTTTTGCGATCACCCGTTTCAAAGGCCCACCGTCCAGCCTTTTTCCTTCCCCAAGACCAGGTTCTGGCGAACTGATCCTCCGCATGAGCGGTGATTACGCTTTCCCAACCGGTCATGCTAACCTCTTCTGCATTCGCGGTTTTGGCATTCGTCCATACAGGACCATTCACCGTACCCATACCACCGTCTCGATTTATCGAGCACGCAATGTCGATGATGGGACTTGCTTTGAATTCTTCCACTGCCGAAGCACCGTCGGTAGCCAATCCAGTTCTTCGGGCTTTCGACTTTATTGCCCCTTGGCTGATCTCCGTACTTTGCCCATCTTTTCTCAAACTAAAACCCCAGAGGCTGCGGTCTTGGGCAGCAGACAGCAACCATTTCCCAGCTGCATCGGAGCCATCAGAAGCCGCTGGAAGGAACTGCAATTTGGTGATCGAGGAGGCATGGCCACTTCGCGAATGAAGTGGTCGCGGAATTGGAGAGAATGGTGTTTGATCAAAGACCCATGAGCGCAGGGCATTGTCCTTCCCGGAGGAGATCAAAACAGCCTGACCCGGGAGGAATTCGATCTTGGTGATACCAGTTCCACTGGTAAGATTTGAGGTCTCATGTGCGCCTCGTAGTACTCCGACCACCTTTCCGCCACGATTGAGATCCCAAAAAGTGACGTCCCCACTTTCCTCACTTGCAGTAGCCATGACCCCCTCTTTGCGGCCATCCTCGCCAGCTCCTAAACCGTCACTGCGAAAACTAATCGAAGTGACGGGCTTGGTAGTACTCCGTTGGTGTAGGACTAGGACTGACTGATCAGCCTCGACATCGAAGACGACGATTGAGCCATCAGCATAGGCTATTGCGAGTAGACCAAGCGCCAGAGTTGAGCTGAGCGCGGTGACCGAGCCCGAGTCTCCTGTAGGTGCCAGAATTGTGTGAACTAATTTGCCTGTGCTCACGTTGTAGACCTCAACTAGGCCATCTCGTCTTCCTACAAAGACCTTGTTCAAAAGCGTCGGTAGTGTACAGACCAACCCTGTGAAGGTAGATCGTGAGAGAGAACTGTTGTTCTGATTAGAGGGAAGAATGGTGGTATAATGCTCTGAGGAATCGAGTTTCCAAACTTCGATAGCCTCGGGACCGCAACCAACAATCCAGGCGCCGAAGACTACTATGTGGCCTATCTCTTGAAAATGGGTATCTCTGACGTCTAGTTCGCCAACAAGTCTACCTCTCTTGAGAATCCAAACGCCATGGGGCTCACCGGGTTGCAACCCGCCCCATGCCACAAATACCCGATCGCGATAAGCTACAGTAGCAGTTATCGGCCTCGGGCAGTGAGGGCGGCTTAGGAAGACTAGATTGAGCCCTCTTCGCAGGTCGTAAGTCTGAAGACTAGTCCCTATGGATGTAGTGATTTGAAAGGTTGTTTTTCCCAGTGGGACAGTGGTAAAGGGCACGCTTGTGGGCGACACTAGGCCGATTGTCTGAAGGTGAAATCCGTCAATATCATTCAATAACCCGTCGTCAATGAGAAACATACCCGGAATGGCGCAAAAAGACGTGAGGAAGAAGGCGGTGGTGTGCTCTGGGTTTCCGTCTCAGCTCGCCGCAGTCTTTTTGCAGCGGGGTATTCAACGACACCGTCCATCTTGTTAGGAGAGGTATCGCCTCATGCACAGGTACACACTGTCATCATCGTGGTGGGAAAATAGCAAGGAGCATTTGTTCTGTTTTGCCTAGTCCGGCTTGGACCAGTACTTTTTTTTCCCCCGGCTGTTTACGGTTGACAATGTTGCTGCTTTAAAGACGGCGAGAATGACGTCGTTACACGTGATCTATCATTTTAAGCAAGAGGCACATGCATTCAACACCACGGCAGGTGGTCGGCTCTCTTATTCTGGCGAAAATTCAATAGCAATGTGCCCCTCATCTTTCATCACATTCCGTATATTAGGTGACAAAGACCAACTTGTCTTTCATTCATTCACATTTTATGCTGTGAATACTGCATACGTCCAGATGGTCGCAATGATAGACTGGTATCCCCCATTCTTTCCTTCCTCCTTGTAGTTTTTTCCTATCGTCATTCGCTTCTTCCTCGATTCCGCCTTGGATGCTCATCGCATCCAAAGCGGCTTCCCCACATAATCCTGCCGCTTAACCGGAGCTTCTGGCCGACCGTCGACCCGGGAGAAATTTATCCTGACTTCTAGCTATCATCCAAGAGGAGAGATCTTCAAGCAGCATGGATTCTTATCCTCACTCTCCTCTTCGTCGCACTCCTACGAGTACTTCCGACAATGACTTGGACGACAGTGCTTCATTGACTGCTGTCTATTCTGCGAGCTCCTCCACAACCTCTACGCGCCAGCAACAGCAACGGACAGCAGGTCGAGCTCCATCTGCGCATTCGTTACTAGCCTCAGGTTCAATCAAGAATTCTGATATAAGAAAGGGTGCTCATGCCGAAACGACCAAGGCATCCGCAGATCGTTCCAGCATAAGCATGCCGCCGCCCTCCACCAAACCATCAGTGGATCGGAGGTTGTCCACCTCGTTAAACTCGACTAAATTTCAGCGCAAGTCAGAAGAGGTCCCCAGAAGTCCTCCTGCTTCGGTAAAAAGCTTTGATGACAGGATCCCATTTGGCGGCTCGCCTACTGCTCAGACTTCTACCGCCTTTGATTCAACAGTGGTCACCACCGCTTCATCACCACATGCTCCAGGTCTGCCCGTGCTCTCGCCTCCAGCTCTTGATCCATGCATTCCTAATTCTGTGGATACAGTTTCGACTGCCTCTTCTCAGGTCAGCACCTCGTCCCAGCCGCCAAAGAGTGAACCATCTGTTCCAGCCGGTCAATCTTTAGCCACATCGGTGAAGACTGATGCTACGGAGCTGGCTTTACCAGCGAGAACCTCCAGGTCTACGAATCCTCGATCTGTGTCCTCCAGCAGGCGTTTAAGTACCACAGGCTCTTCCAAGAACGATAGCGCTGGATCCGAGAACAAGATGTCCCTTGGCCGGATTGGTGTTTGTGCCCTTGATGTCAAAGCAAGAAGCCGCCCTAGCCGCCAAATTTTGACCCGACTGCAAGGAGACAACGATTTCGAAGTCATCGTTTTTGGAGATAAGGCAATCCTCGACGAAGGTATGTCTGAATCTTTAATCTCTTCTCCGGAATGTAGCTGATGACGTGCTCTTAGATGTTGCCAATTGGCCAATCTGGTAAGTTTCAGGCAATCCATTCTCAAGGACTATGAGGTTCTAAACTGGAATAGTGAATTCCTAATATCATTCTTCTCTGATGGATTCCCACTCGAGAAAGCTATAGCTTATGTCAAATTGCGGAAGCCATTTGTTGTCAATGATCTCTCGATGCAAAAGGTCTTGTGGGATCGAAGACTATGCTTGAAAATCCTTGACCAGATGCAAATTCCTACCCCAAAAAGAATAGAAGTGAATCGAGATGGCGGACCAAGGCTAGAATCCCCGGATCTGGCACAGCATGTCAAAGCTTTGACAGGCGTGGTTTTGGAAGGCCCCTCCGATGGGACTGGTGGAGGCACTCCTCCAACCCGCAGCATATCTTTGGTTGATGACGGGGATACTCTTATCGTTGATGGAAAGACATTCAAAAAACCGTTTGTTGAGAAGCCTGTGAACGGCGAAGATCACAACGTTATTATATATTTCCCTCGAAGCCAAGAAGGTGGTGCTCGGCGACTGTTTCGAAAAATTGGAAACAAATCGTCGGAATTCGACCCTAATTTGATCACCCCAAGGTGCATCACCGAAGCTAACAGCAGCTACATCTACGAGCAATTCCTTAAGACGGAAAACGCTGAAGACGTCAAGGCATACACTGTGGGTTTCAATTATTGCCACGCAGAAACTCGAAAGTCTCCTGTTGTAGATGGGTTGGTGCGACGAAATACACATGGTAAAGAGCTGAGATATGTCACCAAGCTTACCGACGTTGAGAAAGACATGGCGTCCAAAGTCGCTCGTGCGTTCGGACAACGAATATGTGGCTTTGATCTGCTGAGAACAGCAACAGCCAGCTACATCATTGATGTTAATGGGTGGAGCTTTGTCAAAGACAATGAAGACTACTATAATGACTGCGCAAAAATCCTGAAAGGAATCTTCATTTCTGAAAGATTCAAACAAGAAACGTCAAGTATGGATGAGCCGTCCCCAAGTCCTGTCAGTACCCAGTACCATACCCGACAGGGCACCAGCCACCCACATCGCTCTGCATTGAAAACAATTCTCAAATCGCCAAGTATGACGAAGCTCTCACAGCACATTCCACATTCCTCAAGACATCAAAGTTCGAATGCAGGATCACCAAAGACAAGTTATATGACTACACCATTGAGTTCTCCACCGACAATTGAGAAAGCAGCAATTTCTGCATTGCCATCTCCGGTGCTAGAACAGCCATCACCAATAGTTACGAATGCTGATGTGGCAGCTAAAGATATGCGCTTGGACACGGCGGTAGAGGATCAAGTGGTCGAAGCTCCAATGCCTATGTCGAAACATTCATGGAAGTTGAAAGGTGTCGTTACTGTTGTCAGACACGCGGATCGAACGCCCAAGCAGAAGATCAAATTTACTGCTCATTCTCAAGTCTTCGTGGATCTTCTTAAGGGTCATCATGAGGAAGTTTTGCTCAAGGGCGAAGCAGCTCTGGCGAGCGTTGAAGCAGCTGTGAGAACCGCACAAAGAGAGAAACTTGAAGATCCGGTCAAATTGAAAACCCTGCGCAATGCTCTCGCTAAAAAGGGTGGTCAACTGGGAACCAAGGTTCAAATTAAACCCATGTTTCGCAAAAGACGACCTAATGAGATGCTTCCTAGTACGAAAGAAGACTCAGAGGCTACTACTGACCCGCGTGAAACATCTTTACCACAGAGATCACACCTGGACCCGCTGGAATCACCAGGTCTTGATTCTCCGCCTCTAACGGACTCGAAAGAAGTTCAACGGGTTCAGACAAGAAGCGATTCGATTTCAGGTGTGACTTTTTCGCGGTTCTCGGCAGCGGAGAACGACCTCATACTTGATAAGCTGCAATTAGTCATGAAATGGGGAGGCGAACCCACTCATTCGGCGAGGTACCAATCTCAAGATCTCGGTAGCAATATGCGGGATGATTTCAAATTACTTAACAAGGAGGTCCTAGAAGATGTTCGAATTTTCACCAGTTCAGAAAAGCGCGTCAGGACAAGCGCACAGATCTGGGCATCTGCTTTCTTGGACCGCCAGGACATTCCCGAAGATTTCATCACCGTCAGGAAAGACCTCCTGGATGACTCAAATGCCGCAAAGGATCTAATGGACAAAGTCAAGAAGAAGCTTAAGCATCTTCTTCGAGAGGGCAGTGTTCCTGAAGAATTCGCTTGGCCGAAGGATGTCGCCGAGCCCGTTGTTGTCATGCAATCCGTTATTGATCTGCTCAAATTTCATCGTCGTGTCATGCGACACAACTTCAAGAAACTCGCGGGGGGGGCGGCAGCATCGCTAGCTGCTATCAATGGATCGGCAGAACCAAAGGAGGCAGGCAACCAGAATAAGGAACTTGTCACTGTTGCCTCTATTCAATCTCGGTGGTGTACAGGTGAGGACGCTGAGCTCTTCAAGGAACGATGGGAGAAATTGTTCTCCGAGTTCTGTGATACTGAGAAAGCCGACCCTAGTAAGATCTCGGAACTTTACGACACCATGAAGTATGACGCTCTGCACAACAAACAGTTTTTGGAGTGGGTGTTCACCCCCAGCCAATCACTACTAGATGGGATCACAAAGGAGGAAGGAGCCTTCTCGTCGAACACATCTCCAGAGCCTGAAAGAGCAGACGACTCTAATGGTGCAGTACAGAATGGCCGCCATGAAAGTGTGACTTCAGTTACAGGCAATTCCGGGGATCGTCACCGCTTTGCGCAGAAAATCAAGATGAGAAGACAGTCAGTTTTCAAACAACCACCGGTGACTTCTCCCCTAGCAGCTTATGAGCAAGGGGCGTCTTACTTCAAACTCTTTAGCGGTTCGGGAGACAGCAAATCCAAGCAAGACCAACGCCTTGGTCGCTTGAGAGAGCTGTATCGGTACAGCAAGATTCTCTTCGACTACATCGGACCGCAAGAGTATGGTATCAGTGATCACGAAAAACTTGAGATTGGTCTACTTACATCACTCCCGCTCCTACGCGAGATTGTAGATGACCTTGAGGAGCTCCAGGCGGCGGGCGAAGCCAAGTCCTTTGTCTACTTCACCAAAGAATCGCACATCTACACGCTTCTAAACTGCATTATGGAGGGTGGAATTCATACCAAAATCAAGCGCTCTACAATTCCAGAGCTAGACTACCTTTCTCAAATATGTTTCGAACTCTACGAGGCCAAAGATGTCGAGAAGTCCGAGTCTACTTACTCTATCCGGATCTCAATATCTCCAGGCTGTCACACAGTGGACCCACTTGACGTGTCTCTGGATTCCAAACACGCCATCGGCAGTGCTCCTAGGCGTTCCCTGACGGACCATCAAGATTGGAAAGAAGTCATTTCGACGTTGAAAGCCAAGTTCAATACCGTCCAATTGCCCAAGAGCTTCCTAGCAGTCAACGTCAGTGAAAAACACGAGCAAGAGGCGGAACGAAGAGCAAGTATGCTGCAAAGCGAACAAGCGAAAACGAACCATGACAATGGGACACAGGGCCAAATGAACGGTGAGCTTGCCGACAACGACGTCGTCGATGCTACAGCCGTGCTTGGGAATCCTGTGTCCCAGATCGTCTCTGGAGAAAAAGTATCTGCACCTGTGTCGGGCTCGGTAGACACCACAGATTTGGAGGCCACAGAAATGCAGGATTGATTGGATTATATGAGCATATTTTGGAAAACGGTAAACAGAAGGACTTGCACTGGAGGGAAATGTAGCGAACAGCAGCAGCAGAGGCTGCAAGATCACCGGTTAAGACCTGAAGCACGAATTCCACATTCTTTCTTTACTGGCATGTTCATCTGACGTACGGGTTGGCGAGAACAATTAACTTGCATGAATAGGATACATACACAGTCTATGAAACTAGACCAGTTGCGGTGGGAGGGCATGTTTTGATTATTCGATTTTACTAGACTTGCTGGCTCTAGAACTTTGCAATAGAACTTGTCCATTTAGAATCTTGACTTTCCTAGGTATATCATGTGTCCAGTATCAGGGTCATCCAAGCCATCAGCGTTCAGCTGAGAGGTAGGATCCAAACGTGGGGTAGTCTGTTAGAACTTGGAATCTGAGATTCGATTCTAGAAAATAGTCAAATGGGCTGTCTAACTGGGGGCTTTCTATGATAAATCTATGTCTTGTGTCCTCTAACCGTCTACAATGCGCCTCAACTCGTATGCGTAATGGATGTCCTTCTCCAGCTAATGCATTAGTCGCCGCAACGTCCCACCCCTTGCTTAACGTACTCGTACAGGCGAAAATCACTCATCTCCACTGTGCGGTGAGAGAAATTAGTGTCACGTGCGTTGTGGGATTCAGTCGTGCTGGATGGATTTATTGCAGTCTTCTCGGAGACGTCAGTAAGGCCGTGTGCAATGTTGTCAACGTGGGCTATGACCACTGTGTGAACTAGTCAGGGTGTGTATTTGATGCTGACACATAAGTACATCTAGCATTAGTGTACTGGTAGTGGCACGTTGAGAAGAAGCACACGTCCAATATTCCGAGTGACCACGAGACTTAACTTCAAGACTTTGAGCGTCGTTGTAATCTGTCACATCGAAAGATGGTGGAAGCTTCCTACCCATAGGTTTTGGTTGAATGATGTAGAACCCAAGATTCGTCTCACGGACCAGTCGGAAAATGAGATAGGTGACTTGTTTCCTGTCGACGCGCTTGGGAGCAGCGCAGGAATGCGACTCTCGGGCGTTTATGAGGCTTCGCTTTGCGTAAGATGGCGGTGGGAAAATAGTTCGGTTGGTCGTGTGAAGTATAGATATGTGGGATTTGCTCCATCGCGGGAATGGCAGATGGCGTAGGTGTTGGGGTTTGCTCTTCGGGAAGGACAGCGCGAGACTGTCAAGGATGTCTGACAGTGGCTCGATGGGCACCTTCGTTCCTCGTACCAGGCTGTGTTCCTTCTGATTCTTTTTCCTGCTAACATTTGCTGAGCATGTTTTTCACTGGGCAAGCCTCAGCCGAGTAAATGCCTCCTTGATTTCCTGGAGATCGGCGGCCCTGTGCTTCTCGACTTCTTGCATTAACCTTAGATTCTCCTGCTTCAGATCCTTAAAATCCTCATCGAGTTTGTTGTGCCATGGGTACAGGACAAATACTTGGAAACCAAGAGCCGAGGTGGCGATTGCGAAATTAGTGATGGAAAATCTGCGAGCGATAATCATGTTGCTGGTGGAGGTGAGAAATTAGCTGGAATGGGAGGAAGGAATGATCTTGTAGATGTAAGTTGGCAAAGCGAAAGAACCACGCAGTCTAGCCACTCTGTTAAGGCTCAAGGGGAAAATACCACAAAGGGGAGAAAAGCAGAAAAACACGGAGGGGAAGAGTCACAACGCAGACTTGAGCCGGTCATATAGGGCGTTGGCCATTACAGCGATACCGGCGGCACCGACGACAAGGCGCCTTCCAACGCTGACCATCATGGGGTCTGGGTCGTGGTGTAGTGGAGCGTTGATACAAAACTTCGGCTTCATTGGATACAAATTGTCTCCCAAGTACCTCGCTTAACTTCGAGAATGGTACAATGGTACCAAAAGTGACATTAGTGCCACCATGTCTCCAAGAATTGCACCGGTCGGGGGGACCCGGAGGCCAAAGGCGAGTAAACTTCCATTATTGCACAGACTGCGCCATATTTTGGTAGCCATTAATTGTGGGGAGAAATCCGTACTGTCAAGAAGCACTATTCGAAGCGCCAAAAGGTGAACTTTCAATGCTTCGGGATATTTGAGATGGCTCAGGAAAAAGCCATAAGTCAACAGTGAGAGAAGAGAGGGACAATCCAAGAACGGTACACGGCCAAGCCGCACAGGCTGGAAGGAACAGCAAAAGGGCTGAAGGGCAGGAGCGTCCCTGCACAGGCACAGTGGGCGTCACATGCCGAGGGAAGTAACATTGACGGAGAAATCAATTTTCCTTTCCGATCCCATTCCGGACTAGTAGAAGCCTGTTCTATTCCGAGCTTAGCGCGCCTGTTACTCGTACTCGTACTGTACATAGAATAGGAAGCAAGGAAAGAGATAAGGGGACTCCCCGGCCTCGGCCTTGTCGGCAGATAAGAAGACGGTGTTTCTAGCCTGGGCTTCCTCCCTTACTTTTCCAGATCATTTAATTCAAATTCAAATTCATGGAACAAGGCTCGCCTCCGACGTCGAGGAACTAGCATTCGACATCACACCCCCAGTCTTGAGCTGCCATCCTCGGTGAAGGTGAACCTCCTGCCAAGCAGAGCTCATGCAAAGTCAACATGTCTGTAACCCCTTGAGTTTCATTATCGAGCTATCCTCTCCGCTTGGCATCCACTCCGCCAATTCAAGGAATCATGCCTGTCGATCGTCTTCATGCTGTCATCCGCGACGTTTCAACCTCGCTTCTGGCGTCTATCGATAGGATTGATCGCCATACTTGAAACCGCATCTGTCTGGACCACTCAGAGGCGGGCTCCTCGGAATGCGTGGAGTCTTGCGGCTGAGTGCTCAACCTGAGCCTCTAGATGTCAGGGAGGCTAGCATCAATAGTAGGTACTGTTGAAACCTCATAGACGAGTGCGCATCGCCAATGTTTCTCGATCTCTTTCTTTTCTCCCCACGCTGGCCGACCCCTTTCACGGCAACATCTCGTGTGCCTTGTTTTGCCCATTCTGAGGCTGGTCCTCCATAATTTTCTTTGCTTTCCTGCCTGTCTTTCGGAGTTATGCTGCAGCCTATCTTCGCCTGAGCAGATTACATATTCGGCCGTTGAGAGTTGTTGTTGCACGGTGCCAACATGACAGAGAACAAATTGAACAGTCGGTTGCACAACCCGAGTCGATCGAAAAGGTCGATAACCATGCCAGAACGACAAATTCGACCGTACGCGTACAGGCCATCAAGACTACGACCCAGACAGGCACCTCAACGACCTAACGAACCCGAACTAGCATTTGACGGTGACGAGACTTCGAGTGATGAAAGTAGCTTGGATGGCGAAAGTGATTCAGAAGGCGAAGACGATTCCAGTGATGAGGAAGAAGAAAGTGAGGACGCAAATCCATTCGCGGCTAGCCGTGTGAGTGGCACAGGGGCACGAACAACTATCTCTGCAACCACCACCACCACCATGAGTGACAATCCTTTTGCAACGGCTGCTGTGACAGCTACTCTATCCTACGAACCTGGAACCTCAACGCTCACATCGAGCCCAACATCACAGAAGCTAGTACAGGCTACAGCAACCGGAGTAGCGGCTGATTCCGATGCTCCTGCGGCCTCTTCATCAGGTGGCCAATCGAAGCACACTACTGCCGTCGCCCTGGGATCAGTCCTTGGTGTCCTTTCGGTTGCTGTTGCGGCATATCTTTTGTTCCGCTACTGTGCTCCAATAAGAAACAGAGTTGCACGGTATCGCGGACGGAAAGGCTCGAAGCTTCCAAGGGAAGAGGATGGGGTGCCTCCGCAAAATCTGGGTAGAGGAGTGGCTCAATCTGGGGACTTTGCTGCAACGAACGCACATCGCTACTCGAAGGCAGTATCGTCAATAGCAACCCCAGCACCATCATACACCCACGACACGGCCATCGCTGTGCCAATCACTTCAACACGTGTACCTGCACCAGTGTCAATTCATCCGGGTTCGCGAGATGATGATCCTGAGAACCCTTTCTCGGACTACGCACGAACCTTGTCACGAAACAACACCAACAAGTCTAGTCGGAGTAAACAGCCTTACGTGCAGAACAGTGGTGCCAGCGACTATGAAACCTCCAGGCCCACTACCGACATGCTCGACGAACCGGGCACTTATGCATTCAATTTCAATTTTGATGATTATCGATTGTCGGGAACAGATCTCAGGCAATCAGCATTGACCAATAACCCACTTTTCGCGACGTCTGGTTCTGGTGCGACCAATAACTCGCTCAGCAACAGTGTTAAAGGGTCTGCCGACCCATATTCTTCAGGGATCGGCTCTGGTCTAGGGATCGATGTACCGACATCGCCAGGGACACCAAAGCCTGCTACCTTCTCTATTCCATATGCTCCACCTTCCGAGGTGGCTACGCCTCGCACTCAATACATGCCCCGACAACGCCAATCAATCACTCCCTCGGAAAGTGTATCAAATGCACCATACTCCCCACTGCCGTTCCCGGCCGGTCTCATGCCTGCATTGCCTGCTGCCATGAACTCGCGTTGGAGCAAAAACTCCAGTAGCGTCTGGGCTAGGACTGTCGACGACAAAGGAGTAGACCTGCCAGAATCGCCTGCAAAGGCGGTGACCAGGCCTCCTCCTTTACCTCTGACAGTCAGGACGTCAACTTCGTCCTTTTCATCCCGTTCGTCGAATGGAAGTAAGCGCAGCTCCTCGCGGTCTTCTGTTACAGGACCTGGTCAAGATCCTATCGAGAAGCGAAGTACTTTACAGCCCGCCCCCACACAACGATTGAAGACAGGGTCAACCATTATTGGGCTACCAACAAGTGTACGGCCAGTCTCCAATACTGGCAGTGGCGTAACATTGAAACCTGTGGCGTATCGGCCATAAGGTGTACGAAGGAGAGATGAGGAGCCAGGAACAAGTGTTCATATTCCGGAGAAGACGACTTACGAGGCTGGGGGAAGTGTGGACTTTGGTGAAGCAATACCCCTGTCAACTCCTTCATTCCTTATTGAGATACGATGAAGACTGACCTAGAGTTCAAGGGCACCAAATCGTCCCTTTGGTGCCACATTTCGTGTCTCTGGTTCGTGGCGATCCCCAAGAGAACACGTGCACCTGTTTGTAAAATTACATATGATACTACTAGAAAAAATTCTTGGCTTAGAAAGAAAAGAACATGGTTCATCATAACACCTATACAGAGTACCCCAATCCCTCGGTAGCTTTCGCAAGCTTGCATTGACCAAGCCGACGATGCTCGGTGAATAGTTTCCCTGATCCGTGGGCTTCGGGTCTTGTGTGGCGTAGAGGGTCAGAAGTACGATCAAGAGAACTGCTCCAATCCTTTCAAGCCCATAATGGAGTGGAGTCAGCAGCAGTCTTGAATTTGGAAAGCCGAGAACAACCATCGCCCGTTGCCCACAGAAGGCGGTCGGGCAACGAACTTAAACCCGCTGCGTACTATCAGCTTTCACCTGCTTTCCTGAGTCGTCATCCTGCCGGGACCGCGCCGACCATGGTCGACAGCACCGTCGACCCGCCCGTCACGATAGCTGAATCCGGGGCAATCGTCGACTACATAATCCACATCCACGGAAAGGGGCACTTCAGCGTCGGGCCTCAGCGGGCCCAAACGCGTACGCTCAATATCTATACTGGTTCAACTTCGCGGCCGGAAGTTTCCAATCGCTTCTCGACGCCAATATCCTCGGCAAGGCACTGACGCAGAAGGGCGAGCCAAAGCAGGAGGACGATTTCATGACGTTCATCGTATTCACTGCCTTTAAGAAGAACACGGCCAAGCACCTCAAACAGGTTGACGCTCGCCTCTCGCAATCGAAGTACCTGGCCGGCGACGATATCACAGCCGCCGATTTCATGAACATATTCGCTGTCACCACTTTCCGTGTCATCTCCCCTTACGATCTATCCGAGTACCCACACATCTTATCTTGGCTCAAGGATGTCACTAGTCGTCCGGCATATAGGCGTACGATGGAGAAAGCCGAGAGGGGTGTGCCTCCGCTCATACAACCAGTCGTGCCTCAGTTTCCTTGGGAGGTCCTTGGTGGGTTGGCCGGTTGGGAAACTGTACCTGGTCTTGTGAAAAGGTAGTAGAAGCAGTGTTTCGATGCTCGGATTAGTCCCTATGTAGGATCTCTTTCTTGAGACCACTGGTACCTGAAAAAGTCGCCGCCATGCTGAACCGAAACCATACGCAATATTAATTTACCCCCCTCCCAAGTTCTCTTACCATGATACATCTTACAGGTAAGCTTTCTGCAAGAGAGGGGGGGAAGGAAACTTCATAATTGATTGTATTTTCCCAGAAGCGGCTGAGACGGAGTAAGGTTGAGCTGGGAGCGGGTTTTAACTTCGAGCGTCCCTATTCGGCTCTCGTTCTTACTCACTGCATACATTCTGGATAGTCAATTGGTTGTGTAAGTGGTGAGGTCCTCCGTACTTGGTACGAGTACCAATCAATCGAGATGGCTCATGTCATACGGAGTACTCGGATTTGGGTCCTGGTTCAGGTAATTCCATGCCAAGCAAGCCCCTTAACGCAGGTAGCCTTTCAACCTCCAGAAGATTTTGCAATCGTTTATATCCAAAACCTAACCTAACTCCCGTTATCTTCTACTTTAACATCCAGCTTTCGAAGAATGAGACGCCTCGGCAGCCAAAATATAGACCCTTTTCTCCTCCGCGCCATATATCACACTGCCGAGTCTCCCTCCGAAGCAACCCATCTTCTTTGGAGATGGAGATCTTTTAGCTCTGAGCATAGCCTAGGTAAGCATCCAATGGGCACGAATACTTTCAACCACGTGGAAGCGATCAGCATAAGGTCGTCGCTCCAAAGGGTCGCTTTTTACATACCATCTATGATGGTATCCATCTAGCAGTCCGCTCCACGATGTGAGTGTCTCTTCGAGAGATGCCCTCTTATAAAGACGCCAATGAACCCAGAGACATGGTAGCAGCGATCGGTGCTTTCCCTAGCATTTTATTGTCGCGTTTCCCACGATCTATATGATGTGTAGGTCAAATTTGCTCCTGGCAGTCGCTGCCTCAGGGCTTCTCGCCTTTTCGTCGTTTGGTTGCTCTGCACTATCAAGTCCTTCTCAATGCAGTGCAAGCGCTCAAGAGTTGACGTTGACGGGCCACATTGATCCAGCTGAGGTGTTTTCCTTTGTCTACGTCCCATTTGACGTCCCACCAGGAGTTACCAACATCACCGTCGTGCAGAATTACTCTTCTAAAGGAGCAGGCAACTCACTGGACCTAGGAGTTTTCGACCCCTTGGGAACGGAGCCAATTTCCAGCCTCACGGGTTATACAGGCTCCAGGGGTTGGTCAGGTGGCTTTCGTAGTAATTTCACCATTTCCGCCGACGGCGCGACTCCTGGATACAACGCCGGCCCAATTCTCCCAGGAACTTGGAATGTGGTCCTGGGACCGTACACTTCTCTTCCCAGCGGCATAGACTGGCAGCTGAACATCACGCTCTCCTACAACACGGCGGCCTTCTCCCTACCCTGGTCTCCCAACCACGCAGCCACCAACCTGATCCCGTCCTCCCAGCTCCAGCACCGTCTATCTCCCTCCTTACCATCACCACAATGGCTCCGTGGTGATCTGCACATGCACAGCGTCTACTCCGACGGACGGTATCTCCCATCGCAACAAATCGCTAACGCACTCGCGCAGAACCTCTCATTCGTATTCTTCTCCGAGCACAACACCGCGAGCGGGAACCAGAACATCGGGTCGTGGATCCCCGCGGACGCGGACCTCCTCGTCCTTCGCGCCATAGAAGTCACGACGCGGCACGGGCACTGGAACGCATTCGGGCTTGACCCGGCGCAGCAGGTCGAATGGCGATACACGAACGCGTCCGGGGATGCCGGATACGAGACCGCCACGAAGCAGGTGCACGCGGCCGGCGGGCTCGTGAGCGTAAACCACCCGTTCCAGAATTGTAGCCGGTGCGATTGGACGTTGTCGTGGGAATGGAACGATGCGATTGAGGTATGGAACGGGAGGTTCGACCCACTCGACGAGCAGGCCGTCCAGTGGTGGCACAGCGAGCTGGTGAAGGGTAAGAACATCGTCGCTGTGGGAGGAAGCGACGCCCACCATCCAGGCGATATGAACGGTATACCGACTACGGTGGTGAGTGTGTCGGAGAGGAGCCAGGTTGGTGTTGTCAGGGGGATCAGGGAGGGCGCCGTTTACCTCATCGAAGGGCCAGGAAAGGATCTCGAATTCTACATGGAATCCCGACAATCCGAAGTCGAACGAGAGCAAGCGCGTGGCTCACACCGTCGACCAAATCAAAGGTGGGAGATCGGCCAGACGGTCAACAAACAAGACCGCTTGGAAATAACATCACCTCTCACAGCAGTATTCTCCGCCACGGGATTCGACCCTGCAGCTGCAAAGGCATGCTTCATCAGCGACGCCGGCTATTTCCACAACGAGTCCGTCGTGCCTGGCGAGAAAATCGTGCAGGTGGTTGATGACGGTCTGAGATTCGTGCGCGTCGAGGTCAGGAATGCTTCGGATGTCTTGCTTGCCTTGACGAATCCGATCTTCCTGGGGGCTTGAGGATGTATGTAGGTGTCAGACAGCCTTGGAACGCCGTCGCGCTGTGCAATGTCACTATTAAAAGTATCAGAGGCGGCACTACACTCTGTGCTCCCATCCCCCGCGTCATGAGCATAGCATATGTCTTTGGAGCATGCGCAACAGGATAAACAAAATCAGGATTTCTTCTTCAATCGGCATTCGCGAATATATACACACACACAAGTGAGATGGCACATCACATCCTGGGCCCTCGGGCGGTCATATCATCCCACCAGTTCCGCAAGAAAGCATAGACAGTTCTCCTCTTCCATTTTCTTTTCCTCATGTCATGGCCGCATCCACATCCCTAGATCAAAACCTCGCTACCCCACTCTCCTTCCGCTCAGTCAGCGACTCTCCCAGCAACAATCGCCATCCTCGATGGGCGTGTCACGATCCCTATCCTCAACATACCTCGCGGCGTTGGCGGCAGCGATGCGGCCAAAGACGACGCACTCGAGCAACGAGCTGCCGCCGAGGCGGTTCGCACCGTGCAGACCGCCAGTGATTTCGCCGGCGGCCCAGAGGCCTGCGATAGGCCGATTGCGTGCGTTGAGGACCTCTGCCTCCGGGTTGAACACCACCCCGCCCATAGTGTAGTGCACGACGGGTGTCACGGTGCCGACGTAGATCGTTGACTCTGGCGTGGGGTTCTGGAGGCTCCAGTGTCCGAACGACGTGCGATCGTACAGGTCAGGGGACGTTGTTGAGGATTGCGCGGTGGCGGCGTATCGCTTGATTGTTTCCAAGGCCGTGGCACTGGCGTCGCCGAGGTCGCCGATCGTGGTCTTCTTGATCAGGCCTTTCCAAATGTAGAAATCGACGTGGCTCTTTGCTGCTTCGTAGACGCCCTCGTCCAACACGAGCGAGATGTCCCACTGCTTCAACGGCTCATTGTTGCTCGGTGAAATGGTCTGGGTGATCGTGTCTGTTACGACCTTCCTTGTCTGGAGCTCGTTGATGAATCGCTTTCCCTCGCTGTTCAACATGATCCCACCTTCACCCCTGAGCACCTCTGCCGCAAGGAATTTTGTCGCTTTGAATCGGTCGTTGGGATCTATGAATCCTGTCGGATGCACCTGTACTTCGCCCATATCAAGCAGCTGTGCACCGACATCCACTAGCAAGCCCTGACTGCCAGGCAAGGCCTCATTCGTGCTCGGGAATCCCGCAAGATCCGGCCGGAACTCCTTCAGATAACCCTTTGAATCACCGGCGAAGCCACCAGATGCGAAGATCACAGGCCCATCAATCGTCGCCGTCTCTTCTGGGTCCGCCTCGCCCGCCGCTCTTTTCACTTTAACACCTACCACCCTCTCCTCTCGCTTCAGCACCTGCGTGACAGTCACGCCTGTCTCGAGCGTCACAAGAGGACTCTCCTTCAGCTTCTTCAGCAACGTCAGCACGATACTCGCACCTGGAGGCGTGTTACCAGCTCCACGGTGAGTTCTGGCTTTGGAATGGCCACCCAGTAGGGCGACCTTCTCAAGATCGATGCCCTGCTCGTCGACCAGCCAATTGATGGCGGCTTGCGAGGAATATGTCAATGTAGAGATGAGTTTCTCACGTGCCTCGCCGGTGTCAGGCCTCTCACCCGCGGATTTCAAGGTGTCGCCGTAGAACTCCTCGATGGAGTCGGATCCTGGGATCTGAAAGCGTGTGGGGACCCCATTGATGCCGCTGGAGGCTTTGATGCTGTTGCCACCGGGCTTGGTCTGTCGCTCGAGGATGTGTACAGGGATATCTCGCGAGATGAGCTCCGTAGAGGCGGACAGGCCCGCGAGCCCGGAACCGACGATGATGACTTTATGTGATGATGTCGAGGCGTGGTTGTGATAATGGTCGTGGCGGTGTGAGGAGGTCTCAGATACGGGATTGGTGTGTAATGAGGCCACCGAAGAAGAAGACATGTTGCGTAGAAGTTGTTTAGATATTTGAAAGGGAATTCGGAGGGGACGGGAGAACATGGAGTAAAATAGTATGAGGAGAGGGAAGAGGAGTGTGACCAGGAAGCGGTGGCTCAGCATATATACGGATCATCCACCTTTTAATCTAGGGAGGGGGTTAACGTCTCAACCCAAGAACTCGGGCTCGCTGACATTCGTACATCCAAAGTCGCCTGCTGTTACCGTGGAAAAGTGTGCATGTGTGGGGGTCCTAAAGAGAAGGGAACGAACCCGAAGTCTTCTAACGAGAAACATATGCATTCTAGGTATGATCTGGAAAAGATCACACGAACAGTTGACATTTTCGAGAGCAAGACACGCCGCGACTCGAGCTGTCTTTGTTGCCAATTGCGGCTTTGCGGTCGGGTAGGTACAGTCCTCGTTGCTGAGCGTTTGGCAATTGTGCAACAAGCATCACGCCACCTTTTTCGGGACAAGTTTTACGTTGTTGGATATCACTCCACCGACCGTGGAACTCGGTCATGTCGGTTATGGTCCCACGGGGGATGATCGAAGATTCAGGAATGTCATACTCGGTAAACTTTCGAACATCCTTTTCGAGCCGTAGGAAATGTTTCACAGACGTTAAATGTAAGAGGAGGCCATCTCGGGCTAGATGACAAGGCTAGCCAATAAACGCGAATCACCCACAGAAACATGATATAGACAAGGCTGAAACTGATCGCCGAGTCATCCCAAATCCTCGGGGAAAGGTGGCCGACCTTGACACAGTCGAAATATCTTTGCCAGTATTCAGTGTCTTCTCGAACTGCACGGCGCAATGTTCAATTTGAAGCTGTTGAGATGTCGTGACAAAGGTTCAACGCGTCATATCGTTCCGCCATGCCATCAAGTGTTCATATCAACCGCCAACCCATCACGTTTTTATTGGGTGCACTAGATATCTACGTGCCGTGATCTGTACCTTCGCTCCTATTAGGGTTCGAATATGATTTTGTTCAGCACGGGTACCCTCCCCATACGTTGGATGTACTGGGACCGTCGAGAAGCGAGTCAAGAGCCACATCAAAGCCCAACTACAACAAAGAATTCAAAAGCTTTATCTGAGAAAAAGAACCAGGCAAATCTATCCATGTTGCCTGGAAAGCGAAACTCAATTTGTTCTTTTGGCGGTCGCCAAGGTCATCATACTCATTTAGAGTGGCAGTCCAGCAAAGCAAAGGAATTTGACTTTCTGGTAACAAACATCGAATTTCTATGTGACACATTCGCCGTCATGCTTGAATGTCCATTTCAAAGAATGATCTCTTTTGGCCGCAAAGCTGCAAAATATTCGTCATCGCATCGTCATCAAAGAAAACCCTCGGATTTCATGGTTGCTCATCCACGTGTAGTTCTGTGCCTGACACAACAGTGGACTCGGACAAGAGAACAATGATCAAGAGGCATAACAGCGCCATCAGTGGGCAGTCCAGTGGGCCAACTTCGCCCTCCGCAAGATGGTGGGACACAGGAAAAGGATACTTCATCAATCCGGCCCATCCCCGCCATGGTTTCATGTATTCTGTATGTGACACGGTATCCTGCCTTTCTTTGATCCCACAGCATATTTCTCAGAACGGAAAGAACCCACGGTGCAAACATGAATGTTGATGCATGGCAGAGATAGTACGCAGTCAAAATCCCCAGACAAAACCCCCGGGATCATCTCTTCTTGATTTCCGTAGCCCAACCTTCGATCCCATCCCCTTTGCTTCCAACGGCAATATCAAGATTGACATTATCCATTCCCTTGGTCCCCTTCGTAAACTCCGAGTTACTCATTCCACCAGCGTTGGCGCGTGCCTCGGGTGGAAGTTCTAACATGGGGATCAAGAAATCGGCTATTCTCTTGGCTTCCTCGGGCGAAAAATGGTACTTCTCTCGCAGAACATCGGGTAAGGCCCAGTGTCGCAAACGGTGGATATTTCGAAGTTCGCCCTTCCGGTTGAAGATCTCTTGGGACCATTTGCCGGATAGACATAAAGATTTGGGAAATGGTCCAAGAAGCTCGATTATTTGTGCAATATGATCATCGTCTTTGCCATACTTTGTGCCAGATTGAGGATCGAAAAGATAGTCCCCGGTGATAAGCTCGAATACCTATTGGCCCGAATGTCAGTACCTTGTGACTATGGCAGAAAACACGGCTTCAATACTTACCATGCACGCCATACTCCATACATCAGTACTGGCGCCCCATTTAGATCCAAGGATGACTTCGGGCGACCTGTACTGTCGAGTTTGAATGTCGTTTGTGAAGTGATGACCAACCCAGCAGGCGTTACCGAGATCTGCAATTTTGACCGAGATGATTTCTCCCAAGGGCTCATCTTCATGTTTGGCCGCTTTAAGAACCTTTTCTGCCTCGGTTGGTTTCTTGCTGTCGAGAGAAACACCGGCCAAATCCTTCTCGAGCGGGTCTGTCGTAGCTTCCCTTGCCTTCCCGGATGCGGAACTCTCGTCACTGTGCGATTTTGTCTTCAGTTTCAGTTGCTCGAGCATTGACAAGCCTTCCAATTGCTTATTTGCCGATCCTGTCAAGACTTGGTTCAAACTACTAGGTTGATGTTGATGAGTACTGGCGACTTTGTCTAGATTGGTGAAGCTGGCATTGAGCGGGCTGGGTAAAGGTTGACTTCCTGTGATGAGGGTTCGTCTTCTCCGGCGACCATTTCGATTGTCGTCTTTATTCGAATCCTTCTCGTCCTTGACAAAAGCCTTGACAATCTGCTCGACATCGCCAATCTCGATCAAGACGTTTTCGGGTTTGAGATCGGTATGGATGATACCACATTCGCGATGTAGATAGTCCAAGCCGAGAAGGACTTGTTTGGTAATTTGTTTGACTAGAGGCATCGGAATGCCTCGATGATTCCACCTTTTGATCAAGCCTAGAAGATTTTCGCCCAAAACTTCAAAGACCATACACACATGGACACCATTGGGTCCTTTGTGCTCGAAGGAATCGAGGAGGCTGACGACGTATCTCCTGCCAGGGTGATTCGGATTGGCTTGGACGACTTTGTTCAGCAATTTGATTTCATCAATGGCGGTTTCGGTGTAATGCGCAGCTGATCGGACGACTTTGAGGGCGACATGTTTACCGGTGGAGGTATCTCTGGAGAGCCAGACAGTGGAAAAATGACCCCAACCGAGTTTTCTCACGACAATGTACTTTCCGTTGTTATAGGTTTCGCCGACGTGCACAGGGTGGTAACCACCCTTGCAGTAGTCTTCGGAGTCTTCCTCGTCAGCCGTGGTTTCGGCGGGGTCTTCGTCGGATGTGGAGGAGGAGGGAGATCTGTCAAGACGTGAGTTATGAGAAGGGAGTTTGCTGTGAGGTAAAGGAGAATCCATGGCTCTGAGGTGGGAGGCTGATCAGTTTTTGAGGTAGCTTGCGATCACAGATGCTCATCGAGCGCGTACGCATGTTGCATTTGGAGGGGGGAGTGGGATGAAGATAAGTGAAGACAAGAACGAGGATGGCAGTGACTTACTCGGGATCTGCTTGAGTCGGAGAATCGTGAAGGCTGGATGAGGCATTGTCGGTGGTGATGATGGGTTTGAGGTTATCGCCTTTCCTCCTCTTCTTCTGGCCGTTGCTGTTGGCAGCGAGGGCGGCCGTGGTCGCAACCTTCTTTGCTTGATTTATGGCGGCCTTCTTGAGATCGGAGCCATTCATCATGGCGAAGACGGCAGCGTTGGCGGCCAACAATGTGGGCGTTGGAGGTGCGACTGGTCCCTTTGCAGGGCCAGCTTCCGATCTGGGAGGAATTGTGGAAGGTGGTGGTGGGATGGGTTTGGGAGGGTACGAGTAGTGTAGATCAGGAAGAGGAAGGCCGGTGGATAGACCTGACCTGACCTGACCTGAACTGGGCGTCGCTAGCCTGCGCCTGAACGCGAGCCTGAAAGTGAACCCTGGGGCGTGAACTGGGTGATTATGGGTAGGTCGCAGGTAGAGGGTAGTAGGATGTAGTCTTGGGCCGGCTCTTACTCCTGCTGCGGCTAGAGGAGAGAGCAATAGGCCTGGTCAGATCGGCAGCGATTAGGGCCTGGGGAAGTCATTGATTAGGGATGGTTCCCAGCAATAATAATAGCGGTGGGGGGAGGACAAGGGAGCAACGGCGGACCTTGTTAGGTAGGGGCTTGGGCCTGGCGCCTGGCGCCTGGGAGGAATTGGGCTTAGGCTTGCTATTATGAGTAGACAATAATATTCCCCAAGGCAAAATGGATGGACTGTCGGTATCCTTCTTTTTGATGGTCACGGAGAACCGTCTATTACACTGCATTAACAGGAGAATGATACAGTACGGAGTGGCATTTGTGGCTCCGGCAGAGCAGGGAGGAAACAGAGGCACACGAGGCGAGGCCTAGTTAGAGACTTAGTCAGGGCTCTGGTTCTGAATCCTGATGAGTCGATGAACTGGCAGTGCGAATTTCAAGGGTACTCCGTAATGTGATGAGGGCAGACCGTGGTGTTGATCAACCGCCGTGATTCGTGGGGACAGTGGCCCAATTTACCCAACCAGCGTTTAAAGATAAGTTCGGTAGTCGCACGAGGTACAGGATTTTGGTGTTCGAAGGACAGAGGTGGATGGATTGGCAGTGGTGGCTCAAGAGTCAATACACACGAACACAGCCGGGCGGAGGAAGATATGATAATATAGCAAACACCCTGCTACCAGGTACCTTATGTAACTTGAGTCTTCAAAGGCAAAACAGTGACCCGTTCATCCAGTCATTACCAGCACCAGCAATCGGGGAGAAGTGACAAAAAGTGTGATGATCAATCCGGATGGCGGCTGTTTTGGTGTGTTTTGGTGGGGTGGTAGTTCTGTCTTGTGGAAGTGGGTTGTAGATAGAGAAATCGAGACATCAATATCGCCTCAGTGATCGTTGTTTCTCCCTCTCGACGTATCTATAGCCCGTCCGCATTAACCTCAGTACTGCCAGTGGTTCAGTTGACCGCTCATTCCATCAAAACAGTCGTGTACATCTGAGTATTCATCCAGATGATTCCGTGCACTGACCCTCCGACGTCGCCTCTGCACGGATAATAAAGTTGGTCTCTATGACGCCACCTGCGCAATCACTGTCGATTACCTTTGGGTGTTTCCATCACCAAAACATGGTGAGCACTCCCATTGCCCGGAGGCCATTGGGCATCAGGACCCCAGGCCGCTCTCGCGTCGCTTCGGCTACAGGGAAAGGGATTAACTATCAACCGAGTCAAACAAAACACCGCGTTCATGTACTGGCGAGTCGTACCCCCTTCCTATTCAACATATTTAAATAACACACTATTTTAATATATTCTCAAGTGCTGCATGCCTATCTGCATGCTGCAACAATATTTGTATTGTCCTGCATTTTATGTTGTTCTGTGCGGATTGTGCGAGCCCTAGCCGACCACAATGACGTCCTTCCTGCAACGCTTTTTATTGTTTCGGTGACACTGCATGAACAGACAGCTCACGCATCTCAACATCTCGTGCAGGGATACCTGGATTGAGCAAGTTCTCGGGTGTGGGTTGAAACATCATCGGCAACACTCCGTGTTCTGGCTGAAGCTCAGCCGCCAAAATGGCCTTCCTCTCTCCGCCAGACTCCCCGTTCGCTCCGCCGTCATTCCTCTTCACCCTCATCTACCACCCCGTCACCTCGCTATTCACCTTTATCCATTACCTCTCGCTCACCCTACGCGGCGCACCCTACAAACCACCCAAGAACAAAATCCCCATCCGCGTTGTCTGCCTGTCCGACAGCCACAGCAAGATCCCTTCCACACCGATCCCGCGCGGCGATCTACTCATCCACGCGGGCGACCTGACCAACAACGGCAGCTTAGCGTCCATCCAGCAGAGCATTGACTGGCTCAAGACGCTGCAAAAGCCCTGGCCAGGCTCCGCCGACGGCTTCCGACACATCGTGGTCGTCGCTGGCAACCATGACAGCTACTTCGACGAGCGCAGCCGTACTCCCCACGACCTACGCTATCCGAAGCGCAAGCTTGACTGGGGCCGCATCCACTACCTCCAACACTCATCCATCTCTCTGCCCTTCCCCGACGACCGAGTTCTCAAAGTCTACGGCGCACCACAGATCCCCAAGGTCGGTGGCAAGGAACACGCATTCCAGTACCCGCGCGGGCAAGATGCCTGGTCTAACACCATCCCGGACGACGTCGATGTTCTCGTCACCCACAACCCACCCAAATGGCACCTTGATCTCGCACAGAACGGCGGCATGGGTGACGAGCACGAGCTGAAAGAGGTCTGGCGCGTGAAACCAACCGTACACGCCTTTGGCCACGTCCATTCCGGCCACGGCTCGGAATCCGTCTGGTGGGACGACGGCCAGCGCCTGTTCGAGGACTTTCTCGCAAAGGCATACAGCAAGCCCGCCGCGACCGTCGAGAGCCACAGGCTCCCCCTGAGCGAACTCTTTGACATACCCCTCTGGCTACTCGGCTTTAGATCCCTGACCGCAGACGCGAGAGGCCTCCTGTGGACCTACCTCTGGGGCGGCGCCAGGCAAGGCGGATACATGGTCAACGGTGCCTTGACATACCAGACCACAGAATACCTACGGAACAAGCCCCGTGTCGTGGTTCTGTAGTCAGTCCGCCAAGCCACGAAAAAGATTCAGATTCAGAAACGCCCCAGTGTTCAGCTAAACCAGTTGTAGAGACATGACAGGCCCCTATAGCAGCAGAGCATTCCTCACGAGACCAGAAAAGGGCAACGTCACCATGCCCACGGCCACCCAAAAGGACTAACGTATGTAAACATCAAGAACTTCAAGCTTTAGCATAAATGGTAGTACAGAATCACTCTATAATGCGAGAAGGGATATATGCCCCCAGCAGCGCCAACGACTCAAGCCATATACCGACTAGATACGATATAGCAGATCTCTTTTTGAAAAGTGGGCAAGGAGACCATTTTGTAGGCTTGTGCGGCTCCAGTCGCACAACAAACGCCGAGCAACAAAGGATTGAAAAGGGAATGGTAACATCGGGATATGATTACTAGACCAAAACGAAAAGCAAAACGCCGTTGTTTTTATGTCCGCCTCCCTTGCTCCAGTACAGTACGTCGTCGTAGTAGCAGTTTCCAGAACTTCTCGGGCTTGATGGGGAGTAAACACAGAGAAATACACGTTCAATTCCAACTTTTTCACTGCTCCCCTGAGACTGAACCTCCTCCTACATTGTTTCAACCCGGCGCTTCTTTCGCTGTCTAGACAGCTCAAAGTGCAATCAATTCATCTCATTTCTGTGTTTGGTGATTTATCCAAGCATGTTTGAAGCGTATCCCCATTCCAATCGTTGTACCAGCCTTGCCTTGGCGAAGAAGGGGTTTTCAGGAGGTATCGTGGTTCAAAAGGAAATTCCGGGTTTAGTATGCTGGAACATTATTCAAAATGACATATCAAGTCTCCCAGTCTAGAGGGATCGACGAGATTGATACCCTTGGTAATACCCCATCCTGCCCTCCCAAGGCCTGCACCGTACATCAAAATCCAAAGCAAGGATCATATGCCTTCTCTAAATACACTCTTTCGTGTACTGATAGGGCTTGTATTCCCGTCTCCACTTCCAGTTGTATCGAGACTATCGTTTCCCTTGGTATGGCCGCCTTCGTGGGGTCTAGGGCTCACGCTCCTCAGACTTGGTGCTTCATTTTGATCGCCGAATGGATCGGATCCAAGGGTGCCTCTGGAGCGGCCTCGCTCGTTGTACCCGCTGGCGCCAAGGTAGTCGCTGCCCCCGCCAGCCTTACCTCCGCCATATGGCTCGTTGTGTACACCGGGGGTAGGCGCGAGGCCCAATTCCTGCTCCTCGTAGCCACTATAGCCAGCTCGATCGCCATAGGGGTCGTCATTGCCGACTCTGGTATCCCAAGCATCGTCCTCGAGACGTCTGCCCGTCCGACCACCACTGGCATACCCGCCCGCACTGTCAGCACCAGCTTCCTCATACGCACCCCGCGCAGTGCGCTTGTTGCCGAATTTGGCGAACTGTTCGCGGAACCATTCAATTGGGCCTGCGCGACGGGGTGCCGGGTAGTTCGAGGATCCCTGCGGTCGGAAGAATGGGATGTATGTCTTCCAGGACTTGAGGGATGGCGGGGTTATACCCTCGCGTCGAGCGCTTATTTGTGTGTAGGCCACCCATCCACCAACAGCAAATATGACAAGGAGAAAGAGGAGAAAGAAGAAAAGACCTAGAAAGCACAGTAAATGTTAGTTGGAGGTCTCAAGGGGTGATGTATTGTTGGCGCATCGGATCGTGGGAGAAGAACGTACCCCAGCCACGCATAATTGCGACGATGTGGTAGACAGACTATGCACAATTGCCCAGGAGAGCGTCGTCAATGGAATATCGATGCTTTAAAAGCAGAGTGACGGGAGCGAATTTCGTGGTAGGCCGTATTATGTGAAGCTTCAGCTGAAAAGTGCAAGTGCCAGAGCAATCTAGGTTCGCATGGTTGCCGCTTTCTAAAAAGGGCCTATGCTTTGTCTCAAAGCGGATATTCCGGGAGCCTTAGCTGGAAACTCCTAGGGTTGTAGCGCTTGGCCTGATTCAGATGAAGTAATGGCCGGTTGAGACGGAGTACTTAAGGTGAGGACGTATTTGCAAAGCAGGCAGGCAGAATGTAGTGCGCACTGGCGTGGGCAATGTCAATGACCGGCTTACAAGTGGAGGATGGGTTAAACGGTGGGTGGTGAGAGGGACGACATCATAGGTGAGACGTGGAACGCTTGGAAGAACCTCAAATACCCACTAGGAGTGACTAAGTTGCTGACGGCATTTCATCGACTCTCCCCGCCGTGTCCAAAAAGGGCATAGCCTAGGTTCTACGGAGGCCGGATAAAATCACGTGATTGACCGGCTCATTCGTACACGTGACGGCGGTCCTTCCAGTCACGTGTAGGAGAAATCCATCTCACCTTCTCCGTGGGGCGGCCCTCTACAGTGTCTGTCATTCTTGCACCACTGCTCAGCACACAAGTTCGACCACTCGTCTTCCATCAATCCCACTCCCCGCTAACCACTTGACTTCAACCCACCCTCCCTTTTCCACTGCGACAATCTTGCCATCAATGCAGATCAGTCTCCACAGCTCGTCTTCTTCGTCGAGTTCTATCCTCAAAGCGTCGATTTCCTTGTAGGTGACCTTCGGATCAGTGACGTGCTTTCCAGCCTGGTATGCAAGACCCAGTATACGCAAAATATCTTGGACGGGCTCAGGGCCAATGTGAAGAAGACGCAAAGACCCGTCTAAGGGCTTGGTGTCTGGAGATATCTGGAAATGTTCTTCCAGGTTTGAGACCAATGTCGTCAAGATGTAGGCGTGTTTGGAGCCCGGCAACTCTTCCCACTCATCACTCGTGTTTCTCCATTTGATCTTTCCAGTGTAAACGTGCACATTCTTGAGCAACTCTTCAGCCGCCATCCTAAATCTCTCTAGTCCGTGCTTTCGATATTCTGCAGTATCGCTCATAGCCACGAGACTGGCATGGAGTCCCCAACTGGCCACGACTGCACCATACATCACACTCTCAACGTCATCAGACTCGGCGAGCGATTCCCTACCTCGCCCTTCGTCGGTGACCAATTTTGAGCCAGGACTAAAGGTGGCCTGAAAGGACGGTAACGGTTTGGGCGTACCTGCGAATAGGACTTGAAGAGCATCTTGTGCCACTTTTGAACTCCATGCCAAAGCATTCGCAGTACCCATGGGGATCACCGCAATGACGGGCTTCATGAACACTGAAGGTCGTCTAACATCGTCGCTACTCCGGTTCAGATCTGTGGTGAGAGTATTGACAATGTCCACGACTCCTCCGTCTCCCGAAAGTAGGATGATGGTCTGTTTGACTCCCTGTGTAGCATTGGGAATGATTAATGATCGGCATAGCTCAATAACTGTCTGAGCAGAAGTTGTGGTGTGCGTTGAGTATTCAATGTGATGGTCGTCGAGAAGCGGTTTCAAGGTCTCGTCATAATACTCCTGAGCCTTGTGACGACCAGAGAGAACGGATACGATGACATGTATCTCTCGATCAGGCAGGAGGTGGGGTGGTAAACCGCCATATGATTTTAGAATCATGGCGGTCGAGATACTTTCTATGATCTGGGACAAGTAATAGTGGGGTTCACGGGATAGCCAGTGAGAAGGTGTCCTGTGGCGTTCGATCTAGAAATTGATGAGGAGAAAATCCAGAATCGACCTGAATGCCTAGTGCCAAAAGAATGAAGCACCCAAGTCCAAAGAAGCATCGGTTGTGGGAGGAGCAAGCTGGATTGTCGTTTGATATCACCACAACCTCCTACGGCAAGAAGTGTTGAACTTGATTTTACAAATCAGGATTGAGCATCCAACTATTTATGTCATCAATGGATGCCTTATCAACAGTGCACAATCATCGCAAAATTGTCGTGAGCTCGGATGGATCATGGCCTTGTTCCTCATTCATGATCGTGAGTACGCTGTATGACTGAACACTGACTATTGGACTCCACCAACCTAAGGCTGCACCAGCTTTTAGAACGGCATGCAGTCTTCCTGAGGCTAGCGGCAAGTCCTTTTTGCTTAGCAACGAAGCGAGAGCGTTACAGTAGTCGTTAGGTCATCTCGATCCTTGGGAAAACCTACCCAGATTTAAGTCACCTGATGACTTCTGTTGGTGACTCGACTCTGGAGAACTCGTACGGAGTGTAGTCGTAGGAGCACGAGTACAATGTATAGACGCAATGTCTACTTAGGCTCGGGACGATTCGTGCATCTTAACCACATCAATTGGCCCGTTCCTGTGATTAACTCCGGGCTAATTAGAGGGTTATTTCCAGCATACTAATTGCTATCTAAGGTAGGGAAAGTTCGACCTGTCCACGCTTTTGGCTGGGCTACCATGCTTCTCGCCGTCGGTCTATGCAGCGCTCTTGATCTACATTCTTCAACAACGTCTCCAAGCATCAATTGATGGCCAGCGAATCTGCGTTGGTCGGAAACCAAACTTTGGCCGCATGCCTTGCCGGCGGTCAGCCCTACCAGCTCGCCACTAAAGCTTTTCTAGACTCCTTGGAGCTATCGGACAGTGTGCTCCGAGAAAAACTTAGGTTCGTCTTCGAATACGCCATTCATGTCGTCTTCTATGTCTTGGTAGCCTTTGCCGGCCCTGGCCCACAATCTCGTCCAGGCTGTGCTGAAAGCACTGTGCCCACGGAAGCGCAGCGTCAGAAGCAGTGAACTCCTCGAAAACCAACGTGAGCCTCGTCTATCCGTCTTGAGACATTGCCAGGGGAGGCACTGTTATGGAAACCTCGGAACCGGGCATGAAACGACAGTTGATAGAGGTCCAAGGGGCTAGACAAGGGGAGTTGATGGATCATCAGGACTTAGGGCACATACAATTTGATATGCCGCTTCGGCGCCAAGGCCTTGGCACTGAGTGCATCATGATGGCTGCAGCTTACGCAAAGCACGCCCCTTCTACCAAGTATCGAACACTGCCATACCGAGAGCATCGCCGTACGGCTACTACTGGAGCAGCTGACGCGATAATTTTCATGAAAGAAAGCGAGGCGGGCATCCAAGCAATGTGTGAGATTGCTTTAATCGCTCGTCGAATTTGAATTTCGCAGTCAGATCTCGCCTCCAACTCGGCGATCGGGCTCCAAGCCAGATCTTGCCCGATCCAGCGTGTTGCATGCATTTCGTGTAGCCTCATGCTGTACTATGAATTCCCAATCGTAAAAGTCAAGGAAATTCGGTTGTCTGTGCCACTCTATTACTGTCCTCAGACCCTTACCGGGGTTTGTTCGTGGATTTGTCCGGATCCCCATAATTACTTTTGACTCAATAATTAGTGTTTCCAAGATGCGGGGTCAGCGCCTGGACACCGAGTACCCTTACGAAGGCCGACTCGTTTGGTGCCTCCTTACGAAGAGCATCCCTCTATCCACATCCATCTTACGAACAGCTCTATGGGCCCAAGAGACCCAACTGTGGGTAAGTTGTTATTACGAACAATCCATGTCTGTCTATGTAAATGACATGTATTTTTGATCCTCTCATTACCGCTTCAGGCCTCCATCTGCCCCATCTGCTATTTGATATCACGAAAAATGTCACGCTGATCAAGCAGTATGTCCGATCAGGCAGTATGTCTGATCAATCCTCCAGAATCCGGCCGATCAACAGGGGTCATCCAGATTCCTTGAGCGGCCACATCGACTGGTCTGGAAATTTCTGTTGAACCCGTGTTACTGTATCCGCTTCGAGTTTACGCAAACATTTTCCAACCTGCACGTTGGCTGATGGGCCGAGGGTTAACCTACCTAAGCAGACCCCGCTCCCCTGGGCGAAGGCATGGCCACGTCTAAACCAAATGCTGGTACCTTCACGTCAGGCTCAGGCCATGTCCTCCCTTTTTGCGTATCGGAAACTTATAAGAGGGCCCAGCGTTCCATGTTCTGAGCCTGAGCCCTTGTCCCATTGACCTTTCCACGCCTTGATTTTCGGGTGTACTATTTCTTAACAGGTTTTCAAAATGGCTGCTACCAATGGTGTGAACGGCACTCATAAGACAGCTCATGTGTCGGTAGACGAGTTCTTACAACAGAGCTACGACTACGTCATCTGTGGTGGAGGTACAGCAGGTTTAACGATTGCTGCCCGCTTGACGGAAAACCCTGATATTACCGTCGGTGTGATCGAAGCGGGCAAGAACCGTCTTGGTGACCCGTTGGTTGATACGCCAGCTGCCTTTATCCACATGCTCGGCAACAAAGAGTATGACTGGGCCTACGACACGGTGCCTCAGGTATGAATCACAGAGACACCTGTCTCAAAGAAAGACAGATCTAACGTAGCGGCAGGTGGGCAACAAGAACAAAGTCCATCAGGTCCCTCGTGGAAAACTTCTCGGTAAGTGCTTTGCAAATTGCAACCCCAATAATCCCGATGTTCATGATGGGGTAAGGTTTACGTTGAACAATTACTTACATAAAACTTCTCAGGAGGTTCTAGTGGCATCAACTATATGATGTAAGTAAAACCTGGCCAATTCCCGTAAGCGTCCCTCGATTTGACACATGTACGTACAGGTATGTACGCGGATCCGACCAAGACTACGATGACTGGGCAGAACTGGCAAATGACAAAGGATGGTCTGCCGCGGAAATGAAGCAATACATGCGTAAACACCAGACATTGGAACCCATTGATCCGAAGGTTACAGATCGAACGGCTATGCCATTTGTCGGTGAAAACCATGGCACGAGTGGCCCAGTCAGAACCAGCTTCAATGACTCAAAGTTGCCTATCGAGGATGACATTATCAAGGCCGCTGATCAGGCCACGGGCTTTAGCAAGAAGCCAATCGACCCTTGGAGCGGAGATCACATCGGCTTCTACAACACACTTGGTGCAGTCATCCGTACAGGCCCTGACAAGGGCAAACGAAGTTATGCTGGACGAGGATATTTTCAAGCTAACCAAGACCGACCCAACCTGAGAGTCATTACCGAGTCATTAGTATCGCGTGTGGTGCTCGAGAATGCAACCGCTACGGGTGTCGAGTTCATCCACAATGGCCAGAAGCACACCGTCAAGGCCAAACGTGAAGTCATCGTCAGCGGTGGCACGATTAATTCACCACAGATCCTCGAGCTCTCTGGAATTGGTGACCCAGAAGTTCTCAAAGCAGCCGGCGTTGATGTCAAGGTCGACCTCCCCACAGTGGGGACAAACTACCAAGACCATGTCGTCGGTGGTACGATCTACCATCTGGCCCCAGGGCAGATCTCCGGGGACATCATCCACACTCCGGACGTGATGGCCGCCGCACAGAAACAACTGGCCGAGGAACAAGGAGGGCCGCTAACAGGAATCCAAGGCGTGCAGGGCTTCTTCCCCGTGTCCATGTTCTTGGAAGAGGGCGAGCTGGAGGAGATCGTGCAGAGCATCGAATCGACCAAGCCGGCGAGCGACTTCCAAAAGAAACAATGGGACCAAGTCATCGCGCACCTGCGGAGCCCGAAATCGGCCAACCTGCAACTGGTCTTCATCGGCGTGACAGGAGACTTCGAGAACGGCACGGCAGACCAGTCCAAACTGTGGCCTGCGCCAGCGAGCCCCGACCAACCCAACGGCATCACCTTCGCCATCTGCATGCAATACCCCGTCGCGCGCGGCACCATCCACATCAAGTCCGCCGACCCAGCGGAGCACCCAACCATCGACCCGAACTACCTCAACCACCCGGCCGACGTGGCCGTGATGGCCGCGGGCCTGAAATTCTGCGAGAAGCTCGTCAACGCGCCCGCCATGGAGGGCAAGACGAGCAAGCGCGTGCACCCACCGCCCGAGCGCTTCCCGCTGACCACCGTCCAGGAGCGCCGCGCCGCCGCGCAGGAGTACTGCATCGGCGAGTACCACTCGTGCGGCTCGTGCGCCATCGGCAGCACGGTCGACTCTAGACTGAAGGTCTACGGCGTGCAAGGGCTGAGAGTTGCTGATGCGAGTGTCTTTGCGAACAACGTCAGTGGCAACATCGTCAGCAGTGTCTATGCGGTAGCGGAGAAGGCGGCCGACCTCATCAAGCAGGATTGGGACTATGCCGCGCTGAATAAGGCCGCCAAGTGAGAGTGCCATAATTATGATCAGGTTCGGGACAGAGTCGGAAGAGGATTTCGAGATTTGATGAGCGAGCCAGCCTGCTTAAAGTTGAGCCTTATGTGTCGTGCGTTGGGTGTTTTGGGCGGAGGATATGTACGGACTACATTCATAAGAATGCTAGATGAGAGGCCGTGGTGTAGAGAATGTAACTAGTTTCGCTGTCTGCTCTCTGCTCTCTGCTCTCTGCTCTCTGCTCTCTGCTCTCTGCTCTCTGCTCTCTGCTCTCTGCCCACTTCTTTCCCTACTGCCGTGGCTTCATTCCCTCAACAGCGCTCGTGTTTGCGTTTTGTACCCCCAGAGCGTCTGGGAGCAGGAAAAGTGAGCGTTCACTGTACTTGGCCTGCGGAAGCATGCCAGAAATTTTTTCTCTGGGCCGCGTGCGAACCGAGAAGAGGAAGGCAGCGACTAGAGTTTCTATCATCTACCTTTTTGTCCGCGTTTTCCAGATACAGAATCTCTTGATTGGGTTTTATTTCCTTTTGCGTTGCGCCTATTCCCTAGGTAATGAATGCTTAGTCCCCTTGTGCAAGATGTGACCTTCCAATACCATGCTTAAATTTTTGTTGGTGTCAAGATCCTCGCGCTATATGGGCTAAAACAGAGAGAAAAAAGCAATTTGATTCAAGATTTAGTGTTGCGTTTGCGAATCTTCTCAATGCACCTTAACGGTTGTATTTCCGTCATTCCGGGCTTGAGCAGTGAGACAAGAGTGATATAAATGATGGTGATGGCCTGACAGGCGCCCCTGGGCCACGGCTCGATCGCCCGATTCCCCCCATCCCCCCTCTGTCGCGTGTCATCCGAGTAAGCGATTTGGTGAGTCTGGGATGACGAAATGGGCTCTCAGGGAGTTCATTATTAATGCTCCTGACATGGCGTAAACCCTTGTCTTGCTGTTCGTTTCGCAAGCAAACATCGGATTGACTTTGCAGCCCGACTAGTCAGATTACCGGGCTGTTAGCTTTATTCTGACCACACCCGATGGTCTAGATCACATGTGATGAGATGTGGTGTCGATTTGTCATAATTTTCTGGTGAAACCACTCTAGCTCCATCAGGGACGTGCGGTATCCTCGGAGAACGGTCTTGCTGCTGGACGAATGAAACAGGACTCTGCCTGCAGCTCGGTCTGTTAACGCTCTTCTGGATCTTGAAGTGGCCCTCGGAAATGGTACCTGTAGGTCGGACGTGGTGCGCGCCTATGTATCGAGGAGAAGTTGTCGGTCGCTTCCGCAAGCTCTGCAGTCGATGGTTGTGTTGATTAATGACTTGTCCTACAAGATGGATAAAGCGTTGTCCAGTGCACTTGTCCTCGCAAGAAGGTATCTGAACCCTAACCCTAAAGGCATGTCCAAGTGCCATTTGTACCACACAACAGGATATCGATTTTCTTCTTCAGACATCATCATCCCTCGTTGCTGCCTCTGGTGATGGGCTTAGGGCTAGCTGGTGGGAGGACGCCTTTTCTTTGTGTGCGTGGCGGATACATTCTCTTGATGCAGCCTTTCAAATCTGAACGCAACAAACAAGGACAGCTTTCACTGACTGTTTGACCACTTCTGCCTTTGGCATCTGCGATTACACTCTTCTTGCACATGCATTTTCCAGTGCGTAATCATGATATCTTGGTAAGAGGTCCGTCTTCTCGACTTTGCCCTGTGTACCAAATGTGAAATGCACTGCAAGCGCATCTGTTTCTACAGCCACGCTCTTCCCGAGCCTCTTGGGTAAATTAACGGTGAGCCACTCCTCGTCCACAGTATCCATGGGTAGATTGTCAAGGACATCATCTGCCATGATCGCAATAAAATTGATGCTCAACCGTCGATAATCTGTGATCCAAGCTTTGCCCATCTTGTACACATCAAGACGGTTATTGGCCAGATTCTCCAAGAAGGAGTAATGTTCCTGGGCGGCGATGGCCCATGATTTAAGACCTGTTCCCCATGTCTTGTATTCGATGTCAACGACCGGTGTGCGATGGAGGGCGGTGTTGTTTGGAATGCGTAGCCAACGATGACCGTCATATGGTGGATCTTGAAAAGGGTCAAAGAAGTAATCATCAGGTCCAGTCCAGGTCGGATATTGGTCGTATTGCCATGGCTTTCGAGCACTGGGATTGGGCAGCGAGTCAAGTAGCGGTGGCTCATACACGTCGAACTCTGGAAGATATGGATGCATTGCGCCCATATGATAATGCACCCAGCCCATTAATGGTGAGTTGATCACATTGGCGCTAACAGTGAGATACTCCGGGTGAGCAAGCTTCATACTAACGACGCGAGGAATGGCGTCATCGGCGAACCAGACAACATCATCGTCGATCTTGACATAGAGATTCCCACGCTCAAGCTTACCCCAAGCGTGACCATAGCCCTCAAAGCCAACGCCCTTGAGTTCAATGACCTTGTAGCGCGGAGACGAGTCAACAATCTCCTTGAGATAGGCCAGGTCGTCTTTCTTGCCCGTGTTCTTGACCCAGTGGATTTCGTCGAGCCAGCCTCCATTGTCAACTAAATTCCGCTAGATGGGAGTCAGACAATCAGTGCCTCAGAGATCTAGACTGGTAGCTTACTTCGAGAAAGCATCGCAAAATCTCCACGCGACTCTTCCTGCCAAAAAAGACGAAACCAATGATCTTGACCCCTTGGGGCTTGATGAATTCCTTCACCTGTAGGTCTTTAGAAAACCCGCTGTGGCCATCCGGAACTGGAAAAGCAAGCTCGCCGGAGTAATTTTGTCGATAGTGAGCAGCCGTCGCGATGATAGTAGCGAGAACAGCAAAACCAAGTACAGCCACCAACCAACGACGACGTGAAGAGCTGGGGTCAGAATGCAGGAGCGGGCCTGCCATGGCCAAACACGAGGTCGAAGGAGGACAAGGCGGAGAAGAAGGGAAGGAAGAGGCGACAAAGGCGTTGTCTTAGCACATGGCGCACTCAATAAGACTGGCTCAAGATCCCAATATTAAATGCTACAGGGAACCCATATTGCCTCCCCGAGGCTTCGCGATGTGAGGTGAATGTTGTGACTCTGGACTAATAGAAATGAAGAGAAAATGAGCGACGATTTCAAGAACAAACACAAGATTGGGGGGAGATCTCTCGACTCCACGAGCTAGTCAAGTCAAAAGGACGGACATAGCTTAGATGGGCAAAGGGCGCACGGGGGATGGAGAACGGACGAGGTGCGTACCTCTAAGGATCCCAAGGAGGGGGAAAGTCCCCTTTGCACGGCGTCTCTCCTCCAGATGGTACGGAGTGTCTTCAACTTCATGCTCTCTGTACTACTGTACTCGTAGTTGGGCACTTGGAGGGGCGTATCTCGCATCAGTTGCCTCATATGGGCGCTCGTCCAATGCCTGATGTTTGAGGGGGCATTTTGCACGCTCAACCTCACAACCGATCGTACTAGAGGTAACACCTAATTTTGAAAGAGGTGTTTAGAATGCCCGCCATTGGACGGTTGAAAGGCGATCTAAGCCTGATGTCTATCTAGACCCCTCGTGGGGCCGCTGACGGGTGCATCGGTCAGAAAGCTAGAGAGAAAGAGGAAATGCTAGGGGCGAGCGCGGGCGAGACGAGTTGGATGCGGCTCGGCGAATTAATTGCCAGGCGCCTAGATAAAGGTGGCAAATCACTGCAGGCATTGGCCAAGTAGAAGCAAGGCCAGGGGGAGTCCGAAACAGGGACCGAGTCTTCGAAATGCACATCACTGGCTCAATGAGACAGATAGAGAATTGTCTGTTCTTTCGGTCTGTAGTCTGCCTCGCGGGAGGCTGTGATTCTAGAAAGTCTGCGGCCATCTTCGGATGATGCGGAGTCATTCGTGCTTCTGGGAGACCTGTCACGTTTTTGTCGACGTTGCTTGGCAGTCTTGGCATATTTATCCCGTTCTCTGGGTCTGGGCATGTTTGCTTGCCACAGCTGAACTCCATGTTCCACTCAAAGTCAATACTCAACTTTCCTCAGTTGCATTTGAATGCAGACTGGACTATCCGCAAACGACCGAGTCTGTTCTGAGATATTTGATGTACATGGGTATTCATGTACTTATGTATTCTTTATCCACGCACCAAACAATTCCCACCCATCTAGCATTGGATAAATCATGCTCAGAACTGGAATCGATGGTGACAATAATGCCCGAGAAGCTCGCCATCGTCATGATGCAGCATTCTGGCTTCTTTCATGCTCCAATTACCAGCCCAGATACTCACCTGTAAGCATAGCGGGCGGGCTCAAAGCGAAGAGGCTTTGTATATTTTCTCTCATCGTCTGTTAAGATCTTGACTGTTTGTGCGAGATTATTCCACTGCACTGCCACCTCTCCAACAAGATTCCCTTTGTCTGTCCTACCATCTGTAATTTCCACTCCCATGAACACGGCTTATCCAGTTCAGCGCGAAATCGGTCCTTTGTGTCTACAACCAATTCTAGCACAATGAATCTACACAGTGCCAATATTAATATCCCAGTCAGGGCCATGGATCTCCAGGCTCTCCAGGTTCATCATCTACACCGAGCGATTGGCCGAGACACTCGTTTCTCTATCTGCTCTACTTGCAATTCCACCACAAGGCTACCCCAGAGTCTCAAACATGCGTTCGCTTACCGTCTTTCTCTATGCCCTGGTCCTTCTGGCCCTTGGCGCTCACTCGACCCCTGATCGTGCGAACCACCAGGGAGGACAAGACAGCAGCTGCGATGAGAGCAGCAAGGTCCAGGGCGTAACCGGAGGGGTTGGCTCCAGCAGCTCGCATTCATCTATCGCCACCACTACCACCACCGCACCACCCAAGACTGCTTCTTCAAAGGCGTCCAGCGCCACATCATCTGTGTCTAAGTCCAGAACTTACACGACTACTGTCACGTCGACCAAAACCAACACGGTGACAGTCAGAGCCACAGCTGGGTCATGTGGCTTGAGCAGTGCTACCACGGGTCTTCCACTTACCACGTCTGCTGTCGTCCCTACCTACAACAACACGACGGTGGCGTTGAACACGACTACCTCGACTATGCATCTCACCAACGTGACCTATTCCAGACACTCAGCCACCTCTGCCCCCAATGCTACAGTCCCCAAGCCGACCATTAGCCCCACGATCTCGGGCTTCCAGGGCGTGGCAGCCGGCCTTTCCAGTCAATCTCCTGCGTCAGTATTTTCTTTGGGGTGCTTGGTATTTATGGCGGCCTTGTTGGTCTAGTCACAAAGATCGGATGATGGGGGGTTGACATTGGAAGTGGTTCATGGTCTCCAATGGCAAAGCGGACTTGTGGGCCGTTGGAAGGGTGTGTGAAGCTTAGACGGGTTTCCTATGTTGGTAATGGATATTGATCAGGTATTGTTGGTGGTGGGGCGAGGGTTTCAGCTGTGGAAAACAATAGACAGGTTATGCTCAGAAGAATAGCCTATTTTCCCATGCCTTTCCGGACGTGTGTACGTGATGTCTGGAGCAACATTGATGAATCATCCGTACGCTGATGACTGAAGCAGAGCGTCTGGAGTAAGCGGCCATAATCAGACGTTGGCGTCTTGTGCAGCGCAGCGGGGCAATCCATCCCAATCCCGATCCTGAGGACCCTGAGCCCGTCGAGCTTGTCTCATTCTCAACAGCGTGCCACACAGTACTCCGTACTACAGTACAGTGTACACACACTCCCACTCCACCCAAGCGAATTATCGCACCAGAACCTCCGCGGCCCAGACGGCAACCCCTGCAAGACAACGTGAATCCAATTCTGCATCATCTCATACGTAATTCTTGCTCGTCACTTCTGCCCCTCCATCCACCACCGCTTTCACAACAAACCTTTGACGGAGAAAAAAGAAGCTGTCCACCACTGCTTTTCTCAGCTTCAAACACAACCCACTCCATCCTTGGGCCCTACACTTGGTCCTCAATCTCTTTTCTTCAGAAAAAAAAATATATATATATTGAGATTCTTTAGATTGTAAGTTGTTAGGAAAAATCTTGGTCTGGGCTTGTCGAGTCCGACTGTGCCGTGACTTCCTGCGTTTCACCACCTCTCGCCCACTTCAGGTCACTGTCCTTCATTTCCATTTCCATTTCCATTTCCATTATATACCTACTCGCAGAATCTCTCTGTCTCTGTTGCATTTCCTCACTTTTCATCTTTGTCTTCCCCCACAGCTGATTGAAGATACAGAACCAGGTCCCTTTTACCCTCCAACAGAACCTGCGCACTTCCACACAAGATGCCTGATTTCGGACAAGCTACCGATCTCAAAGCATGGTCGGCCCTTGTTGACCATCACAACGCCGTCGGCCGCAATATTGTTCTCAAGGAAGCATTCGAGAAGGACCCACAGAGATTTGAGAAGTTCAAAAGAGTCTTCAAAAATCCTGTCGACAATTCAGAGATCCTCTTCGACTTCTCCAAGAACTTCGTCACCGAGGAGACTATTGATCTCCTTGTCAACCTTGCAACAGAGGCTGAGCTCGAGAAGAAGCGAGATGCCCTCTTCGCTGGCGAGAAAGTTAACTTCACTGAGCACCGAGCTGTCTTCCACCCTGCTCTCCGAAATGTGACAAATGAGCCCATGGCCGTTGAAGGCAAGAGTGTTGTGGAGGAGACCAACTCTGTCCTAGATCATATCAAAGAATTCACAGAGCAAGTCCGCAGTGGAACATGGAAGGGCTACACTGGCAAGAAGATCGCCACCATTGTCAACATCGGCATTGGTGGATCTGATCTGTAAGTTGTTATCCCAGCCCCGCCTCTTTCATATCCTGACCTCTCTAGTGGCCCTGTCATGGTCTCCGAAGCTCTCAAGTATTATGGAGACAGAAGTTTGAAGCTTCATTTTGTCTCCAACATTGATGGCACCCATATCGCCGAGGCCCTCCGAGATTCTGACCCCGAGACAACCCTGTTCCTCATCGCCTCCAAGACCTTTACCACAGCCGAAACCGTAACCAATGCCAACACTGCCAAGTCGTGGTTCCTCAAATCAGCAAAAGAGCAGGACATTGCCAAACACTTTGTTGCGCTCTCGACAAATGCTGAAGAGGTGGCCAAGTTTGGCATTGACACCAAGAACATGTTCGGCTTCGAGAGCTGGGTTGGTGGAAGATACTCAGTCTGGTCCGCCATTGGATTGTCAGTGGCTCTCTATATTGGCTATGACAACTTCCACCAGTTCTTGTCCGGTGCCCACGCTGTTGATGAGCACTTCCGAAAAACCCCTCTCAAGGAGAACATCCCCGTCATTGGTGGTCTCCTGAGTGTCTGGTACTCCGACTTCTTTGGTGCCCAAACCCACCTTGTCGCTCCATTTGACCAATATCTCCACCGCTTCCCAGCCTACCTGCAACAATTGACCATGGAGTCCAACGGGAAGGCAGTCACCCGCACCGGCGAATATGTCAAATACACCACCGGTGCCATCTTCTTCGGCGAGCCCGCCACGAATGCTCAGCACTCATTCTTCCAGCTGTTGCATCAAGGCACCAAGCTCATCCCAACCGATTTCATCCTCGCGGCCAACTCTCACAACCCCGTTGAGGGAGGAGTGCACCAGAGAATGCTGGCTTCCAACTTCCTCGCCCAAGCTGAAGCCCTTGCCATCGGCAAGTCTCCCGAAGAGGTCAAAGCCGAAGGTACCCCTGAAGAGCTCGTCCCCCACAAGACCTTCCTCGGAAACCGACCTACCACCAACATCTTGGCCGACAAGATCACCCCTGCCACACTGGGTGCCCTTATTGCTTACTACGAATGGCTGGTCTTTACCGAAGGTATTGTCTGGAACATCAACAGCTTCGACCAGTGGGGCGTGGAACTCGGCAAGGTCCTGGCCAAGAAGATCCAGAAAGAACTCGAGACCGAAGGTGCAGGCGCAGGCCACGATTCCTCAACTTCCGGATTGATCGCCGCTTTCAAGGCCAAGGGCGGCTTGAAGTGAAAGGTTCCCCCTAGAGGAGCTGTGATACATATGCCGCAAGCACTGTTTTCCTCGCAAACACCAAATACCATGCATGATTTGCAGAGTCGTGGCGTGAGCGCGTGGTAGATATCAACACAGTAAAACAATGATGGAGGAGCCCTTTAGCTACCTTTTGCCCAGCCAGCAACGATCACTGTACGTGCTATTCTTAGCCCCCAGGTCCAACTATGACTTCGACATGATATGAAGGACAAAAAGCAATACAAATTTTCAGCCACTTTTGTGATTCCCTGTTACCTCTTCGCCGAGACGCATTCTTAAACTAGAAAGAATGCCGCTTTGATCTGCACCAGCCCAGGCGCCCGTTGCTAGAGGATACTCCCACATGCCGATCGCTGCGCCCTCCCCAACGACGAGAGGGATTAGATATATCAGTTCTTGTAGCCCTATCCGAAACGCCTCGTTTACGCTCCTGTCAAGACGGGTTTCAACGGAAGCAAACATGGTGCTGTGCTGGTGCTCTCTACCACGGGTGGTTTGGGACAGTAACACTGGGTCGCACCTGGGTTGCCCCCAGGGGACCTCGAACGGTATAGAACTCTAGATAGCTTGTAGCAAAATAAACCCAGCCTTTTCTTTCATAAGAGACATTCTGGCTTGTATATGTATACAAGCGAGGCAAAGAGAGGGTGGGTTGAACTTTTCAAATTGGTATTTCATTGTCTAATAGTATCCACCCTCATATACATGGCTACCCATGTCGAGTGTTTGCGAAACCAAACAAGGTCATGGACCGGGGAGGATGGGGACTGGAGCAAAAAGAAGGCGAGTGACGTTCCCGCATGCCCGCGACCCTTTTTGGGGCACCCGAGGGCAAACTTACTGTATGGATGTTGAGAAACTGCGTTGGTCTTGGGATCGTCATCATAACCACATGGGCAGTCACAGCCACAATCATGCCTTGATCGCACCGCCCAAAGCGCCACCACTGAATTGTTGGTTGCCAGGCCTTCTCCCGCCGGCTTGTCCGCGAGGAATGCCGCCCGGAATGCCACCTCCTCGGCCGCCTCGTCCACCTCTACCTCCACGTTGTCCCTGGTCTCGCTGGAAGGCATTTGCCATACCTGCCGTCCGGGTCTCGAGGACCTTCTCATTCGACTCGAGGATGCCCATGGCCTTCTCGGACACGGTGATGGCTTGGCTTTGCAGGCGAGATAGTTCGACGCCCTTGCGGAACACTATTGCGTCGTTAACCTGGTCCAGCGCCGCGGCGAGCTCCTCGTGTGAGATCATTTTCGACACTACAGCTGCAATCTGCTTGGCGTCGAGCTCGAACATGCCAGAGAGCGTCGTGAGGGAGAGTGTGTCGTAGTATGGGGCGTAGGTGAAAAGGTATGTCCGCAGCCCTTCTTCTTGGATTTGCGCTGAGAGCATCTCCTTGACCTTGTCCTTATCACTGCCTAGTAGATCCCAGATGGCAATCTTGCTGATTAGTTCCTGGCATTTCTTCCAGTCACCCTGGGCAAGTGCTTTAGCTGCCTGCATCACATGATCCCGGGTGTTCTCAGGTGGGCCTTGGAACACTTGTCGCTCAGTGTATTCGAGCATCCTCCGGAAGGTTTTGGAAATGACCCTCTTGCGGACGTCGGGAGACGAGCCAGTCTGTGCCAACAGAGGAATTTCGAGCAGCATACTGCAAGTGAGATAGACACATTCGAGGAGTTCGAGATTGATGTGCATGTGGAAAGGCAATTGTCGTTGACGCTCGAGACGCTCTTGCTCGGGGGTCACCGTTGCGTATCTCTGAAGAATCACGCCTTGGGCGAGAAGCTCCTTTTGGCGACCAGAGCCGCAGATCTCTTGCAGGACGCCCTGAGCTTCGTAACAGAGACCAGCTCTGAAAGCGCACAAGCCGATTTGAACCAGAGTTCGATTGAAAAGGATTTGAGTGCTGACATCGAAAGAAGAGATGTTCTCCGTCAAGTGACTCATCAGTGCCAAATCGCGAGACTTGTAGTAGTCGTCTTGTAATGCGAGGAAGTAGATCTGGCAAAGCATGGCACGGGCTCGGATAATACCTTCGCTCATCTCAAACAGGTGGTTGCAGAGTTTCTGCACAAGTGATGCAACCTCCGTATATTCGCCTCGAGGAGTGAGCTCGGAATTAAGGTTGGATGGTAGCGCCGCCCAGGCCCTCTCCTCAAGGATTTTGACGACCTGCGTAGGCTTGAAGTACAGATGTTCCAATCGCCTGATGGTGGTTCGGTTGATATTATCTTGCCGGGTTTCCGACTTCTCAAGCTTCTTGTTGACGTTTTCGATGTAGATGAGGGTTCGGACGATATCAGTGTAGAGAAGCTGTTCATCACCAAGTCTCTCAATGTACTCGGCTGTATGGGGGTCAGTCTGCTGGAGGGAGCGTGTCAACTCATCATCGAGACGTTCTGCAAGCGAAACAACACTGCCGGGAATCTTGAAGGTCTCAGTCGGGCCGGGATTGGGCGATTTCTCATCATCTTCCCATTCATCCGCGGCCTCTGTGACGATGTAGGTAGGCTCGTCTTCCAAAGTCTGCAGAAGAGAGGAAAATTCCCGCTCGGCAGCACGCCACGACTCTTGAGACATGTAGTTCTGGACAGAAGTAGTGGTGACATCAAATCTGGTCGAAATAAGCGTTAAGAGGACACGGATTCTTTGGTAGGGAGTATTGGCCACCTCCAAGAGTCGCTCCATGATTCGAATTTGTTCGGTACGGTCAGTGTTCTTCTTGCCACGAGATTCGATGATCGTTCGAAGATGCTTAAGAATGCTCTCAGGGGTGTAGACAAGTGTTTTGCCTCCACGCCCGACGGTAGCAAAGCCTTCTTCGTCGATCGCGGCCTCCAGATCATCTAGGCGCTGCACTCTACTTTTTCTGACTCTCTGTTCAACCTCTTGCGGCTCATCGTCCTCGTCCGATTCCATGTACTCATCTTTGTTTTCTCGATACTTCTCAACCTCGACTGTGTAGTCCTTGTTGTTCTTTCGGATCTTTTGCTTCATGGCATTAAAACCTTTTGCATTGATTGGGTTCATCTTCTTGCCACCTGTCTTTTGTTTCTCACTGGTTTCGTTGATTAAATCCTCAAGGTCGGCAATCATTTTGATGTAGACTTTAGGAGCAGTGCCCTGCTGGAGAACTTTCACGACTTGTCGATTCATTTTGTCAAATTCTGAACACCGGTTAGATGGGTTTTTTTTTTAGTTTCCCAATGTTTGGAACACCAACCTGTAGAGATAACAGCCCAGTCATTAATCTTCTCAGCATTTTCGATCAACTTAACAGTGCCTTCCAATTCCTCGAATCGTTTGTCCTTTGCACTCTTGACGACTCGATCTCGGTCTTCATCCTCGCTGTCGTCGCTGTCCTCAGCGCCACCGCCGCCAGAGGGCTTTAAGAATCGGCTCGCACCAACTCCGTGGCCTTCATCTTCAGAAGATTCTTCATCAGAGTCCTCCTCTTCTTCCTCCTCCTCCTCAGATTCTTCGGATTCTGCTTCACGGTCGCCGTAGAGTTCCTCCTCGTCAGAGGAACTAGACTCGCTGTCGCTGTCTCCGCCGTGAAAGAAACGAGAAGACATTTTGGCTAACTAGTCTATGATGGGTGTGTAGCCGTGCCGCACAGTGGGATGTGGTTGTGTGTCGAGACAGCGGCATCAAAACTCTGTGTGATTTCGCCGCCTGGCCGCAGCTTGGTGGGTCTCTGTCAAAGGTTGCCAAGACTTGAAATTGTCACGTGAGTATTTCATCACATGACATTCCATTCGATACTGTCTTGGTTGAAGGTCACCAATTCTGCTACTCCGGGTCGTTCCCAACCATCACTACTTATAGTTCTTCGTAGATCTACTGCACTACTGTACGCCGTGCTCAGAGAGAGTTACTACGAAACAACAGCTTCCCGTGCATTATACAAATGACGCATTCGGGACTGGAGAGGCCATCATTGACGATTGCTGGTGGCATCATCCATTCATTCCGAAGTCATGCCCAGCTGCCTGTCACGCTTAGTTTCCTGCCACCTTGATCGTTGAGAACATAGTCCCTTTGTGAAGTTTTCAGTTCCTGATCGGCATCATGCATCAATCTTGCTCATAGCACTTAGAATTCGACTCCGAGCATTCAGGTCAATCTTCCGAACTCCACAATCAAAGTAGTTCCAGACTTCCTTTCGCCAACCGGAGATTCGTGAGATCCTCTAGAGTCATTTCCTATCGGCGGGCAGCCGGGGGTTTCCCTTGCAGCGTTGAATCAATTTACACCATGGGAGAACTGCGAGCACTGTTTTCAAGTCTGATCGGTGGCAGGTAAATTTTCGAGCGAGCCCCACAACGTAGCAACGCTCTGGATTGGCATTGCTTCGCTGCCTTGATAGCTTGTCTGCTGTATTTTCAAAGCCATGCTCCCTGAGCGAGATGTGGCCACTTCCCAGGCTCCAACAAAAAAATGGCTATTCGTAGCAGACGAAGTTCATCTCTTCGCGTTTGGTCAGAATGCTCCGCCCGTAATTGTGTTAATTCAAACTGTTCAATGCCATTGTGTCTTCGTCATAAAAGTATCACCCATGGCTCCATCCTCCAACGTTCGGATGAAGTCACGATTCCTTTGATTTCTGCTGCCACGTCGCCGTGCTGTGGAGGGAGAATCAACATAGCCATCTGCGGGAGGAGGATAGTACGCAGGGCTTGGCTGGAGCCTGATTGGAGCATTAGGATCAAGATGACTAGCAACACGCTGTATAGCCGCAGGAATCCCGGCCTGCTGTTGATCCATGGTTGAGGCACGTTGCCGTCCTGCTCTTTGAGTGGCTTGAGCATATAGACTTTGTTGGTGAGAATAGTGGGCGGGGTTGATCTGAGAATTTTGCTGAGCTATCATTCCCATCGGAGGAGCATAATTGTTTGCGTGCGTTGGATAGGGTGGAGGAGCTCCTTGCTGGTGGGCAGGATACATAGTATTGTACATTGGCGGAGCTTGCGACTGGGGGTAGGGACTCATTTGCATTGCGTACGCATTCTGAACGGCAGTTTGAGCTTGGGCTTGGGCCTGAGCCTGGGCAGCTTGGGCCTGAGCATGGGCGGCTTGTGCAGCACGTTGCTTGCTCAGAGCTTCTGCCTGCTGTTGTTGCTGCACACCGGGTGCAGGAGTCTTACTTGACGAAGGCGATTTGAGGTTCATTGGTGGAACAAATGGTTGTGTAAACTTTTGCTGCGTGATAAAAGGATGTAACTTCGCCTGTTGCGGAGACCATCGTTCCAAGGGGTTAATCATGAGGAGGCCCCGAACAAAATCAATGAAAGCAACGCGATTGTTCATTTCTGTCAACTGTCAGCATAGGCTCCAAAGAATGAGAATGATGCCATACCCCTTTCCACCTCTGCTTGCTTCATATTCTTTCGAGGCATGGAATAACTTCGAATGATTTCTGGTAGTGTCGTGGCCTGAAAATACTTTTTGCTTGGCTGCTCCTTCACGTTATGCTCGCGTGCGTACTGCTCCATGGTTTTCAAGCGATACGTTCGGCGGCCGAACTCGTCAGTGGTCTTCTCGAAAAACTCGCCCGATTGTTTTCCCATTTCCAACATCCATACGGGTGGCATTCCCAACATCTCAACAATGCGTGAAACTTGGTTGTATTCTGAAGAGCCTGGGAAAAGAGGGAGCCCAAGAAAGAGCTCCACCACGATGCAGCCAAGGGACCACATGTCGATCGCAGAAGAATAGGGCAACCCCAATAACACTTCTGGGGACCGATAGAAACGTGATTGGATGTAGGTGTACACGGTTTGCCGTTCATCACAGGCAGAACCGAAGTCAATGATCTTGATGATGGGACTTTCCAGGTTTTTCAGGAGAATATTTTCGGGTTTCAGATCACAATGAATCAGGCGTGCTTTGTTCAGCAGAGTGAGGCCATTGAGTAATTGCTGGGCGAAGACACGGACCAGGGTGGTGCTGAGGCCTCGGAACTGGTTCTGTTTGATCAACTCATACAGATTGACGCTTAGGAGCTCGAAAACGAGGCACAGATGCTGTCGATGAATAAAGGTGTCCTTCAGCCGTAGAAGATGATGATCGTCATTCTTGTCGAGTTTCTGGTTTAGGAGGTCGAGGACAGAGACTTCCATCATGCTTTGATTGAAATACGCAGTTCTGTTTTTGATCACTTTCACCGCTACGACCTCTTGGGTTCTTAGATTTTGGCATTTCACAACCTGACCAAAAGTACCTTGACCTAGAACATCAAGAATGAGATACCGATTTTTATGGCCAGCTTCCTCGCTTCCTAAAATATCGTTGACGTAGAGGATATAGTCGCTATCGTCGTTATCGTAGCCATCATTTTTTGTCCCTTTACTGGGCTTGGTGAGGACCCGCCTGGGGTTCCTGGATGACTCGTACTTAAAGTTGGGATTGCAAATCCTGTATGTGGCTGGTAGATAGGTTGTCAACGATTGTAACGGACTGATAAATCCACCTTCTGGATTGGCCCTGCGATAGAGTGGTTGTGCATTGACTCTGGGATTTAGTTCCTGCATGTTTTTGACCTTCTTGAATCTTGGAACCGGACCGAGCCCTTGCATTTGCGAATGTTGTCTTGACATTGGGGCTGGCCTCCCGTTTCCAGCACTCGGTGGATAGAAGGACTCGGGACTGAGCTCAGAATTCTGCGTCCCTGCTCCATAGTTGGAGGGGTATCTCGTTGGAGTCGGCGGTTCGCCATAACGGTCTGCTTGGTAACTGCTCTGTCGAGTGGGAGATTGTCGCGAAGAAGGCGCTTGGCTTAGATACGTGAAATTACTAGGATTCTGCGCTTTGGGACTCGTAGCATAGGCGGGGCCCGTGGGCTGAGTATTCATAGGAGAGTAGCGCTGTGCTGCCGAAGAGGCCTCGGGGAGGTACTGAGTGGAGAGACGGTGCTGATGGGCAGGGCGAGGAGGGTATTTTGTACGATTGTACGGGTCGGCATCTTCCATGGGCACATCCATTTCCCCGTTATGCTCATAGCCGTGCGGTTGGCTGGCTGAAGTCGAGTTCAAAGACATATTTTTTAGTCTGGTGATCCAGCGAAGGGGTTTTTGAAAAGGCAAGTCGCCGAGATGCAAACGAAACGAAAAGGTATTTCTCTCTTGGCGGGTGTTGTTGGTTGACTCGAGGCGAGTGAAGTGAGTTACGCGGATGCGCCCATCAAGTTAGGAACCACACCACTAACGCACAGCGATATTCGTAGTCCGATAACTCTGTTTCGTCGGAGTCCTGAAAACGGAGGAGCGTAACGTGGCTGGTGCTTGCCTTCAGAGGTGCTGGAAGGGTGGGTAGGAGGCTTCCGTAAGCGCAGTCGAGAAGGACTGAGAGAATAAGGGTGGAATTGCAGGCATGATAGGAGCAATCTAGAAGCTCAACATTGAGCCATGATGTGCAAACGCGAGGGTAATGTCGAAATAGATGCAAGTCGATCAACGGAGAGTAAAGGTCCAGAGGTTGGACGAAGTGAGCTTGCGTGGAACCTGGATATGATTGATCGCGGATCCGAAGGTCAGGCGGTGGAAGTAGTCGAAAAGGAACGAGATAACAAAAGTCGAAACGAACCAGAGAAGCCTCCAGGGGGTGGAAGCAGGCAGCAGAAAGATATGTGGTGAAGGCTGCTGTCGAGAAATAAAGGTGTTGTAGTGAAGATGAGAGGTCCCTTGGCTCAGGATGTGGGAGTGAGTAGTGAGTTGTAAGTTGTAACACCTGTGACTTGTTCACTCAATCCTCGTCAGTTAGAGATCCTACAGGCTACTAGTCAAGTTAGTGGAAGTTGGGCATTGAAGCGGCTACGGGAAAGCAGCCTGAGCCTGAGGCCTGAGGGTGGGCGTGCCTGGGTTCGCCAACAAAGAGAGGACTCGTACGATCAATTCGCTAGCGGATACTTCCAAACCCTGGGCGCCACTTTGGAAGGTGTCTTGTCCCCAGCACGCTTGGACTCTTTCCCCCGTGAGGTTCCTTCCAGGGGCCGAAAGCCAAAACATGCCCGAAAGACTCAGCTCTCACCAACACAGCCCACACCTACCTAAAGGTAGGTACGTAGGCTTGGTGCAAGGTCTGACTGTGGACGAGCCGGCATGTTCGCGGCTGTTTTAAGAGTAAGGGCCTTCTGTCAGACGATAACTTGGTGTTGTGCGGCTTTGTTCTCGATACGGCGGAGTAAATCACGGCTGAGCGTTGGTTGATAAGCCACTGCTACGGAGGAGTACTACTTTGTTTTAATACCAGGCGGGAGCCTGTTTCCTCACCAGCGGGCTTGCCAATCATGGCCTCGCGTTCAGATGACTACTAACTCTACTCGGTAGTTGTCACAAGTATTTCAGTTGTTTCCGAGCAAGTGTGAACGACACTTCTTGAACACTACGAGTACGTGGATGGCTCAGGCAGTCTTTCCTCATAACTCGTTCGTGGTTGTCGATGTGTGACAACTTCTCAACCTTCCCTCTACTGTACGCAGGTAACCTCAAGTCTGTTCCAGTCTGATCATTGCTTCCTCACACCAATTGTTCGCCACCAGTTCTAGTTCTACTCATTTACTACTCACCACGCGCCACTTGAGTTGTTACTCTTTTCACTTCCAAACTCACCCACTTTTATGAATGGAATTGTGGACTTTTGGGAATCAGAAGTGAACCCTGGACAGAGACAGACAACGACACTGCCTCGGTCATTGATGACGACATCGGCCTATTGGAGAAGTTCTCCTACTATCATCTGTTCTTCTGATTCGAGACACAATGGCTCAGCAACATGAACACGGTCACAGTGGACCATCTCTAGACATGGACATGGACAGCGCTGCGCCACAACCTGGGCCTTCCCATGATGGGTCTGCTGAAACGGTGCGACTTCGAAACCTCGACGCACTAGTCCGAGATCAGGATGACCTCGAACGAGATATTGGGCGTGAGGCGGACAAGCTTCTATTGCAACAGGCCACCCAAAGAGACCAGCACAGATTAGAGAAAACTCGCGGTCAAAAGGAAAAGTTGCAGCACCAGGTCCGCAAGACTCGAGACGAGTTATCTCGTCCAATTGGCACCACTCAGCGATCAAAGCTGCGTCTTGAGATTGACCGCATGCAAGGTCAGATTCAAGATCTCGATAACGACATTTCTGAGATCGAGAAGCGAATGACTGACCGTGAAACCAACGCCTCACAAGCAGTAAACGATGCATCCTCCACTGGACGACTTCCGAACGAGACTCAGCGAGATTTCTTGATCAGAACCGGGAAAATTACCCCGTTTTCAAAATTTGGTCTCTCCACTCATGGAGAGTCTTCTGCAACCTTGCAAGGGGCATTATTAGATGCCGAAGAAGAGCCTGACTTAGCCGAAAGTGGACCTGCTGTCAATGGTGATAGAATCATGTCCCATCGGAATCTGAGACAGCCCGGATTTGCTTCTAGTCTTGCTGATTCTAGTCCTGATGAAGATTTTGAGTCTGATCGACCAGCAAAGAGGCGACGTCTTCAACCAAGGAATAAGAAGACACCTACTAGAGATGAGGACTCCTCGTATGATGAAGGAGCCATCGATGATGAGGTTACGTCGGGTCTGGAGGACGATGAGGATGATGAGTTGCCATCTACTACTGGGAAGCAAAAAAGATCCAGCAGAAGAGCCACGACCGCGGTTGATGACGAAATTGAAGACTTTCGCGGCATGGACGACGGCAATGAATCAGTTTATCAATCTAGAGTACAAAGATGGGCAACGAGACGACGTCGAGTGAGAAATGCTTCCCTCGGACAGTCTCAAGACGAGCAAGCCAAAGGACAGGTGACAGGAGAAGAATTGGAGGTTTCCTGGGAGGACGAGGCATATCTGCCTCATCCTGAAATCGACGATACATTGTTCGACAATGGCTATAAGCTTCCCGGAGATATCTACCCTAGCCTTTTCGACTACCAGAAAACTGGTGTTCAATGGCTACACGAATTATACACACAACAAGTCGGTGGCATTGTGGGAGATGAGATGGGTTTAGGCAAGACCATTCAGATGATTTCATTCCTTGCAGGGCTGCAGTACAGTAGAAAGCTCGACAAGCCCATCATTGTTGTTTGCCCTGCAACGGTTATGAAACAGTGGGTCAATGAATTCCACCGATGGTGGCCACCTTTTCGAGTCACCATCTTGCACTCATCTGGGAGCGGCATGGTCAATCTGCGCAACGAAAGCACTAAAGAGGACAAGCTTCTTGACGTTATGTGGGATTCAGCTCGGAAAACTCAGCCACTCACGTCTTCTCAAAAAGCTGCAAAGAAAGTATTGAAGCCTATTCTAGAAGACGGTGGTGTGCTTGTCACAACCTATTCAGGGCTTCAAACCTATGCTCCGCTGCTAATTCCTGTTGATTGGCAGTACGCAATTCTTGACGAAGGCCACAAGATACGTAATCCGAATACTGCCATCACTATCTACTGCAAAGAACTGCGAACGCCGAATAGAATCATCTTGTCAGGTACACCTATGCAGAACAACCTTATCGAGCTATGGTCTTTATTTGACTTCGTCTTTCCGATGCGCCTTGGTACGTTGGTCAATTTCAGAAATCAATTTGAAATACCTATTCGCCAAGGTGGTTATGCAAATGCCTCAAACTTGCAGGTGCAAACAGCATTCAAATGTGCTGAGACTCTTAAAGATGCTATCAGCCCATATCTCTTGCAGCGATTTAAAGTTGATGTGGCCTCAGATCTGCCCAAGAAAAGCGAACAAGTGTTGTTCTGCAAACTGTCAAAGTTGCAGCGTGCAGAATACAATCACTTTATCAGCTCCGGAGAGATGGACGCTATTATGAATGGCAAACGACAAGTCTTGTATGGAGTTGATATCTTGCGAAAGATATGTAACCACCCTGATCTCACAGATCATAAACGGCTGTCCATCAAGCCCGGATACGATTATGGCAATCCTGTCAAATCCGGGAAAATGCAAGTTGTGGGATCCTTGCTGGAATTGTGGAAGGACACGGGACATAAAACACTTCTATTTGCGCAACACCGCATCATGCTTGATATCTTGGAGAAATTCGTGAGATCGCTCTCGGGCTTCAAGTACAGGCGAATGGATGGAAATACTCCAATTCCAACTCGACAGAGTATGGTGGACGAATTTAATACCGACCCAGATTTGCATGTCTTTCTTTTGACAACCAAAGTTGGTGGTCTGGGAATCAACTTGACAGGTGCCGACAGAGTTATCATCTACGACCCAGACTGGAACCCATCGACTGATCTGCAAGCTCGTGAAAGAGCCTGGCGTCTCGGCCAGAAGCGAGAGGTTACAATCTACCGTCTGATGACGGCTGGGACAATCGAGGAAAAAATCTATCATCGACAGATTTTCAAGCAGTTCTTGACGAACAAGATTCTGAAAGATCCGAAGCAGCGCCAAACATTCCATCTGAACGACCTGCATGATCTTTTCAGTCTCACCAACGAAGGCGACCCCACAGAGACAAGCACACTTTTCAAGGATGCTCAGGTGAACTGCTCTGCAACGGGAGCTGCGGATGGTGCCCATCCAACCGAGTCCAAGGTTGGAAAAGATGCCACTGCATCTGATGGCCAAGTAGACATCAAAAAACTACCTGGAATTTCTTCTATGGAACAGTATGCTGGTGAGGTTGAGGAGGAGAAGCAGGCCAATGAAGAAGGAGCAACCAACTCGGAAGCCAGGATGATGGAAGGTATTTTTGCTCGTTCAGGGATTCATTCTGCTGTTGAGCATGATGCTATCATTGATGGAAAGAGCGCAAGGAAGGTGGCAGCTGATCCAGTTATGATCGAGAAGGAGGCAAAGAAAGTGGCCGCGGAGGCAGCAAACGAGCTAAGGCGAGCTGGTGAGGTCGCTCGAACTGTTCCGATAGGCACACCGACGTGGACTGGACAAGTTGGAGTATCAGGGCGACCACAAGAGACTACAGCCCAACGAGCTTTCAGCACGAATTCTCGAAGCCGAGGTGGAGGACTTCAGTCTTCGAGTTTGTTGTCAACTCTGCAGCAGCGGCAGGCGAATGTACCTCAAAGCAATGGTACAACGCCCAGGACCTCAAGCCCTGTACGATCCTCGGGGTCCGCGGCATCAGCCTCCAGGTCGGGGACTCCAAGCCTGCCGCAGGGCAAGGACTTCGGTAAGCTGATTAGGGACTATCTCACAGCGCATGGAGGTTCCGTGCACACACAGATGCTTATTGACCACTTCAACCGCTTCTGTACAACGCCGCAAGCAACCATGGATTTTAAAGAAACTTTGAAGGTCCTGGCCAACCTGGATAAAGGAGGTCGCGGTCGTGGTCGATGGGTGCTCAAGGACGAGTACAAGCGATAGGTCGCTCAAACGTCCGAGGAGATCGGCACCTACATGCAGAGTCTGGATCGCTCTCAATTGTTGCGACTGCTCTTGTTCTTGAGCTCAATCGTTCTCGTCAATCAGTCCCTGTGGCGACCAATACTCCGGTTCCCGACATTGATAATCTACCCATACTAGAGAGTCAGCTAGTAGGTCCTGTAGAACAGTTTCTGCCCTTGCTGTTTCCCAATTCAGATTCAAATGTAATAGCGAGACTGTCACGCTTCCTAGTAATTGCAAAACTTCGAGGACGGTAGACTGATCTGTATTAAGTTCTTTCGGCACAGAACGAATGAACCGTTTGTTGGCGATAGAGATAATCGCAAACCCTGAACCGAGTGGCTCCAAAGACTTGACCGCCTGCTCGATGTCGTCTTCCGAGACTTGCAGACCGCCACCAATGGCTTTGCCTCGAGTGATACTCTCGCAGCATTCTTTCAGGCCGAGCAGACCACCATTTTCAGCACGAGTGGACTGACACAGCTCAACCACACGGACAGCGACAGAGAAGTAGAAATCATTGACATCGTGGCCCAGGACTTTCGCCCATAGAGAGTCTGTCTTCTTACCCTTGATGTTGCTTCCCGCAAGTGGATCAACTCCGATAGCATTACACATGCGTGCAAATTCGGCCCGGAACGTAGGATTGGACTTGATAGTCGCTGCATGTTCGAGAGCGAAGTTGTGGAGCAGGGATTGGAAGACTTCTAGTTGTGCTTGGAGAGATGCTGAATTGGCAGATTTGAGATTCGAGCCATGTGCAGCATATGATTGAGCGGTGGCGTTGCGTTGCGTGAAAGCTCCCAGGCCAACACCTCGTCGAGTCGACATCTTGCTTGGACACTATAAAATCTGTACTTCTTGTGGTATATATACAGTTTCCTTTGTAGTTGACTACGCTGAGATGATGTCCTTTGATCTGTACCTCACTAGGGGTGAAGTTAGGATGATTCGTTCGCCTTCAAACTGCTGGCTCGGGTGCCCAAGATGCCAAGCTCCCGTCACCTCTGGTATAGATAACTATACTGCTTTAGGCTTAGACCATCTGCCTCCCACAACGGCCCACGGCACTTCGCAGTTTTTGCTAATTTTCGACTTTCACTTTGGGAATTTGTTCGACTTCATCTGCACCTTACTCCGTCCACTCTTTAATCCTCCCAACACACCACATCATTCAAGATGACAAAGCCCGTTGTTAAGTCGTAAGTAAAACTACTCTTGCAGCTGATACTTGGAGTCTACAGATATGGTTCGTTCTATCGCTGGTCCGCGTGCAGAGCGCCAGCTCGATTATCCCAATGGCCTGCAACCTGGAATTTGAGAAATCTTACTACGGTGAAAGGAGCTGGGGCATTGAGGACAGAGAATCAAATCTCTTCCTTGAAATATATTGAGCTCGTGCAGACATACTTCTCGGATCTACGATCAAGAACTTGTCGCAGAGTGCAAAACTATCTCGACCTTTGTCGTGGCGTTGTCAGATGAGATCACATTGACTGAATATCATTCGAGTATCCACTCATGTCTGCTCAATATCTCACTGATCAAATACATTTCGTCGAGTTACGCCAGTCACCAGTCTGAGAATGCCGCACCATAGCTGCAGTTCCAACTCGGCGATTCAATATCCCTTTGGACCATACTGATGGCTTCCCCTTAAACAGATCTGTGCCAACACAGGACCAGATTCTGGTTCCTGAGACCTTGTTGAAGAAGAGAAAGAGTCAGGAGAAGGCCAGAGCCGAGCGCAATGCCAACCTTGAGAAGAGAAAGAAGGTTAGTTACACTTGACACATCCACCCATAATCCATTCGGTGATGATAAATACCATTACGCGGCTAGACCATTGGTCGATGTTGTCGCTTTTGTTAACCATCTTTCGGGGCTGAGCATGTTATTCTGGAAACACATATCTACTTCGCGAAATTTTCTAGTGATTCGAAAAGCTAACTTCTCGATCACAGGCCAACAAGGAGAAGCGAGGCGTCATCTTCAAGCGTGCTGAGACGTACGTCAAGGAATACCGCGATGCTGAGCGTGAGAAGATCAGACTTGCTCGTTTGAGCAAGCAGCAAGGTAGCTTCTTCGTTGATGAGCAACCAAAGCTTGTATTTGTGATCAGAATCAAGGGGTGAGTTCACAGTGGCCGAAGTAGCAAATTTTTTCTAACATGAAAAAGTATCAACAAGATTGCTCCCAAGCCTCGCAAGATTCTCCAACTTCTTCGTCTCCTCCAGATCAACAATGGTGTCTTCATCAAGTTGACCAAGGCAACCCAAGAGATGCTTACCATTGTTAACCCATACATCGCTTATGGCTATCCAAACCTTAAGTCTGTTCGTGAGCTCATCTACAAGCGTGGATACGGCAAGATCGACAAGCAGCGCATTCCTCTGACTGACAACCAACTTATCGAGGACTCCCTTGGCAAGTACGGCATTGTCTGCGTTGAGGATTTGATCCACGAGATCATAACTGTCGGACCCAACTTCAAGCAGGCAAACAACTTCCTGTGGCCCTTCAAGCTATCCAACCCCAATGGTGGCTTCCGCACTCGCAAGTTCAAGCACTACATCGAGGGTGGTGATCTTGGTAACCGTGAGGAGAACATCAATGCTCTGATCAAGCAGATGAACTAGAAGAATTTGGTGCATGGTGAATATGATCTTTGTGTATGCTCTGGATGGCGACATGTTCACATGCAACCAGACTGAGTTCAATATCAAAAAGCTAGCTTGCTTACTCGGAGTCAATGATGGGTGGTTCAGATACCTAGTTTGCAGAGTGGTCGAAATGAACTTATGAGTCTGACCAATGAACATGAAATTCAGTTGATCTCATTCTGTTGCCATTATACTAACTGGAAATTGAATGACCTGAAGCCGGCCAAAGTCTTTTCAACGTCGCTCCTAAAACACTGAGAAGAAAATCCAAAGCCTATGTTCCTATGCTGTTCATTCACTAAGACCATACCACGAAGCGGAGAAACTAGGCCTATCCTACACTAACCATCCATCCACTGACTGCTGCACCCACACATGCATACACACAAATGGCAAAATGAGCAAAAACCTAACCCCAGGGACCCCTGTATCATATGAAGAGCAGGAGGTTCACGATCCAAGCGTCTTCCCACTGTCCCACAGGTTGGTCCTGAGTTGATTAATTGTGAGCAACTTGACTAACTTCAATTGAAATATTAGTGGCTTCTAACCGTCACTCTATGGATGGTGTGGTTCCCAACGGCTCTCTACGAGCCGATCGAAATGCTCCTTGCGAGCTTGTTTTCTCCAAGGCATTTCAGATACCTCTCAGTCATACCTCAGAAAGTTCTCATACCTCACGGGTCAGCCTTGATTCCGACAATCTTCAACGAGTCGTCCCACAACCGACCTTCAGTCTCCGGGTCATAAGTTTGTTTGACATATCCGATCCCAAACACGTCATTGTCATCCACACCTCGCTTTGCTTCTTCACAATCCTCTAGATACTTTCCTCCTCTACCCTCCCATGACTTGCCGATCGCAGCTAAGACCGTAGTGGCAGCGCCCTGCTCCAGCGACTTTATGATCTTGAGCAGTTCTTCGTTGCTCATGATCCGCTCTACAAATTCGGGACCTAAGTGTCTTGAAAGGTCCGTGTTGATTGCACCAGGGTGGAGGCTTGTTGCATGAAGCCCAATCTGACCATAACGACGATCTAGCTCATTAGCCATATAAATATTGGCAAGCTTTGACTTCGCATACGCTGTCCCGAAATTATATCCTCCCTTTTGGAAGTTATAATTGTCGCTTTCGCTCATTGTGCTGGACCGATGGGCTGATGATGCTACCATGACAACCCTGGACTGAAATTCAGGAGTCGAACTACCCAGCAATGCTGCCTTCAGAAGTTGGAACAGCAGGAAATGGCTCAGGTGATTGGTGGCGAAGTGTATTTCGTGGCCATCTGCCGTGAGCGTGAGCTCCTCAATCCCCATAACCCCAGCATTGTTCACAAGTATATTGATTTGACCGCTCGATTTTTCCAGGATGGTTGCTGCTGCTGCTCGGACGCTGTCGAAAGACGTATTATCCATCTCTACTAACGAGATCCGAGTAGGATTCGATTCCAGGAGACCAGCTAGGTTAGCTTTAGCTCTCGCCATGTCCCTAGCAGTGAGAAACAAGGTGGCACCTGTCGCAGACAACGCCCACGCAGTCTCAACGCCAATTCCGGAGGTCGCACCAGTAATGACGATTACTTTATTCCTATGTTTGCCCTCGAGATCTTCATCACGAACGATCTGAGCAGCAGTTGGCCGGGCATCCCCTGCACCCTCAGGGTTGGCATGGGACACAGCGTATCGACTCATGGCCACAAGGCAATTGTGGAATAACGAATAATGAGACCTTTGTCAAGATAGTAGTTGCTGTCTTAGAACACTGGTGAAGAGACTGACAACGAACCTTGAGCCGAACATTAGGCATGCCACAAAATCAGGTGTTTATATACACGAGATCCTGCGTGAGGGAGTAAATTAGATCCTGTCCATCACAACGCATACTTCGAAGACCAGGGTTGCGAGCACATACATAGCTTTAACCGGCTGGCTCCCGCCAGCGTCCAAAAGGGCCCCTCTTGTGAAAATCATCACTGACACGTCGTACTCTCATAGTTTGAGTGTGGTTTTCGAATACACAGCTTGTTTTTGACTACTGCTTCATATTGGAGAAACGACTTGAGAGACCCCCTTTTCTTCCGCCTTGCCGCCTAAAGTTCGCTTCCGACGCTGCGGTGGGCTAGCGGCCGCGGTTCGGCCGCCGTACAAGGCTTTAATCTTGGACGGCTGACACCCACCTTGACTATCAATCCTTTCCATTTCACAGATGGCTTGAATCTTATTGCACAATGCAGACCCCTGCCAGCGAGCCCAATGTCGAGCAAACGAGGCAAGTATGCACGTCATGCAAGGCACGAAAAAGAAAATGTGACAAAGCACTGCCTAAATGTGGATCGTGCACAAAGTAGGTCCTCCATGGGATGCTATTGCAGCACCAATACCGTCAAGCTCACCGTTCTGGAAACAGAAGGGGGCTACCTTGCGAATACTCGGCTCCACAGCAAATCCTCACGCCACCGCCCATGTTGGAACTGCCGTGGTATGGGTTCCTCACCCATAACGATAGAGTGAATACTCACAGCATCGACTTCCCGACCATCCTCTTCTTGGATCCTGGCATTCTACGACATGGACAGCTCGAATTACGGTATACCGTTGGCCAGGTTCCAGAACATTTTCTCCATCTACTTGGGGACATGAATGCCATTAACTCCACCGCAGCCAAGTTTTTTAGGCACATCCATCGGTGGATGCCCTTTATATCCAAAAAGCGGTTTTACGAGCACGGTGAAGAGTCGTCGTTTTACTCGCAGCCGGATACTGTGCTTCTTCTGCTTTGCATCCAACTAATTACGGCATTTCCTCCCATCCAGCCTCGAAATGCTCGAACTCCGCTATACCATGCTGCAAAACACCTCTATCTTGAGGTCGAAGGGTCGAGTATATTTGCACTTCCAGTCTTGCAGGCAGGAGTGCTCTTAGCTCTTTACGAATTGGGGCATGCAATATATCCCGCCGCTTACCTGACCATCGGAGCATGTGCTCGCTATGCCTATGCTCTTGGCATCAACATTGGTGCAACGGTCAACACGAGAAAGGTCCTTAGCTTGGTCGAGTTAGAGGAGAGGAGGAGAGTCTGGTGGGCATTAGTGATTTTGGACCGGTGCGTTACTTCTAACTGTTTTATTAGCTTCAATTTCGTCTTCGCAGGCAAAAGAAACACTGTTTTATTGACAATCAATAAAGATTCGCTTCCATTGGCTGCCCCGGGAGACCTTTTGCAACAGCAGATCCAGGAGTAGACGACCTCTTACCAACGAATGACGCTGCATGGGATCAAGGTGTAGGTGACAATGCTCACCAAGGTCTAAAATGTGCCTAAACCTCTCTCAGATTGTCAGACCCGAAGATCGGTTCACCTTATCTGAGCCCATGACTATTCATATGAGTAGATTTGCATTGCTCTGCCAGGCAGCACGATTACTAGGCCAAGTCGTGCACTATATTTCGAATGATGCGCGAGATCGCAACGACAGCTGGATTCAACTAGACCGGACGCTCGATTCAATGATAACGGCCTCGCTAAACATCGAAAATCCCGATTACGATCAGATTACATTTATTTATAGGTACTTGTCTTTGACCATTAGAAGATCCTCTTTTGAACTTTAGCTGACGATGAGGATTAATATGTAGCACTCTGGTTGCCCTACATACTCCGAGCCTACACGGTGAAGCCTCGGTCTCAACAAACGCAGAGCAGTCGCAGCGTTCAAGAGATGTTGTTCGTCAGCTTACGGACAGAATTGAGAAATACGTGATCCGCAACAAATGCTTCCTTGGCCGCGATCCCGAGGATATGACACCATGGGGGCTCTTCTTCGGATACCAGGTTTGCTGGGCATACATGCATCCGGACGGTGTTGCCCCGACTTCTTTTGAGATCGTAAAAGTATTAAAGGAAACATTCCTTACAGTAGATCGTAGGTGGAATGCTGCAGGTATCATCGATCCCGCATATCGCTGTTTCATGATCTTATTTATTACTGACATAACACAGGTGTATACCTCCAGCTTCTTGAGGCACGAGAAGTTATCAGCGGCCTGAAGAGTTGATCAAGGCCGGCTCGAAAGCCAGGTAAAAGAGAATACAGTGGAGTACAGGAGATCTTGCTCTGATCATGCTTGGACGGAGTGGTTCATGGAACCCCGGGTAAAATGGAAAATAGTTCCCCCGAAGATGGCTTGGCACCAGGACCCCGCCATCGTCATGCCCGCCGAAGCGACGTTGGTCGACCGCAGGCTGCCGAAACCACCATTTTCGTCTATCAAAGCCCATCTAGAGTTAACCTCCATGAAGTGTACGCTCACTACCCATTTTCGCTTTCTGCAAAAATCAAGATCTGAACATTCCGATAGTTTCGTCCCCCCAGAATACCGGACTTTCAACTCACACCTGGTATCCCATTTTAAGCCACTGCCTAGCGTATCCAGCCAAGTGCCTATTAAACGCAGGACAAAGAATCTGTGATTATAGAAGGCGACCAGATACATAGATTGCAGGCAAGCACAAGCCAATATGTCCGGTCTCGAAAAGGCACTCTTCAACCTCAAGGTACGAAACCAATACACTTTCTCTGTTCGCCACTCTTGGTCCGTGGGCGCTTACTTTCGCTGCGACCCGTCTCCATCTACTACTATACACGGGTGTAAACAGCCAGCTAACTCCTACCGCAGTTTACCTCCAAGCAATTAAACAGACAAGCCGCTAAAGCGGACAAAGACTCACGCACCGAGCAGGCGAAGCTCAAGAAAGCCTTGACCCAAACACCACCACAGCCACAAATCGCCCGCCTATATGCAAGCAACTCGATCCGCAACTCCCAACAACGAATCCAACTCCTCACACTGGCCGCCCGCATCGATGCCGTCGCCGCCCGCGTACAAACCGCCATCACGATGCGGACGGTGACGCAATCGATGGCGCAGACAGTCAAGGGCATGGACGCGGCCCTAAAAAACATGGATCTGGAGAAGATCGGCGCCGTGATGGAGAAGTTCGAGTCGCAGTTTGAAGACCTCGATGTTGTGACTGGATACTACGAGGGTGTTGCCGGTGGGGTCGAGAGCCAGCAGATCGGCGTCGAGGGCCAGGGTGAGGTGGAGGCGCTGATGAACCGCGTTGCTGACGAGGCTGGTGTCGAGCTGTCGCAGGAGATGCAGCAAAAGGTGCCAGAGAATGAGCCGCCTCAGGCTGAGTCCGCCGAGAGGGCAAAACTTGAGGAGGGCCTTGGGGATAGGCTGAGAGCGCTGAGGAATTGATCTCTGCTTACATGCGAAGTGCATGCATGCCTATTTTCCCCCTTTGCAAATGCGGCCTGGCCTCACCGCGTCTCATTTTTTCCCCTGCGAATTGATTCAAGGATAGGGCAGTCTAGGGGCAAGGACAAGTCTTACCGGCGTTTGTGTTCTAGACACCCCTTTGGTTTCCAAGAATGAAATGGTTCTACTGATATAGTACTACTTAAGCATCTCCCCAATAAGACTGAGCCCGGCTGAATGTTAAGCGATGCATTACATAGTTATCCTTCTCGCAAGCAGCGTCATCGCATGTGCACGAGATCTTGAAATACAGGATACAAATCAACCAGATTTTCTCGCTCTCCGAGGACGCCGGCTGGGAGAGTTGCGAGGCTGTAATTGGTGGCTAGCCGACTTCTGATCTCGGGATTCCACATCCCGAGTCACCTGCTTCCAATACTGTGGACTTTATCAACGTTCACAGTCCAGAAAATCTTGGGCTGAGGCGCTGGTAATAAGCCTTCGTTGTCTATGTTGAGAAGTTGAAGTTCACTTCAACAGACTCACTCATCTGCCCTTTTAACACAGTTACTGCTAGGCGGGCTTGAGAGACTGCCACTACTATCATAGGTCCCAACGAGTAAGATCTTCAAGGAACGACAGGTACACAATATGGGGTCATCGACCCAAGCCAAGAAAAGGTCCGCTCCTTGGAGGTTAATGGTCAGTCTCCTTAGTCTGGGCTTCTTGAGCGGTTTGTATACGTGGGCCGATTCGGTTAAGGTGTGCTTTCCCAACCATTTGAACAAGGGCTCCAGTCTGACCAGTGTACAAGGCGAGATGGTACATATTTGACCCTGCTAGGATGCAGGACTTGGTCGATGAGAGCCTGATATTGAACCCAAACTCTACAGCAGGGGTGGTGAATCACATCGTGCAAACACTACGTCTGCAACATGGCCCCGATCTGATAGACGAGAGCCCGTTCCCAGCGATCGGCGTTGATGGGAACCCTATCTCACCCGTCTCACCTTACGCATCCAAATGGGTCTTCAATAACGCTGGTGGTGCCATGGGCAGCATGTACATCATTCACGCCAGTATTACTGAGTACCTGATCATCTTCGGCACACCCTTAGGGACCGAGGGGGCCACAGGACGACACACCGCGGACGACTTCTTCTACATCCTCGAAGGCGAGCAGTGGGCGTACAATGCACATTCCCTAGTTCGAGAGCAGTACCCCAAGGGGAGTATGCATCATCTCTCGCGTGGCGATGTCCAGCAGTACAAGATGCACGAAGGTTGCTGGGCACTCGAGCTAGCGCAAGGCTGGATACCCCCTATGCTGCCGTTCGGGTTTGCAGACACACTCTTTTCCACATTGGACTTTCCTACATTCTCCAACACGGTGTGGTTGACCGCGAAACTCATGGTCCGCTGTTTGCTTGTGGGGAAGATATAGTTGTGCACACTTCCATTGAGATCAAGCCCTCTCGACTGCTCGATACCACCGCATCAGCTGTCCTTTGGGATTCTAAAGCATTCAGTAGCTTGGTGCAAATTCGGATGCCTAGGGAACGGTCAAGTGCTGAGCCAGGGGTCAATCTGCAGTGCTATCGAAACCATAGATAGTATTTTAAATGGTTGAGAGTTGATTCAATCTGAGAGAATAATCACATGCCATCTGCTGAAGGTGGCTAAAGGTGGCCGTTAGTCCAGAATTCTCTGGGCATTGTCAGGGTTGATACATCCGGCAGTGTCGAGAAATCAAGCAAATCGAATGAAAGGGATGGATCATCCCAAAGGTCCGTCATTGAAACTTCCATGCCAGTCTGCTCCTGTGATGCTGACACCTCCACAGGCCGTGGCGTATTCCCCTGTGGGGACGAAAGAAACTGTGTGTTGACATTCAACTCTACAGCTGAGGAAGAATCTGTGTTCTCGGAGGGCGTTGAGGAAGCTGCGTAGTCTAAGAGATCCCACAGCAATGATGTTTCAACTTTTGGTGGCTGCACAAGTTGAGTCGTGGACTGTGCCAGCTTTGTGAGCTTAGATCTCTACCAATAATTAGCAATAGAATTCTCGAAGCCTCAAGTCTGACTCTTACAGTATGTTGAAGATGCGGGTTCTCTCCCGCCATATTATCTACAAAGCGTCGACACACCTCAAAGTCCTTGGCCGCCTTAGTGGCTAGGGACCCATCTCTTGAAAATCGAAGGAAGAAGAGCACAGAAGCAGTCATTGCAGCAAGGTGGCCCACGAAAGGATCGTAGACGGGAAAATTGTGGTCCATACATAGATCGAGAATCCGAATTACCCATGCCGAATGCAAGATCGCCTGATCAGTTGCATGTTGGAGGAAAGATGGTGACCGTAGCTTCTGCTTGCGATGAATCTCTGCAAGATGGAGGAAAGGGTGATGCAAGATGCACTGGATAACATGATAGACCATCTGCATCGAAATCCAGGCCGCCCAATAACTTCGTTCCCTGGCCCTTTCAGATTCTGTCTTTTCAAGAAATCTTGCATTGCGAAAGCGATGATCTTCCGGTAGCACGGTTTCAAACCGGAAGACCAGCGACTTTATTTGGTGATAGGTGGAGTTTGGTTCCCATGCGTCCTCGAGTTGTCCTTGTCGAATGTTCTTCAGGTAGACCATCAAATGTCCCCAGGTCGATAAAAGCTGCAAGGAGTAAGAAGTGACACCATCGTCAACCTGGCCGGCATTCTGTTGCAATCGCCGGACTTCTGAGCTTTCCTCTGATACAGTATGGGGTGTCAGGGGCGAGGGTGGTTTTTCAGGCAGTACAGCCTCTTCAGGGATAGCAGGGAGAGTTTGAAAGCTGCTATTGTAAATTTTATCCAGAACAAACAAACTCCAGCAACACCTCTGAAGTGCTTCGGGCTTTTTGGATGGGGTTCGGCCTGAACCACATGTCAAAACATTGGTACTTATCGCGAGACGTACAGCAATTCCTGTAGTCAGCCAGGCTCTGATCTTCTTACTATCTGTCGAGGTTAGTATAGTCCTATTGTTCCGTTGTCACATCAGGTTCACCTGCAATGTCGCAGAGGTTCAGCAGACAGAACGCCTGAAGCAGCTCTACTGAGCCACTGGCAGTCGGTTCCCCTATCCGAGCGAACAGCAAATCCCGCGACGACTGCATGTAGAACTCTACTGCGGCAGCTTTGGAATCTTTGAAGAAATCGTCATCAGAGTATTTGCTTGTCAATGCTAGGAAACTTCTTAACAGCACAGTCGAAAAGCTCCCAACCTCGGATCGAAGACTCTCGATGTCAAAAAGTTGAATAGGCTGACAATGTACTCTTTCTTGGTAGACATTGACCAGCTTATCGAGTACCGCACTCGGTGGATGAGGTCTGGACACAATTTAGTCCACGTCCACGTCCTTTGCAGCCTGAACCACCTTTGTAATGGGTCGAAATGTAACACTCTCGAAGCAACATCGTCGTCATCGGCTGGTTGTGATAGCAACCTAGTGCTAGGACTTCCAGTACTGGAACTTGGAAAAGGGTGTGTCCTGCTGTCGAATGAACGTTCGGACTGCCTTTCAACCAGGAGACTGAATGGTCAATATCGTGCGAACGACAAAGCGAGGGCTTCTTAACTCACTTGACAGCACCCATGATTTGATCCACTCGATCCTCTAATCTCTGAACGCGGTCTTTCGAGTCGCCCCGCTCCTGGAACATCCGTGTAAGTTCCTTTGTGAAGCGTCAAGCCGGGTCCACCGAGGGCCCTTTGGGGGTTCAATCGGAACTCACGTTTCGCCTATCATGGCGGTATTCTTTATGGACTCGTCGTGTTTCCTCAGATCTTCCATAAGAACACCTCTGATTCAACCTAGTGCAGAAGGAGCACGCTGGCTTCTCACCGGGGCATTTTGTCTTCTTCCTCCTGTACTTTGTTGGTGTCAAAATGTCATCTGTGCTTGATGGGCAAGAGCTACCTGCACGGGTCGCATGCCTGCCGCGCTCGACCCAAAGGACTCGCGGAGTCGCCCATCTTTATGTGAATGAATGCATGAGGTATGTGTTCCTCTTTGATCGTGGCGGGCCAGTCTAGAACCGAGATCTGGCAAGCTAGGATGTCAGCAAAGTGTGATGAGCGGGCAGATGCCTTGCTAAGTAATCCGAGGAACGCCGAGGCCGTGGATTTGGGGAGCACCCAGACAAAAGCTTGGCAGCCTCTGACTTCTTTATGGAACATGACAGCTCGCTCTCCTTCTTCTCATATCTTGCTCTTGAAATCATACATCGTGCTACCATTTTCCAAACTACCTACTAGTGCATGACTACTTAGTAGCGTATCGCTAATAGCACACTTTGCATACCAGAGCATTTTCAGTGAATGACCCTTGAGAGGACTGTTTCCGAAATTATCTGGGACTCAGGATTGTCCGAGGAGCCAAGTATAGATTATTGGTTATATATGCTGATCATAGGTTGCCCCTGGCCATCTGCTCTCGCTCGATCGCCTCAAACAAGGCTTTGAAGTTACCAGCTCCAAATCCCGAGAAATTATTCCTTTGAATAATCTCGATGAACACTGTTGGTCTGTCCATAAGGTGTTTTGTGAACAGTTGCAACAAGTACCCTCCCTCGTCAAAGTCGATGAGAATGCCCAACTTCTGTAGCGCAGAAAAATCCTCATCCAGAGTCATGCCCGCGCTCTGCAACCTTTTTGTCATCGACTCATAGTAGGTGTCTGGTACGGAGATAAACTCAATACCTCGTTCCTTCAGGTTCGTGACAGCCGTTATAATATCATCCGTCCGTAAGGCGATATGTTGAACTCCAGCTCCGTTGTAGAAGTCAACATACTCTTCTATTTGGGACTTCCTGATTCCTTTTGCAGGTTCGTTAATGGGCATCTTGATCTTCTCGTCAGGGCTAGCCATGACGACCGATTTCAGGGCGGAGTAATCCGTGCAGATATCTTTATCATCGACCGACCAGAATCTGTGAAAGCCTAGTGTTTTCTCATAGTAGTCACAGGCGGCCTCCATTTCATTCCAGTCTTGGTTCCCTAGGTTCGAGTGAGCAACAGTGGCTCGCTGTCAAGCCTCGGACACACTTACCAACACAATGGTCGATAGCCATCAAGTTCACTTCAGGGAGATATTTGGCGGTTCTTTCAGGCTCGGTCACGGCGCGGTATCCAGGGAGAAAAGCGCCTGAATATTGCCCACGCGCAATGAGTGTATGCGTGGTATCTCCATACGTTCGAAGTTTAGCGTACGTTGTGGTACCATAATCATCGCTCGTTGTCGTGGGTCCGAAAACCTTTACGGCCCCCTTCGCTACCGCGGCATCATAAACTGCACCAACATCGTCGACCTCGAACGCCACATCAACCACTGCATCTCCATGAGTCCTGAGGTGGTCATGAATCTCTTTTAGGAGTCGTCTGTCTTCTTGGGAAAGTGCAGCCTTGCTGTCGGGGCTCTGAAGCGGCGAAGTGAGAACAAAGGTTACATCTCCGTTTCGAACAACGTGAGAGGCGATCACCCTTGAACCTGTCTCCAGACCTCGGTATGCTACTCTTTGGAACCCCATTCTGGAAACATAGAAGGCTGCAGCTTGCTTCGCATTGCCAACATACCAATGGACGTGATCATAGCCTCTGTAGCTTGCTACTTTATGTGCATCACGTGGAAGCTGTGATATTTGCGTGACATCTTGGTAAGCTGATTTTCCTAGAGGTACTGTGGGGGTTTCCACGTCATCAAGGGCTATTGGCGCCATAGTTTGCACCTGTTGTTCGTTGAAAAGCTCAAAATAGTGGTCTCGAAGGCTTGCTAAGGGATCGATTTCCTGTCTTTGATATGGTAACGACTTGAACGACTCAAACTCAATTATGGCACGAAGACGAAGACTACAAAGAGCTGAAGTAGCACTTATATCGTTACTACTCCGTCAGAGTCGTTGGAAGTTGTGAATGGCGTTGAATGGGCGGTCTTTGTTCGCCGGTAATAAGCGGACGGTCCGTGTCCTGCCGTCCTCCGTCCACCTGAACTATCCGATGACCAACACTAAGAATCTCTTGAAAAATCCGGAAAACCAAGGGATAATGAGATCGGAGACGCAGATTCATCGAAAGTAGTACCTTATATCGATTTCCTTTCGATATTGAAAAGATTTCTGTTACTCTTGCATTCTATTAACTGTTTAATGCGCGGACTGGCAATAGCCAAGATGTCCCCTCCTGATCTCAGCAACAACGACTCTAGTGTTCTGTCTGCACTCTTTGATCCGGAGGCATCCCTTTCGAGGAATGCCTCTATAGAAGACACTCTCCCATCCGGAGTCACTCTGGAAAATTTAAAATACCTGCAACTCTGCGAACGTGATGCTTTGCATCCAATCAACGGCGAAAGTCCAAGCGTAGAGGAGATTGAGACGTCCATATCGAAGCTAACTGGGATTATCGACAAAAACCCATGCTATGCTTCAGCATATGCGAATCGAGCACAAGCTCGCCGGATGCTTTTCCGCGATGAACAACTACCTTCACAGCCTGCAGCCGTACAACAAATTCTCCAAGACCTCTCTCGAGCCATCAAAATCGGCACACCTGAAGATTCTACCCAGCCACTATCATCTTCACACGCCAAAGTTTTAGCATCCGCACATACACATCGAGGCTACCTACTACTTCTCGCTAGTAAAAGCGATGCGAATCGACAAATGCTGAACTGCACTCCTGGGCTGGAGACGCTATGTCCCAACCAACTGGAGGAAGCAGCAAGCCGGGAGTTCGCGCTCGGTGGACGATATGGAAACGACGCGGCTAAACAGATAGCCGTGAGGACTAATCCATATGCGAAACTATGTGGCTCTATTGTCAAAGAAGCCTTGAGGAAGGAAATCTCGGACTATTATCAACCTCAAGTTTCAACAATATGACGGAGTACATGGGGAACATTTGAGGGGAAGAATTTGGGCGGAAGTATCTCATGCATTAGCCTTGGATAGGCAATGACTCTTTGCATTGTTGTTATCACAGGTATTTAGCCAGATCGACCAGAGAAAATAATTAGATACTTTCCCGTACTGAGACTGCTGATACGCATACGCGTCTCTAGAGTCAAACAACAGAATAGTTGACAGAACTTCCAGGTGCTCTTTCATTGACACCCCCGCGAGTCAGGTTTTGCTGTGCGGCCATAGCTGAGCACATCCACGATGGAGAACGGCGGCATCCAACAATCTTCCCTTTGACATGAACCGCTGCATACCGTAGTTTCAAGGCGGAACTAAGAGCCCCAGACCGCCTAGAACTGCTTACATCCGATTCGAGGATGAAGCGGAAGATAAACTAGCATGAGGCGGAAATCACGTGCACGGCCCGTCCCCACATCGGCAGGACGAAGGACGGATTACCACTTGAGGTAAGGACGGTCATCTGCCCGGCTGACACGTCGTACGACAAGGCTTTCCCTATTCCAACAAGCGCCTTTGGATCTCAAATATCCCAACGTATCCCAACGTATTCCGAGTACGGAGACGAGAGAAAGAAAATCCCCCAAGTTGTCTGGATGGGAATGCAGGCAGAGGGCCATCACCCGTTCGGCTTTGCAAGGCTGTCCGGAAGCGGCTCGGGACTCGTCTTGGTGCAGCTAGTTAGTGCGATGTTAACGCCGATGTGTATACCCCTTGGAAATGCTTATGAAAGGTAGGTAGTAAGGGGGCCTCGCGCCCCTTGGCCGTGGACGGACAATTGGATTATGCGACGGCCATGGCTTTCCCGACGGCCACCTTCTGTGCCGAAAAGACTGCTGAAAATTAGATCCATTGGTGTGCGAGTCGCACAAGGCTGGATGTAAGTTCGGCCCTTTTAGCGGCGGTCACAGCAAAAGGAATCTGTGCTTTGGATTCGGCCAACTAGTCTTATTTATTTCCACCAGGATTTCAAAGTGAACTGGCACTCACATTTGCACAACCGGAGCTGTAGGTAGTTGCGATGCTAGAAATAAATGCTTACGGATGTCCTTGCAATGGTGCTGTGATCTAGTCACGGTGAATTGCTCACCAAGGGATTCAAACGTAGTTTGCACACTCTTGTCTCGGTCTTAACATGTTGACCATACAATCGCCCCATCTCTGCTTTCGACTATAGATGGTCATTTCTATCAGAGATCGGAGCAGCTAGGCATTCCAGCCTCACTTGTTTACATCATAGTACCGCTTTCGAAGGTGAGCAACCATTAAGCAATTCATTGGACCTGTCTGATGATTGTACTCATCACCTGGCGCACCTCGTCAAGCTGTCGTGTACAATAGAACACAAGCCTTGTCAATTTCTAACAATTTCATAGTTTTTCGATTTCAAAGTTTTGCACGCAACTACTGTCTTCATCGAAATTAGCAGACTCTCATCCTTCCATCCTAAATTCATCAGAGGAGTTCCTGAGCTAAGTGGCGGACAATGCGTGACTTGACACGTTTGTGTACAGGGTGTTCTTTGACCAATGCAGCTACATGCCTTGAGCTAACTGGCAATTCAGAAGTGTCCTTTGCAGACGGGATCTCGTAAATCTTTTGTTGAAACCTGTCGTCCAACTCAATCAAGCTTCCTTCATCTCCCTTCTCAGGATAATATGGAGCAGGAGCTTTTCGTCAAAATTCTGAAATGGAGCTGAATGCTCCGTGAGAATTCTCAGCTGAGCCCTTTGCAGATGTGGTGGCTCGCTGTTTGCGCAACCGCCAATAAAGGAACCCAATCGCAATACTTAGTAGCACAACAACAACGATGAGTATGATAATGGCGGTTAACACACTTCCACTAAGTGAGTTATTTGTTCTCGAGTCGGTTGAATGTTGCTGTTGATTGTGGAGCCGCACTAGCCAGGACTGTGGGAGCAGGAGTAGCGATGATCACTAGAGTTGATGGGACGGTGATAGTTTCTATGTTGGAACCCTGCACATTGTCAGGGATGTACCAGGTACACCGGTAGAGAGTCTCACAAGCTCCATCTAGAACCTCACAAGCTTTGGTGCTTATATTTCTTGGTGCTTTTGTATCTGCATTGGCTCGCTGGACACCACTCGGTATGGAGAAGGGTGAAAGCCCTGGGCGGATAAGTGGGTACCTTGTCTGCACTGTGCAGAAAGCAAATCTCGCTTCTGGTAGATGCGGCCCGAGAATGTACCACGATACAGCTCATACCAGAGAACAGGGCTCGAGCGACGCCTTCTCTTCTGGCCCCGGATTAGGCCTGAATGGCTTGCAGAAACTGACCTAGAAACCCCGCAACGATTGAGGCTTCTCGACTATTCAAAACTAAGCAAGGAGTCAACCTGAAAGAGATAGATTTGGACACAACTACTCGACAGGTCGGCTTATAATTTGGATCAGATCTTGGATGCAGCAAACCAGGATCGGCAATCTTACCGAGTATTTACCTAGCAAAAAAAGCAAGTTATACGGAGTAGTTATGTTTTGATATCCAACAGTATTCCATAGTCGATGACGCATGCAGTGCTGGCTCGCATAGCGGCGTTTGGGGTCTGGCGTAGAAAGGGTGACAATGGACTCAAGAGTCAGGACCGAGTTGGGAATTCCCAAAGATAGGAGAATGGACGAAACGACCTAATGCGTCTAGCAGGCACCAGGGCACACATCATTTGCCAGTTACAGCATAGACTGGCATGAGTGCAACACTCAGCCAGGCCCTGTCTCACCGGTCAGTACGAGCGGCAGAGTAATGCTACCTTGCCACCTTGCAATTGTAATTCCACCAGTCATTGTTAGCCTTGGCAACTAAAAGGCCAGGATTAGGAAGTATTCTAGGGCCGGGGCGGTTTGGTCTAGGCTAGCTCATCCATGATGCCGTTGAGAGGCGATAGTTGAGATACGTTACAACTTACAGTATAGTAGATGGTGAAGTTCGGATTGGGTTCAGATGGGAAGGACCAGGCGAGGCTTGAGCCTGATGGATTAGGTCATCGCGTCTTGGCTGGAGAAGAGCTCTTCCGATTCGGTAGCATCATCACGTGCCGCTCTCCAACTTCTCCTCGGTCAATGAATTTCGGCGAGATACCATTTGGGCATCCCAGTATTAACAAGTGTTGCCTCTTGGATAGATCCCAACAACAGCTTGACTCGAACATCTTGCGCGATAAGTAGTCCGCCTCGTCTCCGACATGAGACATGGCGGATCTCGAGGGATACGAGTTCTTTTGTCGCAGGAAGTCGCTACTATTTGGCCACGAGTCCAATTGATGAGCAGTGGGACCGTCTGTCCTGTTAATCATGGACAAGGCTCTCCATTCCGGACACGGATGCGGTGGTCCAGCTCTGTTCCAGAATCTCCACTTCCAAAACTCTTCCAGCAAAAAGATACCGAACCACAGTCGACGTCCATGATACCAACTTTGCCATCCAGGAAATGGTCCACTCCTCTAGCAAAGACCATTGCTCAAGCAATCGAGGTATGATCTGCTTAGCCCACCGTACTAGACAGTTGACCATCTGAGCTATCGCTGACATCGTTCTTTCGCGCCAGGTAACTGGACCCATCTCCATTGCTTCCTACATGCGGCAATGCCTCACGAATCCTGACGGCGGGTATTATACTACGAATCGACCATTCAAGGAGTCCGCGGACCAATTTGGCACAGCTGGTGACTTCGTTACTTCACCTGAAATATCACAGGTATTTGGAGAACTAGTAGGCATATGGTTCATGACAGAATGGATGGCGCAGGGTCGGTCAAAAGACGGTGTCCAGTTCATCGAGATGGGACCTGGAAGAGGAACCCTAATGAGTGATGTCCTTAGGACAATCGGGCAGTTCCGCAGTTTCGCAAATGCCATACAAGCTGTCTGGCTTGTAGAAGCTGGTTCGGGATTGAGAATGAAGCAAAAGGATCTACTCTGTGGTGAAGAAGCCCAAATCAAAGAAATTACAGACGACACTGGAAAGAATAAGTGGTGGGAGGCAACCAGCAAGCAGGGAATCCCTGTAAGATGGGTTGAGGACATTGTGCTATTGCCCAAAAGACGGGGTGAAGCCAGCACGCCATTCATCATTGCCCATGAGTTCTTCGATGCGCTCCCGATCCATGCGTTCGAATCTGTTCCGCCTAAAGCAGAAGAGCAACAGCAGCAAGATGGAGACTTGCAAACTGTGAACAATGATGGTCAGCCCATCTCAAAGCCCTCTGCGACTAGTAAAATCCCGCAATGGAGAGAGTTACTAGTGGCACCAACGAATCCAAAGTTCAGTATTCCTCTTTCCCCCGAAACCACAAAGCCAGATCAAAATAAGGAACCTGAACCTGACTTCCAGCTCATGCTTGCCAAGGCGAGCACACCGAGCTCTTTGGTGATTCCTGAGCGACCCCGATACCGCACTCTCAAGAGCCAAGCGTCCTCGCGCGTTGAGATCTCTCCGGAAAGTTCGAGATACGTGCACGCTTTTGCCCGAATGATTGGCGGTGGTGATGGGAAGACAACATCCAAGCCTGCCGGCGCCGCACTGATTATCGACTACGGACCATTGGATACCGTACCGGTCAACTCTTTGCGTGGCATTCGAAAGCACAAGATCATCTCGCCTTTTGTGCATGCCGGGGACGCGGATATCAGCGCCGATGTCGATTTCGAAGCTCTTGCTGACACCGCCCTCGAAGCTAGCTCTGGAGTGGAAGTCCACGGACCCGTCGAGCAGGGAATGTGGTTATCGCAGCTTGGCATTCAGGAACGGGTACAGCGATTGATCGAGGCAGTAGAGAAGGAGAACTCCGCCAAAGAGCTTGAAAAGAAAAGGAGAGACTTGGAAGCTGGGTGGAAGCGGCTAGTTGAGGGAGGGCCAATAGGGATGGGCAAGGCATACAAAGTCATGACCATAGTGCCTGAGAACGGGGGGAAAAGGAGACCCGTTGGGTTTGGAGGTGCCGTCGTTGGCTGATTATGAGCCTTTAATGGAAATGAATTAACGTGTACATCACTGTAGAATCAGAACCAGATTTATAGAATGTGTCTACAAGTATCTATTGGGCTCCGCTGGTTGCAGTGGCTGGACAGGGATAAGAGAGGGGTCGTCCGTTCTGCCGGTCCGCCTCTGTCGAGCACTGAATCTATATCCCCCCCAGCCACTCTGACAAAGAGAGCACCATCCCCGCTCATCACAGCTCTAGATGAGCATCAAAATCCCAGAAGCGGACCTCCATCTCGGTGGCCCTGACGAAGATCCGGATCAACTCCTCAATGCGGGAGGGGCTCTGCTTGAGAATATTCTTCTCGATCAACATGCTGCCGACTCGCACGGCCTCCTGGTAATCGTCTGCGACGTAGTTCTCGACCCAGCGCCAGTAGCGATTCCCCTGCTGGCTGGTGACACTTTCCTTTTCGCGGTACAGCCGTTGTGCCGTCTCGCCGTAGCCGAGCAGACACGGTGCCAAGGCCATTTGCAGGGCAAGCCAGTCTTCGGACTGGCCGACGTCGAGGACGTAGCGCGAGTATGCGATACACGCGAGAGACTCCCTACGCGAGGGGAACTCAATGTCGGCTTTCGAGATGCCGAATTCTCGGCAGTAGCTGAGGTGCAGCTCCATCTCACGCTCGATATGTAGAATGATTCTTGCGGAGGCGGTGATGGCGTCCATGGTCTTGGATTTGTACGCGGCTAGGGCGTGTGTACGCGCAAAGTGCGTGAGGTACAAGTAGTCCTGGATGAGATAGTTCTTGAAGAGATCTTCCGACAGCGTGCCGCGTGCCATCTGTGTGGCGAAGTCGTGGTGGGTGTATTGCTGCCAGACGGGAGCAACTGCAGGATAGGAGAGGAGGAATTCGATGAAGTGGCCTGCGGAGAAGGGCAGAATCTGCATGCTGTGGAAATGGTTGATTGGGCCGGATCCTTTGCCTAAGGACGTGGGAGCAGTCAATATGCCCGCGGACACATATCGGACAGCGAGCCGAACAGCAGTAGCTAGGTCTAAAGGTTGGGACTTGGATTTCTGGAGCGCGAGGTTAGAGGCGATTGCGCTGGCTAGGGAGCAACCAGTCCCGTGGGTATTTTTGGACGTCAGATATTGAGACTCGATGATGGTGTAATCATTGCCGTCATAGAGGATATCAACAGTGATGGACTTTTCTTCGTCAAAGTTGCTCTTAACATAGTCCTTGGTTAACGGCATGTGGCCTCCCTTGAGGAGAATAGCTTTTGGACCAAGGTCGTGGACCAACTTCGCTAGCATTTTCAGATCCTCGAGTCCTGACGGGGACTTGTACTGGATATCTACATCCCGGAGGAGAAGGGTTGCTTCCGGTATGTTTGGCGTTAGTAAGCTAGTCATCGGTAGCAAAAGGTCACGCAAATTGCGCACAGCATCTCCGGGCAACAGCTGGGCGCCGCTGGTCGCTACCATAACCTAGGCCGTATTAATTGAGGTATGTAACAAAATAATCCCGCAGGTGAGGCACACTGCAGGGTTCACCTACGGGATCAACGATGATGGTCGAGGCGCTGTGCCGCTGTAGAGCGTCTGCGACGAGTCGGATCGTCTCAGCGGAGGCGAGCATTCCTTTTCATATCAGTTTGCATCATTCAAAGTTGGGAAAGCGATGTCGTCCGACACTTACCGGTTTTCACAACATCACACCCAATATCCGTGAGACAAGCATCGATTTGCTTGCCGACAAATGCCGGTGGGGTGATATGGACATCTTCAACACCCAAGGTGTTTTGGGCGGTCAAAGCAGTCGTGGCAATCATGCCATAGCACCCATGAGCTGCAAGAACCTTTTGATCTGCCTCAAGCCCACTATGGCCAACCGTGAGGATTCAGCATTTGAGCGATCGCAGTAGTTGTTGGGAAGGGGAGGTGGGGAAGAACTTACGCTCCGCCAGAGCTGTCAGAGCCAGCGATGACGAGGACTCGAGGAACTTTCATCTTAACAGTCGGCTGAAGGCAGATAAGAAAGGAGCGGTATCACGGAACTCTGCTGCCGCCATGATGAGAAAGATAGCAGCACCATCAAGGTCTTGTGCTGCATGGCTGGAGATGGATTCAGATCCTAGCCAATCAGATGCCACCCAAGAGCTCTAATCAAATTTTCCACGGATGTTAAAATTTGGAAGTTGTTTCGTGTCATTAGTGAAAGAGGCACGACTGTAGTGATGTTAGAGGCGGTAAAGGCACTCCTCATGACCGAGTACATGGGTTATTCCCAACCAGTCGCCAGCTAACTGGAGATTCATATCAACTCGACTACTTCAATGCGAATCCGAACAAGGTATCCATCTCTACCCATTGGCGACCGCACTTCTTCAAGTATGCGTCAACTAAAGCCTTGACATTCTCAAATCTCTCCTTGTTCGCCTCTGCAAGGACGACGATCCGGTCCTTCGAATTCGTGTACTCCTTGTCCGATCTCGCCTTGCTCTTCGCCTTCTCCACGTCAAAAATTGTGGCAAAGTACAAGAGCTGGTTGTACAGCTTCTTCTCGGAGTATTCGAAAGACATTCGCCCTAGGCACCCCTCTGCTCTTCCATTTGGTCCCAGGCATCTGTGACCATACACTGACATCTGGCGAGTGCGGTTCCCACACGATGAATCGTCACAAACCAGCCAGCCTTCGTAGTATGCGCAAGTTTGGGCTCGAATTTGTGCATCAAGCTGCATGATGACGGACATATTTGTGAATGACTTTTGGCATTCACTATTGCTGCACACAATTCCATCTGGCGTGGCGATTGCTGTGGATTCACAGAGTCCTTCAAATAATGAGATGTCCTTGCAATGCCCACAACGAAGGCTCAAGCGAGCAGCATCTTGGAATCGAACACTGTCAGGAATCTGGGACTCGAGAGGAAAGATTTCCGAATTCTGTCGTTCGTTTCCAGTATTGGTGCTAATCTGATATTTGCGTACATCAAGACCCAGGCACTCCGCGAGTCGAACAGAGTCAGTGCCGGGAATTGGGGCACATAGTCGTTCAATTGGAGGGAAAATCTGCTTGTACAAGTAGTATTCAAAATCGGGAACCAGATTGGAGTCCGCTTTCAAGACATCTTGAGGTGTGTACGATCGTTTCGGTGCCGGTAAGCTCTTCGTTTCATCATCTCCCATGGTAACAATATACGACATGACATCGTTGACTCGAACATTTTTGCCACGAGATATCTCACGAAGCGCTACTTGCACTTGTGGCATGGAGTCTTTGTTGGGGTAGTCTGTGGGATTTTTACCCAATTTCTGAGTTGGTCAGTCCAGGATCAACGTTGTGCATGTGGTTGTACTCACGGTGTATATCACATATTTCTGAACCGGAATACTATTTTCTCTCATTTTGGTTGCCAATTCTCGGAGATATTCATGGATCTTCTCCAAGACAACTTCCGAATCTTCGCCAGATAAGATTTCGTTTAACAGCTTTTGAGAGGCCTCCTTGGAAAGAGCACAGTATTCTCTGCGCTTCATGTCGAGGCCCTTGACTTCAAGTTTCTCAACGTACTTGCCGTCGATTTCAGCCATGTTGATGGCTGCGTACTTCTTCTTAGCATGAAGCAGCAATCGTCGGAAGACATTGTCAATATCTATCTCCAAAAGCTTGTATCGTTCGTTGACTGAGTTCTTGAACTCTTTGCCAACAGCTAGAGCTTGGGCAATCGTGTCTGCATTGGTGTTGATCATGACCGAGTCTGTGTCCCCGTATATGACCTGTAGTTGATTGCTCTCCGCAAGCTCTTTGGTACTCCTTAGAATCTCTCTTCCTTTGAAGGTAGTGAGCATCGCAAGTGGACGTGCGTAGAATCGAGACTGAGTATAACCCAGACAGCCATACATCGAGTTGGCTGTGAGCTTCAAGGCCATCTGCTTGGTATCCCACAGTGCCATTTGCTCTGCTGTGGCGCGCTTATCTCTCATCAGCTTCTTCACCTCTCGACGACGCATAACAAGCGTTGAAATAAGTTTGGGAAGAATGCCTTGTGCCTGATCCACTGGCACTTCCGGGACCTTCTCTTCATTCTCGTTCTCAGATGTAGCCGAACGGTCCACAGTGGTGAAGCAGATGTTGTACTCCTGAATGATGCTGGGATACAAGCTGTTGAAGTCCATCACGAGAATGAACTTGTCATAAAGCCCCTTCTCAGGCTCGAAGACCAGTCCTCCCTTGTACTTGTCTTTTTTCTTAGTATCAGCACCATCTTCCCCTTCCTGATGTTCCTCTATGGCTTTCGCTCGTCCTTTACCATACTCCTTGTCTGGGCAGATATACTTGTTACGATGGAACTCGTGTAGCAAGATATATTCGTTGCGTTCCGCACGAGTTCCACTCAAAGTTCGTGCCCATGAATTACCTGCGAGTTCAGTGAGGACTTTCGTGAGTGGTAAAAGCTGTAGTTTTATGGCGAGAGCAGCAATAAAGAAGGTGTCAGCCAGGCAGTGATTAACGTAATTCATCAACCCATCACGTGTCGTAGCCCATGTCTTCAGTGCAGCCTCATTATCAAGCTCCCGCCGAGGATTGTCAGGCCCGAGGTAGAGTTCGCACATCTCTGTCAAACTCCATTGCTGGCATTTCATCATGAGGGACTTGCCCATGTCGTTGGCAAGATCACACATCAAGCGTCCAGCCAACAGTTGACGTTCAGCGAAGAACGATGATCCACCTTTTCCAAACGTCTTCGGCCACTCGCCACGCTTCATCCTTCCGATTCGGTGCCAGCCAGGCGTTTTCTTTTCCTTTAGACGACTGAGAAGAATGCTATAATCGACTTCTTGGAGTTGGTGGCCCATGAGACAATCTGGATCGACCTTCTCAAATAGTGCGAGAAATTTACTCAGAAGGAATTGTTCACTCTTTTCGAGAAAGAAGGTTCCCTTCTGCTTCTTGGTCTCAGTCTCAAAGCCTAGTGGGTAAGAAGATCCCGATGGTCGCATCACAGTGAATGTCCTCGACGGCATCTTTTCTGGCTGAGTAGTATCTGTCAGGGATACGTTTTCGTAAACTCGAGCAGAGGCAATCATAATTTCCTGCTTATTTTCCTTCACGTTGAGCTGCGTGCGGAATGACAGAGACATTAGGGTGAGTCGGGGAGTCTCTAATGTGTCAGTATTGCTGAGTACTGTGATGTTGGCAGGCTTTGTAACAGCGCACTCAAGTTTGCACCAAGAGGCATTGTTCACAGCAGTAAAGTCAGCACCCTCGATGTTCAACCAACAGGGACCCATGATGTTCTTCCATAGCACAAATTGTTCGAACAAGGCTGTGTTTGTGCCGAACACTTTAGAAAAGGTGTCTCCTTGAAGATCCATCGGTAAAGTCGGCTTATCATAGGGGTATAAGAGTTTCAAGTATTCGGACTCTTTCGGAACATCTGGAAGCTCAAAGGCGTACTTTCTGTTGCAAGGCTTTACCTTCCTTGTATTGATTTTCATCTTTGACATGAGTGCATCTACTTCTTCGAAAACGTTTTCCATCTCAACTTCCTCGGTAGTCTGTCGCCCGTTGGAGTATTTGCACTTCCTTGGAAGGAAGAATAGTTTTCGAAGAATATTGTCGACCTTCACAAAAGCACTGAGATACTGTCCTGTCGACTTATGCTTGACTTTTCCAAACAGGCAAAGACTGCCATTTACTTCGGTGTAGTCAAGCCAGAACATTCGCAAGCTGCCATCCTCTTCCACAGCATCTTGCGGTTTCATCTTGCCGAAGACGTGAGTCTCGGATGCAGGGCTACTCTGGACGCTGAGTCTGTTGGTAATGTTGTTCCACGCCGTAGCATCGACTTCAGAAACGGCTGGCAATGGAGGAGAAGAATTTACAGGTGTTGGTAACAGGGCCGGTTTGATCTTGGGCGGCGGTTTACTACCTGTCATGTTGACACTGGTGGTTGTCGAGCCCTCGTGCGCGACAGCCTGCGCGACAGCCATCATATCTCCATCCTCATCCTCCTCTTTGATCAGAATCTTGGCTCTCCGCTCAACAGCTTTCACAACAGGCGACGAGGGAAGAGGATCACTCATGATGGCGTCATCATCCCCCATGATAGGCAGATTATCGTCTTCTTCCACCATTGCTTGAGGTAGAGGTGGATCGGCCAAGTTCACCTGGTATTTCTGTCGAGGTTGATCTCGGGTGGGAGGAGGAGAGAGAATTCTGACTTTGCGACGAGATTCTGATTTGATGGTTTTTTTGGTAAAACTGCGCGCCGGAACGATGTTGGCGTCGACCTCGCCGAGCAAATTGGCCATGAAGGCTTCATCTTCAGCGGTGGTTTGTATCTAAAATAGTTAGAGTTGGATGGTTCGTGGAAGTAGTGCAAACACACCTTAGGTTTCGGTGCAACCACAGGGCCGTTGTTGAAATAATTCAAAATCTTGTTGTTGGATTTGTCTTCCTTCTCACGATCTTCCTCTCGTTTTCGTTTAGCAGCTTTTGATCGAGGCTTAAGCTCTTCGCCTTCATCACTACTGTAGGAGACTCGTTCGTTTTGCCACTCCTCGCGTCCATCGTCGGCGTAACCTTCTCCGTTGTCATCGACAACAAAGTCATCTTTGTCAAGCCGACTTCGCACGACCTTTTTGTAGCCGTCCTCGTCTACCTCATCGTAGATGGCACCCAAGTCCTCAACTTGGTAGGTGTCGAGACGTGTTTTGCCAGAGGCACGTTGTGCCCGAAGCTGAGCAAGTGCAGACCGATGCGACATGCTGACGCCTGGAACCCTCAATATAGGATCATATAAGATACTATCACAGAAAGATGAATGGTAGTGGGAAAGAGAGGTCAAGAAGAGAGAGCAACCATACAATAGAATGCAGATCGTGGGACGCGAAGGAACGCGTACTTTGGCCCAACGCGCTAAAACTAATTGGTGCCCCACCCGCGCGTCACGGCCTTGCCCACTCCGCCTGAACAGGGTTAAGGTACCAACCACCACATCAAGTCCAAATTTGTCTGATAGGTATCAGTGCGAAGGACCCGATCTACCCACATATACGAGCCTGTGATTCAGCCAACGCGTATTCATAACATCGTACCTGGCCGGAGCCCCTTGATTCTCTCTCCTCTTCTGCAAGTGACGACTTAGCACCAAGACTCGTACAGCATCCGGCAGGAAGCTCTGATAAAGCCTGCCATTTTGATCTATACGGAGATGCAAATGGCATAAAATAATTCGGGACATGGGAAGTATTTCAAGGGGGGATTTTGAGAACCACTCGTCCACCTATTTCGAACCTAGCCAGCCTTTCCATGATGTTGTTGATCTCGTGAAATTCAAAGACGGAGATCTGAGGCACAACCTCGCCCTTGACCGCCATCTCAAGAAGCTCATCCAACTCTGAAGTCGTGCCTACAGAGGATCCAACAACATGCAGACCTGTAGATCCACCATTAGCTTTTCCAAGCCCACGAAGCTCTCCAGAGAAGCTCCCCAGATGAAGTGTGAGACATACCACGGACAATCATCATAAATGGTGATATGGGGAGGTTGAAGTCAAGCCTTGGGATGCCAACGCAGACTAGTGTCCCTAGGTTGCGAACGTGTTTGAAGCCTTGACCATATGCCGCTTCGGAGCCAGCTGAGACAATGCAAGCATGGACACCGAATCCATTCGTTAATTTATTGACTTCTGCATCAACCTTTATTTATTGCGATTATTAGCCACATTGTACTGTCAAACGCAGTAATCACTAATAACTCGAATGTCACTCACATCATCGGTTTTGAAATCGAGAAAAGCCGTTGCTCCGAGGTCCATACACATCTTTCGCTTCGCATCTCCCGTGTCAATGGCAATCACCTTATAGCCTCGTCTTGCTGCAACTTGCAGGCCCCTGTGTTTATCAGCCTCGTATGTCAAATTTGTAAATATTTAATATGGGGTTGACAGACAGGTGGCCAAGTCCTCCTCCGGCTCCCGGGAGCAGCAACCATTCCCCGGCATTCAGCCTTGTCTTTAAGACGGCGGAATACATGGTAAGTCCAGCACAAAGGAGAGGTGCGGCGACTTCCGACTTGAGCCCATGAGGAATCTTCGTAGTATCTTTCGCTGGAGCAACCATAAATTGTTGAAACGTCCCCCTCCTATCCCGGCCCGAATTGTGCTGGTATGGACATGCAGTCGGGTTTACCTGGCATATTTCGCAATTTCCACAAGTGCTATATTGCCATTTGATCCCGACTCGTGTGTTGAGCCAGTCTTCCGACACGTTTGAACCCAATTGGATGACCTGTCCAATACCCTCATGCCCTGCAATATCTGTTTCCATAGGAGTTTCGCCATATATACTGTGGACATCGGAATGGCAGAACCCGGTATACTCTAGCTTCACGAGGAATTCACCCTCTCCAGGCATAGGAATTTCGATATCATTCCTGATCTTGAGCCGTGCTCCATGCTCCGGCTTTTCTAGCCAGGCGGCGATTTGAGTCTTTGTCTCCAACGAAGCCATGCTTCTTTTAGGTGCAGCTCACATAGACTCCCTAATGGCACAATCGCAGTGCAAGTTCTATGGGGCCGATTAAGTAATTTAAACAGCGGATACGAAAGAGTACTTGAGGGGTCTATGCCACCCTCAGCCTTGCCAAGACTCGCATCCGCCCGTTGGGTCAGCCGACTTATCCGACATCTCCCCGGTGTCAGTGATTGAGCGCCTTTCGTTTTCGTCCCCGTATTGCTTACACTTATCATCGACTGAAATCCGGGAATATTCCTAAGTCTACCGAGACTGCGCTTTCATGGCCGACATGAAGAACAAACGGCCATATCTCCGGTTGATGGACGCAGGTAATCTAGTGAACGCCGTCAACGCCACAGAATAGGCAAAAGGTAGTCTAGGTTCCCGTCAAGACTTTCAAAATTGCTTGTCTCGAGGATCCTCATTGTCGCCTGAAGAACTTCTGTTTTCGTATGTGATTGATTACCGTAGGTTGGAGAGAGTCTGAGTGATTCAGGTTGCTTGCATTCCGTTCGAAGGAAGTGAAACTCAACAACGTTCAATACCGCACAAACACGATTCGTACTAATTTTCTACCTGTCTCGAATAAATGGTACTTATCACCCGCAAAAACGGCTTCAATTTCACTTTTTTATAGCGTCGTGCATGTCTTCAAAAAGCGTCACCATGGTGGGTTGCTCGAGCAGTCTCAAACCGTTCGGCAGCCCACTTTCTAAGAGCCTCCCCCTTAAAATAATTGACCAACATCAAAACGTGCGCGACGAATAGAACGACAGCCAAACCACCAAAAGGTACGGAATATCCGGCGCTTGTGTTCCAGGGAACAATGGCATAGCTGATCCCAAACGCCGCGCAGTTTTTCATGCCATTGAAGATGACCATAACGGTGTCCATACGAGCTTCATAGACATCAAGCAAATATGCAAACGATATGCTCAGAGAGCAGATGAAGCAAAAGCTGACTGTTCATATATTGACGTTAGAGAACCTAGACATGCCTATTCTAGGTATTAGACTTACCGAATGCTGAGCCAAACAATGGGCCAATCCAGTGGCATTGCTCTTGAGTGCAAACACCGAACAATATAAGACCAGCTATGCCAATGAACCCAGTGATGGCAAGGAGTGGTAAACGCTGTTCTGGTCTTGGCTTTTCTCCTCTTCTCTTCACCCATCGGATGCAAAGTCGATCAGCCAAAATGCCACAGAATACCATGGCCAACCATGTTCCGATTAGAGGTGCGATAAATGTCAGACCGGACTCTCCGATCGAGAAAGGGTACACAACCAAATAGGTGATGGATTGGGTGGTCTGTTTTCGACTTCAGCTTTATTTGGTTGGCTACCAGAGGCCCGCAAATAACTTACCAAAAGATAGCTATTGACAACCAGACAGAGCGAAAAGAATGCCATGTTGAGGAGGATGACTGGATGGCAAAAGTAGGGAAAGATCATCAGGAACCCATAGCCCAGACTGCGAGGATCATATTAGCAACTTTTGTTTCCACCACCAAAGAATTCCACTCACCTGTGAACTTTTGGTCTCCCTCCACCGCTTACAGGCCAGAACTTGTAATTATCTTTCCAGGTGCGCTGTGGGTTCATTCCGAGATGATCCCCGGTGTATTGTGTTTCAGGAAATAATAAGGCCAGGCCGATGGCCGTGCCGAAGGTGAGAATGGCCAGAACCCATTCAGTCCATCTCCAACCGAGATTCCTTGGACGTAGGTCAGTATTCTGTCCATTTGTCTGGGGTAGGTACGCATACTCATTTTGTATGATGAAAGACCCGACCAATGGACCACCAGCAAACCCAGAGGCTTGCAAAATTCCTATCCAGCTCATTGCCTTGGCTCGGTCCTTGAGATGAAAAACATCTCCAACCATTTGCGGAGCAAGTGTCTCTGGAGGTGCATAAAATGTGGAAGCTAAAGTTCGCGCGGCGACAAGACTTCCAAAACTCGTTGCTTTTGCCGCCCAGCAGTTCATGCAGCCTGCAATCAACGCACAGACAACGAATACAAGTCGGACGCCATAGCGGTTACCAAGCGGAACCCAGATAAAGGAGGCGATCCCGTAAGCTAGAAGAGGGCCACCGATGAGGTATGTTGATGATGCGAAGGAGGCATTGAACTCGACAGGGACAATTTGAAGTGCTGGTCCAATGATGATCATATTCGTGGTCCCGAGCAGGATCCAAATTCCCACGATCAATAGAATGGTGAGTTTTCGACCACGGCTCCATGTAAGAGGGTCATGAGGATCGGTTGCGTGGTTTTGCTGCACTGCATCCCCTTTGTCCTCTATCTCTGCGATGTCATTCTCAGTAATCATTTCTGGAGCTTTCTCAGGGTTGAGCATTTTAGGCAGAAAGAACATTGTGTGAGAGCCAAAAAGATTGGGGACGAGTTGCTGTTTGATTAGCGAAACCCGGAGTCTGGGGAATGCAGGAGGATTCCAAGTTTTATGTTCTTGAGAACACGGCCCAAGAAGATTCACGTTGGCCACTATCGTTATTGGAATGGCGAGAGCACTGAGTGGAACCTTCCAAAGAAACTAGAATAGCCATCGGTTCGTATATCGGGGAAATCCCGCCATACTCCCGCTAAATTACTGGGGCATCACCAGAAAGAGACGGTCTTGCCTAAAGCCTTCGGGGGATATCCGAGCCAAAGACAATTTGAACCAGGGATGGTCGGGTAAGAAAGCTGAAGACTTAGAACTTAGCCAGAATCTCTTACAACTAATCAAGGATGCTTCAACGGCGACATCACATCAATTACAATCTAGACGGGAAATCTTAGGGTTATTAATTTATTCATCTAACCCTGGGGGTGATTGATGTTTCTGTCCAACCCCCTTCACAGATTGAGCAGTCGTTTTGCATTTCCCGAATAGATATTGCTGACAGCATATTCATCAAACAAATCTGCCAAACCATGGTCCATGCGTACTGCCATTGCGGGAAGTGCAGAAGCAGGGGTATACGGGAAGTCGCTCCCGTACAACAGCCGGGAAGAGTCCGTGGTCCTGATCAAACCATGAATCTGGTCAGGGAATGGAAATCCTGCCAGATCAAAGTAGAATCTCGACTTGAACAGCCTTTTCACATCTTGTGAATTCACACCCTTCTGTCCGTTCAAAATGACAGATGAGAATGAGGAGAATCGCTCAATCAAAGGTGGCAAAGCTCCACCACAGTGTGACACAAGGTACGTGATGTTGGGATATCGCTCGACAGTGCCTGATAGTATAAGATTGACAACCGCCCTTGTGCTGTCGAAGAAGAATTCTAGGACCGGGGCAGGATATTGTGACAGAGGCCTGTCGGCATCTGGCATACTATGAGCATGGCATGAAGTCGGGTGCATGAAAACAATCGCATTCTTTTCATTAAGTCTTGCAAAGACTTTATCGAGCTTCTGGTCACCGAGATAATAGCCGTGAGCATTAGTCATGAGGGCGAACCCGTAAGCGCCTAGAGAGTCCAGAGCATAATCGATCTCGGCGAGGGACCCTTCGGCATCAGGCAGTGGCAAAGATGCAAAGAACCCAAATCTATCAGGATGCTGTCGACAGATAGCAGCGATCTCCTCATTCGTTTCACGTGTGACCCGACAAGCTAGCTCGTCATCGCCAGGCTTTAGGTGGGTTCCCGGAGATGTGATGCTCAAGATAGACTTTGAGATGTTCAGTTGATTCATTAAGTCAATGTGTGCTTCGGGAGTCCATTCCTACGAACAGTCAGCTGTGGAAACAATGTCTTGTACTCAACGTACTGGAATAGCCGGCATGCCGTCCGGGTTTTTGAAACCGTGTTCGCAACAGTGTCGGCGCCAGGCCTTAGGAACAACGTGTGTATGGGTATCAATTCTAGACATTTTAGACCAGGCGAACTGTAGTCACAATTTCACAAATACACTTCGGGTCTCAGCCAGGGTCCAAAGGTCTTTTACCTCATAAAGGTGTTTCTCTGGCCACCACTAGTTAATGTTAGCCAATTGGGATCTTCTTGGACCGTCTCTTGCTTTCTGGAGATAACGAATCGTTAGCCGTCGGATAACCCGTCAAGAGTGTGAAGCATCCAAACACCGAAAGGGGAGGTTCGGGATAGTGTCCCGACATGTTCGACTACATCTCCATTGCCTGTGTCAAGTCAATGGCTTTAATCTTAAAATGATCCTGCTGATCCGATACTGTGGGTGACTAAGGAGCACTACAGCTAGTAAAAATGGTGGCTGTCAAAACTGTTGAGGTTTCGGTTTTACCTACTGGCTATCTTTGGCTGCCAGACCGATGGATATTCGCAGATGGAGATCCATCAGTACACCACTTATCTCCAGATTACAGCTTTCTCATTCGTCACCCTTCGGGCATCAATGTTGTTTTCGATTTGGGCATGCGCAAGGTTAGTCCTCGACAATTTACACGGCTTAATAAGAGATTGACTTTGAAACCAGGATCTAGACAAGAATCCAGCAGTCATACGCGCGGACTATGCCGCTATCGACCCCTATGTACCCAAGAGTGCATTTGACCTTCTTGAGGAAGGACCTATAAAAGCAAATGACATCGATATCGTGGTACTTAGTCATCTGCATTTCGACCATTCTGGAGATGTTGCCGAGTTCCCCCGGGCACAAATTCTCGTTGGGCCTGGATCAATCAATTGCATAAGTCCCGGATATCCTATAGATGAGGCTTCGCCATTCGACGGAACCGTCCTCAAACACGCAGGTCTCACGGAATTGAAGAAATCGCAATATCAAATTGTCGACGCGGGAACTGTGCCAACAGAATTTCCCTTTGAAGAGGGAATTAACCTGTTCGGTGACGGGTCTTTCTGGATTCTGGACGCGCCAGGACATATGACAGGGCATCAGATGGCGCTGGCAAGGACTGGTCAAGATGAGTGGGTATCAATGGGAGGAGACTGCTGCCACCATCGAGATTTACTTGATAACCCTCGTCGCGATATTAGCATAGATGTGGGGCCAAACGGTCAGCCTGGTTTCCACAAGGACCCAAAAAGGGCGAAAGAATCGATCAGGAAGTTAGAGCTGTTACACTCTAATGTGTCTGTGTTCGTTGCCCTTGCACATGACGCACAGATCGATGGCATAGTACCTGTCTACCCGGAATCCTTGAATGGCTGGTCCAATGATGGGCTTAAGAAAAGAGTGAGAGGAACTCCACTCACTCTAGACGAAGTAAAAGCTAGATATTGGTGACCTTATCTTTGTTTCCCCGAAGAGGCTCCCCTGCGACAGGATGCAAGCGAATGCTCCTTATGGGGAGGTACCAGGGTCATTGACAGGTGCAGCCTGCTAAGCATGCTAGCCGCTGCCCATGCCATTGGAGGATTTGCAGATAATACTGCTACCCTATGCACCAAAAGCAACTTCCTGAGTCCAATGAGAAGAAAGGGCCAAAAAACCGATCGCGGCGACTGCTTGAAGTGGAAATTGACACAAGGCTACGTCACGTGACAAGCGCAGCCTTCGGGGAGAGATCGGTTATGTTTGGTCCGTGGGAGCTGGTAAGCCCGATCCAGTTGCCAATACCTGGTTTTCCAGTCCACCAGTTGGGCAGTTGAAGTTGCTAATCCATGGGAGAGAACTTCAGTACGCATGGGTGAAAAAATCGCATTTGTGAGCAGCTCCAGTTGCTTCTCTTACGCAGCTGACCCGCCGACTAAAGGCTGAAGACTACTCGCCAAAGGGTTAAGAATTAACTCTAATTGAGGTTGGGCGTTGCCGGTGCTTGGAAAACTAACGGTGCATCCCCGCTTGATATACAAAGGATTCAGTTCCCCGATATTGCCGTCTGACTTCCTTCTCATACACTGTGCAATCCGATCAGGAGACTGAGGGTTCCGACACGTGATAATTCATAGTCATAGATTATCAAAGATTTCCACCGGCCATGGCGGGGGATCAAGCACGAAGAGCCTCCCAGACCGATTCACAGGAGCCAACGACCCCACCTCCATCCTACAAGCGAAGGAGAATTGCCCTGGCATGCACCTCATGCAGGAACCGCAAGTCTCGCTGCAATGGAGCGAAGCCTTCCTGCAGCCTCTGCGTGGAGCTCGGTTTTAACTGCGTTTACCAGCAACCTGCAGCAGGAAGTTCTGCTAACAACGTGAAGAGCTCACAAGTTCAATCGGGCTATGACGAAAGACTGCGTGCTATCGAGGACACTTTACGCCTCTTGGTTCATCAGAAAGAGCCGGAAACTAACTCACGTGAGCCACCACCACTGCGAAGCCACACGCTAGAACAAGGAGAAGCATTCCAGCAAGCCTCAAATTCAGACGAAGATGTCGCAATCCTGGATGAAGATGACTCCCAACTACAAAATGGTGGCGAAGACTCAGTCGACGGGATGGCAGCAATCACAGATCCAGAAGATAGAGAATCCAGATTCTTTGGACCATCATCCAATATAACGTTCCTGCGTCATATATCTGATGCGACCTCTGCTACGCTTAAGTCAATCGGCCACTCTCGGCAATCAGACAGCGGACTGAACCAACAACTCGTGTCAAGAGCTGCGTCCCCAGTGACAACACTGTCCGAGACAAGCCCAGCGATCCGGAGCCAATTTGTCAACATTCGATCGTTGCCTTCCGAATCCCGTGCCCTTCACCTGATCCGACTCTTCTTCTCCGACACTGGAATGCTGTTTCCATATATACACGAACAAGATATCTTACGAACATATTCTGCCGCAAGGCGGAATAAGTTCACAGCTGTGAGTCGGTCTTGGTTGTGCCTGGTAAATGTCATATTTGCCTTTGCGACATATATCAGTGCCAGACCGGAACAGCCCGCAGAGAAGAACGCAGCCGAGTCGGAGGTGTTCATCGAGCGAGCGCATGCTTTGTCGGCTGACATAGAACTCAAATCAGCGAATTTGGAAAGTGGTAAGAATTCCCCACTTCATAAGCCAGACCTTGGTCAAATTCCGCGTTATTAACGAGCACTAGTGCAATGTTTTCTGTTGATGGCACAATTCCGCCAGGGGACTCAGCGGTCCGATCAAGCCTGGAGTCTCCATGGGCTAGCTGTTCGTGCAGCCATACAACTGGGTCTTCACTCCAGGTCGGCAACGGTTGGCTTGACAGCCGTGGAGGCAGAGATACGGAAGCGAACATGGTTCGCATGCATGGTGCTAGACAGGTAAGAGCAGAAGGAGCTATAGCGGAGTCCCTTGTTCTTACTTATACCAGGACGCTCAGCATGACCTTCGGTCGTCCCGCAACCATCCCAAACCAATATATGAGGCTCGAGTTGCCGGTCAATCAGAATCTGGAGAAACTCAGCATGATGGGAACCTCAACAGGGTCCCTCAGCACTTTGGATCCACCAGACACTGTTTGCCTCTTCATAGCAACAATGTAGGGAAGGCTATTTCCTGCTGATGAAGAGAGATGGACTAACGATTTGGTAGAAAACTGTACTACATTCTGGAAGAAATTATATGCCAGTTATACGGATCCAATATTGACGGCGACCCGCAGTTAACGATTCCGGCTATGCTGGAGAGAACGCTTGCCCTCGAGCAGAAATTAGCCGAGTGGAAACTTGATCTTCCTTCCCAGCTCCGGAGACGACCCTGGGATACTCTCGACCCGGATGCGGTCTCGGCGTCTTCATGGGATCCTGTCTTCGACCGATTAAGCGTTATAATCACTTTGAGATATCTCAACATTCGGATCCTACTGCACAGGCCTGTTCTGAGCGCATTCTTGCTCCGAAGAGCGAGGCTTCGAAATGCCACCTCGGTATCCGAAGACGAAGACCACTTTTTCCAAGACCTTGGAGAGCGAAGTGTCAAAGCGTGCGAGCAATGCGCTATGGATATTGTTGACATTGTGCATCGTACTAGCAGACCGCCGGCTCTTTTGGGAGCTTGGTGGTTTTCTGCGTACTACAGTAAGTTTTACCAGAATCTCGCAACTCTCCATGGCTAAGAAGATGGTCTAGCGTTCAATGCCGCACTTGTTATCTTCAGTTGCATTCTGATGGAAATTACGACAGCCGCAAGATGGACTCCGTCGGGCCCGACCATCACGATGGCAGAGTCGCTCGATACTACTAAAATCACTGACATGATTACGAAACTTCGTCATGCGGCAGAGACACTGCAAAGATTTGGCGAAGGAACGAAGTCAGCCAAGAGGATAAGAAAGACGTTGTTGAAGCTGGTGCAGATCTGCATGACTTTGGCCCAGTGCAGTCCTGAGCATGGTCCAACCATTCTCAGCTCTTTGGCGTCTACCTTTGACGCAGACTTGGCTAGGTCACAGACACAGCAGAATGAGGCCCTTGTACAAAATATGGGTCAGGAGATTGGGCCTGAAGAAATGATGGCCAACAGCATGCTTCCAATGCTGCCGCCCCCAGACCTATTCACTGCATACGACATGAGTATGCATCAGTACTGGACCGATACCAACTTGGATCTGTTCAGCGACCTTGTTGGTGTTGAAAGCGGTCTCACCTCGCTAATGGCAGGGTAGCATCGATCCATGCCAATTCTTAATAGTCCTAATCATTTAATTGAAAAGCAAGTCAACCTACGTCTCTTGATGGCGGTCATATGTCGTAATCCGCAACCGTAGAGGGCTACATTGCCGAGACGTGACTTGCGCGCGTTCTCTCAGCAAGAACCAAGTATCGGTCCCACAGAATAAAATGACAAATAGTCAATCGAACGGTGCGTTCTTCAATTGTTGATTGGTAGAAAGCGGAACAGGCCCAAACGCCGACTCTTCACCGGCACCATATTGCGCCATGCCGTTCTTTCCCCGGACCACTTCACTTCCATTCCGTCAGTGTACGAATCCAAATTCCGAAGTAAAACAAAACCAGAGGATCGCTCAGCCTGGCGAGCTCAGTAAACAACAAAAGAAGAATTTTTGAGCATCAAAAATGGTCAAAGTTGCGTGGACACGTCTAATCCGCTTCGTTGCGACTGACGGCCGGACACTGCGAGGGGAACCTATTCTTCCTTCGGAAAATTTCGATGTTGGCAACGCCACAGAAGCAGACGAATTGCAGGCGAAAGTGATTGTCGGTGATGACATATTCGACACGACAGGGCAGACATTCGTGACGAACGAGATCGTCGGCGTGAAGAAGGTGCTCGGGCCATTGGCGGCCTCGGAGATTCCAATCTTGAGATGCGTGGGTTTGAATTATGCAAAGCACAGTGCGTATGGTCATGGATCTTTTTGAAGGTCTCTTAGATTGAGGATCTATGCTTACCGTTAAGAAGTCAAGGAAGCTGGGAGAGCTCCTCCACCATTCCCATTCATTTTTTTCAAGCCAAACACGACGGTTATCGACCACGAGGCGTCGATCGTGATACCGAAAATCGCCCAAGATGATCAAGCAGACTATGAGGGAGAATTTGTTCGTTAATACCAACCAGTTCTACCAAGGGATCAATGCTGACGAAGTTCTTCAATCCAGTGCATAGTGATTGGGAAGGATGCAAAGGATGTCTCAGTGGACGACGCCCTTGACTACGTCGGAGGCTACACAGCTGGAAACGACGTCTCATCTCGAAAGCTTCAACGTGACCCTGAACTTGCTGGAAGAGTGCCTCAATGGGGATTTTCCAAGGGATTTGACACTTTCGCTCCACTAGGGCCCGTTCTCGTTGCACCTGCACTCATTCCCGACCCTTCAAAACTTCATCTCAAAACGATTGTGGACGACGAAGTCAGACAGGACGAGAGCGTGTCCGACTTGCTCTTTGACTGCAAGTACATCATCTCTTACCTGAGCTCCGGGACAACGCTGCAGAAGGGAAGCGTGATCATGACAGGTACCCCTGGAGGTAAGCATTATTCCTTTTATTCAGCCGCCTGAATGCGAATCAACAATTAACGTTGGGCACAGGCGTTGGAGCCGGATTAAAGCCGCCGAGATACCTGACCCCAGGAGCCAAGATCGAGGTTAACATCACGAAAATTGGGACCCTTCGAAACCCTGTTGAATTCGCGTAAGCTAACATTGAAATCTGGAGTTGGAAACAATCTGTTCTGGTGGGAACTGCTTAAGATCCCGCATAGACATATAGACACTCGGGACAGACCACTTTTTCCTCCATGTACTTGATAGAACACCTGGTCGCTGCATGAGAGTTCATTCTGAAGAGAGAGATATCGATGGGCAGAATCATTATCCCAAAAGGGTAAATTACCAATGGCCTTGCTCGCTGCCAAGATATGCTAACTATCATCGTCCTTCTGTGTGTGGGAGGCTCGGTGGCTTCAGCACCTAATATGATCTCGCATCATCCCGTTTGTCATTGCTACAGCCGACATCCAGAACTCCGTATACCATGTGCGATGGCCTACTTGCTACCATTCTTTTGATCTGTGCGCCTACCACGCCCGCATACCATCGGGCATAGTAGAGGGGCTGCTTGTGTCCGCTCCATGTTGACACCTCCATTTGCCGTGTTCAGCGCTCATGCAGCTGGGGCTCGATTGGCCAGGCTCAAAATCTGTCAGTTGGCTGCTTGCTTGGATGAAGGACAACGGCACCCCCTGGCTCTCGCTGTTGCTCACAAGCTTTGCTCTTTCTCTTGCCAATTTCAGCCTTATTTTGGGGGCTTTTGTTCGTCGCGGGCGATCCAGCTTCCTTCATTTCTTTTCAGCCGACAATGCGCACACTTGAGTGGCGAATCCAATCAGAGTTGAAGATACTTTCCCTTGGAATACTCGTGCAACTCCCCGTCTTTGTCGCCGGTCAACCCAACAACGTGCTCTTGATACCAGGAGGACTGGTCGACGCTCGAAGTGGCCACAGGACAGCAGCAGACTCTAGAATGGATGGACCCCCTCGTCTGGAACAATTACCATCAAAGTAGTGGGCTGTGAGAAAGGAAATCCGCCTTTCCATTGTCGTATCCGCCTGACAGATTCGTCCTCCCATTCAAGCACATCTGGCTCCTCCACGTCTTGTCCATCACCAAGCATCTCGAGCACCTCTAGCAATACCAGCAACACGGAAACTTCCGCGGAGACTAGGGCGGCACTGACAACCTGATCTAGTTCAAGCTTAAATTCTACTAGGCCTGATGCTGCCGCACGGACAGGTCAAGCCCCTGTACATCAAACTTCAACCGGTTGCTCAACCGGGGCCATCGCCGGCATCGCAATGGGATGCTCCATGGACGGTTTCATTGTGCTAACCATATTGGTGGTCCTCGTCAGGAAGCGGCTAAGAATGCAAAAGAAATCAAAATAACGCCATCGGAACAGGGGCCAGTGAGTGACTCAAAGCTGGCGGCAACGGATAACTCAAAAGCTGAGAACCACAGACTGGACCAAAAAACCTGAAATGTTCGCTCACGCTGGTCCCGGGTGGGGACGTCACGAAGCTGGATGGAGACCACAAGTATGAGTTTCAAAGCACCTCGAGCTCACGACAAGATATCTACTCTCCTAACGATGGAGGTAGGCGAGAAATAAAAGCTTTGATAGCTCATAATACACTGCGAAGTGAGAAAAGGTTAAAGAGGTCCCAAAACTGCCCATATGGAGGCTGCTTGATGTTACAAAGTATTGTTCTCCTCCCCAAATAAGTATCATCACTCCATAAATATCGCTCGTAGTAGACTCGTAAATGTGGTAGCGGAGGTTCAATTTCAGGCACGTGTGTGCAGCTTCCACGTGCTCCTGTCTTCCATCCACGAAGAAATCATGCGCCTGACAGACCGATTTTCTGCACAAGCCACTTATTGAACCAAGAGGCTCAGTGCAGTACAACGTAACTATCCCGTCTGACATCGATATCAAACTCTTTCATTCAACGCCGGGATCTTTGAATCCTTTGTTTTCTTCCCTTCCCATTGATAATTGCTGAGTATGCGTAGCCCAGATTCAAAGTGCTAGGTGTGGTAATATGTCATTCTCGTTTGGATTCAGCGGCGATGACATCGAAGATGACGGCCAAGACGAGGAGCAAGCGGGCGGTCTGATCAACGACATGTTGAAGCATTTCATCTCGGAGCATACTGCGGGTCCTTCCCAGACGATTGCGCCCAGGATGCATACTTTACGTGAGCTTGTAAGTTTATATCCCTCGCTCAGATGCCATGTATGAAATTCTTCTCATGTATGAATGAGACTATGCACACCACTTCATCCTTAAGGCACAGACCAAGAGCCATCCTGGTTCTGGTGCCATATGCCACATTAAGCAATCTTCTGATTGTGCAGAGAATCATTCTAACACCTGAAAAAGCTACAACATGCTCCATCTCAATTATCATACAACACTCTGAAAGTCACACCAAGGCGTGATACCACCCAATCGGCATACGTACCCTCGACGAACGTGAGTCTCAGATCAACAGCAGTCCGACGACGCTCGCTCTTCGACATCCGAGCGCAGCTAATGGCGGAGGTGAGTCCAGAAGAGCACGAGCACAACGTTTCCGAAAATCTACTCTCGGGTCTGGAGAGCGGCGATCTGACTTCAGGCGTGTACGAAGGCGGCTTCAAGACCTGGGAGTGTGCTCTGGATCTCGCATCGTTGTGCTCAGGACTCAACTTCAGACCTTCAGGCCTAAGTGGGTGGGATATTGTGGAAATGGGAGCTGGTAGCGCCATTCCAAGCCTGGCTATCTTGAGGAATTATCTGAGCAATGGCGCGACAGCGGATCTAAGGATGACGCTGTGCGATTACAACGAAGACGTGCTGAGATTGGTAACGGCCCCGAATGTTCTGGTCAATTGTTCTCAACAAGCAGGAACGGTCCCTTCCTCTTCTACCTCACCGGCAGATGAGCTCTCGGAGGAAGGAGAGTTCGACGTGGAAGCCCTAGGCCCACACTTTATCGACGACCTAGAAACGAGTCTTCGACAGCATAGAATATCTCTCAACTTCCTATCTGGAGGTTGGGGAGACTCGTTCAATGACCTGTTCGCATCCCTCTCATCAGAAGCAAACTCTACCCCACCGGAGCCGAGACATCTGTTGATACTGGCCTCCGAGACGATCTACTCACTCGCATCAACCAAGATCTTTGCCGCTACATTGCTGCAACTGATTCGAAAGCATCGACAGAATTTCGGGGCAAGCGATGCCAAAGCGTGGGTCGCGGCGAAGAAAGTATACTTTGGAGTCGGGGGAGGGGTGGATGACTTCACGCATGAGATTGAGAGCCATGGGGGCAAGGCCCAAGTCCTCTACGAGACTAGCGACACTGGAGTTGGGAGAGTGATTCTGGAGGTCATGCTGTCGGTATGAATCCAACAGGTCGCGGTCTATTCGGCCGAGCAAACGAGTAGTAGTGAAAGTCAACATCCATTGCAGTTGGTTTAAAGGCTAGGATACCATTTCTATTGATCGGCCACACGCCTCGATGCTCCGCTATGCCAGTTCAATTTGGTGGTCGGAATGAACCAAGGGCTGAAACTAAAATACACATGCACACTTTTTGCATCGGAGAATGACAAGAGCCGCCCAACCCGTTGCAACAATTTGAAGCTATTCGAAAAATTTGTTGCTATCTAACGGTTCCGCATGCTTGGAGGCACATAGCGACCACCAGTTGCGGGCTTCCTGGGTGGTTCGTCACCCCCGGCAGGTCCAGGTGATCCAGCACCTTCCCTCGAATTGCTGCGTTCTTCTCTGAGTCGTGCGGGAACGTATCTGCCACTGGCGCCATTAGCGGGCGAGGCAGAGGACGTGCGAGCAGGCAAATCTTTCGGAGGAGCCTCTGCACGGGTAGAAACACCCTCACGCAAATGAGGAGGAACATAACCACCTGGGCGACGAGGCTGAGCGGGCTCCTGAACCGGTGGAGCATCAGAAGGTTCAGGCCTTGCGCGAGAGGGGGGACCAGAGGCTTCTGCTGCTTCTTTTGCGAGTTGACGCTCACGCCAGCTTCCGCCAGCCTTCCCTGCCAATGCAAGCCGGGGAGCTGTTCGACCCTCCTGGGAATCAGAGCGGCTATCAAGCGTCGGAGGCTCTCTTCGAAGTGGCGGTTGAGGCTCAGCTTTGCGAGCTGCTCTTCTGGCGGCAGCTTCTTCCTCGCGCTGCATCTGTTTCCTAGCGGCTTCATCACGTTCAGCACGGTCGGCCTCAGCCTTGGCCCTTCTCTCATTAGCAATTCTCTTTTTCTCTTCCTCAGCCTTGGCTTTCTCCTCTTCCTCTCGTCGTTGCTGCTCCTCTTCCTCCTGGATGCGGCGTTCCTCAGCCTCAAGTGCAGCACGTTGTCGGGCTTGCTCCTCATGGTATGCCTTGATGCGCTTCCGCTTTTCTTCTTCAAACTCGCGCTCTGCCCTCTTCCGGAGTCTTTCGAACTCGGTAGCACGGCGTACAGTAATTTGGCCTTTGAAGGAGTCGTACGTTTTGACTAGGCGGCTCAGACGGTGCTTCAGTGCGAGGCCTTCCTTATGTTTTAATTGGGCTTCTTGCAAGGTAGAGACGTTGGTCTCCTCATACACTCGAAGATCTTCCCTCCGTTGCTTCTCGTAGTCCTCGTCCTGGTATTTCAACTCCTCGCGACGGAATGCGCGCTCGAGGTGATCATTTCTCTTAGCAGTCACACGAATACGGTTGTCCTTTTCGTTCTTGTCTTTTTCAAGTTGTGTAAGTTTGAGAATGCGGATAGCATTCGAATCGAGGTCCTCAATGTTGACATCCTCCAAGTCGATCTTCATGCCTCCTTTAAGCTCTTCCAACTGCTTCTCCATTTCCTGACGGCGAATCCGAGCCTGCTCATCTTTAACACGCTTGAGTTCTCTGGCTTTGGTTTCGTCCCGTAAGCGCTGGCTTTCGGCCTCGGCTTGTTGCTGAGCACGGATACGACGGCGTGTCTCTTCTTCTCTTTGACGTTTAGAGAGTGCTTCGGAGGCTGCTTCCTTTTGTTTCTCGATGACGATTCGCCTCTTCAGGATATTTTCATGTTCTTGGGCGGCACCAGCCTCAGCACGTGCTAACGCCGATTCTCTTGCTGCTAGGCGAGTTTGATTGTAAGATGGGTCCACATACATGCATGTGATATGCAAAGTCTTGGCTAGACGAGTCAATTGAGATCGAGCAATCTCTGCGGGAGTGTTTTGGAGTCGCTGAACAGAGCCGGTCTCGCTTTCAGCAGATCCTGCCGCACCGCCTGATTGAAGGGCTTTAGTGGAAGAGAATACATCCGAGTCAAAGGCCAAAATGCCAGAGACGTGATCGAGGCGGATTGAAAGATCACCTTTCTTGCAGCCATTCATGATGAATTTCTCGACCATTGCTGGAGTCACTTCGAATGGTGCAGGGAATTGAGCAAGCTTATTAACAAAGCTCAACTCAACTGATTCATAGACTTGGGACAATTGCTGGAACAATCGAGTCAGAATGACTTGCTGAAGGGGAAGCACATATTTTTCCATTTCGGGGTCGGCACCAATCTTAGAGAGGATTGGGGAGATCTTCTTGCAGATCGAAAGAGGATGGAAGTCGACTTCGAGAATGTTATAAAGATCTCTGATCTCTGGTCGAACTCTCTTGAGAAGGCCTTTACTCAATGCGTCCTTGAAGAGACCAGCTCTCGTCGGGGCAATTGGCATGCTGAGAAGATTGGTCAATCGCTGATTCTTGTTCTTGCGAGCTTCATCAATGTCGACCAGGGCTCCGCGAGATCGAGATGTACTGATAACAGGGATCGACAGGGCGGAGAGGAGGACGAAAGAGGCAGCCTTGGTAAGAGTTTCCTCCGAAACGGCAGGATTATCTCGTTTGGTACCTTGTCCAGAAGCTACAGTGATAGAAGATTGGCGGAGAAGATTGTAGTATTTGTTGTAGGCCGCAGCATGGAAGAGGAAGTTATCACTAACCAAAAAGATTTTGGTGAGCTTCTCGTAGTAATTTGCCATCATGATATTCTTTGCCGGACGCTTAGACAGCGTCAACAACATATGGATATCCTCAACACTGCGGAAGGCCTCTTGCCATAGCTCAAGTTCATCAGCCACATTCAACTGGCGAAAACGAGTTTCCAGGTGACGTTGTAGAGTGTCTGGCTCGTTCAAATTAATGGCGTGCATCTGCGAGGAGTACTTATGCGCGTTCTGGACATGATTGCGCAGAAGCTCACAAAGGCGACGGAACTCGGTCTTTCTGGTGTACTTGAGACAGAAGTCAAAAGCCTGATGAGCAGTGCTCTGGTACATGATCTCCAAACGGGCATTATTCTTGAGAATTTCAAGAACAGTACGGTAGGTCTCCCAGAGAAACTTGAGCCATGGCGTTACGATTGCTCGATCGGTTCGATCCTTGGATTGTTCACCAGACACGGTGGCAAGGAGAATTGTTTCGGGAGTTTCGGTAGCTTCGAGATCTTCAATGTTGAGATTTGTGGAAGTTGCAGTCTCAATCGAGGATTGAACCTGGTCAGCCTTTGCCTGCGCCTCGGTGACCTTTTGTTCGGCAAGTTCGATAAATTTTTTTAGAACCAACTACAATCGTGTCAGAATAAGGCCCATTGTGTCCAAGCCAGAAATAAATACCTCTATGGTCCCGACATTGGTGTTCTGTGCGATGTTCTTGTACTGATAAAGTCCATCCTTTGCAGATTTGCCTTTGCGAAGATCGACTGACAATTCGACAAAGAGGAGCATCACAGGTTCCAAGGAGGCGATCGGGCTATTGCGAGATCGCTTGGAGGTGACATGTTCATGTAAGACATTGAGCGCAGCTTGGGATTGATCAACGGCGATGAGCTCTTGTGCTCGCTAGAAATGATACAATGTCAGTCATGAGCGCAGGCAGACTCAGCAAAGGCTGAGTGAGGAAGAGTGGTGGCTAATGGCCTTACCCTGAGCACATTCTCCGGCCGGATATGCGGTGGAGGAGGCATCTTGAAGATCGTCGGCTAGGAATCTCAGGAAAGCAGAGAAGATCAAGTCAATGACCTCTCGAGACTTTGTAAATAGTCTGTCCTAGAGATGACGGGATAAAATATTGCCTCTGTGACCAGCCTGGCTGTCGTGCCATTTCAGTGTGAGGGTTTGCAAACTTCCTTGGCTTAGCAAGTCTTGGCACTAGTCATGATTGCAGGCACGTGAGCCATCTCCCGGATGCCTGTCGGCTGATTGGCCGTTACTGTTAGATTTGTGAGGCTTCTCCACGTGATTTGCGCGCACGTGACCGAAATTGAACCAACGAGCAAGCCCGTACCAAAACGCGTTTAGCGTCCCGCTATATTGATATTAGCGGATGTCGGGAGTCACTAGGATGCTCTCACCAGGTACGACACTGGCCCTCCTTATTTTCGGCCCACTGCACCCAGAAGCAGTCAACCATCTCCTGTTACTAACCCAAACTCCTCTCACAGAGACCGTCTGGCTCGTCTTCCACGGCCAACACCCTGATCAACTTGCTCTCTGTCCGAGTCATCGGGTGCCCTTCAAGGATCGCTACAACTCTCAGGCTCACCACGAGCAACGCCTTTTCGTTCCATATCCAGTCAAAAAGCCTCACCCAAACCCACCTCCTCCACCTAGCCTAGCTCAGCCGAGGCGAACAAAGGACACCTACTTCTTCCAGAAACCATCGGACGTGCGCAACATCTATTCCCTCGATTATCGCTCCTATTTATACAACCGTCTTGATCTCAAGGTCAACGTTCCAGCACCATGCCAGCAGCATACGCGGTGCGAGACGGTGGAGATGCCAAGAGCAAGAAACAGTCCATGGCAGATCTTAAACTGCGAAGACTACAAGAACTTAACTCCCGGCTGAAGGAAGACCTCGAAAGGCCTCGAGTGAAAGTCGCTGAAGCATCAATGAGGTGAGCTTCTTGTCATCAAACGAGGAAGGCGCACATTTCAATTTACTAATCGGTTTTGGCACAGTCTGATCAACTACTGCAATCAAACGAGAGATTACATGGTACCTTCAGTCTGGGGACAAGTCGACAGGAAAGAAGATCCATACAACCCTCAAAGCGCTGGAAGTGATGGATGCTGCGTCGTGATGTAATGGTCTGTTGATGATATTGATGGATAAAGAAAAGTGCGACAACTACCAGATCCTATCAATCGAGCGCTCCAACCATAAAGGGATTGATGTTTGTTAAAAGCATTAGGCGCAAACCGGCGTTCTCAGCACGTTCAGCAGGGCGATCTCAGAGTTTTTCAATGTAAAAAGCAGCACGTTTCTCAGTGCGTTGTTATTCAGCTTGTCCACCAATTTTGATGAAGAAGGTAATCTCATCAGAGGGTGTTAGGGATGGCTATGAATCGAATCCAAAAAAAAGGGAAATCACACGGAATGAGAATGAATCTGTATTCCCCTCCATCTTTTCATTTGCCCCGTCAGCAAGGACATCAGGCCCTCGTTTTCCCCAGCCTTGAATATGCCCCGATCAAGACGGGATTTATAAGCCCCTAAACACAACTGACCGCCTCACTCTCGCACAATTACCAGCCAGCTCGTTCATATCATCTAGCTGCATCGCCACGCTGTCCGTGCATTTTTTTTCTCCTTCTCTTTCCAAACTTTCTATAGTATCATATCACCATCTCCGTCGAGACATCGCAAGATTGCGTTTCTAAAGACAATACTAAGTAGTGGATGGAGCAACGCCTAATGTTGATGGAGCAGTGAGCGAGATCAAACGCCGACAAACAAACCCAAGGATACCCTGGCACCCCAGGCTTGAGAAGGTCTCAGGAGTCAGGACTCGCTCTTCGCTTACGGAGTACGGAATACAGCGCCTATCCAAGAATGATATCCCAAGCCCTCTCTACCCGCACTCTCGGTTCCATAGCCCCGGAAAAGGGCCGCCCAGGGCGCGACGCTCCTTTCATTTGCTGGCACAATTGATGTGTACAAGCACCGAGCACCTATTAACTATCGTAGGCAGCTAAGGTAGGTACTCGTCCTCTATCCCATCCAAATCGCTGATGCCCATTGCTCCCAAAGTGGTTCGAAACACCCTTGCTTGTCTCACGAATAGTAATGTAATGAATGGGAAATTTTATCCTTGCGCCTGGACTGGCTATTTGGTATATTGATACGTTGCACAAAGATGGACCTCGTAAGGTTTTCGATAGGTTGTTCTATGTACAATTCATCATTGTTGGGCCCCACGATTTGGGTTTTCTCTAGTACTGCATCGCATTAAATGCTCCGGGTGGCTGTCGACCATTGTGGGATTGGGGCATTTTCAGCTGCACGTTTTCTTTGGACAAAAGCTTAAAGCTAGACTTTGTACACGTTTGATTGACGTAGGGTTTTGCTGATATATACAGTGCTCACATGCTCACATCACAATCTTTTGCCAGATTCCCGTACTATTTCTCACTACTCCCTCGTGGAACAGTCTACGTAAAGCTTCGAGGACCAGGATACTGAAGGAAGCTCCTCAAATCTTTGACTGCCGCACGATGGCTACCAAAGTGAACTCCCAGGTTCAAGTTCCGCGAGTAGCAATCACATTTTGTACACAATGCAAATGGAACCTGCGGGCGGCCTATGTGAGTTGCATATTCCTTTCGTCAAGTTGCGAGTTGTGCTATCATGGGAAGCTGTCGAAGAGTGGGACTCTTTCGACTGCCAGATTGGATAGCCGGCAGCTATCTGTGCTACAAGGCAGTCTTGGAAGCCTTCTGCAATGCCAGATTTTACACCTGGCAGTATTCTTAGGCTCGTCGGCTCGAGCTCTATACTGTTTCCTGTTCCTTGCAGTTCCTAACCTAGCATCAATGATACGTTTGCAGGCATGCGACGTTCTTAGCTAACACACGGGCTACCTACTAGTATGCACAGGAACTCCTGCAAACATTCAGCACATCTCTGGGGGAAGTAGCTCTGATCCCAGTGACAGGTGGAGTCTTTACCGTGACAATGACACATTCAAGCCCACCAGCTGCTAGCTCCAAGGCCCAGGATAGTGACGCAAGCTCTTCAGCAGTGGTTGAGACCCTCCTCTGGGATCGCAAGGCCGAAGGTGGATTCCCAGAGACCAAAGAGCTGAAGAACCGCGTGCGCAACGTCATTGAACCTGGACGGGACTTGGGACATATCGACCGCAGTCTTAAAAGACGGCAGCAGCAGCAGGAAGAGCAAAGTATTGAGAAGAATTGGGTGGGCGAGAAAGCGCATCCACCAGGCCCAGGAGATGGTGCTGCCGCTGCCGCTGCTTTAGCAGAGCCTCGAACCGGTCCAGACTCCAAGAAGGATAACCGGATCATCACCATGGCTCAGGATGCTGATGCGGAGGGGAATGCCGCGTCGAAGGCAGAATGCGAGGATTGCAAGTAAGTCGGTCGATCTGGTCCGTCTATGGTCTTCACTTGGCTTGCCTTAAAAATTAGATTGGGGCGCCAGCAGACGGTAGCGTGAGGCATGCTGCTCTCCATGTGCCAAAAATGTCCTGGCTATCTGTGTACTCATTCAGGCCTGAGAGGTTTCGGAACACTGCGATCACTTAGGTGACGAGAAAGGTGCCGCTAGTATTGAACGTGTCTCGTGGATAAGGCTCAAGACACCGTCTCGTTGGCACGGAACTATCAAATAGCTCGGAGCCTTCGTACCTGCATTGAACACTACGTATGACTGGAGAAGTCCTCCTGTGAAATGAGGTTTGTCCGCACGTTACGCATACCGGGATGCACGATTCTGAGTCAGTGCCATGCAAATACAACGACTATACGTGGCGAGGCCGACCCTTCATGCCCGATATGGTTCCAGACCTGATGAGGGTGAGCGTAGATACACTGGTGCCATCAGAACGAGCAGGGAAGCCCGTTTAAGCAGAAGAAAGGACGGGTTTCGAAACCACGATTCTGGTATGAAACCAAGGAAGAGGCAGTTGCCTATCTGGTTGGCTGCAAATATTATTGAAAAAGAGAGGATTTCCAGAACTCTGGGTTGACAGCCGTTCGATATGTCGATGGAGTTCCAAAATTTAGCTAGCCTCAGCACTTGCTCCTGGCATATTGCCTACCACCCCAGAGTAGAAATAATGACCTAGGAACATGTCCCGCAAGGGCACGCATTTACTGTTCACTGCTGAAATATCCACAACTTTTGGAGGGCACTCGCACAATTTGTTCCTTCACTCTGCGGAAGCCCACCGTCAAAAGCCTGGGAAGCTTGAGCGGCTTCCTTGTTTCACTTTCTGTGGCTGTCGCGCTACTCCAATATACGTAAGATAGATTGAGGTACGGAAGATACAACGTTTTATAAGTGGCGTCTTCTAGAATCACATGGTATCTTTGAATTAGACACAGTCATCTTCCTTGACCATGAATTCGTGGGTCACGAAACAAACGTCTCCGCTACCGTTGTGGATTCTGAAGTGGCTCGGAAGCAAGAAAGCAGGCGAGGCATGCAAATGATGTCAGTCATCGAGCGACGCCGGCGCACTTGAGTCCTGTTCAGGACAACAGGCTGTGTCTTGGATGGAAAAGCTTGTGGGTGCAGTGAGGAATGCTAAGGGCCTTATTTGGGGTCGTATTGAGCGGCGTTGCATTCACCCAATGGTTCCTTCAAGGAAACAACAGATGTTGCAATGTCGAGCTTGACGCCGTTTGTTTACCGGAAGCTCTGCGCAAATTCATCATTTGCCCAAGAAGAATGTGAAGTGGCTGAGTCGCGATTCGTACGAGCTTCCGCGCCGCTTCTTTTCCGCCAGTGGTGAATGGACTTAAAGGATGGTGCTCGGCTGTCTCGTGGTCTGAAGATCTCATTCTGGCCATTAAAGAGTGACGATAGTAAGCTTTGAAGGATAGCGCGACTGGAATTCCATTCCCAGATGACAAGACCCTCCGGCTCCGATTCATGGAGTGTATTCGGAGGAAAATGCTTCTGGTCTTGTGGTGAGCAGAAGCTCAAACCAGCGCCTTTCGTCCGTGGCATCAGTACGGATAAAGGGTCGGCTAGCCAAGATTCCGACTCGATGGCTCGCGATGGCTCATTTATTCTTCTTCAATTTTTTCTCAACATATTTCTTTACCCGCTTATCGCTCATGATGAAACCACTAACAGCAACTCCAAGAAACATCTGCTCAACTGCGGCACCTTGCCCATTGCTGGGTGTTGTGTTGTTTCCAGGTGCGGCGGCTGATGAAGCGGCCGACGAAGTAGCAAAGCTGAGCTCAGGATAAATGTTAGGAGGAGTATTGTTTGCGCTTGGGCCGGATGCATCTTTCGTTGCCTGAGCCTTCTCCTTAGTCTCAAGATCGGCTTTTCTTGCTGCTTGCCTCTGAGGCTCCTCGTCCACCCATTTCTGCAACAAGTCCTGTTCCGGAAACATCCTTCGGCGGAAAGCAATCCATATAGGCACGAGTAGACGGTGGAGCTTGTCTTCTTCTTTCTTTGCTTCGGCACTGAGCTTCTTTGTCCTTCCAGCCCAGGTAGCCTTAGTCCACCCCGAAGCGTGAGCAGCAGAGCTACGGCACCAAGGGTGGGCGAAGCGAGATCCCAGAAAGCCTACAGTACACTCCCGGAATTTCTCCTTAGTGCCTGGCTCAAGCACACGTATTATCACTGACTGCTCCCGGAAGGCCTTCAAGTCATGGAAAAAGTCCGCGTGGGTAGATTTTCTGATCAGCAGAGCATCGAAGAAACGAGCGTAGCATTCGGGGGATTCATCAAGTGATTGGATGTAGTGTAGGTGCTCCGCGGAGATCGATAGTCCTGGCTCTGGTTCCTCTTGAAGTTGATCCCCGGCCATCTTGGTTGATGAGTGTTGGACAGGCCGTTTTCGCTAGCGGATGCTGTTGTAATTGACTACTCTTTTGTCGAGGCTCAGAGGGTTATGCTAACATGGAATATAAAAAGGATATTGGAGAGGATAATCTTCGTTTAGGCCAGTCAACATCGTGCATTCGGTAGTGCAGGGATATCGCAAGGCGAATGAAAAAGTCTTTTCAAATGCGATGTTCATACAGAGAAGTTCTCATTAAGACTGAACATATGGGAAGTTTGATTTTGAGTTGTACATACACCTGAGTGATAAGTCCAACCAGTGGAGTACCAAGCCAAGGCTTGATGGCAGCCTTGTCGTTCTATCTGGTGCCTTTTAACTGGCTAACACAGTAACTAAGCCTTTCCTTTTTCCCTATCGTTACGGCAAGAATGAGAGCAAAGATTCAAGGGGGAAGTAATATTTCGCGTGCAATATTTCGTGTTTCACGTGCACTATTGAATGCCAAGGCGGGTATCATAATATCAGGAGTAGATTTTACTAGGTAATCGCCACTAAGTTTAACGGTTTTCTATACTAAAGTATCCACCAGGCTACAAATAATGACCCGTAAATGGCGTAATATAACTAATCTAATGTTACAGTACTAACATTATTCAGTACTAATAACTACTGTCTATGGGGCTCTTCCTAGGCGCCTTACTAGAGGTATTTATAAAACTAGTATTGCCCGCGCTTCTAGGTGGTCCTGCGGCCTTTTCTAGTCCTACGCCTGCCTTCGCTCCTGAGACCTGGAGGGGCGTAATGTATGCCGTTGCAGCTTAACTTGCTGGTTCATACGCTCAAAATCGCTGCGTATTCGTTGTCCGTTACCTCTAGCCTGGTTGTGACGAGGCAGGGCTACCAGGTTTCGTATAGGCTGCTCTATAAGGCCTGGTCTACGCTCAAGGCGCCAGTACTTATAGATAGCAAAAGCCCTTCATCGATGAGTGTATAGGTGATTATAAGTTTACAGCTTGGGGATGTACCCCAGCATAATTTACGCGCTACTTTGAGTGAAGGCCGCCAACAAGTATCTACTCCTAATATGAAATGGTCCATCTTGGCAATACTTAAATTTCGCACGCGAAATATTGCTTGCCATAGTCAAGGTTCTCATCTTCGAAAATTGTGGGCGGATTCCCCTGTTTTCTCCTGCTGGAGTGGTAAAAACTGAGATGAGAAGTAACATAGGTACAGAATGCTACTTTAGTGTCTTCATCGATCAAGGGACTAAGGTGTCCCACGAGGAAGGAACTCAATATTGATTTTTGAGATAATAGTACTGTAGAAGTGGCCCATACAGATGTAGGGAAATGCATTGTATTCGCAAGGTCCTAAGCTGAAGTGCAGCCACAAATCTTTGACTCGTTCTATCCTTACCTGGCATTTCTAACTTGCTCAGAACCGTCGACTTCATCTACATCGATCAAAGGGCTACTGTTTCGGCAACAGGGTTTCTCGATTTGAGCGAAAGTGATGCCGACCTGAGAAAGACGGATAGCACATGTAATTCAAATACTTCTCCAAGGCAACGAGAGAACAAGCTCGACATTATTGAAAGGAAGACTAGCGTTCTCACATTTCCTTGGGGCTCTGTAGTTGAGGTGTCTAAAGCTACAACCGGAGCCCCCTTCGTTAACTAGTATATAATTACAGTAGACATTCAAGAACTACCAGTCATTTCCAGAGGATGATCTTCATGCCGAGCACAACTTGCGGTGAGAAATGGGGCTGTCATGTGAGGAAGTGATGGATGGAAATAAGGTTGGAAACAGACACACGGGTTGCGGTCAACAGTTGAAACACTCACGAAGTCGAAGTCCAGGATCATTTCAGTGCGGTGAGCAGCTGATCATCGGTGGGTTCCTTGACTCTTTGGAGCCATGTCGCAGGTAGTATCCATGGCTCTTCTTCTCGACGGGAGCGCACAACTCTCTCCCCTCTGGTGAGGCGCAGAGATTCTTGATTTGTTGAGAACAGAAGACTATTGGGAGAAGTACGTACGGTCAGGAGCACGTAGTGATCTTTTGGTTGGCTTTACGGCGATGCTGGTGAATGAAAAACCATGGTCATGGCTGAATATGGATATCAAGTGTCCTGAATAGGTCAATTTCTGGAGAGGCATGGCGCCCAGGAACCTCGCATGGTGATTCTTGGAGTGATGCAAATACGAATTGGCTCGCCGTTCAAGTGAGCTAGGTGGTGTTGACATTTCGATTCATCTCATCCTAACCGACGACTCGGGGACGCGTCGAACTGCTTGCAGGAGATGAGTGCCGACGTCTTTGCAACTCCCAGTTTACCACCAGTCTTGCCTGTGCCACTACCAGTGAGCGTGGGGGAATGGAATAATTGTGCATGCGAAATCTGAACCACCGTCGCATTAGCCTCGGATAGAGGCCGTGCATGATTGGCCTGTCATAAATGCCTCATACAAAGTGTCGCTTTGAGTGGGCCCGGACCCGACCTCGAATCTCAATCTCATCTCAATTTCTGCAGACTGCCTCGGTCCACTCCGCCACGACCATGTCATGGCATTCCGTAGCGACATGTTGGAGAGACCCAACATGGCTGGTAGCTTTTCTGCGTTTTGCTAAAGGCCCTGACAGCCACGAGCCAACAGCCCGACTCGGAATCCTGCACAGACTGTCAACCTCACTCCTGACAAGATTCGGTGGATATCGCCATCCATTTTCATCCAGTCCCTATCGATCCAAGCACCCGTCATGCATAGTGCGACTAGAAGCAAAGGTGGCCCATCTCACTGCTGCATGCTTAGTGCAAAAGATCCAGTACTGCTGTTCTGGTGCTCCAACGTTCAGTTGCATTGGGCGCGTGCTCGTGATGTGACCCAGGTAGGTGGAAAGCAGTCCGAGCGCTGCGGAACTGATGTGGCTGACCAGAGAATCTACGATTGTACTCATTATTCAATCTATCCGCTAGAGTTCTCGGAAGGACTCTCAAATTTGTGGCACAGACCAAACCACATCTTATCACACAAAGTTTTCAGCACGAGGACCTGAACTCCCAGGCCGTATCTAGCGCTGATTGGTGATGTTCACTGGTAGGACATACAGTGGCTTCTGGTGGTTTTCGCTAAACAAGCTTCCCCTGCAAAGCGGACTCCGCCATATCATCTCGGAGCTATAGTGGGTCAAGGGCAATGGTTGTGGTTGCACTGTCAGACCCTCACGCAATACGAGACTGAGTGACGGGAGTGCTCGCGCTGACAGTAAGTAGACCACACCTGTGGGAGAAGAGAACAGGTGGGAGAACGGGGGGCGTGGGCATATCAAAAGTCGCAAACTACTCTGTTAGTCGATTAGTCCTCCTCATGACACGTAAAGGATAAATGCTTCGAGCCGTGCGGGCCGCCCAGGCACACAATGATTTGGCAGGGAGATGTCCGTGGTGTGGGCACAGCAACAATAATACCACCACCCAGAGTATTGGTCGTGTTCTAAGCGTCCGCGTGTTATTCGTAGTATCGCGGCGACGGTCTGTGATGTCATTCAGCTGAGGAGACAAGGACAAGATCCAGGAACCAATGCCATATCAACTAGAGCGTGGATGCCAGAGGCCACCAGGTTGGCATACTGGAAAAAGGCCATGGGTAAGGCGGTGCTTCGACACAGGAAAAGTGTACGAGGTATCACGAAGTAGGTATGACGCACGCAGAAGCAAATATGGGGTACATACGTATACTGGTAAGGTGTACTCCGTTATTGCGTGTTTGATGAAGTCTGGGTGGTGGGAGAGCCAGACTCACATACGAAGGGACAGACTGGGCGGGTCGTCATTTTCGGGCTGGGCACACCCTACGAAATGGACCACATCGAGAGAGAGGTCGCTTGTATTGCGCGCCACGAGGCATTCGTACTGAGCAGGAGCTGCAAAATAGACTATACTACTGCTTGAAAGGTGGCAGAAGTGCAGTTATGCTGGGCGAACGGGTCAAAACGGAGACGCCAGAGTTTCCAGGGGTCATAGACGAGGGCCATGACGAGTTGGGCCACTTGGAACCTGCAATCAGGCTACAAGGTACAGCACGGCAGTTCGTTCGAGGGGCAGATGCATCATGTGCAAACTCAAGATTTGGAGAACGGTCGAGGTGGGTAGTGCTCATAGGTAATGAGTGCTCGGTACGGAGTACACCCTGTAAATGATGCATCATTGTCAGGGCTCACAGGGTCCATGAAGGACCCTTGCTGGGTTATCCGCTTCGCCGGTATCCAAGTTCATGGCCGTCAATTAATAGTACTGATCATCTGCCCCCATTGTGGTAGCAACCAACAGAATTGAAGGACAATGATATCGGTTGCAAGGTACCGACACAAGATCGGCATCGCCACATGGTAGCGATGTTCGCATATACGAGTATACGGAGTACATAGGTACCTACTTGTTTAGGGAGCATAGGACTCTTAGACAATGCATCCATCCATGGCTTCAAATTTAGTAACAGGCAAGGCCACATGGAGATGGTCATGGCACTCATACGAGTAGCTAAGGGACAAAGGAATTGTTTTGTGTGGCAGCCGCCCGGATATACTTAGACTTGCAAGTACGGAGGACCATTTAAGCAGGTCCTCGGGCAGGATTCTGTTGCCCGGGCATAGCAGATCAGCACAGCATCAACACAGTCAGAAGAAGCCTGGTCATCTCACTTACTACGGACGATCTGTTTGTTGTTTTTCTCGTTTCCAAATTTCCGTGATTCCTTTTCCGCCCGCGGTGCCCAATTTTATTAGATTCCTTCTTTACATTCAGAGTGGATTCAGGAAGTGCGAACCAAAGTCACCATCAGATCAGCATTCAACGTTGCTACTCCATCTGCAGGTGTGTTTAGGCGCCTCTGACGCTCCCCGCTAGAACCATCCCAGTCAAGTGGACTGTTTCATCCAAGTGAAAAGCAAGGCCAACCCAACCACTGGGCCACTGGAGAAGCAGCAGGTTGAAGGGCTTCCCTTGCTGGATTAGTGCGAGTTACGAGGCCGTGAGAGTGGGAGGATCGATCAGCAAGAAAATTTGCCAGCTAAGCCCTGCTGGACTCTGGGAGTGGTCAGTCCAACCCACAGTTGTCAGTCCGTAGTGCGAGAAAAGGCCGCCTAGAGAGAGGTCGCCCACCATCGGCTCGTTCCTGCGAAAACCCTAAGCCCCTCGACCCCCCATTTCCCATTCCAACTAAAATATTTGGCCTCTTACCTTAGCCCACCCCTAAGGAACTTCCTCTTCCCGCCTAAGGCCTCGGATTGTCCAAGCGACACGAGCGTTGGAAAACCTGTCTTTTTGGTGCTCTGGGTCTTCGGGTCCTGCGTTACAGGGAGCAAGGCGGGTGCCCTCCTACACGATTCCTCCCACCCTTACCGCTCTTACGCCCTTACTCCGTACGCTTCTTCTTGCCACCGCTGGCACCTTCTTCCCTGATCACAAATCTCCAACTTTCAACCTGGCACCTGGGCACCAGAATTGGCAGGGCCAACACCCGCACCGCCACTTATTCTGATTTGCAAGCTGCCTGCCCGCATTTTCCCTTAAACTGCCTTTCTCTTTTCACCCACAAACATTCTGTGGACTGCACCTCTGACTGCTCCTCGCACTGCTACCACTCTAACCACCAACACTATTCCTCCGATTGCTATTACTACTACCCTCGCCCTCACCACCCTCACCTTCATCCTCACCCTCGCCATTTCATTCACCACCACCCCCTCCCACTTCCGCCTTCTTCCTACTGCTCCCTCATTCTCCTTGTTTCTTTCTCCCTGCATCAACCATTCCATCATCGCGTAAGCATTTCTACTCCCTCTCTGCCATTTATCTACTTCGCTGGCTTGCTTGCTGACTTTCTGCCTGCGCAGCCGCCCGTCCGATTTTGTCCACAATCAAATCGAGTCGGAGGACCGACACCAACTAGCGCCACTTCACACCCACGTCTGCATAACCACGGGGAGTCTCTCGTGATATCTCTCTCTTCCGCGGGATTCCTCCTGTGTTTGTTGGTTTCCACTTGCCGGTCCTCACATCATGTCGACTTCCAATTTATAACAAAAGCCGGTCCCGGGGGCCAAAAATCCAGCCAGAACAGTAGCACTCTTCACGAGCGCTTTCTTGTTCTTCACCCACTGAGGACTCAGAATTGATCTCAGACCATCGGAGGCTGTTGTGACTGTCTTACTTCTATTTTTCCTTTGCCGTCCGTGGCTTTGTCTTATCCAGGCTAAATGGCTCACCACCAAAAACATCAAATCGACTCGCGTCGAAGAAGCTCTGCGATTCAAAGCCTGCTCAAGATGTTCAATCTGTCCAACGCCCCGACTGTTCCCCTCGACGAGGACGAACTCAGCTCCGAAGCGGATGAACCTCCTGAAGATCAGTTATCGCCTCTCACCAACTTTCCTACACTCAAGACCGGTTCCCTTTATCAGAAAGCCAAGGCACCTCCCAATCCCCGAAGAGAGTCATTGTTGACTCGTGCCATCTTAGCAGAGTCAAGAGACGATGAGCAGTCCCTTCAGTCTCCCTCTGCCTCCCGTGGTCTTTCCACAACCTCCTCCCACAGCACCGCCAGTATGGCATCCACTGCGGAACTGACAAGCGATGGAGATGCTACAAGCCAGTCACGCTCGGCCACCCCAAGCCCGCCGCCACCTCCAGGTCGTTTTCATGATCTACTCAACATGAAGAAGCCCGTCTCTCCTCACGTGAATGTTGTCATTGCTCCACTTACAAAGGACGACAAACCAGCAATCGCTGATGCTGGTGAAGCTGCGCTTGAGAAGACACTAGGCCGGAAGCGTTGTATCATGTTCGCCTGCGGCGGTGCAGAATCAAGAGACAAGGACAACGTCGTGGCCAAAGAAGAACCTGTCAAGCCCGATCCTCCGAAGCGTAAATGTGCTCTCACATTTGCATGTCCAACACGCTCCAACACCAATCAAGTCAAGTCACCAGTCTCTGACAAGGCAGAGAATGAACACAAAACCGCACGACGTCCATCACCAGCACCCCTCTCCAGACGCAAGTCGACCAGCGATTCCGTGGAACTCTCCGGTCGTTCGGCTGACACTGCTACGAATGCTCCTACTTCACACCACCCACCTCCCTACCGCGCCCAACCTTCCTTTCATGAATTTGGTAGTTCCCACGACGAGACCGATGCTTGGATTGATAGGCCTCAAACCCACGAACAGAAGTTGACCTTGAATGATTGTATGCAGAAAGAGAACCGCATCCGTCAAATTGGACGTGAAGCTGAGGAGGAAGCTGAGGAGGAGGAGCGTGAGCAGGAAGAGCTAGAACTCGAGGAGCTTGATGATAACGACAATGAAGACGATTTTGCATCTTCCGACGATGGCTCAGATGACGGAAATGAATCCGACGATGAAGGAGGCTTCGCCAGCTCGGATGATGAAAGTGACGCTGGTTCTGGGTACCGCTTCTGGGCCCCTTCGACGACAACCGCTGCCACAAGCATTGAGCACTTCAATATCAGCCACTTCAGTGCTCGCCAGCAATCACAGGCAAGTTCTGTGGAATCTTTGATACATTATGGTAGTCCAAAAGCACTCTCGATGAAGAGGCCCATCACCAAGACTCGCCCAGTCGGCACTAAAGCGATCAGGATGCGTCCTGGAACCCCTGAATTGCCAGATAGTACAGACTTCGTCTGTGGAACTCTGGATGAGGATCGTCCGTTGGAAGCAGCATACCTCTCGTGTTTAGAGCAGAAGAAACGGAGGAAACATATCCTCATTCCGCAGGATATCGATCCAAGTTTTCCCACCACAGACCCCGAAGAGGAAGAGGATGAAGAGGACGAAGTTGATGAATCTGAGCACAGCTCTGGCGGACCCCGCTGGCTAAAGGACCAGTTTGCTGGCTTCGAAGAAGAGCAACGTCCACGAGGGCGACGGGGTTCACACACGGTCAAGTCTCCTCCTTCTTCTCAGTCCTCGACACCATCCCTTCATCATGGACATACTTACCGCCCAGTTGAGCACCGCCGGGGACTTCATCGCTCACCTCCGCCACGAAAATTATTTGGCCACTCTCCAACGCGTATGAGGTCACCGCCGCCAGCCCGGCTTAGATCTCCTCGCGGATCCCCAACTAATGCTAATCTTCATGTACCTTTCAGATGGGGCACAAGAGGTCTTGGCCAACGTCCTACTATGGAACGCACGGCGTCTCTTCCCGACACACCTAATCCTTTCTTCAAGAATTTTAATATCGGAAGCCCTTCGATCTCCAACATCGCCTCCGGTGCTGTGACTCCTGCGGTTGAGGAGCCTCCACGACTGGACATGCATGTGCGCGGTCCTGTTGACATTGTCATCGGCCTCGAGAAAAAGCGTCAGAAGCGGAAGGAGAAGTACTGGCGCCAGCATTGTCGCAAAGCAGCCAAAGAGCAAGCTGAACGACGAACTGTACCTGGACGCGGTGCGGAGAGAATGAAGGAGCTTGGATTGGAATGTGCTGAGCGTAATCGAGGCTATGGTCTCGGCCAGCAACAACAGCTGGTCATCTCACTTTGAGAACTCGTCCGACAGCAGCAACCTCCCCATGATCTCCCCACCTACTTCTTGCACATTCACCAAGATTTTCATTTGTGTTACTATTTTCTATAGCCTGGGTATTACATTGGCCCCTTTTTGAGCCGCCTGTTTTTGAAGCGGTTCCCGCTTCCCCAACGCAGGGCAACATGATGACATTCACGATGGGCCGGTGCAAACAGTGGACGCTGTCTATCCAGCGTCCTGCATGAGTTTTTGCGATCAGACATAGCGACGGCGTCATAGGTCAAGGATGGATGACCTCGTACATACATTATATTACTAGCCCCAGATATCAGATGTTCCTTGTAAAGAGGCTCTGAATGCACAGAATGAAGACATGTGAAATCACTTTTGATTGTGTAGCCTGGCAACGCCACCAATGTGTTTGGGATGTGATAGTATTCATCTCCATCGAGCTGGGCGATGCACATGCATCAGCAACCTATATCACGTGTAGCACTAGCTGAAGTTGCCTCCTGCGTCAAGGTCACGTGCGAAACCAAAAGTTCACGTGACCACTGCCGCATTGCAGATTGTAAAAGTGGCGCTACAAACCACCAGACCGACTGACCTTGAGTCGTGAGATCTGTTCGGTAGAGCGATTGCCACCTGTACAGAGCCATACCCTGCGCCACGAGACATTCATCTACTCGCTTGATCTTACCAGAAACTCCCTCTTCGATTTGAACCTCACTTGCGTCTCTCTTTCGGGTGTCTAGACTCAACAGATCAAAACCATGTGGATTATCAATTGGTGTATGTCGTGCTGCGTTCATTTCTTTCCGAGTCGATGACTCTGGATGCAAACAGCCTTAGTACTAATCGATGGGTCTTCTTTAGTCTACGATGTCCTCGCCTCCTTGGGTCTGCTCAACAAGCATGCCAAACTCCTCTTCCTTGGCCTGGACAATGCAGGAAAGACGACGTTATTGCACATGTTGAAGGTATGTCGGGAAAGCAATTTCACCATCTACACGCACGGGAATATTCGAGGATGGCCAGCTACTTGTCAAGAAGACGTCGATGGTCAAGACAATGCTGACACAATGGCTCTTGCAGAATGACCGGGTTGCAATCCTCCAACCTACATTACATCCGAGTATGTTCAGCCTTCTAGGATGCAAGTGTACGAGCAAAAGCTAATCAACACCACAGCATCTGAAGAGCTAGCAATCGGCAACAACAGATTTACAACCTTCGATCTCGGAGGTCATCAACAAGGTTTGGCTGTTCCCTCTGCAAAAATACCAGCGCAACCTCTCTAATACTAGATGTAGCTCGTCGTCTTTGGCGCGATTACTTCCCCGAAGTCTCTGGAATTGTCTTCCTCGTTGACGCCAAAGACCACGAACGGCTCCCAGAGGCAAAGGCCGAACTGGATGCCTTGCTTGCTATGGAAGACCTTGCCAAGACCCCTTTCCTCATCCTCGGTAACAAAATCGATCACCCAGATGCAGTGTCGGAAGATGAGTTGAGACATCAACTGGGAATGTACCAGACGACCGGTAAAGGCAAAGTGCCTTTGGAGGGTATCCGGCCAATTGAGGTATTCATGTGCAGCGTGGTTATGAGACAAGGTGAGTAGAGTTCGACATTCTGACCTGGAAAGAGCGGGAGAACAAACTCCGACTAACGATTTAATTCCCGCAGGTTATGGTGAGGGTATCAGGTGGTTATCGCAATATGTCTAAACGACTCACTTGCTTCTACCCAGTCACTGGACGACGTAACTGGCGTGATTCCCAATTCCGGCGATCGACCCAAACGTCAGATTACCAATCCGCTGGAGTGAAACCACGACCCTTCACACCTGTCTTCAATCTGCCTGCGCGAAATTTCAATTCGCAAGATACAGCAGAGATAGGGACGAGTCAATGTCTGCAGTTCCCCTCCGCCCACAGAATTCCTTTGAGCCTCACAGCTTCCAGAGTGTTAGGACAGTTTCTCATGCTACCAGACGAAATAGAACAATCCGTCATTCTTCCCTTGCGCATCAGTTTTCATCTGAGCACATAATCCAGTTATACAGGCAAGTTGTTCTTGCCGTGCCGTTCCCGTCAAAGTAAGACCATACCCAAAGTAATGGGCCCAGTCGCTGCACCCTTACACGGACAGTGCAGTCGTCAGCGTCTATCCTTACGATCTGGTATTCAACACACTTATCGGTGCCGTCGTTGCCGTCATAGATCTTATGAGAAGCGCTATTCCTCTCCTTGGCCGTCGGCCACTCCCGCCTGTATTTCAGACACCAGGACCTTACTTAGCATGATCCATACCAAGCTCTACCTATATCCTCGGCCCCACCCCGCCCATGCTTCACTTGTCACTGTTCCGGCTTTTTCTTTCCCCTTTTCGCTTTCCGTTCTTGAATTAAGGCGGGAACAGGGTTACACCACGATCGAATCAATGCTTTTGCTTCATTTCCTCGTCCGGCCCCAACGATGAAGTTCGTGCTATGGCGCGCCATATGTAGATAGGTGAAGGAAGACTTGACGCAAGTCATCCTGAACCCTCCAGCTTGTATGACTGCTCTGCCCTTCCATTTGATGGGACTTTCGAAGAAAATACTTTGTACAATATCATTCAGAAATATATCCATGTCAAACGCTGACTAATGTTAATCGGTACTGTATGTAGCATAGTAGGTACTGCTCTGAGTCGAACAAAGAACAAGGAGGGGGGGGAGGATAAAGTCAACAAAAGTTCCTCCATCCTTTCTTAAAATCGAGATTCGCCCTAATGCCATGCCTCTGCTCCAGAATCCCCGGAACGATTGAGGTGGCGGGTGGTTGGTGGTGGGATCCGAGCCCGTGGCGCCCGCAAGGCTGTGGTGGATTAGGGGCTCCATGGGTGGTGATGGATGGAAAGAAGTGCACACGAATAACTTGCCCACCCAAGCAGCATAATGGAACTGTTTTCGTCGTGATGCCAAATCTCTCGGTCCTCCGCCCGACCGCACTCGCTAGCTGCTGGCTGGTTGGATACCTTCCCGGCTGCGCGGTCCAGACTCAGGGGAGCCGAAAGGTATGTACTCATGGGGCGAAACGTGTTGTGCATCATGCGACGACGTTCTCGCCTACGAGTACGCACCGAACTTCTGCAGGATCGGACTGGCTCTGAAGGGGGTCAGAGGGAAAGAAAGAAGGAGCAGCAGAGATTCGAGTACATACCGATATAGGTAGGTAGTTTCTAGAACCCCTCTGTTTCCATAAATGAAACCATCTCTGGAATGTCTGGGGCGACATCAAATCACCATGCCCGCTATGGCCCTGTCCTCCGTTGGTAGATGAAGGAAGGAGCAGTAGGTATAGGACCCCGTCTAACTTGGAAATCCAAAATTGTTGTGCGGAGGCGTCCCCGGTTTCCCTCGCTGGTCCAGAGACCCCTGAGGCTGAGTTGTGACGGTCTTGCTTCGGGGCACTATAGCCCGCTCGTGGGTTGTACGCTGATGAAAGGTCCACGCATGAATTGCTCAATGGCCCAACAGGAGAAGATGGGTGCGTGGATTTGGGGAGGCGAGAGGGGGGTTCTTCTGGACCAGCTGGCCTTTCTTTTCTGCCTCGATGTGTCGGTACCTGGATGATACACACTGGCTTATGACGCATCTGTGCCGATGAGTGGCTCTCAAGGATTCATCTCCGGAGTTTGATTTGTATTGGTTCCGGATTCCCGGCTGGCGAAGGACTCTTGGAATCGGACCTAGGATGACGATAAATATCCTGAATAACGAATAACATGCCGTTACTTGCGTGGGCCTAAGTTGAGGAGGGGGGAGCAGGGGGAACCCGATGGGCCTCAGTCCGATGAGTGCCAGAATCGGTATCAAAAACATAGTGGTCGACACCATTGAATGAGTAGCACACTTACATGCGGTCTGGCACCAGCTCGATCATGACTATACGCGACTCGAGCGAAGGTAGAAAGAACATCAGCCTTCGAAATGCCTGCAAAGGGTGCAAGACAGTAAGATGAAGTATGGTCATACTGGCACAGGTTGACTCAGTGATTCTTGATATCCGTATGAGGAAGACCGTGGAGGGATTATAGCGAGCTGGGGGCACTTGAATTTTGGGCCAAGGGACAATAGAATCCTTGGCGTACCAGTTTGAGTGAAGGAATCCGAGAGATGCTAGGGCATGTGGACGACGAACCTGCACACTCGTCTGGATGATATACCGATGAAACAGTAGGTGAATAGCCAAGGAGAGCTCGATTAGACCGCTCACTTGTGACTTTGACTGAGAGCAAGTATCAGCGGCACAGGCAATCATATCCGGCCGAGTCGCAGAAACAAGTCACCCAAATGGTGGTCAACATCTGTGCCAAACAAAGAAGTCAACTCGTTCAAGCATGAATCCATTCTACTATTCTTGACAAGTTCAGCATACTCATATCTGTCTGCGTCAATTCACCTGAACTGGACGTCTTTTTGCGCATTGCCCATCAAGCATGAAACAAACCATCATTGCATGTTGCAGGAGAATCAAGATGTCCGCCGTACCAGGCCCCGGCTTTGCTCTCGCACGCGCACTAACACAGGTCAAAGTGAATAAGGAAACTAGTTCATCACGGTCAGAAAGCATTGCCATTTCCACAGCTTGTTCTGCCCAGAGTAGAGGCCATGGAAAGAATCCAGTATCCCTGCTCGACAAGAGTCATTTGTTCATGGTTAAACTTCGGGGACAAGTGAGTCCAGTCATGCTTCCGGTCGATCCTTCCCGGGAAAAGCCATGCTCAATGAAGATATTCGTCAACGTATGGGTAGGTAGCAGTATCTGGGAGTGCCTCTAAAGGTCCAACAACTGTAATAAAAAAACATGGATAAGGCGGAGGTGAGGAATAGAGGTGGTTGGCCGCTTGCTCCGAGACCGTGGCAGATGGATGCTGGTCAGTCGTGGGATTGATTTGACGAGGAAGGTGAAAGGTGAGCCTATCTTCTTCCAAACCTGCTTACACGATATCGAATCAGCCCGAGTTGGGAAATTGGTTAAATGATTTCCTAATTCTTGGATTTGCGAGGCGGAGTGCTCGAGCTCTTTGAGCCATAAACGTACTTTTGTTTCTTCTCAGCCGGCTTGAGGATCTGGTAGAAATGCCATGTCAGTTGAAAGCGTAACCATAGAGACTGGATGGACGTACCTGGAACGAGCACAACAAGCTCTCATCCACACTCATCATGGCTCCGGCATTGTCGAACTCGCCACAGTAATTCGGTGCGCTAAACAGGGTGACGAGTTGTCGCTTGGAGAAGAACTCGTATCCGTCCTCCACGACTTGATGGGCACGGCAGATCAAGTCCATGTCGTGTTTCTGCAGAAATCGGGAAACAACATCAGGGCCAAAGGTGAATGAAACACCACGGTCGTTTTCGCTCCATCCGGTGATGTCTTTATCAGGGTCGGACCACAGCAGATCGCAAAGAAGACCACAATCAGGGATCTAGAAAGCATTAGCGAGGGATTCATCTGGTTTTGCCTACTACTAGAGACCAAGAGCGCCCGCAATCGGGCGCTCACTCTGTGTATGTCTCGTGTTACCAGCTAAGGAAGGAACTCACATCTGTGGGACGCATGACGCGGCGGATTTGCTCCATCGAGTTCAAGTCGGGACTCAAGCCTCCATGCATGGTAAAGATCTTCTCGTCAATAATGGCGGCAATTGGTAAGCAATTGAAGCAATCCGTAAAGGTCTTCCACAACTTAATGTTGTATCGCCGCTTGCACTCGTCGTAGAAACCATAGATTCTGTTGATGGAAGCACATTCGTGATTTCCTCGCAAGATGAAGAAGTTCTCTGGATATTTGATTTTGTATGCCAACAGAAGGCAGATGGTCTCCAGGGACTGTTTACCTCGATCCACATAATCGCCGAGAAAGAGGTAGTTTGCTTCAGGAGGGAAGCCGCCGTACTCAAAGAGCCTGAGGAGATCATAGTATTGCCCATGAATGTCGCCGCAGATCTAACAAGACTTGTGAGTGAGTTGATTCGCAATCCAATAGGTCAGGAATCGTACCTTGATAGGAGCTTCCAGCTCTAGCAATATGGGCTGGGAAATGAAGATCTCCCTGGCCTTTGTGCACAGATAGCGAATCTCAGCTTCTAGGAGCTGGACTTGTTTCCCCGGTCTACTACCTCGAACCTCTAGCAGTCGGTCGATGACAGAGTCTAGATCCACCTCATTCTGGTCGGCCATAGTGGGATTGCCGGGGGCGGGGCAGAAGGTAGGAGAGAGGCGCCGACCAGATACGGTCGGGGCAGGAAGGAAAACGAAAGTCGATATCTGATGAGTGATATGGGAATGGCACTAGGCTGATTGACTCGGGCAAGGGTCAGCTACAATGAAAATTCGGTGCAGGATGATGGAGCTGACAAAAGAACGAGGCGTTGACGGTCGTAGGCTTAGGTTGCTGGCTGGCGTGTCAGGGTCAGCATACCTGGTTCCAATGTCCTTGTAAACGAGGGATATAGCCAGTCAACGGCTCAGCGAGGAGTGTTGGGTTGGGTTTGGACGAGCGATGGACTTGAATCGCAATGTATGAAATGTGAGAGTAGATATTGTGGCTGTTATCGCGTGGTGGAGAATGTAACAAACAGGCTGAGAAGAGGAGATAGGTTTCTCTCGGCGCGGGTGGCAGAGGACGAAGGCAGGAGCAGCGCTGGGGTCCGAGCGGTAGGTAAGTGCAATGGATCAAGAGGGGTGTTTGGCAGGTGCGTAGATGGTAGAATCAACCAAATAATGGTAATTGATCGTAGCAGATGGCCGTTCAGGTGCGGGATGAAGGTGGTGGATTTGCTATTTTCAATCCGAGCAGGCGGTGTTGGCTTGGCGGGTTGAGGAACAAAGCAAAGACCCAAGGAGGGAGGGAGGCCAGCCACTGCACAGGTCAAGGAGAAGAGGCGAGGAGGACGGGCGTACGCAAGGTGAGATCCTCCAGAGGGTGGGAGGACAGAAGGCACTGGTCAGTGCCACTACTGCTAGCAGTGTACTAACCCTCACTAATGGTCACTAAGACGCGTGGATGAGGCACCACCAAACGCCCCCCTCTTCTCACGCACTTCCTTACCACTCTTTCTAATTGTTGATTCCTCTTCACTTTTTTGCATGTGGCTGCTCTTGATACCTTCCTCGGTCATGTAATCACCAATGGAATTTCTATGTATCAGTCCGCATTATTCTGGAACGCTTGCCTCTCACGTGAGATTCGTTCTTTTGAGTTGTTGTAGTGACTTGCCCGCCGGTACCTTGCGGGCGCTTGCCCCGGCAGCCACTGGAATGTAGACTAACAGGAACCTAATGCTCTAGGTTTGCTAGCGGTCGATTTAACGAGCAAAACACCTTAACCTGCTCTCCCCAGATCTTCGCACTCGGTATTCCCGTACGAGGTAGCTACTAATACTGGGTAGAGCCTACTTCCTCGGTATCAGCGTGTTGATCGTCGGTTCATATGTACCGCCGTCCACTGCATGTCAAAGAAAGTATCACGCAAATTGTGCGCACAGTGACCCTTTCTCACTGGGTTAGCGCTCTGGACCCTTCCGCTCTCAATCTTGACACCTCCTGATGAAAGGCTCACGCAACTTGCGACCCCTGAGCCGTTGTCTCGGTGGTTTCCGATCCGTAGGGTTAAATGTCAGAACTCGGTGTGAGTGGCTACCAGTAACCAGCATATCGGAACTGCATGAGGCAAATGCTTGGCTCAACTTGTCAAGAGAAAGGTGTTCGCATTCTTTGCACCGCCCAAAATTCATAGATCATTGTAGAAAGGAGTATCTTCCACCCATCAGCTCATGCCTCATGCCTCATGCCACATCGATTAAGAAAAAATATATCAAAGCCCAGCCCTTTATAAAGGCAACCGTCGCTATGCTCAAATCAACTCCAACCGGAAGGTGAAATTGCTGTTCCACCTTAGCATAACACAACCATCACATGCCTTCCACGCATCACCGCTGTCGCGCGTGGTCTTCCTGTAATCAAAGCGAATGGGTATATGAGTGCAAACATGCCAAAAAAAAAGATTCAGACAACCATGATCCCTGGACTGAAATGAGGCCCGCGCCGTCTAATGGAAAACAAACTTGTTTGCAGAAGATTCCATATAACAGGCAAGAAGTTGGATTTCACCTGTGCCAACACTCATCCCAGAGTGCGTCCACCGCTGACAATCACCTGATGTCCTGGGCGGTGTAAAGTATCGTGTCCGAGGCCTTGCCCTCGGCTCAATTCTACTAAGTGGCTATTGTGCCAGTTCTGATCTCCAAGCGCGCTCAACCAGTTGCTCCCAAATTCCTGTCGAAGAGCCTCGACTTTGGCTCTATAATCATCTTCTTGGGTGAGTTGTTCGCTAGATCGATGGACGAGTGTCTGCACTGAGGACTCGTCTGTATCTGGTTCAGTCGTATTGACCGAAACTGGTATCGGTTCACTGTGCGTCCGACCTGTCAAGAGACTTGGTCGGTCTGTGATCTTACTGTCTGCTATCACTGCTGTGGTAAGATCCTCACTGGGAGTTCGACTGCTATTCTCATCTTTGGCCAGGTCCACTATACGCCGCCGGGGTGCCTTCCTTCGACGGGTAGATTTCATGGCCGTTTCACCTGTGACACTACCCATCGGTTTGGAGGGGTCATGCTGCTGAATGATCACAGGTAGCTCTGCGATGCGAATGGAGGGCTGCGCTAGTTGGCGTTCAACTTCGGGTGTCCGATCGACAAGCTGTTTACGTTCAGTATAACCTGGTCCTGATTCATCAATGACGATATCCTCCAGATAGCCGGGAGTCTTTCTGAACAGGTTAAACGTCGCGATCCGATAATCCGAGGATGACTTGGTGAACGGGTTGCGCTTCACCCAGATTCGCTTCAAGTTGGGAATGCCGGTGAGGCGAGCCATCTCCATTGAGTCTGAAATCTGATTGTCCTGTATGTTAAGTTGCTCGAGAGACAGCAACCTTTCCACACCAGCAAGTGATCTCAGTCGGTTGCCTTTCAGGTTGATAGTCAATACCGCTGGCAAAGGGGACTTTGATAATGACTGCAGAGACCCGATCAAGCAATTTGACAGATCAAGTGATCCAAGCCTCGTGAGCGATGCGAGACCATCGGGAATCTCGGCGAAGAGATTAGAAGAAAGATTCAGAGATCGAAGAGTAGTTGCTACTGGAGCTAGGCTTTTGGCTGAGATCGAAGTCAATGAGTTATCGGCCAGGGACAGGTATTTCAGTCTCTGCCACTTGGAGGCGGGGAGAATGTTCATACTCAGGAGGTTTGAGGCACTCTCACTACGGTGCGGTTGAATCGAATAGTCACTCGAGTTGGAGCTACCAGAGCCTGACCTCTTGGCCTTGGATGAGTATGAGCGTACGTGCCTGTACGAGCTGGCCGGGCGAGAAGGGCTTGGCCGCTTAGGTGACACACTCCCCGATAATGGCCTCTCTTTAAGCACATTGTCATTGTGATCCTCATGGCCAATGCTCCCCATGGCAGGGGAACCAGGATCTGAGTGGGACTGTGCATATTCGGCACATGGAGTTGAAGGAACCGTCCAGGATGATGTAGGCGTTGGAGAGCCACGTCCGCCTTTGGTTGAGCGTCTCCGTCGTTTCTCAGCATCATCTAGCACAATGTGAGTCAGCAGCTCGGCTGGGTCTTCCACATTTGCACGCTTGACGGTCAGAAGTGTCAGTTGCTCGGCCAGGCGGTCCCATCCAAAGAACTGGCGGAAGTCAAGGTCTACAATGTCAAGCTGCTGAAGATTCTTGAAAGCAAACAAAGGGACCGCAGTGTCGAAAGGGAACTCCTCGTAATTCTTGATCAGGCGTGCGCGGTGATCAGTGGTAAGCCGAAGAGACGGGAGTTTTGTAAAGGCTGAATATAAGTATGTCAGATCCGCCTGCTCGACAACTTTTGCTTTTTCCGACTTGGACGTAGAACCTCCGAGACCAATAGAAGACCAAAATGTACTCATCCCAGACATGACACTTCGCATGCTTGAGACGGAGTGGATCGAGTCCTTGTCGCTGCGGCCCTTGGTCGGCTTATGTGATTGTAGAAATGACACGTAGTTCGACGAAGAATCATTGTGTATATTTTCCAGTCGAATATTCATCGAGCCCACCATGATGTCAATTTCTTCCATACGTGAGAGGAGGAAGAATAGGTGGTGGGGGGTCAAGGTGAGTAGGGCAGCTTTCGTAGCATGTGATCTGAAACTAAGGCCTGTAAAGGAAAAAGCGGCGGCCAGAGCGCTGGCAGCATTGTTGGATGCGGCGGTGGTAGCGGCGGTGGTAGTGCCTGAAGAGCTTTTCGAGGCGGTGGGTGAGGGAGCATTGGGTGAAGTCTGTCGTCTGTGGACTGACAGCTGGAGGCTGTTTGCTAGAGCCTTCTCGTGTTGGCGGATAAACTGCGCCAAAGACTGTTGTGGCCACAAGATGATCAGTCAAAGCTTTTGTAGCCAAATACAACGCCCGTGCACGTTCTGTTGTGGCGGGGTTGTTTTATCGCCGCAGCACTTACACGGATGAAGTGATGGCCATCCTCAGTTTGCAGGCGTTCCATCGCCTGCAAATACGAACTCGGCGGTTCGAAAATGTTTGTCCTCTGCCGGCGGCGAGAGTGGCAATGTTCAGGGAGAAAGAGTATTAAGGATCACGTAGTCGGACCCAGAGACTGGTTGCATGGTCAGCAGGTACGTTCGCAGAGTGAAAGAGAAGGAACCCAGCCCACCAAAGCCGTCGAGGGATATCATGATGGCATCTGGACGTAGATCACCAATACCATAGGTAGATTGACGTGACCAGACAGAAAGAAGTTATATTATTGTGCTCCGTACTCGTACTAGTAGTAGGTTTGCTGCTTTGAGTGATCCACTGGTGAGACAGAAACCCACACTGGAGATTGAGGGAAAATGCTGTGATGTTTGTGTTATGCTGAGAGCACGGGGTATCAACAGCTGCTGTGTAAGCAAAGAGGCTGCGTGACCGGAGGTCGGCAGGGAGAGGTCAGGTGTGAGAGTAAGCCCAGGCAATTGTGTGTACTCGAGGGCTGAGGGCAGCGATGAGGGTGTGCGTAGAAACACAGAACAGCAACAACAAGGAGGGAAAGGAGGGGGTGGAGGTGTAAGCAGGAGTAGCTATGCAAAGTGAACGAACTCTTCAAAGCGGCAGCGACCAGCGACGCCTTTACTTTAGGCAGTTTGGAATTAGTTCAAGATGGTGAGTGTATGTACTCCGTACGAGTCCTCCGTACTCGTAGGTCGTTCTGGTTGTTAGCGGTGCAGTGGGCGTGCAGAGTGCAGAGATTGTTATCAGCGTGAGATTGGCATGGGGTCATTGCAGACCTTGCACTGGTGGGCGTGGGAAAGTGGGCAGGGGGCTTGGGGAGCCAAGGTCGTACTACTCGCTGCTAGATTCACTAGAGATGCAGAAGCGTGGGAACCGAAAAGAATGCTTTGACAGAGCGTTAACGAGCATTCTACTCGTACACCTGCGATTCTTTGGCTTGACTTGGTGGTCTTTAGGCCCAGGTCCCAGGGCCAGGGTCCAGGATTAGGGGCCTTTTGGGATGGAAGACTAGCAAAGTAACCAAATGCTTGAGACTCCCACTCCTACGCCCACTCATTATCATGATTCTTGATCCTGCTCGACTCGGGTCTCATGAATCACCTGGGTCCTTCGAGTTGGTTAGTGGTCGTAGTACTCGTAAGGGGTACCGCGTAATTGAACAATGGACGACGGGCACCCTGTCACTCCGGTCAGAGAATAGCGCCCGCATGTCGCAAACAACGGCAGCCCAGCAGTCCAGCAGGCCCTCGGCCCCTCTCCCTGGAATGTGCGTGGCTAACAGAGGGAGTATCGGAGAACCCAGGGCAGAGGTTCTTTGCGCTTAACACTCAATTCGCCAGTCCACCAGAACCAGTCCACCCACTCGGGCGCTCTGGGCGCCATTGAACAAACACCGATCGACGCCCCTCGCAAAACTGACGGGGTCCTTGATCTGTTGTTTGCTGGCTGACTCTCGTCCCACTGTGTAGATGCTGGAATGGATACCCACTGACTACGCCATCGCACAGCTCAAGCGAGGAATCATTTTCGATCAGGCGACGAGCACCCTTTGGACCATGGGATGTCGCCTTCTCCGAGTCATCAAAACGTCAATTCTTCCTGCGAGATGATCACATTCCTGCGCCTCCATTTCCAGCTGGCTTGGATGACCAGGCCATTGGTCAAGTGGTTACGACAATTGAAACCTCGCTCCAGCTTATCCGTAGAGAGCCATGCCATCACACCCTTCCACCGTGACTGCACACCATCTTGATATCCACATTTTGCGCGTGTAGGTCTTTGTCAGTCCTCGGCAGGTTGTTTTGGCTTTCAGCTTGCCAGATCCCGTATCCCTGGCTTGAGTCGCCTGCCGAGCTCTCGCAGGGCAGCGGGACGGGCACGACGGGTTCGGCCCTCTCGGCCATAAGACAGACTCCAGTTGTTAATTTGCTATGGACCAAGTTGCTGATGGAGTGGCCTCGTCGAAGCTGCTGAATGCTATGGCGAACTGTCTGATGGCGTTGCCTGCTACTGTACAGGTGACTGTCCCTCTGCCCCTCCATCATGCCCCTCCATCAAAGCGGTCCAGGACAAAATAGTATCATGACCACTGCATTGTGAGGCACGGCGCTCGAAGGTGAATTGTTCCACTAGTGAGCCTAAATGAATCTCTTTGTCCTCATCGTAGTTAGTCCGCCTGGGTTCTGCAACCGGGGTGCGCAAGTTTCCCTGCATGTCAAAACCCCCCTCGTACCCAATGAGCACGCCGAATGCGTCGCGCTGTGGTCATCTCGCATGCAGCAAACTTGACTTTCGATATGCCTCCCTGGCCAATGCTCCCACACTAACCTCTGCTTTCGGGCCTCTGAGGGTCATTGAACAGCCTGATTAGGCCCAAGGCTTCCAATGCTATTTGTCTCTCCTAAGGGCCCTCTGGCTGAGAAAACTGGTGGACACCCACACTTCACACCCGCCCACTGATACTCTTACTGTATGCACACGATCGCCGCTCAGACGAGGTTGTGGCTGTATGTTTGACAAAAATGGCACAAAGATCGGTACCTATCTGGGTATAGTTACTGGTACGCGGTAGTTACGAGTAGCACGCTTTCGTGTACCCGGGGGTCCAGGTCCAGGTCCAGGTGCGTGCTCCGTGATCCCGTTTTTGTTGACAACCCCCAGACCCAGACCTGTCGCTCCCTGACAGAGCCAGTGTGCAAAACGACGGGTCAAGCGCCCGACTGCATTTGCATGATAGGCGAGGCAGGCATATCAATGGCACAATGGTGGTCTTTCGTGTCTGTGCACCGTTGCCAGTGGCCAGGCTTTTGACCGCTCTTCTGAATATCTCGTGGCAAGACACTTGCGAGGCCAGTTGCCACCGTCGCGAATGGCATGGAGATGTGCGTGGTGTCACATCTTCTAGCTAATCTCAATCAACCGACAACCACAACAGGATCTCACCGTCTCGGATGCGAACGTGGTTTGTTTCTCTTTTGACCAGCAATCCTCTGGCCTGCACGAGGAAAGAGATGCACGCTGACGCTGTCCCAAGCATCAGAGATCCAGACTCATTGGTCCGCTCGCCACTGGCCTCATTGGTATTTCGGAGTGAGCAGGTCATCTGCAGGGCGAGGTGGCTCGGCGCCAGGCGGTCCTCATGACCGATTTGCAACTTTCAAAGTGTGAACGCCGGCGTGAGGCACAACGACAACCCGACGATTGATTCTTGATTGCTGCCCTTGTCACATGTGACTGTCTCGATGTGAGATCGTAGATTCTTGTGTTCTCAACGAGCCTCCATTGCCTACTGCCTGTTAACGATCTCGTTTTTGAGAAGTCCCACTAAGAGAATACGAGGGTCTTGACGACGTAGTTTCATCAATACGCTGCTCGGTGCACTTCCATGAGTAGCTACTTGCATTACGAGGGATTCACAAAGGATGCGCAGTGCATCCCGGCCAGCTCGGATTACCGGAGAAAGACGCTCCGTTGATGCTGTTGCGAATTTTCCAGCTTGATTTTCTGCATCTACGGAGTACTCGTAGTGCGATGAGACTAAACTACTTTACCGTGTGCTATCTTCTTTTCGCAGCGGAGATGCAGACGCAGCATATAGGTGCAGGCCACTGGCAGAGCCGATCCCATCAGCAGTCCATTGTCTAAGGCCTGCTTCCCCACGCCACACCGGGATGGAAGAACAATGATAAGTTGACCTGCTGTGTCAGTGATTGCTGCGCTATGCAAGGACTTTTCCCTATTGGTTCGAAGAGTTTCTTCGAGCAGGAAGTCGACATTAGCCGAGAGCGTTGTGGGGTTTAACGATGTGTAGTGAGGCGTTGCCTCAAAGAAAACTGTCAGGCTACTGGCAGTCCAAGTAGCTAGCACATCAATCGATCCATGGTGGAGGAATGGTGCGTCGATTGAGGATGAGGTGGAACTAAGCTAATAAGGAGCCTGCCTTAGTTCTCTGAGGACATTCGGCTGCGTAATTGAATAAAACTCTCAGAGTGATTTGGAGCGAGGAGCCAATTGACACGGTTCACTATAGCAGATCCTTCAGTAGCTGTGGGAGAGGTAATTAGCACATGCTCATGGAAGTCGTATGAACCTCGAGTTGGCTGTCCACTCCGTGAAGATGTTGAGGCGGGTTTCTCGAGGTGGAATTCCATCAAGGCTGCCGTTGAGCAATATCTTGATTAAGTAAAACCCGCAGTTTTCGTATGCAGTGTTCCTTGGTCTGTTGGACCCAAAGCCTCGCGGATTCATGCATAAATAGTGACTGGTCATAATAGTGATGATTGTCTTCGATGCGTATGCTTCTCATCATTCCCGTCAAAACACAGCAAAGTTCTTCGAATCATGCTGGCAGTCGAGGCCAGTAGAGATCTATCCAATCTCAAGTGGCTCGTTTTCGCTAAAGCTTTCAAAAACTCTAGATGGTTACTGGCTTCATCCCTGATGGAACACGGGAACGTACCTTTAGTCTTACGAGGTACTCCGTCGTGATGTTACACAATCCACCGACGTGCCTCCAGAAGAAGCCCGTAGTCTCCAATGGGCATCAAGTCAAAGCTAACCCCCACAGCACTTGCATAAATGAAACCACCTCTCCGTCGTTACAATTTTTTTCTGGCTGAGCATCCCGGGATACGAATCTAAATTTCCATATCTCGATTCATCACGAGAGCATCACGAACTTTTCTTAAGAATATCTGGGGTATGTGGGCGGGAAAACCCGGACGCTTGGAATCCTGTCAAGACCCCCAATCCAATGAGCGATGGTGACCGGCATATAGTAGTCCACTGCAACGCATTGATACTCACTCGCTTTGGGAATACTGATACTAAGAAGCGATGTTATTGTCGGGCTTCTTCTGCCCTAAAGCACTAGAGTGACTTCGTCGGGATTCGAAACCAAGCCAATACCCCGTGTCTTCTGTAGGGGCCACGTTAGTTCCAACAAGGGTTTGCGAGGCATAAGTTCAGCCAAGATAGAGGGGCAGAAGTGCCGTGGGACGAAAACTGGAGGGGCGAGGGTGTGGTCTGCCTGGTACCAAGGGTAAACTAACTGAATGATAGCGCCTACGGAAAATGGTGCTAGGGGTAGGGGTCGAGGCTCTTTAGGGGTCCCCTATGCCACTCTTCACAGACCCTATCCACATCTACAACATCCCTAAGAGACTTGTCCACCGCGCTTAATTAATAGAGAGCCTCGTAGGCCCCGACCCGCAGTGTATGACAGTCTGCAATAGCCCTAGACGGTGCTACCCGAATAAATGCAGCAGCATCAAGCAGACCGACGAATTACTCCCAGTCTTTATATTTGTTCACTGCTTAATTTCGTAACCCATCATCTAATGAACCACTGCTGGAAGGAGTAATGAATAGTGAAGGTGCAAAGTGTGTTGGTTCTTACTGTGCTGCATGTGTACGGAGTATACTTATCAAAGTAATATAATGGTGCCTACTCAAAGTCAATTGGTTGCTACCTAGCCACTTATACCAGTACTACCTCCCTACAGTTGTGTTCATCCTTGTTGTCCTTGCACACACCCTTTGCACCTCAGGCCTCCCAGTAAGTCAAATCTGGGGATGACCAAGGTGCCCCCAGGTGTGGCTTGTCCGTTGCGCCTCAAGCTGAATGGCGCCGCTCTCACGCCAAGCCATTCGCGCTTCCCCAACAAATTGGAGACGCCGGCAGCCCTGTATCCACAGAAAACCACCAGACCACCAACACGATGACATCAAAGCTCCTGACTCCTGTGAGGCATAATCCGACGTTTAATTCTGACTGCTATCATGGTGGGTTTCCGCCTCACGCCTTTAATGGTTTCTAATGTGTCTCGCTGAGGACCTCTTCCAGAACAGAATACTAGTATAATGTCGACTGCTGAGGGAAAGGAGGAGAGCTCTGCTCGTGAATACAAGCCCAGTTACGATCCACAATCCCTGCTTGATTATGAGACCGATTTCATCAGCCGCGAGGACATCAACAGTTTTGCCAAAGCACTTGCTGCTCCGACCACAGAACCAGTTACTGCGTTGAACGACTGGGGCCCAATTCACCAAAAGGTCAAACGGAACCGGGCTCGACGGAAACCACCTCGGAGATCCAAGGACGAAACAAGGGAAGGTTTTGTTTACAATATTCTGTATTACCCTCTTCTATTTCTTGTTTGTGGATGGATCGTCTTCCTTTTTATCATCTACAACCTGACTCGTTTCTACATCTATGCATACGAGCACATCTTCACATGGAGGGGCCGACGAGAAACCCTTCGTAGGCAGCTCCAGAGATCAAACACGTACGAAGAATGGCAAGAATCAGCCCAAAGACTAGATGAGTATCTCGGAAATGAGGATTGGAAAAAGTCGGACCCTTATTCCTACTACAATCATCAGACTGTAGCACGAGTGACAGCTCAACTCGCCGATCAGCAGCGGAAGGTAGATCAGGAAGCCACACATGGCCGGGACGGCAAGGGTGGCTTTACCGCACTGGAAGAACTAAAGGTGCTACTGGAAAGCTGCATGAAGAACAATTTCGTTGGCATCGAGAATCCCCGCCTCTACAGCGAGACATACCTTGGAACCAAGGATCTGATTCAGACTTTTGTGGACCAAGTGGAGAAAGGCCTACGGACTGTTCTCGATAGCGACCAAATGAGCAACAAGGACAAGGCTACATTCTTTCGACACCTGGAACTCAATTACGGACGAACAGCACTTTGTCTCTCCGGAGGAGCCACCTTTGCATATTACCATTTCGGAGTTGTCAAAGCGCTTCTGGATGCAGGTGAGCTGCCCGAGATTATCACGGGCACTTCTGGCGGTGCTCTCGTCGCAGCTCTCGTCGCTACTCGAACCGATGAGGAATTGAAACAATTACTCGTGCCAGCCCTCGCGTATCGCATCCGAGCATGTCATGAGGGACTTACAACATGGGCACTTCGGTGGTGGAAAACAGGTGCCCGCTTCGACTCTCTAGATTGGGCATTGCAATGCAGTTGGTTCTGTCGTGGATCATTGACGTTTCGAGAAGCATACGAGAGGACCGGCCGCATTCTGAACGTTACCTGCGTGCCCTCTGACCCACACTCACCTACAATACTCAACAACCATATCACGAGCCCGGATTGTGTCATCTGGTCTGCTGTCCTTGCCTCTGCTGCTGTCCCTGGAATACTTAATCCGATTGTTTTGATGAGAAAGACTAGAGATGGAAACCTTGCTCCGTACTCATTCGGGAATAAGTGGAAAGATGGCAGTTTGCGTACTGATATTCCTTTGAAGGCTTTGAACATCCATTTCAATGTCAACTTCTCTATTGTTTCTCAGGTCAACCCCCACATCAACATCTTCTTCTTCTCACCACGAGGATCTCCCGGGCGACCAGTGACCCACCGCAAAGGGAGAGGCTGGCGTGGAGGATTCTTAGGTTCTACAATCGAGACATCTGTCAAGCTTGACCTGCAGAAATACCTGAAGATCCTCCGACACCTTGAATTACTACCTCGGGTTATGGGCCAAGACTGGAGTGAGATTTGGTTGCAGAGATTCTCAGGGACGGTGACCATTTGGCCCAAAACCGTCATCAGCGACTTTTGGAATATCCTCAGCGATCCTAGTCCGCAGAGGCTCGACCGCATGCTCAGAGTCGGTCAACGAAGTTGCTGGCCCAAGATTCCATTCATCTCCAACCGCATGAAAGTAGAACGAATTATTCTTGAAGGTCTGAGGAGAGCGGGTCCGGTCGAAGAGGGATATCGTGACCCCAATCCAGTTCTTGAACAGCAATCGCAGGAAGCATCGCTACGGGCCAGAAGAAGAGCGAATGACAGTATCTCATCGATAGATGATGCACACCATCGTATTCTTGCACCATCACCTCGTCGACCTAGCACCATCCTGGAGGAGCTCAGTCGGCAAGCATCTGTTCTTTGGGTTGATGATGGTCCTACGGAAGGAGAGGACGATGGTCTGAGCTCGACGGAAGAGGAGATGACGAAACCTGTAGAGGGAAAGCAAGAAGATCCATGATGGCTGTATCATTACCATTAACCACCTCAGAACTGTCGGCCGTGCTATCGACATTACATTTTAAACCAGTAGTAGTAACAGAATAGAAAATGAGGACTGGAGAAAGCATACCGCCAGATCACGTGACTAGCAAAAGTACAATATTGGGCGGCGGCATGTGGATGCACCGACGGTAAGGTTCTAACGAGCCTCAACCGAGATCTAAACGTCGATCTCACGCAGGTTCGATCGTGCCTCTTCAAGATGTCTACAATTCTTCGCCGCCGTAGGACCGAGGAGGGCAGGCTCCGGGAGGATTCTGGACTCGAGAACCGTTGTCGCGACAGTCTTCGGCGCCAGTTCCGCCCACAATTGGCCTCAAATCGAATGATTATGGTGGTGGTTGAGATTGAGTGATATTTGATGCTTTTGGATGACTCTTTGCTTCTTGCATCTTCTGCCTAAGAGTCGCGGTTGTGATTGGAGGGAGGTCGGAATTTAGTGGGTGGGTTGGGTCTTGGCAATATGCCTGCGCCAACGCCTGAGAAAAGCCGGTCTCAAACACGCTCCCACTCCCCCGAACCCCCCAGGCCACAGCCAGTTCACTATTATCATCGACCCATCACTGGAGCCATTTCTAATCATAATCCAGTCTTCTCTATACTGCCACCTGCCATCGCTCGGCCATTGGGATTCGCTGGCCTCCTTTACTCAAAGCATACTGCAATACATCAGTCACGTCAAGCTTACTGACGCGCCGCAGCCCATCACCGAGACTTATTATTGCTCCGCGACTATCACTCTCGACCCTGGGTTCAAATCCATCACTCTGAGCAGAGCAAGCGCACGGTCATATTGCTTCCACCCCCATAATGCGGTCGAGGTAATTGTACTCTTTCCCAGCGATAGCAACCGGTGACGACAACGACGATTGGCCACTATCTGCCTCCTCCGCCCTGAACACATTCGCAGGCATGCGTGGCGCAAAGCGAACTCTTGCGGAGATCGTCGCCCACGAGGACTCGGACGACGATGATTACGATGACCAGGCCCCCGGACCGTCAAAGTCTCGATCCTCTAGAACTAAGCAAGGTCGTGTGCCAGTCCGCAAAAAGCCACGAAGGAAGTATTCAGGCTCTGACATCGAGAGTGACGGTGAAGAGCTCGACTCTGAAGAGGATTCATTTCAGGAAGAGTCCGACGATGATGACATAGAAACAAACGAAAGAGGACGCCCTGTGCGGAAAACTGCGAAGAAGGTTGTCAAATATGAGGAGGACGAGACTGATGAAGACGAAATTGCCAAATCAACTTCGGGAGAGCCCCAGACACCCCCTCCAACTGCTCAGCGTAAGAAGCTAATCATCAAACTCAAGACGACGCCAGCTGCTAACCGACCAATTCGCTCGACGAGGACGAGGAGTGGTAGTTACGCTGGCAAGCAGGGCTTGACTTCTCCATCTACTGCTCATCCGACTGGCACAAGGAGGAGTAGTCGACTGTCACATGATGAAGAAGAGCCTGTGATTGCCCTAACGAACTCAGGGAACCACGTGGAGGTCATTCGGGCGGGCTCTCGTGACCCTGAAGATATTCACCCTAGAGCCGTTAAGGGCGGAAAGGGCCTGAAATATCCATCGAAGAGCACTATCGACGAAGAGCCAGAATCCTTACCGAAAGACGATGAGGGCGTAGAGGAGGACAGTGAAGAAGAGCTGGAGATCAAAGCTTCCCAGCATGAGCTTCTTGACAGCGACATTCCCGCGCCAGATAATGACCAACAGATTCCTCAAGTAGTTTCCGACCTCATGGAAATGACTGGCGTCGAGAGCGGTGATGAACTTGCTCTCAACGAATCTACCGGCGCAGAGGCAAGTCAAGAAAAGGAAGACCATGATGAGGAAGACGAAGACGACGTGCAGCCTCGGGGACGGCCTACACGCGCGTCGACCAAAGCACGGGCTCACTCTCCACCGCCAGACCTTGAGGAAGATCCAGCACACCTTCGTGTCCGAAATCTTCGAAGCCGTGCTAAGGACGGTGCTTCTGGGAGTCGACGGCGGAAAGCGCAGGACGAAAGCAGCGATTTTGATCCTGACGAGAACCAAGAAAACCAGGACGAAATGTCAAGTTCTGGGGAATCCGATGCTTCACCCCGCAAGACAAATCGTGGAGACGGAGAATATGATAGCAGCAACAACGGCAGGCGTTCGACACGTCTGCGGAGCAAGGCTGCATCCCGTCAGCGATCTGACGCCAGTGATCAAGATCTCGCTGCAGAGGTTGCAGATCTCAAAAGACCTGGTCGAAAAGCAAGGCGCGAACGTGAGGAAATTATATTCGAGCCACGTGGCCGTCGAGGTGGGAAGAAGCCAAACTACGATCTGCTTCGTAGTCTAGCACCGATTGAGGATGAGGATGGTCCTGCAGCACCATCACCTTCCCAGAGAGCACGCAAGCCCGGTGCCGGCAGCTGGCAGAGAAGCCTCTTCAATACCTACGGGCCTTTCGGCGGAGGGGGGGGTGCTGCACCTGTTCTTGGCGGTCCTGGCTTTCGAGCACAGGGCGGAGTGGATTCCGACAGCAGCGACGATGAAGGTATGAAACAACCAGGAGGCATGGGTGGCACCGTTGGTATGACTCCTACAACTGCTACTCCTTTCAATGCTTTCCCCCAAACACACAATGCAGATCCAGCTCAAGCAACTGCTGGTACTCCTGCAAACCTCGGTAAGATCAAGGACAGGCAGGCTCTTGCGGACGCAGATCCATTGGGAGTGGATCAGAATGTCAACTTTGATAGTGTAGGGGGGTTGCAAGGCCACATTGATCAGCTGAAAGAAATGGTTGCTCTGCCCCTCCTCTATCCTGAAATTTTCCTACGCTTCAAAATTACTCCTCCCCGTGGTGTGTTGTTCCACGGTCCGCCCGGAACAGGGAAGACTTTACTTGCTCGAGCTTTGGCGACGAGTGTCAGCTCACAGGGCCGGAAAGTCACTTTCTATATGCGCAAAGGTGCTGACGCACTGAGCAAGTGGGTGGGAGAAGCCGAGAGACAATTACGCCTGCTCTTTGAGGAGGCTAGGAAGAACCAGCCGAGTATTATCTTCTTTGACGAAATCGATGGCCTGGCACCTGTCCGATCTAGCAAACAAGAACAAATTCATGCCTCGATTGTTTCAACACTTCTTGCTCTGATGGATGGCATGGATGGACGAGGACAGGTTATCGTCATTGGCGCAACCAACCGCCCTGACTCAATAGATCCTGCTCTTCGCCGTCCTGGCCGCTTCGACCGCGAGTTCTATTTCCCCCTGCCTGGCACCGAAGCCCGACGCGCAATCATTGACATTCACACCAAAGGGTGGAAGCCCGAGCTTGATTCTGCTATAAAAGATGAACTGGCTGAGCTAACCAAGGGTTACGGGGGAGCAGATTTGCGAGCCCTCTGTACCGAAGCCGCCTTGAACGCGGTCCAACGACGGTATCCGCAAATCTACAGCTCGGTTGAGAAACTCAAGATTGACCCTCAGACGATTGACGTTACACCGAAGGACTTTATGATTTCCATCAAGAAAATGACGCCCTCATCCGAAAGATCCACTTCTTCCGGTGCCTCTCCACTTCCCGAAAGCGTTGCGCCTTTGCTTCAGAAAAACTATGAACAAATCAAAGCGTTGCTCTCAGAAATCTTACCACAAAAGAAGATCTTAACGGCTCTTGAAGAGGCTCAATTCGAAGACGGATACGATAACCAAGGATTCGGCAAGGAGAAGATGCAGCAAAGGTTTGAAACTTCAAGGGTATTCCGGCCTCGACTCCTCATCCAAGGCAAGATCGGGATGGGACAGCAGTATCTAGCAGCTGCTTTGCTGAATCATTTTGAAGGCCTTCATGTTCAGGCATTCGACCTACCGACGCTGTTGAGCGACAACACAAGTACTCCCGAGGCCACCGTCATCCGGCTTTTTACTGAGGTCAAGATGCACAAACCTAGTGTAATCTATATCCCTAATGTACAGGACTGGTATAGTACAGTGGGAGGCACGGTCATCTCCACCTTTCTCGGATTGCTAAGGTCAATTAAGCCAACAGACCCCGTTCTTCTCTTAGGTCTCGTTGAAGGTGACCAGGACGAAATTGATGATAGCATGCGTCGTGAGCTATTCGGCTACTCTAAACGCAATCAATACCAGCTGAAAGAGCCCGGCCACCCTGAGCGGCTTGCGTTCTTTCAAACGTTAAAAGACTACATAGGAACCGCGCCGTCCGATTTTCCCAACCCTGCCAACCGCAAGAAGCGGCAGCTCGAGAAATTAGATCCTGCACCCCCAGAGCCTGAGAAGCCAGCCCCACCGCCCTCGAAGGAAGAAGTCAAGCTTCAGAAAAAGAAGGACCGCCAGACTCTCAACATGCTCAAGATCCGACTGCAACCAATAATGGATCAGATACGAACCAGACATAAAAAGTTTCGTACTGGTGTGATCGAAGAGAGTCAAATCCGCTACCTCTTTGACGAGGCAGATCCTGGCACAGTAACTTCTGATCTTCAACATGAGGTCCTTGCCCGAGCATCATTTAGGCCTTTTGAGAAAGGCACAGACCCTCATGGTGTGACGGTTCTAGTTGACCAAGCCAACGGCAATTACTATTATAACCTCGACTCTGTAACCATCGAGAAGCGACTGAGCAATGGTTATTACAAGAGACCAAAAGACTTCCTTGCTGACATCAAGCGTCTGGAAAAGGATGCAAAGGCCATTGGAGACGAAGATCGGCATCTGAAAGCCAAAGAGCTGTTAGCCAACGTTGAGGTTGATATAGGTTCGATTGAATTTGGTGAGCCGGCGTTCGCCGCTGAGTGTGAACGGGTTTATCAACGAGAGCTCGCCAGAGAGAAGGAAGCCTTGAGATTACTACAAGCCGAAAATGAGCAGAACCGGGGTATGCCACCACCACAGATAGTCTCGAATGTACCTCACGGAAACTCCGGCCCGTCCGTCACGACCACTTCAACGACCGGCCCCATACAACTTGGGGAGCCCATGATACAACATCATGATTTTGCGGCTAGCTTGTTACCGACTCAGTTCTCGGCTGGCGAATCTAATGGCTCAGCGATGACCAACGGAATACACCACGAGTATGATCAAGATCAAGCCCATGAGGATTTGACAAATGGTTCCGGCTCCAGCCATGGCGTTCAGGTTGGCGAAGACACTCCAATGGGAGGAACGGAAGCCAATCCTCATGAATCAAATGAGAAGAGCAATGAAACGCAGCAGTCTCAGACTTCCAGCTCGTATGGCAACCGCGGATCTGCACAGCCGCGCCCTTTCCATTCGTACACGGCGCCGTCACAGCAATTGATGAAGGAATCAGGAATGTCTGCACCTCGTTCCCAGACAGGTCCCTTCACACCTATGCCAGCTGGGAGCATAGCCGCAGAGTTTCAAAACGACGCTAGTACCACGCAATCGTCGGACAAGAGGTTGTCGTCTGGCGACAGAGAACAAGTGAATACCCAGGAATCAGGCCCCAATTTCTATCTACTGGAGGAGCGCCGGTCAGCAGATGCAGGCAGTGATATCCCAGACACCCAAGGTACGCGAGGTTTCCCGTTCGTCCCTAAACGTCCCTTTGCAGCCATGAGCACCAGGGAATTATTTAACCTAACCCTGAAAGCAGATAACCCTTCGTACTCACAAGGATCGCCTAGCAACAATACCAATGCCAGTCACCTTCGCCCAATAGGTCTAGCAGCATCTCCACATGCTCAGGAAAAGCAGACTCAGCCCCCAGTGCCGGCATTTGATGCCCATCCCACGGTGCAGCCCTCTCATCGGCCAACTTCACAGATTCAGGATCTCCTTAATCCATCGCCACAGCCGAACCTGATTCAGGTAGAACAACGCAGTCTAGACAATTTCCACCAGGACGTTGCAGACAAGACTAGTGGTCTTAGCGTGGAGCAACTTGAACAGGTCAATAGCGTGCTAATGGACACATTGTGGCAGACGAGAGGAGAATGGGACCGAGGAAAGGTGCTCTCGGAAGTCGGTAAAGCGTTCAATGATGTGATGTTAGACATGCAAGAATCCGGGCAGGAGTTTGGCCCAAGCAGTTGGGGGCGGAAGACCCAAGCATAGGTTATTATGTGACACCAAAACCTATTGGCAGTGTAAAGCCTTGGAAAGAGGGCATCAAAACTTGTTCCGAAAAGACAGCTGGGCTAGAGGAACTTGGTAGCTGTTTGTACAGTAGACGAAGATGTAAAAAGGATGACCTGATTAAATGATGCACGTTTGATCGAGGGTCTGAAACAAGCTGAGTGATAGTGATGGAGTGCTCACTGTAATAGTATACCAGTTATATAGTTGCTGCAAGGCCGGGGAGGCCCTTGCTGCCAAGGAATACATGTCAACCGACCTCAATCAAGAGCTCGTCCTCCCTATTGAATTTCTCACTCCATCCAACAAGCAGTCTGTCCATTGACCTTGGATATACTATTCTCTGCTCTTCAGATAGGCGGTCTTAGTGATGTGCTCATAACCCTGGCAGTAGCTCATGTGGTACTTGAATAAGTTCCATTCCTATCGAGCAGCAACCAGGGCCTCGGGGCTCAGCTTCTCCACGATGAGACACCATTCAAGGAGAGTCGCACTTCCTCTTTTCGACTGATCGGGGATCTGTTCCGTGTGGCGCCTTCCAGGCTTCCACGTTATAGAGAGAAGAAGTCACGGAAAGGCACATGGGTCTGGATATCTCAACGTCTTGTTCGCTTGCTCTGGGTCTCTGACCGTCCATTTTCCTTCCACTAACTTGATTTCCGCGTCCACGGGCGCGTCGGACACTTTTGCAAAGTATTGAAAGCTGCTCCTGGACCTGAATCTCCCACTATGGCTAAGCTACCTTGTGTAAATCTCCTCCTCGTCTCTCTGCTCTTCACTTTAGCCTCTTGTCTCCCGTCTTTCTTCACCTTGTCGTCCTATGCTCCCATTGCTGCCTCCTGCCCAGGTACTCCACTTGTACGAAGTGCGGAAGGCCTCTGCTACGGAGAGGAGCTCTACCGAGCGGGAAGACGCCGGGTCTCAGAGCGAGCATTTCGCCTCTTCATCAACAGACTGAACAAGGGACTGCCAAAAAATGAAACCTTCGGGTACAACTGCACTCCAGTCATTGCTCTTGCTTCAGGTGGAGGCAAACTGCGAAGCCTGCTCTCTGGTGCAGGCGTGGTTCAAGCGTTGGATGCACGAGATTTGAGCAATGGCGTCAATGATCTCAAAGGGCTTTATCAAGCAATTTTATATCACGCTGGGGTAGATGGAGGTGCTTGGTTGGTGTCCGCCCTGGCGGGCAATGACAATAAGACCGCCTCAGAACTATATCTCAATACGTGGAGTTCCAGTTTGCCAAACGCGGACTTTCTACCTGTCAATACAAAGAAGGGTGAGGCCTATGCCAAAATAGCTTTGGATCTGGCGGCCAAGGAATTGAATGGCTTTCAATCTACACTGGTTGATAGTTGGGGGGGATTGCTGTCTTTTCACTTGTTCAGTAACACACCTAGAGCCATTGCTACGCTATCCGGGCTGATAAAAGGTCCAATGCTTAGCACATTCGAAACACCATACCCGATAATCACCGCACTGGGTTCAAATCTAAATATAGACCAACGTGGATGCGACATGATCAATAACAAATCTCTTCAGTATGAATTTCACCCTTACGAGACAGGCACGTGGGAAGCTGGCCACAGAATTTTTACAAAAACAGAATTTTTGGGCACCCCCTTAAGCAATGGCGTACCTCTTGCGGACGAGCTCTGCATGAGAAAGTTTGACAATCTGGGCTTCATACTTGCAATTTCAAGTGGTGCCTTTTTCCGCTTCTGCTCGCGTGTACCTGGGACCAATTTGTTGACAGGAGATTGGGGACAGATGGAGAATGAATTGATCGGATTAACAAATGTCCTCCATACACCATCTCTGTACGACGAATATGGCATTGTTCCCAATCCATTCTACCAATTAAAGTTGGCCCCTGGACTTGCGCCCAAGAAGCGCTTGCATCTTGTTGATGGTGCAGCTGGTGGCGAAAATGTACCATTATGGCCTCTCATTCAACCAGAACGTCACCTTGATGTTGTCATCGTGAACGACAATTCAGCAGACACACGTGATGGCTACCCTGATGGAACATCTCTTTACAATACCTGGGTACGGGCACAAGAATCTGGGCTCAACACGATGCCAGCGATACCAATTCCAGCCACAATGGACCTGATTGGACTGAACAGACGCCCTACATTTTTTGGATGCTACGACGACTCTGTCATCACTATTATCTATCTGCCCAACAGACAGCATGTCTTCCCTAGCAATATAAGCTCATTCAAGTTGACTTATAGTCAGAAAGACGTGACAAATATGATTGCGAATGGGAACATGGTTGCTACGAATGGTAGGGACAAAAATTGGCCTTACTGCCTTGCTTGTGGTCTTCTATTGAGAGTCAATGATGGAGAGTTGCCACTTGGTTGTGGTGCTTGCCTTCGGAAATACTGTTGGCCGACAGACGGACCAGGAAAGCATCCCATGCAGTATTCTGAGAGATGGGGTGTTTGATCAGGCTCTCAATGTGGAAAGCAGGCTGATAAGTAAGTCGGGGTCGAGATTAGTTGATAAGGTACAAGTTGTGGATGGTCATTGGTCAGATCACTGACTCTTCTTGCTGCTTGGTTGACTAGGGTTATGGACCATCATTCTGCATTCTTCGAAAGCCAAGAGCATCTACTATGGGAGTTTGCAGACGCGCTGCTGCAGAGAATCTCGGATGTGCTCGGGTTCGATCATCTCAGTCAGGCCGAAAGCTGGCAACGATGTTGTATTACTTACTTACGTACGAGGTCCTGTATCTTACCTGTATCGAGTAGACTACGAGGGAAGCCGACATGACATGCTGACCTAGACAACTGCATGCATTATAAAGTAGTGGGTGGGCCACGGTGAACGGGTGGGCATTCAGAATGCGTACATTGAGCTTCAAGTCTAGCCCACCCACATATCGAGAGTCCATGAGACATTGATGCAAAAGCGATCTTTGTTGCGGAAGCAGTTGAGAACGGCGCTAAAGCCTCAAACCACTGTTCTGTGTAGTCACTCACTAGTTAGCTTTCTGAAATAAAGGTGGTTGGCGCTTGTGTAGGCCCCCGTTCCGTCGGGCTGGAAGGTTTGCCTCGTGACGGGGCCGACTCTGTTAATTGAGGCTCGTGTGTATCAATGATTCCCGCCTCGAACAAAACAGTAGAGTCAACTTAGCCGGGCTAATAGCCATTTCGATCCTTAGGGAGCTCAACTATGTTCTTTGTTGGGACAGAAACATCGCATAGGAAGCATCAGGAAGGTCGGCAAGGGTCCATCGACAAGTGCTATGGTCCTATGGAGTATGGACCCCGTGATTCACGGCCGTGGGATGACAGCGACCTAAGAATGGGAATTCGTACTTGAAAATTGTACACCGCTCATCGGGCAAGGGTCGACGAGGAGTGCTCGTCTGGACATCTGAGACGCAAACGTAAAATCAATGCTGAACACAGCGATATACCGAATCTATTGGAACCTTCTGTTTCGAAGACCTGCCTACCAGATTCATCCGAGCCAATGAGCCAGTCTGCCATCGAGATGGAACTGTCCGTCAGGGATTAGATAGGTACGCCACACCGCCTCATCTAGCGTGGCACGACGATGGTGAGTAGATGTCGTGTGTAATCATGGCCATCGTCGAGGCCCCACATCGTTGCATGTGGTAGGTCGCAACCCACGTCTCTCTTGAGTCCTCCACAGGAATGGCGCATTTGTTTGCTCTCTTCGCTTCAGAGGACTTGTTCCTGGCCGAAACCGCCACGGCCGTCGACAACCCACCAGTTCTCGCGTTTCCAAATGAGGAGAACCCGATAAGCGAGCAGGTTTGTGCTGACAGGTGTACATACTCTTCGTGGGATAAGCCAGGATACCATCCCACTTGGGAGGAAACTTACGGTGAGCTCGTGTTGAAGACGCCTTCGCTGCTTTAGCGAGTGAATTCGCGTAGCCTTTCAGGAGGCGGGGAAATAGGAGATTGGGATCGTGCTCATTTGTTGGTTATGGTGTAGTGGGGAGTGCGGTACCGGCTATTCTGGACTGTTTCCAGCTTCAATTCTTTCTCGATCAAGTTTGATCAGAACTCACGCCCGACATATAGTGGCAATGCGTCATTTCAGAACAAGAAGCGACAGGCGTTGATTGGAGCCATCAGCAGATCAGGCTACCGGAGGTGTCTCATTTGATTATCGGTCGAGGAGTTGGATGATGACAAACAGGGCTCGAAATATCTATGTCACCGAGGGGGAATGACCTACCTTCGAATTATGTAGTTACGTGCCACCTAGTCAGTTACAGTAGCATCCCCAAGTTGGGAACGACGGGGCCTCTTTGTGTTCACACAAAAAAAGAACACCTGGACGGTGCTGGGGATTGGGCCTTCATCACCAACATCGAGCTTGAACTGTAATGCGAGCAGAAGCGAAACCTCATGATAAAGAAGTGGACGTGGCAGTATGTCAACGAAGCAGAAATTGTCCACACACAACGGCACATATTGTGCCGTCGAGGCGAAGCAGACCGCGCGAGTCGATTGTTCTGATTGAAGCTGGGCCACCCTCATTGATCGGCAATTCGGGCTATGATCAGGTCCGATGTCTCTTTCGTCGGCCCCTCAATGGTTCGGGGGATGAAATTTCAAGGAACAAATCATGTAAACAGCGATAAGCCAGGCTGGAAGTTAGATTCTCGAAAAGTCTAAGTCATCCAAACCTTTTAGAATATATCAACTCAGTCCCTCGAGGCAACTCGTTGCGGCTATACCATACCGTACGGAGCCACAAGTAAATTGCAAGACCGACTGTCGACTGTCGAAAGCAGAGAATACAGACGTGGATCAACCACGCAAACACTGCTTCGGAGGACGAAGACGTTGAGCATGGAGAGCGTAGGTCAGCTATGCTCTCACACAACAGTTGGTGAACGGCTTTCACTACGCGAGGTTTTGGCCTCGACGGAAGATCACGTCTGCATTTCAGCACCTGGGATTCCTCGTGCTGCCTCCGTTGTTGGTCAGGCTCGGTCTTGCTTTTGATTTGGCCGTAAGATAGCTCCTGAATCTTAGGCATCCTTACTTAGACTTTCCAACGGAAGCGGCTTCTAGCTTTGGGGGGAGATTGGGGGTGGTATCATCGCTCTCCGAGTCCAACACTGAGATCGGAACCACTACCGCCAATGACCGCACCGCGCACTGAGATAGTAAGAGTATCGCCTCTTAAGGTTCTGTAACACCATCCTCAAAGAAAGGCGTTGAAAGGCTAGATGACTGACTCGAAGCGTCATGTCGATTCAATTTGCCAGGAATGCTCCATCATCTGGTGGAGAGATTTGCAATTTGGTCCTGATCTGCATCGAAGGGCACCAATTGTAATCCACCATGTAACAGTTGGTGACTTGACGTGCTTGATTATGGAGAGTTTGGCGTCTGACGGAAGAAAGGATACTTGGACCGGGAAAGGGTTGAGATGAAGTCGAAATGTTGGGCGAGGATTTCCCCGCAGCACAACCACGGAACTCTGGAGAAGAAGCTCCTCTCCCCACTACGACATCGTGGGGTAATTGCTTCCATTTCTAGTTGCTCTGATTCCATCTCCATCATTCGTCGGCATCGGGGTACCCAAGGGGAGGACTAAACATTCCCAAATAACCTATCAGCTTCTGCAGATAACCTTGCCCATCCGCTTCCGCGCAGGTTCACAGCTTGCAAAAGCACGTAGTATCACTGACGAGGAGCATGAGTTCGGTAGACTGATCGAGCGTTATTCGGTTGAAGGTAAAAGGTTCAACAGCCGTGAAAACTTTAATAGGCTCTTTCCAATGGTTCGTACTCGTATGAAATGTGGAGAGGTTGGAAAGCGGAGCATGGCTGTAATCCCTGACGCAGCGACGACATGTCAGGTAGGATATTGGCTCGCCCATGCAGCAGGCTAGGTTCGATAATCAGTAGTGAGACAAGTCAGGTAATAGCAACGGATCCAATATTTATGGGCCAGCGAGACAAATCATGACACAGTCTTGATCCAGGGAGGCCTCAGGAGCTCGACAACGTTGACAAAGACTCGATAGACAATTGCGCACGTAGCGTAATCGTTCCATGCAGAACGAAGCCAGCCTGAGATGGCACGAGGGCCGGCTCGTTGTACAGGGATGATGAATGGAAATGGCTTCCGTCTGCCCTATCTTTCGGGGGTGTTATTCAATTCATGGGTATCTATCCCGCGACATTACCAAAACTGATGACACTGGTCAGTTTGAGGGAGATGGTAGTGACTAGTAGGACACAGTCTTTGTTGTTGTCGCGTAAACCGAATGAGGAAAACCTTTGTACTTGATCGGCTTACTGAAACTTGGTCAATGGAATGTACTTTGAGTTTTCTCAAGCACAAAAGCAATTTTCGGGGATGTCTCAATAGAGTAGCCCGAGATCACCGACGCCATATCTTCGACTGTTGAGCAAAGCAAGTGCTCGAATTGAAAATCGGCGGCTTACTATCTCGTCAGTCGAATGTGGAGGCTTCACCAGGCATGGTAATACGAGCTTCCACACGATCATCGTCCAGGCCGGGTACAAGACAGCCTACTCGTGTAAGCATGAGTGAATGGAGCCGCGCGCATCGTAGAGGACTCATGCCATCATAAGCGACGACGAGAGTCTGAGGATGGGTTGAGTCTGTCAAAGCACCCGTTGACATGTGCTATGTCAGTGGTCAGGTACCAACCACACAAGGACTTCAAGCTGGCTAATTCTTCCACATCGACATAAAGCCGTTGTGCAAAGTTTGCTCACAGAAGCGACAACAGAGTTTTGCTTATCAACGCGGTGGCTCCGTTGCTTGAGAGCTTCGCCAGGAATTTGAGTTTCTCTTCTCAAGCAAGAGAAAATAGGGGCATGGTATCTGGGACTGTTGCATGTTGCATATAGTAGTAGCACCTGAGTATGGCCGAGAGATAGTACTCCCCGCGCCATGATGGAACTGCAACTCCATACTGTCCTGGCAGTTGCATGTGAAATTGCGCATGAGTGTCACGCCGTGGCCTTGCAAAGCTGGTCCGCCTAGGATGAGCAAAACAACGCGGGCGTGAGTTGGAAACAGGTGGCGTTGGCGTCGCTTCGCTTGCCTTCCCCGCAAAGTTACTCCGTACTGCCCCACCATGATTCGAATTCAAAGCTACAAGCATGTCTGTGCAAGTATGGAGTACACTCGCCTGGATTAACCTCATCTGATGTACTCGGGTCGGGTTTCCGATGCGCCCGACATACGCCCGACTCTCATGCCTGGAGGCTGGGAGTGATAAAACTCATCTAACCTTCTTACCCAAGCCCACTACCACTGGCTTTTGAAAGGGTGTTGTTTGAGACACTGTACGGAGTAACTTGAGTAGGCATCACGCCTTGGACGGGGTTGGTGGCGCATCGTTTCCCATCCTTGGTAGACACGAAGACTGCTCATCTCGTTGATAGTACAATGTATATTCCGACCTGGATAAAGACGTTTGGATCCGCCCGAGACAAATAATGAGAGCAGACCAGGAGGTGGGTGCCGCTTCGAGTCCTACCACCAGGATAGGCCATCCGGAAGGCCGCCGAAGGATCTTGTACATACTCGCAAGTCAGAGAACTTGGATTGCCGTTTGACTGCCGAGAACTGCGACCGCAGAGATTCGATCACACCTTGTCAGTCGCTCCGCAATGTCAGAACAATGGATCCAAGCTCCCATTTCATCGTGGCATAGACATGGAATCGTGAGTAGTTTGTCCGAGCGTGACCGACTCTGAGTCTCCGACCCGGGGGATGATTGCAAATAAGCCAAGACAAGCCCGGATCAGACGCGCAAGCCGGCAAAATGGAATGTTGGACCAGCTGGCAACAAAGCAGTCCAGTAGGTTAGTCTGTGGAAAAGATTGTCGATCAAAACTGTCTTGCAACCTTGTCCCCACTGCCTGGCCTGGTGGTCAATAGTCCCGCGACATGGACAACACAGACTGGATGGCCCATGCTCTGTCACATTCTTATCGTTGGGCCAACAGCATTCGGACAATCCCCTCAAGTCGAAGGGGAGATTTGGTGTATTCATTATCCCAAACGAGCACGGGGCGAATTCTACTCGTATGTTGGGCAGCGGAGCCTCCTTTCCTGTACTTTATCCATGACCATACCTCGTACATACATGCCAATCCTTTGATCCGTCAACGCCGTCAACGTCATCATCGCTAGACAACTCCCCAAGGTTTCAGTGCCTTATGGGTCAGAGTTCTTAAAAGGAGAGAGAGGATTGTAAATTCCGGTGGGCCTTTTGCTGGCTTTCTTGGTGTGCATTTTGGTAATTACGAACTTGGCAGTGGACAGGACAAGTCGTTCCTCGTATTCCGGAAGCCTCGCATTCCTGACTCCACGAAGATCCTCGGAGCGAGGGCTCGGGGCTCCACGATTTACCCCGGCTTAGGAAGCAGACAAATTGGGAGTTTTCATGGTCTGGGGAAACTTCGCCAAATGTGCGGAACATTGGCCCTCTCGCGAAAGACAGAAGATGCTTTGAGCGCGGGTGGATTGTCTCTGATCTCCATCCCTTCCCCCCAAAGTCTCTGACCGCCGCAAATGCTTTCATTGTCATTCCATCAGCGTAATGCCTGCCGAAGACTGGGCCAGTAGATTCTGCCATCAGAGTGACTGGGTAGTGATGTATCAGATGAGCCCTGCATAGTGTGGGGGAGACAGTTACACAGGCTGATAAGCTGAGCGTTCCGAATGGTACTCCGTACTGCAGGTGATCTGAGTGACCGCAGTCCCCCCCTTGTCCGACGTGTTTGCCTGGGTGTTTCTGTGAAAAGACCCGACCGCAGATACTTGCTTTGGGCTGTCGGAGGTTGACCAACAGCTCCAAGGCGTTGATCCTCCCCGTCCCAAGCGAGTCCGGGGTTCGGCTGAAATGTGCGAGCAATCTTTTCCAACGGACGCCAGTGTATGCAATGTGACTCAGCCCTCGAACGTAACAGAACGACATAGTTGGCATGAGCGGGAACTAGATGGCAATTCGGCTGTTCTTGCAGCGAAATGAGTGGTGCTAAGTAGAATGGCAATCACTGGGCAAGCATGACGCGAGAAGTCGGTCACCCAGGCCTGCACCAAGAATGGACAATCAATAATGAATAATGAGAATGAGGCAGAAAACGCAACGGACCATTCTTCGGTACGCACTGCCCAATCCCCAGCAGTCTGTAAGGCGTCCTCTAGTGTATACAGGAAACAGGATCTTGTTTGTATGGACCTTTGAATTGGGCTACTATATCTGAAATTACACATGTAAACGTGGGATTGGCTGCTCTGCACGTTGCGAGCGCCTGTTGCCTGACTGAAAACCAAGATCCCGATTTGAATCAGTCTCCAACAAACACCATCTATTTCGCGCAATCGTGTGGCGCATTCCGTGATGATCCTGATCCGTCTATACCTTGCTCCTTGCTGTTATTCTATCCTAATTGAATACCCGATCGGCTCATTGACGTTGATCGCCCAAAGCACACAAAAAAACAAAACCTCAATCTGAAACTCCGAAAGACAAAGAAAACTTGAGTGAAGAAAGTGGTACATCTCCACATAACTAAAGTCGTGCCGTTAACGGCGTTGTAGACCTCGTGTACCTCTATGTTCGTTAAAGCGATCATCTTGCCATGTCGCCGTTGATAGAGGCGGCTTTGCTAGATTCCCCTGAACTCAGACCACTTGGTGGGTTGAGCATATCTGACAATCCAATTTTAGGAAGTTGCGGAACTGGTAGTTTTCGCTGAGTGCCAGTAACAATATCCGCAATGGAAGGGCCAGTATGCTGTGGGGGGGGAATATGGGTATATGATCCGTCTGCTTGAGGCTCCATCGGTGCTAGCAACGGAGTGTGTCCCAGTGAGAGGTGTCGAAGGCCAGGTAGCTGGAGATCGCTACCATGCGGACGAAGACGTGGAGAATGACCAGGAGTAGCGAGTGGTGTATGGTCGGGTGTTGGCGATATTGATTCATGCGAGAAAGTCGGAGAAGATGGGGCTGTCGAATGAGGGGAGTTTGGCCTCGATCTTTTCGTTCGGTGATCATCCTCATGAGTCTCTTGAGAGTGAGATCTCGACATAGAGTGAGAAATAGCATAGGCTGAAAGCGATGGTAGACGCCCATTGCTATTATAATTGCGATGGCTGAAGAGATGATGTTGATGCTGATAAGGAACTCTCGTAACATGTTCGTCTCTCTCTACTTGGGAAGCAGCAGTGGCGAGGAGATTGATGTCCATTGAGTTTCCCCTGTCATCGATGCGGCCAAATGGGCTCAGGTGAGATGGGCCATGGGAATTATGGCCAGCCTGGATGGCGAAAGAATGAGGTGGTGAGACATTGGGAGAGCCAGCGGCGGATGTGGGTGCGGATCGTGGCATGCTGGCCTTGTTGGGAGGAGGCAACATCTGTGCTTGGGCTGCAAAATTGGGATTGGTGCCGTCCTGAAGGCCGGCGAGGGCGGCGGCGGCGGCGACCTGGTGAGTCTTCTGATTCCTCCTCGAGTTAGGATTGTTATGGATGCGCGAGTGCCGGGTCAATTCGTCGGATCGGCTGAAACGCTTGCTGCATCCTGGGAATTGGCAGGCATGAGGCTTTTCTCCAGTATGAGTACGGATGTGCCTGGTCTGATGTTCGAGACGATGAAAGGCTCTGTCGCACAAGGGACACTTGTAAGGCCGAGGGAGGTCCTGCCTCTCTTCGGGATTATTTGGATTGCCCACGGCGGTAGGCATAAGACCGACGGCGGTAGCCATGTTGGAGTCAGATGGAGTTGAGGTTGAAATTGAGGTTGGGGTGCTGTCTTCTGGTGCAGGCGTGATGGGAGTAGAAAGGGAGGAAGGTGGAGGAGAAGGGTTGAGAAGGGCAGTAAAGTCTACTGCAGACGAAGAGCGTTGCATTCGAGCAAGGACGCAATTTGTTCCCCAAGATGATCGCTTATCGTGGGGTGAATCATCCGCTAGGCCCAAGGAAAGTCGACGTGACGCATGTACAGGCTCGGGCAACCTGGGGTCGGAAAGGGCGAAGGCGCAGATGATACGGAAAGTGGACTAATAGTGTGGGCAGATTTAGAGTGGACGGTGTACGGTGGTGTGGTGTGGTGTGGTAAGGTGTGGTCAGAGAATGAATGTGTGGTCGGGGGGTTGGAAAGAAGGTGACGAAGGGATGAGATACCAGAAATGCGAGATTTTGAGAGGGAGGAGGGATCGATGAGGAATGAGGGATAAGCCGGCAGCGCTTTTGGAGAATTGGAAAGTCTCTTGAGCGTCTTGACTCTTGACAAGAGCGAGACTTTCAGGTGGGTTGAGTTTGGTTTGTGCGCAATGGAAATTATCCGGCAATGCGGACTGGAAACTGGAGACCGGGGGGAGCAGGGGTCTTGATGCTGATGAGACAGGGTGGATAGATAGAGTTGGGGTGTTGGTCTGTCACGGCTCTTTCCTTTTCCTTTGGATTCTGACGGAAGGATGCAGAAGGAGAAAGAGGCGAGCTGCGATCCAGGAAGCTGCTTTGGGGGGAAGGCCGGGGGGAGCACCCACTTCACTTCAGCCCTTTCACTCCGAATGTCGCATTCTGGGGGGTGCCAGGGAACGGCAGGGAGGGTACGAGATGCTCGGTATGCCCAGCCAATACAGGAGTAGGAGAGGCCGGTACCAATAATACGAGGTAAAATACTAAGTACCTAGCACCTAGGACGGGCCCCAGAACAGCGTTTTGGGCGACAAGGCGCTCAGTTATGATGTCGTGGTGGCTGCTGTCCTTGGTTGGTCCCTCGGGCCTGAGTTGGGCCTGAGTCGTACACCCAGTTGGCTTGGGCATGCAAATTGTGTCGGCACCGGGCACCCAGTTAGCGTACTCGTAGTCCTTATCGGCCCCAGCTGAAAGAGACACCTGTGCTGTGCTGTGCTGTCCTGTACTAGGCTAGGTATGTACCAAGGTAATCTCTTGTCTGGAGACAACGCTTGGGTAAGTATTGACAGGTGTTTGGGGCAAGGGAGGCGTCACTCAAAGAAAGGGCCGAGGGCTGCCTGATATCTGCTACCTCATACCCAAGTCAGGAGAACAGGGCCGAGGGAACAAGTTGAACCCAGGGACCTAGGATGACGGTTTCCCGAATGAAACAGTACGGGCCACGTTGTTTTGCCGTCACTTTCACCGTGAACCGTGAACCGAGGGCCAGTCTCAATGGTTTAGAGTTGTCGATGGTTGTGCTCCGTACGGAATACAACAAGTAGTAGCTTAGAAGCTAGGTCCCTCTACAAAACCCCCAGACCATATTATTATCCATACTCCAGAGTCGGTATGAAGGGTACCTGGTTACTCTGCCGTACGATGCATTGCTGTCAGTCCACGTATGGATGTCCTGGGGCAGTGATACATAATACAGGCCCCCACCCGTACGGAGTCCCAAGTACAAGATGTCCGTACCTTGTACAGACTACTTCCTACCCTTGGGGCAAATGAGACGAAACTGCTGGTCCACAATCAAATGTGTATGGTAGGGATGACAGACAGGTTACTCGGAACAAATTGAGGCAGTGACTTGCTGCTTCAGGCAAGGGGCTGCGAATGCAATAGTCGACAAGCCACGCCTGTCCAACAAATAATATGGGGAAGGCCCGGGTTCGGCGTGGGCGGGGCCTGGGAATGGCAAGAGCCCTGCACTCACGGGCACTTGCTGAGATTTCTAAAGACGGTTCCTGAACGATCGGTCCTTCCACCGCGCCTTGGATGACGTGATTGTCGGCGTGGGCGTGGGTGTACCGAGCCATTGCGGGTGTGGGCGTTGGCGGAGTGGCTGGCCCGCTCAGAGGTGCTGAAGGGGGGAAATTCCAAAAATTCCCTCTCCTTGTTTAAGCGGAGAAGCGTATTAACTAGTCAGTGCCTTATTCTATGACGAGTCCATCCATAATGAAGAGTCTCGGTAGAGTTCCAAACGACGAAAGATTGGGGACAACGTAGGGGAGCCGAACAAGTACCGCTGGGAAGGTGCCATGAGCAAAAATGGATGAGCCTCGGGGATTGAGTTACATCCCACCTCTCCACTTGTCTTCTGTCAGACAGAATCCAATTTTCGTACTGATTGGGTATTATTGACTTCGGATTTCTACGGATCACGAAAAAGAATCGGAGTGTACGGGAGGCTCCGGTGGGTACAGTACGTACCTTGGGGCGAAGTCACGACTCGCGAGTCTCGACACACCATGCTGGGTGCCACCCGCCTCGAGTACTTGTACTGTAAGGCAAGAGATACTTCATACAGGCCCTAGACTACCTTAGGTACCTAGGTACGGCTCTGAAGAGATAGCAGTGCTGCAAGTTATGGAGTACGGGGTACGGATTAGGAGTACTGTTTCGCTACAGTATTAGTCTGCGATTGGTGCAACTGTAATCAGTGCGACTGACTCATCCTCCAAAAGCTTTCATTAATTGATTCTATCTATCAGCTACTGCATAAAATCACCACCAACCTCCACTGACACTGGGCGTTTTCACATGTAACTTTTCATCACGATATGGTTCTCCTCCAATTTGCACTCGGTATCTCTTTCAGTGCGATTGGTTGGATAGCGCATGTGATGTCAGATAACGCGCCTCTCGAAATGCAACCGAGGCGACGCTGCCGCAATAATAATCTAGAATCGTTGCCGGTTCTTTTTGCCAGGCGCCACCATCGTCGTCCTGAAACTTGAAGGTTGCCCATTAATTTTTGCTTCTGCCTGGCAAAAGCAATCGAATGGTAAGGCGCCTATCTCAGATATTCCAAGGGCAAACAAGGACTTCCGAGAATTGTGTACAGTAGCGCCACTGTGGTTACAATGCCACTTCGTCGCTAGATACCTCGCACCGAGTCTTGTAGCATGAGGCACCCATGAGGCTTTCACACGCGGACTTACGGAAAGACGCCATTGGCTACCTCGATACCTGCTTAGATGCATGTGGATGGGTGACGCTGGCCCCATCCAAGACCCCATCGTGGTATCACCTTGGTGGATTCGTTCTCCTTTGACACGGAACGTTAATCTGTGTACCTGCTTCGGACTTCTTCCGATGCCCTGAGATTATAAAAGGTTAAAAAAATTATTCCCATCCGTGCTTTGCTGGTCTCCGTCACGAGTGAACTCACGTCCATGACATCTGTATTTCAATCATCGTTTTATTCCTTTTGGCCTTGTATCAGGGAGCACGAGTCCGGATCTGTGTTTGAGTCGGTCTGACGGTACAATCCATGGATCGAGTATGAACTGCCGTGATAGATAGAAGTTGTACAAAAGCCGTATGGAGTATGTACATTACGTGGTACAGGGTGAGGTACGGAGACGGAGTAAGAGCATTCGATACTTCGATGTCTGGGGTAGTCGGGGGGTTTAAGCCACCCGAAGGCCCCATGCTCAATCGCTCATAATAAAGTAGGGCCAAAGGGCTCAAGGGCTCAAGGGCTCAAGGGCTCAAGGGCTCAAGGGCTCAAGCGGCGTTCATCCACAAAACTCTCCCTCGAACATCACGCCCCTGGGCTTTTCTCGAGTACAGGGTACTGGCGCTAACTTGAATCTCGAGCCGGAGTCATTTTGGGGGAGACTCGGATTTACCGAAAGCTGAAATACCAACATGCTCGTATGAGTAATGCTGCCTACATACACGCGAGTTCGTGGCTCTCACGGCCACCACTACGAAAACACCACAATGCATCCAAACACCTCTGAAAATTCCAGCCTCGCTGGGTGCCTCACTTGCCCCTACCTAGCTGACATGAGGTCGTTGACGGCAACAACAACAAAACAACTCAGCATCCGAACTATGTACGAGGGAACCCACACGGTGATCTGCTCAGATCCGACGAATTCGATTTTGGTCCCGCCCCCCATGTCTATCTGTTGGACCTCGTGGGATGATGACCTGCCCAGGCACCCAGGCCTGAAGCAGAGCTTGACTCAGCTACTCGGCTCGCTGTTTCGACGCATGTGCGGTTATAGGCTTTGCTGATGGCTCCAACAGTTATGCAGGCCATGACAGACAGACACCTCGCAATCTTTCCAGGAGACCGCTCGATAGCCTGACAGCTGCTCACTCCCCCATACCTCATTCATGATTCGCCTTGGGGTCGAAATGAAAGGGTCGTTGATCGTGATAAGCCACATGAATGGCGAAATGTTTGCCTATCACTTCGTCTGTACGTACTCGTACGCGTAGGACGAGATAATTATCCTGTACCCCTTGTGGAGCACGAGGGACTCGGGATTCACTGTCATTATGATTATTACAGGCCCAAGCAACGCCTGACTCTGAGGCTTTCCATCCACTCAAACATGCGTGACTGCTGGGGATCTCCCGAGGAATTGGAGATCGCAGTCTTTCCGTAGCACCGTATTCTCCTCCCCGGATAGGTCTCTTCCCCACGGCGTGCTGCTGATAGAGATGTGGGCAGCCAGCGAACCACAACGTTTCCCGTGCGGATTTTGATGGATTCACTTCATAGTTTGGTCTGTTTATCGAGAGTTGCTACCGTCATCGGGCACACTACTAGTATTAACACAGGCACAGGCACTGGGCTTACATGATAAGCGGCCACAAACAAGGCGTAGCCAGCCGAGCGTCGACCTATCTAATCTGCACTGATGGGTAACAGATTACTGCCGTCTGCTTACGCACTTGGTTGCCTTCTCCTGGGTGTTGCAAGGACACCTGCGCTGATGGAAGCTTTGGTGATACTACCCCGGTTTTACCGAGCATCACACCCTAGTCTCACCTTTCCCCCAAGTTGGCGTGGCATGATAAATCAGACAATTCCCGCCGGTCCCGCAATCGATTGCTTTGATAAGGACGTCTTCCTCCCAGTGGGACACGGAATTCAGCCTGATCTTGGTTGCTTTTCCGGCATTCCCCCACAGAGGCAAATTTGTGGGGGAGAGTTTTCCCACCAGCGGTTCTGGATCGCCGCCAGGAGCAACAATACGGAGTACTCCGTACTACTCGTAGGATTAGGAGGCTGACACGGTTAACAGCCACACTTCTGTTGAGGCGGTACCTATGTAACATTGTACTCCCGACCCGAGTACCGAGTACCGGACGGAGTACTCTTTGAACGTGTAAGAGGCACACCGGGCTCCCCGACAGATTACCGAATACTCTGCAGCATCTGTCGACCTTGCTCGTTACGTATAGATTTACCCTACACTCCGTCTCTGATTGCTTCAAGCTCGAAATTTGGTTTGCATGATCGGAAATCACTTGCTGGATTCATTGCGGGGCGCTTCTGGTGGCTTGATGGCCAGGGTGCTGCATACACCTCCTCGGTACGAGAGACTGATATTCCAAACGGGCTACAGCATTTTATTCGACCGAGTCTCCGTGCGGATCTGGCCATACTGCGAGGTACATAAGACCGTCCAGGAGAGACATCAATCTCGATAAGATGCGGGCAAGATGGCCCGAAATCTCTCCTCAGCTCGAGGTCGCAATCTTGGCACGAGATACCAACACCAGTATGTCCCAATTCTGCACCAAATCACGACCGGGTAATCTATTCATGCGTTCTGCGAAGTAGCCTTCCGCCTTTCTACATAGGTTAACCCCGAGGTTACACTCATGAAGGGCAAGTCCCAAGATCTAGTCGACTTCAGTCCGAGACAAACGTGTAAAGTCTATTCAGACCCAACATTGAGACTATCCACTCACTCTGTCATAACAAGAACCCGGGAACGCAATCCGTTTCTTTGCCACGATTAAATGCAAGTAAGAATATTGTGCTATGTTTGCAAATGTGGTCGTTCTATATGGTCGTTCTATGTGTCATTGCTATGAGACCATGATCCCAAGGTAATTTCCGCATCCAAATTGTTGGGCACGACACCGGTACGGGGACCGGGTCTTAACATTAATTGGTTCTTATTAAGTACAGAGTATGGTATCTTCGATCAACGCTTGCCCCAGACGGCTCTGAACCGACATCGACTTTTGGTTTCCCGCTTTGACAAGGCAACAATCCCTTCAAGCTGATCCATCATGGGCCGTGTTGTGGGCACAATGTCTAACACGTGGCCAGCACGAAGACAAACTACACCCTTGCCGCTTACTTGACCTTGTTCACGCAGTGATACATTCTCCAGCCGTGCGTCGGATCCGAAATTTCCCCATCATTCCGAGCTTCCCATCTGAAAGCTCAGCAGAACGGAGTAGTCAAACATGCATGATGGCGAACAGATGATGTTTCGACTCCGGGATCACATCACATGTCAGGCTATGTACGAGCCGGCCCTTTCGAGCCATGGCGACAATGGCCTTTTGACCGGATTTTCTGCACTATGGCAAAACCGAGGCAAGGCCAAGTCTCCGTTTTGGGCGGCTCTTGGATAGGTCAGAATTCCTCGTACCACAGCCTCTTGCAACCCTCGTCTCCCCGACGTGTCCGAATAGACCATAACCTGGAAATGTGGCGGTGACCGAATGGAAAATAATATTTCCTCAGCCTGACCAAAACATTTAAATTTTTGCACTGAAGAATTAAAATCCCGCGGATGTACCCGTGGTGCTGCTAGGCTTCGGCCCACAACTCCCACCGAGAAACCCATTTCGTTATCATATTGGTATGGAGACTAAACATGTGAACGGCATTATCATTTGACAAGCTGTTCAGCTTATCAGGGTTCGCGGTATTGAGTTGTGTGTATTAGGGCCACGCGAAAACATGTGCAAGCTCGGGATTTTGGACCCGAGCTGGAGTCTCACATCTACTTGTGGGGTTTTCCATCCACCCGAACAGGGCCCTTTTTTTTATAATTCACAGCACCCAGTAATCAGGTCTAACATCGTGGTGAGTACGCTCTTCTTCTTGCCTCAGGCAGAATTCAACGTTTCAGATCAGGCTTCATCTCCGTAAAGGACTGCATCAGCCCTGACACAGACTGGGATGGACCCCAACAACAATTCAGCATGATACCGGTGCTGTTAACTTTTTCCAACGACTACCAATCAGCTCACCATGTCATTCGGACCTATATCGGGCTTGTCTCTGGAGTTTTCAATGGTCGTTGAACTTTGCGATGTTAGTGGGATATCATCTCCTCTCCAATCAATGGCATATCTTTGAGTTGACCAACGGCAGCCTTCGTTTCCCTGTCTTTAATAGAGTACTGCAGACATTGAAGGTCGGGTGATTTGCGAATTCCTGTGTTTGTATCCAGAATCATTAGTCTATTCCGGGGTCGTAGTCGTATGTCTAAAGGTTGCCTTACTGTCTTGTACGTGATGGCCTTGTTTGGAAACTTGCCTTTGAAATTTAATTTGCGCAATTGACTATGCGGTTTTGGATTATAGGTCTTCCCTCCTGCTTGATCTCTTCCATTGCATTCGTTACAATCAAAGCACGACCTTGGTGGTCACCATCATACCAAAGGCAGTATTGTTACCATCATGTAGTGACTTCCGGGGGAATACATGCATCGCCCATTGAAAATGCGGTGGTGAGGAAGGGCAGAGCCATTCTATCACTTAAGCTGACTCAAGCACTTCTTCCTTCGCGGGCGTGGAGGTAGCTAAGATCCTTAACCATCAGGAGCTCTCCCCCAGAATTCGAAGTGTTATTCTGGATACTTCATACAGGGCAGTAAGATTATCTGTGCCTCATCTGTATGAGGTACCTGCCAAGACCGGGAAACCTTGAGCCGCCCGATGATATCATAATTCTCCCCATCAAAGTGCGCCTGCGCGTGTCCCTGATACCCATTGAATTTCTGCCGACGACGACCCACGGTGATTGTATGCTGCCAACTCCTCTCACAATAACTATATACGTGTCTATGCGGATCTCATAATACATGATGACTTAAAGAGCTTACTGCAGTTGTTTCCAGCCGCGGCAGACCCTCTTCAACTGATCACACTGGCCTAGTCGAAGCCAAAATCATGCCACCCGCACACAAGCGAAACATCGATGATTCGAGGTCTGAAACTTCCAGTTCGGTACCAAATCACAAAGATGGCAAGAACCATATAGGCCCGACCAGCGGCCCAGGGATCCCCAAGACCAAACGTATAGTCAATGGCTCTTCTGCCAAAGCCCCTGTGAACGTCTTGGCTGGGTCTGCTCCGGCAGTAGCCATCAATCCTCCTAGCGTTGTGGACAAGGATCCCAAACTTCCGCGTGTATGTCAGAAGGGCATTGAATACGAAGTCCCAGGAAAACTGACTTTGACGTTCGTGTAGCAGACAGATTGGATCTCAACTCCCAACGCCGTTCTCCGGACCTACCGGACAGCCTACCGCCTTCACGTCCCTTCCACTTTCTCCCATCCGCACGCCGACATCATATACAACTCATCACAGACAGGCCTCCGAGCCCCTTCAGCAGTACTTGCTCGTCGCAGACTTCGCGAAGAGAAGCACCGAAGACGGAAACTCGACCATGACCAACAGATCAACGGTACCACCACCACATCTTCCAACAAGATCGGCAAATCTAAGAACAACCTTCGCCAGGGCGAGAAGGATAAGACCATGACGAAAGAATTGAATGCAGAGACATCCAGCACAACGGGGTCTACGGTAGCACAGTCCATAGAGCCCCCGGACGCCACGCAAAGCAGCGATCAGACTCAGGCCCGGACTCAGCCTCACCCGCCCTCCTCCCCATCCTCCACCTCGACGACGTATCTCGGTCCACGCGAGCCAGGGTCGCAGCTGGCTGCCGTGGTGCGCAAGCACTTTAACGCACAGCAGGTCAGTGAGGCCGACACCATCGCCCGTTTCACCTATGTTGTCCAGCAAGCCGGCCGATCTGTATGGACTGAAGGGTGTGGGGGTGATAGTACCGGCTACTGGATGGGCAGCCATGGCCGCGAGGTCAGGAAGGCCGATGGCCCTGGTGGTGAAGTCGGCTTTCGTCTTCGATTTCGTCCCTGACCCCCGACGACTGGCTCTCCGGTCAGAAGTGAAGATTGGGCTCAGGGGCAGTCACCGAGAATGTTTCCTTTTTTTGTTGTTTTTGGTTTTTTGGTTTTTGGTTCTGCGAAAGCGGCAAGGCTGTATACAGTTCGGACTACTGTGTTGTATGGGATATTTTTTCGCAGACGCCAAATTATATCTATTTACCCCTACCTACGCATATATTTGTATATTATTGAACTTCCTTGCCACTGGATGGAAAGGGGGGAAACCGGAAGCTGATGGCAGTGTCCATGGCGACAGACGGATATTTCTGGCCAGGAAGTATCTGTTGAGGCATCATGTAATCAATCAATCCTTTCACCAATATTGGTGAAGGAATCAATGAATATAAATCCTCACCCACTTGATCAATCTTGCTTCCAATCTCCATCGTCACACTTTCTACGCTGCATAGTGGAATAGATGAGACCTTGCCAAGGTGATTATATATACCTTCTCAGCATTCAAGTGTCCCGGAATACTCGTCATCGGCACTGTCGTCCTCCCGAAAGGCTGCTTGCCCGCCCAATAGATAAGGAGCACACGCACACGCACACGCATTCACAGCTTCGCCATAGCCAACGTCTCGATCTAGTCTCAGCCTTGCTAGCGTTTTTATTTCACTACCGCTTATCACCCACTACCCGCGAAGTCTTGTGGCTGCTTGCCTCGTATGGGGACCTCTGGTCGATACGTCGCCGGCCGTGTAGGGACTTGGATGCATGATCCAACCAGGCAAGACAGGTATATCTATCGTCCATTTATCCGAATTTGCAGTCGAACCGTTCTTTCAAGATCGTGATCGTTCATTCCAACTTCCTGTTCTTTCCGATGGTTGATGAGGGGGAGAAGCGGTGTACCGAGCGGTGCTTTTATTTCCCAAATCTGAGACGGACAGGACGCAGATCAACTTCCTGATCCAGAGTTGCCCAATTGCCGAAGTCCTGCGGAGACATATACGAGTACAGTGTACTTCGGTCACGGGGAGCCGAGAGGTCAGAGGCGGGAAGCAGGGTTCCTGTTCGTTCCAAGGACCGCGCACACTCTTCACCTGCGGCGGTCAGGAAGGAGACCAGGCACCAGGGCATTTCCATAACCGTGTACTCCATATTTAATTTCATCAGGTGCAGACAAGGAGATCGTGTTTCATCAGCCCACACTGGGGAGTTTCCGATAATATTGTGGATGGAGATACTGTATGGCGGATTGCATGACCCTAGTAAATGTGGAGCATCGGATGGCGCTGGCTTATGTAGACAGTACTTTACTCCGGAGTCAGTTGCGCACAATCCGATGCTGTATTGCTCACGTGTTTTCTTTATGGGGAGCAAGCACTCGCCTGGTTGAATCATTACTACGAATGGCCAACACATTCTCGCCAACTCGGGAATAAAGCCACTTACCGATTGCTGATCTTTAGAAAGCCCAGGACGAGGTTTTCTCTGTGCCCCGGTCAGGGGTTTGTGGGTAGTACCGAAGAGGCAGACCACGACAATAGTTTAGTGTTGCCTTGGACATCATCTTTCCTTCTATCGGGGAGTCCATGTCGATGTCCGGAGCCCAATGCAGGTTAGCAGTCGCTGAAGCGAGACAGTTGATTCTGAACGATGCGGGTTCGTCCGGAAAGTCGGTACTTGTTGGCCATATTTTCTGGTCCACATCGCAAGGGAAGGGTGCAAGCAGTGAATAGGAGAAGTAGCGGTGTGTTACGAGGCTGGGCCAGGATGAGCCGAAACGGTTGAGGAACACTCGTGATGCCAAATTTTTTCAAATCAGCTATGCAAAATGGGTTTCTTCTTGCAACACGGGATGGAGAAGAGTCAGGGGTGATTAAGGATGAAGTTGAATTGGCTAAAGGAAGTAAGATGATGCTGATCGTGACGTTGGGCAGTGGTTTTGGGTCTGGGGTAATGGTTGGGATTGCTTGATGTGGTTCATTGAGATCGTGGTGCCGATGTTAGGCCTTGCGGATGGCTTGGGAGGGCGGTGCGGAGCTGGTAAAAAGAAGGAATGATGTAAGCGCTTGAGAAAATCAGCGACCCGGACAATGAAGGAGGTTGAATATAACCAATGGGGAAATTGAAAGGGAGGAAATAGCATGGAATACCATTCCTGCCCAACTTAAGGCGACAAATCGAACCTAAGGCCCAAACTAGATGGATGTGAGTGGTCATGAGGCAGAGGTTGGAGAAGAGATGTTGAAGGGTGCAGTAGGCGCAATAGTCGCAGTAACCAAGGTTTGAAGGAGAAGCGAGAGGCGCTGGGCGTGGACAACAAGTACGATACGAATGCACGTGGATGGAGTTGGGCGGGTTGACGACGAATGGTGGTTGCAGTCGGAGATTTACCAGGAGTGGGAGTGGTGGACAGAAAATGTGATACATGCTCAAATTGGGAAACGATGCCATGAATAGGAGACGAGGAGGAGTTCTTTTGACAGCAAGACGAGACGAAAAAGAAACGAGTACTACCCATTAGTATGGTCGTTGGGACGGAGTACAGTAGTAGTAGGCTGAAATGATACTAGTTGGTGGCGGTGGTTGGCAGAAGAGGACAAGCAGGACGAATAATATACCCCGTACTGTTGGAGTGGCAGTACGAGTACGGAGTAAGGGAGTATGTGCTGCCTCGTGAGTCGTGAGTTGTGAACTTGTGCGTCGAGCAGATAGTACGGCGTAATACAGACCACATTGGACGTTGGGCTTGTGTTATTAACCCAACGCTTTGTCTGCCTTGCATCAAGTCCGCCTTCGCCTAATATAAGAATAAGGATACGAGCAGCAGGAAGGGGCCGCAGGATCCCAGGGCTCCCAAGACCCCAAGACCCCAACAACCTCCAGCGCCAGTTAAAGCGAACACGGGTCTTGCGTACAGAATGTTCTATATGGCCAGCCCTCGTGGCCTGCCTGTCAGGTCTTCGGGCAAGTCAGGCTTAGTCGAGGCCTAGGGCTAGGCTAAGGCTAGGGCGGAATCCGGAGGGGGTTCTAACTATTACTAACGACCTGCGAGTTGGTAGCAACCCAAGTTAGGTTGGGACAGGCAAGTAGGGAGAAGGAGAAATCCACACCCCTCACCCTGCACGCCCAGGGAGTGAGGGTTAGGCTGCATTTCTCAGGTCTCAGGCATTCATCAGGCATACGGAACCCGGGGGGAGCCGTTCCTATGCATTAGAGACGCCCCCCCCCCCAAGGCGCTGGTATCGTAGTAATTGGGTGCTTCGTTGAACAAGTGCTGGGGCCAGCTGGAAGGCTTCCCTAGCTCCCACTAGCGAGACGCTGGGCAGCTGCCAGCAAAGTCCTCTCTAGCCCGATTTGACCATGATGGCAGTGGTAGTCGACAGTCGACAGTCCGCGGTCCACCACCAAACACCAAGTTGCTTCTCAAACACGCTCAATTCAAATCCTACGACCAAGTGCTATACCACTACCGACGACCATCAATCCAGTGGCCCCGTCCGCTCCTGTGCCTTTTTGGCCTTGCACAAGCGGTGAACTGGCATCAAAACCCACATCTGTTCCTGTTACTGTTCTCCTCGCCTCACTAATTCATCGACCTGGAATCCAACCATCAGGGTCAGGGTCAGACTCAGACCTGCAGACGGCCAGCTAAAGGCAGCTTCTCAGCCGGGAATTGCATCAACATCATCTGTTCTCAAATCCATACTCGTGCTTCCCACATCTATCCAGCCTCCTGCAATTTTGAATGTGAATCCAGTTCAGCTCAGTTCAATTCATTTCCCGCCACACTGCGCACGCTAACTCACCACTCATCTTGCCATCGGCCACCGTCAACTAGTATCTGGAACCTTGTACGTCCCGGCTACACCGCCTTGGGCCAACAAAGCCACACGACACACGTCTCGCCCACAGCTCTTCCATGTTCTATCGCCAATAACATCGCCTCTTGCCCTTTGGGATTCATCACCATATTCTCACTGTACCACTACAATCAATGTCCGATTGCCATTTATCCGTATCTTGTTGCTGTTGCGTGACCCGACCATCGATAACCGGCCGAGCTTGTTGAGGGTCGCTGGAATTGCCCCTCACCTGGCTCGCCAACGTCAACTCCAACCACCATCGGCCCTCACAATATGAAAAAGAGAATTCACAATGTTGATTCACCCCTGAGACAAGTCGAATCCGAGCCACATCAGCACAAACACTTATTCGCCTCGGGCATGTGGCAGAAAATCCATCATTTCTTTGCCAAAGATGACCCCACTCAAAGCCCCATCGAGTGTCCCGAGGATGACCAGTGGCCCGCTGACTGGGATCGTTCCGGTCCCTATACAGACGATCAATCCTCGTCAAGGCCTGTGGGAGTCGGACTCCCCAGACAGGCCACTTTCAGACGCCAGAATTCAGAGCGACGAGAACGACTTCTCGCCATTGAACCCGGTCATGCCGAACGAAGAGCCCTCTCTTCCACCCGAAATGTATCAACATCCTTGCCTCGACCGAGGGCGACTTCATCACCGCCAAATTGGGAACCTGGCCGAGTGTCTGCTCCTGCTATAGGCAATACTGTCAAGGCCGAAACTGTCGCCGTCGATTCCAATGTTAGGTCCGCCCCCGCTTCACTCGACCCGCTCCTTCAGACTGCGGCATCAGACGACTTGTGGTCTCAAACCGAGAACCGACCTCCTAGACCACCTTCGACTACTTCTTCGGATGAATCCCATTATGGCGATAGACCTATGGTGGATGATAAAGCTGATCTGCGAGCAGAGCTCGACAGTCGATGGATTCTTAATTTGAGTATGCATTTCAGAGACAAGTCCGATCGGGAGAAATTCTTCGTTACCTATGCTCAAACACCTAATCATTGGCGGCGCGTAACCATTTCATGTGATTATCGCAACGCCGAACCCGGATCTTTGGAGATGGACTTGAAGGAGCTTCAATTCCAGCGTGATAAAAGTTTGCAGATCTATGAATCGATCCGTGACTCTCTCCCCGAGATCCAGTTCTATGACACGGTCACAAATCTCAAATTGGAAACCACCGATGGTAGGTTGCATGTCCACGTCACTGAGGATGTGAATGAGATAATCCCATACCCACCTCGAACCACCGTTGCCCATATACTCGACGACACAGAGTTTCAACCAATGGAAGTCCAAGAAAGTGAGTTGATTTTTGACTCTCATCTATCGGGTTTTGTATACAAGATTCGTCACAAGGGCAGGGTATACATCAAGAAGGAAATTCCTGGTCCAGACACCGTTGACGAGTTCCTATATGAGATCAATGCCTTGCACGCGCTTCATGGATCGGGTAATGTTATTGCACTCGAAGCAATCATTGTGGATGATATGCGGGAGACAGTCAAAGGGCTACTTATCAGCTACGCTGAGAGAGGTGCGATTGTGGATCTTCTCTACGACAATAGGGGAAGCACTCCTTGGGAGGATCGATGTCGATGGGCGGAAAATGCAGTCCGTGGACTCAGTGAGATACATGAAGAAGGTTATGTTCAGGGCGACTTTACCTTATCCAACATTGTCGTCGACGGTGAGAACAACGCCAAGATCATTGACATCAACAGACGCGGGTGCCCTGTGGGATGGGAGCCTCCAGAAATCGCCGTCAAGATTGCAAGCAACCAAAGAATCTCAATGTATATTGGCGAGAAGTCCGACTTGTATCAGCTGGGCATGACGCTCTGGGCATTGGCAATGGACGATGACGAACCTGAGAGGCATGCACCGCCCTTGAGTGTGGATGAGTTCCCCTCGGAAGTACCAGAGTGGTATCAAAGCATCGTTCGAACCTGCTTGTCCACCCGCCCACGCGACCGCCTCTCTGCCAAGGAGTTGGTTGACTTATTTCCCGAAGGCAGCTCCAGCTCTTCAGGGACACGGTCTTCACAAAGAAAGCCTCAGTTGCAGCTGTTGGCACCAAAGGAATATATTGACCCTGCAGATGCGGTTGAGAGGGATGACCTTGAACGATTCAGCCACGATCACCAAGAGCTCGATTGTACTCCTTATTCTCCAGAAAGCTCAAGAGATGACTACACATTCACCTATCCGAAATCGTCCAATTATGAACTTGAGAGCGAAAGCTCAGCATATGACAGGCCAAGAGGGAGACGACCGCCAACCAATTTTGCGCACCTTGGAACCCACGAAAGACGCCACTGGATTCCCGACGTTGAAAATACAGAGCCCATTGATGAAGTCGAGCCTAACATTGTCGCCATTTCCCCGGGCATGGATCGCGAGATTTACGATGAGGTTGACTTGAACGGTCATGCATACTTGGTACGCCGCGGCACATTCAACCTCGAGGAGATGCAAATCCTTGGAGATGATGTAAACGCAGAGAGACAATTTGAAGATCAAGCATCCCAATTTGACAATGAGTCTGTTGACGTCGCCGGACCTTTAGATTCCAACCAGCTCTATTCCTCCCGACGCCCTCCCCTACTGACGAGAAACTCTACAACATCAGATATCACACCTCGAGGAAGTCAAACCGTTTTGCCTACTTACAGTCCTTCCCCATCAGAACAATGTCTCACGGATTCGAATGTGGCTGTTGAATTGAATGCTTTGGGTAGTCATCCAGACCTGAATACTTCTGCACCACATGCAGAGGAAAACGGCCTTGGACGGTGGAAATCAGCAGACCCATATCCTCCAAGACTACCCTACGAAGACAGTGGTTACGATGAGCCTCTGAATCTTGGCGACGATCTTAGCACCCATGATGTACCAGGCTCAAGCAATGACTCGGGAAACACGTATCAGAAACAGGGCAGGGAGCCTCGTGTCGTGGATACTCCTGTTTCTGAGCAAAGTGTGAGGCAGATCCTTGCTATCCCAGATACTACTGCTCCTCCCCATACCATGAATGAGATATTTGACCACAGCAGCGACATTGTTCCAAAACACACTCCACAAATCCCCTCTACTGAAAGCCTAGACAAAGATCTCCCGCTACCCAAGACTTCCCCTTTCCGTCACAGTGGCCGAGAAAATGAGAGTGAGGATGTCGACACCACTAGCAATCAAACGAATTTGAATGCAGACATAACAACTCCCACAGGTCATCAAGGCGAGAGGGAAAGTCCAATTAGAAGTGAAGATGCGAACAACCCCAACGCTCAGATGGACATGAAGGCAGACACTACAACATCCCCAGATCCCCAGACCGTCACTGAGAATCCAAACGGCGGTGAAGGCAGTGAAACCACCAACGTTCACATGGGCACGAAAGCAGATACCAAATTACCTGTAAACCCCGAACTAGCTCTAAGGTCGACGACCAACGATGAAGACGACGCTAAAATACCTACAAATCATCAAGCAGCTGCTGGAAATTCATTGATTTCAGAAGAGATCAAACAAGACGGCGTAGCCCTTTCTCCTTGCGGGACCACAACTACGGGACCTCCTACCCTTGACTATTCAATTGATGTCACCATGATGTCTTCAGGTCCTGTTAATATAGAGACATATGTTCCTCAGGAGACAATTGGACTGATGAACCCTGTGCCAGCTATTGATTCTGGAGTCGAATCGATTGAGAAGCTACCTCAGACTCAAGAACTTACGATTGAGGAGACCGGGACGAACTCGTCACCAACATCGAAGGTGTCATCTGAGCCAATAGATTAATTCTGATATCAAGACCACTCATCAACCCAGGGCAATCAGAAACCACTTTCGTCTTCACAGTGCGAGAACGGATGGGCTATACCTTGTACCCGATCCCAAATCTTGCCACTATTGCAGGCAATCGCAATCATGTCTAAACATTATTGTGCCATTGTCACTGACGGCACTAGTAAGAATCGAACCTACTTGTGCATTTTCACCATGCTCTTATGGTATCACCTGCGCTCTTTGATCTTGCGGTCACTGCCGTATTGATTAAAGCCGGCAATCTATCAACCTCAAGCACCATCTACAAAAGTTGCCCATGACCTGAACGTTTCCACCATAGAACAACGACATCTACGAACCCTAAAGACGAATTATTTCCACATGAAAATATCCAGAACACCAGCCGCAAGTTTTACCATTTCCCCATTTTTGACACATTCAATACTGAGATTTAAAGCGAATGATACCATGGATCAACTCCAATGACCGCGAGGCATGTTTTCTTCTTCTCTATCTGGGAATCTGCTCGGTGTTAACAAAGAACGAATGGACCTGGCGGATAGTAAAGCATTGGATTGGGTGGACTAGCAGACTCACTTCCTATTAATAACCATCGCATGGCGTGCATTGTTTTGCTTTTTGCTTTTTGCTTTTTGCTTTTTCTTTAGCCTTTCTTGGTTTGTATATCCTCAGGAGGAAGTGGGGGCTTTCGGGCGCTCTCTCAGAGGGTCGGTTGCGGGACTGGCCACTATAACTTGGCGCGCTCCTGAGCTCTACTGTATGTTGAGAACAAAGGGCGGGTGCGGAACGATGTTTGCTACGTTGGTTGTCTCACTGCATTTATTCTTCCATATCACTCCACAACGACTACGGTAGCTTAGGGCTGGCTGGTGAAAGTGTACTGTTTTCCTTTTGGCGAGGGTTTCTCCTTGTTGGCTATTGTTGGGCGAACGAGACGAACAAGGGAGCAAGAGCAACGAAACGTCACGTTGAACGACAGCTTTGACTCACGATTTGCAAAAGGACAATGAAGACTCAATGACTGACGACGACTTGAAATGAGAAGCTACTTGGAAGTATTGACTTCCCGTTACTATTGTTTGTTTTTCCTTTTGTTCTTCCCGCTGTGCCTTGGGTTAATGATGGTCAATATTTTATTTTTGGCCAGGGAAGGATAGGGCAGGGCAGGGCAGGCAGGGCAGGGCGGAGAAAAGGTATGGGTACCTAGGTGCCCGTGGAGGGAGAGGAGCCCCCGAGTTGAAGGGGGCTCCTGGGTAAGGATTGCGGGACTCGGGAAGGAAAAATCGTCCCGCAGAGAAAGCTGCAGCAAAGTGCCTCAAGGTATCTAGTCCCTGAGGGGCCCACTGCTGATATGTAGGCCAGTGGATTGTGCCTACTCGGATGAAGAGTAGGCACGCATGGGAGGTAGCTAATTTTCAAGTGAGGAGAGAACAGAACTCACAAATAACGATAACGACAGATATGCCAAATGCGAACGAATTCAAAACTGTTGGGGTATCGATCTTTTTCTATTTGATCTGTGGTCTACCGCTGCGCCACTAAAACCTTCAAAATGGATTCTGGGTGTATTTATTACTCTATTCTGCTCAATATGTGGTTTCCATGAGTTTCTCCAAAGATCCATCCGTTGGAGATGGATCTACTCACTGTAGGCCTGTCGCTATCAGCCAGGTAGAGGGGAACAGTCGGGGAGGATTGGCCTCTGATAGAGTGTGCTCTCTTGAAACGGGGGAAGGAAGGGAGGCGGGGACAGGAAACCTTCAGAGGTTCGCTCGGTCGCCCCGAGAACGTCCCCCCCTTGGAAACTTCCGACCGAAGGTAGAAATGGTACATGCATAGACGGAAGATGTGTCTTTTGGCGATAGGTTTGCCGTTGAAGTGAGGCGTGGCCGGTGAGTAAAATAGGCTGCCGCTGCTACTCCTAGCATCGGGGCTGGGTTGGGCTGTCGTACATGAGTCAAAACGGCCCTGTGGGGTCCGCAAGAGTCCGAGATAGCGTGCAGGGAGCACTTATTTCTCTTACTTGTCACTGTTGTCGCTGCAGTTTGTTCTCCGGAGCCGATGCTAGGAGTTGACCTTGGGCGACTCATCCCTTTTTCGATGAGAGAGACGTTGGATGATTTTCAGTCCTCGGCCTTATTTGCCCGATCTGCCCAAGCGAACAAAAAGGAACAGAATGTGGATTTCAGTATTCAAGGGCGAATTGGAATGACGTCGGTACCTATGAGATCGAGGTTCCTGCCGATGAACACAATTTTGCCCTCTGGTGGGACTGCGTCCTGGTCCCGTTCGTCCTGTACAGGTTGCGGTGGTTCGATGATCTCGAAGATTTCCCGTACCCCCTGTACAACTCTTATCGTGTCGTCTGTGAGTACTACCAGGCCCTTCGTTCGATGGATTTCGTATTTGCGTGTCTTTCCTTCCTGCCGCTCGTTGGCTTCCCAGAGGACTGTCTCGAGCCAGCCTTCAAGTAGAGGAAGTTTCTGCACATCGAAAATGGGAAGTGGCAGCGTGATCGTCGAGATAGTGGGGTCGAGGTGGGAATGCCCTTTGGACGAGAACGATGGTCCTTTTGAGTCGCTGGGAAAGGTCGAATATGCGGAAAGGTCTAGGACTGTGCCGGACAGACTTTCCACACGAGAGTGAGAAGTCTCTCTGATCTTTGCCAGACCGTTGATCGAGGTTATTCGCGTTCTTACTTTTGAGAGCTGAGAGGGTTCGACAAGGTCAGTTTTATTCAGTATTATCACATCTGCGTGAGAGATTTGCAAATGAGCAGTCGTTAGGAGTGGGGTGTGGTGGTGATGGTTTTCCGCTTCTTGCTCGGCCTCTGGGATCTCTTCTGGTGCTGGCTCGTCCAGACTTTTGAGGACATTCTTTGCGTCTACAACCGTGACGATACCGTCTAGGTATATACTGCTCCCCAAACCCTCGTCCAGCCAAAACATCGGTGCGATATTCCCTGGATCTGCAACGCCTGTTGTCTCGAGGAGGATATAGTCAAAATCCTTCTGGCGATCCACGAGAGATTCCAGGGCTGCCACCCCGGAGTCTTTGACGCTGCAGCATATGCAACCATTGGCGAGGGGGATCCATTCGGTTGAAGATTCGGAACCCTTAGAAACGGTCAAAGACTTCTCAATATCTGCAGTGTTACCGAATTCTGTAAGGCCCGAGCAGAATTAGTCATCCTTTAAAGTGAGCGGATTGGTAGGCTTCATCTTGCTTGTTAGGTGACCATGACTGCTTACCATTTAGCAGGACTGCTATTTTCTTCCCATGTTCGGCCGTCAAAATGTAGTTCAGCAATGTCGTCTTGCCAGCACCCAGGTAGCCTTTCACAAAATCATAAGTGCTACTGACGGCGAATTAGATCGTAAATCGCTATCCTTACCTGTGACAATAGTAATTGGTACCTTTTTAATGGACTGATCTGGTTTGACAGTTGAGGAATTCAAATTGCCGTTCTGGTTTGCGTCGATGAGGTCTGGGATCTCGTCGTCATTCATGATCAATGCAACAGCGTTCCTCAATAAGTGCCGAAGACGAAAGAAAATGGTGGGATTGTAGTTGATGTCAGGACCTAGCCGTAAGTTTGACGTCAACTCTTGCCACGTGAATAAGAGGTCGGCCAAGCTGCGACACGTGGTTTCGGCTAGCTCCGTCTGCGCCGAGCATATCACGCCGCTTTTACATAAAAGACTTTACGTTAACTACATCTAGAATGCATGCCGATGCACCGATGGCTTCCCTGTTTATCCGTAAATTGATCCGAGAGGGAGACTGCGAGACTGGTGACGGTAACCGCCAGCAAGGCTTAAGCAAACCTTCTCTTTCTGGTACCGGGGCACGCGGTGTCCAAGAGTGGGTCGACAGCATCAAGAGCGCTGAAGACCCAAAGGAAGACGATTGCGACGACGACGACCTGCTTGCCTACTAGGAACCAGCGGCCGAGGAACGTGCCTTCTCCATAGTGCGTCGCCCCTCTCGCAGTCTCCTCCACTATCTCAACTCGCAAGTCACAACAAGGATCCTCCTTCTCCGTCTCTCCGCGTCCCTCTTTGCTGGCATTATGGCTGCCGTAAACCCTTCACGCTCTGGCGTTTCGCCTTCAAGCTCCCCACGCCTCCCATCCCCCCCCCCTATCCCAGAAGTTCAGTATGGACCAAAGAGCCCGGGAATAAGCGACATGAGCGAATTTCAACTCGAAACCTCCTCCAAACCAGATGAGGGCTCTGCGAGGAGAATTAGACCTGGTACGAAGGCTGTAGATATGGTGATGGGTCCTCCACTGGTTCCTCTCAGTCAGGTATGTATGGCACGGAGCCAGCAATATTTTGGACATCAGATCCATTGGCTAATCTGAGATCCTTTCCAGCTTGACTCGCCATTCCAGCTTCAGGAGCACCTCAAAGCCCTTTACGCGACCTTGACGCACACTGAAGCCTCCGATCAGACCATTCCGATCACGAAAGAAACAGCCATGCAAATTACCACCCCTCCGCAGCTAAACGAAGCCGAGTCAGTAGATAGAAATCTATGGCTTTATGAGCTCTGTCGATTCCTCACACAGAAGGCAAACATTGTCTCCATATTCCTTATGAATGATACACCTGCCTGCTCGAGCCAGACGTGTCCAGAAATGCGAGCCAGCGAATGGCAGTACTTATGTGCCGTCCATGATCCTCCCAAGTCATGCTGTGCCATTGACTATTGCAATCACACACTCGACTGGGCTGCCAATGTACTCACAAGTCCGAGGAACTTCCCGTCGCGACTCGCCTTGGGTGGTGAGGGGGGAAATGCCACTAACAGCATGAAGCACCTGACGAACATTTTCCGAAGAGTGTACAGGATCTTTGCGCATGCTTGGTTTCAACATCGTGAGATATTCTGGTCTGTCGAAAGCACTCATGGTCTATACATTCTGTTTAAGACAGTATGCGACGAGTACCATCTCATTCCAGAAGAGAGTTACACAATTCCAGCAGAAGCCGCAGGGGCTCAAGAAGCGAGTGATGGTGAGCGCGTGCCCCCCAACGATGGTTCATCGAAGGTTCAAATTCTGCGCAAAGATGCCTCCTTGGAAGCAGGAGATGGCGTGAGCACTCCACCAGATAATACGCTTACAATCGCCCAAAATTCAGCTGCCACCGCACGCCGACACAAACACAAACACACACCCAGTACCGGAAGTCTGGTAGACACGATCACGGAAGGTCTTGAAGAGGAAGAAGAGTCAACCCAGACTCCAGTCGAAGTTGCAGACCCATCAAGTCAACTTCAAGCCTTTACAGAGACTTCTCAGATTCCTGAAACTCCGCTGAAAGACAAAGATCCTTCACCAGTTCGACAATTGCCAAAGTTGGATCTCAGTGCCATAGTACCTAAATATGAGCCTCGAGCTCCCGAAGACCCAACACCGACGCCAACACCTGGAGACACTGACCCTCTCGCGGCTGAGGCATCAAAAGATCCAGGAGCTAGCGATGCAAATAGCGAGAAAGAAGAGTCAGTACCAGAGGTCCTCAAGGTGGAAATTAAGAAGGTTGACAACGATGAAGAGGAAGAAGTCAAATCGCCATCTGGGGGTAGCATCCGTACAGGTGGCTCCGATGTATTACAAGCCATATTAGGGCATCTCTCAGATGGAGATGAAGAAGAAGATGAGCGGGAACGAGAGAGACGGAACAGTGCTGCTTCGGACTCAACCTTCTCTGGTAGGCAGAGCATTGGAAGCGCTATTGGAAGCCCGTCTGTGCTAGAAACAAAGATCGAAGTCACTGCCATCGAGGATGACGAAGATGACGACGAACCGTCCGAGGACAAGAAAGGCCATGGTGGGGCCAAAGCAATCAACTGAAGCACAATGGCGAAAGGCGTTGGCACTACCTCGACCGAAGATCGTAGAAGCCGCCCATATTTTATTGGACTTGCGGCTGGAAGTCGTGATTGGCAGAGTCGAATTTGCTTGTACGGACTTCTCAGTTCTGTGATCATTGCGAAGGAGGAAGAAAGTGAGATACCCAGGCATTTGTTCAAGGTAGGAGTACTAAGACCACCAATAGCAGTACGGTGATAAAACCCAGGTGGCATGCATGCATATTCGTCCTCTGAGATATGAGGGATCATGATATATGTGTGTACGTTGCAGATGTCTGGCTTAAGGTTGAGTTTGGCATACAACGTAGCATTGGAAGACATGGAAAGACGCACTCCCGCCCAACGCCGTGACTCCCAAGTTTGAGTGATCCGCGAAAGAGAGCAGATTTCTTTTTCCTTTCGCTGCTGGTTCTGAATCCTATTTTGGAGCTTGCTCTCATTATACGGGATTTGCACATCTCGCGGATAAACCAGATATTTCCTCCTCCGACTTTCATTCCGATTCATTCAGCTTCCGCCTGGATATCCTGGGCGCAACTTGGCCATGCGCGGTTCGATGAGGGGGTGCCATTGTGCGAAGAATGTGATTGCTGTTCAAGTTAGGGGAGCCCATGTTAGTTGGTGTTCTGTCTCTATGGATGGGGAATGCTCTCGCGTTTGAAGAAGCGGTTGCCTGGAAGGTTGTACGTACCCCACATGATGTAACAACTGGCGAAACTGAGGATGAGGGAGCTGCGCCATATCCTGGATTTTTCACATGTTAGTGATCGGGGTACAACTAGGGGAGAGGCAAGTTGTAGGAGTGTGTAGAGTAGTGTACGTACGTCTGGTTCTCCCCCTTGGGGCTCAGAAACCACGCCCCAACACTGAGTCCAACCACAACGACCAGACCGATGAGTATTGACCAGCTAAAGGAGAGACATATGTCAGTGGCTCTGCCTCTCAAGTCTTTGTGGGCAAACAAGCGCAGCAAAGAGCAAAGAGTCTGATTGCACGTATATGTCTGTATGCAGGCCGGCAGATTTCATGCCTCGTGCATGTGCATGTTGGTCCAAAGACAAGGTATAGCTGAGCCATGGTGGACAAGGTATATTTAGCTCAGTATGCTTGGGACAGCCAATGGTGTCAAGCTCGATCTAAACTGGCAAAGTTTTGTGCCTGCGCAGTACTTCATGCTCTTTGGGCTGTCGATCGAAGGAAACGAGATGGCTCCGGAGCTGTGCAGTCAAGTTGTATGTACGGAGGCGTATGAAGATATGGGGAGTGCAATGCAAGAGATCTAGAGCCGATGTTGACCATTTTCAAGGGACATAACATACCCGTTCGCCATTATGTGATGTAGATCTTGTATTTTGAACCCGTACTTGTGAAAATCGCTCTATGCTTTCTCTCTGGATATAACGCTTCTCGCAACAGAGGTGTCAATGGTGCCTGCGGACGGAGTGCAGCTGGTCGGACGATGGTTCGAAGAGGGTGTGGGATGCAGCGGGCAGGTCCTGTCCACAAGTAGAGCAGGTTAGGTCAAAGAGCGGATCGGTTTTCAGAGCGCAGCCTTGGGCAAGATACGATGGGCTACTTGAGTCTTATAATTGAGTCCACGGCTAAATGTTTATATGGGTAGCTCGTAGCCCTCATCGAAGCCCGGAAGGGACATGTTCGGCTAAACTTCCAAATTTGATATCATCGCAGCCTAGCACGAGCCTAGGCCGGAACAGAAGTATACTAATAATATCACCACTAAAATGCGCCTACGGCAACGCCTCGTGTCTGTTGATAAGCAGATGAAGGTAGAAGAGCTTCAAGCGATTTTACATTCAGAGCTAGGAAAACGTATAGAAGGAAGACCTTTCCCAAGAGTGACATCCCGCGGAACCCATGGTGGTAGAAAACACACAGAAAAGTGAAAGAACCCCGACCAACCTTCAGGCAGTCTGTATTGGGAGAATCAAGCACCTTCTCTGCTCTTACGGTAGTTGCTCTCTTGCTCGACCTGAAGTTGGTCGATCTCGGGCGCAAGTTCCGACAGGATCTCATAGGATCTTTTATGGAACTCTAGCTGTGCTGCGATCAAATCGGCCAGATTGCGGAGTGGCTCAGGGGTATCCAGCACCTAGTACTGGATTAGAAGGAATGCAATTAGACAGTGTCATTTCAATACTCACGTTCTTCATGACACCTTGGGCCTCCTCCACTTGCGAGACAAAGTCATCTTCTTTGGCCTCGATCTCGGCCCGTGCCTCCTCACTCAAAGCAGTTTCGTCATCGGGATTCATTCCCCGTCCCATGACCTGACTCTTCTTTGAGGCCTTGGTGCTGTCCAGCAGCAGTCGGCTGTTCTCTACTGCCGTTCTCGCTTTGGTCGCAAATTGGATGTTGGTATTCAGCGTAGTGTTCCACCCGGCCAGGAATCTAGCCTGGATGGCGTGGTCCTGTGCCAAACGTGCCTCCCCGACCTTCTCTTCTGCCAAAGCATATTTCTCCAGTGCGGAAGCCAGGGGATCCTCGCCGGTTTGGGAGGTGCTGTGCTGTTGAATGAGTTGAGAGCTAGCGAGGGAAGCGCGAGCGATCGCATGGTTGAAAGTCTTGGGTTGAGGTTTGGCAGATGGAGGGGCGGTAAAGGCAGCTTGTGCTTCGGAGGTGTTTGAAGCACGAGAGAGGAGTGTCACCTTCTCGGAGATGCTGCGACCCAAGTCGGTGAAAGACTCGCGTATGTTGGGAGGATAATCATAGGCTTCGTTGGTGTATTGGTTTCTGAGCCCAGATTAGTAGGGCCTTGTTCGTGATAGAAGTCATTCTTACGTGACAGCAAGTAGCTTCTGATGGACCAGTTTCAAAGCGTCAACTTTCTTCTCGAGTTCGATATAGTCGGCGGGGAGCGCAGTCTTTGGGAGGGTCAGCATCATCTCCGGGAATGAGTAAAACTCAACCGTTTCAACCCACTTTATCATCTGCTTGACCCAGCTGTTCTTTGAGGTATTGCGAACTTCGTTGAGCAAATGGTGAGACAGTTGAGTTGAAAGCAGAACTGCCGGTAAGGCAAGTCAGCAACGGAGTGAGTCTCGTAAGGGGCTACCAAGCATGTCTTTGCCTAGCGTACCTGATGTTCTTTCCAAACGCAGAGAACTTGTCCATGATTGCAGATGAGCCAGGGGATGATATGAAGAGGGGGTGGAAAGGATCGAGTGAACGAGATGGGAGGCTGATGATTGGATTGTGTTGGATGTTCACCAGGCTACGAGGATAAACAAGACAGATACGGCTACGGTGAACTATTACAGAGAATTATGAGCGTTGAGCAAAGCGCACATGAAAGCCAAGCTTTCCTTTCGTTGTTGCTGGGGCGGTGGGGCGGCCAGTGGTTTGGGCGGCCAACTGCAATTTTTAGTTAGGTCCTTGGCGCAGCACCAAATCAGCTGGGATATTCATCATTAGCAAGGAGTACTCCATACTCCACACCAGTAATGAACAAGGGTCAGTGCTGCTTTGATGCCATCTGTCCGAGACGCGCCTCTTCGTTATTCTGACCTCATGCCGACATTGGGTACCTTAGGTACCTTATGTATAAAGCAACGCTAGCCAAGGCAGCATGTTTCCTACTTTGTCAACCCTGGCGACAGCTACTTTTGTAGGCATGATGGATCTTGGTGGCCGTCCTCGCCCGGCATATCTCGTCGCCTCAATCCTTAGCGGATAATTATCTTCGCCGATTAAAGACACTACCAACAGCGTTTTCAACTAAATATTCGAGTAGGCAAAAGTAACATTATGGAATATTAAAACGCTTATTGGTCTAAAGGCACAAATACGAAGAAGCATCTTCCCCTGATCTTAAATATGAGTAAGCCATGCGTTCAGTAAGTCGCAAACAGTGTAAGGCGCTCCTATTATTCTGCAAACAGACCTGCTTGTGACTTTACAGCTTTGACACTGAACTGCGACAACAGCCTCAATCATGAGCAGCATCAAAGAACGGCCTATCTGCACGGATTCTGTGTTCTATCCTCGACATCAACCACAGCTGTTTGCAAGCAAATGAGCCAGCATCAGCTCACTCCATGATTGCCTAACAGTTTTCCTGGATACCGACTCCATCAAGCAGATATTCCTGCTTGGATTGCCGCTCCGGCCAGTCGCCTCGCGGATATTAGACCTTGGGAGAACAGCTTGTTAGCCTCGTGACGACCTCTACGTGGTTCTCGGCCACTACGGCGTCCGTCAAGGTATCCGTCGTATATCTGAACTACGTCCATGTCAGTAGTATGCTGAGGTCTCCTTCTCGCAATACTCCCAAAACACCTTTGCACCTCCAATTCCATCCTCGCTCTCGATCTTCTTTGCCGCATTCAAATCGTCTCTGTTTTCACCGAATCTGGCAAATGGCATGATATATCGACAACTATCCTTCAGTTTTACCTGAGGGCTGAGTCCGCCAAAGAGCATTATATATGCGCCATCCACGTCGTCGTACAGTATCGCATAGTGCCCAAAGAGCTGGAACAAGGACGCCGTGTGGTGTAAGATCTTGGTACGAAGGTTTACGCGGATTCATGGACAATGAGATCCCATTGTCCCTCTCCATTCGACGCGCGTCCTCTGAGGCGAGGAAGACATTACCTGCTTTATATTCGGATTAGAGGCTCCTCTGATGTTGTTTCCTATTAGGTTACTAGAATCTTCAAAGGGTACTTTCCCCTTAGGGCTGATATGGTTTGCACCGGATGCAATCCATACAATGCAGACAGTTCCAGTCTGTAATATCGAGGCGGTGGCGCGGAGCAGAGGCGTCAATCTCTAGGTCAAGGCTGAATGGCCAAGACAATTCGTCCCTAGTTGGAGCTCATAACCCTGTTCAACGAGACCACCTGTTAGCAGATATACGAGAATGAAGAGAAGTTACTACTCATGGACTGACCTGTTTAGTTTTAGTTTTTGCCGGGGAAGGCATGACGCCTGCATTATTCCGCAAAACGTCAAGTCTGCCCTCTTTGCCCCAAAAAGATGTCCGCCGCAGGTTTGACAGTAGCCAGGTCAGCGAGATCAAGAGATGTGTATTCAAGGCGGCCCGTGGACTCCTTGTGAGCTTTTTCGATTTCAACTACGGACTCAGCACCAGCTGAGTCTCATCGTCCTGCCAGGTACATCCTCGCATTCTTTGAATACAAAACCTTCGCGCACACTAAAACCCTATCCCTCCCGCTGCACCAGTTGCCAAATAGGCCTACAATATATTAGCTGGGTTGATGACCTTGGCAAAGGGATGTCATTTTGTGGTGGAGATAGGGAAGATTGGCCGCAGTAAACTCTGCCGTAGGGGGGAATAACTCCCTACAAACTGCCGTAAACACATCCCATGCATCTCACGAAGTCTCGAATACAGGTCAAGTTGAAGAGTCTACAAGGTCTTTGCTATTGACAATGTGTTTCCATCAAGGCACGAAGTTGAATCAATATTTACTTCATAGAACCCACGCCTGGATCTCGTCGAGCCTTTCTAATATAGCAGAAACGATGAGGCAGAATTGACATGGTAGAAGTGCCGAGTCGATCCCTGCTGTCATGAGAGCTGGTACTGGTATCTGTGTATGAGGCATTGAGCTGAGAAAGTTGGCTCCTCTTCTCTCTCAAGTAAGGAGGGGGAAAGGCTCATTCTGTCGCGGCTCCTGCAATGTTCCGAATTCGATAAGGTCTTGATCAACAAGGAGTAGAGCTCAAATGATCTAGCTTCGGAACAAAACCATGGATCACGGCTTCATCGCAGGTGGCCTTGTTGATCTACACGTGTGAAGTACTCTGAATAGAGCTGCAAACTCTTCCATCCATGTGGCTGACAAGACTATAATTCGTACACAGAGAATGTTTCGGCAAGTGTCCTTTGTTACTGCCTCCTGAGCAGTTTGGTGCTTTACATACTGTGTCTGAGAATTATTCTCGAGGGAATTTCTTTAGATTCAGTTGACCGAAGTATAGGACAAGCTCTACAATGATTAGGGAAAATGAAGCTAAGAAAGAATAGGGTAGTACATACTCGGTGGTAAGCAACAGAAGTCAAGAAATCTCCGGAAGCATGAATTGTTTGAAGTTGCAAAAGGCGAAGGAAATCCTATCCGAACCAAGCTCTTCTAGCAATACTTGAGTTTCCAATATTGACTTACCTAATTATGTAAGTAGTACCAGGGTATGCGGGCACTCGCGGGGAGCCCTTTCGACCCCAGGCTCACGTGCGCTTCAAACTGGCCTCGCCGCTTTAAGATAATGCGATTGCCAAGACCGCCCCAACATCGACTTCGCTCCTTGAGTCCTTGTGCGTTGAACTTGATCATCAGGCTGCGGATGACTACTTCAACCCCTTCGCTTTGTCCTCTGTCCACTTAGGAATTCGATTGTCTAGTTGATACAGGTGTCTCCTGAATCACTCACCATTTGATTGCGATTCTCTTCTTTATTTTTTCCTTCACTACCTTCATCTTTCTTACCTCCACCTAACTTTCCTCCCCCCTACCATTCAAAATTTGTCAAATGTTGCACCATCTGAGGGACGAGTGATTTATTCTAATTATTACTCTTTCGCGCTCATTCTAGCTCTGAGTGCTTCTCTCGTCTTCTTCACCATGGATGCGGCCAATCGACCTCCCCCCGCTGGACCGCAGCAACAAGCCTCCCTCATCCGACCAGAACAGGTCCAGAGACTCCCCCAACTCAACGCAGCACAGAAGCAGCAGTATGAACAGGGCGTCAAGAGATTCTGGGAAATCCTGAACAGCTCTCAGCAGGGGGAACCCAAGTACAACGAAGCCTACCAGGGTCTAGTCCGTACATCTGGTCAATTGATGGCTGGTATGAAGCAGTGGCAACAAGCGGCCAAACAACGACAACTCGCCCAACAAAATAGCCAGCAGCAATCTAACCAGCCACAGGCCACTCCGCAGGCCCCAAAACCACCAGTCCAAGCTCCGACAGCCCCTGGCGCACCCGCTCAAGGTGCCACTAACAGTGCATTACAATTTAGTCAATTGATGCCGGAGATTCAACGTAAAGTCAAGGAACAGCATTTCTATTACCCACCTGCCATGACCAAAGGATCCGAACCTGCAGAGGTATGGCTGCGGGAAGCAAAGACTCGACTTGGTCAGGCACTCCAGAGACTCCAGGTTGCCAAACAGAAAAAGGCCGAGTTCCAGCGGCAGGCACAGCAAAGAACGCAACAGGGAAATCCTCTGAATGCGCAAGAGCAAGAAGTCTTTGCCAGCAAAGTTGCGCAGTGCGATCGCGCAGTTGCCGAGAGCACATCATTCATGAAGAAGTTTAACGAACAGCAGGAGCAATTCCGAGCAGCCCAACCTCAAAACCAGTTTAGCAAACAGCCTGCAACAGGGCCAGATGGCGCTGAGCAAACGCCGGTTGCGCATATGCAACCAGCTGTTCAAGGTCCCACGGCACATTCCATCAGCTCGGCTGTGTCTGCTGCCCGTAACCAGGCTAGTGCTGCTCAAGCAACAAGCCCTACAGCAGCAGCATCTCAGCTCAACCAAGCTATGGCTTCAAGCACTCAGCCAACCCCAGTGACTGCGACTCAAGCATCTTTTCCACCGGTCGGCCAAACAGGCGATGGTTCTGCTCCCCCGCGTCCAGTTTCTCATCAGGGTCAGCCGGCCCCTTCACAAGGAGTACCGCATAGCGCACAGGCAGCAATTCATCCACATCCTCTGAACACTAGTATCAACGGCGCCAAGACATTAACACCAGTAATCACGAAGAACCTCCAGGTCACTGAGCCCAAACCTGTGACGATGCCACCTTCAAGACCAACATTGACGGGAGGGGCCGGGGTAGGATTGCCTGGTCAACTGGCGCAGCCAGCTATCTCTACGCTGCCTGGCTATGTTCTCGAGTCGAGCGAGGATGGAAGGGTACTTTCAAAGAAGAAGTTGAACGAGTTGGTCCGGGAGATCTGTGGGCCCGGACCCGAGGAACAGCTGGACCCAGAGGCAGAAGAGGTTAGTTTCAGCGTGGAGCCGTATGAATGGAGTTGTTGACATTGCCCAGATTTTTCTGTCTCTTGCAGATGACTTTGTCGATGAGCTGGTGTCGTCAGCATGTAAGCTGGCGAAGTTACGGGGATCATCAAGCTTGGAAGTACGTGACCTACAGATAGTACTCGAACGACAATACAATATTCGAGTTCCTGGGGTATCGACCGACGAAATTCGAACGGTTCGACGACCTCAACCAGCACCAGGCTGGACACATAAGATGAGTGCGGTGCAAGCGGCTAAATTAACGGTGGGCGGTGCCGCAGCCACTGCGGTCAACAACGGCGGCAAGGACAATTGATGACTCTTACATGATAGCATTGGTGTTATAGGTGTACAAAGCACATGAAGCTAGGAGGGGAGTGGCACAGTCCGTAGCGACAGGGTATTATCGTGCATTGCATTGGGACATTGGGCCATTGATTAAAGTGATGGCACAGAGGTGATATGGATTGGGACATGAATACCCTGGACGATCGTGGATTTTCCGGGCAATGCAGAAAGGCATGGTGAGGTCAGACAGAATAGCGTGTTTAGGTAGCGGGATGAGTGGCTCCTATCTACGCTTTCCACCACCTATGTAGTATTCAAAATGATACAACGCATCTGAATAATGCACTGTATCTTTTGCACCATTGTGACATCGAATTGTTAAAAGGGGGAAAGGGGCTGAGGACAGGCTGAGGGATGCTTGGTTTGATTGAATTCAGAAGTTCAGGTGCCCAATAGCCTGGTAACAGGTACCCACGAAGTACCCCACTGAACATCTAAGTAGGGATTTAGGTAGAAGGCCTGCTTCCTAAGTACTGAGTATTAGGTACTGACCTAGTTAGGTGCCTTGTACGGATGTGCGCCCCGGGCGCCATTCAACGCCCACTAGATCTCTGGCACTCCGCCCGCTGAGGTGGCTGTATTTGGGTGGTATCAGTATCGGGTATTGGATATTGGGTATCAAGACGACGTCATCACCCACACCAAGTTTTGTGCTCCAGGTCCAACTCATACCCAACGAGTGGGAATCGACATCCGATTCTCTTGATGTTCCCAGCCTCCAATTTCAACCGCTGCTGACTTCAATTCCTGACAGCCAACTACTAAAAGACGGTCGTCGCTACCACCCGATATACCTGCCCTTGGTTATTCGTTGTTCTTGGTATCCAAAACCTCGTACCGAGCGTTCGGCATCCTTCGATCCTTTGGGGTTGACTTCGCCAGCCTCGTGTCCACTCCCTGCTACTACTATCTACTGCTGCCCACTGCCCAGCCTGAGTCCACGCGCCCAGTGTTGGGGGCGCTGTACCCCTCCACACGCTGTGCCACTCAAACCGCTGTATCGTCCCTGAACCGTCCCGCTCCGTCTCCCTCAACTTAACACATCAAACCCCCAAGAAAACGTTTACTCTGTGCGTCCGGATCGACGCCCCGTTTCTATCTTCTGCATTATCAATACCACAAACATGTCCCGATATCGTCCTGATCCTCGATACTCCGACGGCAACCTGGCCTACCGTGATCCTCCACCACAGCGATGGGACACTGACCGCTTCGTTCGTGAACGCGAGATCCGTGCTCCTGTCATTGATCAACGTCCACCCTATGCCGATTACCCTCCACCCCGCCGAGCCCCGGTCTATGAGGAGCAGCGCTACTATGAAGATGATCGCTATGGCCCTCGTGGCGCCACCGAGCACAAATACTTCGAGGAAAGGGACTACTATGACCCCCGTGCACCCTCTGGGCAAATGGTCCCGTATGCCGCTCGACCAGAAGCTCCTCCACGCCCAAGCATTCTTCGTCGCCAGTCTAGCCTAGATACCTTTGACCGCCAACCACACCGACACCATCAAAACTATGAGGATTACTATCGGCCTCCAAGACCCAACCCACCCCGGGAGATGATCCCGGTGCGGCCTCCTTCTCCTCGCCGATATCCCAGGTATGACCATAACTATGACGATATCCGAGTCCAAGACCCCGACTACTACGGAGACGATGGTTTCAGGGAGTATCGTGAGCGAGAGTGGGTTAGCCGACGAAGAAGAAATAGCAGCCCGTCCCCCCACAGGCACTCGGTGAAAGGGGGAACTGTCGAGGAGGTCAGGGAGGAGATCAAAGAAGTCAAGGAGGAGAAACCCTACCCGCGACGAGGCAAGACTCGTATGCCAAAGCGCTTGGTTCACACCAAGGTTCTCTTTGATTTGGGCTATCCCTACTACGAAGAGGTAGATTGTCCCGCACACATAACCTATCCTCTTGTACTGACGTTGGCTCTAGGATGAGCGAACAATCATCATCGAAAAGGCACTCGGCCCAGACAATATTGATGAGATCTTTACGCTAAGTCGGGACTACCGAGAGAAGGAAAGTAAGTCAACCCCTCAAGGTTCCAGATTTTCGAGGTAAAACAAAACTGACACATGAACAGCGGTGACAACCCGTCTTCTTGAAGCGCCCCCAGCATCGGTTGCACCTTCCATCAGAGCTCCAAGTGTGCACGGAGGGGTTTTTGAAGAAATCAAGACCACCGAGAAGATTGAAGAGATCAAAACCATGCCATTAGCCGAAGCCCCGAGATCTGTTCAAAACTGGGATGGATTATCAGTGCGCTCCCCGTCTCCGCATAGGCACCGCTCTCGTTCTCGAAGAAGGTCTCGCCGTGGATCTTCGCCGGTTGAGGTCGTTAAGGAAACCATAATCGAGAAAGACAAGGTCGTGAGAGAGGTTTCTCCTGCACGTACCCACCGATCAAGCCATACGCGCCGTAGAGGCTCTTCAGTCAGCGAAGGGTCTTTCATTGAACGCAAAATTACTCGGGAAGCCGAATTCGATGACTCTGGTTCCGTGCACGTAGGACCCTTGGCTCTAGTTGTGGACCGCAAACCCAACCGGAGCGACTGGGAAATCAAGGAGGAGATACGGCGCCTCGAATCCGAGCGGCGAGCTCTAAGGCGAGAACGCCGACACGAGCGTGATCACGAGCGCGAACACAGCACTGAGGTCGTTAAGATTGAGAGGGTTCGCTCGCGGACCCCGTCTCCGCGGGGGAACGAGATCATCCTCGAGAGACGCGGCGAGGAAGTTCTAGAAGTCAAGAAGGACCGTCGAGGTAGGATGTCGTTGATCGCCAAATAAAAGTTTCATGTCCTGATTGTGCTCTTGGAAAACAGTTCGTTCGAGATCCGTCGCCCCTAGTCCTGGCATCATCAAGGCTATGATGGCCACCTTGACTTGAACGGCGCAAATAGAAATCGGGGCCCTGGGCTTGGAAAGCTGTCTTTCCAAGCGCGTGAAGCTGAACGGAGCCTCCCTCACAATAAACCCGCGGGAATCATGCATTGGCTGATTGTCCTATTTGCATGGGCTTCCCCTTGGGGTTCACGAAATTCAGGCATGGGGAGCCATGTGAGCACGCTCCAGATCGAACGGCTCAAAAACGTCCACAAATCTTTTCTCACAATTTCAGCACACCGCAAAGAGTGGTCAGGTCACTAAGGGAAACTGGGATAAGGAAACAGATGCTGGAGAATCTGGATTTACGGCGGGTTACGAATTTCATTTGTGAAAAACAGGCACAATATAATATGTTTGTTTTATGCCATAATGGCTTGGGCTGTTTGGATCTAGCGCGAAACATTCTATTATCACCATCGCATACCATCTTGGATCTCTCACCAGTAGCGGATAGAATCCTTACAAGAAAACACCCTCGTGAGAAAGCGTGACTTGTTCTTCGGTCTCAAGCACTCGCCCGTCCCAAATGGTGCACGACCTTCAACAAGCCCTCACTCTTTTATCTGATATTGAGGTCTTGGCAGGCAATCACCATGACCAAGAGCTGCCCCTTCTAGAAGCACTGGACAGAATTTTGTCATCTTCTGTGTTGTGAGAAAGTCGCCGCGGCCGGGCGGTAGCTCGGCGCATGCACCTCTCCTTCTGCTCCAACAGAATAACTACACGCTCTGAATGCAGTCTCTTTTTTCTAATGCTTGCATAGTGACAACGAGCGGTTCGGACCTGCAGAACAACAGACTGTAAAGGTTGTAGGATGGTTGCATAGTCCTAGATCAGGCAATTGAAAGCTGCTCGGATGGACTTCCCAACTGTGAAAACGTAATATGAAATCGATTGTTCTTGAAATTAAAAGCCTGTATCTATCTACACTTGGGCCTGCTCTTCTCTATTAAGGACAATCCAGGGGCTTGTCAGCCTCGCCTCGATTTTTTGGCGCTAAACTTGACACATTCATCATCCATGCTCCACCCGTGTTATGTATGCATCCACTGTTCCCAACAAGCATGGGGAAAACGGCCGTAAATGCAGTCAATGGCTCCACCAAGCAATCAATTACGCACAACAATGCATCTTCATGAGCCCTGCAAGCTTGATCCAATCCCAACCCATCATTCCATACTCATGAAATCATACACATCGTCCTGGCACTTTCAACGACACCTTGAAGCATGCGTAATCCATATGCAGACGAAACCCTCTCCATGGTCTTCAGGCGAGAGGAAACCTCGCTTCGATCCATCGTACCTGCCCACTCGCCACCACAGGTACAGTGGTCTGCAAAGACACAGTCGTCACCTTGCAGGACACTACATTTCTTGCACTTCAGATCCTGCATCTGCCAGCTGAGCAACGATGCTTGTATGCGGGCGATCAAGGACTCTTCGAGGTCGATCTTGCTGTACTCGGCCTGGCAGCTGGTGCAGCGCCATGGTCTGTTGACGGCATCTTCCTCACTGGCCTGGGGATCCGGTAGGACATCTTCATCCCGACAGAGGTCCAGATCGCGAGTCATAGTGCACGTGTCGCAGACGAGACTGTCGAAGCGGAGGCTCGCGCTCGGATTCTCGAACCGACTCTCTCGTCCAAACTCCTTGACATCGAACAATGCCAGCAAATCTTTGCGCAAAAGACGCGCTTCAAGTTGCAGAGGCTTCGAGAGGGATATGATCTGCATCAGACTCTTGACTAACTCGAGAACTGGATTGAGAGTGTGCTGCCGATCCAGGACCTCAAGCGACCCGCCAGGCAATGACGGAAAAGACCAGTCGCTCGCGAGCTCATGGTGAAGTAGCTCCTCACGCTGACGACGAATCAAACTTGTGATCTTCTTCTTCAATGGCTTGGAGAAGCCATCTTGCAAGACCGTCGTTACTTCCGTGCTTGTCGGGTCCTCTGTGAGGCTGATGAATCCCGAAGCAAGCTGCGTTGGTCCGGGAGTCGCAGATGGGCCGCCAGCTGTGTTTGCTGGCCTCTTCAGATGTTGCATGAGATTGATAAACGTAACGACCCAATTATCAAAAACAGGCTGCAGTAGCTGGGGGAGGAATTGGGATATTTGCCAATGTACCACTGTCTCGAGATTGGAGTCCACTGTCTCTTCCGTCACGGTAGAAGTACCTTTGCCTCCATAGTTGTACTGGTCGTACCAGACAAGTATGTCCCAGTAATCCTTAATCTCCAGGCCCAAGAAATGGAACAAAGGCTTTTGTTGGATCGATTTGAGAATGTACTGGGAATACGCGTATGCATTTCCGACCTCTTGTTTCGAGGTTTGCAAAAGGAGACGTGTAGGACTTGCGAACACAACTTGCGAGCCCACTCGTCTGAAGTCGGTAATGAGTTGCTGCATTGCCTTCTTTGACATCATCTGGACATAGTAATGTAGATGTCTGTCATATAAACAAGATGCTGGCGCCTCTACCCAGCGAACAAGGTGCTGAACCATGACATCTGCAAGTCGATGTCCTTGGCAAGCTTCTGCCCACCACGACTTGACCATCTCGCGAAGTACTTCTAGTGCAGCCTGTGCGAATCCCGCATTGGTTCTAGCCGTTCTTGAGTTGGCTGGTGCGTCTTCACCTGCGGCCGGGTTGAATGCAACTGAGTCGGTAGATCCTTCGAGGTCATTAATAATGGACGATGTCAGGATTGTATTGATGACCAGATTCTGGACGGAAACATCGACACAGACAGAAGTGTACACACTAGGATTGTTGATCGACGGCATTTCCACAACCTCGGTCAAAGGGCCTAATATATCATCTCGTTCATGGCCAGCATGGTCAGGTCGTGGGTTGTCAGACCACCAAAGTACCACATTATTCTTTTTGAGCCTCCTGGCGTATGCTAGGTCAATCAGAAATCGGGGATCATCCTTTTCTAAATTGCACACCGGAACATCTCCATAGCGCGCAAGTTCAATCAAATGTGTCAACCATCCGTTAACGGAGAAATAATGTGATATCAGGCGCTTGAAGATGAAAGCCTGCCATCCTAAAGAAGGCAAGTCTGCATCGCCTTGCTCAGTTGGTAGACAAAGAATAGGATATTCTTTGGTAATACGAATATCATGCATAAGCTGCTTGCTTGAGGTTGTTTGAAGCAGGAGCATGGTTGGCTTTGTTTCGTCTGATCGCCATTTCTTGAGTGTGTCACTGATCTCTAGATGGGCCTTTCGCTTAGTTATGACTTGAGAAACTTTAAAATGCAAGGATGGCTGATAGTCGAAAAGACTCGATAATAAAGTATCGTCTTGCTGCTTCTGACGATATTGTTCTCCATACAGCTTGTCAGCATTCGGCAATTGGGCATCACGACTTCGGCTCAGCACCACGATATGGGCGTCTGTTTTTGTTGATGAGAAGAGGGCAAATACTGTTCGATCACCTGCCGTCACATGATACAGGTAGACATAGCCCATCCAGCTCGGGTCTTCGAGGTACGTAGACTGCGCGTCACTTCTCATCAAAGCCGAGAGGTCGAAGCCCTGCTCCAGACCTTTGCCCAGAACACCTTTCTGGCTTTCGTCAAATGAACACATGTTGCCCAACTTGAGCATCGCCCGCATAGAAAGGGGCAATCCTCGTTCGTAAACACCTTCCACACTGTAATGATTGCATAAAAGAGCTACCGATTCTGCCTCGTGGAGATAAGTATCCTCAGACATTGTCAATTGGAACAAGTGAGTGGAAGGATGGCCATTCGGGAGAACGTGATTGACTTTCTCAACTTCGCACTCGGGAACTTCGACATTTGGGATCTCATCCCCTTTGAGGTTGAGATAGAGAGTGCGAGGAACCTTGATGTTCAGAGCGTGAATCTTTTTGCCAATTAACACAAAAGCTGTGACCTCACCTGGCAGGTCGCCTTGACGGAAATGCAATACATGCCATGTGTTGATGAAAAGCAATTCCGCTTGATTGCGGAAGAAGTTACTGATTGAGTCAGTACCCACATTTGGCCGTTCACCAAATAACTGCCGCCGTCGAGCACGAGCTTGCTTCTGGACCTTCCACTTTTTCTTTTGGTAATTTAGCCAGCCAGCGTAGTTTTCATCAGCGGCGGGCGCATCAGAAGGTAGCTCAGCATAGGGATCAATCAGCACCTTGGCTGTCATGTCATCCGCCTTTCTTTTGACAGGCTTAAAGGGCTGAGTCCGGGGCTTCAACTCAGCATTGAGTGCATCTTCAATATCCCCAGTAGCCGGGAGTCGATGATCAAGAAGATTTACAGATCGCTCGACTAGAGGCCTTTTCTCGAAGAGGTCCGTCATCTTCTTCTGCTTGAATTTATCGTCCTTTGCATTAATCCGTTTCTGTAGCCAGTCGGGGTGGGCAACACGCGGTACAGGATTTCTGACTTTTTGGAGGGCGGCTGGGATGGTGATCAGCTTTTGAATAACAGACCCTAGGCGTTCTAGATAATAGTCCCAATCAATCACATTTCTTGGGTCCATGTCGGCGGGATCATCTTTCAACCACTTGCGCAAGAAGAACCGCTTGACATTCTCGTCTGCAGAAAATATTGCGACTGGGATAGCTCTTTCTGTCACTGGAGTATTTCGGGGTCTGGCTGAGATGATGTATTTGCAGTTGAGGCCTTTATCCTTGGTCATTTGGTCTCCCAGAAATTCTGCCAATCGTTTGGCGGTTGTGATAGACGTCGATTTCTGGGCTCCGTATTCCTCAAGCGTCTTGGCCATGCTCTTGTTTTCGCAAATGAGGTCAATTAATTCTTCGTCGGCCAAGGTTGAACCATGTTGGTGTAGTACATCTAGCCACCGATTTGCAACACGCGCGACAGCCCCGTATGTCTCTGCCAGGGTTGTGCCTTCCAAGAAAAATTTGAAGATTTGCGTCTGAAAGATTTTGATAAGCTTTAGTTCTCCACGTCTCTTAACTTCAAAACCTTTCAATTCTGCCAGAGTGCCGTCGTGGTTGAAGACCGCGTAACGTTTCTTCAAGTTCTTGTCCTCCTCTTTTGATGTAGGCAGAATCATTGCTTTATATGGTCCGTCAACTTCGAAGAAGATCGAGTTGTCACTGTGTGTTTCATACTTGAACGTCCCTGGGTCGACCAAGGTTTGATATTGATGATTCGTAAACCTAGCATGGACCAGATGATTCAACATCACACAAGGGTATGAAATTGCCATTTTCTTGCCATTTTTCAGTGTAAACACAACATTTTCAGGGAAAGTGGCAGGTAGCATGCACCAGATACCGTCTGTGTCCAGCTCCAGCGGACGTCCAATGCGCTCAACGAGTTCCCGTGCCATCTGAATGATGTGGGCACCGGTCAAGCAGGTGACACCGGCCATCTCCATTGAATACCACCGCGAGCCCTTTCGCATGACATATCCGTAGAACGAGTTCAGAATGACCTTGTGTGCCAGCTGCAAGGAGTCATAGAGAATAATCATTTTTTTGGCCTCGTCGATCTCGCTGGCCGAAGCCCTTGATGACTTGAGGGCTTCTGTTTTTCCCTTCCACACCTTCTGCTGTCCCTTGAAATCATATCGCCGATCTCGAAAATCTCGAACAGTATTGACATAGAAAGGGTTCTCCCGTTGGCATATAATGGCTTCACGCTCTATCGTCTTAGAATCATGAATCTTGTGGTAAATCTTTTTTGAATAGTCCTGTAATCTCTTCCGGACTGTCGCAGCCTGCTCGTCTAGACTCAATTCCTGGAAGGTCCTTCTGGGAGCTTGGGGGAATTTGCCAGGAAAGGACTCATTCATGACCGCCGTTCGGATCATGTTGTACTCATCTCGCTTTGTGGGAAGAAATTCGCCTCTCCATGCCCAGGGCAAACGTCGATCACAAGTCTTCCCAGGTCGATTGAAATCGCAAGCCGCACAGTCTGATTCAGATATCATAGAGTCGGGTTGCAATCGATTCGTAGTCATAATATTAGGATACATCGATGCCACGTCCAAGTGATAGATCAAAGGACGTTCGTTTCTGTTTGGAGTTTCTTTCAAGTTGTTCAGCTTTTCGATAATTTGCGTGCGCACCTCGTCGTAATTCGTCACATCATCCATGGATTTCTTTTCTTCAACTGTTATGCAAAACTTTAATGCGGCATCGAGATCTTGAATGAGCTCATCAATGGCTGTCTTGTCAATTGCGAAATTGACAGGTATGTCCGCGCGAAAAACACCAGCTTCGATGCTCTCCACATGACCACCAACATAAGTCTCCGAATCAAGAAGGTGTCCTTCCCAGAAGGCCTCCCTCGGCTCCTTGTGTTTGTTTGGCAGGACTATGTTCTTCTGATACGCTTGGACCATCAACAGCATTTCGCAGAGCGTGCCTGTCCCTTTTCGTAGGGTGTCATCTGGGCTGAGTGGGATAATTGTACAAAGTGAGAAAATGAAAGGGTGGACATATTTCATGTACAAATAATAAGTGGCGACCGCATCAGACACAGAGTACTCTGCCAGAATCTGTGGATGTTCACTGGCATAAGGCGTCATCAGTTCTGGATCGAGTTCATCAGGGTCGTAGCCTAGCTTCGCGACTGTCACCGCTTTCAAGCCTCGACTCCCCTGAGGCAGGTAACTGTCTCTGTTGACCCATGCAAAGCAATCCATGTGCACACAGTAGTCGCTTTGGTAGATATCCTCGCTATTCTTCCGAAATCCAATCTCGGCATACATGTCAATTCCGTTGACGCTAGCTCGGGCCTCCACGAAGGGCCAGTCAAAGAAGTCACCGTTGTATGTAGCTATGACTGTTGGTCGCGCCTCTTTGATCATGGAGAAAAATCGCTCAACGAGGCTCCGCTCGTTCAGCTCATTGAAGACCAGGAAAGGCCCTTCATATTCTGCTTTTGGGGTGTAATCAAAATCCGAGATATCCTCAGAGACAATTTCTCGGTTGGTGATAAGAAATCCTTGACCATCAATCATATATGAGATCATCATGATCTGGTCAATGGTGGCATCGGGGAATTTGAGGGGCAATTTAGTTGTTTCGATATCAAATGCAAGCACCACAGGATCCGCTCTTTGAAGACGTTCTTCGAGGCAAGAAAGGGTAACCGACCCATGCTTCGCCTCCACGGTATACCATTTTCCGATACGTATATCCTTATCGATGACCAGTCGAACGTGGTAAGGCACATCGTACTCTCGAATGTCGACTATAAAGTCGCTAGCCTCTGCGATTCCATTTGGTCGTGTGTCGTGCGCTTGCTCTTCGTCATAGACATCAAAGCCCGCAGTAGCACTAGCTACCTCTGCGTAGGTGTCCATAGCATTGACCTTTTCTTTATTCTGCTCTGCGATAGGCATGATGACCTTGCGAACTGACAGGAGATCGGAGACATTTGCAAAGGTCAGTTGCAGGAATGTTCGTCTGTAGCCGAGCAGGTGGTTTGGCATCTGCAAATCTTCCTTCGTGAGACGATTGACGGTTTTGATCAGTCCCTCAAACAGTCTTTTGCACCACTCTTCAACCTCGGGTTCTTTTCCACGCTTTACAGCGAGCAGAAAGTACGGGTCGTATTCAACAGTCGCCTTAAAGTTGTCGCCTTCTTCGCCAATAAAATAAAAATCCACACCAGCTCGGCCACCTGGGATTTTGGAATCCTCTATCGAAGTGCTATGCATGTTGTAGAGCCATCCCACTCGCCTCTTGCCAGACTCGTATTTGCCAAATCCCATGGCTTCGTCAATGCTGTTTGCCAGCCGTGTTGCTTGTATTTTCTCATCTTGAGAGGTCCCCTCGGTAGCGCGCAGGGAAGATGCAGTTATCGTTTTCGTCCGTTGTCTTCGAGAAGAGTCTTTCGCGAATCTGACGTTGGAGCCAAACTTGCTGGGCTTTCTGACGGGCATTGCTCTTGAACAATGGGCAAGACGCAAGGTGTGGATCACATGCAGACTACAGCGACAGCAATCTCATAGTATGATCTCGTTGCAACGACACATGTGCAGTATTCAGACTTGGTATTGCATGCAACAGAGAGTCTTCGGGAAGTGGTTTTGGTGTTGGAAGTCGCAGCCATGGAGATTGCCCGCAATTGTTGACGCGTTTGATAGAACGCGTTAAGTGGTTCGCGGTCGCCGATCCGGCTTGGTTTACACTTTGCCCCAAAATACTTCACGGTACTAACTAATACGGTGGGGCACAATGAACGATTATCCACATACGTTCAAGTCGAACCACTTCATGTCAAACCTTCGGCGTAGGGCATTGACGAGCTTCGCAATCCTCAGTCCGCTTACTATGGCCGACGACACTCGAGAATCGTCCACTCCTCCCACGCAATCCCCCAGCGATCCCTCAGCCTGCGAGGACCGTCGAATACGCCGACCACGACCGAAGCATGATTTCCCTCAGTCGCAAGCCGGCAAGCTGTGGGAGGCGTTTGGGAACCCAGAGGAATCCGCGAACAGTCTCCCTGGAGGGACTTACAATTCGGCGGGTGGCAAACCAGCCCAAGTGACATGGAAAGATGCCTTCAATTTCTCATACAATTCAAAAGGGCCGGCATGGTATCAAACACCCTGTGCCAGGGATTCATTATTAGTAGGCATTGGAGGAGGAGGCGCAGTTGGAGGAGTTAGTTTTATTTTGAAAGGTGTGTGATACCTAAGAGCTGTCCGCCCATTGCGTGTGCAACTCAATGCAGTCGCTTTCATTATAACTCTGAAGCACTATTGACAAGTGGATCAGGTCTCAAGTCCCTTGGAAAATCAGCAAATTATTCTGTTGGTGGATTTCTCGTCACTTCCTCTGCCATGTACTATTGGTGTGATCGAAGACGCAAGGAAGAAGCTCGAGGTATGGCTGCCGCTGTTGCAGGGATGAAGATGCTCCATGAGAAGAAGGCGAAAGAGCAGGCCGCCCGGGAAGCCGCTGAAGCCGCCACTGCTGCAGCCATGGCTGAAGAAGATGCTAAGCGCAGTAAGCGATGGTACAAAGTCTGGTAATAAATATTGTGATTTGCATATGCACGGCGCGGCGGATTCATGCGAGCTGGGAAGCATGAAATGGAACTTAGAATCTGAAGTGTTTGAATGAGGAATGTTTTCGTTTATGGGTATCAAAAGCGACCACGTGTACAGTATATCCTGGAAAACCTGGAGGTTCATCCATTTTCGAAGCGGACGCGAACATTTTTACGGGGTGAAGCGTCCATAGCGGTGGAGTGATCGTCGCTTTCGCTGATGAAGCGTTTTCTCCTCTCACTTCTTTGCTGCCTCGCCTCACGAGCCTCTCTGTTTTTGAGATCTGTCAATTGTTGTTTCCGTCGCTGTGAGCGAGACCATGCAAGCGCCGGGGTGGGCCGAAAGCCGATCCCATTGATGCCATATCCATCATCAGTGGGATCAGTGGGGTCATGTCCTGTAATTTCAGAATCATGCCAAAATTTATCTGATATCTGTCCATCCAAAGGTGGTGACTTTGAACGGGGCAACACCTGAGGTGCGGTGGCGGAAGTAGAATCATCCTCCTGAGACGTCTTTGACAGGTTGCTGTTGGTTAGCTCACCGGATTGACCTGACTGGGATTGATTCTCAGGCAGCAGTCGTACCTGGTCTTGTACGTCGCCTAAATGAGTAGCTGATTCGGACTTTTTGAGAGGGTCTGGTTTTGGTATGGAATCAGTCTGGCCATCGAGATCCAGCGTATCGAAGGTCTGGGAGACTTTTGTGCGCGGACTTTCTACATTGTCGATGCCATCGTCCACCATGAAATTGGGCGGAGGTCTCTGGGTGTCTAGCGGGAGATCAGGGCCTCGTCTCTTTTTGGGTGAGGCCGGAATCATATCTGGACGAGTCTGGTTATGAGGCCGCGCTGTAGTTGGACGATCTCGCAAATAGCCCCCTAGGACTGTACGAGTACGTAGTACCTACCAGTGTGAGTATCAGCTGAGTCCTTGACATGTATGCCACGCCGACGGACCCCTCTCGAGGCTCGCACGTGACTGCGGATTCAGGAGGGACAGGGAGACATATCAGTATTAGTGTCTAAAGTCACAGCCACGGCCCTGAGCAACGTCAACGGCTGTCATCCACCAAATCAACTGCAGGTTGTCCTCATCCCGGTTCTCATTCCCATCCCCGTCCACAACCCCCATCTGCATCTCCGTTCCCGCCTCCAGCTGCTTTCACACTGTATTCAAGTTCGAGTCCACTGTCCTTTTTGTGAAATCACACCCTCCAAAGAAGTAAGACTTCTTTGCTACTGCCTCCACACCATCCTCCTTTGGCACTCTCGCCCCTCGACTTCCAGTCCTGCACACACCGAGCAAAGCAGTCCTGATCCAGAGACTTTGACTTAGTTGTCCTTCGCTGTCTGGTCGCTCGATGTCGCCCGTCTCAAATGTCTCGCGCTGGCTCCGAGGCCAACCATGAACAACAGTTCCCATACCGGCCTCTACCAGTCTGCCAACAGTAGCACTTCCACTCTGCGTCCTCGTGCCGCCCGTCTGATTTCATATTTGGACGATGATACCGCCGACACCACCGCGATATCCACCTCCTCCGCTTCCACTCCTCCCCGTTTCCCCAGCAGAGGAGTATCCCCTAGTCTGAGCACAAAGCGCTCCAAATCCCCCGACAAATCTCAAAATGTTCCCACAGTGAAGCCTTCCAATGCTACGCCTTCGGGCTTACAGAGCCCCTCCATGGGAAGCCAAGGGTTGTGGGATTCATGGTCTTCTATACAGGGCATTGCCTCAAGCCTGCTTGGAAGCGATACATCCACTTCCGGGAAGGATAAGTCGAGGTCCTCTTTCAAGACCCCTGTATGGATGAAGCAGGACAAGACCTACAGCACTAGAAACTCCACTCTGCAGTGGGGACCCGCCAGTGAATCTCCTCCTTCGGCCCAAGGATCTATTGAAGAGAGAAAGGCCAGAATCGAATTGAAGAAACGAGAAGCCTTACTGCTCGCTGCTGTCGCAGAGTCCCAAGACAGCTCCGGCCGGTTCAAGAGGAGGGACTCTGATACGGAGCAGACGACTTCCATTCCAGACGATTCGAACCAAGATGCACTTGTGTACATGCACAAAGTCCAAAAGGGCGATACTCTCCCGGGTGTCATCATCAAGTATAATTGTCAAGCCGAAGCCTTTCGTAAGCTCAATCGGTTTTGGCCTAACGATAACATCCAGACACGCACCCATGTTTTGGTGCCCGTGGATGCCTGTTCGGCAAGGGGGAGGAAAGTGGACAGTCCATACTTGTCGCAGGATCTATTTGACTCTCAGCTTGCCAATGCAGATACCCCAGTTCCAGGGTCTACTCAACCCCGTCACAACGGCGTGCCATCCATCAATGGCATTCATCCGACTCTAAACTCTAACCTCGCCATATCATCCATCCTTACATCCGAACCTCTTACTCAGGTAGCGTCTATTTCAGAAGACATAGAGTTCCGACATGACTCGTGGGTGATGCTCCCATCCTTTAGAGACGCCGTGGAGGTTTTACGAGTTCCTCGCCGTGCACTTGGTTACTTTCCCCGAACGCGACGGAAATCAAACGCAACTCTGTCTGGTATTTCCACCAATTCGACTCCGAGGACCTCCTTCGACATGCTGCGTCACCCGCCGACGCATGCGGCTCAAACTTCGGCGTCCTTGGTTACCTCTCCAGTCCGTCGACCAGGACATCCAAACAGCCTCAGTTCCAACCGCCAGCGTTCTTCAAGCGTGACGGTCCCGGGTAGTTCCTTCGCGGATGCTTTACGAGGACCTGGTGGGGTTGGCACGCTGAGCGGTCTGAGGACCGAGCTCTCACGTCCTGGTCCTGCCGAAGATCCCTTGAACAAAAATTTTGCTCAGTACTTGCCTGACCTGTTGCCACCTGAAGAAATGCCTCGGACTGGGTTTAGTCTTCGACCATCAGCTCGTGCAACCCCCCGTGCCAGCACCGATTCGGCACGTAGTACTAGGTCAAATAGCGCAAACATGAGTGATGTCGGAGTCGCAATTGAAGGTTGGGTGAGGAAAATGGCGGGGGCTAAGAGCCTCAGAGATCGTAATGGAACCACCCCCAAAATGGGCGATCTCATCGAATTAGAAACAAACAGCGAGATTTCGGGGCCAGATATTGGTCCCAGGACCGATAGCAGTCTGGACACAAACATCGACCAAGCACGCCAGTCCGATGACACGATGACACCCAAAACTATGCATCCAAGTAGTGCTGAGTCCACATCAACTTCCACAGCCACAGAGCAGGCGCTCTTGAACGAACGCTTTCCCATGAGAGGTCGAGTACGGAATGCCTATGAGACGGGGCAAAGTTGATAGCGGCGCCCACGAAGCCAGGCTGGGTGGCTTGAACATCATTCTCAATGCAAGAAGGCTTAAGCTAAGCCTTGACTTGAGACCGTCGATTGTAGCCAAGGAAGGCTATCTTCACATAATATGGCTCACTACTTTGAGCCTTCCGCCTGGAATAGACGCACGTCAATTTCCTGTAGTAGGAAGATTGCTGGGCTGGCCAGTCTTGTTAGTCTGTATCATTTTCAGGACCAGCGACGAAGGAGGGCGTTATTTATCCGCATGATCTACCAGTGGTTTTTTGGTTCACGATGAAGAAACACTGTAATTTCGGTTACGCCTTAATCCATCTAACCTGACCCGTTCAGACATTATATTCTGTGTCTAGTGGTTCCAATCACAGATTACGCTCATGTGGTTCGCTCGCCCTCAAACCCGCGTCCCTTGAAGGGAGATCAAGTAACCCAGCATCAAGACACATACATATACACACAAAGAGCAGCCGAGGCTTTGTGTGCCCCAGGTCTGAGGGGCATATGTCGCAGACAAGCAGCACCACAAACCACAAACCACAACCCTCACTGACTCAGCCGCAGCGGCATTCTGATTGGTTCGACTGGAGCGCCTGACCTGCACCAAGTGAGGAACCAGCGTGCCGAAATGATGTGATCGATCGCCCTCGTCCCTGTTCCCTGATAGAAAGGGATTAAACAGGGAAGTCCATTATAGGCCACCGTCACTCCTCTGATTTGTAAATCGAGTAGGTAGAGCTCTGTACCCGAATCTACAGCCCCGTTATTGTGCTTGATCATCGACATACACCCCTCGCGAAGGAGGCCCACAGTTGAACTAGTCTCAAGCAATTAACCACTGACTTATCTACCAGACACTGAATCACCACAGATACCTATTTCAAGACTTGGGGCAAGCTTCCGCAGCCTGCCCACAACACAACATAAGCTACCTTTAGAATCATTAGTCCAGGACATTTAGTCCACTTCGGCAAGTGAGATGACTCGAATCGTCAGCACTCGCAGACCTTCAACAGTGCAACCCGTCAACTATGCTGCATGGATCCCTTTAGAAACGGCAGGATTAGTAGTTGGAACGGCAGCATACCCATCAAAACTCTCAGGGGACGAGATCGTCATCAAGAACCACGCGGTGGCGGTGAACCCAGTGGACTGGAAGATCCAGGCGTCTGGTGGCTTCGGGCTGGAGTATCCGGCCATCCTGGGCGAGGACGTGGCAGGGGAGGTCATCGAGGTCGGAGCTGGCGTCAAGGCAGCTACAGGGCTTGACTTGAAGCCAGGAGATCGAGTGATCACACACGCGCTGGGCATCGGTACGGGCAACCCACAGTACGGAGGCTTCCAGCTGTACCCGCGACTGAAGGCTGTGACGGTCGCTAAGATACCTGATGACATCCCTTTCTGGAGCGCCGTTGTCCTGCCGTTGAGTATTTCCACCGCGGCCGCTGGGCTCTACCTCAAGGCCAACTTGGGCCTGAAGTTCCCCAATAACCATGTCGATGGTTCGGAAAACGAGCAGGAAAGAGGAGTGTTCGGCAACGACCGCAATGATGAATATCAACATCAGGAACAAGCACAGTCACCGCGCGAAGAACACCACAAGAGAAACCGTGACACGCTGCTGCTATGGGGCGGATCATCATCGGTGGGCAGCTCGGTGATACAATTAGCAGTGGCATCGGGGTACCGGGTGATCGCGACGGCATCACCATCGAACTACGACTACGTGAAATCGTTGGGCGCGAGCCTGGTCCTTGACTACCACAACCCGGACATTGAGAGCATCTTGATCAGTGTGCTGCAGTCACAGCGCGCTGGGAAACTGGTGGGCGCGTATGACGCGATCGGGAGCGATGCAACAGCGCGGGCGAGCGCGCGGGTCGTGCACGCCATCGGGGGCGGGCGGGTCGCCAGCGTGGTGTCGGCGCCAGCGGACGACGACGTGCCCAGAGACGTGGAGATCACGCGCATCGGGAGTGGCAATATCGTCTCGCAGGAGGATGGCCTCGTCGCCCGCAAGATCTGGGGTGAGTGGGTTCCGAAGGCGCTGGCGAACGGCGCCCTCAGGCCGAAGCCGGACGAGCTTGTCGTCGGCAGAGGCTTGTACTATGTCCAGGCTGGTCTCGATCGGCAGAGGGAGGGTGTCAGTGCGAGGAAAGTGGTCGTCACACTTTAAAGAGAGAGATATAGCGGCGACCGTCATTCACACCGCCTGAAAGGCGCTGGTGATAACATCGATGTTGGGTTATTCGAGTCAGGCAGCCACTGAGGGAGAGCGATAGAATCTGAACATGTTCTTCGGTCAAGGCTACATGGAAGCAGAGTGCTTTTTAGGGTTGGAAATTCAAGTTCACAGTACACTCAATATTGATCTTTGGACTATCTTGGCTTGGCTTTTCCTGGAGCGTTCACCTTGCAGCAACTCCCTTACATTTCAGTCATACAAAGCTCTTCATTCTCATACGCTCTTCCCTCTTCCAATTCCCTGAGGACTTGACATAATACTCCTCTTTTACGATTGGTTGTCAACCCCTATAGCTACACCCACACACGCCCTTCTTCTGGTCTAGGACATTTCTTTGCTCTCAACATCTCCAAAATACCTATGCTTCTTGAATATGCAAAATCTCCAATCAATACTATCAACCCCAGGTAAAACGAGAACAAATAGACAACAGAAAGGAAAAAATATGTTAAAAGAAAAGACTGTGTCGTAGACGGGCGTCGGATATAGGTAGTGGTTGGCGTAGCGCTGTCCTTGAGATTTTGTTGGTCCCACAAATTGGGCAGATCAGTTCCATCCCAGGCTGTTCTCAGCCATCACGGGTGGACTGATATATGTACGTCCGCTTCGGTTCGAGTTACTATGGTCACTGTTGCGGGACGTTCGACCACCAAATCTTGTGCCGTAACTGCCGCGAGCACCAGCTGCCATCAGATTGGATTGTTCTCCTGGGCGGCTACTAGGGCCAGATTGCATGCTGCTTGATCTTTGATGACCTGCCTTTTTCTTCTTATACCGTCTAGCCACAAGGAACATTGCTGCTCCGTAAACTGTTGCACCGGCAACTGCGCCCACAGCGATTCCGACCGAAGATGGTCGAACTCCAGACCCTGAATCGCTGGAGCCTGGCGTTGCGTCGTCAGAATTGCCACTATCAGAGGTCGTGGCGGGATTGTTTGCAGAATTGATAGGAGTTCCACCATTACCCATGGTAGATCCAGCCAAGATCGGAATGGTCGGATCAATCATGCTCATCAACGTTGTCACTGAAGGATTGTCGTTGTGGAAGAGACCCGAGTTCGGATTCAAGATAAGAACGGACAGTAAATCTACCTTGCTTTCGGGAATGTATGCCATTGCCAAAGTAGTAATGTAGCCGACACTGTCCAGCGTATTGTACGGTTGAAGATACTGCATAACGACTTCGTCGAGAGCCAGGTCCAGGCCATTTCCAACACCAGGGGGGATAAAGGAGAATATCTGGGAGACTGCCGTTGTAGAAGACACTACGAATTTGTAGTTGAGACCATAAGTGAATCCGATCTGGATCAAAGTAGAGTTCTCGGGTGCAGGAGGAATGCCTCCTTCTGGCTGAATGACACTGGGGAGCGTAGTGGGAATCACAGCTGCACTGGTTGAGGATGATCCAGAGGTTGGCGCACTTGAAGGTGCAGTGATAATGCTGGAATCTGGTATCAGTGTAGTCATTGAATCTGTTCCAGTAGGCTTCACAGTGTTGGTGGGAGGGGCTGAGCTGGTAGGCCGGGTGGTAAAGGGTTCGGTGCTGGTCACGTTGGCCACCACAGGCGGTGGAGATGGAGTCTCCGTGGGTAGGGTAGGAGATATGGTTGGTGGAGTTGTCACTGGGCCTGGATCTGAAACGGTTTGATTGGGGTTATTGAGATTGTCGGTTGGGCTGAATGTTGGTGTAGTGGTCGGTGGCTGGGTCGGCGGATCAGTAGGTGGAGTGGTAACAGGAGTAGTTGGTGACTGGGTCGGCGGATCGGTAGGTGGAGTGGTAACAGGAGTAGTTGGTGACTGGGTCGGCGGATCGGTAGGTGGAGTGGTAACAGGAGTAGTTGGTGACTGGGTCGGCGGATCGGTAGGAGTGGTAGGAGGGGTAGTCGGCGACTGCGTTGGCGGATCGGTGGGCGGAGTGGTAATAGGAGTGGTTGGAGATTGAGTATTGTCGTCAGAATTAGATGCAGTATCTTGGTCCGGTTGGGACTCGGTTCTCGAGGCAGTGTTGCTTGCAGTGTTGCTCTCGGTGCTGTCCGGTGGAGGGGTGATTGTTGGGTTCACACTCACGGTGGGAGACACGGTTGGCAGATCCAAGATATCTGAACCTGTAGGAAGGGACGCTGTTTCCGAAGACGTAAGGGCGTCATCGGCGGAACTCACATCTGCTGCGATTGAGGAAGCCGCAGCCTGAGCGGAAGAGAGTGCCGATGAAATCGAAGATAAATCTGAAGAAGCAGCAGTTGATGCCGCGTTTTGAATCGAGCTTGCAATATCTAGGATCGATGAAGCAGCATCAGTGGCGGATGAGAGAATTGCGTTCGGGTCTTGAGTGCTTGTCGTGCTATCAGTATTGGACGCCGTCTCGCTTATGACCGAGTCCCGTCCTAGTGTAATCCCAGTTTCGGTAGAAGTTGTAGATGCAGCGGGGTCAGTGGTAATCGTTGCTGTTGAGTCTGTCGTGGAAGTGGTGTCCTCGGTAATCACCGAGGCCACATCAGACAGAACATCTCCGATCGTTGAAATGATACTACCCAAACCAGAGTCTGTACTGCTGGAGGCGTCGGTTGTAGTGCTGTTATCGCCCGTTACTTGTCTTTTTACTGCGCGCGGAAAGTAGTATCTCGGTTTCATATCCGTCCGCCTAGGATGTGCCGGAACGGCTTCAGCGATGGAGACAGCCACCGCCGAAAAGATCAACGTGATCAATGTAATCTTCATGATGGCGCTGGAAAACTGGTCAAGAAATACTGCCATGGTTATCAGTCAAGGCTAGAGAGTCTCCTAGAGCCGAAACTTACTGCAAGAATCTTATGTAATGAATGTATAGGGTGAGGTTATATGTTCAAAAGAGTGGCTAGGATCCTAAGACCCTTCAAAGGTTGAAAGATTGCCTGATGGTTCAGGAATCGTCTCGTCGACGCCGGGTTGCCTGTGTTGGACCGCAGGAAGACTTGTGTACAAGACTTAATGGACGCTCGGTGGGAGCTGGCCACACAGTGTTCTTTGTTTCAAACGTTGCCGCAAATGGACGAGGATGTCAAGATATTTTCAGGTTCATATGAATGGAAACAAATTCTTTGACGTGATGACAGACCAAATACCCCAACAAAGAAAGTTGATAGTAGATCGTGGCTCTGCGAGAAGAGTTGGGCCAGCCAATTGAACGATAGAACAAAGACGTTTGGTAGTCAGTCTTGAGCGCGAGAGGGCCGTTCGAAGCCTACGTATGCCTTGCAACGAGGAGCGAAAAGAAAGTTGTTAAGGAGAGTACTCGATCGTGTCAAGAAGGCGTGAACGTCGATTGGCAAATGAGCGAACGCGAGCAGCGAAGAATCGTGCTAGCTAAAAGGGCGTTGGAGTTCGAATGAGCTGAAAGGAGGCGGTCCAGACGGGTTGACAAGTCGAAAGAGGAGGTTATCGGCCGCAGAAGGAGAGACAGCGACCACGGCGACGTTGACGGATCATCGAGGCTCAGTGACGATGGGAGAGGTGGCGGGCGAGCGTAGGTGTGAAAACAGAAAAGAATGAGCCTTTGCAGGAGTGTCACGTTGGGAGAAGAACGAATTGAGCAAGCAACGACTAGACTGGGTAGAGGGAGTGAATGTGATGAGAGCGGGAAAGCGAGCGGATGAGGCGAGCAACAAGCGTGAGGGCTAGTATCACTTCCCTGGATTGTCGGGGGCGTCAAGTGGCTCAGGCACGGCAGGTACGCCTTGTCCACTCTTATGTTCAACAACTGTGCAGTGTACTGGGTACAGGGCTAGCACACGCTTAGGCAGGAACAAGACACGAATGACGCGGTTTAATTGGTGGTCATGCCAAAGCTAAGCTTCTAGGGGTCTAGCGCAAATACCACAAGACGGTATCGCACACCCTTGTGACACGCCAACGCCCTGGATGTCCTCCCGCCCCCAGTGGCCCTGGCTTTCTGTACACTCTGACCAATTTCGAGGTCAATCTCGCTCCTCGTTGGGCTTCTCTTAGCTGTCGATGGTGGCTTTTGCTACCTGCCAACATGGGCATGGTCTTGTTCAACTGGTCAGTGGCTGTTGGAGCCGCAGTCTTCCTACTGCGTATCGAATCCTCCAGAACCAGAATACGAACTTGTCCAAGTAAAGATCGTCAGACTCTGGACTCCTCGGTATACTAGTACTTGTACTCGTCACTCAACCAGGATAAGGTTGTTGAGTCTTTTTTTGGAGCTTGACACGTTGGCCGAAACATATTGTGTATCCGATTCGGGAAGGCAATATAGCAAGGGAATGAGTCGGCGAAGGGGGAAACCCCCCGGGAATGGGGATGCCAATTGCTTCTTTTCCTTCGCACAGCAGCTTCGATGGAACAGAGGTCAGGCATGAACCATGATGAAGTGAGCATGGCCAAAGTTAGGTCCTCACCAATCTTAGTCCCTGGTACCAGGAGCTAGGGGCGTGTCAGCTAAACGCCTCCCGCTGCCTTGGCCTGGTTGAGGTGCATGAGTGGATTGCTGGGATTGGTGAAAATTCTCCCAGGTCAAATAAAGGTCTACGAGTACTGTGCGAGTAAGGCTCAAAAGGTCAACAGCGCCCTTCCCGATTCCAGCCTTGGAACAATATTCCAGGTTTTTAATCTCACAACCTCCCACATTTACATCGCGACTGTCTCTTGGTTCTTGTAGTCCATGGTGCTACCAATTCATGCAGCCCTCGTTTTGAAAGCTCCAATGCTCACGTTATCCAACACCTGTTATTCAATGGCAGGTGTCACCTTGATCACTCTGGTGGGGATGCAAAATCGACGGCCCCGCTTGCCCAGCTGCCCGAGCTGCCGGCTTGTTTCATTCAGGGGTAAGCGGGACGAACACCAACTCGTGCATAAACTTTGAGATCAGCCATCTCCGGCACAGTACTCCGTGCTCGTCGTAGTCCTCGTAAAAGAGGGTGATCATGAGGCAGGATTAAACGTTCCATGTGTTTTGCTACCCTCGGACTCGGCACTCCGTACTCGGCAAATGACCGTACGTGATGATATACACACCGACACTGCATGAACAACTCTCGAGCACTCTATACATGTGCACATTCATGTGGCTCAACGCAGATCACCCATCATGAAGTGACGGACGCGCAACCAGTGCACAATACTCCCTATACTCATATATGAGCACAATTCAGATCCGCGCATTGTGTCACCGTTTCACGTCAGGATCAAACCATTCCACACCGGCCAAACACGTACACGTGCGCAAGCCAATGTCTTAGGCTTGGCCAATGATGAACCCCTTTGCTGGATTACAGGTCGTACAAGTTGACGTAATCCTTAGAGTAGTGCTCGTAATTTGCAACAGAGCCTGAGATACTCCGAGCTCGCTATTCTAACAACCAACCACCTGACCACGATCATTCGCTTGATGCTTGTCTACCTACCGAGTGGTTTGTGGTGGTCTGTACTGAGTATGGAGTGCTCCCTACTAGGTATGTACGAGCATTCGTATCTCCGTGTGGATATGAATGCCATGGCTGTCCAGGTCCAGGGGGTTCTCATGCCCTGTAATGGGACTGGGAAGCAAGCTTGAAACAACGATGTTGATCAACGATTGTTCTCGAACTCAACCACAGTGCTCTGTGGGGGGAGTATGCTAGTACCTCGACTCCACCCTTGTGCCGCGCGATATTTTGTAAGTATCTCTCTGAATGATGTATAGACCGCTGCTCTGGTCCATCTGCAGGAATCTTCTCGGTACCTGAAGCATGAAAAACACTCGACTTGATGTTGATATTATTTCATCGTAGACTCGACGCCGCGTGTGCTGTGCTGTAGGTTCTCGCGGGAGAATGTTTGTCCGTATTTTGGTGAAAATCCGGATAAACTCCGAGCTCTCGTGTATCACGTGCAAAGTTTTCCGTCCCACACTGGCACACCAGCATCACTCCCTACTCCCAAGGCCTTGGCAAAGACTCTACAGTCGATATTTGGGCAAAGCCTAGGGGGCTTAGCAAACTCACTGCACGACTTATCATTATCCATTGTTTCTACAATGACCCAAGGCGTATGCAAATCTATACGGGGAAAAAGGGAACAGTTTCTTTCTCATCAAGATGCAAGGTCGAGTTGATTGAAATCATATATTTCTTCAGCCGTAAGCTCATCGGCCTGTTGCATTCCTCCCCATCACCTCCCGTATCGGAACCTCGGGTCAGATCAGTCTGACTGTACGGAGTAAGTCGCCGAGAGAAGGATGGGGACTGGTCGGTAGTCGAAAAAGCTGGAGAAAATCCAAGGTGGCTTCCGAAAACCGCGTCAAGCAACCGTTCACAGTAAAAATGTCCAACCACGAAACGGCCATCTCCAGAGAATTGCCGAGCACGTCATTTGGGCCTGGCAGAATGTTTGCTCCACATTTTCCATTTGGAAACTCAGCCTTCACCTCATTTGCACCACTTGAACCTCGACCTCTTCGTCTATCGTTATATTCACCACCATGCTATCTTGATCCTAAAAATCTCGTTGACCACAACCACCTCACTCTCACTGCCCCCATCTCATATGTCCTTGAGCATATTGATATCCACGTTGCAAGTCTCCGAGCTTGTTCCCCCACCATCACTCTCGCGCAGCCACAATGTCTGACTCAGGGCCTTCCTCTACACCGCCATTGAGGAACCCTAAGCTCAACGCAATGAGTAAAGCCTTCTCTCAAATCGACCTGGATGGTCATGATTTACCGCCGTCCCCAGCACCCTCAAGCCCCAGAGGTGGTCGCAATTATGCCATTGCCACTCAGTTGGTCTACTCCGAGGGCAACGATCAGTACAATGCCAGCAGCGTACCTATTTACCAGGTATACCAGCTCCCAACATGAATTCCTTGGGCTGCAACTAACTGAAATAGTCTGCAACCTTCAAACAACAGTCTTCCACGGGCGGTGCCTCCGAATATGATTACACCCGCAGCGGGAACCCGACCCGAACCCACCTTGAGAAACACCTGGCAAAGATCATGCGAGCAAAAAGAGCACTGGTTGTCTCCTCTGGCATGGGTGCTCTCGACGTTATTACTCGCCAGCTGCGCCCTGGCGACGAGGTGGTAACTGGGGACGACCTCTACGGAGGCACCAATCGACTCCTAAAATATCTCTCCACACATGGCGGCATCATCGTACATCATGTCGATACCACCACACCTGAAAAGGTTCAAGAAGTGGTGTCCTCCAAAACCGCAATGGTCTTGTTGGAGACCCCGACCAATCCATTGATCAAGATCGTAGACATCCCCACAATCGCCAGTATGGCCCACATCGCGAACCCTTCATGCCTGGTCAGTGTAGACAATACCATGCTGTCGCCGCTCCTACAGAACCCTCTCGAGCTCGGTGCTGACATTGTATACGAGTCTGGCACCAAATATCTCTCCGGCCACCACGACCTCATGGCCGGTGTTCTCGCCGTCAATGACGAGTCACTTGGCGACAAACTTTACTTCACAATCAACGCATCTGGTTGTGGCCTTGCCCCCTTTGACTGCTGGCTCTTGATGCGGGGAATCAAAACCCTCAAAGTCCGCATGGACGCCCAGCAAGCTAACGCAATGCTCATTGCCCGCTTCTTGGAGTCCGCCGGTTTCAAAGTTCGTTATCCGGGTCTGAAGTCTCACCCTCAGTATGACCTGCACAACTCTATGGCTCGTGGCGCCGGAGCAGTGCTCTCATTCGAGACAGGCGACATTCAGCTCTCGGAGCGCATCGTTGAGTCGGCCAAAATCTGGGCCATCAGCGTCAGCTTCGGCTGCGTTAACTCACTCATCAGTATGCCTTGCCGCATGAGTCACGCGAGCATCGATGCCAAAACCCGCCAGGAGCGCGGCGTGCCCGAGGATCTGATCCGACTTTGTGTCGGTATCGAAGACGGAGAGGATCTCCTCGACGACCTGAGGAGTGCCTTGGTCCAAGCGGGCGCCATGGACGTCTCCTTGAATGGCCTCTACGCCAAGAATGCAACGATTGGTGACTCTCACTCTGAGGAAGCCGAACATCTCGCTGCAACAGCTGCTTCTATTAATGAACCTTGATCCCGGCTCATCCTATCTGCTTCTACCGCCAATCTCCAATCATATGCATCAAACTGCGCCTTCAAATCAGATGGACATGCTCTAGTCGCAATGCCAGAAATAAAACCAACAGGGAAAACGAAAAGGAAAGACCTTTTGAACGAAATTTCGGAAAGGTCCAAAGGGTGCACACTGGGCGTCTCAAGTCCTGTGTTGGTTTGTCCGGCACTCTCGGGCGAGTTGGAGATATAGCTAGTAGATATGCAAAACACGCTCGAACGAGAATATAGATATTTGAAGGGAATGAGGAAAGGGATTATTCTACAGTCCCAGAAAAATTCTATCTAACCAGGCTGCGCTGGTACTGGATGCTTGCTCGCTCGGTACGGTCTTGTAATCTCGCGAGTTTTACACATCCCCAAATGAGCGTAGAATCCACCGCATTCTTCACTCATAAGGCTTGGGTCCCCTTGCTGACGGCTGCCACCTTGCGACCAAGGGAAGTTACAGTGCCCAGATAGATCTCGTATTCTATAGCTGTTTTTCTGTTTTGGGTGGAACTGCTTGCGAGATAATTCATAGTCTAGACTATATACGACTAAAGAAGTTGGTCCTCATTCCGCGGCATGTCCAATCCTGTGTATCTCAAACTAAGGATAGCAAGCTCTGTCGACGGCGGGCTTACAGAAATGTCTGTGGGAGGTCTGTGGGAGGTCTGTGGGACCGATCTGATAGGGATTGCTTGGAGAGACACAGTGTGACCTTGGTGCTGTATAAAAAGGCTGTTATTCTACCTTTCTGAGTTGCCGGGGCATGAGCCTTTGTAGATCGGAGTGCTCCGTAGAAGAAATCAGACAACGTCGGATCGGGTGCCCATGTATTGTGATCTACATATATGTACTACTTAACCTTCACGCAACTCAAGAGGTGCAGGACAAGCTCCCTATCAACACGAAGCTGGACGGGCATTGTCTCCGTTGATTTCAAGGCTTGCAACAAAAGAGGATGCTTTGTCTCTACCATCTACAATCAGCATACGAGTAGAAGATTCGGATCCATAGCCATCATAGTCGATCCCAGTCGCATGTGGGTACATGTTGCTGCCGCTGCAATGCAGATCCGACGAAGCATTCTGCCACCTGTTCTCCTTCTGCCTCGATCGGCATCTCCAGGTTTCCTACAAAGGAAAAACCTGATCACCAATCGCGTCAAGCCCTGCATTATCTCACTGGCCAGTCGAATGGGGCGACGACAGCGGCTGGAGAATGTTGCTACGGATGTGTCTGTACATTTGGACCTTTCGTACCCATGCTCATGTTGTGACACTGATCAGCGCTGCCAGCACTGGAATGTCGGCATGCTGGTTACAGAGGCTCATGGCCAAAGCAAGGGCACCCTTCCCTCCTCTTTCGCGACTATTGAGTCATTTGACAGCTGTCTCAGCGGTGAGCCGATGTGCTGGTATGGGCCCAACAGTGTCGTGTTCGTTTACACATTGATATTGAAAAGTGAACATGCTGTTGTGCGCCTCGTGGCTAGATTGAAACGGGGAGGAGAGAGCTGTCAATAGCCAATTGAATGAACACATACGCGGTCGCTGATGGTTACTTTCGATTTTCTAATTGAAGTGAGGGCGACGAGGAAGGAGAGAGCTGTAAGACCCTGGAATTTCTAGGGTAAGTAATCACAGAGTCACAGAAAACTACACATTGGGCAAGGGGAGGCAGCTTCAAATTCGGTATCAAGGATTGGGACAGTAAACTTCCCTAAGGTATTCCTCTGAGGGCGAATTTCCTTATCCAAGTGCTCGAATGGCCGTCAGATCAAAGAAAATCCCAGCGTCCATACAAACAAGGACATGAAGAGTTATACGGACCAGCTGCGTGATGGAGGGTCTGCTAGGTAGAGTTAAGGTCCCACAGCCTACAGGTAGGCACAATGGTCTCGTATGTTTTCAGTTCGAGACTAATAATACAGCTGTCAGCCCAGGCGTCGGCTACCCTTGCCACTCCGGGTGGAGACAAGCCTGACATGAGGCAGCAGTACGGAGGACTCGTACTCGTAGATGCGGTGCGAATAATATGTTCTTGGGTCATTTCTCTCATTTCAGCGGCTTGATCCTTGCTCAGCTCTGGGCATGTTCTCAAAACACCTATGTCGCGTTTGCATATGATATCAGAGCAGTCCGCGATCCAAACTTCCAGAAATCATATAGGTTCATAGGAATCTTTTCAATGGTAATAGGGGTGCAAGATGGTGACAAGGCAGATTTCCCGAGTTATCTTTAACCGTGCCGCAGGTTTTTGAGAGGGCAATGGCTTATTTGAAGCTTTGATGCATTATTGCCAGTGAACTGATGCTTTTGTGCAAATCCTTCAGAACTTTGAACAGTAGAATACATTGATTTCGAAAGCATGAGGTGCGAACAGTGATGCCTGCGCATGAGGTAGGCGAAGCTTTTCTGCGCGCTCCACATCCTCAAGGTAAATGAATGTTGGATGATGAACTGCCAACCTACGAGCACTCGAGACTTTGTTGGGCATCGCCAAGTACTGATACTTGGGTGATCGACAAACAAGTACTTGTAGGCATTTCTCAAAGTAGCTGGACCTGAGGGATTGCCAGGCCGCCTCCAGAGTGCACTAAAAGCGAGATAGAATGGTAGGTCTGATTGGGTTCTACTCCCAATAGAAAGAATCCTTCTGGGGGGTTTGTGCTCCCCCTCCCCGACAGCACTGGCCTTCGTGTCCACTGCTTCACTTCCGTCAAATACACGGATACCCCACAGTATTCAACGTTTGTCGTAAAGGGTTGAGGTTGTGAGAATAGTGTTGGAGACTGGGTGGGCAGGACATTATCGAATTGCAATTGCATCTCACATGAATTTGGTGTTGCTACCTCCGAAATGTGGTTAGAAGCTGGTTCATTGGATCCCTTGTAAGGAAACACATCAGTCAGTGCCCAATGTTCGGAAAACCCAGACGATGATCGGGAACAAGGAGTCCAGTCCACCTGGGTGCGATCGACAACCCCGAGGTCACCAAATCGAGCCACCAGATCCCAAGATGACCTTCGCACAATGAGCTTGGCGGCAATGCCCGTCTCAGAGACGCTCCCGGCCAGGTTTGTCGGGTGGCGCATGCACAAAGACTACTCGTAACCAGCCCGTTGTCAGGGAGACTATCCTGATTCAGATGGTTGTCCGTCATGCTGAGATTTAATGCATGCTCAAGCAGGAGTATGTAGCCCGATATGCAGCAAAATGGGGGTAATCATGCAGGCTTGCTCAATCATGTGCATCATGTGGCAGCAAACTGTCGTGTCCAAGAGCCTGACATGCGTCATGCCTCCCTAGACCAGCTACAGTGATTGTGAGAAACTCGAGGGGAGCAGTGTAATTCCCAGCGGCACAGGCTGGCGACCATCGCTTTGCCAAGTCAGCTACGATCTGCAGGCGGGCACCGCATCCATGGATCAGGCCTTCGCTAGCGTTGTGACTAGAGGGGCATTGCCATCACATCGGTACTCTCTGTCTCCTCCCTAGGACAGGTGATGGTTTGTAGAATTTGGCGTGACGGACGCACCTCGCGCAAAGAGTTGGGATCGCGGCTAAAAACCTCATCGAGGGGGGATCTGCTGCCATTTGTGGGCGATACGTAGCCGCTGAGCTTAACAATCATAGAAACATATCCACTGGGGATGTTGGACCCTATTTTACATAGCAATAGATCGGTATGGATGGGTTCTTGGTGTTGCTCGCCAGTATATTCAACACCACCAGCCCCGAAGTGTGCTCGGCAGCACTTTGTACATAATGGCGCGAGGTGTTCCCTAGAAGGTCCTACATCGAAGCAGGATATTACTGGGCAATGCTCGAAGAAGAGGCTGCGCCCATTTCCAACGCTTGATTGCCCTTGGTAAAAAACAACGGTTGGAGAACACTTTGTAAGCGTTCATCTGAGTTTCTCCGGATAGGTGACCATGCAGCTTCCTTGCACTAGCAAGCGTGACGGAATCCAAGTTTTTGAGACACCAGTTAGGCGACTGTACAATGAATCCGGGGTTGAAGGAGTGGCCTGTGCCAGGATTCGACGTGAGCCCCGCCATTAACCTTTTTGTCTGAGTCAGATGCCCAAGTGGCCTAGCAATATTAGCCAGGAGATGCCTTCAGAAAACGGGGCACAGAGGTGGTTGGCGTGACAAAAACGACCGCAGAATTGTGGAACTCGTACGTACGTAGTCATTTGCGTGTGCGATAAGAATTTGTCTTGCTAGATGGGCTTTTCGATGTTCGATACCTGACAAATGTTCGTGATTGACGACAGGTTAGTAACGACTGGCAATCACGTGATGAGTTCCAATGCGCTATATTTCTAATTTTCGAAAATCGCTTGTGAAACTCCGTCCCAAGTTGCCAGAGATTTCTCAACATTTCTCTTCGGAGGATTGGCGCAATGGTAGCGCGTGGTAGGTTTTGCTCTTGGCACTGCCCAAAGATGACATTCGACTAACAAAGTTATCAGGCTCTCCTAAATCATTGATCTCTATTCAGACCTAATTGGTTGTGGCAAAGCCAAGGTTGAGGGTTCGAGTCCCTTGTTCTTCGCACTTACATATTTTTTGGGTCTTTTTGGAGGTTCCACCATCCATCGAGCGGCGACCAGAAGTACATGCTCACAAATCCTGCATTAGCTCTCTTGTATGAACGGGAGCTGATCTCGGACTTCCCCACAGAATGACACGGCCAGGTCGAGGCCGAGCAGGTTCCGTAAATGCCCATAGCGAAATTTCTCTTGCTCTGAGAAATGCAAAAGGACAACAGGTGCATCATGGCAGACACTGACTTTCCGCAAATGGGTCTGCTGGCACGTTGACAGCGCTTCCGATTTTGCTGGTCTAGATGCCCCGCCCCATCTTGGAAGGCAACTTACAGAGGAACGGATCTGAGCAGAAGGTTTTGTCCATCAGAGATACCTCAACTACGCCGCTACTATGCAGAACATATGCGGCAAGTGTTGATGTTGCTTCATTCTAGAACCTGGCTAGAGTGTGCGGCCTCGATCGCAGAGTTCTGGCAGTGTCCGTCGCCAGCACCATTTCCGTCCATCGCGTCGTCATAGGATTGGGCAGGACTCATGCTGGGTGATTTGGGGAGAGACGTCACTCTCTTGAATGTGGTACTTATCGGTAAAGTGTTGCGAGTCCTATCCGTCTCACAGAGGTAGGACACTCGTTTGGTTCGCCTATTCCGAACATAGTAGTCAAGCCAATCGTACCTAACCTTTTCAAAGTGATTTTTGCACTGCTTGCACAACCCTATACGTAATGCGGTGGAATGAAGTCCATAATGTATTGAAAATACTAGTCCAAACTTTATTATCACCTGATGTGTCCACCTTGAGCTGCATTCCGAAAAACTTAGCTTGCAGGGAAGCGACGAACCGAACTACTCCTATGCTTGCCTTGCATAGTATGTATGTAAAATGTTAACTTTTGGCAAGAAGGCTAGATGAAAAGAGGTTGTGGATCTCGTCTTTCGGTCCGTGCGCATTTATTGAAACTTCCAATCGAAAACGCAAGAGCGAATAATTTCATCCTAGTGCCCAGAGACCGGGAGGCACAGAAGTCGAACGCAAAGAAAAAGAAAGAACTTTTGGGGTCTAAGCGTTTGTTTTTGAAAATGGTGTCCAGGCGCATGTCACATTTGCGACAAAACCCGATGAAAAGGCTGGAATATATATGACACTTCGCTGTCATTTTCTTTGATGATTTGTCATGGATTTGCTCTCCGAGATTGCCAGCAATCGCGGGAAGTGATCGAGTTTTGATGCAGTATACAGTAGTGAGAAGGAGGACGAACTCCTCCAAAAGGGGGAATCTCCTCGGAGACAGAGTTCTTCACAAACGCACCGTTTTCGCTTAGCTAGCTCACTTCTCTGAACTTTCACCGCCCAGCACCCGCCCAGTGACCAACAGTGGAGTCCGATATCGATAGTGTAGCCTTTAACAAGGGGCCAAGTATTCTTGACAGTAGGAATAGTCTAGGCTGGTCGCCATGTGCCTCAATCGACGTACGTCACGAATAAATAATGAGGCAGGGACGTGAACTTCATTGTCCACATCAGAACAGATCGACTTGTGCGCGAAAACATCTACACTCGAGGATTGATTTTCTGCTTGATATCAGTAAAACAGGAAGCTGATCACCCAGTAAATCATTTGTAGGGAGTGCCACGCTCCTCCATGCCTTCGGCTGGGAGTGGGGGTTAAAGTGTCGTTGTCGAAAACGGGGAGGGAGGAGTCGGGTTTCGATGAAAAGCCGGAGAAACAAAGACCCGAGGATTGGCCAAACGCCAATCATGCTACTTAGCTCATCAAATACAGATTGAGTTTTATATCATTTTCCCTTCGATTGGTGCCATCTACACGAAGATCGGAAGATGCCTTTCTCGCACCACAGCCACTCTGGTCAGTTCTGTGACGGCCATGCCCGGGATTCTCTGGAGGACATCATCCTCACCGCGATATCAAAGGAGATGCAAGTTTTCGCTCTGACAGAACACATGCCTCGTCATGACGTGGACAGATACCCCGAAGAGGAGGAGACGGGGGTTACGCTTGCATCTTCTTTAAACAACGAAGCCTCGTACTTCAAAGAAGCCGTTCGTCTGCGCGAGAAACTCGGTGGTAGGATCGGACTACCCATTGGCTTCGAGAGTGACTGGATTCGACCAGAGTCGCTCGAGCTCATCGATCGAAGCATACGAACCTATGCATTTGACTTTTTTGTCGGGTCAGTCCACCATGTACACACCATCCCCATAGACTACGACTACACGTTCTATAAGCAAGCCCGCGAAAAAGCTGGCGGTACGGACGAGCAGCTTTTCCAGGACTATTTCGACGCGCAGTTAGCGATGTTGCAGGCGACCAAACCCCCGGTGGTGGGTCACTTTGATCTCATCCGCCTGAAAAGCGACGACCCCAACGCAAGCCTTAAGCATCTCGGCGGTGTCTGGCAACGGATAGAGCGAAACTTGGAATGCATTGCATCGTATGGAGCGGCCCTTGAACTCAATTTCGCAAGTTTGCGCAAGGGTTTGAACGAACCTTATCCTCAGGCCGACATATGTAGGGTTGCGGTAGAGAAGGGCGTCAGATTCTGCCTATCCGATGATAGCCACGGGATGGACCAGGTGGCGCTGAATTACAGTCACTGCCTCTCCTATCTTCGAAGCGTGGGAATAGGCTCTTTGACAGTCTTTGACCATAGCGCAACCTCGGGCAATCACCCTGACACTCGATTTTCCACATTGCGATGTGACCAAATCTCGCTTCTGGAACTCGAACAACATAGATTTTGGAAGACTGGAGACAACTAGTCAAGAACTGTTGACGTTTCTGCACACGAGCGACGTTGGATCTCGTTTCGCTGCAAGCATACCCAATATGTGTTCGTTCCGAATTGGGCGATTACGTTTGACGAGCCATTGGTGGGATGTTGTCAGAGCGCCAATTAATCATAAATGATCAAGCAACGTTGTCAATGACAACTTCGAGTATCTGGGTATCATCCGAGGTAGTTGACATCAATAATATCCCTTGGTCCTTGAAAAGGTCGGGAGCGAGGCCAGAGGGGAGGCGTTTGGCAAGCAGACTTCCCGCAAGGATTACATACATGCATAAGTTTAGATTCCACACCGGAGAGGCACAAGGATCCATTATTTGATGAACTATATACAATATAGCGCTGCTGGACAGCCGAGAGCGTTAAGAAATCACGCGTGTAATAATGATAGTTGTTGGGATTGGAAGACTACGTGTGGATGTGTGTGGTCAGCCGACCATTGGTAGAGAATGCTAGTTGGGTAGAATACGAGAGATTGAGCCCTCAACGGTTATGTTACACCTTGACGCACGATGAAGGTGGTTGCGACATGACGACCACGCAGCAGAGGGGTCTCGGCGAGTATCGGCGAGACTACCTTCCCGGTACAGTAGACCACCCAGATCCGAAGAAAATGAACGGTGACAGAAGAGCACAATTAGGCCGTAATACCTTGTACTCCATAACCCGTACAGGGATCCTTCTTGTAGGACCCCTGACTTGGGACTGGAGATCAACCATTTTCATCAAATATGACTGGATACCAACCGATGAATTAGCGTGGACGGCAGTATCCAGATGGTCAAGGGGTGCAGATCGCCGTGAGAGTGCTTGACAAAAAGGGAAACACACAAAGATTGTCCGCTTCTATGCTAACGGGGTAACCAAGGAAAACAGTGACAGCAGGTTCAAGCAAATTACGGGACCAGGGTCAACGACCAAGCCGGGTCCTGACGGGGCAGACGATGGCAGTGGCTTCTGCGTGCGGGTTGCCAGATACTAGACCAGTTTAGTATCTGGGTGTGAAATGAACGACGAACGTGTGTTGCCTTGGGCGCCAAAATGGACTGTCTGCTTCTCACCGCTCTAGCTATCCTGCCATCAGATGGTCAGTGGCACTGAAAGTTGGCAGTTGCTTTTTCTGAAGTTCATCGGGCCAGAGAATGCATGCTTTCGATTACTACTTCGGAAGTCTTCTCCAATGGCCTGCGCGGAGCCCGCAGATGGGAACATGGATGTGCGGGTTGTGTAGCCAGACGTCGTATTAGAGGCGCCGTGAGATCGAGCAATGTCCAGCGAAGTCCAGCAAAGGAAGCCGCATGGTGTGGCTGCGCCCCAAGCAAAGTAGTTAGTGCTGCCTATGATGTGTCTCGGCATCATTCGCCGTGAGCTAGCGGGACACGGTACTTGATAGTAGTTCGCTGGTACGGAGAAGTCATTCTAGAAAAAGGGTCGCAAGTCGCCTGCCCCACGAGGACAATGGGATTATATGAGCCGCTCCGCTGTCTATTTCGCACCACAAGCAGCGATAGGGACGGGATTGCGCATCTATCGCCTCGCCTCACAACAGTACTCGAGATTCTGGGGACTCGGTGCAAAGTGGTGGCTGGAGGGGTGAAAGATCATGCGGGCGGAACAGTGGCTTGTAGTGACACTGGTAGCACCCAAGCTGAGATCAGCCTCGGGATACGGTACGGAGTACTGCCGTCAGTATCTGCAGTCAATCGGCTGTCGCACATGAGGACTCTGGTCATATGGAAGAAGATGAACAAGACGACCAATCCCAGGTGCATGATGAGGAACCCAATGCCCCGGATCTAAGCTGGAAACCGTCCCCGAGTACGGAGTATCAGTTACACCTATCATGCAGATCACAGATGAAGGTCAATCACATGTCCTAGCGTGCCAGCATGACTCTTGTATTTCCAAGGCCCGCTAACTTACTCCCAAACAATCCCCACGGGCCTACAGCCAGACGGGACGAGGGAGTATGTCCCATGCCATGGCACCCACCTGGGTTGGGCTGTCTGACGTCGGACAATATCCACAAATCCACCTGCAGGCCGAGAAAGCTGGGTGCATGCTGCCCAAACTTGAAGCGAGTGCCAAACGTGGTTCAGGGTCGTTATCTCCGCTTCCATACAGGCATTAGTGGGGGATGTGCGATTTGAGATGTGGAATGAGGGATGTGGCCCTCAGATCAGATCAATAGGAGACGAGATCCGCGAACCCTGGTTCAGGCGTTAATCCTGCCTGCCCGCTCCGAATTCACCAGTGTGCCATCCGTGTTTTCCTGAGGACAAGGGATAGCAGTAGGAGCATCATGAACAGCAGTAGCAGGAACAGCGGCAGCAGTCGCTTTCGCAGCCAGCTCCCATCTCGCCCGGCCCCTTCGTAATGTTAGGTATCCTAGATCCACCCTCGGTACAGAATACTCCATCCCCATGAGCAGTTAGGCTCAGTGCTCAGTTTGACCGCTGGTTCAGTCCTCTCCCCCCTGGTTGTCGTTTAGTGCTTTGGGAATGTGCGCCATCTTCCGTGTGGCAGGTTGGAGAAGGCGAGTTTGGAGGTGCTCGACTCGAAGCCAGATTGTCGTCCCACTGACACTTCGCGAGGCCCCTCGTGCCCCAGAATGATGTGGTTGCTGATGAAACAGAAAGGCCAGTCTACCTGAAATGTCCTTATTTTCTGCCAAAATAGACCGACCCACCGCTGTAGACTGCTGAAATAGGATGGATGTTGTGCATAAGGACCTGTCATTTCCATTAGCCTCCTCATAATGAGAACCCCTCGTGCCGGTGGACACTGGACAGGTTGTTGGTGCTCGGTTGTCGGTACCTTGGACTGGTGGGCTGATACTTGTCAAAATGTTGTCAAGAACCCCGCTGGGTACCCCTCGATAGCACATCTTTTCGCCAAACTGCCCTCCATCGATTTTAGTCACTTGGTACCGCGGATGTACCTCGTCGTTTCCACCGAGTATTGTCAGTGCACCTGCGGAGTCCATCCTTCGTTCTGGCGATCATTTGACGGGCCCTGAACCCCTTGACCCCCTGACCCCTTGATCCCTGGTCCAGATAGCCCTGGTAAACCTTACCTTCAAGCTCGACTGTTCCCCATCCGGCTGCGATCGATACGAAGAAGCCTAATGCTAATTAGCACCTAGCTTGGTTGGCCGGTTGTTGAAGCCTGACATGCCCTTGATACTGGGCAAGATTCTTTTGCTCGCCGTTTGGTCTGCTGCTCTCTGCACTGCTACCTGTGCTCGTACAGTCTGCCCGGTGACATTGTGCCTCACCTCGTTTCCGTTCTGCGCTTTGTCAAGGCCAGTGCTGCCTTCGGTGCATCGGAAGCCCCGACCACGTTTCTCGCTCCCAATTTGTCTGAGTGCTGTCATACCTTTGAGTTTTGTCGTAGACGAACTGTCCCATTTGCATCATTGCTGTTACTTTGTGCCACACAGACTCACCCGAAGATCGATCCGAAGAACACCGTTCGCCCCCTTTTGCTATCTTCCTCTGAGTTTTTGACGTGCCCTCCCCGCTACGCGAGTTTACATCATCACCGCCTCTCGCGGATGCTTCACGCAACCCGCACCTGCCTTACTGCCGCTCTTGCCAAGCTCCGTCCTTCCATACTAGATCGAAGCGTGCCTTCCTCGATCCCATCTTGGATAAATATCTAGGTCATTGCGAGTCTCACTTTGATCTCCTTCACTTCACGAAACCAGCCCTCGACTTTCTTGGCCCTAGTCACAGACGTTTGAGCTCTTGTTTCATCGCCACCCCACCACGATACAGGTTAACGATAGGCTGATCATGGCTTCACAAATCAGCAAGAAACTCATCAAGTCCGGCAATGGTCAAGACTATCCCAGAGCCGGAGATGAAGTCACAATCGAGTACACTGGCTGGCTCCATGACCCCTCGGCGTCCGCCAACAATAACAAAGGCAAACAGTGAGTTTCCTCTGCAATTCACATGGGAGATCCAACTCTCGCGGTTTCGCTGCTAACGCGGCATTTTCCCCCTAGATTCGATAGCTCCGTAGGTCGAGGGGATTTCAAGACCCAGATCGGTGTCGGTAGGGTCATCCCAGGTATGGCACATCGTCTGATCTTGTCTGGCGAATTGATCTCTCATTTAACCTTTAGGCTGGGATCAAGGTGTTCCGCAGATGTCTCTGGGTGAAAAAAGTACTTTGGTCATCCCAGGGTGAGTTCGTCAACCACGCATTCTATCTTATACAATCCCAGAACTTTTGATCATGCCGTAACTCCCGTTGGGCAAGTGGGACATCTTGCTGACGAACCAAATAGACATCTTGCATATGGAGATTCGTTAGTATCCCCATCTTCCAAAATACCTAGTTGAAACCCCGACGAGCCTACTTCCGCGCAAGCCCATGCCCTGCAATTGCTTCTTGAACTAGTAGAGTTGTCCGAGGTTGTCGAGATCGGGCGACTCGCTTTCTTTCACTTGCTGATATCGATACTGGACCATGTACTGACTTTGTGGGACTGACAGTGGTTTTCCTGGTCTGATTCCTCCAAATGCCACGCTCATCTTGTAAGTCACCTTTATTACTTTATTGTCACCTTCGGACTGCAAGTTCTTTTCGCCAGCTTGAGCCCAGGTCTCTATGGCTTATACCAGCCAGAGTTATCACCGTGGATGAAGGCTCGCATGAATTAAACAAATGCTCGCCATTGTCAGCGGAAATGGATTGTTTTTTATGCACTACAAATTCGCCTCTAGTCGTGCCTGGCAATATTGCTAACAAATTGATAATTAGTGATGTCCACCTGAAAGGCATCAATAATAGAAGGGCATGAAAGAGGTTCAATACCCCTCTACCGAATTCCAACCGGCGAGTGGCTTCTGGGTGGGCGGCAATTTCTTTCAGCGCAATGCATTACATCGATGGATGTAGTCAACAGCTTTAATGAGGACGGGGGATTTGGCATTCAGGACATGCATATATCATGAATTACAAGGTTTCGGTGCTGATACTGTGTTGGTGAGCCGAAGGCCGGGTCTTCGGCTCTCTTTGAAGTGAATCTGAGGGATTGAAGGAAAATCGTGATCATTGCTTTTCCTTCATTCGGTTCTATTCTCTAAGACTATAGCTTTCAATGTATCTTTGTTAGACTATTGGTGTTGCTTGAGGTCCGTGGCTACTAGAGACTCCTGCGCCCCTGCCAAACTTCTGGACGTGATGTGGCTTCAGTGCATGCATTGACAGATCTCGCTTCTTGCCGTGGCCACCACAACTGGGGTTGGCCATACCGTCGGGAAAGCTGGCTGGACTCGTTTGCAGGGTCACTGGCTGACAACTGTATCCTCGGTTTCACCGGTTCAGGGTCGCGGCATCCACCTACAGGATAACCTGGTACCCTAGAGGTAAATAGAGAGTACGAGGGTTTCTGCAAGTCCCTGCCTGTGACTGGTGCTTACCCTGGAGAAGGTGGAGACCGATTCGAGGCATTTGTCATTGTCGTAGTTAACTCTTCGGTGGTGGCTTGCACTTATTTCTCGACTGTCTCTCACCATTGGCTCCGAGAATTGCTGGGCTGGGAGGTTTTCTGAGCATCTGCAGTAGTAGATGAGAGCTGCCCGGCACTACCTATGCAGATTTAGTTCCGAAGAAAAATTTCATCTCGGCAAGCCAGCACATAGAAACCAGGGTTTCTGACTGCCCGCTATACCACCATCCACCGATGAGCCAGGTAGCAATTGTTGATGTAAGTCAAACGTCCTCCATCATCGAATTGTGCCGAGGCAAACGTCGTGGGCAGTAGACAGGGATATAGATTTCTAATGGCAACGAAAAGCGCATTCACGCCTTCTTCCGACCACCGGGAGAGGGAGGCAGAGGCGGTCACGGCGACACGTCATGTCCGTGAGGAGGCTCCACAACAAAAGCCCCTAGTTAGCTAGGTTAGAGAAATATATATATGGGTTCGACCTTGCTCTGAGCAGGAGTTTCCATATAAAAGTTTTGACCGTGGAAGGATCTACTACGCAGTTCCAGGCACACACGAAGGCCGAGTTATATTCCGGCCTAACTATCAGAGAGCTAAAGGTAGCATTAGAATGCATGGGGTGCAGATACACCAGCCTTAAGGTAAATATACAGACGAGCAAGTACCTCAAGAGGTTTATACCAGCAACCGCCCTTCCCCAACTACCCTATATGCGTCACGACAGGGATCGGCAGCCTTGCTTTGTGACGCCGAAGGATAACTCTGTCGTGGAGTTCGCCACTTAGCTATTGACACTGCTTTAACTCCAGTTCCTCTGCTCTTTACACTAGTGAATGGCAATGCAGAGGTCGTGGTCAGCCAATTACTCACTTCGTGCACCGACAGGTGTCGAGGTTCGCAATGCTGTTCTAAAACACGAAGGATGCATGCATTACCCCTGGAATCGCCGATCGACCTTCGCAAGTCGCCAGGGTCCTGGTCAGCAGCTGCTGTCACCCATCCCGAATCTTTCCTCGACCGGATAATTAAGAGCAGTCCTTGGTATCCCGCCTTTGCCTAGTCTTGGGGCGATATTGGCCCATTCAGCGCTGCGCCTGCTTCGCAGCCTTTTCATGAGGCTGCCACTGACCGTGACAGCGGAATTCTCTCCTCAGACAGCATTGGGCAAAGGCCAGTTCCAATTGCGATTCTTTCCGGTCTGCATCGCCCACCCTCTGAGTCACTCCTGCTTTTTCCAGCCTTCAGTCTGTCGCAATTCTTCCCGGAAAGAATTGAACGAGGTACCGGACTTCATGTCTCAGTTGTCTGCTGAGTGTTGGATCCGCTGATCGACTTGAGCGAGACCGACCCGAGTAAATCGCAACGGCGAGATCTGCATGATTCGGTACCATGCAGACTAACACCAAGCATAAGGAAGCCAACGGACAAGGTATTGTACTGCTTTTCTACCCGCTGCATCTGCCCTAGAAGTCGATCCGAGATCGACCCGCGCCCTTTACATGGTTAAGTATTCATCCGTCAGTTTCTGGGTTCGGCTAAAGCACGGTGTGAGTAAGGATCCCAGAGATTAAGCCCATCACAGGACTATGGGATCTCTAAATCCTGTGGATGGGGATAATGGGTGGATATGCATGCAACTGTTGCTGAGTCATTCTGACATGTTTCCCAGATCTTGAGTCCTTGTGCACCCGTGCCATTTTTGCCGAAGCTGCCAGCCGCTTTTGGGGGATGGTGTTCGTGTTGGCATCACGAATGCTTCTGTAGGTCGATGCTCGTGCAGGTAAGAACAGACTGAGAAAACACATCTTGACCATTTTAGTCTTCTCATCCCGATATTGTTCGTCAAAGGACAAGGAGCGAACACACAATCTGCTCACCACTCAATGAGTTTCTGGAGGTAGTGACTGGCTGGACTCTGGTCAACTGACAATCGACAAGAGATCCCGTGATTTGTTCCGACCTTGGAATTTCGTTCTGCCTGTTTTTGGATCGGTTGAAAGTCGTGGCTGGCATGAGACGTTGGCGCTGGCCTGGCTGGGATATTATGCAACACACAGTGTGATCATAAACCTGCGCTGAAAGAAAAATGGGGCCAAAATTGAAGGAAACTGAATCAGACTGAATGCATGTTACGTGACTGCCTATCTACTGGCGAAACATCTCATGCTGCTGAGAAGCTAGATCCCGAACTTTGCACAAGCGAAAGGATTGATCGCACCGCCTGCAACTACGGAACTCTTGTCTCAATGATAACTTGTCAACTTGAGTCCGCTAATCATAGGCCTATGATCTTCAATCGACCGCAATCGGACCTTGGATCAATCTAGGATCGAAGGTGACGATGTCTCATTTTCAGCTTTTCTGGGTTGGTAAGCAGTTTGAGTTGAGGCGTAAATATCTCCGTGAGCGCGCTTTTACTGCGATCCTCTTGGAGTTGTGTAGTGCCCGGGTTCGTTGGAACGTCAGGGGAGTTCGTGGTGAGTTACTCGCAGTGCGACCGGGGAGCATTTCCCTGAAGTCTCTGGGGAAGGATAAATACCCACGAGTACGAGGAGTTATTGTCCCCTTTTGTCTCGTCGAGGTTGGGCCTTCCGAGATTGATACCCTCATACATACTATTATGCTTTGACTGACTTACAGCTCCATTGTTGAGGCATTTATGACCTGATCTGTCCGGCATGAAACGAGCGAAGCGGGGTGGATGAATGGTCTGGGACTGAAGAATTTATATCACAATGACGTCCCTCACCTTCCTATCCTGGCCAACAACAAGCCTGAGCTGTCTCCCCTTCGAGCAGTCGTTATCCGCAGCGATACCCTTGAAGACACCCTCGCGCAACGTCTCTGTATAGAGTTCGTACGCAGGGTAATAGCCGTCAACAAAATGCCGGACCTGGTCATCAGTCATGCCGGACCCGCGTGAGGCGCGTAATCCCACTTCTTGCTCCTGTCGCCACTTATATACGTACTGTGGGTCCTGCGCGTCGATGTGAATGAATGCATCGAGCTGCGACGTCAGACTGTCGTATTTTCTGAGCGCGTCGTTTATCGTCTGCACACTCTGCAGGCTGTTGTGGCCTAAGCGGCCGGTATATGGTGTTATTTCATTGGAATTATTTCGGGCGGAAATAGCGCTGGCGTGCTTCGCCTCCAGGGCATCTTGACTTAACGGCCGAAATCCAACAGACCAGCCTTCGAACAGAACGACTTTGACAGGAGTGGTTCCTTCACGGTTCACTTCCTCCCATTCTGACTCGGGTACCCTGTCTCCTTGGCCAGAGAACAGAGCTTTGTTGTACTGCGGGATCCTCGTGGGTTTGTTGGCCTTCAAGCTCTCGAACACGGAGAGCGCTAATGGCACGTCATGCGTGGACGGCTGGCCACGGTGCTGCAATAATGCATTGTCAGGGTTCGCTCGAGCGAGCGCTACTTGATCAGCGTGTGTCAAGTATAGGTCGTCCAGAGAAAAGACGACTGTGGACAGCTTATGTGGTTCAGCTGCCAGCGTAGACTTCAAGATGTCAACCAGCACAGACTTCCCGGCGCCCTGTACACCGTTCAGACCAATGAAGAAGGGTGGGGGATTTGTAGATGAGGAATATCGCTCTTGGTGCTGCGACAGCAACGGCAGTATGAATGGAATCACATGCTGAGCTTTGTCGTCGTTGATTTCAGGCATTCTTGCAAGCCTTATATTGGGAGCGTCTTTAGTCGTATAAGAAAAAAGCACAGTAGTCGAAAGCTGAAATTAATTTGATCCAAGAAAAAGAAAACAACAGCGAGGTCTCCACCTTCATAAAAGAGTTCAATGCGCTGTTGGGTGCCAGTGGACAGGACGTCTTGCTGCCCAGCGGGTAGAAGATTAGCCGACCTTGGAAAGCGGAGTGGTCGCCGGGAAGCTGAGCACCAAGCTTCATGACAGCACAATGCTCTCTACGGCGGCTATACCGTCGCTACTGGTCCCTGCAGACCTATCGACAACGATATCAGGAGCGTCTTAAATTAGACCTCACAAAAATGAGAGGCCTGGGATGAGATGAGCTCAGGTGCAGCTAGTTGGTGTACATAGGTTCTAGCCTAGGGTTCTCAGAAGGTCAACTCCCGAATCCCGTCGTCACTCTTCCGACCACGTTCTTGAGCTCGGTAGTTGGCCTGGATGGGGAGACCTCGCCGGGAGACCACTCCAAGTATTCGACTACTGTACGGAGCAGTGTTGACACACCAACCGGGGCAAGCTGAAAGGCACCCACCGAGGCAGCGAAGCCCAAAGCACATGCCGACTTGAAGTGTGGGAGTGAGCAAATGTGGAGACAATCAGGGCGGATGCTGGGGAGGCAAAGAGAATTGATCGGATCGTGTCATGGACTCGTGGTGCGTGGACTGCACCGTCTGACGAGCATTTTACTTCTGTACTTTACGACCCCCTGCACAGTCAGTTGGTTGTGCTGCTTGCTGTGTGACAAGTATCTCGTTTGTCTGCTTTTCTAAGTGCATGTATTTAGTCTCTACGAGTGTAACCCCTTCGTACCCATCATAGGAATTCCAAGTCAATTTCTGTCTCGGGCCTATCCACGCCCCACCAAACCGCAAACGTCGGGACTGGCCACTGTCACGTGCTGGCCTAGGACCTAGGATCGTGTCAGACAGCCAATTTCCATGTAAGATCATGTGACATGTTACCGAGGCTCAGGCGGCCTCGGCCGTAAGTGTGAGACTTCTGAGGAATGATGATTGCCGTGACCGTTTGTGGGTGAAGCTCATACACCAAGTCTATTAATCTACTGAAGTCAACATTCATTCAATCTGCCGATTCTGACCATCAGCATCTCCTTCCTTCCACCCCTTAATTCGTTTGTAAATCTACATACATATCTTGCTCCTGCCTCCTTGCCCTCTTCCTCTCTCCGCGATCCCCTGGGCGAGAACGCAGACAACCCCTCACAGCCGCATGCACGAGAGCCACAACATGGCTCAAACTCTGCGGTATGACGGTCAGACCGTGGTGGTCACCGGTGCCGGAGCCGGTCTAGGAAAACAGTACGCTCTCTTCTTTGCATCAAGAGGCGCAAATATTGTCGTCAATGATCTGGGAGGCTCATTCAAAGGCGAGGGTGCAAGCACAAAGGTGAGCTAATTTTCACATGCTCCTTGTGCCCTGGTCGTAATCTTGTGTTGACGTGTATGCCCCTAGGCCGCAGATTTAGTCGTGCAAGAAATCAAGGCGGCAGGAGGGAATGCTGTGCCCAACTACGATTCAGTCGTCAATGGCGACAGGATCGTCCAAACCGCAATCGATGCCTTCGGTCGAATTGATATTCTCATCAACAACGCTGGCATCCTCCGAGATATCAGCTTCAAGAACATCAAAGACACCGACTGGGATCTCATTACCGATGTACATATTACTGGTCCTTATAAGACTGCAAGAGCCGCCTGGCCGCATTTCAAAAAACAAAAGTTTGGCAGAATCATCAACACCACCTCTGCTGCTGGCTTATTTGGCAGCTTTGGTCAAACCAATTATTCGGCCGCCAAAATGTCCCAGGTTGGCTACACTGAGACTTTGGCTAAAGAGGGCGTCAAATACAACATTCTCTCCAACGTGATTGCCCCCATCGCGGGCAGTCGCATGACCGCCACTGTCATGCCTCCTGAGCTCCTGGAGCAATTGAAACCCGAGTGGATCGTCCCCTTGGTGGCTGCTCTAGTCCACAAATCAAACACTACCGAGAACGGCTCCGTCTTCGAAGTTGGTGCTGGGCATATTGCTAAGCTCCGGTGGCAGCGTGGTGGTGGCCTTCTCCTCAAGGCTGACTCGTCCTATACTCCCGGTGCTATCTTGAAGCGATGGCCGGAAGTTAATGACTTTTCTAAAGCCGAATACCCCAACACCGTGGCTGACATGGTCACAAAATTGGAGGATTCGCTGAAAATCAAGACCAACGAACAGGGTCCTGAGATTCGCTTTGACGACAAAGTGGTTTTGGTCACCGGTGGTGGTGCTGGATTGGGTCGTATCTATTCTTTGGCATTTGCTAAGCTCGGCGCCAAGGTTGTCGTCAACGATCTCGTCAACCCTGACACCGTTGTCAACGAGATCAAGGCCGCAGGTGGTCAAGCCGTTGGCAATAAGGCTTCCGTCGAGGATGGCGAAGCGGTTGTAAAGACTGCCATCGACACCTGGGGCAGAATTGACATCTTGATCAACAATGCGGGCATCCTGAGAGACAAGGCTTTCGCCAACATGACTGATGATCTATGGCACACCATCCTCAATGTCCATTTGAGAGGAACATACAAATGTTCGAAAGCCGCCTATCCTTATATGGTTAAACAGAAGTACGGCAGAATCATCAACACCACCAGTACCACTGGCATCTACGGCAACTTTGGCCAAGCTAATTATGCAGCCGCGGTAAGTTAAATTATACTCATACCTTGTACTTCAGCTAATCCTTCATAGAAAGCAGGCATCCTTGGTTTTGGGCTTGCTCTTGCCCTCGAAGGCAGAAAGAACAACATCTTTGTCAACACAATCGCACCCAACGCAGGTACCCAGATGACTCGTTCAATTTTGCCCGAGGAATTAGTCCAGGCATTCAAGCCAGATTATGTTGCCCCTCTTGTCCTTCTTCTCTGCTCGGACAAGGTCCCAGATCCGCCCACGGGATTGTTGTTTGAGGTCGGCAGCGGGTGGCAAACACGAACCCGATGGCAGAGATCCGGCGGCCATGGATTCCCTACTGATGTTAAGTTGACTCCAGAAGCTGTCCTCGAAAAATGGTCCAAGATTGTTGATTTTGATGACGGCCGGGCAGACTATCCTGATCCTACTACCGCTACCAAGGCGATCATGGCGAATCTCCAGAACACAGGAAAGAAGTCCGTGTCGAACTCCGGAGTAGACTATCTTGCCAGGATCGATGAGGCTAAGAAGGCCAAATCAATTGCCAGTCCATTCGACTGGGATGACAAGGAGGTTATCCTCTACAATCTGTCTCTGAATGCCAACAGAAAACAGCTTCCCCTCGTTTATGAAGGTGACGAGAACTTCCAAGTTCTGCCAACATTTGGCGTGCTACCCCCTTTCAGCGCACGGTCACCGTTTGAATTTGCCGATATTCTCCCCAACTTCAACCCAATGATGTTGCTCCATGGCGAACAATATCTCGAGATCCGAAAATTCCCCATCCCCACTGCCGCAAAGACTTTATCATACAGCCGTTTGATCGAGGTTCAAGACAAGGGCAAAGCCGGACTGATCGTTACGGGTGTCACCACCAAGGATGCAAAGACCGGAGAAGATCTTTTCTATAATGAAAGCACTGTCTTTGTCCGGGGGTCTGGTGGTTTTGGCGGGTCTAAGACTGGCGCGGATCGAGGTCCTGCCACAAAGGTCTATGCCCCTCCCAAGCGCGCCCCTGATGCTGTTGTGGAGGAGAAGACCACACCTGACCAAGCTGCCCTGTACCGACTCAATGGTGATCGCAATCCGCTGCATATTGAACCTGAGTTTGCCAAAGTTGGTGGCTTCGAAGTACCTATTCTACACGGACTTGCCAGTTTCGGGTTTTCTGGAAAGCATGTCTTGATGACCTATGGTCAGTTCAAGAACATCAAAGTCCGATTTGCAGGCACCGTCAACCCCGGACAGACCCTCGTGACGGAGATGTGGAAAGAGGGCAATTTCGTCATTTTCCAGACGAAGATTAAGGAGACTGGCAAGCTTGCTTTGGCAGGGGCTGGAGCTGAGCTACGTGGAGGACCAAAGCCGAAATTGTAAGATGCCATAGGACTGGGGACATTAGGAAGCCTGATGTTGGCGTAATAGGTTAGCCTTTTTCACAAAAAGGAGAATACGATATACTATAGTACTGGTTCATTCCGCTGCCTCAGTGGTTTTCCCGGAGTAAGAGGGAGATGGAAGTCAACCTCGTTTTGAAAGGCCCACTGGCATTGCGCTTGTCAGTCCGACCTGCCTCGCTCTTGGAGAAAGTAGTAGATGTATCAGAAGCCCGGCTTTTTGCTTCTTCGGTCTACGACACCACTATCGACCCTTTGGTTACGTGTAGCAGACTTGAACAGTCAGCCATCAGTTCGGCGCATACCCACAAACTTTGGCTGACTAGGCTGGCTGGAAGTCCCAGCCGTCCATAGTTTAAGCGACAAGTTTACAAAAGTATGTATACGGCAAACCCGAAAAATTGCTGATTCTTGCTCGAAAATCACACAGAGATTGTGGCAGAATTGGCTCAATGGTCTAGTGGTATGATTGTCGCTTCGGGATAGCCAGCCTATGGTTGTAAAAGCCATGAAATGTGACAGGCCTCGGGTTCGAATCCCGATTGAGCCCTTTTTTTAGTCTTTTTTTTCTTGCTGTTCAAGAGGGGGGCTTAGGAGTGAGCCAAGGGCATGTCCGTGTAGCTCTCTGTGATTCTCCCAATCTAGTAAAGGGAGATTCGATTTAGCGGGTCATATCGTTGGACTGGACGGAGTACGGAAGTACTCACGAGTCTATACATCATAGTAGTAGTACATGCGGGAGCTTGAGTGGTGGGGGTTGGGAAAGTCCCTCGGGAATAATTTTGGGGAGGTACGGAGCTGTGAGTCTCTCCCATTTGTTTAACTGAAATAAAAACATAGGGGGGCATCGGTGGCCAACTTAGGGACTCCCAAGTACGTGCTCCGTACTTCGTACTCCGTACAGTATTGACTCCATCATCTGGCCACTCGGACTTTGTGTGTTTTAGAGTTGCACGCTCGTCAGCCTGACTCATTCGCTGGCGAATTCAACCACATAGTATGAGGCCTGATTGCATTCCTGTACCAACTTCCTCCGATCATGTCGACAGTCTTTGATGGGTGTAATGTGGCTTTCAGCGAGCTCGTCAAAGCGTTCCTCTAAACCTTCACCCGCTGGCCAAACAACTCCTCAGGCCAACTCTACACCTCGTCCTACATCCCCATCCTCCGCTCTTGCAGAAGTCCTGCGCAAGAATCCCTTCCGAGCTGGCTCGCGAGAATCCCTCGCACTTGAAATAGAAGAGGATGTGTCTGTGCAATTAAACAAGGATTTACTGGTACTGGCAGACTTCTTCCCCGACGTCAAAGTTGAAGTCCTTCGCGAACTCCTCCTCAGATTTGATGGCAATAGTAGACTGGCTCTATGCACTGAACAACTTTTCAAATACAAAGCAGAATGGGCGAGAGGTCGGTTGAATGTTCCACCAAGAGATCTGGATGAGCCTATCCCACGAAACGAACGTTTTCGGACAAAAAGTTATGTTGATGCCGTTAAACGCACGGTTGCTCGCGAGTTCAACAGCCTGAACAAAAGCGCAATAGATGCAGTACTTGCCGAGGTGAACTATTGTTACACGGATGCAAGACCTACGTTGCAGGGATTGGCAAATAAGACATGGAAGATCGCTATCACAAGTATCTTCAAAAAGAAGAAGTCCGTCACTGAACCACCCTCCATACTCTTAGACAAAAGTAAATCAGACCCTGCTGGATCACGGCTACTCGCAACAGGAAGTACGGTACTTGATCAAGAATTGACAACCTTATTTTCAGTACCAGATGCAGTACCCAAGCTCAGGGATCAGCATGCCATTGATATTGAACTCGCTGAAGCGATCAACCTTCAAGAAGCTGAGGATGCCGGTGCACTCTTCGAATGCCAAATATGCTATAACGACACCACATTCGAGAAAATAGCAGCATGTACTCTGCACAACCATACCATCTGCTTAGATTGTGTGAGGAGAACCCTGAATGAGGCAATTTTCGGACAGGGATGGGCGAAAACAGTGGACATGGAGCGAGGAACTTTGAAATGTCTCGCACCATCAATCGACGATGACTGTGACGGCTGCATACCGAGAGACCTTGTCCAGAGGTCTATTTCGAGGGAAAAGTCTGCTTCAGAAACATGGGCTCGATTTGAAGACCGGCTTGCGGAGCACTCCATTCAAACTTCCGCCATAACTCTCGCCCGTTGTCCATTCTGCTCGTACGCTGAAGCTGACCAAGACTACAAGGCAGAACATGCTTCAAAACTCAACTGGCACGTTCGCCGACCCAAGGACATCAGTACCCTCACCCTGATTCTGATTCTTGAATTAATACCAGCACTACTGTTTCTCGCGATACCTTTCCTTGTACTCTTTCCAAAATTCTTCTCCTCATACTTTTACATTGCGTTAGGCCACCTAGCCCTTCGCAATCGAACCACGCGCTTCGTTTGCCGCAGAGCATCATGTGGTCGCAAATCTTGCCTTCAATGCCTCAAGTCATGGCACGACCCCCATATTTGCCACGAGCCGTTGATCCTTTCTCTACGGACCACGGTCGAAGCCGCCCGCACGGCCGCAATCAAACGCACCTGTCCCCGATGTGGCACTTCTTTCGTCAAATCCTCGGGCTGCAACAAATTGACTTGCGTCTGCGGGTACAGCATGTGCTACCTGTGTCGCAAGAACATTGGCAAAGCGGGTTCAAATACCGAAGGTGGCGAGGGCTACCGACACTTCTGTGAGCATTTTAGACCCACCCCGGGACAGAAGTGCCAGGAATGCGATAAATGCGATCTATACCGCGCAGAAGACGAAGATGCAGAGGTAAAGCGGGCAGGCGAAGATGCAGAGCGAATGTGGAGAGAACGTGAGGGGATGATCGGCGTCAAGGGATTAGAAGATGCTGTTGGCAACGTCGCCGGTGAAGACACGGTTCTCAATCGCTTGAAGGATGGGAGGTGGTCAGTGCAAGACATTGCCGATTGGGCCGTCGAGATGTTCATCAGCGTCGATGTTGAGTAGCTCCTAAGTACAAGCGATAGATGGAAGACGGCGGGTTCTTTGTCCGGCATACCTGAGATCAGTGATACCCCACAATTCGAGCTGAAAATACGGCTCTATTTTCGCTTCAATTTCTATAAGGAGCTCCTATTCCTTCAAACGGTGCTCACTTTTTGACCTGGCTATATCCTATAGGCCTATCAGCCTTGAGTATGTATGTACACGCATGCCTTTCATATTGTGGATGTTTTTCCTCCTCCCTTTGGTGTCGCCCCAGTCAAGGTAAGGCTGGGGCAGACAGGGAGAGCAGTTGAATCATTGACATTCCGTCTATGCTGAAAGTAACACTTGGAAACAAGGCCAGGCGGATGTCCTGATGGGTTCAGCTGACAACCGTGTCTGTTGCATGAAAAGCAGGCATGAGATGATATCCATTGAGAATTCAAAATGGTGCCAAGCCCAACATACCAAGTGCCCCCTTTTTCTGGCCTCTGCCACAGCCTCGTCTTGGCAATCACCGTTGGGCGCTGGAGGTTCCATTTTCGTTCATTTCAGGCCAATCATGTGGATGGCATAGGCTTTCATAACTTACTGGATCATTGTGGCTCAAGCCCAGCTTTTCAAGTAGGGAGGTGACGGTATGGTGAAAGCTGGCCGTTCAGTTTGGATAGAACTGGCATGCTGGGAAGGCCATTGCATATTGGTCGGCAACCATAACACATTTCGGGGGGCGATGGAAGCTGTTTGAACTTCACAGTTTACTTAGCAAGGACGTCTCACGTGCAAATAGATACATGATAAGAAACGAAGAACATCGGACCTGCAGCTAGCTAGCGACTTTCTGTAAGCTGCTTCAATTTCATTGCTATTGACTGTTCAACAAGCATCGCTATTAGAATCTCTTCGCTTCTGGAATCAGGCGGAAGTTGATATTGTTGAAAGACTCATTGACGATATCCTGAGACTGACTGATGAGGGAACCATTCCTTATTCGACGCTGTTCAATGGATGAAGCACACCATCGACATAGTAACTGTATTTCATGGTAACCCGTAGGTTGCAGTTGCTGACCTATCTACAGACGCCGCTATCAAACTCCACCTTAAGGCCATCTTCTTCCCACCAATCTCCCTTCAAATCGCGGAGTGTGGATGCGGCGAAGTAGACGGGCGATCAGTGCTCACAACGTAAGTTTAGGCTCGTGAGCTGGGAGACAGTATATGCTTCGATTGTTCCGCATAGGTGATCAACCGATAACGCTCGCATGATTCAAGCTGCTCGCAACAGATCTTCCAGGCTTCCGGCTCGTATTCCTTCACTACGTCAATGGTCCCTGGCAGCAGGGGACTTGTATGGTGAGGTTGGGCCAGAAAGAAGACACTTTGGAGTCTTATCCTGTCTCCTTCTCCAGCGCTTTTCAACAAGGTGTTCAACGGAAGGGAGAATTCGGGATATTAAAATGCCTGGCGAGAAAGATTTGACTGGCAACGGAAAAAACGGCGTATCCTTCAGATCTTCCATTCCGAGCATGTCTGCCAGTCTGTACACCATGGAAATTAGCATGAGGCGATTTGCCAAGTGTGGGAAGTCTACATTCGTTTTCACTCGTTTTCCGTTACAGTCTCGCTTTCTGTTTTCCAGACGGCTAGCGGGCAAAAGCAAGTCAATCTCCGCGACGCGGTCTTTATAGACTGTGGGAACCTGATCCTCCTCTAGGTCGCCAGTGTAAAGATAGAATAGGATTCGGCTTATGATTGCAGGATGGTGGTCCGACAAATCAGATGTTCGTACCTCCGCCTCTTGCTACCCTCGGCCTCGGTACAACGAGCAAGATCCGGAGCGTACATATCTTACCTGAAAGCCACCCTCACACAAAGCTTTGAAGTATGGAACAATAGACAAGATGCTCCGGTGAACCTGGAACTCGACTCCTTGAGAGATGATTGTCAAATCTGCGTAATTGGAAGACTCCATCAAGTATGCCCTGTTTGCCATGGTTCTGAGAGAACTCTGACCGCGTTCACGATATGTCTGTGGAAGAAGGTGTTTGAGTCGATCAATGAGTGGGAAGAGATGGGTGATGCGCTGGGGAAGGCAACAGAAGAAGAGACAATAGGAAACTATTGTAAGGGAGGGGGCAGTGTTATTTAGGCAGGTTGCATTCAGTTCTGGACTACCTTCACTCACCAGCGCTCTATAATGGAGCAGAACTGAGAGTAAGGTCAAGACAAGTCACGAATAAGATAGATATCTGGGCGAAGGCCGAAAATTTGGCATCTGCGAGTAACGCGCTGGCCAGCTGTGCCTGGCAACTTCGCAGATTCAGTACTCTTGAAGGTACCTCTCGGCGCAATGATATATTTTCCCTTTGTGGTGTGAAGAATGGCAACAAAATCTGGACTCGGAACGAGATGGTGCATTGTTCCAATTTAGCCTATCTTAGTGCATTCGCCGTCCAGCGCCGCTACTTTGTGGTGTTCTCAACATCTTCTGGGACTGGATATTTCACGTGGAATTTCGCCAACCTGACTCCCCGCACATGTATCTGATTACAAGCAGACATGAGCGAGAGAGTCTCTTGCTTGCTCCCATCACCTCTCCTTGTGTGTTCGAGATGTTATTCCATCGCGAGGGTTAGCTTGACAGCTTTACCACGGACGCAACTACCTGAGGAGTTAACTTCAAGAAGCTCTCTGTCAACCTGGATTATGAAACCTTCGATCGCAGGTCTTTCGAAAGCACCCTCGAAGCCGAAGCAGTTGAGAAAGTGCCACCCTTCACTTTAGCTCCTTCAAGAGCATTCCCTACCAGTCAATGTGTTTTAGCTGATATGACAAACCGCTGGTCATGCGAGACGCAAGATGTCGTCGTTCCAACGAGCGCTTTCAAGCATCAGCTGCGCAGTAGGCTCAGCGCATCGAGGGTAAAATGCGATCTAGACATCCTCTTGAAGGCTGTCAGATGCAGCAGGTATTGAACTTTGTCTTGACCGTAGAAAAAATATGGTAGAACAGTCAGGAAAACTTCTGGTTTGATACTTAAACCAGAGTATGTAGAGGAGGAACTTCCTGGAGCGCTTGATCATCCTCAGCCTCGGAGGGAGGAGTGAGCATGGTGATTTCGGGGGAAGTTGCAAGTGTTCCATCGTTACATTTCTCGTCGGCGTCGTGGTCGTGGTCGTCGAATGATGGCCTCAAACGATTGACAAAGCCCGGCTCCGGTGAAGACCAGGTATAGTCCACCCACTGGGATCCGATGACTTCTCGGATTCCCTTTGCCAATGTGCGAATGGTTTGTCGTCGCGATAACGACCATTCATGATCGGTGACGGCGTCTGAGGGAGTGATTGTGCCAGGATCCGCATCTAGATCATCGGCCAGACCATCAAGGACACTTCGCCATACTCGAATTGTCTCGTCGAGTTCCTCAATTTTGCTGACACCCATGACATTGACACCAATCTTCTCATGGGGCAGACTTAGGCCAGAAGAGTAGGAATTGTCGTTGTGGCCGAGTGGGCTACCGAAAGTGCCGACTTTTGCACCTTCTCGAAGCCAATTCTCGAGAGCAAATCTGACAGCAACCACTTCCAACTTCTCGCCTCTGATTTCGGCCCATTTAGCCGCATCAATGCACGCTTGGCGCAGATTGTCGGGAGCAGGGTGCCAGTCGCCCAGTGCACCGAGTGAAGGTCCATTGCGTCTCAGAAGTCCCATACCAAGAGGACTTGCATTCGTCACAATATCGACGCGGGCGTTGACTAGGCGCTGAAGGCCCTCGGACAACAACTTCGTGTTCTGAAGAGTATAATTGGCGTAGGATTGTACAATGTCGAGGGGCTCTCCAGTCTCGCGCAAAATCATCTCAGCCAGTTCACAGAGGACGTCAACTGGATAACCTGAGATACCAACATAGTTCAGGCTTCCTTCCTCGTCACGAATGCGGCGTAGCTCCTTGATGGCAATCAAGACCTCTTGTGGAGAGACAAATTCGCAATCGTGGCAGTAAACCACATCGAGATAGTTAGTCTTCAGTCGTTCACAGCTCCTCCGCACACTTTGGCGAATCCACTCTGGAGAATAATCAAAGGCGTCGGCTGCAACACGGCCGACTTTGGTAAGGATGAAATATTGATTTCTTGGGTAGTATCTTCGAACTAGATCGGAACCTAGAGCGGTGCCCAGGATTTCCTCTGCCGGCCCATAGTATGGGGAGGTGTCAAAAGCATGGACACCGTTGGCCAGGGCCTTTTGCACGAGAGAAGTGGTACTCAAGGCGAATGGATCGACATTGTACTAATGGTCTCGAAGTCAGATATGCCTTCACCTGTCGAGTTCTGCCTACCTGGTAATTAAATGTGGCAGTTCCAAAAACGAGTGGTGGGAGTGAGTGTGACAGTGGCGACCGCGGCCTAGGCATATCTTTCGGCGTCGCGTCGAGGGATGATGAGACTGCGCAACAAGAGAGCGAAGAATTGAGGTGATTTCAGGGCCGACGATGGAAAGGGGATTACGGGATTACTATGTATATGATTATATCTATGGTCTACAGTCCTAGTCGGGGATCAAAGCTGGCGGTCAAGACTCCAGACAATTTGGTGTGTGGGAACCTTCGAAGGTGGAATACGGAGTACTGGCTGGCAAGTTGCAACTCAACTTTTTTGCCCTCGGGAACAGTGCGAACGACTGGCAGTGGCGGGGCGTACCTGCGCACGGCCAGCAGATAATGAAAATGAGCTAGACAAGGGCTGCCGGAAGAACAAGGATGAGATGGGGCACAGGGATGGGGATTGCCGTGCGGTGCCAGGAAAAAGCCAGGAGCCAGATACTTTCGGGAGCGGAGAATAGGATCCCTTCGTGCTCGAAAAAGACAGCAGGCCGAAGATTGTTGGTGTTTGGAATCACCGGTGAGATGGTGAGATGGTGAGATGGCAGTGGAGCATTGCATTGTCAAGAGGTGTGTGTTTGATATCAGATAAATCGATCCATCCACCTGCACAAGTCGTACATTATGCAGTGCATCGTTTACAGTCCCAAGTGCATGCTCCGGTTCGCCAGCATGGCAACACAAGATAAGGCAGGTCAAAGAGGCACATGCACGACCATGCACAACAGTGGATGAGCGAAGGAGAGTCGAGAATGGCGCCACTCAGATCCATGACGCGATTATATTGGAAGAAAACGCCTACCTGGGCACTCCATCCTCCGTAACTCGGACGCCTTGATATGGCCCTCTTTATTCGGCCCGCCTGTTTCTCTACCTTTGGGGTGACGCTACGAAGTCAGAAGACGATCCTGTGGATTGCGACATTATCGTCTTTCGAGGGATCAATGGTTAGGGCCGAGGGACAAGCTTAGTATCCAGTCCTCATTGCTCCGTACTCATCTACTCGGTAGTTGGTCCCTCGCCGGCGCCGTCTGGATTTCTCCGTTCTCACAAGTCTCCTGGCATCTCATCCTACAAACAACGCTAGAGCGACCAAGACCAGTGATGTTTATCGGTATAGTCAGGAATATAATCTCTGTGCACGTGGTTTTGCCTCTTCGATATAGGCACTTTGAATTTCGACTGAACCGGTTCGTTGAACGATCGCTCTAATCAACGGGGTATATACCTAGGGAAATAGTGCCTGTCCAATTCTTCCAAGATGTCCAGTCAAGTTGAGCCCGCTGGTAGCAATCCTATAACTTCTCGTCGTGTTGCAATTCAACACTGATATGCGGGCACGCGGACACACATGTAACCCTGATTGATCGAATTAGCAGTCGTACGATCAACCCACATCCATGAAGTGGCCACCGCTTTCTCCGCGCCCTTCCTCCCCAATCGACCCAGAATGAGTTGAGATGTCTGTCTGATATTTCCCGCCCTTAGAGAACAATCATCTAAGGTAATGTTCTTGGCGAATTGTGTTTCATAGAGACAAAAGTGCTCATCATCCACATTCGTCCCTGTCTGAGACGAGTGTCTAAATGCCACCAGCCCAAAACCAATGACGATTCCTCTCGCTTGCCAATGTACAATGTGGAAATGCCATTCCTATGGTACAACCCAAAATGCCGACATGTATTGTTGAGCGCCGTTCGCTATGCATCAAAGATCAACATTACTGGCGAAGGTGAAGGATGGCCCAGTAAATCGAGACTCGGGAAAATTTTCTTGAGCGCCCCTTTTGAGGGGCAATCCGGTCTGGTCACCGTCCTTGTTGACGGTTAGCACAGAAATTTCACTCCTGGTAGAGCTTGGGCTTCCAACCTTCTTTCAACTCTTTCTCCAACGCAGCTTTCCGCTCCGCCTCTCGAACTTCCATTTCTATCCGTTCACGCGCACGTAGGATCTTGCTCTGGAGATAGAACGAGCCGCCACCGCCCTTTTTGGGTTCGTTGAGGTCGTATAGCTTCTTGAATCGTTCCATTACGTTTTCCATATTCGTAATTCCGCCTTGGGGTGGCTTCACGTTGAGAATTTTGCAAGCTTCGTCGAGGGTCATGCCCGAGGCAGCGGCCGTGTTCATCGCGCCTGGATTGTTCTTCCCTGCAGCTTTGGCATATTGTGATGAGGCCTGGGCTTGTTTGTAGGCCTCGGCAAAAGCTCGACCAAACACACGACTTCCGGTTAGGACGATCTGGGTAATGATTCGGTGCGCCTAGAGAAGTCAGTGGCTGTATCGAGCAGGAACTGCAAACAAGCAATGCTGGATCTCCTCTTACTTACCATGGTATCTTGGCGGAAGGCGCAACGACGAAAGAGAATGATGTTGACGCACAATGAAGCCGACGCTCCAGGTTGTCTGATGGAAAGCGCAGGAAACCTTTTGGAAAAGAAACTTGAGAGCAGCATCCAAAAAGGACATTCCAGCCGGGACGATTCTCGCCTAAACTTTCCCGAGAGGTTTCAGTCACGTGAATCGACCACAGGATTGAAATCACGTGGCCACCCCCCAAACCGCGGTCCATTCGTCGCTGACGTTGACGTCGATGGTGCATATTTGTTTGCCTCAGGCTTGTGCACATGCCACCCACTCCTGTCTCCATCGCAAGAGTATCGGGTCGTGTTCACAACTCTGATCAGATTGGAGACAATCTCCTCTTGTCTCGAATGCACATCATGTCTACACCATGCAATTCTCCCTATTAATTCAATAATCTTTCCATCCTTGTAATCCCCCATCGTCCCGGCTCGTGACCTAGCTGCTCCATCACCTTTGTCGTCATCACCACCATCATCTTGACTCCATGATTGAGCGATCATTATTGTATGGCAGCATTTGGTATGTCAGCTCCAACTTATCGTTGCGAATCACTTGACTGATATGCCCTTTAGACACGCCCTGGATGTCATCAATGTCCAGACCGAACTCATATGCGTCTCATGCCGACCCTGCGAGTTCCCAGCAGGCCTGGGACTCGAATCCTCCCACCTTTGCTGCCTTTTCTCCCACTTCAGCCTCTGGATACTCCGCTACCTCAAAGCAGAGGTCTACGGTGATAGTCCACAAGAAATCTCCGCTTCTGGTAGCAACACCACCACAGATCACTCGGGCTTTGGCCCATTCGCACCCGTTCCTTCTTCCTCTGAATAAGTTGATGGGACTATTGTCCTGGAGCACACAAGATCCATGGGAGTCGTATCTCTTTGTTGCAACATTTTGGGCTGTCACGCTCTATGGCGGTGAAATCATTCGACTCGCGAGCCCCATTCTGGTGGTGGTTGCTCTTATTCTAGGAATGTACTCAAGGCGATATTCTCCATTATCTTCCACCTCCAAGACCGGGGACAAACGACCGTCCAAAGGAGATCGGTCCGAGTCCCAGAGCTCTGCTACTCCACATCACAAAACCCTTGATGAGATTGTTGATACCCTACAGGAGTTTACAGCTCGATGTAATATTCTTCTCGAACCGTTCATCAAGTTGACCGATTTTCTGTCCACCCAGACCACTCCTACCGCAGCAACAACTCGCCCCGCTTTGACCACTTTATTCATTCGAGTCCTTCTCGTGACCCCATTCTGGATCTTTTTGACATTACCACCATTCTATATCCTAACTTCTCGAAGAGTCATCTTGACTGTAGGCACTGTAATCCTCACCTGGCATTCAAGACCTGCGCGGGTATCTCGAGTGATTCTCTGGCGTTCGGTCTTGATGCGCAAGGCCGCAGCATTCGTCACAGGGTTGGATTTGGATACGTCGCCGCGGGCAGGGTCGGATTCTCTCCTTCGCACAGCCCTGAGATCTAGGAAAAAGTCACAGGCCGGTATCGCTTCAGAGTTTGCTACAAAACGTCGACCTGACTCATCTGGGGTCCGATTTACATTTATCATCTATGAAAACCAGCGTCGCTGGCTCGGTCTGGGATGGACGACTTCACTTTTCGCTTATGAGCGTGGTCCCTGGACCGACGAGCAGCTCAATCCAGCACCATCAAAGGACGAATTCGAACTGCCCTCCGTCGATGGAGGGTTAGCCAGGTGGAGGTGGGTGGATAAATCCGAATGGCGGATAGAGCATGGCGATCTGAAACAACACAAACGAAATGCGAGTCAGTCCAAGACAGGAGCCGCCGGTACGTCAGGCAAAGAGACGGGAGAAGATGGTGGTGGGTGGATCTATTACGACAATAAATGGGATGATGGCAGGAGGGAAGACGGATGGGGCAGGTACACTAGACGGAGGAAATGGTATCGAGATGCTGAGCTGGTTGAAGCAACACCGAGTGTTGAGCCAAGCCGCAGTGGCACGCCTACACAGGTCTCGGATCCCGAAGAAGAGAAAATCAAGAAAGCAAAAGACTTTGCCAAAGGCGTCAGTGGACCGGAGAAAACACCGACGCCCTCACAGCAGAGCGAGAAACCTGTATCGGTGCACTCCAAAACCGAAGATGATGCCAACAAGCCAAAAAAGAGCGGATGGTTTTCCTCGAAGCGTGACAGAAGTGACAGCAAGAGTAGCAGCGGGAAGAATACTGGACGGTTTAGCGCAACAAGCCAGAGAAGTCGTGAGGATCCCGACGAAGATGTCCTGGATAAATACAGAGACAACCCTGGAGGCCATAGGTCGTTCAGTGTCCAAGAAGATATTGTCATGAGTCTAGGGTAGCCATGATATTGATGAAATATTCCCCTGGGGCGATAAGCGGGGATTCTCCTTCATGATTATTTCTAATATAAGGCCTCACATAACGCGTTTCACAGATTGTTCTATGACTATGTATCTTGGCCATGTTCGAGTGCGAATTGGCAGCGCGTATATACCGTAACGAACACAGCTGATACCGTTTCAAGATGTAGAATATGACCCATGGGCTTTGATTCAATGTGAGGCAGCCATGTTCTATCTCGAGCGTCGACTCTGATCTACATACATACATACCTCATACCCTACCCATCATGCCCAGTTTCCATGCCTACTGGGTCGCTTGACGCAACACTACGTAATTGCAACCAGGGATGTACGACTTTCGCACCAACATCCACCCCCAAGTTCTCAACTCTCCAACCCCATCCCTGCTTGCACACGATTTCACAATACCAACGCTCACCACTACCCATCCGCCTTATGCCTCCCTGCCACTGGTCTATCTGAACCCTGACGGTCGTATTCCGTCTCCAGGGTCTGGAAATCTCATGCCACGAGGGCCAGGCAACAAGCCACTTGTGGCTGCTGGCTATGCAAGGACATCCTTGCTTGAGCATCCCCATTCTCGAAGGGTCAGCTATGTGGCACTCACCTCATCCGCCTGCTACTGCTCCTGCACCCTCTCAGCTTCAAGACGGGAGAGGGCTGGCGGTTGACGTCAAGCCACATACATGCAGTCAGGGTGAATCCTGGCCCTTTGCTTGTATGGTTATGATGTAGTTGCGTGTGCTGGAATCGATCGAACGGTAGGTAAGGTGGACGGGCTTGCCTGGCATGTATAAAGGCAGGGTCAAGCCACACTTTGCTCCTCCTAGAGTCTCTTTTGTTTCTGATCATTCGAAAGACTTGCTGGACTACAACTCTCGTCAATTTGATAATACTTAACCACAGTTGACCAGGAAAAGAGATCAAAATGTCGGACGACGCACAGAAGAAGCAGAGTGGTATGTATGGACCATCGACCTCGCGCGTACCCTGCCCAGCATAGTAGTCCCTTGACATCTATCTATCCCCCCCTGGCTCCTTATCCGCCCTCAATCTTTTCATAGACCAGCAAGACTGACTTCGTCTCGAGGAGTCTCAGGTATCCTCGGCGGCGTCACCGACACCGTCGGCAATACTGTCGGTGGGCTGACTGTAAGTATCCGCCATCCACATCCTATCCACCCGAATGGAAACAAAACCTCACCAGGAAAGCCGCAGCTGACACATCTATCATCTTGAATAGGACACCGTCGGCAACACCGTCAGCGGCGTTGGCCAGGGTGTAGGAAAGACCGTTGGAGGTGCTACCGAAGGAGTGAGTTTCTTTTGTGCTTCATATTCCAATATCATACCTCCCTGCACCTACCCCCGCTTCCTTTTTTCCACGATGCAAATCCCTGGGCAGAGCAATTACTAACGACAGCCCCCCCCGGTCACCGTAAAGATCGGTAACACCACCAAAGCAACTGGAAACACAGTCAAAGACGGCACCGACTCGCTCGGCGGCAAGAAGGAGACTGCGGAAAACCCGCTCGGCTTGTAGATCTAGCTGCGACCCGATCTTCACTCTCTCGTGGATGGAAGGGAAAAGAAACACGAGAAGTGACAACTGGCGGAACATGGCTGACTGGGCTGGAACGCGGCTAATGGAAGTGGACGGTCCGTGATGATGACCACCACCACCGATGTGATGCGATGGGGATCTAAAGGAAATGCTTTGGGGCACTTGGAAAATGATACTTTTTCCCTACATAGTTTAGATTCCTGTCTCATGTAACAATCTAAGACCCAGAAAGTCTTGCGAGGAGGTATTGTGTGTTCTCGCCAAAATTTCACTGCTTGATATACTGTGTATGCTCCCCTTTGGATATGATGTGAAGCACTATCTTATTGCATGTATACAGATGACTATAGTGCATGATCTTGTACTACCTTCCCAGAGGCTTTCCAAAAATTGAAAACCCAAGATACGACGCCAAACAATACAATCACCACCATGAATGCTTCCGCCACGTTCAAGCCATTATGCGCCTTGCTTCAATACAAATTCTTCTCGTCTATGGCTAAAGCCCACATATCTCATCCATTGAGCAATAGATTCATCAACCCAAAAGCTTAAATTGCATCATAGTTCTGGAACATATCCCTCATACTCGACCTCATCAAGGCAGATCAAGCCGAAGAAAGCACGATGCTTGCACTTCTTTCTCTTTTTACCTCCCTGATGAGACTTGGTGCTGCTTGGTGTAGCGCTACTGGCACTCTGACTCGGAGCATCGGTGATGGTCTGAGTTCCTGAAGAAATGGGCAACGTGCTAGTGTGCGGATGTCTATCATGGCAACCAAAGAAGAAGCCAGGCGTTTCACACGTATCTGTTTTGGTGGCTTTAGTTTGACTCTGTGTTGGTGCTGGCGAGGGTTTTCCTGTGATTGAGATTGGATCGCGACATCCCCACCATCCTGGATGTTGACAGGTGGTTGAAGAGGAAGCTCCAGTCTGTGACCAAGAATTAGATGTGGTTGGAACAGATGCAGTTGGGGCTAGCGTGGTTGTGGTGATGGTCACATTCACTTCTTTGTTACAGCCAAACCAACCAGGCGTAGCACAGCTGGTTGTGGTGTAAGTTGTGGTGATCACCGGAAGTGAGGATGATGTGGTAGTGGTGGTCTCATCCAGACATCCCCACCAACCAGGAGTTTTGCAGGTGGTAGTTCGTGTGCGAGTTGAGGAGGTGGTCGTAGTTTTCGTAGTCGTGGTGGAGTCGGAACCATTGCTTTCGAAATACTTCCAATTAAAACAATCGACACATTCGTCGTCAGGGATACACTCAGGGACTTGATTATATTTCTTGATAACGCTGTCAATGACGTTACGGATTTTGTGGTTACCAATACCGACGCGCCAACCATAGTCAGAGACTGTGTCATAAACGCATTGCTTCCCTGTGTGACACTGAGACTCCATGGCATAGCCGCCTAATGTACAAGTGGCGGTAGCACCATTGCAGGTGCCCATGAAAACGGGATCTGCCGTGTTTCCAAAGTGGTACGCGCCAGTGTACTTGGTGCGTGCTCTCCGAGGATCTGACGAAGGCGGAGCTGGAAGACCAAGTCGTTTGGCGGCCAGATCTTCGCCAGGAGCCTCAAAGGTGACAGTTGGTAGACCAAATGTTAGACCGAGTAGACTGGTGACAGCTCCGCCTAGAGAATGGCCGACAAGCCAGATGTTTGAATCGGCATATATTTCGGTGACGTTGGTATAGAGATCGACAGCAGCTCTGTAATATCTGTTTTCATTGCGGAGGGCTTGGACAAGACAGGTCTGGTTGCAACTGTAGGTGCTGGAATAGCAATCACAAACCTGCCTCCAAAAGTACTGGCCTCCTTGGGCACAGCAGCAACTAAAGAAGAGATTATCGTTCAATTTGTCTTGTGTTGTAGTGCCATCGCCATCGAAGACAGCAGGAGAGGTTCCCTTGAGACTTATGATGATTGTGTTGTTGCCTTCATCGGCGAAGACATGGCCACGCAGACCATCCCCCTGCCAACCAAAGCTTGCAGTTCTATTGTAGCCTTGGGATACATCTTCCCAATCACCTTCGCCCGGGACCTCATTATAGGCATTTGCAGACATGATGGCCAAGTTAGTGACGGTTTCTTTGTCGGTAATATTGGGGCCTTCAACCTCGTCCATAGTCCAGGCAGAAGCATCCAGGACGGCGGGTCTCCCGAAATAGCGGGCATGTTGTAAATGTGACTCTACCGAAAGAGGGTCCCTGTCGACAAGCCGCTCGATCTCGTGAGAGGCGGATCTCGCGGAGAAATGTGGTGCTGGCTGAAAGAGACTCTGGGAGTCATCTTCGGCAGTAACAAAGACGGGTGCGTTGGGATGGAGATTAAGGCGGCGGTGCAAGTCAGGATCTTGATAGGTGCCTCGGTGGAAGATGTGTCGAAGGGTGAAGTCGTGGGAGTTTGGTTGTTTTGGTAGTGGAAGAGGGTACCATGGATCGATGGCGGGGGCAAGGGAAGCAGCGGCATGAGGAGAAAGAGCGAGGAAGGAGAGGAGCATGCCGGCGGTGACTCTCTTGGTGGAGTGGCAGATGCCGTCTTTTGATTTCCGAGTCTTCATTGTGTTTTGTGGTGTGTTGGTGGTGGTGTTGTGGGTGATGGTTGGTGAAGTGGTTGCAGTACAAGTGGTTGTAGTTCGTTGTGGTCGGAAGCCTGGTCGGATTTGTGTTGACGTCGTTGTTTCCCACAGCTGCGGAGGGAAGGCACTGGCAGGGGCCGAACAAGGCAACTGCGACCAACCCCAAGAGCCGCCCACAGGCTTCTCGTGATTCGAATCACATGCTCAGAGTATTCACTGCTCAACGGATGACGCGGGTGCCACGCAGACCACGCAGGCCACGCAGACACAAACGATACAAGCAGCCGTCGAGAATAGTACAGTGGTACCTCGACACCCTCCCTCCATCCATCCCGTATCCATTTCTTCCATCTCTTGTGGTTTGTTTCATCTATGATGCAGCCTGTCGTCTTCCAAGGCTGATACAACAACCATGTCAACGCACGGGCGTCCTTAGTCTCCGGTCTAAATACTGGTCCTGCTTCTACGGAGTGCTCGTACTTCATATCTTCCACGCCGCTCGTTCTGCGATGTCCATCTGAATCTGAAAACGATGTCTGCAACTAGTTCTCTCAAGAACAGGCCATCTGCACTTTCCACAAAGTCTTTCACTCGATATGAGCCTTCTTCTCCCTCCAATTCCACCTCCCGAGCCAGGGCTAGCACAACATCATCAGTGTCCTCTCTAAAGTCTCCCAAGAAGGTTCCGAGTGATCGAGAAGATGTATTTCAGAAGCCACTTAATGAGGACAGCGAGCCTCCTTCCCCAGACCTTGAAAGGGCCAACACTCTGCCGGATAATTTCGATGAGTTACCCATAGAGCTGGCAAGTCTCAGTGACAGATTTGTCGACTCGCTCAAAGCAAAAGTCTACACCGAGCCTCCTTCCGTCGACCAATTGTCCGATCTTTTTCAAGAATTTTATGCCCGAGCCTCTGGTGCTATTGCCATCCATATCTCCGCCCTGAAGTCACGATTGAACCGTGAACACTCCCCTGCACCCTCCAAGGCTGCTTCAAAGTCCAGAACCCTCTCTGCGAGGCAATCGAGTGACTCTCTCAAACCTCGAGACTCTGCAGGCGGTTCCCAGCAGATGTTGACTGCATCTGAGGTCACCGAGAAGCGTAAGCAGCGGAAAATGCTCGAGTATAAGCGTATCTTGCTAGAAGAGGCAGTGGAGAGGAGGGTCTGTGAAAACATCTATGACAAAATCTGGAGACACAAGAGTACTCTGGATGAGGTCCGCGATGAGAAACTTCGTTCGAAAACTGCTGCCCTGGCTCTTGTTGGAATAGGATTGAAAGATCTCGGTATTGAAGTCAATGCGGACCAGGAAAAGTCAGTTGAAGATGTGCAGGCATCTTTGATTCCCGCCAGAGAAGGCCTGGCCAAAATGAACGATGAGAAATACCCCCTCGGAAAACTAAAACACTTGACTGCTGCTCACAAAGCCATTGTTGATACACTCTACACCATTCATCCATCTTCTTCCTCAGCCGATGAAATTCTGCCCACCTTGATCTACACCTTGATCACATCCCCTATTGAAGGCATCAATATCATAAGTAATCTCTACTTTATCCAGCGCTTCCGAGCTGCCCCCAGGATTGACGGTGAGGCTGCTTACTGCCTTACGAACCTCGAAGCTGCAATTAGTTTCCTTGAGAACGTCGACTTAGCAAGCTTGAGAGCAGACGAGATGCCGGAGGGACCCAAGAAGAATATCACTCAGGACGATGATGAAACGGCAGAGAAACTCGAAGCTTTCCCCACTCTGCCAGGAAGTGTACCCTTTCCTTCCACACCCACTACAAGCACTTCGCCCTCTACTGCCACTGCTTCTAATGTCGTGGCAAGCCCAACCGGTTCAATTTTGAAACCCTTGCCTGAGAAGCCAGCGCCCCCTGTGACCCGCCATCAGCGCACCTTGTCTGATATCCTGCTGCCCATTAGTAATGCCAATGAGGCCGTTCGCTCAACAGCTGAAGAAGGGTTCAAAAATATATCCAGCACACTGGATAACAGTTTTAAGTTCTTGCTTGGGAGGCTTAAGGAACGAGGCACAGAGGATGCCAACGCCGAAGTAATCGTTCCCAAGACCCTGGATGAAGCTCGTCAACTGGTGAACCGGCCACTGACCCCCGAGGAAGATGACAACGCCCTGAGTGAATCTAGTTCAGTACACGATGGCCAGAACACCCCCAGCAATCCCACTCTCACCAAAACAGAAGACAAAATCCTTAGTCTCTTGGGAGGACGGAAGTCAACAACTGTCCGTGAGAGGAGTGTGGACAGTGTCCAGAGCAATGGTAGTGGTCGGAGACTGGCCTTTCTCCAAGGAAATCCCGACGGAGCGGCTGCTGCTCCAACATCCTCAAGAGCCGCATCTATTCCTCAACCTACGTCTAACAATCCACTGGAATCTGTCAAAAGCTTTGGCGGCAGCCTTAATCCAATAAATCACATTGGCTCTGCATTTGGGGGAGCCTTTGGTCGATTTGGGAGTCGAGCAACTGCCTCTGCTTCTCCACCTTCAGCTTCTACTCCCGCGATTGTTGTAGACAAGGACAACAAGTCGCCCCTAGCGGACAAATTTCCTAAGAGTGCATCATTGTCGACCCCTGAGGACGGTGCGACCAAGACTCCTATGCGCATTCCCAATCAAGACGAATTATCACCCATCAAGGCGGCACCTCCTGTTTCCCGGTTCATGTCCGTGGCTGATGTCAATGACCTGAAAATTGGTGACGTCCAGTTATTACTTAGTGACTACCAACGGCTGGCTAGGATCCTGGGCCAACTTGTTCAGCGAGCCGAGGAATCTGCAGATACAGATGAGAACACAAGTGAGGCCACCGCAAGCGACCAGGAAAAGGATTGAAGTAGTGATTCCCAAGATCCAGTCACGGACAATTTAAACCTCATCTTCGATCTCAGATGCACAGGAAATCAGTTATCCTTGGTCGTCTGTCAGGCCAGGTCATCACGAACAGAATTGCCTAAAGGCTAGAGAATTACCTTGGATTCACATCTTTTAAGACTGCAAGTCGATCCCTATGTCATTCGGACTTGGAGCGTCGATAGCTCAATCTTGCAACAGAATGCGGAATGCAACAGCCGATGCCGTAGGTTAGTCAGCAGAAAAGCTAGAGACGAGGAGGGACGGACGAGAGGAGATATAGACACATGGGACTTTAAGCTTCCCGGAGCCTGATGATGCATTGATGTCCATATCTATTTCCTTACTGAGGTTTTGGACCTGAGGAACAGGTTGAGGCAGAGTCGTGTTCTATAGATCCTTCTCCAACACATTTTGCGATGCAAGCCACACACTACCGATTCTCTAACGGTGAGGCTAGGTAGCGGGACCCTGCTCAGCAAACGAGAGTATTCTCTGAAATGTGAAGCGACAACCATCCCATGGGATCGCAAGGACAGTGTACCTCATGCTGCCCTGTTAGTGCACACTACCAACGTAAACTCTACTTACTAGAGAGTTCTAGCATGAACACAGATATACATTCATCGAGGAGTCCACAAGTCTCCTCACGGCACTGTATGACAAGAAGGCGTTATTGCTGCCAACGCACGTCACGACATCTCTGCACTTCTTTCTCACTGCCAAGCTGGTTGACTAATTCTGGTAGAGTAAAAGTAGAATCCTCTACAGATTCTTACACCACCTCTCTATCAGACAGCGAGGAGGTAACATAAATAGGAATTTTCCACAAATTCAAGCGCCTGTGTAGCGTGAAGTCACAGCGCTATGGGCATATCCGCTGCATAGTAATCGTAATGTACATTGAATACAGAGCTGAGGGAGCAGTACAGATGGTAGATATTCCGATCACTGAATAATCACGCCCTGCTCCCTGCCGTTATAGTCCCCTCGTTAATGTTTCGTTATGAATGAGTGACATGCGATGGCGGTGGTGATATTTCTGCGTAAGTACATGCTGAATACAAGTGAAGCGCACACGTGAAGTCCAACTTCCAACATGAAAGAACACACATGACCTCCGCCTTGAGATGGGGAAAGAGGGGCGCGGAGCTGGTGGATGGGGTGGACGTTTCAACAACTCCTGACCCTACCAGCAATCAACTCCCCACCACCCTTCTTCAACGCGTCCAATTCCGCCTGGACGTCAGCCTTCTTCAACGCGAGCTTCCTGTCACGCATCTTCACCAGCATCTCGAACCGCAGCGCGACCTTGCGTCTCTCAACGCGCGCGCGCATCAGCATCCGCATGTCATCGCGGAACTTATCGAGAAACCAGGTCGCGGTCTCTTCGCGCTCGGTGTCGGTATGTGTGCGGAAGAGCTGTGTTTGGTCCTCGGGTCGCATCTTACTTAGGTTCGTCAGCTTCGCAGCCAGGCTCATCGGGTTGCCGTTTGAGTCCAGTACGGCTTGTGGCGATGGCAGGGCAGGATCCTGGTTGAAGGGGATGCTGTCGAGGTCGGCGAAGGTTTTGGTCTTGAGGGCTTCGAGGTCGTAGTCGAGCTCGAGGAATGAGTGGGGCCGTTTGGTCCCGGATGGTAGGTTGATGGTGCTGGAGTTGATGCTTGGGGGTTTCGTGGATGGTTCGCCCCCGGCAGGTTGGTCTTCTTCGGATGAGGAATCGTGGTACGAGGACACTTTGGACGAGAATGGAGGATTGTGTCGTGATTGGGGTTCTACGATGGTGGTCGCGGTCATGGCGGTCGTGTTGCTGGCTTTGGGTTGGTCAGCTTGCGCTGGGGAGTCGAGGGACTGACGGATTTTGAACCGGTTTACGACTTGAGGCTGAGCAGGTTCGGTCGTAAGCTGTTGAGGCAAATCTCCCTTACGAGAGGGTAATGGCGGGCTGTCGGGTTCGTCTGCCACTGATGGTCGTACTTGCTGCTTGGTGGTGTCTAACTTAGGCCGTGGCGACAACCTGGCTTCGGTTCCAGGACGAGGTCGAGAAGGTGTATCTTCCCACGTGTGAGGCTTCTTGCCCGCGTATACACCATCTTCATCGTATCCTTCGCCCTCAGTGTCACCATAAATCCGATCGTCATACTGAGAATGGTCGTGATATGTATCAAGGCTAGCGCCAAAGTGACGTTCTTGTAAACGCTTTTCCTTTTCTACCTGTGCCTTCCAGTTAGCGGGAAGAAATATATTATGCCCTCCGGCATGAGGTCTCGTCGAGTCTTCTTGGTGAGCTCTCCTGTAGACTTCCCGGGTTGCTGTCTTTGGGGGATCTAGTGGAAACTGATGGTGGTCATCATGGCCAAATTGTACGGTCAAATTGGCATCATCCAGAATACTGGTTGAATCGTCGAAGTGGATGCTTTGGGTGTCATCGAAAGCAGAGACTTCAGGCTTCGAAAAGTTTTAGCTGGAGCACGGTTTTGGACATTACTTCACCTACTTGTCTTGGGGCCCTGGTCTTAGGCGCTGCATTAGAACCCGATCCTCGACCTGTGTTGATCGCGTGTGTCTGAGGAATTGCTGATACGGTCTTGCGGAGGGTATTAGGGACCTGGAGTTTCAGACTCTCGGGGTCGTGCCTGAAAAGCTCTTTCTTGCTACTTGCTCCATTGTGACTGTTGCTTCTAGCATGGTGTCCGCCTTGGGTATCGTTTTGCCGAGATCTTTCTCTGTGTTGCTGTTGTGGCTGCGGTGTAATAGATCTGGTCACCAGGTTGGCATGAGTCGTGGCAGGTTCTCGATTCTGGACGAAGTTCTGGACTCCTGGGGCAGACGAGAGAGGCATTGCATCGAAGATAGCTTGAGGGTTGTATTAGGTGGCGTTGAAGACTTTATCTCTGTTTGGATGGGTGAGTTTGGTATGTCTGACGCAGGTCAGTTCCATGGGCAGAAAAATTGACGCGTCCACAACGCGAAGGCACGTGTTGCGGGGTGAGCCAGAATTTCGGTAACGTCCCCCTGCGATACTTAGTGTAGGCATGTATGTAATTAAAGACCAAGCCTTGAACGCCATTCATTCATGAGTATTTCGACTACTAGTAGACTAGACCACGTCCCTCTACACAATGCCAAGGGGGGCTACGTTGGAAAATGCGGTCCATCAACCTCGGGGAGTCTAGAAAATTCTTCAAGTCATAAATCATCAATCAAAGTCGTGGCTCAGTAGAGCTGTTGAGCGAGACAAATTTCACTATCTCCAAGCTGCAATTTTTGTACTTCTTTCACCTCCAAGAGAGCACTGATGAGGATATGTTCGCGAAGAACTATTCGCCTAGGCTGATCCAGAGCCAGCGCCAGACTGTGAGGCGCATCCTGATCCAGAGGCTGAGTGCACGCCAGAGCCACTTTGGGATCTTGTGGCTCGTTTTCGACCTCCGTCTTTGTTCTCACCATCACCTGTTTCTGAGCCATCTGCTCCAAATGCATCTTGGCCTCTTCTCTTGGGTCGCCTCCAGGCTGATTGTACCGGAGATCGTTTGAAGACTACTTCGTCATCGCTGCTAGTCAGGTCACCATCGTTCTTAGGGGGGCGATATGGTTCACCCATGCCCCTAAAGGGACGGTGCAGACTGCCTGAAAAGCCGTTGAAGAGATTATATGGGTCTGCATTACTGTTCGGATCCCATATTGGTAAACCACCAGGCGGCAAAGCTTCGCCAGAAGGGTTGCCAACACCACAATCTCGCAGAGAGCCATTGATGCCAGTAAGACCCCAGGCAAAGACAGCCACATCTCTGATAGTAGCCATGAGTCCAGTGTCGTCAGAAACTGGTCCCGAACCGATCGAGGACAAAGGCGTGGCAGTGTTCTGGCGGATAGAGGCTGGCAAGATTGGATCTGGAGCCCAAGGTGAAGCGAACAGGCCGTTGGGATATTGGGCTACTTCTGTGACACCAAGAGCGGGAGGTGTTATTGAATGTGCACGGCGTAAGATCACTACAAGCCCGTCAGAAGTACATGAGACGACGGCTTCAATTTCTATGCGTTCTTCTGGAGGCGGTTCGCTCACGGAGGAATTGTGCGAAGCAACACGGTCAAAGATAGCTTCGGGCGCATTTGCTTCCATGTCAGTACTATTGCCAGAAGATGCTCGGTGATTGACATCTGATGGAGGCTGCAGAGAACTGGCATTTGAAGTCTGTGGAACAAGTGGTGGAGGAGCATTGGAAGCAGTGACATTTGCCGCGTCTGCTTGGGGAACGCTTGTTGAAAGCCCCTCCGACGATTGTTGGCCATCTGCAATAGTTGGCTGTCCTGAAATTGTGCGAGGTGTTGATTCTCCATTCATTGAAACGTTGGAACCAGATCGTGCGCCATCTCTCAAGGCAACACCTCCTTCTTCGTCTTCGTCACTCTCATGGACAGAAACAGCCTCGGAATGAGCTCTACTGGCATCTTGAGTGGGATCTCGAAACCAGAATCTGAGATAAGCGATTGAGTCGTTAGCTTTGGCGCTTTCGATGGTTTTGACAGCATCTGGCAAGCAATTCTCTTCAATGCAATAATAGAAGCTTTTCCCGGCAAGCTGATTTGGCTGTAAGCCGAGAATATCGACAACTCCATTTGTTGCGTACATGACAGTTGAAGTACGGGTAAAGCGGTTGAGGAAAAGCGCGGCGCGAGGTTCCAGAAAGTGTGCATCTTGGTAGGGGTCTTGGGAGAACTTGTTGGACAGATACGACAGCATGTGATACCTGGGATCACGAGGCGAGGAAGAGAAGATACGGCGAATAGCTCCACTGGCGAGTTCGCGCTCTAGATGGGATCAGTATGCGTGCTCATGCTTTCTGGAGAATAAAGGTTACCTCTCGCTTTTGGGCCAATGGTGTAAATACTGGTACTGGCAACGAGAACATCATACACGACAGTGAAGACACATTCGCAACCGATCCATGAGCCATCTTTGTGTCTCACTCGACAGTAATTCAGGACAGAGGCCTTGTCAAGACTGACACCGCGACCATGAACCTTGCGAGCGAATGGGATCTCATCCGGATGGAAATAGTCCCAACATGACCGCCCCAGGACCTCAGAAGGTACGTAGCCCAGGATGTCCTCAATTGAGTCAGAGCAGTATCGAATCTGAGCATCCTCGGATAGATCTAGGGATGGAGTTAGCTTGCTTCAGAGGAGGTGTGATTGTAGCTGAGCAAGACAGACCGTGGATGGTAATGAAGACGGCCTCCATGATGACAATGAACGATGAGATTCAGGATGGCATAAAGGCTTTCTCCAAAGCCTTTACGCGTCGAGCAGCCCTAAAAGACGCTGGCCTCCTGAAAGCGAAGTCGAGGAGGGGACTGAGTTCAATTTATGTGGGAAATACTCAGGATGGCGGGATAGAACAAGTAACCACCCCAGTCGTATGCACCACCCACAATTGTCGGTAGAATGGTACGAGGTACACGAATCGGATAAGGGCGAGAAGAAGGTCAACCACGGTGTGTGACGCAAAGGTGGTTTGGCGAAGACGGGCCAGACCAGTTTAGTTAGGTCGAGGAAAGCAAGTTCGGACTCGGAAACGTCGAAAAACAGATATGCAGGTTATCAGCTAATGATGCAGTCGACCGTCCCCCCGAAACAGATTGCCCAGGAAATCTGTATACCGTTGCCAGGAACTGAGGCAGGGATGGTCGGGACTGGGGACTGCTGTTGAGACCTGCAGAAGGAATTTGATTGCATAGACGAAGTTCTGCAACAGACGCACAGTACCAGGGAGCTAGGGCAAGGCTCAGGATCCTCCCATTTGCCACTTCAATGTTCGAGATGGTACAATGTATGGGTATAGAGCGTGGAAACAAAGAACGGTACAAAGATGGTTGTATTAAGTTTGCAATACGAGTAAGGGGAAATTACAGTAGTGTTCGGAGTAACTCCAAAGTCAGTACCTCGTTCGACTGCACATGCCCCGGTACTTGGTCTCTACTTCAACGGTACTCCGCACTGCAGCGATGGCAAAAAGACGGCCTCGGGTCAGTGAGCGAGTGGAAGTGTAAGGGTGCAACGGTGCAACGGTGGGAGCACTCCGTAAAGAGGGGTGGGTGCAGTTTAGACTACGAGGCACGGAGGACGAGACGCCTTTACATAATGATACAATACAAACACAGTCGGACCTGCCCCATGGCATAGGCTCATATTGCCATAGAGGCATAGCACGTGTTGGGTGCCTGGTGGGTGCCTGTCACACAGACACGTTCGCGTAGGGATGGTAGTCATCCAAGCCTAATGCTTAGCTACTGCTACCACTACTACCACTACCACTACCACTCAGTCCTCGTACTGCTTGTTGACTAGGGAGTAGGGTTTCTTTCTACTCTAGTCACTCGTACGGAGTACTTTCACGTTTCCCAGCCCGCTCAAGGCTTTGCATATCAAGCGATGCTCCGTTCTGTGTGCAATCCAACAGCCATGGGGCTCCACTGCCCACTACAAGTTAAACTACTTCGGATACAGATATATTGATCGAGATCTCACCCCATGTAGACAGACCAACGCATAGGCGAAGATAGGCGATAGTCCGGAGTACGGAGTACTTCTATCTCCTCTCAGGGAACAAGCGTGGCTTAAAAACGCCCCTTGCAAGCGTCACTCTGGTGAGTCCTGTCACAGTGACCACTGACCACCGCCCATTACGTCAGGCTACAAATCCCTGTCTGGAATCCTCCCACCTTTTCCTGCCCGATCTCGATTTCTTTCCTTTCCAATACGAGTTATGAGCTTCGTTCTTTCGGGGGAGGAGTCCGATCCAACAACCTGGCGGTATCCCGACTCACCTATGGTCGTTTAGCTACCTAGATATCCATGCATGATTCATTCACACTCGCCAGCAACATTCCCGAGCAAGCGGTCGGATATGCAGAACCAAATCTTGAGTGGTCCCGAATCGCCCCAAGAAGAACAATGCGCTACGTGACTCGTCACATTCCACAGGAAAGCATAACATGCCCCCATTGATTGACTGAGACGCCGTTGAGGAGCGACCGAGAGGTCGTATAACCTAGAGGACTTTGTCCAAACGCCACTTATACCGTTTGACAAGGTTGAGCTTGACCGAATTTCCAGCTCGGAATGAGAAAAAGCGCTGCTGGCCTTTGTATCTGCTTGAGTGTATTGGAGGCCAAAGCGTTCGCCAGTATTGCTAATGTTCACTCCGGATGTCAACACCATATGCCATGCCTTTCCTTCCCAACAGCAGCGAGCGTGAGAATACGAGTACCACAAGTCCATAACTTCAGCCAAGAACATGATGAGAAGGAACACGCCCAAACTCAGGCCGGTGAATCAAAACTCGAGCATTTTTCTGTTCGGGATTTCTGCTAAGAAAGAAAAGCGGTGATCAACAAACTTGCATATTCACTGGTGGCACCACCCCCATGGTGCATCACCACCAACACCTGGTCCATTGCTCTGTGCTCTGCCGCTAAGAAAACGTGGCCTGCTTTGCGGTTCTGGCCACTATCTACCCTTGGTACGTCGCCTGAGATACTAAGTAAGGAATTGCAGCGAAGAGCAGGCCCGTGCTTCGAAAATGCTCGGCTGGCTTCGACCCAATTATATGGCAGAACATGAGTGATTGACGACGAGTGCCCTGCCTCAGGAAGGAACTAACCGTGTTCTTACTTCGAGTGGTGCTCGTGTGTCCTCGAGTTGTGGTACAGATCATGCTCCGGACTCCCTGGCTTGTTGTTTACCCAGTCCTGCTTCTTGCCCCTCCACCATATGTCTGAAGCACGATGTACTTACTCGTTCTCCGCATAAGGGATCGCCGATGACTTGCATGCTTTCTGCCAAGCAGATGCAAGCCTCCATTACTCTAGGGCACGAGGTACGTTGGCGCAGTAGTGGGCCCTTCCACTAGCGACTGCAAAAGATCGAGATACTCGAACACGCAAATGGTCGTGCTCTAGGCTGCACACCATTATGTGCTCGCCGGGACGCCTCCTGCCGAGAGGCTATCCGACGTGGCGAGAACAATGGCGAGTGCGTCTAGACCCCATGTTCTATGAGGGTAGCCATGGCAGAGCATTGTCTCTAGCATGAGAGATCATATAATATCATTCATCACTTGTTATGAGCGCTATTGACTGTGCCATTGGATTTCGATTTCAACGGTGCTCTTTGTTAAATGACTGTATGTATATGCATAAACTCTTCAGTATAAACAGTTATCCTGATATAGTATTCGGACTTATGGTACCACAAAATGACGGCTTCCCCAATTCAACTCTGCTTGAGAAAATCTTGTGCAAGCAAGGGCCTCGATATCCCGCACTGGACAAAAGATCTGGAGATGTTCGTGGAAAATCCGAATTTACGACAATACGTCGTACGACATAAGGTCAGGTCGACCAGGGTCCCAGGGTCTCAGGATCACCTAGCTGAATGCACGTAACACGAGCACTGCGCTAGGTAACCGGTAATGTAGGGGTTCTTGGTCCGAGGTGTCTCCAATGTCTACAAAGAGCCTCATGCCAGCTTATTGACTAATTAGTTAGAGGGTCTCTGTATGCTTTCCAAAGCTCGCCACATATGCAGTGCATTTGGAACGGAACTCCTATCTCATTTCCTGTCAACAAAGCACGGCTCCACACTTGTTCAGCTTGACATGCTCTATGCAATGGAAGAGTCTGGAGAAATGGCGGGAATTGATTTGATTTCTTCAGAAAACAGAGTGGCGACCGCATCACAGTGGCTATGGGGAGGGCCTTTATTGCCCCGGGCCGAGCGTGCGCTGGGGAGTCTCCTGAGCTAGGCATTGGTTTTGAGCGGACTCAGAGCTTGGTAATGGCATCTCAGGGCCTCGAAGGACATCGTGCTTCTCATGCTTTTCTCTGTAGATGATTTGGTTAGCCTCCAAATGCTGCTTCGTTATCCGAGCAAACTGAAATTGCAAAGCCACGTATCCTAGCAAGGCTGATATTTTGACAGAAGGACGGAAAATACACAACGTACCTTGAGCAGTCCCTTGAAAAAGTCGAAACTGTTAGAGTCACTCTGCAGAGTCCATCGTCTACCGGTTTCTCGGTCTTCCCAGCCCAACTCTTCTGCAATGAGCAAGCCATAGTCCCTCGTGATACCCCTGATTCGAGCTCGCTGCCCGCCCTCCGCCTCCAGTGTCACGATCTGATCCATATGAAGCCAATGTTCGTAATACATCTTCTCCAGGAACTCGTCGAAGCCGGTGACCAAAAACCGAGTGTAGATGTCATCGAAGACGGTCAGGATCCGAGCCAATAGTTTCTCCAGGGTGAATGGGGCGACATCTTTGGGAAGGAGCTGAACGAGCTGGTTCAGCGACGTGGTTGGTGCTGCGTTTGACGTGTTTAGCCCAATGCCGCAGACTGCGATGTATTCTTTGGTGTTGTAGTGGCTGTTGACCAAGATGCCGCCAATCTTCGTGTAGTTCTCGTTCTTGTCACCGCCGTTCTCCTTGGCCTTGACGGGGTCTAGAGCGAAGATGTCGTTGGGCCATTTGAGTTTGATTGGCATATTTTTGTAGAGGTTACCGTCGTACGATTTGATACCATTGACTATTGCCATGGCGGCTAGATATTGCACGAAGACGACTGGAGCAGTCTGCATCAGGACCATCGGATGACGAATGACGGTGCTGAACATCAGGCTACCTGCTGGCGAGACCCACACGTTGGAGCCTCTCCCTCTCCCGGCAACCTGTACAGTCGCCGTGGCGGTGAAACCCTGAGGCAGAATCCGCAGCAGTCTTGTGTTCTTTTCTAGCAACGTATTGGTCGAAGTGACGACTTCCCCATAGAGAAGGTGTGATCCAAAATTAGTTGCTTTGGGTAACAATGTCTGATAATGGCGCAAGTTCGAGTAAAAGGCGTGATGGTTGAAGTATGGCGTGGCCTTTGCCTGAGGGTACTCCTGGTCGTGGACTAAGATTTGTTTGATTATCGTGTTATAATCGATGATCCGATCGGAGCTGCCATCCAATTGGTCAGTAGAATCCTTTGACTCATTCTCCAAAGGTAGGGCCTCTGCCAGATCAAGCATCTTCCAGGTCGAGGGCTTGACAATGTGGAAAGTGTCATTCTCATCCTTGATCAACTCTTCCCCATGGTCATCCTTTTTGGTAATAGTTGCCAATGATGAAATCAAGCTTGCGGCTTCATTGGATTCTAACGATGACAGGTGCATACGAGAGAGGGAAGGTACATTTTGCTCGTCGCTCACTGTAAGCCCAAGCTTGGTGAGACAGGCTTTGACAAAGTCGGTCCGGTGTTTCTCGTCGTTAGCCAAAGCGGCAATAACGTCCGAAAAGCCAGGCACGCTGGGCTTTGGTTCAAGATTGGCGGCAGCGAACCTAGGCTTCGTCAGCGACCAATTATCTACTGGCTTGCCCAAGAAGACGAACTCTGGGTGTGGTCCTGTCAGCAAAGCAGCGCCTTCTCTGACTTTGCAGTAAACCACCGCTGCAGCGCCTTCACCAGGGTCAACTGCCAGGTGATCTGCGTAACTGGCCAGCACCTCGACCCCCTTGTCGCGATATTTCGGGGCGTCGACAAATACGCCTCCACCATTGTAGTATGACTTGAAAACATTTGGGACTGTTCCGGCAGAGAGGAAGTCCTTGTCGACGACTAGGTCAACAGCACGAGCTCCCTTTTCGCTGTGGTATACGAAACCTGGAAAGGCGCAACCTCGATCAGTACCGGGATAGAATGCAAGTTCACGATCACCAATGACTTCGAGCAGCTTGTTGCCCACTTCGAATTCACATTTGGCACTGCCATAATAGCCACCAGCACAGAAACCAATGTATTTCCCGCCACGTTCGACAAATTGGCGAATGCGGCGATTTCCTTCTCCGTTGAGTGCGCTACAGTATCCTTGGTCGGCGCCACCAGGAAAGACGAGGGCAGCACAGCTTGCTGTCCATGGCTCCTTGATCAACATATCCCCAGTAACGGGAATGACGGCATAGTGAGGAGCCAGAAGCCGTCTTAGGGTGAACAGACAATGACGGACAGATTCGACGGTACTACCAAGTCCTGAAGAAAGCATTAGATTTTCATTTCGGCGCCAACTATCCTGAGTGAGCGCACCAGAATAGACGAGGACATTCATGCGTTTTGTAGACATGATTCAAAGTGGCGTGTTCTGATGTTCCGGGGGCGGAGAGAGTGGGCGGACGCCGCTCGGTAGATGTCAGACAGTAACCCACTTCAACGGCGGGGAGCTCTGAGAATTTCTGCAATTTCTGCCACTCACTTGTGTCAAATTAACTGGAAACGATGGCAGAAGAAGAGAAAACTAGACCATCCGAGGCGGCCGACGAAGAGCTTGATGAATGGTAGGTTCTCTCAAGGCCTGAGCTGGCCTGATCTGGTCAAGTCATCGGCTGGTTTGACATGCAAGAATCCAGGGACCAGAGAATCTTCAGCACAGGTTGCTCAGGTGAGTATAGAGACCAAGTTTGGCTCAACAAAGCCACAGGATCCAGGCTTACAGTTTGTAACAGCGGAACAACTTCGAATGAATGATTGCTATTACGAGAAGAAGGACTGGCGAGCATGCAAGAACGAGGTAAGTTGATGAGTTGGAACCCCAACGGCCCTCTCCCCACGGCTCGACAAATTTTCCTCCTCGGCACCAGGAAGCAAGCTCTAAGCTGGGTAACTAATGTGAAAACCAATTACTAGATGGAGATATTCAGACAGTGCTGGAAGAGGAATGGAAACGAGCAGCGGACACAAAGCAAAACGTCCTGAGTGCGTCTCTGTCCACTGTCATGGTCATCATAGAAGCTTTCCAGCTGCAAGAGCCGCTCTTGCTCTTGCCAGTGCCTGCTGAAATTCGTGCCTGCCTCAGCACGCGGGGGTCACGGGTTTTGGTGTAGGCGACGCGATTGGAATTGACGCCAACTTTCGCGGACTTCTCAGCTTTTCCCTATCTGTGCAGTCCACACCTTGTACAACCTCATGTAATCTACTTTGCACCTCTGCACATCACTAAAGACCGCATTCTTTTCAGATATTCTATTCACTTCTTTGCACAAATGTCTTCAACGGCACGGCTCTTTGGCCACAGCCTGAAAAGCGCCATTTCACCTGCACTTTCTGGTTCATCCATGGCTACTCCCATCTCCTTCCACAATGTCTCCATCTTGCGATCATTAACGCCGAGTATTCGTAAATACTCGATATCATTATCCCTCAAGGCAGCAACCACTATCCCTACCATGTCCAGTTCAAACACAAAGCCATCTTCCCCTCCACCATCTCGTACCAAAGACTCGGCTGCATCCTCCTCCCAACCTCTAGCAGATCAGCCATTAAAACTGCAGGAGGAAGACCCTTCGCACGTGGACTGGACAAGATCCTTCCACGGTCTCTCTGTCGAACCGTTTTCAAAAGACGCAGCCGATGTCCTTCTTGCGCCGCTTGATTCCGAGGACGTTGAGATCAAACCAGACGGCATTATATATCTCCCGGAAATAAAATATAGACGGATTCTGAACAAGGCGTTCGGGCCTGGAGGCTGGGGTTTAGCGCCCAGGGGTGAAACAATTGTCACTGAGAAGGCGGTCACTCGTGAATATGCCTTGCTTGCACATGGCAGGTAAGTGTGGCTTCTTCATGTCAAGACCGCGGAACTAAGTCATGTTCAGACTGGTCTCCATAGCCCGAGGAGAGCAAGACTACTTCAACAAGGATGGAATTCCTACTGCATCTGAAGGTTGCAAATCGAATGCCATGATGAGATGTTGTAAAGATCTTGGAGTGGCAAGCGAGCTCTGGGATCCACGATTCATCCGAAAATGGAAGGCCGCCAATACTCGTGAGGTCTTCGTGGAGCATCAAAGCACCAAGAGGCGTACCAAGATCTGGGTCCGCAAGGTTGGTATTGCCTCTGGCTTTTCAAATGATCCGTGTTGACTCGTGTTACTTTTCAGGGCGATCCAGTGTCATATCCTTACGTGGAACTCAAGAAGTAAACAATATTTGCGGTATCAACCGACCCGAACCTAGCACGATATTGTCTTCGAGCTTGGATAGACTCGATCAATAAGGGTAATGGTCTCCGAGAATCATTTGCCAGACAGCCATGCACAGGGATGATGGGCCACCTTTCGCCAAACCCCGGAGGGGCATACGACCGATAATAATTCGATACATACTGCCCTCTTGATAGCCACTCGGTGCGGTAGGTAATACCTCCCGGTTCCCAAGACATATGACAAGCAATGGCAAAGAGAGAAATTGGTCCCTTCCCACTACGGCCGCACGATCTTGGATTGCACGGAATTGGGTTATCGGCTAATGGTGTGCCAACGAATGCTGTCTTGACGGGCACCCATTATGTTCGAAGAAGGAATCGTCGGACATGGTCGGCAATCAAGTAAGCGGTAGGCCCGTAGCCCCAAGCCTGCAAGGGTGTCATATGAGCTTATCGAGGTTCATAGAGCTGCAATTCATCGCATGCAGGAAAAGCGGTGGAGGACACGATGGTCCAAATAATTCGGCATGCGCAATATGTATCTAGGTCAGTGCTTAGTATCCAACGGCTGATCAAGCGCTAGTGCAGTGTAAGCTCGACTTGGGTCATCTGTTTGGATGCAGCATGCTGTAAGGATATCTAGGATTGCCTGACAAGTGTTTCGCCCCTGACTGGTGAGCGCCTGGTGTTTTTGTGAATGGTAACGGTGAAGGATAAGCGGTGGACGGTGAATGGTGCAGGCAGTTGGGGCCCGAGGCCACCGAGGCAGACGGGTGTGCAGGACTCCGTATGGAGATCAGAGCCCAGAGTCCAGAGTCTCGTGGACCGAAGTTCGGATGCTTCCGCCTCCAATCCAATCCACACAATTGGCATGAGCAGTCGCTGTCGAAAAGGTTTCCACCATTGCTCCTCCTCTGCTTCCCCTCGCGCCCCCCTCCTTCCCAGACAGCCACTGTGGTTGCACCTGTGGCAGATCTGCTACCAAATTGAGGACGACGGACAATCCTCCATACTACCACTCGTTAACGTACTCCTTACCTCGTACCCGTGCTCCATTATTGGCCATCTATCCTCATGCGGATACCTATATCGTGTAACTCTTCCGAGCTCCTTCAGAGTTCAGCCCCGCAGTCCTCGCCTTTACTTGAACATTTCAGCTTAGTATAGACTTCGAGCCAAGCATACCAAGAAGTCCCATTCGTGTCGCCTGCCCATGCCAGCGTTTTGAAAAGAATGGCCTGGCTGGCCAGGAAGACATACCCTTCTCTATATGACCGAGTGCAGCTTCACGCTGGCTGATCTGGGCTCGAGCGATTGGGCCGAACTCCAGCATCTGTCCCATTACCATATTGTACAATATCTGAATCTCTCATTGACAGAGCAAATCCGACAATTAGATTCCATTCCATTCCACCTCACCTCACCTCAAATGACGAGAGTGGCAGTGCACCGATCCCCACTGTTCACCATCTGCCCTCGCTCGCTTCTGTGAAAGCCAGCACGGCTCGCCTCTGCACCCCACGAAGTCATCTCATGATCATGGCTGCGGCCGTCACAAACTCTTCTCCACACGTGCCAACGCCCTCCTCGCCTGACGAAGAGGCTGAATTGAGCTTTGGACAAGTCTGGAAAAGCGCTGCCCAAGTACACCAAAGACCCAAACTCGAGGACCAAGCTGCAGCTGGGAGGCGCAAGTCGTCGGTTCAATTCCACACCGCAGACGCTGAGGACACCATAAGAAGAGAGAGCGTTGTGCAAGGCCCTGGTGCTCGGCCTTCCGTGTCTCAGAAAAGGATGTTGTCCCCCCCTCCTCCTTCCAACTATCAGAGAGGCATCTCCTTCGACACCTTTGAGAACAGAGATGCCTCCACTGAAGCCTTTACACTCAACTACAAACACCGCGAATACCACTCCACTCAACGCTCGCGCACATTTCTGTGTGGCACCGATGCTAAAGATTACTCGGAATATGCCTTGGAATGGATGATGGACGAGCTTGTCGACGACGGGGATGAAATTGTGTGCCTCCGAGTTGTCGAAAAGGACGCCAAATCCTCTCTCGACACTGCATATGACCGTGGTAAATATCGCCACGAAGCCCAAAAACTTCTCGACAGTGTGATGAAGAAGAACAGTTCGGAAGAGAAGGCTATTAGTATCATTATGGAACTGGCCGTTGGTAAAGTTCAAGAGATTTTCCAACAAATGGTGTGTAACCAAATGTCCGACCAATCCACTGGTGTAACTGAGCTGACACTTTTTGTAGATCCAGCTATATGAGCCTGCAGCACTAGTGGTCGGAACACGAGGGAGGAACTTGGGCGGTATGCAGGGGCTGCTTCCAGGCTCGGTCTCCAAGTATTGCCTGCAGCACTCCCCGGTTCCCGTGATTGTCGTTCGCCCAACCTCGAAACGGATGAGAAAGAAGAAAAAGCGACAGCAAGAAACAGGCCGCAGTCTGTACAGCAGCATGCTTGAGCAGGCGCAGACCTCTGGGGGCAGTCATCTCTACGAGAAAGGCAGTACCAGTTCCATCTCGGTCCAGGCGACACAGCAAGAGGCCGATGCTGTCGCGAAGGCGATTGGTCCACCCAAGCGTGGTATTTTGAAGGGTACATATGGCGGTCATCTCGCAAAGGTGACATCTGCCAAAAGCGACGTCACATCTGATGAAGACTCCCCCGAGAGAAAGTTTGCATTACCCATTGGCTATCTCAGTACCGAAAGTGCACCCAGAGCTGACCTCGCCATGCAAAGTGCTACCATCGCGGCTTTGGTAGAAGACTGGGACGATGAACCTAAGAGGCCGCCGAAGTCCCCAAGGCAAGGACCAAATGCTGGGGATCGCAGAGATAGTGACGCCGCGATTTCCGACACAGAAGACTCCTACCTTGGTGTCCGGCATCTCGTGGAGGAAAGGAGGCCATCTGTCAGGGAGACAACACCATGGCTGGCAAATATACTTCGAGACAAGCCACCGCCAAAAAGAGCCGGTAGTAAAGGTCGATCTCCAGCACGATAACACTGGCGGACAGGTGGCATATCTGCCACCATTCTCCATCCATTGCTTGTTGTAACGCGTTGTAACAATTGCATATGATGGGAAACTGCTTCTGTTAGTAGTGAGGTTCGGAGATTCTCTGGGACTTCTCATCATTGGAAAGTTCAGATACCCCGCAAGGAAATCGCAAGAGCCAGTACTTCCTTTTGGAAAGACTCATGGGCAGGCAGCCAATGTGCAATGTTTGGGACAGGGATGGTTGACACGATTCTTTTCTCGTATGTGAGCGGTTGTATATGATTCCAAATTAGGGATGGCCTTGTTAGACACTCGTTTCTAAGAGCTGATGCTATGTCCATACGTAAAGGCGATGCTTTATCCATCCTTTGGAATTGTTCGTACTTACCGCATCTCGGAGTCGTCGTAATTGAAAAATTGCGTGTCGGGAGTGACGCGGCTTTGAGAAGATGGCTTCCTTTAACTCTCTACCAAAGTAAGTATGTTACCCGTTGCCCCCCTCAGACCCCTCGCTCCCCTGGCGGTGCCCCGGCCCACGCCGTGATACCGCCGTTTAGACCCTCACTAGCCTCGTGCAAAGGTTAGTTATCAGGTCGGGTGATGCTTTGCTTGATAGGCTCTTTAGGCGTTGGTGCTTAGGCGGCGGCTGTCAGGATTAGGTTCCAAGGCCCCTACACCAAACTACTGTAGGTACGAGTACTACTCGACATTAGTCGTCGTCCCTCGCTCCGTACGGAGTACGTACTCACCCTCGATATTCGGTACCTGGCCAGCAGACACGTCAACCCACCACATCTTTATCAATTCCACGCCCCCTTGCATCTTCACGACCTGTCACATCTCAACTCCCTTCTGCTCCCCCCTTCACTCCGACGACTCGTTCCTCCTATAGAACATGTCTTGGGCGTGCCTCACTTCTCATCATCCGCCAACCTGCTCATAATGCTCCCGACTCAACCAGATGACGACTGCGGTGACTGCATCCCAGCCTACCTGAACCATTCCGCATCCTTTGGAACGAAGGCCTTGTCAACCACTCCCTTTATCGCTACCTTTGCCCTCCTCACTGTCCTCGCATATCGCAAAGTCTTTCCTCTCCTCTCAGTTCAGTACTCTTCTTCTCATGATACTGCGAAATCGCTCCCTCGACCGGCCACGTCAGGTCCTGAGCCGGCTACTCAGCAGGTCGCAAGGAGAATCGCGGCCTTGACATTTTCTTCCACCATTGCTCTATCTGCCGTCCTGACTGAGTTACTACTCTGCGAGATCTCCAATTCGTTTAATCCCACCGCCCGGAGCATTGCCCTGCAGATTACCGTTGCCGGTCTTTTGGGCCTGCTCGTGGTAGCGATTCCGCTTCTGGGTATCTCCTCTGCTGTCTCAAAATCTGGCTACAAGTTTCACGGGGCACAAAAGGGTCGGCTTCGTTTGGCTTGGGTCCTAGAGTTGGCTGGCTACGCAGCCTTTCTTTTTGGCTTCTGGGCAATCGGTACCATCCTTCCAGAAAGTACCACTATCGCGGAGAGTATTAAGGATCAGAGCAGCCTCTTCCAGGCATGTCTGGATAGACTGGGCATTACAGGGGTGTCGTTGATGGCATTGCTGTCTGGTTTCGCATCGGTTAGTGCGATTTGGCAAACGTTTGGGCCCAAACCTCGCCTGGTTACCGAAGCAGAAATCACACGAAAACAAGCTGGGTTGGACGCGACAATCGACATGATCGCAGAGAAGAAAGAGAAGTTGGGGCATTTAGGGAGAAAGAATGCGGAGATACCGAACCAGGGTTTCTGGGGGCGAACAGTCGGCTCTTTTCGTGGTAATGCAGATAGTCAAGAGAAGCAAACACTTGAGATGGAAATGAATGGCCTTGAGACTATGGCCTCATCACTCGAATCTTCTCTGAATATTCTAAGAGTTCGAAGGGGCGATCAGCTGCGTGCGACCACGAAGATGGGGAGACTATCGTTGGGCTTGTCGACTATATTTGCATGCTACTGCGTCTATCGTATATGCATGACAACTTTCAACGTCACGCGAAGGATCTTCTCAAGAGGTCCAAGCACATCATCTGATACTGACCCTGTCACCTACACCATTGCACTATTCGCACGACACATCTATCCATCACTGGACCAAGAGTCATGGGCTCAGCAGATATCCTTTCTCCTTTCAGGCGCCATGCTCCTCGCCTCTTTCTCTGCCGTCACGCAAACATTCCACTTGTTTTCGCGGTTCATGCCCTCTGCACTCCACGCGACCAAGACCAACTTCGCACTTCTCATCAGCCAGATCAGTGGCATGTATGTCATCAGTTCTGCGCTCATGCTGCGCGGTATGATGCCCAAGGAAGTGGGGAGTGTCATCAACAGCGCTCTCGGGGCGGGGTTGCTGGAACCTGCGTGGGTTCAACGCTGGTTCGAGGGTTTTTTCATCCTCGCTGTTGTGGCCACCGCAGCCGGCATCTTCCTCGGCCGCCAGATATCGGGCGCTACTTCCTGGGACGACGATACTGGCTGGGATTTGGGCCTTGAGATGGGAAAACGCTCGTGATTGACCGATATGGTGGCCTTGTCATGTTGATTTACTTCTCTCTTCCCCGTGACGTGTAAATTTCGATACTATGAACGATTGGAACGAAGATATGGTTTTAAGACGGGGCCTTCTACGCAGGAACTACGCCCCAGTTATGTGCTGGCAGAAATCCAGTTCCCCAGGTACTACGGTGCCCAGAACAGAAATGGAATAAGTCAAGGGAATTAAATCCCTTTCAAAGAACTTCTTTTCCCTCATTTCTTTCTACATGGGGCGTTTATAACGGTGTGGCCCGGCTCCGTTAGCCAGAGTTCATGGAGTTGCCCCCTCTCCTGACTGCATTTTGGTATATCGTTTTTGGGTGTTCCCACTTGACGCTGCAAATCCCAACGACAAGTGGCTCCTCACCACAAGATAGTGCGGCCACTTTCCCAGGGTCCCTCCAAGCATAGTCGTACTCCTATGTTCCTTAGCTTTTCTGATTGGCGAATGGCAGACCAGCCTCCAGCCTTTTCGCGCCGTAAATGCCTGCAATATCACCTTTTTCGCCCTGGTCCTCCTTGACGACTTTTAGATACGAGTCCGCCAATTCTACGTTCTTCATCTTTCCACCAGCCTTTGACACCAGGTCCATGGCGTGCCGAGCGTCTTTCCGCGCAAGATCCACAGCAAACAAGGGATCCGCTCGTTGATAGTAGTCCCCGGACCTCATGCGATTGGAGTAAGCGGTATAAGGACCCGGAAACATAATCTCGATGAACTGATGGAGCTCGTCGACGCCCAGGCCCGTCTTTTCCGCCGCGACCAGGCCTTCGGAGAGCGTCTCAATCATGCTGAGAATAAACGTGTTGCCGAGCACCTTCAACAACGTCGCCTTGCGCGGCTCCTGGCCCGAAAAATCGATGTTGGCACGCCCCATCACGCCCTTACAGTAGGGCTTCACTTTGTCGACGGCATCGGCCTTGCCCGACAGCACACAGATCAGTTGCCCAGCGTCCGCCATCGACGGTGCGCCGAAGACCGGGCACGCCACGAAGCCGGCGCCTTTCTCCTCCACGAGCCGTGCTTCCTCCGCCGTCGTATCCGGGTGTACCGTGCTGCAGTCCACGAGCACTTTTCCCGTGACGTCGACCTTCAGGATCTCGTCTAGTGTTGACAGAACGGCCGCGTCGTCGCCCAGGCAGTAGAATATGAGATCTGCCTTGGTCGCTGCGTCTGCGATGGACGAGGCTACTTGAGAGTTTCCTATCTTGGCCGCCAGATCTTCTGCTCGTTTCGCCGTTCGGTTGTGGATGATCAGCGGCTTCGAGAGATTGCCTTTCTCAACGAGATTCTTGCACATGCCCTGGCGGATTGGGTCAGTTTGTTCGAAGGCGCCATAAAGGAGAAATATAGGTATTGATGAGACCTTCGTCCGGGATATGGATGGATGGGTGGGAATGAAAAGGATTTGTGAATTTTGTACTTTGTACTTACCCGTCCCATGTTCCCCAGTCCTAGCCATGCCAGTTGCGAGGCCATGTTTGACTTAATATATCAAAGTATTGATCACACGGGTCAGGGTTATTTGGCACACTTGCTTATATAATAGTGACTTAGCTCTTCCTAGAATGGCGAGGAGAGCGGGGTGCGTCTATTTAACGAAATGGGCACACAGAGATATAACAGACACTCACCCGATCAGTCAACTATACTGTATATATGCATATATGTCTTTATATATTTAGGTTGTCTACAGACACTCAACCTTTATACGACTCAAGGATCAATCGAGTTCCCGTAACCACCCGTTCCGTTGATAATGACGTTAAATAAGGGTGGGACAATTGTGGGAGTGCGGAGACATGCCGGCGCTGACTAAAAACAACTAAATACCAGAAAGTCAATTTGGAAGTGCCTGTAGCCCCTTTCAAGGTGGGTATACTCGTCTGGAGCTTCGTACAACGCGAGATTTATTGTACGTTGATCGGAGAAATGCGGGTTCAAAGTACCCAAGGCCATGGTGCAAGTCAGGAGAAGACCAGAGCCTTGAGCGTACAAGGTACTACAGTAACCCAAAGTGCGCCGGTATTTGGCGACTCGTTCGCAGCGCTCTGCACCAGATTGAAGAATCGAGAATCTGCATTGTATGAGGGGAAATCATCGAGCTCTTGAAAGGCTGCCGTGGTGGCTAGTGGAGGACAGGTATTTTGCGGATGACCCTGACATGCTGATCAGAGTATTCAGCGCCGTGGAAGATATCATACTTTGACATTTCATCAAGCATACCGCTAGACTCCTTCTGTTACGGGTCGTGGATGGGGAGGTACCAAACATCAACTGAGCACTCTTGCAGGATTCCTTGCAGGATAACGATACTTGGGCAACGCCTTCAACGAAAGCCCTGTAGTTGATAGGCCGCCCCCAGAAGCTTGTCTCGCAGACCGAGTGTCCCCTGCAAGGCGATCGCAAGCCGCGTGTGTCAAAATCAGGCTTCCAACCAAGATTCCGAGAGCACATCAGGTCGCGGCCTTGATGGCTCATGGCAGTGCATCGGTTCATCATGCAGCAGCCTCGCAGGTTGAGCGAGGCTGGATATGAAAGAAGACCGCCTAGGGGCCAATTGAACCGGACGACTTGCCTGATCAGATATACATGTGCTCATTGGCTGTTGCTCATCACAATGCAGAGTACTCGATACTGGCGAGAAGAACATCAGAGTTATAGTTGCTCTGAGTTCATTGATCGGAAGCTCTCGAATGAGGCTCTTTCTAGAGAAGCCTGCTCATCCCGCGCCTGTGGCCTATGGGGGTTTCAAATACGATGCCAGCCTCGAGTGTCTGCTGTGTCTGTGCAAATGGGGGAACGGGGGGGTGGGTGGAGGAACTGACGTAAAAGCAGCACGTTAAGGCACCAGATTGGGCGTGCTTGGGTGGGTCGATCACCATTTAGAGCATTTGTTAGCGCAAGTCTCTGAGTATCACACTAACCCGATTGAACTAATATACACCCGTTCTTTTGACGCAATGATTGTCCCCAACCTGAGTCCATGCCTGACTTAGCTCCTCAACCACTGGCTTCATTCTCCTCTCCCCTCATTCTTCACATCTCTTGAATATCCTGTCTATCTGCGTGGCCCTCTGGAGGGCGACCTGGACCGGTGGACATGTTCGACGCCAGCCTGCGGGGCTTCCAGGAGTTCGTGACGACATTGTGCAACAACAACCGTCTAACGACATTACCACTGCATGCACACCAGGTTGTGGCAGCATTCCTTGTCTACGAATGCATATTCACGCTCCTCTCACCGGCCATCTCGACCACGCTCTTTCGAAATTCATATGGCCGCTTCCCCCGCCGCACCAGAGTGAACTGGGACGCACGGGTGGTGTCGACCATCCAGGCGACGTTTGTCTCGTTCATGGCCCTGCGAGTGATCCTGGGCGATGGCGAGGCTCGCAGCACCATGTCTCGTGACGACAGGCTGTGGGGATACTCACCTGCCAGTGGCAGAGTGCAGGCTTTCGCTGCTGGTTACTTCCTCTGGGATGTCTTTCTCTGTGTCCGCCACCTCGAGGTCCAGGGTGTCCCAGCGCTCCTCCATGGCGTGGCTGCGTTGGTAATCACCGTCACGGGTTTTGTAAGCTTATGCCCTCTTCCAAAGAAAAGCGAAGTTTCCCCTTTTCTTCCAATAAACCGCCGCGAACTGACTCCCATCCAAACCCAGCGCCCATTCGCAAACTTCTACGGCATCAACTTCGTGCTGTACGAGCTCTCGACGCCCTTCTTGAACATTCACTGGTTCCTCGACAAGGCGGGCCAGACAGGCACAACGATCCAACTCGTCAACGGCATCTGTCTGATCGCCGCATTCTTCGGCTGCCGCCTGGTCTGGGGAAACTATCAGACGCTGAACCTGTCCCTGGACGCCTTTGAAGCCTGGAAGGCATCCACCGGCGCAGAGTGCCTCGCTCAGAAGGGCCCTCCAAGAACAGGGGTGCCGTCGCCAGCATTGTGCTCAACAGATTTCCCCACCCGCCTGTTAACGGTGTATCTGATAGGCAACACGATCCTGAGTGCGCTCAATGCCTACTGGTTCGGGCTGATGGTGAAGGCCCTGCGCAAGCGGTTCACACCTTCGTCGGCCTCGGGGAAGGAGAGGGGGAAGGAGAAGGAAGGATAGTTACGTGCCTTGGATTAGATCAGTTAGGAACTCTCTTCCCGGTGTTGCTGTTGGAACTAGAAAGCATACCCATGGAGGGCAGGACCATGGGCAGAGGTCCAACCCCTCTTGTTTGGAATAGCACGCTCCATACCTGACGCAGGTGTAGAACCCAAAATATACTATAGAGAAATATAGTGGATGATGTATCGGTACACCGTTGATTTCGCAGCAATATCTTTTATCATGTCCCAAAAACATTTATATCGCAGAAGAACGAAAGGAATATAAGTTAACACATCCGAAGCTCCTCGCGGTCAGCACATTCTTCACCGTTGGTTGGATGGTTTCTGAACAACACTATTACATTGCGCTTCCCCACGAGACCAAAAACAACACCATTTGTCTTACGGTGTCTTTACTTATTGCTCGCATCAAACATCAGCCGGCTCTTTGGATCCGCAAAAGGGACACACACATACCATATGCAGGCATGTGCCGGGGGCGGGGGTCCAATTCTACAAAAATGGCCCTCTCGAGATGGCTGAGATACTAGTATAGTGCTGGCCCAAAGAAAGCTCTCGATCTGGAACGCCTCACTTTTTGCTTGCACCTGACCGCGGTCTCCTATCACAACCGCCCACGCAAGCTTGCTTCCTTCTTTTCGCCACGCTTGGTTGACTCCGCCAAGTCTCATCCACTGTTGATTTGATCGAGCGAGATTTGCTTTTCTCCGCCAGTCTGTCTCTGTCTTCCCCCACCAACCCCAGCGCGCGGCCAGCTGACTAGTTGATTTGCTCGGCCTTGGGTCGATGCATAACTCATGTAATGATTGACTTTTGAAACCCCGGAATTGGAGGTGTTTGCTTGGCCACAAACATCCCATATAATGCTGCGTGGTATGACGTGCTCGCTCCTCCTTGGATGCCTTGTGCCATTCGACAGTAAGGGAAACATCGACACAGAATCGTGAAAAGTGGATATACATGCTCGTTCGCCGGAGGCCGCACAAATAACACAATATGCATTGTACTTCAGCTCCGAGCTTCTCTCCTTGGACTCGCCGAAACCGACATGCTCCATCCGTAGAACTGGCATATATGATGTCAGATCCACAATTCCGCATCTTACAAGCATGCCTGCTTTGCCACTGCCGGTATCGACGTCTGCATCTGCAGGTGCCCTTGGTCTTGGTTGCGCCCATGCGCCGGCACAGGGACGGATTGAGGGACGGATCCGTGGTTTTGTTATGCTAAGTCTACCTGTGGTCAGCTCGCAAGGCATGCCATCCGTGCTATGCCGCTCCCTTCGGCACGGTTCGATGGGAATCTTGGCGTGGTAGAGGCACATTGATAGCCGCCCTTGATAAACCAGTGACCAAATCAACCAGCTAGGTAAGTACTGGAAGTCTCGTCTTTTGGCGCATCTTGTCTGGCCAAACAGTTGGATCGTTCCCCTTGGATCTCGCACGCACAGGTTTTCGTAAAGACTGCTCCTTGCTCCTTATTTTTCGCTACCTACCCCCCTGCTGCCAGTCATATGATTTTGTGTTTTGTTTCCTAATATGTCGGTGGGTCAGCTTCCTTTTCGGTGGTCTGTAAAATAAGAAGCATATTTAGTTAAGATTGCCGGCTTTCCAGAAGAATTCACATGGATGGAGCGCCGCATGGCTGGCATAGCATATCACTCTCTCGCACTTCCCGTTCTATTTTCTTGCTCTTCTCTTCAATTGGCCGGAGGTTTGCCTTGTTTGTACAGTAGTAAGGGCCCTACTGATTAGTTGCGAATTGAGGCTGACGGTGAAGGGACCCTCCGGGAGGTCCAGAGCTAGCTAGGCGGCTTTCTCGCAATCCGTCATCCCCTAGGAGTAGGGGACGAGCGATTTAAAATCGAGAGAGATGCACAGGAGCAATCTTGTATCTCAGCCTGGGCTGCATCGAGTAAGATAAGGCGTGGGTAGAGAGAATCGAGAGATAAAAATGGTATAGGTTCCCCCACAAAAGCCAGCAAAATCAATATCCTGAGAAGATAAACGAATTCACACCAGAAATACGCTCAAAACGCTGCAAAATGCTCCTTAACACAAAATAGAACTCCATGCTTGGAATAAGCGAGAAGAAAGAGAAGTGCAGCCCGCCATAGCCTCGTCCGTGGCTTTGTATCTGCACGGTAGATGAACGATTGTAATGGTAGTAGAGGAGAGAGCCGGAGGCTAGCAAGCAAGCAAATTAGCCAACTCGCTCCTAATTAGCTACTTTGCATCACTTTCTTTTTGGGCATCTCCAAGACCGCTGAGTCGATATTTCATTGATCACCTGGGTTCAATCCTTCTCGCTGTGTGCGTTTCAATTCCCTTTATCTATCCTTCGCATCCCCTTCCACACACATTCGAGAAATAGAAAACACAGTACGTCATAAAATCGCCATCACCAAGAATACTCGCTTCGTGCTTTGTTTTGTTTTGTTTTGTTTTTTGTTGTTGGTCCATTCTCTCGCCGCTTCAGAATGCTCCGTGAACGCTTCCAGAGTCGTCGCTTCCGCCTAGACTCCTTGTATCTGAGTCCATCCCATCCCATCCATAACTGATGTCTAGAGATGGTGGGGTTGGATCAATAAGCGGATTGGTGCTGAGGCGGAATAGTTTTGCTGGATCATCTGACCGCCTGCGAGCTCTGGTCTCCGGTGTGACCCATCTCTCGTTCGGATTCCAATCCCAAAGATCTTGCAGACGCAGTTGTTCCGGTGTTTCGAATCGATATAGGTCCATGTCATCTGCTGCTTGAGACTTGGTCTTGCCTTTGTCTTTTTCATCGACTTCGCCGGGTCCATGTTCGAGATCATCTTCCGGGTTGTCGATACCCCACTTTCCAAGCTCTTTTAGAAGATTCTGCAGGTCTCGTTTTGCGCCCAGCGTGTAGCTGTGATTCCTTCCAAGCATTTTCATCCTTCCCTCGAGGATAAACCAGTACATTTCCTCCGTCAGGTCTGTCCTTCCCTGTTTCTGGTACAAAAGTGCCAACAGCCTCATACTTTCTAGCCGCCTAGGATGGCTGGCGCCTAGTGTATCTCTGGAATCTTGGAGAACTCGCCGCCACATATCAATGGACTCGTTGATTCGCCCTTGTCGTTCCAGACACCGGCTGAGGTTCGTCAATGCCGAGATAGATTGTAGATGCTGCGGACCTAAGACAGAGGCCGACAGTTCATAGACTTCCCTCAGGATATATTCACATTCTTCGAGCTTTCGCTCTACGTTCAGCATGTAGCCATAGCAATACAAGGATGCAATGGATCGTGGGTCGTTGCGGCCATGGAGTCTAAGGAAATGATTGTGCACGCTGAACAACGTCTGGCTGGGTATTTCCCCATGCTTCACTTCCAGGTCTGCCACTAATACCATCCACCGAACAAGAGTGGTCAGGGGATCATTATGGCCAAGCACTCGCTCAGTGACAATGTACGCCGACTTAATGATTCGTCTGGTAATTTCACCTTCGTCGTGCATATGCAAGATTGAAAGTGTCTGATGTAGCGCAAGAATAACTTTCGGATCTTGGTGTGGGGTGAGCATTTGCTCGAACTCAGCGTCGGCGTCAGCCAGGCTTTTCTGAGATAACATATCATTGCCTCGATTGAGATAAATGCATGCCGAAAAAGATCGGGCCACCCACTTCCAGGAATGCTCATGACCGCGCGAAGAACCAGGCACTTGGATTGTGTTCTCTGCCACTTCCGAGGTCTCGTTCAATATACTGCGAGACTGCTGGGGCAGTTCTAAATTTGGAAGACTGATGAAGTGATCGTTGGTATATTTGTTACACTGTGGGCAAATCTGTTCGAAATCGCTGCTTTCCGGAGAAGACGTATCGCAGATGAGTCTCCATGCCGGAATGTCATCATGACCACATATAGACCTCAGTGGCGGTGCGTCCACGATTTGCAACGCCATAATTTCGACATTTCTCCCCAGGTGCTGACACGGCATGGCGGGGCTATGAGTGTTGTGCATAGACCCGGCATAGCGAATATGATCATCCAAGGCTCCCAAAGGCGGATTGGCAGATGCATAAGATGATGCCTGGGGTGGTGAGGAATCGAATTGGTGATGGTCGGTCTGAGGCCACGTGATTGAGCCATTATCCCTCGACGGGGGAGATTGAGTAGCGGGACTTTGGTACGTGGATGGTGTCAACTGTGTCGCAAGTGAAGGCCAATAGACGGCGGATGGCCTCTCGTGGGGTGATAGTCTTTGTGAAGTTGGAGATCCGCGGTGGGTGGAAGTGGAACACGAGCCTGAAACAGGTTCAGCGCGTGTGGGCGAGGACTTGGCAGAGCTTGCTGCAATCTCCCCCAGAGTGCCGGGAGTGCTTTTCGCTGGGGCGAAGGAGCCTGGCGCCTCGCTTTCAACGTCTGCCTCTGGTGTAAATGATCGCACATGAGCATATTGCTGGTCTTGCTCCTGTTCTTCCTGGCTTCTACAGTGAACGTTTTTCAGTGCCGTTGCCAGGAAATCATCCTCGGACATTTTCCGGCCTTTGATATACTTGTGCAGGTCCTTGAGAGACCGTTTGTGGCCATGGATCTCAAAGGTGGTGGCCTGCTTGCCACTGTTTAGACGGATGTGGTGCAGAACCGCACATATTTGATAGTCACGGTCAGAGTAGTTTTTGCTGAACCCCCACTGGGCCAGACGGGCTTTATACATCCGCTCGCTATCAGTTTGGATCAGATCAGCATGGGTCGACTAGCCAGGTTGCTCGCCAAATGAATGGGCCTCCCAGAAAACCGAATCGAAAGGGAAAGGACTCGGCTGGTTGCATTGGATTAGATTAATGAAATTGACGTACGTTGCGCGGAAACCCCTTCGTTGCTCCAAAATCTTCCTGACATCCTTCAACGGCTTCTTCTCGTAGAGGATCCTGATCTCTTCCTTCACCGCCTGCCATTGCGCGGGACCGGGGCCTTCGCGCGCTTCAAGATGAGAGGCTGGGGCTGACGGTGCGGAAGCTTGTGGTTGAGACCGTGATTGTGGTTGAGCAACATCCCGGAAGGTCCAGGCTTGGGAATTCCCCAGGCTCAAGGCCATTGACTCGATGCTGCAATGATATTGTTGTTGCTCATCACTGCCTAAAAAAAAGTTAGGGTCATAAAAACGGATGAGCTGGACTCTAGCTATCAAGCGTAGCTTCGGATCCCGGCTGAATTATGGTCTGACAATTTGCCTACTGGCAACTCGCAACTCGCACTGGGACTTGGGACGAGGCGGCCCGTGACGAGCAGGGAGGATGAAAGGTTGAATGGAGACTCAAGAGGGGTGAGTCGTGCAGGTGCAGCAGATGGTGGGTTGTTTGATCAGCGGGTACTGCGTAGCTTTCAAGATTGTCGTGGCCTTTTCTTGCGCTCGTGAGACATGCATCACGGCATCTGGCAAGGTCGGGACGCCGGTTTCTTAGCTTGTGATGGCGGGTGAGGTTATGCATGGATCTTTACGATCACCAATCATGGTTGACGGTGCTTTTGGTGGCTTTATTGGCTGCCTTCCCCAGGAGATTAACCACAACGGAAAAGCCAGTGCCAGCACACAAACAATTCAACGTTTTTTTGCTGGACGTTGGTTGTCAACCGATTGTTTTCCTCGAATGAACCGTACGAGGTATTCATGTTTATATACTTTGCACCTTCCGCCATCATCGGGCGACAGGCGCTCTTGCCACGTTGTGTTCGCTTTGCATCGCCGCTTCCTCGTGGCTAAATCACGTGTGCTAGGCTGGCAGAGTCCTGAGGGGCGTTTTTGCACAGCCCTTGAGAAAACACCCCGCGACACGAAGCAAATATGCACCATCAAGCCCCTTGATCCCAAAGTTGGAGCCCGATATTGATCACATGGGCATCACTCGGGAAATCTGGCTTATCTTTGAACGGCTGACGAGTATCGAGAACTTGGTCGACTGGACACCACCGCACAGCAAAACACTCTCCACGACACTCTGCGTGGGCGAGTGTAGCATTGAGTTTTGACTTGGAAGAGTTTCAGGATCAAAATGCTAAGTATATACAGGCATTCCAAATCAGTTCGCACTACTGCGCACAGTATATTTCAGCAAAGGTCCGGACTTGGAACTGTTAACTGCACTGGAGTTCCGGCCACCACGAAGAGCGCAGTGATAGGCACTCACTTGTCGGCCAGGATAATACTTGTGCTTCCTTGTTTGCCTCTGTTGGCACCCTTTACTGGAATCAGTAGTCACTTGGATGGCTGTTTCCACGCCTCTTAACCAAACACTCCAGAGCAGGTCAACCTCAATACAAATTGGCTTCTCAGCCTGCAGTAAATGGACGAACAAAGATCAAACCAACAAACCATCGCGGCCCCTCTCTAGTCATACATCAACCAGAGTATCGAGATGCATGAGCTTTCCTCTGAATGGAAATCTGTGAGAAGTGAAAAGAAAATATGCTTTCATGTGCACCTTGATCAAGTGGCTACGTCGCTCTGGACGGGTGAGAATGATGAATGCTACGGAACAACCATTGTAAACTGGCCCGATCTTGGTGCCAGGATTCGACGACTGAGTTGTTCTCTTACCCTGGACGAAGCATGCGATCTTGTAGGTGAGTTTATGCAGTCAGGCATGGAGATTCGCGCGCTGGGTCCAGGCCCATCTTGGACAGCGGAATCTAAGCGTGGCAAAACAACAACTGAGATTCTGGGCCCTTCGATGACACAGGACAGACCCCAGAGTACCAGATTAGTGTGCAAAGTAAGTATACGACGAATCGACCTATCGCTGGCTACCTCTTCTCGTATCCTCGTACTGCGACTGACGCGGGTTTCGACTGTTGTATGATTCACCAGGTCTATTGTTGGAGCTGGAGTAGGCTCGGTTGGACTGCTCCTCTGCTGGCGCAAGAGAACCCTGACGCGAGCCGGGAATTTCCATGGGTGATGCTCTCGCTGGTTCGTATTCGCGGTCCATAACGTCTGGATCTGGTTGTCCCGGCTGGGGTTTTCTCGGTGGTGCTCTTACGGTTGACTGCTCATATGTAGGAGGAATGTCGTATGGATGTTTAGTGGTGGACGAGATCTGAGCGGGGTAATTGGTTGATGGATAAGGCTTGGTATAAAGATTACTGTTGCCAGGCAGCTGACCACTGGGGACGTTTGCTGTATACTGGGCGTTCACTGCAGTGTAATTTATATTATACGTGTTGGATGGGTTCTCTGGTTTCGATGTACCGGGGAAATAGCCACCACCTGGCCTCGAGTAGTCGGAGGATTGTTGTTGCTGTTGCTGCTGAGAGAATTGATTGTACGCCCCGGCTGGGACAGCGTTGGAAATGGGTGGACTGGTAGCCTTGGTCTGTGCATGCTGAGCACTTTGATCGCTGGAATCTTTTGATGGACCTGCACGGAGTCGCCGTTTGGCCGTGGCGGACTCGTGGTATCGATAAGGTCGCTGTTCGAACGACTCTAACAATAATCAATATCAACCAGCTCGTAGCGTTTGGTTGCACCCACTAGCACTTTGCTCTGTGTCCCAATCTCTTGAATCAGCGAGGATATCACGAAGGTTCAACTATCAAATGACTGTGAGTCGAAGGCGTTCGCCATGAATGGGAGGGACGGCCTTACGGTGGTCAAGACGTCTCGAGCAGTGACGTTGAAGCCAAAGCGTGTTTTATCCTATGGAGGGTCAGCATGAATCTGGCATGTATGCGACTTGTCTCCCGTACCGTGGGATGTGGACAAGGTCTGATTTTCGGCCTCTTATCGACATAATTGAAGAGGAAGAAACTCAAGACCTCAGAGTTGATCCGTTCTCCCGGGACGAAGAAGTGCCTGGGCTCGTCCTCGTCCGAGGTTTCTGAATCGCTGCGATCATTGCGCTTGACCTTTGGTCTTTTCGTCGGTCCTTTAGGCATTATGCTTCTGTGGGACAGGGTAGGTTGAGATGACGGGCTTGGAGATAGGAGGCACGGGGTGAGGTTCTCTGCGGCGACGTTGGTCTAGCTCGGGAGATGCCTGGAGAGAGGAGCGTGTGATGATTCGACAGGAAAGGATATGGATTGCCGAATGAGCATGCTTGAAGAACTATGCAGAGCCGGACTGGAATGGGCCAGACACAGAGGATGAAGGACAGCGAACCGTAGAAGGAACGAGACTCAGTTAGGTGACATGATGGAGTGATTCCGTGAGCAGTCGGAGGTTTGGTAGGCTGGACGTTGGGCAGCACATGTGGCAGAAGTGGTCGAGTCGGAATGTGAGTCGAGGCGAGGACGGTGGACGGTGGACGGTGGATGTGTTGTCACTTTGGAGTCTAGAGGCTCCAGTTTGCTGGATGGGCGTCTTTCAGCACTAGCGAAGAAAACGACACGGAATGGAGCGATGCATAACGCCAGAGAAGAGGCAGTCCATTAAGAGGCCTTGTTGGCATGAACACATGATATGTTTGGTTTGCTTAGACTCGTGGGTAGTGCACAGGCAGGGCCAGGGAGACGACGGAGACGAGGGACACCAGGGCAGCTTCGAAACCACCGAGTACTACCCCGCGGTAGCTGTGGCAGCGGGCAGCGGGCAGCCCACTGCGGTGGCACTCGATTATGCCACCATGTAATGTTGGCCAGACGAGGTACGGGATAGGGGTCTTCCTTGGACAGACTTACGATCCCACATTGTCAAGCTCGCTTGTCTGGACAAAGCTGTGGATGGGTTCGTCGCTTCCAAATGTGACCGGTTTCGGTTTGCTGAGACGAACCCGAGGTTTTGGCGGCGTTTTCGTGTATCCTTCAATGCCTCGTGTAGTCACGGGCCGCAAACCTTCAATGACGATTGCACGTTCGTGGCTCATGTCAGGTTAGAACGCAGAACCTGAACAACGGGGGACGGGACTCGGGAGGGGCAGATTAAGCGGCCGGGAATGATCAAAATGGCTGTCCGAGCATGTCTGACGTGCCAGGCCTCCACGAGCTGGCCGGATGATTATTGTGCAGCTGGCAGCTGTGAATCCGTGGCAGCCCACCAAAGCCCCCCACAAGCCCAATGGTATCTTTGGCACTTGGGAGGTGGCTCAAATTAGAAACCGGCACATGGAGCCTCTCCCTGCCGAGGCATCATTGTAGGCTGAATTGCCGACGCGCAAACTGTGACAAGTTGGAAGTGGTACCAAGCAGCCTCAGCATTTCTCTCGACGGGGGAGGAAAGCATATTATCGCTTCATGTGCCCAAGTCAGCCAGACAGCTCAGGCACACTTCTTGTCGTTGAATGCTCAAAAAGTGTTGATCCGCGGCGACCTTCCAAATGGGGTACCTATGTTGGTAGGATGGTTCCCAAAATGTTGGAACACTTAGGTGAACCACGGTTCGGCTGTTACTGAGCAATCTTGAAACGAGAACAACCAGAGAAGAGCAGCAGGCTGAGATATGAACGAAGAGGAACAGTCTGCGTGCCTCGAGACGACCTTGCTGTCAAATTAAGGTGTAGGCTATCGGACCGGGAAGGGCCTCAAACGACTGAACTATGTCACAGCTCACCGCTACTTTTTCCATTTTGAGACGAGATAATGTCGGTTACTGGCCTTACATGTCCAAGATCAATATCACAACTATCAGCGCCGCAGACACCTTGATGCTGATCAAGCTCCGAGCCACAGCAGCGGACGATTCTCCGCCGCTGCCACCACTACTCTGCCCACCCCCCTGCCCTTCAGAGCCTCCCTGTGGTGGCGTGGTATTGTTCGCTGGGGAAGCACGATCAGCTTGGCTAGCGGGAAGTTGGAACCTCGCGTCTGCGGTCAATGGCAGACTTGTATCAATAGTGACCACCTGAGTCGTACCGTTGAAGGTGAATGTCGACGACAACCCCGTCAAGTTGACACTTTGGGGCTCAGAGCTAACCCCCAGAACGCTGATCCTCTCAATGCTGACATTAGCACCATAGTCGTATTCGCCAGACATGGTGAATGATCCATTGTTGTACGTGAAATTGATGAAAGTAGTCCTTGGCTGTTCAATTGAAACACCATCATCCATGTAGTGGGACCCTTTGGTTTGTCCATCCAACCCCGGCGCCACAAGGATGTGAAATCCTTTCGCGCGGACTGCTGCAGTAGTGTTTGCACTCTCCATCCGAAGAGGCAGGATATTGCCACCACGTACGTGCAATGGGATGGTTGTAGAATCGATATCAGACAGCCTAATTGTGGCTCCACTGCCTCTGACGGGAGAGAAATCTCCGTTCCAGTCGTAAAATATATGGTCGAGCAGGTAGACATCTACACTGGTGCTGTTCTCCTCAGTGACCGGTGACACAAGGATGCCATCGCCGTAGAAGAATTGAGAATCGATGCCGAACGTCTCTTTATCAGTGGCGTAGAGATAGAAGAGCGGTTTCAGTGCCTGCTTGCCTATCTGAGTCTGAACATAAAATGCCGTGTAGAGATAGTCCAATAAGTGATATCTGATGTCAATAGCTCTTCTTGCTGCTTCTGCCACGGTCGGCCATCTATAGGCTTCCTGCCCGATACTGCCCAATTCGTTGTAATTTGGATAAAAGCTTTGAAAGGCTCCGAGCATCATCCAGCGAGCACACAATGTTTCTGTAGTGTTGCCGGAGAACCCACAAACATCCGAGCCTACCATAGGCGTTTGAAAGACGCTGGGAAAATTCAACATGGACGAGATACTGATCTCATACTGTGCCCAACTCGCCACATTATCACCACACCAGTGTCCGACGTGTCTGCCAGCTCCAAGGAAGGTGCTTCGTGTGATCACCAGAGGCCTTTCTCCTGGTCGACGCTGGAGGAGGGCTTCGCGTGATGCCGACGACATCATCATGCCGTACAGATTATGCGTATCGTATTCCACTAGCCCGTTGTCATGAACCAGCTCCGTATCCAACGTCTTGTTTGAGAGTCCGCCCGCAGCATTCCTGATCTTGTAAGGTGGGTCGATCAATTCCCGCCCAGAAAGCACCATATGCTTACCCAAACTCGACTCTTGTCGCTTCCTCTGTGACGGTGGCTGAAAACCGGCTGGGAACCCTTCGAGAACAATCGCCGACCCATTTCGCACTGGTGGAGGCTTTGGCGGGAAATCATTCTCCTTAGCAAACCCACCCGGATCCTTACATGGATAGTTGCAGAAGCTAGAAAATGCAAGCTAGGGCAAGTTTCATCTTCTGCAGATCATGAGCACTTAGCGGCTTTATTCATATCAATCTATAGCTTTGAAATGTCGACACCTGTGTCAGGGTTGAAGAATGTCTCGAACTGATGATTCCAGTAAATTTGACTCCCTGGATTGAAGAAGTCTGGCCACGCGGTGATTCCTGGCCACACAACACCCGCGAAGACGGACCCGTTGCTGGTTTTCATGAAGATGTCCTTCCCATCATTAAATGCAGCATAATCTTGGTAGGCGACTGCAGGGTCAACCATCATAATGTAGTGCTGTTGATGGCCACTGAGATAATACACAAGCTCACGAACTTTAGAAAGGGGGAATCGCTCTGGATCTAGAGTGAAAACCTTTCGTGCATCCTGCCGCACATTAGCTGGGAGCGGATCCTGTTCATTGCTGCACTCACCATGTAATCAATGTCTGTCCACATCGTCTGCGATTTCGTTAGCTATGCTAATTCAACGATGAGAAGACCCGTACCTCAAGAGGTATATTCGCTTGACTGTAGTTGTATACAACTTCTGCTACCTGGTATACGTCTTGGTAGCCATACCTACATTGGTGGAAGCCGAAGGTCCAATATGCCATCATAGCAGGTTTTCCCACAACTTCAGAGATCTGCTGGGATACCTCGACCGGTGAAGGGCCTGCGACAAAATAAAGATCAAAGACTCCGCCCAAAGTGTTATATTCAAGATACTGGCCATTGGTATTGTTGATCTTAATGTCCATCCCGTTCGAATTCATAAGAACAACTCCATGGGTACCATTTTCTCCTCGGTGATCGACATAGACTGGGTGATTGCCGTAGAGATTGGTGCCTTGCGGAATCGCGTAGGAGTCTCGAGACCACAGGGTCCATGTGTAATTGGTTGTATTCAATTTGAAATGGTCAGAGTGCTCACCAAGGCCGTATAGATTTGGACCATCTGGAAGTGAGGTTCTTAGGCCTAAATACTGTGATTCAAAGATGATCGGATAGCCTGATGTGTTGAAAAGTGCTTCCCCTTCAAGGCGGGAGACTGCGAAGCTGAAAGGGTCCTCCGTGTAGGTTAATTGAATTTTAGAGTCGTTGGCCCAAATTTCTGAGGTAGTGTTGGGCCTAGGAAGAACAGATTCTGGGATTTGATATACTGTTTCGTTTGCGTCCTGGATGAGAACGTGAAGCCTCGAAGCTACAGTGTGCGTTAGTACCGACACCCTCGTATCCGATGCTCTGAGATACCAGTCTGATATTCTACAGTCAGGGTCAGATTGGGTAGATCTACCCCGTAGACATCGCAGGAACGGCCTGCAAGATGCAGATCAGCCGTCAAACCACTTTGGGTTTGCTGGATATTCGTTGCAGCGTAGCCAGGACATTCACTCTGAGCAACGATCAGTGCGGAACTGACAATTAAGCCGAGACCGTGAAGGACAAGCATGTTATCGAGTCTATCTGCACAGAATTTGGGATTCAAGAGACGCAGAAGCCCATAGCCGTTGCAGAAAAGATATTTCAAGGCATTTCATCTAAAGCTTCAAGAACACCTTGCGGGGAGATATGCACCTTGCTATCCCGCAGCAGCAGTAGAGTAGCATCTGAAGCGCTTCAACCCAGTCATTAACCATTTACATCGAGTCACATTTGCCCGATCATCATGGAGGTTTACCCCGCGAGGTAATGATGTAGTATCGAATAGTTCTCTGGTCGAAAGAAGGTTAAGTGGCAAGCCGAGAGGTGGCTGTGGAAATGTAAGCTCCAGCGAATTAAAGATACCTAGGTAAACATCCTAGTTCCTGGACTGGAGTGTAATGGCAATTAGCAACTTTCTTGCTTTTGAGGGCAGGAAGGCCGAAACGCTGAATATGTTATGAAACGCCCTTAGCGAGGTAACATCTGGTGATCAAGCTGCAAGATACAAGGGCGAAAATTTATCCGTCAAGCTAACCTTCCAGAAATTTAGTGCTCCTAGCCCGAGGTCTTTTTCTGTATTGCGATCATGGAGTCGCATCTAAGAAGTTCAAATAAGAATACGAAGATTTAGTATTAACTGGGTGGATATCGAAAAGGAAGGAAGGAACGTAGTGCCCATCACCGCGTGCCTTCCGGTGCCAACGTGACCTGTCTGACGCGCTGCAATGATGCACCGTAGTGTCCATTGTGCCTCCCACCATCTGCACCACTCACTGTCTTGTCTGAAGACCATAATTAGACGAAGCCTGCCATCCCGTTCGCCTGGTAGTACAGCTAATATGCGCTTGGCAAACCATTGAAGCAGTATCTCCTTGCTGGGGAATCTTGAATCGTCTATTTTCCATCCAGTTCTGTTCTTCAGTGCCGCCATGGAGATGAAACCTAAAACCTACGAGGAAGGTTTGGGTGTCCCCAAGTAAGCCTGTGTTCAGATTCGCGTGATCTAGGGTACAATCTAGAGAAATGAAGCTTTTCACATACCTGGCACTGATGCTCATTGTGGGCCTATCGAATGGCCAGAGTCTTCCTTTCGACGCGAGGGAAGCGACAATATCATCCGTCCATTCAGCCCTATTCCCTAGACAAACAACTTGCCGAGCAGTTGTCTCCTCCTTCATTGCACGTATTGAGGCGCACAATCCACTTATCAACGCCATCATTGCTCTCAATCCGGATGCCCTCAGCACTGCGGACGCCCTTGACGAAGCTCTCGCTTCAGGGAATGCCACAGGACTACTGTTCTGTATCCCCATCTTGTTGAAAGACAACTACGATGCCGTGCCAATGGCCACTACAGCCGGAAGTCTTGCGCTCAACGCTTCTACACCTCTTCAGGACGGGCCCACGGTGTCAGCATTTCGCGCTGCAGGTGCAGTTATCCTGGGGAAAACGAATCTTCATGAATTTGCTCTTGAAGGTCTCGGCGTATCATCTCTTGGTGGTCAGACGCTCAATCCGTACGACCTGACTCGCACAGCAGGAGGGAGCTCCAGTGGCACAGGAGCCGCAATCGCAGCATCCTTTGCAGTGTTTGGCACCGGCACAGACACTGTTAATTCCCTTCGGAGTCCTGCAAGTGCAAATAGTCTCTACAGCTTCCGTCCAACACGAGGATTGATCTCTCGAGCAGGTATTATTCCTGTTTCCTTTACACAAGATACCGCCGGAGCCATTGGTAGAAGTCTATCAGACATTGCAACCGCCTTGACCGTCATGGCGAGTGTAGGTCAGGATGGCGCAGACAACGACACCTCTGCAATTCCTGCATCTGTCATTGGAACCGACTACACCAGCTTCCTTTCGTCACAAGGAAGTGCCGCAAACCTCACCGGAACACGCATCGGCGTTCTGGAAGGTTTCTTCAACCATACCGCAAGCAACGAAACAACGCCAGTGAACAAGCTCATGGAGTCCGTGATGTCCCGACTCCGAAAGCAGGGCGCCACTATGGTGCCCATTACCGACACGGCAACCTACGACGCGACCGCCATCGCCACGCAGCTCGATGTCCAGCCATACGAATTTCGCGAGCTTCTCTCGCAATACCTCTCATCCCCCAGCCTTCGCGGCCCGCACCCTCGCAGCATGTCTGAGATCTACGTCAAGAATTACAACACAACATCTCCGAATTTTGTCGTAATCCCACACCAGTACCAACACATCCAGAGAGCATTAGTGTCCTCGACCTCCGACAGCAGTTACATCGGTCAAAAGGCCCAAATCGCGAAACTCACACAAACACTACACTCGACCATGCACGACCTCCAGCTCTCTGCACTCATCTACCCCGAACAGAAGAACCTTGTTGTACCCGTCGGCTCGGCGTCACAGGTAGGCCGCAACGGCATTTTAGCGGCCCTGACAGGGTCACCGGTGATCACGATCCCAATCGGATTTTCGGAGCCAAGCGACACCGCACCTATTGGTATTCCTGTCGGCATGGAGATCCTCGGCCTCCCATTCAGCGAGGGTAAATTATTGTGGATCGCCAAAGGCATTGATGACAGGCTACACGCCCGCAGAATGCCCGTCACTGCTGGGTTAAATGGCACTCTCGATGCAACCATCGCGTATTACACGGAGGTCCCGAGCGTGACGCCGTTGAAGAACATCCCCACGACTTATCCACTTGGACGCTTCTGAAGACTGTCGTAAGATGATATCCAAACCCGGATGGATGAGCAGTGCCATGCCATAGCCTGCCATATCATAGCATATGACGGATCTGAAGTAGACAGTGGTTTCGTTAGCCATCTCTGGCTTATGTACGACCTCAACGCCGAGGGAACGAGAGAGGGAAGGACGAAATTGAAAACCAGTTACCAAAAGTGCGCAGTATAACACATTGACCAACACCAGCAAATAGATCGTGCATGTGTGAATATATATTTACTGGCTTGAGGCGTTAGAATTTCGAGGCCTAAGCACACACTCTCTCGAAGTTATGAATAAAGAAATATCGACCCAACAATGGATGAAGCCGCCTATAACGCGACTTCACGTCCCTCGGAGCCAGCGAGCGAAAGGGGAAGTAGAATGGAATTTTGTAAAACAGATGTCGTTCCTGAGCACTAGCATTGAGTCTTATATTTACCTACCTAGGTACCCTAAGTATTCACTGAAGGAGACATGACACGCCATGGTATCTTGGCACTAAGTATAACGAAATACCGTGGTAGCTTAATTAGTTTACCCAGAATTTGAAAATTAGGACCATTGGAACCACGGACAGATTTGTCGTGTGCCCCAAGTTCCTCTATCTAATTGAACTAGTATCGTGTGCTGCATCATACTCTTGATGCGTTCATTTCAGTTCATTTCGTGCAAAGACCCCACTGTCCAGGCGGACGAAGCAGAGCACTCGTTTCTCCGACCACGGTTCAAGGAATTCCATACTTTCATCTCCATCTAGACATTCGTGTTCAAACTGTTGCAGAAGGAGCGTCCTTCGCCGCTGCCGCCGCCTCGTCCTTCTTCTGCCTCAACTCCTCCTCCAGGAGACTTTGCTTTTTGACATACTCGAGCACAATTTCTTCCTCGGTCTTCTGCTTGGAGAGGGCACCGAGGCGACGGTGCTCCTCTTCCGAAGACGCGGTAAGGGCTCGTTGGAGCTCCGCGTCGTGTTTTGCATCTTGAAAAGTGGCGTTCGTGGGTGGAGCAGGTACTGCATTCCCGTTGGCATTGCCATCGCTGAGCAGAGCGGCTTCTCGTTGGGCAAGGTCCTTCTTCTTCTGTTCGTTCTGGGTGTGAAGCTGCTTGCTTTCCTCAACTGCGCGCTCGAATTCCACATCAAAGTCGGTATCGACTCCAGAGTCGCTGTCATCCTCCCAATGAGTCTCGTTGCGAGGAGGGAGTTTTGGCGGCTGGCCGCCAGTCTTTTTCTTATAGTCCTCAAGGCTTTGAGTCAAGACACGCTCTAGTTCCTCATCGTGTTCGTGAACTTCTGGTGCAACGGAGACTACTCCAGTCTCTTGCCCTTTTTCTGCATGTGCCTTCTTGTATTCCTGCATGCTGGCCTTTATGGCTGATTGATAAACTTCGTCCGAATGCTCCTCTCCTTGCTGGCCTGCATTCTTCAATTCTCGAAGACTAGCCCGGAGTGCCCGCTCGATGACAGCGTCCTCCTCAGGGTTGCCCTTGCTTGTAGCATTGATTGAAGTGTTAATGGCATGTTCATAGTCGTCTAGACTGTCTCGCGAATGGGAGTTCCCCAAAGTCGAAGAAGAGCTAGTGTGCTTAAGATGATGACCGCTCTCATGGTCGAAGGGGCAGAACTTGCATCTACTCTTGACTTTGCCTTTATGCTTCTCCGCATTTCTGATTTTCCTTTCCCTGCGTAGAAGTTCTTTCTCCTCTTTCTTGAGCTGCGCCTTACGATCGGACAGAGCTTTTCGCTCGTCCCAGCTAAGGTGCCTGGTGTTCTTAAAACCGTGAATGAGTTCCACAGAATTACTGTGAGATTTAGTGAGAATATGACTCTCAATGGCCTCTTTGCGCTCGTTTCCATAAAGCTTGCCTCCCTTCTTTGTTTCCAGTTTGGTGGATTTCCAAGCTTCGACTATTTGTGTTCTTTCCTCTGGTGTGCTGGATTTCCAATCCTCGAATCCTTGTGCCGTACGTGCTGCAATGATGTAGTTCTGAACGGAGCTGCCGAAGTGCTTCGATATTTCCGCATATATACCTTTGGCGGTGTATCCCGGAAGACCCCAGATGCCCGCACCAGGCTTGAGGATCAAACCACCAAAGCCTCTTGCAGCTCCTTTGATGAAGCCAGCAGCGCCTTCCTTCCTTGCACCGGCCAGAGGCTGAGTGATGAGGCCTGTTATACCATCATAAAATCCGTAGCCGAACTCTTTGCCGGCTGCTTTCAAGCCAGACTGGAGATCGACAATTTTCTCACTCTTGCGAACGGTTTGGTCTCCATACAGTTTGGGTGCATTGTGAAAGCCCTTTGCCAATGATAACGTAAAGTCCATGGGAGATTTGACGCCGGCTGAAACAATCCGTCCGGCAGCTTTCGCCCCACTGATCGCAGTTTCCAACGTCACCTGGCTTACTTCATCAATTGGACACGGCGATTGTTCCCTTGGAGTTCCTGATCGCGATCCTGATCGAGAGCCATGCCTCGAGTGGCGGCGATGAGAATGCTGCCGGGATGAACCATCTGACGACATGACCATCGACATTGCAGACATTCTGTTAGAGACATCGTCTCGGCCTTCGGGTGAAGTGGGAGGCGTCTCTGATATAGGTGAAGTCACTAGCCCCCTGCTTAAGTCTTGAGCGGAGCCGTGTTGTGATGTTGACACAGGACTGGGACTGCCACTAGTCGATCGTCTCTTCTCGTGAATATCTTTAAGCTCACCACTCGCACTTTTCAATGATTTCAGGATCTCTACGGGAAAGTCGGCAATCCCCATCGAGAGGTTACCAATCGTGCCAATAAGAGCAGCAGCCCCACCTGAAATTGGTTCCCAAGGACCATCCTCAGTTTCGTATTCTCGAGGCCGATAAAGTTTCAGGTCAGAAAAGTCGAGAAGACCCTCACTTCCAAGTACGGTTGCAGCGAGTGTTGAAAGGCGGATATCTGTTCTTTTAACACGCCAGACAGCAACACGTGAGGGCAACAAAGAGCATCTCAGATCTGAGAGGCGTAGCTGCTTGTGGAATGATTTTGCCCCTGCATCTGTACCATCTTCAGCTTTGATCTTCTGGCTCAACTCCTTGGCCCGCTCGAGTGATTCGGGTTTTAAAGCTTCCTTGATAGATTCTGCAAGCTTGTCAGCTGTCAAATTCTTGTAAGCGACAGGCATAGGTCCTGCTCCGGCTCTAGCTGTCATAGAGCCCCAAAACGGTTGATCACCAAAGAAGGGAACGACAACGGTGGGACGGCCGGCCAGAATCCCCGCTGCGGTGGTGCCTGCACCACCGTGATGAACAACGCAAGAGACATGCTGGAAAAGCCAGTCGTGAGGGCAGTTGCCAAGCATGTAGACTCCTTCAGGAATACCTAACTCGTCAGCGCCGAGACCTCCCCAGCCTTTTGAGACTAGGGCTCGTTGGCCGGTCTTCTTTACAGCTTCAAAGATCATTTTAGTCATGGCATTTGGGTCGTCAACGACAATAGAGCCAAAACCGATATATACCGGGGGAGGGCCTGCAGCTAGGTAGTCAGCCAGCTCCTTTGGTGGAGTGTAATTTGACGACAGATTGAGAAAGTAGAAGCCAGATATATCGATATAGTGACCCCAATCAGCTGGCTTTGGAATTAGAGCAGGAGACCAACAATAAGTCCAGGGGATGCGTAGTCGACTGGCCATCCCAGGAGCCCACATAATGCTGATAGGCTCGAGGCCTAGGCTCCGCTCCCTAAATCTGTTTATTACATCACCAAGACCTTGCCAAGTCAGCATATCGACAAGAGCATAGGTGACGAAGTTGGCCATATTGGGATCGGTATTGGAAGATATGATGTTGGCGAGAGGGTGCGGAAAAGATTGTGTTGGCGACCATGGCATTGTGAACATGAGATGCAGCGGGATGCCCAGTTTCTCGGCGATGTGTACATGGGCGAAACTTGGGGGATTTGCAATAATAGCGTCGGCCACGAAAGGCTTCAATGCTGGATCGACATCGAAGGATACGGCACTGTCGAAACTGCGGGCATCCATGCTGTCATCGGAAACTTGCACGCCAGTACCATCACCGGCTTCAATGCAGGAGCGCCAGCAGCCAGAGATGATTTCATAAATGCCTTTTCTCCGCTTGCCAACATCACCACTCTTGAGGGAGTCAAAACCCGGCATCAAGCCAGGATTCTTGACCATGAAGGCCATGAGTTCGGCAGGATCACCTCCTATACTGAAAAATTCCAGACCATTCTCGGTGACGAACTGCTTGAAGGTAGGATGGGTGGCTATGCGGATACGATGGCCATACTTTGCTTTCAACACCTGGCCGAGGGCAACAAAAGGCTGAACATCGCCTCTGCTGCCCACGATTTGGATGACGATGTTCATAGGTGGTGGTGGGAGTCCATCGGTTTCGCCCAGGCCCTCAGGAATCTCTGGCTCTGCTTTGTGTCTTTCCAGTTCCATCTGACGACGCAGAGCGGGAAGCAGGAGGTTTGACAGCTTTCTGTTGCGCTGGTTGATTTTTATATTGACTCTTCCATCGCTGGCAATCTGAGCCCCAGTGTCCAGGCCATTTTGGCTGATGTCTAGTTGACCATATTCTGCGCCATTGAATGCTGGGGGCGGAACGTCGTCAAAATGGGGAGATATCCCGCCGTGATGCCGTACATGGCCTTCTGACGAGGAAATCGCATTCTTCTCCTTATCTGCGCCGTCCTCCTCTTGGTTCGCGGCGGCGGCGGCGGCGGCCTCTTGTAGAAGGATCGCAGGGATTGCTGCGGACTGGTCTGCGGTTGGTGACTGAGAGGACATTATGGCGTTGGACGAGGCATCAAGCAGTCACAAGGGACATCCGGGCAGGGAAGAATTTGTAGCAAAAGGGAAAGGATGAATGATGAGTATGGAGGAGGGGTTGATAGACAGGGTTGCCACTATTTTGGGCACAGTACGGAATGAGCATGGAGTAGTGAGAGAGCTAGAACACGGTCATGCAGTGTGATAAAGATGAATGTACGATACCTTCCTTAGTGGTGGACCCTGACCTCACACATCTTGGGGACCTGGAACTGGGTCTGGCCTGGAGAAGAAGGCATGCGGCGGTGCAGCGGCCAGCGTATTATCCTTGGGAACAAGGTCCAGATACAAGGCTAAGATCTGTGGTGCATGTGGTGCATGTGGTGGTGACTGGTTGGCCCTGGAGGAAGATGAAATCGCGGTCTGGTTCTGGGTTAACGCGGGACGTTTCCTGTTTTGGCATACGGCCGGCTGCTTTATGCGGTGCCCCTCGGCCAGCCTGCAGGGTGTCACATTTGTCCCTCACACTAGTGACAAACTTGGTTAGTGGCTAGCCACCTCCTCAACACTCAGCATCCCATCACCGCCACCATTCCTCCCACTTTTTGCTTAATCGTGCTGAATCATCACTCTGCTTTTCCCCTCTCTGGGTGCCCTCTTCTCCTCTTCTCACTCCAGTGGGTATAGCGGTCCATGCAAGGCTCACCCTCCGCTCGGTAGAGTCACAGACTCACCACCTATCCATCTAATCACCGACCCCGGTACTAGATGACATAACCCTGATCATTCACCCACCAACGACTGGACGGACTCTGAGGTAATCAACCCACTAATAGGTGAGCCGCACAATGATGAGTGACAGTCTGACAGACTCTCCGCAGAGTACCAAGCCCATCGCATCGATTCTCGGCCTATTTGCAGCCCCGTTGCCGTTTCCACCCATTCGCGACGCTTTCCATCGTTTCAAAGGTGATTTGTCCTTCTTCCGCCTCCTGACTTCGCGCCACAAGCTTTGCAATGAATTTGTCGATCATCCCGACAATGTGTGCTCTTCCCGAGCTCTCAGGGTGCCAGATCATCCTACAAGTGTCTCAGTAGACCTGATTGCCTCAAACGGTAAGGGACTTCAACTTACGGAAAGACGGTTCCATATCCCTTTCCTGGCTCCTCATCCAACCAACTTTCATTCTCCCAGATCCAATCGAATCGATCCCACCACATCTTCTCCACCAGATCGACACCAACATAGCCTTGCGTATTTGCCGCATAGGGATAGAACCCAAGCTTATCTTGTCAATAATGCTTCGAGCCTTTCATGCTTGCAAGGGTCAAAGAAGAACTTACAGGGGTCATGTCCTCGGTATACCAGGAGCCCGGGATCTCAACCAATGACTGATCAGCCTCGGCAGTGCCGGCCTTGGGTTGCTCTGGAAGTGGTGTGGGAATCATCCAGCTGCTTGCAGCCTTGCTGTAGTCTGGAACATGCGGTGGCTCTCCAGGAAAGGGTTTGGTTATAAAATAAGGAAGGGCATCGTATGCGTTCATGCTGGAGTCGTAGAGAAAATCGTGCTCCTGTAGGAGACGCACGGTCGTTTCCCGAATTTGATATAATGGGGCTCGATATCCCACGGGTCTCTTACCACTTTGCAGCTTCGTGACAAGCTCAATACACTTTTCCAATACATCCTTTTCCTGTTCGACCGTCATTGCATATGCTCCTTCATGGCTATATCCGTGCAGACCGATCTCAGCTCCACTCTGTAGGATCTCTTGTGTTTGAGCTGGAAATGTCTCGAGGCTGTGCCCGGGGATAAACCAAGTCACCTTGTCGGAGATGCCATGTTTTTTGAACAGTCCTAACAATCTTCCAACTCCTACGTTGGCTGAGAAAACCCCTGCAGAGTAGTCTGAGAGCGTATTAGCTGGGTCATGCCCAGTGCCTAGGTACCCAGAAAGTGCGTCAAAGTCAACTGACAAACATATCCTCAATCTGCGTTTTCGTTTGTCATTTGACACGGGGCTCATGTTTGATTCCATTTGATCGCTCTGTTTCAAGGAAAGTGCAGCTGACCAAGGAAAAGTTCTATAATGGTTGACCACACTGGTATAAGTTGTTGAAAATTGAGCATCTGCGTGTCGGCAAATATCAACTTCTCCGTTTTGCGCCTATGTATCCGTACTCCGACTGTGGTATTAATAATTAATTAATAATAGAGGCTATCTCCGCCACACGTGGGCGCCAAGAAACACAGCAACATTACTCTGAACATCACCTATCCTAAGGTAGGCTACATGTTCATATTACCCTACAACTTCGCCTCCAACATACCGGACAGCTTGCCGACCAGGACCTCCTTTTTCACTGCTTAGTGTGGCAAGGGTCAGATACACTACTTGTATCTATGGCGATGACCGGAGGAGCACCACACTGGACTTGCTCGCTTCTGCCTTAACACAGCAACCATGGCTGGTCAGGGCAATCCAGAACTATATCGAGTTCTTGCAACTTTGAATAGCTATGTTCCACATTCAAATACTCCACCCAACGGACAGAGCGCTGGCGCCGTCACTGGAGATTTCTATGGCACTACCAATCAACCATCTCAGCCCCCTATGGGTTCCAATGTGAGCAGTGTTAATCTGGGCTCCTCAATACCAGGATTGGGCTTCTTCGCCGAACCGGTGAACCAGGTCAAGCCCATCACGCCGCCTCCCGTACTACTCCACCAGACTCAGGCCTCATTGCAGGAATCGCAGCGTTCGACGGCTACTCCACCAGACTCACGTCGCCTTACCATCACGCCAGCAGTTCCGGACGCATCTACCATCATCACCTGGCCGGCAGCTCTAAAACATGTCACTAAGTACTTGGTTCCGGACGAAAAGGCAGCCACGCGGATCAAGCACCTCATTGCTGAGCAGCACAAGCATGAACGCCAATGGTGGGCGGGCAGGGAGGCTGTTGTTGCCAGGCAGGAAGGACGAACGGGCACTTCGCAACAAGTTGCCGCTCTCTTGCAATCAATTGGTGGTAAAGCAATGCCGGCTGCCCCAAGCGACCCAAAATTGAATGCAGCGGAGCTGGCTATGTATGACAAAAAGGTGTTTGCTGGGTTGTCTGCTTTGGCGGCAGACTTTGACAGGCAGTTGAAGAACCTGGGTATTCCTTTCTATTCAATCCGTCATGAGCTGGTAGTATTGGAACAAGGGCCTCAGAAGGCCGGGTCTTCGAAAGGAAGGATCGACAAAGGTGAATTGAGAGAGTTGCAAAAGAGGATGCTGCAGACCCTGGAGGACCTGTTTGCGGACTAAGACAGTCCGACCATAATCTGTCTTCCACGTTGAGGACATTGGTTCCGTAAACTGGTCCTTCCAGATATTGGCCTTGCACAACAACTCCCATGAACACACCTGTTTGAAACTTCCAACTCTGAGATGATCGAAATATATAAAAAGCCATGAAACTCGATTTCTGGTGCTCTAAGACTTCCACCCTGCAGACGAGGGACACATGGCCAGGACTTATATGTGCGACGCAGCAAGGCAGCCATGGCAAAGTGACTCTAATAAGTGAATGAGGGTCTACTTCGCACACACGCAAATGCTCAATGTGCACATTCGCCCGCGCCTTCCACCAGACAACAGCGACTACCTGCACTAGCCAGCCGCTTGTTTGGACTACCAAGTATTTATTCTTTCCAGATCCTCCTGCCGATCTTCTCACTCCCCTCCCACTCATATCATTCAATAATCACTTCAGGCTCTGGTTTCGTCATGGACGATCAACCCATTGTTAGCCCTGACCTTGCCAGTCTTGCAGCACTCGCAACAAGCCTTTCTGCGGAGCTCAATGGTTTGCAACTTACTTGCGGCCATGAAAGCACGGCCATGGATATCCAGGCAGTCTCGAAAGAGCTCATTCTGCTTGCCGATGAACTCTCCAGTCTTGATCAAGCTCTCAGAACCAACGCAGATCAATATACCTCTGCATTCTACGAAGATCTTGCTGAAATCGTCACACACCTACGTCAAATTTTCGACGACGTCTTCGATTGTGCAAAGGCAATGAGGAAATCCGATACCCCAGATGTCAACGCCGTTGGATGGCTGCACAAGAAGAGACATGTGCACAAGCTTCAAAAACACCTTGCCGCAAACAAAACAACTCTGACCGTCATGCGTACCGTCATCCGCCATGGCAAAGACTATGGTACTCAGACGTAAGCCCCCGACAATCATTTTCCCATCATCAAAGCTAATTGGAATAGATCACCCGGCCGATTAGCAGAGTCCTCCCCACACACTCTTTTAGAGGATTGGTCGATTTTAGAATCCGTCTTCGCGAGTAGGGCTGCTATTACAGACCTTCAGCGTGCGATTGGCGCTTCCCTTCAACACAGTTCATCCTCGAATTCCGAACCTGCTAGCGACACTCCCTCGTTTGAGCCCGGTGCCCACGGTCGGAAACTTTCATCAACAACTGGTGTTGAGGTACCCCGAATTGCCGATGTTCTTCCTGAGAGCAGGGTCCCCCAGGCGAAGAAGAAAGAGGATGACCTTGCACGCAGATTTTCCAAACGTGGTGTACGGCTAGCTGTCCACAGCTCAATCTTGGATCTAAACGCCCACGACGTGCCAAACTCCCTAAAGCGTAAATGGATCTCTCATGTCCACGCGAGAGATCCATCAATGGCACAGCCGAGCAACATCCCAGAAGTCGATTCTTTGCCAAGCCTCCTTGCCCGTCGCTCCACCACAGGAGAGGAAACCTCCACCACAGCACCAGAGTTCGAGTCCAAGGCCAAGAAACGCAGCTTGACGTTGATGAGTACTCCAGGTGCGAAAGCTCTCAGTAAAGTGATCCGTCGTCTGTCCAACACTGGGCTGAACAACGACAATAAGAGCGTGGAAAGTGATTCCAAGCTAGGATGGAGCTATCGTCTCACGAAGCCGTTTATGAAGCCAGAGTTGACCACGCCTGATTTCCAGAAGGATGTCGAAAGTTCGGCATTACGTTAATTTAGAGTCCAGTTTGAGTCCTCATGGCACTGCCTGATGGTGGTTCTGACTTGAAAGGGGATGATACGTGTTCGAGCGCACCTACTACGCAATATACTACGCTAGTAACAGTGGTTCAGGGATGGATTTCTTTTTAGCAACAATAGTCTCAATCGGAGGCGATATTATGACATATGGATTCTGGAATACACTACAGCTTGATAGAAGAGGTTTTCTCAAGATACGTAATAATCACACACTCACAAGAACTGTCTTGTTCCCTGCAACCATTTTTTATACACTCGCTTTTCACGGCACCAGGAGTGCTCACGACATTCACACAGCTTGAGAGGCTATTTGAATACCAAACATACACTTAGTAGCGGCCATACAGCGGGCGTAAACACTTGAGCATGTACAGAAGATTTGAATGAAACCCAATAGACTTCGACCTTCGTCGAATACTTGTAGCCATTTCATCAAAGCAAATCGAACAGACCTGACTCCCCAGGCCCTCAAAATTTCCAGTAATCCACATGACGTCTTGGACGACGAGGCTGAGCCCGGCACTGTCCTTGAACGTTCTCTCGAGTGGTGAGTCTTGAATATTGACACCCATATCCGTTGAGAGAATTGGTAGACTTAGCGCTTGGTGATTGGTGATGTGATGTGATGTGATGTGAGGTGAGAACTGATCCTTTGCGATCTGAGAGAGTCCAGAGGCCTGAGTCTTGACCTATCCGTTTGATCCTCGGCTTCGACCAACGACCAAATAGTGAGTCGTATCGCCGCCAGACTTAGTCACCCACTTAGTCACCCACTCACTCACTGACTTCAGGGCCGAATGCCGAGTAAGCATAACGAGTTGGTCGATCAATCGGACATTCGACTGCTCTCTCCAACCACAGGTCCCGTTCCGTTTACTTCCACGTGGCGTTTGACGGGAAGGCAGGTGAGGCAAGGGATACAAAGAAGAAGAAGGCAAGATGCAAACAAACGGAGCACGCTGACTAGCACTGGTATGTTTGGTTGCCCGTTGGAGGGAGGTTCATCAATGGCTGTGCATGTCACCGTGCACGAGCTGACAGGCTGTATATTTGAAACTGTACATTGAATAGATAGGCATACCCATATAAGAGGCAAAGAAAAATATATTCTTTTCTTCCTCCACCTCTAGGCCCTTCCCACATCGTCCTTCATCAGGTAACGAGAACCGAGAACAAGTACCGCAGCCGACGTTCATTCCCATTGCGCGATCACTCAGGAGACTCGCCGCCTTCCCGCGAACAAGACTCAATCTCAATACATATACTCGTACCTAGATATATCCTTCACGACACCCAACAAGACGTCGGCATCAACCCCTGAAGGACACACAGAATGGAGGCGCTTGGTGTCATCTTTCCAAGGGGGGTGGCGAAGGAGGGCAGGCGAACAACGCGTCCGAGTTTCCCGTCCAGGCGCCTCATGGCCCCCATACTAGGTTTAGCCCACATGGCTGCGGGGCTTGATTCTCGAGCCGACTTTGGTGAGCATGACACCGGGAAAGAGGAGCAGTTCTGGAAGGATTCCCCTGGCGTTGAGGGCGATTGCTATTGGAATGTTTCCGATGATGGCGAGGAGTGGGAGGATATTGGGTCCAAAGAGGGGTCGAAGAAAGGGACGTCTTGCTTCGACGACGACGACGACGACGACGACGACGACGAAGACGACGACGACGACGAAGAAGAAGAAGAAGAAGAAGAAGAAGAAGAAGAAGAAGATGATGATGATGGCGGTCTTATCATTCGAGGAGACAACGTCCCTGTTCCTGGCACCCACAGCCACATTCGGAAAGGAGGAGATATTGTTGCTGACTGGGAGGTTATCGACCATTTCGGCGGAACTCCAAACGCGGGCAGTACAGCATGGGGGCCCAGGGAGGGTTCCACCACTCTCACTGGAAGTTACAAAATCATGCCTAGACAGGTGAAAGAAAGGAAACTTGAATCCGCTAGGAAAAAGCCAGAACTGGATCAGTGTTGGACAATCTCACCAGAAAGGGGGCACATGACGATAGTTGCACGAAGACCAGCTGGACCTGTCGAGTGCGACCAGGAGGAAGATTCTCTGGCTTTCGCTGTTCCGGGAGGACAACGAAGCTCGACAGACCATGGGAGGTCCAGTAATGTCCTCCCTCGAATTCAGTCAGCAGCGGCGGCGATCCAGAAACCGCGAGGAAGCCGAACATCAGGAGTCGTCGTCTCAAGAAAGTGAGACTTGCCTTGGAGAGCAACCCGCCCTCGAAGATTTCATCCGCTATGCAAAGACCGTGGACAATTTGGCGTCATCCATTGTCTCGATCATGACACCAGCGTCGCGAAGCCTTTTGCCGGTGCTGGGCCGCCAGAACAGCATCGTCTCCTTTGTTTCCAATGAACAGCATCAACATAGGGTCCGGTTGAGCAGTGATCCTCAGCGGCGAGATATCAAATCGGAGTTCATCCACCGCAGGTTGATGGCGCAAGCTAGGAAACGGAAGCCGGATCATAAGAGGGTAAGGTAGCCATTGCATAGGTGGCCTCAACAGGCCCAGAACAGGCCCAGGAGGAATTGAGATTGTTGGAGGGGTCAGGCGGAGATGTTGACATTGCAATGAGCCGTTCATGATGACGAGTGGTTTCGATGGCTAGCTAAGGGGCGACTCGGGGTGCTCGGCAACTGACGCTAAAATTCGGTGGAGGTCTGAACAGAGCACGGTGTACTGTACTGGCAATGGGAGGGCATAGGGTGATGCAGTAAAGAGCGAAGTCGTGGATTGTGGATTGTGGATTGCGGATTGCGGATCGTGGAGAGGTGCGGGCAGTTCCCGAGCTTGAATGCTTCCATTAGAGAGAACTGAATCGCCCGGTTTTAGACAGATGTCAGTCATCGTAGATATGGGATAAAGGCTTTCGAAAAACTTGCAAAGACTTTTGTGACTGGTCAGAAGTTGGGAGGGTTCGTCATGTTGTTATATTTTCACTAGCATTTATGGTAAGCATGGCCACTTCCCGTACCTAAGCGGGTAACATCAATGCTTCATGATCGATGCCCACCCGCATTGAAGCCAGTAGTTAGAATCACTGTAGATAAATCTCTGTTTTCGAAACCCGAGGGTGATGACCGCACATCTGGTGGCAGATTGTTTTTGTAAGCTTCCAATACCCCAGAGGGCGCTTTTCGAATGCCCAAAACCGAAAAGCGCGGACCACAAGCTGTGGCTCTGTGCAAACAGGGGCGTTCGTTTTCCAGAAAATGTCAACACTTTCAGTCTCTTTTACCAGCGCTGGTGCCGCTATACCCGCCATAGCCACCATAGCCACCATAACCTGAAGTCCTCGCTACGTTGTTGCCAACATTTCCACCTAGGATGCCGTTCCCATAAACGCCACTCCTCCCGCTCTTGCGCCGCTCATAAACGAGCATAGCCATCGCGCCAACCCCCGCGCTGGCAGCAATGGCGAAGAAACTTAGAAGGGAGAAACCAACGCTGTGATCTCTGATTCCTAGGACTGGCCGTCCCACCATACCGGGTAGAACAGCTCCGTCGATCCATCCAACATTGAATGTCAGAACCACTGGTTCATTGCGAACAATTTTCGGACCTTCGAGCGGTGTGCTCGAGGATGTGTTGGGCAACGAATAGGCCGTCGACGCAATGAGATGGGACTGGCTTGTTTCTCCGGGAATGTCGGACTCTGGAGAAATATGGAAGAGCACATTGATGTTGGTATGCAGGTGGAGATGGGATAGTTGGAGAGTCCCTTGCAATGCGATTGTGAAGGGTGTCCATTGGTCTTTTTCAGCCCCTGTACCACCAACACTAGGCAAGGATGACGCTACCCCAAGTTCACTTTGAGATAAAGGGTATGAGGGTACTCGACATGTCAGGGGCACATCGCTGTGGACAAAGAACTCGAATAGATGGTAGAGTTCGTCGGGCAAGGAGTCGATAGTACACGTTTGTGTTTGAGGCGTGTTGTAGAGGAAGGACAATGGTTGGTTGGTTTCATTGCAGGTTGGGAATGGGATGTATTGGAGGTTTCCATGGGTGTCGGTGATCTGTTGCGTTGTAAGTCACTCGAGGGTTTCAGGGCCAAGAAAGGACACAGTCACAACTACTCGGCGCAGAGAGGTGCCAGGGCGAGGAGAGACATACATGTTCGCCGGTATCACTATCAAGGTAAGTAACAGGATTTATTCATCGGTCTGCTGGAGAAGCTCACATAGTCCTGTTGAGGCAGCTAACAGGGATCAGTTCACCCTTGGTGTATCCCCTCCTAGTCGGAGTTCCGTCTGACAATACCGTCTCCTGAGCAGCACTGACAGCAGCGGACAGGGAAAGATAGAAGACAGAAAGAGCACGCAATGGAAGAAATGCAAATCGAAACATGGCCAAATGAAAGGCAGGGAAGGTGAGTAGTGAGCACTAACAGTTGAGGAGTGACTTGGTGGCCTGCGACTGCTTGGAACCCAGGAACCAGATTGTGGACGGGGGAGTTTTCGAAAAAGCGATGGAATTGAAGATCGGCCGCTAGTGGCGGGCCGAGCCGTGGAACGCTTCTGGTTGACGTCACGCCCCAAATTGTTCCACCACGAAGAACACCTTGCTTGGAGAGTGAGGAATGGGTGGGTGTAAATTCCGTACCGAAAGCTGCCAAGTTAAACTGTTGATTTTGCCAACCTGCGGCCTCAGCCAGGAATGTGCCTGCCGTGGTCATATTCTCAACCATGGTGAGATGTTGCTCTATGCCCCATCGGGATGAAAACACTGGGAGTCTTGGAAATTACAAGCTCCTCTGACTCGGTTTGGATAGATAGGTCACATCAATATATGTAACGTCATACGTGCTGTAAGTCTGGGGTGAGATCAAAGCATCAATGACAAACGATGATTTGGGTCGTCCTTCGGCATCAAAGCGGTCAAATGATGAACTGAATATGCTCTTGTCACCCCTCGAAGAGTATTAGTGGCGAGGCCTAAATCTGGATAGCAATACAACGGTAGCAATTTGTACCTACGGTGAGATGTGGGATTCTAGGTGAGCTAAAGTTGCGAGGACTGGGAACGTGCGTCAGACATTCATACGTGGGACCATAGTCATCCATTTTGTACTGCTTCTTGAAATGTAGCATGATCAACGCCTGGTTTGCTGGGTGGTCGAAATACCACTATCATCAAGCTTGTGACTGTTCGAGAACTGTATTAAGAATACTTTAAGTAGGTAGTTCCCGATCTCTCTCTATGCTCCCACACACAGTCTTTCGGTCACCAATGGTTTTGTACACGGTCTGCGTTCTCCCCCTCAAGACTTGGAAGTTGTCTTATCAGCATGTTCAGCAAGGACATGTGTTGGGTTGTCTGCTAGACCCGAGGCCTGTTCTCCTTTCCCTTCGTTCTTCCCCTGTGAGTTGTCGACCTGGAAGGATATGTGAGCTCATTGGTTACAGTGTTCTGAAGAGGAGAAGGTGGATTCAATTCAAGTAAGGTACCAGGTTTTGAGGACTCACCTTTCCACTCCCTGGTTGGGCAGGATGAGCTTGTTGCTGAGCACCGGTTTGGTTCTCAGGGTCGGGAGATTGACGACCAGCGTTAGGTGCAGACATTTCGGGATGAGGGTTTTGTTCTCGAGTCTGGAGGGAAGGACTTTAATGAGCATCCATACTGCCGTGGGGAGATCGTTGGAATCCAGTACAACTTACAAAGAATTTGTGAGGTTGGGGATAGAATTGATTAATGTTCTGTGCCTTTGAGAGAGTTCAAGGATGAAACAAAGGAATATGATTATTTGCAGGAGCGAAATCAAGACCACAAGGACCTACTGTTATATTTTGTCACTGAAAGGACAGCACCCCACCAGACAGCCCAGCCCACCTTGGACTATGACGTTTGTCAATTACAATTACTGTCCGATGATGTGAATGTCTACGAACCATGCGGCCGGGCCCTGAAAACCGTTTTCGGAGAAACCAAGTCGCCGATCTCGATGCCAATCCCAATCTCGCATGAAATGCGAACCCTTGGGGCACACTCCTTGAGGATCGAATCAAATGGTATAGATTTGGGCTGCCTGAGCTTGCTACTCGTACTAGAATGGCCAGACGTGACAAGAAGCAAGCAGGTAACTTCAACGTTGCTAAGCCGACAACTTCTATTGATTTCCTCTCTAAATCAAGCGGTGGAAAGCTCCACAGGGCGATTGCATCTCATACAAGTGAATAGACTGCTCACCGAACCCACCACCTAGTTGACCCAAATACGCCGCCAACATCACTAGCCCGTGCAAGCAACATCAGTAGGGACGATCAGCACAAACGCTCAGCCCGCATTGTGTGCCTGCAACGCCGAATGTGCGCTCACTTGACTCCCCGGAGGCTGAAGCTGGCGACTCCAACGGCGGCCAGACCCTGAGCCTTACACTTGGGGCAGCTGCGAGATTTATCTTCGCGGATCTTGAGTTGGACGTAGTTTGGGCACTTTCGGCCTGCCTGATATTTACAACCCTCTTTGTCCATCTTGTAGGATTCATAGTGGCTGCAGCGCAGATTGATCAGGCGCTCGAGGCACATCTTGACTCTCCACGTGTTTCTTTGTTCTGCTACCGGAATTTTCAGCTCAGCCAACGTGCTTGCGTTGCGGGTCCGCAAATACCTTTGTATTTTCTGGTTTGATTATGTCTGGACTGATTTGACTGTGTTGCTCCACGGCGACCGAGGAGAACTTTCCGAATTGTTGGTGCTGTCTGTCCACTGTGGCCTGGCGCTTCTTGCTTCGGCCCAGTTATCCAGGCTCGTCGCAGGCCTCACAGAAGCGGTCCGTGGGAATCGTAGAGGGCTTGTTCATACTCTAAGGGAACAAGGGGATCGAAACAATGGGGTGAGGAAAAGCAATCGTCCGCGACGACTACGAAATGGAAGTTGTGACAGGAAGGCTGGTGAAGACAACAGTCACCTGTGGGAGTAACAAGGGACAAAGAGAGCGCTGTTTTCTGGGGGCGCAGCCAGAGTTTTTGTCCATTCACGACTTAGGTAATTAATTTACTGGTGAGCTGGGAACGGGCGGGGCAGCGCTACATACCACCAGCTAAATACTAAATAGTACGGAGTACGGAGTACTGTAGATAGCAGGGCCACTGTACTCCGTCCTCCGTAGTTCAGGTCGGGGGAGTCATAGACCTGCCCACGCGCCAAAGCTTGACTCTCGCACCCAACGTTGAAGGGGCTGCCCTTGTAGGTCACCGGGCTCGTGGGCCCTTAGGCGCCAGCAGCCTTCCCCAGAGTGTCGTGAGACTGCCCCTAACAAGTGCCAGATCAATAGGTGAGCCTTGGGTGAGCCCTGCGTCCCTAAGTGCAGAACAACTGTTACTTATAACTCACCTTCCAGCTGGGGGCAACCCGTCCCCCCACCAAGCCATTTATCTCGAAGTCACAGTGCCTGATTGATCATTGTGAAGATCAGATTGCCACCTATGAGAGAAATCTAGAACCCCGCTAGGCTCTGAAAGATCCTCGCTGGATCACTCTGAGCTGCGAACTACCATGGTTACAACTACACAGTCAGACAAGAATTCAACAGTCTACTGGTACTACTCAGTCAATTTCTTGCACGGAAAGAACACATTTCAAAGCAGAGGTAGGGCTGCAATGCAGCAAATCACCCTGTGCAATTTTTCGGTTTTCAATATCTGAAACTCTCGACTTGAGCCTCACGCTACCCCAGCTCAACCGCGCCTTAAGAACCTACTAATGGCTCTTCTGAGACCTATCAAGGCACCGATCCAAGGAACAGGCTTGTTCACTCGGCGCAGGAATCTCGAAATTGATTGCTGTCGGTAACGAAGAGTCTGACAAGCTAGCCCGAATTTCCCGCACATCACCTGGTTTTAGGTACTTAATTAGTGACTGTGGTCGCGTGCGCAGAGGAATTGACTTGCGCTGGCTCAGCTTTGCAAAGCGTGAGATCCGCAAGCGCCACTCCTGGAAATGGTTTCTGTAACTCCCGAACTGAATTCGGTACTCAGCTCGGCTCTACAGAGTGGACATGTTCTGTTCTCGCCCAGCCCCTGAAACAAGCACAAGGTATGGAAAAGATTCCGACAACAACTGGAACAGGTGTGCTGTCACTTGTACTGTTCTACTGGCATTGCCGATTGCCCATGAAGGCGTCACGACAAATCCTGCAAATCCCAATGTCTGGATATGGCTCTCCCTGGTACTCCTCTAGAGACTCGTCACCTTCGATTACCGTGGAGGGCAAAGTGTCTTCCAACTGTGCGAGGCTCAGGCCATCACGACGGTTATGAAAAAAGCTGATCAGAGACCTACCCCGAAAGAAAAGAATCCCCAAATCGGCATTCAAGGGTTCCAGTGAAGGGTTGCGCATTTCGTCCATCGCCATGGAACATCAGAGCAAGACCTCAACTTGGAATGCGTTGCAGAGCACAGTGAGCGTCTCCGACCAGGGGTCGCTGTCCTCGACCAAACAGACAAACTTGTTGACAAGTGCAAGGCTCCGAACAACTTCAATTAGATCACGCTTAATCTCGGGGAAGACAACCTCATAGTTTGCGCGGCATCGCTCCTGTGTCAAGCGACGCTGCTCATGGTCCTCGATGAAATCAAACAGGCGATAGAAGATAGCAAGTAGGTCGACGACACAGTGCTGGTCCAGTGTATCCAAGGCTAGAACACGGATCACCGAACTAAGACAAGGCGTATGTCTCGCTAACATGCGAAGACTGTTCGCCAGTTCGTGCATCATGAAGTAGAACCAAAACAGGTCCATCATCAGGTCGTGCCCAGCCTTTCGCATCAATTGTTCTCCATTGTAAGACCGCAACTGAGCCATCATATCATCTTGTTCCTTGATGCAACGCTTACAGTCCTCGCTGCCGGCACAACTTGGTCTCTCGGAGGAGTTGTCCGAGCTTGACGACGACGACGACGACGACGACGATGATGATGATGACGGCGACGACGACGGTGCAGCACTCTCTGGGCTTTCTGATTCCGTCTCCGGACAAATTAGCCACTGATCCATGCTGAGGTCCACTGCCAGATTCAGTATGTCGACGATTGAACCAGACCAAAAGCGGTGTTCTCTAAAATCTCGTTTACACACTACTGTGAATGAGTTTCTAAATGTTCAGAAATTTCTAATACTGCTGCTTCCAATGAGAAGAGAATGGTGGCGAAAGCTCATACTTCGAGGCACTCCATGGCGCAATAAGTACTTCAACTTTCTCAATACATGGAATCCCTGGACTCAACGTCTTCTTGCGCTATTCACTCTCCGCAGCCAACTCTGTTGTCTCCAACTCAAATGCAGGTCAATGAACTGGAACAAACAATGAAGCGCGCAGCAGACCAAATAATGCACGCATTGTCTCGGAACACCATATTCGAGGAGCATACCATGCCGAGCGACTGTCTGAGATGATTCATTTGCGTGATTCAGCGCGACCTTGGGGGAACGATCTGGCTGAAGCGCCATAGATACTAGGGTATTCCACCTCCTACTCGAGAATGGCGAAGAGTAAAAGACCAGGGGTTTCCCAGAGAGTATAAATCGATCACGATTCATAGCTCGTACTGAGTGCAATATCTTCAAGAATCGTGAGCCACTCTTCGCATTGACCCTCGATATATTTATCGTGTAAACTTTACACTTCTATAGACACTTCTCTAAAAAAAATTCAAGTATGACTAGAATTGTATCTATTCGCGAACCGCGCCAAGTAGTTACCTTTCGCCCAAGCGATACCTGTACAGCGCTTATTCTATCATCGACTTGGGCTATCCGTGAATCACCTAGTAGGCGATATAAGGATATAACATAGCTGAAGCTATAGCGTAGGTAATTATCATCGACACTTCTATGCTGGACGTCTAAACCTCGTTGAAGATCGCCAAACAAGTCGTGGACTCCGGCTTTGGGGATTTTGTCGGCTGTCCAGTTTCTGGGGGAATGGAATTCGCCAAAAGAGGCAAGTTGAGTTCGATGATTGGCGCCCCGAAAGAGCTCTTTGATCAAAGATGACGGTCGATCTGATGTCTCAAGTAAATGCAAAATCCGTGACGGCGGAAGTTATGAGAGATATCTGGAAGCGTGCAAGTGGTATGTGTAAAGTTTGGTGAGCCCTTTCGATGGCTTTAAGTCACCTGCTGACCCTTCTACCCTTCACTAATAGAGAGTCCGCTCTGTCAGGGCAAGGAGTACAGAAGCCTGTACAGATTTTTCTCAGAGGTGGACGGACGCGCATTAGAGCATGGCAGGCCAGAATGAGTTTGGTACGAAAATTCACACATACTTAAAAACCGTCTCGTTGAGGACTGAAAAGAAATCATTGAGCATGTTAGTCGGTCATCTTAACAAGCAAAACCAACTTCTTCTTGCGAGAGATGAGTCTGCATAAGAAGTTGGAATATAGAAATCAAAAATGGTAGATTTCTACACTCGGATGTCTGATGCCGGAGTGCAAGAGCGATGGATTAAAGAAGTGAAAGCCAAACAAACCATGAGCAACCGAGGAGCCGGTACTTCCAGACGTAATAGCGTTTCAAGTGGAGCTGCATAATTCACATATATACTGTTCTATGTCTGCTGTAGCTGATAGGTTTAGCTACAATCCTCATCGCACGCACATCGGGCGTCTCTAGCTATCTATCTAATCCAGTCATCAGTACATATGCCCAGCTTTCCGAATATGGAGCACTTAGCCAACGACGTGACCGTGGTCCAGCTCTCGATCTCAGAAGCGACTTGCCTGTGCTCGAAAGCTCTCGAAAATGCAGGATACTCTACGAGTGATGCGGAGATGATCACAAAACATCTAGTTGACGCCGAGCTCAGAGGCGGTCCCTTTGCCGGCTTAGCCCGAGCATTGAGTATTATTGATCATCTTCAAAGCTCGGTGACGAGATCTTCCAAATACATTGAGGTCGTCCGCGAAGGGGCAGCATTCGTAAGGCTCGACGGACATGACGCCATCGGGTATTTGGTAGCATAGAGGGCGACGGAGCTAGCGATTGAGAAGGCGAAGGAATCCGGCGTCGCAGTGGTAGGGGCAAATAATTTCTGGTATAGTGGGAATCTGGCCTACTATACTGAAATGGCCACGAGACAGGACCTCGTGTGCATCCTGGCATCGAACGTATGGCCTTGGGTAGATTTGAGAAGTGTGATAAAGGGCTAATGATGTTGGCGCCAATGATTCTGGCGCGTACTAACTCACCTAAAACGTGAAGCGCTAACAAATATGGATACTAAACACTGTGAGGGACTCCAGTGACTCCTGTCAGTGGTTCTCAAACTTCGACATCCCAGAAGGCCTTCGTGTCTCGCGCATGCTCCCGATCTTGCCCATTCTTCACCAAGTTTACGACCATTACGGCCAATAATCTGGTACAGTGGTCATATCACATCAAAACCAGTAGGAAAAATAATGACATCTACCTTCGTTTCCCAACCACCAGCATCGAGAACACCATCTTCAGTTACGCCGATGACAGAACCCAGGATAACCTGGATGTTTGAGCGACGTAGGGAGGGCAGATAGTCGGAACCGGGTGTCATGCGCTGACACCCCAGTGCGTACTGAGCTACTAAGTGCATCGACAGGCGCCGATCTGCACCAAGTTGTTTGCGCTTGCTATGGCTTACCAGATCGCGGGTGCTTTTCTAGTCGTTGCCATGAAAGTGAATCTGCTTGTTCTGTCAGCGCATAGGCTGAAATTGCGGGTTCACAGACCCGGAGGAACCGTTTGTTCAACTCCCCTTCAAAGTCGCGACAATATTGATTGTGGTTACCATTGTTCTTTCTGAACTTGTTTTTCTGGTCCTTGGAGTCTATATTTGAAACGAGCTGGATGCTGTGGATGTCATTCAGCTTACTCACATTGAAAATTTACGCCTCCAGGAGCAGTGTATTTAGCCCCAAATCCAGTGGTAATCCAGATAGGCGATCGCAGGTATGGTACAAGCTTTTTGTTTTTTGGCTGGATTGCTGGAATGATCTGGGCGGCCGAGGAGCCTCCTCCGACAACGGCAACTGGTTTCCCATCTAGGTCGTAGTCGTTGTCCCAACTAGCACTGTGCATCAATTTTCACCGAACCCTTTCGATCCCTGGGATGTCTGGATATTTTCAGGTGCTGTGGGAGATGGAAAGTGAGCGGATGCGTATAGTAGACAGTGGAAGAAGTTGACATTTACTTCAGCGTTCCATAGCAGCTCGCGAGCACTCTTCCCTCATCCGTCCATTGCTTACCGTCTCTATCGAAGCCCTGCACCTTCCAAGTGCCCTCATCTTCGCTCCACTCCGCCCGCGTTACTTTGTGGATAAATTTAATTTTGTCGAACAGTCCGTTCTCTAATCTAATTTAGCGTACGATCAATCTCAGGCCGGATACAAAGGTATGTCTTACCGCCCAATTCTTCAAATACTGCCAGATCTCCTCACTATCAGAGTAGTAGCTACTTCATTCGGGATTTCGAGCGAACGTCCATTGATAGACATGAGAAGGGATATCACACGCGTAGCCAGGGTAGCGGTTTTCAAGCCAGGCCCCGCCACATCTTCATTCTTCTGGTATATGGAGAAAGTTACCTCCTCCTGTCTAAGTCGGCGAGCAGCCTTGTAGGCTACGTTTAGTCCAGCTGCGCCGGCTCCAACACCGACAATGTGGACAGGAGAAGGGGTGTGAAGAGGAGTTTCAGTGACGCTGTACACTGGATGAAAATGGCGATACCAATCGTTCTCGTGAGCGCTGTCTACCTTTGATAGGCCAAGATGACCGGGAAATCCCAAGGACGGGGTATTCGTCGCATCTTGCGAAAGGAAAGTGTTGTGTGGCATAGTCTGAAGAGATCGCTTACAGAGTAAGCAAGACTTTAGGACTTAGGAAGGGTTCAGAAGGCATAGCACTTTTCTAAAGTGCGGCGCTTGATATAAATATATATCAACGAAATAACCATTAATGTGCCTGCAGAAAGCATAAAGCTCTCGGGCGTTCCCGAGCCAGACTAGAGGCTGATTCTACTCAGGGAGGTTCGTTTGGGAGTTGTTGCCACTCCCTTGCTCGAATGTGCTCCTCGGCAAAGGCCCACGATCAAGATATACATGGCGTTGGACGTCCAATATTCTTGAGAGCCGCGACGCCGAATGCCGGGAGAAGTACTTCGAGTATGCTTGGCAGGCACCGACTGCACAGGCTCAAGGGTATGGCTGCCTCGCCGAAACCTCATAGTTTTGGAAATGATTGTCTTGTGACTAATCCAGTTTGTCGGTGATTCGGTCCCGGCTCAAGGATCCCCACTTGATCTCAGTCAAGAGTGGCACGGCTGGTCTCCACAAACCCGTGGAATTGTTCTAAGCCCAAGAAAGAATTGAGCATGTCAGATCCATCGTTCCTGTAACGTACAGAGTGGCTGATTAGCTCGGTCAATAGACTGACCCTCAAGCTACGGAAGGACGTTGGGCCTAAAAACTCACGGATAGCCGGCGCCATGAATGGAAAAGTCTTGTGGCTGGGTAAAGGCGAAGTCGAAAGTCAAAAGGTCATCAGCTGAGAGCACCATTTCGTTCTGATTGAAGTCGTTAGAGGTCGGCGTTAAGGCAGCAAGTGCTTGCGACATTGTTACATTCGGAAAGGTGACGAGGGTGGCCCTGTCGCTTTCGCGACCAGCAGTCTTCGATAATTTTTCTTGGGCTTGTTAGAACATCCGAAAAGCTGCATCAGCACCCCAGCAGATGTCTTTCAGCTCAGCTTGGAACATCATACACAGTTACAGCCTATGATTCCCAAGGCGTGAGATCGAACGAGTGCTAGATTTACAGTCTAGCAAATGGCTTTGCATAGCAAACATCAACGGGCTGATTCTAGAGAACGGATTAGCTGTTAAGGGATGGGAGATACGAGACTAGGTTCCTACATGGCGGGACTTATGAACTCGATCAAGTCCAGATTCATAATCTGCTCGAGAGCAGCATTCATGTTGTTCGCAGCAGCTCTCGTTTTCTGGGTTGCTTGTGTCCGATATGATGATTGTACCGCATCCGCAGCATCCTTAGGATGTGAAAGGACAACTGCTCGGAAAAGCACAAGCGCAACGGCTCTATGGATGATACGTCAGCGAAGGCTGTCGTGGGAAATGACAAGGAGAAGAATCACTCGTAATGAATTCGAACCTGACATGCAAAAAAACTGCTCGTACGGTTTCGAGGGTTGCCCAGTTGTCGCCGACGCCGTATGCTCTTGCAGTTCAGCCTCGTATTTTTTCTAGTTCTTTTGCATTATTTCGCCAAACATGCTTCGAATGCAACTTCAAAATTCTGCCCAACAAGATGCTTAGCCTAACGAGTTCGCTCCAGAGCTCGCCAACGACGTTCGACGAATCAAGAGCTAGAGAGATGATAGAGAAGGAAATGAACAAGGCCTGGTTGACAAAGCATGAGAGGATGAAGACTGTGGTAACCGCTTGTGCCTTGTCGTTGATGCCGATTGTGGCAAGAGAGCCAGTCAAAGCGTTTTGGATGACGAGACAAAAGACGATTTGCCAGCGCTCATGGTTGAGACGAGAGAACATCAGAATAAGTGAGATTCCAGCAACTGGTAACCGGAGATCAGTCTTTTGAACCAAGATCCATCATAGAGGTTGAATGGCTTACCCCAAGTCACTAGATTCGTGATCGTTGCATATGTGCCGCGCATTATGGTAGCGTCAGCGGGAACGAAAAGACGTGCAGTTTGTGGGGGCCAGAGCACTGGCAAACTGTAATAAAACATCCCGCCCAAAAAACATACAACGACGACTACCACCTATCTTGTGAGTTTTGTGAGAATGAAACCATCTGTTTTCCCCATTTATCATACTCACGAACGGATGTTCCGACACAATCGACGAGGCATCAGAGGGAGCTTCGACTTTGTCAAGTATTCCCACACTGCAAATGCCGCCCAGAGGAAGGCACCTAGAATAAGCGGAACCAACGTCTCTGTTGACTTCCAGGGATAACGGCGACCGCCGAAGTTTAGTCCAACAAGTAGCAGAACCCCGGCAGAGGTAAAGAGAAGCAACCCAATGCAATCGATCTCTTCGGCCAGCTCGAGTCGGCGTTTTGTGCCGTGATATTTATTCTCGAAATTCGGCGGCTGGTAGAAAAAGAACAAGAGCAAGAAGGAAACAGCAGCAACTGCGCACATGTACCAGTAACAGGCTCTCCAGCCTATACTAACTATACTAGAATGCTGCATAACCCTGAGGCGATTAATGGAGATACCAAATCTGGCAGGGCGCAAACATATCCGGCGCCTAAGTGTGTAAATAGGTTATGGTAGTTACCTTCATAGCAAGTACGAACTTACCAATAAAGAAAGTCCTTCTCTCATAGGGTGCCGGCTCCATAAGGCATGCATAATAGGTTTCCTGAATACCAGATGCGATGCCGAAGAAGATCTCACTAACAATCATTGAGGAATACTCTTTCCTGTGGCTCCAACTGACAGCGGAGAACGGAAGAGTTAGCAGATGTCTGAGGACAATTAAGGGTCCTACCCGTAGTAATACGCACTGATTGCACCAATAAACGAAATGGTGGTACCGAATAGCAGGAAGTATCGTCGGCCAAAAATGTCGCCGAGACGGCAGCGCAGAGGGATCAAGAATTTGCAATCCAGGCGTAAGAAGGGTCAGGCCCAAGGTCTGCTTCGATGTAACTTAAAATGGTCGACGGAATGAGAGGTGTCGTCTCATAGCAAATCACCTGAAATACCAAAGCCTGCTCAGAAGTTAGGCAGGGGCGGGTGCATATCCGTAGATAAAATTATCCCTACGATGAATGCAAGCACAAGTCTCCAGGAGATATTCTCATTCTCTTGCTCGGGTTCAATAGCAACATTGATAGGATTTGGCTGTTTCTCGACGGAAGGCCCAAGATCAGCTAGGTCCTCGACTTGCCTCGATGGTTTTTGGTGAATCAGTTGTCATTTTCAAAACAACCAGTTGCTCAGGTTGAAGATTGGAGTAATGCTCCCATGGGATCAGGAAGAGTCCAGCTATATATCGACATTTCAGAAAGAAGCGGAGTTTGGACTTACGTACTAGCTGAAATATAAACAACATCGTTGATTGTCAGCTGGATCAAATTTTGAGGAAATTATATGACCTCGGTTCTTCGGGCTCTATCCCTGAGTCGTAAGCGGGCGACCTTTTTCTCTTGGCGTGATAACTCAAGATCGCGCCAGTAGTTTTCAACATAAATAAGTACCAAAGATAGCTCAAGCAACGCGTTTTGGCCGCATTACTAGGTCAAAGGTATTCTCTGATGAACGACTCGGAGGTATTTAAATTATCTGAAAAGCAAGAGAAGCGAGAAGAGCAGGGTGTAAGTGCTCGAAAGAGGTGTCGTTAAGCCTAAATACTCCTTTAGCAGTCTATAAACTTGTTCGGTAGTAACTATCTTGAAGCTATTAATATCTACCTCACCATCGCCTGTTACCGCGCCCACCTCTCCCACCTCTCCCAACCCGAGTTCACCTTCACGCTCACCTGAGGTCCTGTCTCTTGACAATGTGCTGTAGCACCGTGACAATTGTTGCTATTTCCCGCTTTTCGCCTGTTCCACTCCTCTATCTGGCTGTAGCAACCTAGATCAGTACTCTTTGAGGGTTCCACTGTTTGGTACAACTTGTTCTCATGGGCCAGGTACGTATTGTCTCGCCCTCTAAGAAATCGGCATTCAGTACAGCACTTCCTTAAAAGCACGGACGTCCTCATGATGCCCGAAATGCGGCCTGCACAGGAAGTTCGAAGTGAGCACACTTTATTTTCAGGTAAGACGGAGTCTGCCCTGGCCGTCAATGTAGCTTCAATTTGCTCGATATGCGTCCTTGACCTTACACAAATCCAATGTGTGACATGCTGTGAAAGCCTGCATTAGGGCAGTCACATGTGTGAACATGGCGCACAAGATAAAGACATGAAAGATCTGATGCGAGCTCCCCCAGATATCAAATTTGCCCGGTGCTAAGCGCTCTGGAATTCGGAACTGCAACCAGTTATCAGATTATTTGTCTTTCATAGTAATAGCAGACGCGGTGGCGAGCGTGTAAACATACCGCGTACAGACTGACCCCACCGCCATAGAAGCACAGCTCTATTAGATACCATTTCATCCCCGCGTATTGAAGCATATACTCGAGTCCGTATAGCTGGGTTCCGTGCAGCAGAGGGATGAGTGATGAAGCCCCAAGCGCAAAGTAGGCGCCCACTCTCACCCTCCGCCAGCGCAGCGACCTAAACGTAGGTTTTGCAATAAGAACAGCGGTGGCAGTGCCCGAGGTTAAAATCTAGGACTTGTGTCAGTATATCAGGTAAGCGATGGCAGTTACTCAGAAGGACTAACAATCGCCCAGTGTATTTTTTGTAATCTCGGTTCACAGATAAAGATATAATAGATGCCTGAAACAAATGTGCCCACTGTTACGATAACGATTCCCAGTAAATCCATTCCATGCCAGAACTCTTCTACTTTCTGCGAGTGATCTTGCATTAGGTGGTAAATAGCGCTGAAAACTAAACAAGCTTCCGCAACCACAAAGTAGAGTCCGAACATAATATAGTCTGTTTCCGAAACGTTGAGAAATTGAGGGTCGGGGAAGACTCGCATGAAGGTAAAGGCGGTGAGTGGTAGGAGTAGAGCCCCGACTAGGTGGGTATAGACATTACAAGTCTCATTGTGTAGAAAAGTTAAGCTGGTGAAAACTCCTAGATAATCTGCTTTTGCTGGTCGATAGCCGCTGAGGATATATCTGCTGTCAATCTGCCATTCGGGAACCTCATGCCATTTTACGGTTCGCGCTTCAGCCTTCGGCTGATTCTTGGACGCCTCCATGGAGCTTGTATTGACGTCCTGCACATGCCGTTTCTTGATTTCTGTTTTCGACATGATCCTCCCACCTAGGTGACTTGGATGTGCTGACAGTGGAGAACGGGGGGACTCGTGAGTATGGACGAGGCAAGAAATATTCCCAGCCTGGATTGGAGAACATCAAAGGAAAGGACAAATGCCACCTGAGAAGATGGGTAGAGGAGCAAGGGTTGTAGGAGCCCAGTGCACTAGAACGAAGTTTGAGGTGTATGACCCAGAGAGAGAAGAGGCTTAATCGTTTCTCAAACTGAAATGTGTGGACATAAGAAACAACATCGAGACCAAATAATCTTGGAACTAGCTGGTACTTTAGCACGGGCGGAATTCGGGACATGCCGGCCGTCGAACGGGGCCGGCGGGGGCTAAATGAAGCGCCGGATCTACGACGATGGCTATTCGCCAAGCGCTCGTTAGTACTACTAGTAGGGCCCACTCCATTCACGTTACTATCCAGCGCCAAAATCCGCCTTGTTCGAGGTGTACGTACGAGTAGACCAATGGTATTGTGAAACGAGATAGGTATCCTCACAAGTTCAGGACAAGTCGCAGACTCGCAGCACAATAAATGCAGGCTGCCCTAATCAGCAAATGGAAGCCCCTGAGTTTCACACCCTTGCCTAAAGGCAGCTCGCGCAGCACTTTTCTGGCCGCAATAAGGTTACACTCGGCTATGCCATGAACCGCGGGATTTGTAGTGCACTTACTCGTATGCATCAACCTGCCTTTCAGCCTTGTGATTCAGTTTCTGATTTGCGCCCACGTGAAGCCTTTAATCCACGGACTCTAGATGCGCAGTCATGAATCAAGATGAATCCCGGGGTTTACTGAAGAGTATCCTTGGAATCTTTGCTCGAAAACCACCGGAAAAGCCTGCGTCATCCGCGTCGGTGAGGTCACAGGCGCTCGACGCCTGGCTACGGACGGATGCATATCTGCAGCATGAGACCGATGAATTCGATAAAATTGACCCTGAACATCTCGGGAGGACACTGTCCGCGCTCGAGGATCTTGTTCAACATGACCCTGACCGAGGATGGGATTCCGTAAGTAGTCTCAACCCACGGCAGGTTCCAATCTCTCAACCTTTCACATCCTGTGCACTAACCAAAGGCCGCGGAGCAGAACTTATACCACAATGTGCCGTACCCGAAGCTCCAGATGGTCCGCAGCATGGACCAGCCGCCGAATCGTGGTGCGCAATCCAATTTAGGCCCTCCTGTGCGCTTCAGCAAACGTAAACGAGATAATGACGCCGCCATTCAGGAGCTTTCGCTCCTGGACAAGGAGGCAAAGAAACGCCGGATTCTGCCTCGTGAAGAGCTGGCTATGAGCGATGACAATGACCAGCCCGAGGCTGACTTCGCCATGCTAATGAGGAGACATTTGGTGTCCTTGGATCATGCTTTACGAACACACTGGGTTTGTGTGTGTCAGAAGTGCTCGGGCTTGAGCGTGAGACTTTCACTGCCTCAGCAGAGGAAGAAAGGTTCAACGGTTGAGACTTGTTTCGAAGTGTTCTTTGGAGCGCGATCTGTGCTTGCAACTACATTGCAAGAAGCCAAAATAACTATTAAGTAAGCATTTGAAGTTTCACGCAATGACTTGCTGACACACTCTTGTAGAGATGTACAGAACAACGGTTCTAGGCGCTCATCTGAGCCTACACCCAGCACTCTACCAGGTTTCGCTCACATCTGCCAGAGTATCACGGAATCATTGGATCACCGAAATTGCTTGCATCTTGCTCTCGAGGACGGCTTATTCAAGAGGCTTCGCCCGCAACCAAAGACCTTTGGCGGCGGTCCCATGCCTCGGACAGTATCTCTGTCGGCCCTATTCAAGCGTCAACAAGAATTACGTGGTAGCTTATCGGTATTGCCGCTCAAGGGCAAAAGAATCTTGGCAGTCACCCTGGCTACAGCGTTGCTTCCGTTCTTAGAGACGCCGTGGGTACAGCCTGCCCTTAATCACTCAAAGATTCAGTTTTTCCAGCCGTTACAGGATGGAGAGCTACCCACCATCACAAAACCTTTCTTGAGCATGGAGCATATTCCAATCATCTCAGCGAGCAAAATAGACACTGGAGTCAGCCAGATCGACTCTGCCAGCTTCAAACACATGGTCCATCCAAATGCCAGTGTACTAGCACTAGGGATCCTCTTGTGTGAACTTCACTACTGCACACCTGTGGAGCTAATGCAAAGCGACGCCGATACCGCCCGAGGTGTTAACACTGATTATTATACCAGTCTGGATATTCTGAAAAATCTAGAGGTTGATGCCGGCAGAGATTACTACCTCGCTACGAAAGCATGTTTGCAGTGGGAATACTATCCTACCGGAGAGCCGGCCGATTTTGAATCTGCCAGCGTTCAGCAGCTATTCTATCAGAATGTCATCAAACGACTCGAATCCGAGATATTCAAGTCGTGGCAGCTTCGGTCACAGGATTTGGCAACCCTCGATTCCCGGGAAAATGAACTTTGCTGGGGTCTCATCGGGCGAGAAGTGATCCGCCATCAAACAAGCAAGGCCGAACCCTCTGCACCAAGCAACAGAGAAAGAGCTAGTCCCATACGGTCGGCCTCGGACAACCCGTCTCACAGCTACACGTCTCTCAGCTCCGACGCAGTCCTACAAGTGCCAACTCAGCTTTCTCGGGGATCACACCGCCGCTCGCCGTCCGCCGAATCTTCTACGAAAAGCCTGTACTTTTTTGATGCGAGCCATCAGGTTGTCTCTGGACAAGAGTAAGATATTATCTTGTAAATGCAAAGGTTTTTGATGACTAATGATCTGTCAGCACTGAATTGTCGCGAAGTTGGATGAACAGCCTTGTGTCCTCGATTGAGCATCATGTTGACTCGTTTGACACTATCGAACCTGGGCGCCAAACTTTCGAGCCAGTACGAATAGCAATCTTAGATTCAGGGTTTGATCGAGGAAATCCACTTCTGATGACGGACGACCAACGACTAGATCCACGGATTAAAGACGTGCGAAGTTTCGTTCATCAAACAGAGCCGTTCGACGTTCAAGACGAAATTGGACACGGCACACATGCTCTTGGTCTCCTGCTCAACGTCGCCACATGCGCCGAAATCTACATTGCCAGAATTGCGTGTCGGGAGACTCTGGATCGCGACAGTTACGATGACATCGCAGAGGTAAGGGCTGCTCTATGCCAAAGAAACTTTGCTACCTGAGCTAATTGTTTTGTCCAGGCGATCAACTACGCAGTTTCGGCATGGAAAGTGGACATTATATCGATGTCATTCGGAATTCGTGAATACCATGAGCCCATGAAAACAGCCATATCAAATGCACTACACAATCAAACACTACTATTCGCTGCGGCATCAAATGATGGAGGCAATCTTGGCCGAGCTTTCCCGGCTAAATACCCTAGCGTCTTTTGCATACACTCGACCGACGGAAATGGCAACCCTTCGGCATTCAATCCTACGGCAGACGATAAAGACGTCAACTTCAGTCTACTCGGGGAGCAGGTTTATTCTCACTGGCCAGCAGGCAAGAATGGCCATAATGATTATGTCAATGCTATTTCAGGAACATCAGTAGCGACACCGATCGCCGCTGGGCTTGCTGCTTCACTCCTGTCCTTTGTGCGGCAGCAAGACCAGTACACGACTGCAGAGAATGAGGTACTGGGCCCGTGGTTGAAAGACGTTCATTCAATGGATGCAATTCTGAAGAGCATGGTCAGACAGAAGAGAGGTGTTGGTTATGACTATATCACGCCTCACATACTGCTTGACAGGGGCTCGTCGAGAGAGCATGTTTATAACAAGATTAAGGATATCCGAAGACACATGTATCACTAGAGAACTTGAGAATGGTCTGATAGTCTTCTTATTCTTCTAAACAAGGGACACTGATATCTCACATAGTTTTCGGGGTTCAGGCGGCAGAGTCAAGCGGGGACACAATAAACACTACCGTTGTCAGCCATATCAGGAACAACTGTCGCAGATTTGATATCAGAACCATCCACATCCTCCACCAAAACAGACTCATCATCATTTCTCTCTTTGCCAACGGCGAGGAACGCACCCTTATTGTACTCCTCAGCCTTCAATTTCCGTCCAAATCTCAGCCTTTTAACGCGGAACGCAAATACAAATTCAGACTCCCGATTGAATTCCGTTTCATCGTCGTTGGCACTGCTCCATTGGCCTTTTGGGCCGAGCGTCATGCCAATTGGGGCCGCGTTGATACCGATATTCCCCGTGACTTTCGTGCTCTCTGAAGTCGAGTATTTAATTTTTGCGCCTTTGACGAGCTTCATGCCTGTAATGAGAAAAAGCGATACAACAGGGGCGAATCGCTGCTTCGGCTGACTCAACCACGTCTGAACAGCAGGTGCTTTGACGGCTTCCTCAACGTACTGCTGTGTAGGCTCGAATGACAGAGTTGTCACGGTGTCAAATGCAAACATACTCGTCTTTCGGTTAGAATGCTCCGCATCCACTTCAGGGCCCACGGGTAAACCGCCTGTAGCCAGCTGCAGAAATTGCGCGTAAACACCCAAGCCAAATCCTGTTTCCGCTGAAACGGTCTTCTTCCAATCCGTCTCAACCACGGGCGGGTTTGCGTTGGCCACGGGTACGATGCTCGCTGTGTTGAGGGGAAATTGCGGTGTTGACGTGGAGCGTATGATAGAACCAAGGCATAGCAGACCCGCTGGAGGAGGATGAATGAAGTCAGATGTCGGGCAGAGAAAATAGGTCTTTGTGAAGGACATGCTTTCAAGGCTGATGTTCCGTGATTAGGCTTGTCTTTGGCCTGTCGAGAGCACTCATGTATATATACTTGGAGTCTTATTCGTACCAATTTTCCCTCCTGTCACCTATGTAGACACACTCTTTCGTGGAATAACAGGTTCTGGTACCGAGCGTTTGATTAACAGAGTTGTATTCTCTTTTGATCATGATTGTTTCAAACCATCCTTCCCCCGCATTAAATCCTCGAGGCTGTCCAGCACTTGCTTGGTGGGAAGAGTCAATGGCCTGGACCTGGAAAAGTGAAGATGACTGTGGTGGCAAGGTTAAACCTCCTCTAGTACGCGCTAGCAGGGGATGGCTTTTTAGCGTCCAAGCGTACGAGGTGTCAGCGGTAATTTTCCACACCCCCAATTTTAGCGTAAAGCGGGAACTAGCCAAATCAGGTCATGTGTACGCGCTAAGCCTAATTAGTAATTTAAGGTGTTCTATTTAATACATCTCGCTATACACATACCACGCGTGCAAATATGAAGTAGTAAAAATCAATTGTTTTGATGCTGTATTAGCGTGCCACTTTTGCCTCCCAATTAGGCTTAGCTCTTAGACGTGACCTGATTTGGCTAGTTCCCGATTTACGCTAAAATTGAGGGGTGTGGAAAATTACCGCTGACACCTCGTATGCCGCTACAGCCGTGTACGATAAGCTCATCGAGCCGCTTCTCGCCCAGCTACTCGTACTCGTAAGCAGTCTTTACTTGGTAGTGGGGAAGGAGAACGTGTGGTTCCGTTGAGGGCGGTACGGTAGGGCACGTCCCGCTCGGATGCAGGGTGAAAACTCTCTCTGCGAGTAGATTGCGAAGGCAATGAATGTTAGCGCTAGTTCCAAGTTGGCTGAGTGGTTTTCGAGGTGGTGAGGGAGCCTCAGCAAGTTTTATATTCGGGATTTCTGAAGGAGCTGAATCATGGTCATGATAGTGACGAACGAGCTTAGACTGGGCACTGCAAGAGGCTGAAGCATGGAAAGTTCGGAATTGGCGAACTCCAGACAGTCGCCAGTGGCCGCTGGCTTATCGGTCCTGCCGACGACAGAACGTCACGGGCGCTTAACCGAGTCGCTGGTGCCGCCACCGTCTCTCCCACATGCTCAACCTCGTGCTTCGGTGCCTTTTCGACGTTTTTGCAACTTGCATAAGGCTTAATGTGGTGAATGTTTCGTGCAGCCACAAGCACTCGCCCATCGCGTAGCCCTCCCGCCATGATACCCCCAGATCGTATGGAGCAGGATTTGATGGAGGACATCTTTGTCCAGGATGATCTTCGCCCAAGCATCGCAGAACACGCTTTGCAGTGCGACTCTCTCTTCCGAAAATACATGGCTCTTCCTGAGATCGCACCAGATCCTACCGTAATGGACGACCAACTGGCGCGCTTCACACTATGGGCATCAAACATGGATGTTTATGGGCCGCTCAATGTTTCGCTGGATTACAGGCTGCGATACAGTCCCACAGTGGTGGATATTATACACCAGCTTTTGGACGTCATTTGTGATACTTTGATGTCTCGTAAGTCCTCGCTGCAGTCAAATTGTACTGGGGTTACGTCAAGAATCCTCGGCTAACAGGAGTTGCAACAATAGTGAAGCCGGTTGACGAGCCACCTCAGACCCCGAGCAGGAAGAAGCAACGCATATCAAGAGACGGCCGTTTAGAAATCACCATGAGAGACGATAGCGATGCAAGCGATATGGACAGTGACGAGGATCGAGCGGAAGAGAATATTTCAAAGATCACCTATACTATTGGAGGAACAGTGACGCGCCTCTTCCGTTTATCCAATGCTGTTCGGAAATCAGCCAAGGCCAACAGGGCCCAGAAAATGGGAAGGTACAAAGCCGACGAAGAAACAAAAACTGCCATAGCCGAGTTGCGTCTCTACACAGAATGCTACATTCGTTTCCGATTTCCCTTAGCACCAGAGTCGCTTCACTCGGCATTGGTCGAGGCCAACGCGCTGCGACTTCGGCGACTGTGCTATCAGAGGTCACACCGAAGGCGCATTGACTTGAAGGTCCAGCAGCCCCAGGCAGAGCCTAGTACTGTTCAACTACCCAAGGTCGTGGATAGTAGTCCGGCTGTGCATTTTGGCCCAAGCATCGTCCCGAAACCTGCCACTATCAACAAAAAGTCGGACCCAACTCTCCCTCCGCCCATACCGGTAACGAATGCGACTACTGCTCGACAAACTGCTGTAGCAGCCTTGTACGCCAAATCGACTACGGAAGTCCCTCGAGCCAAGTCTGTTCTAGTGAACAACAAATTGTCGTTCCCTCCGATGCCTCCGACAAGTGAGTGTCCATATTGTGGCGTCATTGTTGAATTCAAGGGTTCTGCAAGGTTGACAATGTGGCAGTAAGCTGATTGTTCTTCTCGTTGTAAGGTAGCGTCTAATTTTCCCAGCAATCATGTTATCGGAGATCTAGAGCCTTACATTTGTATCTCTGCCCACTGCATGGACTCAAGTCAACAAGAGCCTAGTCCGTTAACGTTCGAAACGTCAAAAGCCTGGATAAGCCACCTGCAGAACGCTCACAGATCTACATGGGAGTGCAGAGCCCCTTCCCACCATCCAATCATTTTCGAGCGGGAGGTTGAGTACCAGGAGCATTCAATCAAAGAGCATGGCGTCCCCCCGGCGCATGTGGGGACCCTCAGTAGTGCAGCACGACGACCACTTCTCAACAAGATTCTCGAATGTCCGTTTGGGGACGATTTTCAACTCCCCGAAAAGGTCGAATCAAGTACTGTCTTTTCGAGCGGAGCTCTTCAGTCACATGTCGCCGCTCATATGAAAGAAATTGCCCTGCTTACCTTGCAAAAAGTACCCAGCCATTTTGGCGACACAGCTGAGAGCGTTGATAGCGGCATGCCATTAGAAGATGATGGGCCAGGTTTTGCAAAGTTGCGTGGATCAATGTACAGTGTTCTCGATGACGAAGCTCTAGACTTCCAGGACGAGGCTGGAGATGTCATCTCGAACAATCACGAAGAGGACATCAGTCCCTCTGTTGAAAGACTAGACTTGGATGGAAAAGATGCCAACGGGATAACGAACCTTCATCAAGCAGTGCGGGCTCGCAATTTGGCGCTGGTCCGCTCACTAATCGACCAAGGCGAAAATCTACGCAGCAGAACAAATGACGGCAGGACAGCATTGCATTATGCTTGTGTGGCTCATGACGTCGACATGATGACACTGTTGTTGGACGCTAATGACAATGCCATCCTGAACTTGGGTGATAAAAACGGCCTAACACCTCTGCATTACGCTGCAAAAAGGGGCTTCACTGGTGTGATGCAACTCCTGGTCGATCGTGGTGTCGATACACACATTACCGACAACAACGGGTTTTCTGCCTACCTCTGGGCTGTAGTTGCTAACCAGGAAGCCGCCGCCGTCAAAATGCTGATACTAGGCGTTAATGTCGACTTCACCGGTGCGGATGGCAAAACTGCACTAGGTTGGGCAGCCAGCCTGAATCATTTGACAATGGCTCAAATGCTTGTGGGCCATGGGGCGGCTGTCATGTCTACGGCTCAAAACACGCAAATGGCGCCGTTGGGAGAAGCGGCAGCTTTTGGTGGATATCCCACAGTCCTATTTCTCCTCGATCAGGGTGCCGATCCTAACTATCGTGATCGCAATGGATGGTCCGCCATACATTGGGCAGCGGAGGAGGGCCATGAAGACATTGTACATCTATTGTTGAAAGGAGGGGCCGATGTCAATGCTGTCAGTTCCTATGGTACGTCACCATTACACTGTGCTGCCAACGGAGGACGAAAAAACATTGTGAGAGTACTTCTCCAATATGGAGCCGACCCTCTTAGGACAACATGTCATGGCTGGACTCCACTTCACCATGCCGCATTCGCGGGACATTCTCACGTCGTACAGTTTTTGCTGGGAGATGACCGGATAAGGTCCAACGCTTCTCTCCAGGATAATCATGGCTGGTCCATTCTTCATTTGGCCATCCAGAGTCGCGATCTGGCTACCGTTGGAATCTTACTTAACAGCTCTGTCATAACAGAGACCCGCACTCTGTGCGACGAGAGCGGTCTCACGGCAGAAGAGTGGTTAGATCTTGTGCCCACGAGTCATTCCTACCAAGCGACAAGCAATTTGGCCTTTGGCAAGTCACGTTGTTGCAGGGCGGTCACAGGCCTACGACAGGCTGTTGCAGGGGGCAATATTCCTCTGACCGAATTTTTCTTGGAACGAGGTCACGTCGTCAACGACACAGATTCGGGAAGAAGGACTGCACTATACTACGCTGCAAAGAAGGGCTTCCTCCTTATCATGGACTTGCTCCTAGACAGGGGTGCGGACCCCAATATCCTCCCTGTGGGACGCATGGCCTGGGAAGAATTCATTTCTGACGACATGGTTCTATCACGCCTTAGACGAGCCGGTTACAGGAAGCGAAGTGCTGATCCAGAAATAGAGCAGCAGATAAGGCTTTTTCTTAGAGCGCCAGATGAAACCTCTGTTCAAGTTCCGTATCGATCAGTCTCAAACCCACAAAAACCCCTACCGGCGCCCAAGCATCAAAGCCCAGAACCAGTGAGCAAGGTGGAGGTGACCCGCTCAGGCTTGAGCAACTTTTTCAAACGGCTAAGATCACGGTGAACGATCAACGTGCAGGCAAGGATAGGAGCCGATTGGGTAGATGGTAGCCTTGCATATGCTACTATCTCAATTACATTAGATATGACTTTTGCCTCAATGCATCAGGCAAAGTCCTCCCTCGAAGTGATGCGACACGCAAGATGCCATCATATGATATACCATATCCAACTATTCTTCTTTTCTTCATTCTCATTTCACTCTACCATCCTTAAACAACACCTGCCTATGAGGTACTTCAACGACCGACAATATGATGCAACATTACATCGACTCCCATCAATGTATGAAGATGCTGTTGTACTCTTTGTCTCAGGACTCCAGGCAGTACAAAGCCATATTGTTTCCCAATAATCAGGCATTCCACAAGAGTTTTGCAGGCCCGCTTTTGAAGTGGGCCTGGTTGTTGCTGGGATATCAAGACACTCAGAGTCTCTGGGAGTGCCTCGCCAATCAACCATTGGTGAGTGCTGGTATTGTTCTGGCAAAGAATCAGGCATGATGCGGAAGGCATGTTGAGGAATCGGTCCTCTCCCTTCTCTCGAGAGCGCTGAGCAAATTGAAAGATACTGGTGAGGAACAGAAGTAATCTGGGGGAATCGTGGTCTTGGCTAATGGCAGCTAGCTCGCTGGCGCATGACTGATTCGCGTCGCTGAACAGTTCATCTTCGTGGCTTCCACCGATATATCCTGCGTAGAACTCTGCGATGACGGTTGCGAAGTATTCGATCGGCCGTGGTTCCTTGTTTTCAAGCATGCCAACGTGGCATGTGAGAAGAAGTGTCGCCCGGGCTACGTTCTCTTCCCTGTTGCCCTTCTGGATGGAGCTGTCGAAATCGGCTAGGAACTCTCGTACTCCAAAGTGCAAGAACTCTTCTGCATCTCTGCGACACGCGATTTGAGCCCAGTGCGAAAACGCCCGTGCTGTGATGATATCTCCTTGTCTCCATCCGAGTCGAATCGTTGCAAGTTTGCACTCGGATCCCACCATTACCATTATTACCAGCAATGCTTTCAGGTCGTCAGCAGAGACCGCCTGCAAGATCGTGGTCGGGAGATCGGTCATGGCCTCCAGCCTCTTGGGGTCCCTAGCCGCAGCTAGCTGGACGTAAAACTTCCCATATGCCTGCGCCCACTGTCGCAGTTCGGCCGTTTTGTTATCCTTGACGAGTTCTTGTAATACAGATAAAGAATTCCAGCGGCCAACCGCCATAAATTTCAGATATAGTGTCACCAATGAGAGAATAAGGGGGAAGCGAAAGGAAAGGCTGCCGGCCTTCATCACCATGTCAACCCTTCTTGAAGCATTTTCATATCGTGCGCTGAAGAGCTGTTGCTGGAGCCCTAACAGCTCTTTCGCCCGCTCCTCCAATGGTTCCTGGGGTCCCTTAAGAGAAGCGACCCCCGGAGGAGTGGGCAATTCGTCCACGCGCGCTCCGTGTTCCAGCAATAGCTTGACTATATCCTTCGAATTCGCCTGAATGGCTCGAATTAACGGTGTGTCGCCATCATCTTTGGCTTTACACTCAAGACGAGCATGGTGCTTTAGCAATAGAGACACGAGTTCCTTGTGCTGTCCACTGACCGCAATATGGAGTGCGGTCAACTTGCTTCGATCTTTGGCATCGACACGAGCACCATGATCAAGCAATAATTTGGCCATGTCCCAATGGCCTCGACTGACAGCCCAGGAAAGCGGCGTCCGGCCGTAGTTGTCCTTTCGCGAAATGAGACGCGCATGTTCGGCCAGCAAAATTTTGGCCCATTTCAGATTACCAAGGTAGGCAGCTAGGTGTAAGAGTGTGAAGGAGGGCGGAATTCCGCCACTTTTCTCCTGCTCCCAAAAGAATTTCCACCATTCCTCCCGGATTGGAGACGCGACTTGGAAAAAGGGACGTGAAAACTCGGATGGTGCATCAATTACATTGATGGCTTGTTGAAAATGCACCGGCCAATATAGGCTAGCATAAGCCACGAGGGAATTGTGAAGAGGCTTGTCGCTGTGAGTTCTGCCACATCCGTAACTCCCTTCGATGTGTGACAGGCAGGTCTGCAGAAGAATCCGATGGGTGTTTTGATTCATGTAGAACATGTTGACCCCCTCAACATTGACTTGCTCACTCTGAAAGAACTCTTTGGCCGACTCGTGTACAAGGTTGACTACATCTCCTTCGATTTTCACCATCAGCCCGCAGAATGCGAGCCGATTCTTCATCACTTCGGTTGCCTGGAGATTACCAGATGCCTTGATCCCTGCAGCCATTGTCAGTTCATCCACTGCAAGTGGTCGGGCGGCAAGAACGATCCATCGAAGGATGGAGACCAGCTGTTCCTTGTCTTCGACTTGTTGAAGCAGCCGCCGATAAATCCCACCAAGGCCCTTAGGGACGCTGCGAAGAATGTCGTTGAATTTGCTCCAGTTCCTGCCCTGAAGCTCGTTGGCAACGAACCCGACCCATAGGAAGGTACCTTCAGCGCCAGCCAACAAGGTTTGTCGGACATGCACAATCATCTCCTCCGAAAGGTTTTGCTCAATTGCAAGTTCAGCAACTTTAGCGAAGATGTATCTCTCGACATCATTTGAAATTTCCGTATCTGATTCATCCATCTTGATTCGCTGGTATCCGCCGAGCTTGCTCTCCAAAATGGCCGGTTGGGGCCGGGAGAGAAGGATGAGCTTTAGGCGTGGCTTTGACCTTCCCCCAGACCTAGAGACATAATTCCCCACGGCGTCGAGAAGTTGCCTGAGAGATTCCTTTTCGCATTCATCCAGGCCATCCAGCACCAACACTACCTTGCTAGACCCGCTCTGCCGAAGCAGGGTCAGGAAAATCCTCCATAAGGAGATAAAGCTGGAAATGGTATATTTGGTCGTTTCAGTCCCTTCGAAGGAGTGCTTGATATGTTGTGCCAGTTGTGGCTGAAGGTTGACCCATTGATGTAGAATGCCTCTCATTATGGTCAATGCAGTGTTCCGGTTTTTGTCACGGTTACTACAGAAGTAGTAGAGGAGAACATCGTCGGTCGAGTCAACCGCTAGTTGCAACTCTTCGGTGAGATAAATGGCCAACATAGTTTTCCCTTTTCCAGGGCCACCTGAGATCCAGAGGAGCGGGTGATCGGCGTCTACCAGCCACTTTTGATAGCTGGAGTGTTGCATAAGCCATTCGCAGGTACCGTCAACTCGCCGCCCCTTCAGTGCAATGAGAGATCTCCGATCGACTTCGGGTCTGGTCAAGAGTAGAGCATCGAGAATCGGAGCTGCTACCACATATGAGTTTGCTGCCCCATACATCGGCTTTGGAATCGTAGGAATGAATGACAGAAGCTCCTTGGCATACGCTGCGGCAGCTGCGGCGGCGTAGGCGTGCCACAGCCTGGAGCTGTGTGAATCCGCATAGTCACAGATTCCTCGGATGAGCAGGCACTGGTCGGCTGCGATCAAGCCAGCCGCCTCTGTCTCAAAACAGAGGATGCCTTGCTCATCCGCCAGCTTGTCCCGAGTGGCACCATGGCGCATTAACCGATTGCTGGAAGCTATCGGGCCATAATGAACTATAGGATTCTGGTCCTCCCGTGGTGGCCGATTACAAATTTTGTCCGGGTTGCAATGATCACATCCGTCCTCTGCGGACTCGATGGAGATGTGATCATAATCGGGATCAAAGAGGACGTCCTGCTCTGAGCCCGGATGCGCAAAGGTGGAGGTGTCTTTCTGCACGATCTCGGAGACGTAACGGGGTAGCAAACTCTCATCAAAGATATGGGCTGTCTCAGCCTTACCCGCGGCTGTAAGCAGTAAAGGTGATGGCTGATCCAATGCCTTGCCATTTATGATCTGGTATGCCGTACCCTCTCCGCCGAGATCGTACTGGACGAAAGCGGGCCGGTCTGCTGTCGATTTGCCCACGACGATGTCGCCAAGACGAATGTCCTCCTTTGCACCAGGCACCCCTCCGCCAATGCCAACCATCAGGATGAAGCGGAGGGAGTTGAAGCTCGCACGCAACTGTATGACAACCGAAGTAGTCCCATACTCGCCAGAAGCCGGATACGCGACTACGACATTGTGACCGTTCAGGCTGCCTAAAACGTAGTTATTGGTGTCGTTTTTAGTCGGATCCGCAGGTAAGACGGTGTGAATGCGATCAAGTGTTGCTTTGGCTGCCTCGACTTCCACGGCCAGAGCGCAAACCCAGCCCACCGTGTAGTGCTCACGAGACACCATTTCTGGACAATGCGCAAAACCACCATAAGAGATTCATAGTTTGTCCTGCAGCATCGCCGATACGTCGAAGCTCTCCAGACTATCTCTCTACCAGGAGCACAACCTTGACGTTCCCGTCCACGAGTATTCGGCGGGTGCGTCTGTGGGTCAGTAAAGCAGACAGTCGCAAATAAGGAGTGGCAGCGGCACGGCGCGCGTGCCAGAGGACACCGGCTTTAAATAAGCTTTAAGACCTCAGGCAACAATTCCCGCACGAAAGATGGTAGCCCCCTGCATGGTTGACTGGTTCAGCTGAGTGCTAGTGCGCCTTGCGTTGGCTACACAGTCCCTAATAAGAAGAATCGAGAGTGCTGCTTTGGATCACCAATTTCCCCCAATGGTCTGTGGAGTCGCCGGGGTGACACCCATGGCGCGTGCCCTGCTGGGGCTTGTCAATGACCGCACCATTGAGGTCTGACACGTCCGGCGTTCTAGGCAGTTCGTCCTCGTCTTGGGCTTTTTTGGGGAGCCTGATGCGACACAATAATGCGCCTGCATGTGGAGGGGACGGCGCTTTCGGGAACTCATGTTATCCCTGTCATGCGTGTGCCCACTTTAGGTTCTTTTGGTTCACTTTGAGTTCGTGTCCAGGGTTGATTTCGGAACTCATACTTGTAGTGTCGATTTCGGAGCTCATAGTGTCACGTGGAACTTCTAGTAGGAAGAGAATGGAACGCTTGGAAGGCACCCAGAAGGGTCCCTTCCCTAAGGCAATGACGCGTACGGATGATCTGTCTTGGTGCTTCGAGTACTCCGTACGCGTCCTCGTACATATCGTTGCCCTGCAGTCTTTGGTTGTAGCTTGGTTGGTTTAGGCTGCAGCGCTTCAGATGGAGTTTAGCGCTGGCAAGGGGAACACTATCGCCACCAGTGTCCCTCAGCGTGCTCTCTTACCGCTCCCCTGCTACTCCCTCGTGCTCGCCTGATGCTTTCAAGTGCTCCCACACGTGCCCGATTAAAGCGGCCATGCTCCCTTTCCAAACAAATTGGTAATCGGTGCAGGTCAATTCAGGGCATACAATCGAGATACATATAACATGAGCATTTTGCTATCGCTCAAGACACATCTTCCAGCTTCAAAGGCTCATAGCCGATTCAAGCCGTGGCATTTGTGATGATGGGAGAGCGCAATGGCAAGACAAGTCCTTCATATATACGGCTGATGATACCCCGTTCGCTCGACATTACTTACCCCATCGGTAAAGGACAAACCCAGATCCCGGAATTCCTTCCGAGATTAGCTTTTCTTTTTCTAGAGCATCAACGAACGTGGGGAAGTCTTGACATCCTTCATCGACCAGCCTTTCCAGCTGGAGGCCTAGGATTTTGAGTAGTTTCATCACGTTAAGATCCGCTTAAATTTCGCTAACTAGAGTCTCCAGCCGTTTATTTCTCTTCTTCATACTCCGTATACTCACTCCATGAGGATCCATCAGCCTGATGAAGAGGTTCACGAGACCGTAAGCCTCACGAAATTTTCGGACTAAATAGGATTCCAAGGCCAACGTACTCAATTTCTGCCCTCTTGCTAAGCTGTACGCTTATGCGCTTCTGGGTGGCTTCCTCTACAGCTGTTTACTGACTAACTACGGACCTCATGGACTTCGAAGTAACCCGACTGTCCTAAAGTTGCTAACTAATTAGTGTTTGTAGCCGCAGAACTTTAACTTTCGAGGCCAAAATTTTAGCTAGTCTCTAGTCTGAGAGCGATCCTAAAGGTGAAACTTTCCACAAGGGCGATCAGTGATTACAACAGCTCACCATTTCCAGGTAGCCTCTATACGATAAGGCTTAAGGGGACTAGGACTTGATTACATTAACAATCTAGGGGGCTCTAGTGACAATGAAGGCTGCGGTAATGTATCAGGAACGAACAAGGTATATACAATTCCCTCCTTAGTGGAAAGAGAGATAGGGAGTTCGGAACCATCTATAGCGCCGCCAAGCAGGCGCCAAGACTCCAGTATATAAGAGCTGCTCACCGCATGCGGCTCCCTTGGGAACCTCATGCTTTGAGCTTGCTACGACTGACACGTCAAGGTATCACTTGTAATTGAGAGATAGATCCAACATCGAGACTATTTAAGCCACTCTACTAGTAGTCCTGCCTGTTAGCACGAGTGGTGCCTAACATAATGATTCTAATAGGACTAAAATTACCCTTGTAAGTCAGAGTCGTGGAGAGAGATACTATTAGCGCCAAGACTTAACTAGCGTATACTAACTCTATAAGCACTCTGCATGCTAATAAACTATAAGATAGTAAAACTCTATAGCGCTAGTAGCTGGAATACCTCCTTTATCGATCGATGAAAACGCTACTATACTAGTATTTAGAATACTGTAAATTCTAGAAAAGGGGCTACTAGGGATGAATTACCTATTAAGTATCTATATAAACTAGATCAGTGACATAGAGGGGAAAGGGATAGCGATCTTAATTATCCTTAGCCGACTCACCTAAATTGCTTAATCAAGATAATCCAATAAATGTTTTGTGCCCTGAAGGCTTTTGCATTGCCAAACCTTGAATGCCACCCCCTGTCTCGATGAAAATCTGGCCCTTCTTTGTCGTGGCTCTCCCCTCCAACCTAACCACCACTAAACCCATTTCTACACGGCGCTGATCGACTACCAGCCGCTTTAGGCCCCCCTCGTCTTTGACCATTCCCTGACTCTTTTCTCCCCTTACAGATCTAGTGAGTTGCTCCCAAGTACTTTTATACTCGCATTGCCCCAAACATCGACACCAGAGAACTGCATCTCCGCCCTGGCTACTATTCGAACTTCAAGCTCAGGTTTCTCCACACTACGAGCTTACCACTATGTCGCAATGACTATGCTGTTCTCTTTGTTCAAGAGGGTTATTGCTCTTTCATTTTTGGCCGTTATAGTAGCGAGTCTCTTCATCGCCATCGTACTTCGTGATTCCTTTCCCGAGCTTTTACATATCACTGGCCAATCCTCTCTCGATACTCACAACCCTCCCGTTCAGAAAGTCAAGTCTACGATTCGGATACCGTGCATCGGACCAAGAGGTACTTATGTGCATCAGAGCATCATTGACGAACTACAGGCAGCCGACCTGAATTTGTGTAAGTTGGATCCATTAGGCTCCGTACACCTAGTTAATCAAGTCTCAATGGAGCTCAGCCTTCCCAAAACCAGTCGGCGGCTCATATGAGACATTGGGGTTGCCTTACACGATACATACACCCAGCACGAGATACGGCGAGTACGGCTATGAGGAGGGGTCAGACGAGAATAACAAAAATCCCGTACAGTGGCACTTAGTATCCTGGGCGCAACTGCAGAATGACTGTCTAGCTCAAAATCAAGGTCGGTTCCAGGATTCAATGAATGTATCCACCGCGACAAAATTCTCCCTAATCAATGGTGCCAAACATCGCTTTCCGCACCCGGAAGCCAGAACTATTTCCACTGGGCGAACTGCAATCGTGCTCCGTGGTTGGGAGGGTTATAATTACAGCTCGATAGACATGTATCATATCCGATCATTGATAGTCGAAGCTGGCCTAGGCTCAAATGCGGACTATGCAGTCTTCTTACTTGTGGACGTCAAGGATAAGAACAACACCAGGCATATATTTCGGGATACTGAGAGCTACGAGAACGCCCTCCGAGACCTGGTTCCTGATGAGCTTCGAAGTATTACAGTCCTTTTCGACCATAATTTGCTCAAGACTTGGTATCCCCGGATTTCCGATCACTCAGTTTTCTTTCAGGTCTATCAGCCCCTTCAACTATTCGCTCAACTGTTTCCAGGTTTCGATAATTACTGGCAACTTGAAATGGATATGAAAATCACGGGTAACTCGCGACTATGGTTGGACGCATTATCCAGGTTCGCACAGAACGACCCTAGAAAACAGTCCGTCGAGCGCTCGTCTTATTTTTACATGCCACAAATTCATGGATCCTACCAAGAATTTAAAACATCCATCAACGAAAGCTTGGGCGGCGGCGGGATTTGGGGCCCAATTCGAGTTCCAGATATTCAACACCCAATAGGTCCTCAGCCGCCCGTTGGCAGCCCTCAAGAGGATGACTTTACCTGGGGTGTTGGCGAAGACGCTGATTTGATTCTGACAAATCCATTAGCCGATGTGAGGACCGCAAGATTTTGGCCGTTCATGCACTGGATTGGTGGCTTCGAGAAGGGAGAAGATACACCACGCTACTACAGCCCTGTGGCCATGGGAAGATACTCATGGAATCTGCTCAATGCAATGCACTACGCACAGGGTTCCCAGGGCCTGTCCTTGCCTTCAGAAGCATCAGCTTTATCGTTCGCTTTGTATCACGGCCTGAAAATTTCCTTTCCGCCTCACCCGTGGTTCCACCATCCTCAAACCCAGGAAGATGTCAGCATTGAAGAGTTAGAAACGCTTTTTAACGGAGGCACACCTGCGGAGAATGCCCAGACAAATAATGGCCTGTCGTTTGGAAAGGCGATGTACGATCCGGCCGGAGTCTACAACCTGTTCAATGGCGGAACATGGTGGTGGGTACCTGGTTATCCAGGCAGAACAATGAGGCAGTGGATGGATCAGGACCGGATCAAGATGCCCAGTATGTTAAGGGAACAAGGAGGTCAAATATGGGCCCCGATGATGGGTTTGCATCCTGTCAAACACCGTGACTTGGGAATATGAGTCGGTGTGCAGGAGAATTCAAACGCATCCTATATCGACAGTCTGCTGGACAGCGGATTAGTGAACTGCAGAATCGACTTAGACCGAAGACCGAAGAGATTCAGACTTTTGTAAGCTACGCTCTCTATTATCTGCTAACAATGCTAGTCGCTGAACTGCCCGCTCGTCGTACTCTGAGCTGTCAGACTAACTGTAGCATGCTGTTGAAAGTATGTATAAACAAAAAGCAGTTTCTAAAACCATCTCTTCCAGCGGTAAACTTCGCTATACTTAATCGCTATACAACGCGATTGGCTTTATACTGGTTTTGAAGAAACACCAACAGTATCGGATGCTCTACAGAGTACCAGTGAAGAACAACAGAAGTTTGGGGTGGAAGCTAATCAAGAAGTTAAATTGCAACCGGGACGTGTGAAGGCGATTCGAGCTACAGTCGAGTCTGTTGTCTGGATCCCAGCTTCAAATCGAGCAAAAGCTGGATCCAGGTTCTACTGGTACCTACGGAATACTCCGCACAGCTCAATCAGTACCTAGCAATAATTGGCGAAGTTGGGAGGTGTTGAGTTCGGGGCAGGCTAAGGCTCCTGAGGCCTCGCTCCACGTGAAGGTTAGGTAACGGCATAAGAATCGAAGAATCATCTAGCACATCCTCTGAATCCCCACATGATTAAATAGTATATAACAAGACGCCCACAATGCTCATACAATCCCATCAGATCATAATATAGTTGAAAACAACGTCCAAACAGGGCCAGTTCGAAAGTAGGAATACCCGAAACCTGTGATATAAAAGACAGCCCGACCAACGTAACGCCATCTCTTTGCGTATTCTACCTTGTTTGCAGATCACCCTCAAACCTTACAGGTGAGCGCTTATACAAGTTTTTGCCCCTGGATCGTCCCAGGTTGAACTTGTCCCATTGAATAGCCAGCAGTTACCTCTCCCGACATTCCATTCGGAAGACATTGATGCTTGGAATGTGACAGCAGAGCAAATTAGCTCCTTCCGCCAGACATTCAATCCGCCGCACGCTTCCACGCACTGCTCGGCGGTGTATGCTGAGAGCTGCATCAAAGTAATTCCCACATCTCCCCTGTTATTGCCGAGGTACGCAGTCTCACACACCCAAGTGAAAGTCTGTGGAGGAAGTGGGTTATCGTTTATTTCGTAGATATAGTTCTCGCTGGGACAAGAGTGCTGCAAGAGTGGAACAGCTGAAGGAGCAAGTGGTACATAGTCTTTGGCTACTGCGGTTGTGGGTGCCGCATTCGTGCTGCTTGACGCTTGCGAAGCTGATGGAGTCGTTGCCGAGGCAGTGCTAGTTGACTCCGAGAGCACGGTGTTATTTTGCGAGCTGTCGTTATGAGTTAGTACTCCGTACAGCTGGTGAGACTACATAGAGATGAGAACTGGATTTCTGTCATACCCAGAGGATCCTTTAGAATGTGCCATTGCTCCTCCCACAGCACCTCCAACAATAGCTCCAACAGCAATTGTCGTCAGGATGGCTATGAGTATGCCAAACCATAATGGTCGAAGACCCCAAGGATTGTGCCACGAACTCCGTGCGACGTTAGCCTTTGACGCCTCGGTGTCACCGTCCATGTGTTCGAGTTTGTCGTTTGTGGCAGGGTAGAGTGGGTACAGGCCATCGTGATTTGGATTCACTTCTAGACCAGGCTGGTCCTGATCAGATCGATTGAACATCGCGTCCACAAGTCGCTCTTACTAGTAGCCTAGAAATGGTGGAAGAGAAGAGGAGAGAGGGATTGGTGGGAATGTGTACTGATGAATCTAAACAACACGGTGTTTCCCTTGAAAGGCATGAAAACCTGGGATATCGTCGACCAGACGAGGCACATGAGGAGAGACCATCAAGGGCGAACCAGTATCCAAAAATAAGCGGGACGAGTCATGCGATGGCCTACGGAGTACACTGGCGAAGACATAATGGCAAACTTGACACAAGCCCCGACAAGGATGGCGTCAGTAGAGCAAACAGTCTATATAGATTCCTACATTAGCGCCTACGTAGTGTTTCGACGTCTTTGAAGGACACTCGAACGATTGGCAGCACACCGAGCTAGCATCACAACCCAACCAATAGCGGCTACGGGGAGAACTCCTTATGCAGAGCGACGGAAAGAAACATCCTAACGCCGAAGCCTGTTCGCGCCTGTTCGTGCATCTTTGCCTCCACCAGCCGACTCTAATTCGAGACACAGTCACCACCAGTCCAGGTTGGCAAATCCCAGGTGCAGGGTTTGGCGAAGTGCAGGATTAGCAACGCTTCTGTTGGAGGCGCTTATCCGCCCCAGCAACGTCTCAGGCGTGTCTCGGCCGCTTTAACAAGCGAGGCGTTCTGCAGGAGGGGGTCAAATTGACGTTGCATCGTCGTTGAAGAGGTACTGGCTGTTTCAGACGCCGATTAAAAGTTGTGGAAATTGTGGCGAGGCAAGTGCCGTTCGTTCTCTATCATGCCGCGCTCAGGGGTTGAGACATAGACCAAAAGTATAAACATGGACGACCCTACGGAGTATTCATACATTCTAATAATGTCAAGATAATCCAGCGTGACAACTCGTTCGCCTGCCAGAATCAGGTGTTGGGTGCTGTCGGTCTATGAAGTACAGATATTCCGATAGTTGGGATGGATCACGAAAAAGGGGGCGATGTGTCAAGAATATCGGAAAATTACAATGAACGGACTAGCCAGCTGGCTTGTGGCTACACCGTATCTGGGTATACAGTACAGGACAGCGTACTGCGTACGGAGCCATGCATCAAACCTTGGAAATAAGCCACCATAGTAAAATGAAATGGCAACCCGGAAGGTATCAGTCCGTAACTTGGTTACCTAGGGATTTGGTTCGTACTTGGGCTATTGGCAACCACCCTGTTACTTAAGCGTTTTGGGAAGTAGGTGACCTACATCACCTAAACGGTGTCTACTATTTAGACGTACTCGTATCTAAACCCCATCCTGACGTAATGAAACGCCCTGTGTGATGAAATTTAGTTAAGGCACATTGATTGTTAAGGGCCTATATTTTGCACCTATAAAAGTGATTGACAGGTGAAGCATGCCTCAATAACCTTAGGGCATTTTTCCAGTCATGAGTGCCTTGATCCTGAAATTACAGCACGTGCGGCTTATTTTACACTCGATCACTTTGATCCATGCATGGATGCTAATTTAGGAGTTACTCCGTGCGAATCGGTATAGAGTGGCTTTTCAACTGCTAGGACAAGATATAAGTGATTTACCGTACACAAGAGCCAAGTCTCAGATAGCACGTTGAACCACATCGGGCTGTGTATCGAAGGATTGTACGATTTCTTTGAGGGTATTCTTAGCGCGTCAAACGTTGAAGTACCTTGACCAAATTTCATTACAAAGGGTGTCTCATCAGGTCGAGATTTGTGGTAGTGAAGCAAGGGACTTAGTTTAGTGATTGGAAATGAAATCAGTTATTTCCAGGTGCCTCTACTAACGTGGTTCACCTGGGCAGTTTTGGTGTACATCCAGAAGAGGGTAGTAATTATCTGTACACCTTATCCATCTTGGCATTGGCAGACCTGGGAACTGAGGGGATCACGTGCAAGTACCATGGCTTCATTGTTTGACAGATCTGATTCCCCAATCTGCCAAGAAACCCTAGGCGCCTGACTTTCCAACTTCAACTTCCCAGGTCTCCCGTCTCGCTTATCACTCTCGAGAAGACATTCTGGCATTCCAGTCCAACTTCACACGTGAAAATATCACGCTCATCTCTTTCATATATCCCAGCCCAAGAGATTTCGAGTATAATCTTACCGTGTCTCGTCCCCGCCGCCAAAGCGGAGGTTTTCGCTCCCAACTATATCGACAACCCAGGCTGCTCTCGATGGCATCCTCAAGGAGAATTCCGTTACTGGCGTTTTTTACTTTGGTCACCTTGTACCTCGGTCTCGACTATGCTGGCTTTCGCATCAGCATCACATTTCCATATGTGATCAAGACCGGGAATTCCGAAGGCCCACCACTATCTTCAGCTCTGACTCCAGGAGGTTATAATCCGGCAACGGCACAAGTGGAACGAATTTTACTTTGTGCCGTAAATCGCAAAGAGGACTTATCTGCCCAATCTCAAAACCAGACAGTGCTGACGACGAATCTACTCTTGGCCTGCCCTCACCTCGCCGATGCAATGCTAGGGAGCCAAAAGAAAGCATCATTCATTTGGCAGCTCCACAGTTATCTGACATCTCAACTACAACAGCCAAGAGACGAGCGTTTAGACTGGATGTTCTTTCTCAAAGATCACGATATGCTATACTCGCATACGCCCAGATCGCTGAGGAAATTTCTACCACCTTCATCGGCCAAGATTGAGGCCATCTCCTTCGGGCATGATAGCGCGCAGCAGGCACTTGGATTCTTTGCCATTCGAATAGACCAGTGGATTGTCAGTCTACTCCAGTCGGTCCTACAGCTACGCGAAGAGCGACCGAGCTTAACTGATAATGAAGCTCTAACACTTGTTCTTACCGGCTCGGACAATGCAGGCAGAGTGGCCTATGCGCCCCAGTGGTGGCTCGATGTTGGAAGCAGCTGTGTCGAAGGAGCCACGTGGGAAGCGCAATTCGGTGTGAGCTACGTAGCGACAACAGACCAGCTCTGCTGTGTCCATGATCCATGTCGGGATGCGCTGGGACAGATCACCAACCAGGCTAGTGGAGAAGGTGTTCAGGGCACCGGTCCACAGAAGGCTCTAAAACCCGACTCTGGAGCAGCTGTGGAGCGGGCAATTGGAGATTTCTGGAAGATTGGACAATTTAGTCCGCGGCTATGAAGGCGCTGTCCAGTTACAGACTCAGGGTGTGGCAGTAAAGCGAAGACTACAGGAACATGCCGAAGTGGGCCAATATCACCTTGATGGAGATGACCAACGCAGCTGCATCTCTCCCCCTAAATTCGCATGATTGTAGATGTGTTATTTCATCGTTAATATTGTACTGGTTAACATGAGAAATAGGAGCAATGACTAGATTTTGGGCATTAATCCCACCATTCCACTTAGGGGCCATTTCCCACTGGGGAAAAGAGCGATAAAATGCCGCTAACAGCCCACCGCGCAGTGGAGCATCGCAGCATCTCGTCCCGCCTGGCGGACGCCGTGTTTGTGTCCCTGCCTACATGCGTATTCCATGCGTCAACGAACCAAGATGGAGAGGGGGGTCTTCAATTCTTTGCGTGGAGGCCGGATTTTTGTGCCTGATCTCCATAGACCATGCAGCGGTAGTGAGATTAGAGTCCAGATTACATCACATCATAGATCCAATTCGCTCTTTTGAACAGTTGAGATTGGGTTGCAAGGCTGTGCGTTTGCTGGTTAGTTTAAGGGGAGATGTATTTGGGCCAGAGGGGAGATAGGGAAGACAAGGTTACATAGGTTGAATTTTGGCTTCCCGGGACTATGGGCTGGAACTGGTGCCATTATAGTTGTGCGGTAAAGATTCCTCTGTTGCAATATACTTCGCTGAACTAATCGAACCTTCATAATCGTCACCTCATCAACAGTGCTATACTCCCTCGTGCCAAAGCAAACTCCCAACGAATTAGCTCTGGTCCTGCTTCACGCAAGTCTTGTACCACTAGAGAGAAAAATGCCTATACCTCAAACCAAGACAGTGCTTTAAACACTCCCAGCTGGCAATTGCTGCCCGCTCGCCTGTGCAGCTTCCTTGGCTTCAGTTGTAGCCTCGGTGCTGCTCTTCGCACAGTTGGCGCAGGCGCAGTGGCCAGCAGGGCAGGGGCAGGATCCCTCTGAGCCGCCGCATTTGCAAACAGTCTTGTCAGTCCCCTTGACTGGCTCCGGTTGGATAGTTCTAGTATTTCCGCTCTTCGCACAGCGAGCGCAGTTGCAGTGACCCGGAGCACAGCCACAAACACCTTCTGAACCTCCACAGTTGCACACGGTCTTGTCTGTGCCAGGAACAGCCTCTGGTTTGTGGGGCTTTCCACTCTTGAGGTCTGCAAGTCTTCTCGCTTCCGAGTGCACGTCGTTGACCTGCTTCTCTCCCTGGACGTAGAAATCTCTGACCTTCTGACCCGTAGGGGTGCCCAATGCCTTTTCAAAATAGGTTTGTAGACCACCCCAGGCACCCATGGCCTTATCTGTTACTCCCAACCTTGTATCGACTGATTTCGCTTTATCAGTTGCCTTGTACTTGTTGTCAAAGTTGTTTAGAGCAGCGGTGAATTTCGAGCTGAAACCATGTTTTGAATCGAGGGCAATAGCCTGGGAGATGACATTGTCAGAGATTGTATAGCCGTGAGCAAGATATTCCGCAACGATTCTGGACCGTGGCTTGTCTTCTTGCGCGACATCATGGTCTTCTGTTGTAGAGGATGAAACAGGTGCTCCCGCTTGACTGGCAACGTCATCGAGCGTGCTTGCGGTTGTAACATGTACTTGGGACTTGCCGAGCTGGGTATTATCCAGCAAGAGAGCGGTTTTCGCGGCACTAAAAACACAGGTTAGTTTTCTGGTATAGCGCTATGCAATTCAAAGCCAGGGCTTCCAACTTACGTCTCTTTCTCGAAAGTTACCGTTGCCGATTTGGCGGCATCAGCTGAGCCAGTTTCTGGGGTGACAGAGATCGAGGTGATTTTGCCGCTGGGAGTGGTTAGCTTCGACACTAATTAGATCCTTAAGGACAAACCACTTACCAAAAGCTGAAGAAATCCTTGACCTCCTTTTCGCTTGTCTCATGGGAAATTCCCTTTACGTGGACGGTGGTCGACATCGTGATGTAGGATCGGGGCTTGAGGGGTTTGAGAAGACGGAAATTGTTGAGATGAGAACTTCGCAAAATTTCGAATGTGGAAGAAGGCAAGTCAGAATGAAGAAATCGTAATCTTTAGGGCTGTTATATATTGAAATTGAAAGTCGCCTGAAGTTAATCGCAGATGAACAGCAAGTGATCGAATGCAGGGACGATCAAAGTATCACACAACATCTATACGTCATCCTTGTGAGGGCTCTTTCCTGCGGCGTTTCAGCCCACCAGGATTTCCTCTTCCCCGCCCTGACTCTTGGCATCATTCCGTGTGGCGTCCACTCATCTGTGGCTTGCCTAGTTCTCAGCCACTTCATCAACGTCATCGCGGCAGGCGCCCGAGACCTTATACGAAGTACGAGGTCGCATCGCCCGCTTCGTATACTTTTCACATGCTCGGCCGGAGCTTCAACTTGACGCCAAAGTGGGAGATATCCCACATTCCCCTTCCAGAATATGCTTTCGCCAGAATCTTTTATGGCCCAGAACATGATGCAGACATGTGCACCGCTCTCACCCGCTCTTTCACCAGCTATCTGATTGTGGGTTTGCAGATTTCCGGATATCGTGACCACATAAATCATGGGTGCCTGAGAGGCTGCATATTTTACGAGCAGTGAGGCAAGTTTGATATGGAGTCTCACGAAACGTTGCAGATGGGGCGCATGAGAATCGGAGTTCCGATATTGTCTGTACAAACTAATGCTGGATGCTGGTGCCTGGCACAATCCGACCCCATTGATGGCATCCATCTGCAGACCATCGAAGTATCGCACGTAAATCAGAATGCTCCTTGTAGGCAATGACCACACATTGCTCCAGATCGGATTATTATTCGTGCTGACAATGATGAAAGGTTGACATATTAGGCTATTACGCACACCCACTGTGGAATAAGATAGGTACCCAGCTAAGATCAGAACGCAAAATATACAAGGCTACGAATCACGCCCCATACCCAATCGGATAATGGCCCGTTGCGGTCCGGCTCCAAACTTCTCCCTATAGCCTCGCCAGGACAAACTAGCCGATCGATCCAGGGCCCTCGATAACAATGGAATGAATCAACGAGGTCTACTGCCTCGCACTACGACAAGTTCTTGCACTCTTGATGCTTTCCTTTGCCAAGCTTCCTTTAAGCTGTCTTGGCTGCCCGGATCCTTGTCTTTCGTAAAGCTTATGTAAGAACAATCAGGCTGGCATCCCTTTCCTCGCTTTCAGCCAAAGAAAAGTCAGCACAAGACATAATCCTCATCTTACCAGCAACTATACATGACCAGTGCGTGCATTTATTAGTAGAAAGCATCCCAAAAGTCGGAGTTATGCCGTTCACCCCAACCCTTGATCATCTCACTAGGTTCTGCTGCTTGAAGTAGCATGATGTTATCCTCTTCAGCATCGTATGCATTCCACTTCGGTGCCGCTTGTGCTATGCCATCTTCTTTATTAGACACTTTGTTCGGTGTACCATACCGTGCAAACATGGTCCAGTAGCGGACCATCTGCATGGCCAGAGCTTGCTGCGGCTTGCTCAATGGTGATGCTTTGCCGCTTGCTCCACAGAAGCCTGGGAAAATGTACGGTAGTTCCAGCGTGTGGGCCGATCCGTACGAAAATGATACCTCTGGCCATGGACAAGGCGTATCTGGTACGTCGAATTCATACGCAAATACCTGAGGACAATACCTTGCAAGAATTCTGGTAGCACGCCGGCCAGCAGTGGATATCAGACCTGCATCTCCGACGACAGCTGCAAGCGCCCTACTCGCGCTTTCATATTCTTGAGCAGGATATTTTTCAAGTACCTGTGGAATAGCACTTTGAGGAACTATTACTCCATTCAAGTGCAATCGATTGAGGAGATCGATCGTGGCACTCAAAGTCTCAGGATATTCTTCAGCGGAAATGGCCTTTCCTGAACGTAGCTCCGACATTGCCTGAAACCAGGTGAACTCATCCCTGTTTACGCCGATTATCATGGGTATCCTGTTAAACTCGCCGCGTGAGAATTTGTCTCGAAGGTCTCTGACCACAATCATTCCGTCCTCCATCAACCCAAATGGGAACTTGCCAATTCCAAACTGCCCTTCGTCTATCTTATCAGCCTCCAAGAGGGCTTCAACCGGAATTGATCTTAAGCTTTTTGGTGTCTGTTCAGTGCAACCAGCTGCCTTGGTAAGGGCAACTCCGAGCGACTCGAGCTTCTCAACGGATGGGAATGGCATGGTTGGCGGCGCGCCTCCACTCTCTATGATGGCTTTGTGAAACAATCCACGGGAGCTAGGAGCTGCGATATGTGCAAGGATGCTCCCTCCTCCGGCTGATTCGCCGAAGACCGTGATATTTTCCTTGTTACCACCGAATCGTTCAATATTCTCACGGACCCATTTCAGAGCCAACTGTTGGTCCATGATACCATAATTTCCGGATGGATGGCCCTCCCTGTTGATCTCTGGATGAGAGAAGAACCCGAACATGCTGACTCGATAGTTGAGCGATACGAACACGACCTGACCGTCCTTGACAAGGCTCTCGGGGTTGTAGTCGTTGCTGGCGCCACACGAGTACCCTCCACCATGAATGAATACCATGACAGGTGCTTTTGACTGATGGTGTGGTTCATGATTTTCGGGTTTGAAAACATTGAGATAAAGGCAATCCTCAGTCGAGCTGGTTGAGCCAAACCCCGGAAAGCAGATTGAAGTTTGAGCGCAGATAGGTCCGAATTCCACTACCTCGAGGGGCTCTTCCCAAAGAAGCGGTGATACTGGTGGCTTCCAACGCAAGTCCCCTACTGGTGGCAGGGCATATGGTATTCCGACGAATTTTTGCATGCCATCTTCCAAAATCCCTTGCACCGGTCCATGAGTTGTCTTAATGATTTTTGTCCGTCTATAATCCAATGGGGAAGTCAGACCTGCTTCATTATTCGCTTGGGCCATCATGTTGTTCGTTCCAACTTCCTGAACAACTCTCTCCAAGGTTGAAGAGGCTTAGGGGGTATGCTTGGGCCAGTATAAAGGCACGATCAAAGGATGCTGTGTTTTCCCTCGTAGTGTCTCAACACATTGCAATTACTAACCTTGAATCATCTGGAACGGGACTTTCGATGTTTGAGGAAGAATGTTCTCCAAGATAATCTTCATTTGGACCCTTTTACATATTCAGATTCGGGAATCAAAAGCTTCGTGAAGCCTGGTTGGGACGAGAGTTCGGCAATAACATCAGGAAAATGGGCATAATACCGAGTGCTATCCGAAACATCCCCACCCGAGTATAGAAATCATCATAACGGCAACTTTGCGTCTCGAATTGTGCACGAGGTTCGAGCTGCCCCACTCGCCTGAGGCATACCTTTTATGCAACACTCTGGAACTTCATCCGGCTACTTACCACGAGAAAGCCCCTGGTTCATAGTATTTCAGTGCGTGCAGCGCCACAATACTCGTGCTGTCGAGTTATCGTGGCTCTGTATCCTTGCACATATTGTACGGCCTGGCCACGGCTCCACACCTTTACGACTTTACAAGCGAGTGATGTGCAAATCTTTATTTCTGCCGCCCAAACAGCCCTTCAGTTACCGTCTTACAGACTACGAAGTACAGCTAATTAAAATACTGCGCCACAGACAGCTCTGGTAGCCTGGGACAACTGCCAATGAATACGGAGGACAGAGTCCCTGGTTGACTCCCATCAACTTCCTCAATACTTGATTTAGGTTCCAAACAAGGACCTTGACACACCGGATCCTTTCTTTCCCATCCGAGCAGGTCAATCGTCCTCGAGACGAACCTGCTTTGCATCTTGCATCTCCGCAGAGACTTCAAGAATATTCTGCTCCGCAATTTTCTTGTTTCGCGCGAGGGATGTCTTCCATGCTGGAACTCCTGATGCGAAATAGTCATCAACCTGTTCCAACTTCAAGCGGCCTGTCTCTGGGACAAAGACGATAGTGATGGCTAGAATCACAACAAGAAGTCCAAAGTAGAAGTACCCCACATTCGTTCCCATATTTCCATGTTCTGGATTGATCATATATGGAGTCCAAAATGAAGCAGCGAATGCAAATACCGAGTTACAAAAGAGCGACAGGGCCTGCCCATGCATCCGAAGCCGGACAGAGTGCATTTCAGCAGACGCAACCCAGAGGGCAGGTGAGGCAGTGCTTGCAAATGTGAAGCACCAGATACACAAGAATGCCACCAGTACATTTTGGGTCACCTTCGCATGTGTGCCTAGCCCTGAACTCACGGCGGAGAATATCAACATAGATGCGCCCATAATCGACAAACCGAGAAGAAGAGAGAGTCTTCTCCCAAAATATTCCACAGTAAAGCCAGACAGGAGTGATCCAGCAAATATACAAAGTCCGACAATTGCTGTGATCAAGAATGGGCTTTTGATTCCAAGGCCCCCCAGAAACACTGCTGTGTATGGGATTATGAAGAAAGTTCCTCCCAATGCGGGTATCACCAGAAGGAAGACGGAAATGAGTGTGCGGCGGAGTGCTCTTTTATGGAACATTTCCACAAATGAGGTCGTCGAGGCCATGACCTTTTCAAATTCCAAATAAGTCTGCATTTCTCGGACTTGGGAACTCACGGCGTCGGAGTTAGGATCTTTGTGGAGGAATTTTCCTAGCGCGAGGCGAGCCTGAGACTCCTTGTTCCTCATCAGCAGCCAACGCGGGGACTCTGGGAAGAGCATGATGCCGCCTACCAGGCCGACCGATAAAGGGATTTGGCATATAATCGGAGTTTTCCAGGCCCAATTGCTCCGAATATTTGCTGAGCCGGCGCAGACGCCAGCGGCGACAGCGCTACCGGCACCGAGTCCGATAGAGAACAGCCCGAGAAGCATACCACGTTTATGCGAAGGTGTGCACTCGACACCATATACGATGGTTCCGCTGTATAGAAAACCGAGGCCAATTCCACCAATGCATTTGCACACCATGTAGTCGAGGTAGCTTGAAGACGTTCCCAACATTCCGGCGGCACCAATCAACACCAATATGGCACCAACTTGAATAGTGCCTCGGCGACCAATGTAAGTCCCAGTCACACTTGAAAGAGCAGACCCCACTGCAGTGAATAATGAGGTCAGGCTGGTCAAGGACTGCTGTAGAGCCGAGATCCTACACGTCTGGATAGCAGAGCCAGATGGGCCCGGAAGTTCTTCACAGTGTCCAAATGCGGTGTTGAAAGGCACCATCAGAAGGACCGTACCACCATAATTCAGGTCGAAATTGCATATTGCTGCACTGAGGGCGATGAATGTAGAGAAGAAGAATATGGTCCTGGTAACTCTTTCTGGGGGCCTCGCTAGGGCCACATCGCCCTGTTGTCGACTGTTGACCCTTTCTATGTTGGCTGTCTCCGGTTTTCCAGCGGTGGATGTTGCTTGTTCAGCCATCATCGGATGGAGGCCGTGGTCCCAAGGCTTGGATAGATTATCTGCACCTCCTTCAAGCAAGTAAATGTTAATTCCAGAAGACTTTGACAATTTCAAACGCGTTGTAAGTCGGCCAGCCGGCTCTTCAGTGGATGTCTAGCATTTATATATACCGAAATGTACCCGGTGCTAACTCGTGGTTAGTAACTCTCGTATTGAACTCCGAGGGCTCGGTTGTGCCTTCGGAATCCGGGGAAATATGGATCTAACCACAAGCTGACAAACTTTGCGACGAGATGAGCGGACATTCTTCCGATTGGTCTCTTCTCCACACCGGCAAGATGTCAGAGCGACCAGCAACCAAATAGCTATTTTATCTACACGTTTTATGCGCCGGCCGATCACCGTTCCGGTGGGACACTACTTCGTAAAGTCAAAGGATACTGTTGGAGTCAAAGATGCCGCTCACCTTCGATCGAAAGGGAAGCGGGTGTCTATCGGCCATGACTCTAGTGGCACTCGCTGCCGATGATCTAGACGGCCTTGGTTGAAGGACAAATTTCATGCCAGGCGAGGTTTATGGAAAAGAAACTTGCGAAAGAGAAGGTTTCAAAAGAATATAGGTAATGAACAAGTAATCAGTGCGAGGACGAGGACGATGGTCGGTGGAGTCTTCACCGTCGAGCAACCCGTGGATGCATATATATATCGGCGCAGTCCCTAGGCTGTTGTAGAACTACCTCTTACAGGGGATATTCATCTCGTTTGAAACAAACTTGTCTTCAGACTAGAATCACGAAGGGCAAAGAGGCAAAAGTCTTGACAGCTAGTTTTGGGTGTACCGACAAGAATTGGTAATCGGAAGTCAAGATTGATGTGCATAAAAATTTGGAGACCGTATGGCCGGTTCTGACTCATGTGGGAATGATGGTACAATATTGGAACTTCACTTTTGTCGACATAAAGATTCCTTAAGGCCGGGCTGAGTAACGGTCTGTTGCAGCCCCGTAAAATACACGATATCCGGAATAGCGTTCCGAGGCTTCCCACATGTTGATTCTGTTCGGAAGGGATTGCGACGGGTGCCGTGTTCGTTTCATCGAACATCCCAAGTATGAAATAAGAATCTTTCGGGAGAGCTGTTGGAGGACTACAAGCCAGAAATCTTCGACTCAGCGGTGAAACAATGGCAACAGAGCTGGGAACACAGGTAAATGGCCTGACTGTCAACGGCCAAACGGAGCCTAGACTCGACAGCTCTTACAATCTGAACTTTATGGGAGATTGGGGAGGCGCCAACTTTCACCGCATATGTGCATGGCTGACACAAGAATTCTGTGACCGAGCAGGTCCCGGAACCAGGACGGCCATCTACAGCTTGCGTGATGGTGGTCTCGATGGGCTGAAGCAGCTCCAAGAGGGAGCGGTCGACTTAGCGATATGCACACCCGCTGGCCTCGTAGGCAAGATACACAGCGGAGAAAGTGCTTTTGCAGCGGCCATGCCAAATCTCCGTGCCATTGGAGTGCTTCCGCAGAATGACCGAATGGTATTGGCCCTTCACCCTAAACACAATATCAACAGTATCGAGGATCTTCGGACACAGAAGCCAGCGATTAAACTTGTTACCGCCACCGATGATGGGACGAACCCGATCGGCTATGTAGCGAATGAATATCTCAATGCTCATGGCATCTCGAAAGCCACGATCGAGTCTTGGGGCGGCGCAGTCCTCACACGCCACAGGCCTGAGCAATGTGTCGCCTTGGTCGAGTCCGGAGAAGCTGATGCACTTCTTCAAGAAGCTATTATGACGCCGTGGTGGAGAGGACTCGTTGAGTCGAACAAATTAGTTCCTTTGGCGGCTGAAGCACAAGCTTTAGAGAGCCTTCAGAAAGCTCTTGGACTGGGAACAAATCATCTACCAGCGGGCTGGTGGGACAATTTGGACCACGAACTGCTAGCATTGGATTTCTCAGATTTCGTTCTCTTGGTACGTGCTGATATGCCAAAAGAGGTCGCCCACCTCCTGACTTGGTGCCTCGTGGAAACGAGGGATCTGCTCGAAGGACAGTACAAGCATTTGAAACCCGAGAAGAGCCCACTTACATACCCTCTCGACCCTGAGAAGATGTCTCAAGCACCCGTCCCACTTCACGACGGTGCACAGGAGTATTATTCCAAGGCTGATTTCTCTAAGAAAACTAAACTTTTGATTGGCTCACCGTTCTGAGGGCCTGGGGTCCCAGTTTCTGGCCCAATGGAAGGCTTTAAGCGTGGCATCTCCTCAGTGACCGGCCAAGATACATAGATATTCAAATATCAGAGCGGTTTCCGTTGCTGTATCAATCGGTCGTTGAGATTCGTGCACATGGGCTTAGTACTGAGGGATAATGCCTGCTCAGGTAGGTATCTCATCTAGTTGGATGCTGTGCAATTGCCAATGTCACAGCATAGGTACATCTCAAAGCATGGAATCAGGTTGTGACTTCACACCTTCCCCCTTGCAATGTAAGAATCTAGGAGAAGCCTTGAGATAAGCCTGCCAAGCTCACCACCACCCAATCAATGCTTCTATACCGGGCTCGGCAAAAGCTTCTCGATGAGCCGAGGCACTAGGGCGTCGGTGGCGTTTGCTTTGGATCGGCGGCGTGCACTTCCATTAATGGTTCTGTCATCCTTCACCCACAATCATGCGTTCAAGCCTCAAACTTCCCCCTCCGGCCGTGGCCCGAATGGCGAACCCACGCCCTGTGAACCTCTGCTCCTCCCAAGCCAGCTATGTTGTAGTTAAAATGATACTACCTTATGCAGGTCGGTAAGCACCGCTGGTGAACCCGCGTGACACTACGGTGATCACTCCTGTTGCACCTTTCCTCTTTCCGTACTATTTGCCGGGAACTTGGAAGGAAATTCTGGCAGAGAATCTTTCTCCACTTTCCAAACATTGCAAAGTTTGAACCTCGTCAGCCCTTCAAGGACCAGCTTCTCAGTTTGTCGGTTCGGTACGGATTGAAGAACGCTACCGAGGTTGCCATACATCAATTAGCATACGTCCATCGTTGGCCAGTTCATACGTAGCTATTGAGAGTCTGTCTGAACTTCACACACGATTGGCGTTCCAACGATCGAAGTTTTGCCTGGTGCTCTTTTCTCTCTTCCAGAGTGGCATTGTTGCCCATCTTCCTCAAGCGCCATGGGTCCATCCACATCTCAAGATATCGACAGTAGCACTCTTGCATTGCTGGGCAAGAAGCAAGTCCTTAAGCGACGTTTCGGCTTCTGGTCTCTCTTTGGCTTCGCTGTATGTGAGCTGATTACCTGGGAGACTGTTCTTGCCCTGTTCAGCCAAGGTTTCGACAACGGCGGCCCAGCGGGTCTTGTCTACGGATTTATCATCGCCTGGTCGTCGACGTTCTCAGTATATACTGTTATTTCGGAATTAGCATCCCTTGCACCAATTGCCGGCGGACAATATTATTGGGTGTATATGCTTGCGCCTCCAAAATACAAAGTATTCAGCAGTTATATTGTCGGATGGCTAACGTCCCTCGCGTGGATAGCAACTGTTGCGACAGAAACAATCTTCGCTGGAACAATCTTGCAAGGCTTGATCATCCTTGACTATCCCGACTATTCCCCAGAACGGTGGCATGGAACTCTGCTCGCATATCTAGTAATTGCTGTGGCCATTTTTATTAACGTGGTGATTCCGGGAATGCTACCCAAGTTTGAGATCTTCATCATTGTCTTCCATATTGCTGGATTTATCACCGTTATATCTCTACTCTGGACCTATGCGCCACATAATTCGGCTCATTTCGTCTTCGCCACGAGTCTAAATGAAGGTGGATGGCCCACACAAGGCTTGTCATACTGTGTGGGATTTTTGGGAAACGTGGCAACTTTTGTACGTTCTCATGGCTTCGGCTACAGCGGTGGCATATGCTAATGGTCAACCCAATCTAGGTGGGTGCAGATGCATCTGTTCACCTTGCCGAAGAAGTCGAAAGAGCCGCTGTGAATATTCCCCGCGCCGTTCTATGCAGCATGCTCATCAACGGACTGGTGGGCTTTACAATGATGCTAACAATATTGTTCTGCCTGGGTGATGTGGACTCAGTCCTTGAGACGGCCACGGGCTATCCATTTATCCAGATCTTCAAAAGTAGGTTTCGAGATTGTTGTTCTAGATTCATCGCCTGTTGACAATCTAACATCTCTCCAGACAGCGTCCAATCCACCGCAGGAGCTACCGCTATGGGTGCTATCGTTCTTGCCTTAACGTGGGCTTGTGCGACAGGTATCATCACAACTGCATCACGCATGACTTGGTCCTTCGCGCGAGACAAGGGTACACCTTGGGCAACGATCATCAACACCGTGTCCAAGAAGCGACGCATCCCGGTCATGGCCGTCGTGGTGGTTACGACCCTCGCAGCTTTGCTCAATATCCTCTATTGTTTCTCGTCCACCGCCTTCAACGATGTTGTGTCCCTCACCATCACGGGTTTTTACTGTTCGTACTTGATACCAGCTGCGCTTTTGCTCTACCACCGAGTCAAAGGGCATATCGCCCCTCATAAGCAAGATACGCCAGGCTATCCAGTCGTCGATGATAGAAGTCCCTCTCCTCCCAAAAAGACACTCGACCCAAGTTCAAAGGAGGGGCAGTCTGCACACCCAGGACTTGATGAGCCATTAGCTGTGCCTGCACCCCGCGGTCGCCGCAACTCTGTTGCTCAAGCGTCTCTCGTATGGGGCCCTTTCCATGTCCCAGGTTTGTTCGGGACGCTCAACAACGCTTATGCGTGCGTCTACATGGTTTTCGTCATATTTTGGTCTGTGTGGCCGCCCGTCACACCGGTCAGTGCTGATACGTAAGCTGCGATTCCCCCTTTCTTGAGACCATAATGCCTGCCCCCCCCCAACCCCCGATGTCTTTGTCAAAGCATTCCATTCCTTTGCGTTGCGCAACAAGCTGCCCACAGCAGTAAATAGTATCGTTGGTGTTTTGCTAACTTTTAATGACGACAGGATGAATTACTCCGTGGTTGTGACTGGGGGTGTTATCATTTTCAGTATTATTTGGTACTACATCAGGGGCAGGAAAGAGTACCATGGCCCCGTGATTGATGACGAGGTCGCCGCTGTGATGAGGTTGGGAAGCGTGGTGGCCGTTTGAGGTTTTATGAACAGGGAGCATTTGAGGGGCTGGTTGCTTGAATCTTATAACCTAAATCTCATGGAGGTGTTGTGGCTGTTAGATGCAATGCATTTATCCATGAAATGCTACCACATGAATCTCTGAATAATTCCTGGTTCTTCCGGCCACTCGAAATTCTTGTACAAGAACACGTAGCCTGTTGCAACGTTAATCGCCAGATACCACAATAGCTCAATGTATGCCGAATACGCAGCCACAGCACTCAAGATCGTCTGAAAGGTAGACTCAGACTGCGCCTGCTTCTGCTTTGTCGCACTCTTGCTCTTCTCCAGTTGTGAAAACTTCTGCTGCGCTTTCGACTCAGGCTTGTGCTCAGGAACGGCCAGCCGCCACATGAGCCAGGGCATAATGAAATATCTCGGCTCAACGAGTGGCGCAGTGATTAGTGATAGAGTTGATGCAACGAGCCAGACGAGCATGTCGCTCACACTAACGGTATCAGCGCTGTGCAGAATACGGATCGTCTTCTGGTTGGGCTGAGATTCCGGTGCTCCCCCGAGAGCGGTCAGGGCCAGCCATCCGCATGCAAAGTAGAAGGGTATAACCGCATACTTGACGATCCAATGTCTTCTCAGTATGGCGAAGACGTAGAAGACGTAGTGTCGGTTGTCAGCGAGGGTGAAGGGATGGATGATCGTGTTGAAGTAGACAATGTTAAACATGAGTGCTAGAAATGTGGCAGTCGTGATGAGACTTGGTAGTCGGCGACGAAGCGCCGGAAGGTTGGAGAACAGGGGGAGTAAAACAGGCCAGGAGAAGAAAATTAGGAGCGGCCAAATGTAGAGCATCTGGGTCAGGTGAATAGTTGCAACGTGATTATCCTTGTCGCCCAGGACCACACCACCGTTCCATGCCACAAACGCTGCGAATGAGCCAAGAAGCAGTATCTGTGGCCATAGATCTAGCAGGAGCCTGGGCAAAACCGAGAAAGCGGACTGAGCAAGAGAGGTGCTTGTTTTTGAAACGTCTGTAGTGCTGGTTAGCGCTTGGACTGTTCATGTGGTCATGTTGGGGAAAGCAGGGGTTAAGTCGAACCTTTAAGAGATGCCTGTGACACCGGTGGGTCGTGGATCTTCTCAACGCCGACTTCTGCCTTGATGGTTTCAACAGCTTGGAGTCCGCCGAGGTAAACAGCTACCCAGAATATATTGGTCTGGCGGGCGCTAAGAGACAACAGCCCAGCCATAAGATGAAGACTCTGGGATAGAAATTTCTTCCATCCGCCCATAGAAGAGCCCGTTGCCCAGAATGTCTGGGCTAGAACGACGGTGAAGACACTGAACAGATCCGTATAGTATAATGCCGAGAAGAAGAACAGCAAGGGGAACAAAATGACGTTGAATTCGCGCTGTAGCACATTTTCCGATACCACGGATCTCTTCCCCACTGCCGCTAGAATGTACAACATTACCAGCGTTAGATAGAGGAGCACTGCATTGACATATCGCCATTCATTGGTGTTAGGCTTCAAGCCAGGGTCCATGTAAGCCCGGAACGAGTTGAGGAGATAAGAGAAGCCGTAAAGGCCCGGTGGAGTTGTGATTTTCGGATCCCATTGAGACCATTTCCCAAACCAATATGCTTGCACTTGTGGAACATGGAAGACTTCATCGAGATATGGTGCTGGAACGATGGTGTTTACATATTGTCGCCATTTACTGTGCACGACGTTGATGAAGAGTAGGAGGATGACCCGGAGGAACTCTGGGCTCGTGAAATACGCCATGAAGATTGATAATGAGGTAATTTCAGCGTGTCATGCATGTACGCAAACGCTCCAGAAGGACATGAAGATAAAAGAAGTCCTCACGACGCTACAGCTGGGATCTGAAACACCATCAGCTCTCCATGTTCGATGGCTCGTCAGAGAAAGGGAAAAGGGGTTCGAATTGCACGTGACTTGCCTACAGGCAAGGCGTGCCCATCACGTGTAAGAGCCCCTCCCTGGTTTCACAAATCACAAAACTGAGCTTCAAAATAACCATTTGCAACTTCAAGATCATCGGCCATAACAGCGATATCGCCCTATATGAGACATGCTTCGGCGAGAATAATCAGAGAAGTTCGGCTGCTCCTCAGCTCCACGGTACAACCTTCATCATGGCTCCGGTAAGTCTGAAAGGCGCCCACAAAGACTCGCTTCCACCCGCGCCTGCGCCGTTCCGTTTCTTCCCATCGGCAGTATTGACTAGATGACCCGTTCTGCAGCGAGGATTTACCCTTCCTCCAGCCAACACACAGTCTGCAAAGCAAGCGCGCAGCGCATTTTTCTGCTCGCTATGCCAGAAAGGCTACAGCCGTATGAATGAGTTCGAGGCACACGAATCATCCTACGATCATCAGCATAAGAAGCGATTGAAGGAGATGAAAGAGATGCAGAGACAAGTTCAACCTAAGAAAGAAGAAAAAGGTCCTTTGATGCAGATAAAACTTGGGACTTCCGCGAAGAGTTCAACTTCCGGGGGTGGTGGCTTCAAGAAGGGAGGCTTCAAGAATGCATTTGCACCGGCTGATGAGGAAGAGAAGTCTCAACCTGAGAAGGATGACGCTGCTTTGGTAGAGACAAAGCAGGCTCTGGACGAGGCTGATAGTGATGTCACGGATGATGAGGATTACTACGACCCTCTACGGCCAACTGGATGTATGCCGGGCTGCAAGAGCCATGTGGCTACTGGTCCTTGATCGCGTCTAGTTACAACCTTCGCATTGGCTTGTTTTCCCATACAATCGGGAAGTCTGCCACTCACCCAAAACTATCCTACCAGCAAAGCATGAAGGCTTTTGTGCCTTGTCTGGTATATAACAGAATCATCCATCCATCAACCAGCCGTGACTTGCTCGGCTTAGGACCTGCACCGCCAGGCCGAGTCAGGCATGCTTCGAAGGATCGAAATCCGCCACTACGACAAATAATTCCAGCCCGACGAAGCGATACCACGGCGGAAGGGAGGGAGACCAACCTTCAAAGTCAGCCGAGATCTTTTTAGGAGGGATACGAGGTACTCTGAGTAAATTTGGCTTACAATGCTCAAGCAAAGTGGCCTTGTTGGGACCAGGTCAACCAAGGTGGCTGCAGTAACTGCAAACAACGCCACAATAATGCAATAGACCAGGAGACAAAATTTCATGTACAGAACTTAATCTGCTCGGGATACATTACTAGAATCTCACTTTCTTGACATTCATGTCGTAACTGAGTACAGCAATGGCAGGGCCTTTAGGCGTTGGGTATCCCCTCGGTACCCCTAAGCTGTCTGACGGTCATTCGACATTTTCTACGGCGTCATTTGAAGCCTGCATAACTCCTTGGCATCGAACCTCGCAAAAAGTTTACGGCTCAAGGCCACTGACGTAGAATTGCAGTATTTCTCGAACAGCCTCGTTTGTATTGAACACCTTCATTTTGGCAAGGCGTTGGAGTTTGGGAAGCTGTCTATGAAACACTCAAGTATTGCCTACATCTCTCGCAGCACGGTTTTCTGTCAAAGACCCGGACCATCCCTCTTTGGGGGTATCATCTCAAATCCTTTTACTGCCAGGAAGCAATTCAGCACGCAGACCTGCCGACTCAAAATGAGTACCAATGGCGCGGCTGATGTTATCACTATAGATGACAAAAAGTATCGACGTGTCCGGGAGGGATTGGCGTCAGTTCTCGCACCGTACGGGGTTGAAAGAGAATCAACACCAACCAAGCAAGTAAAAAACAACGATGAGGGGAATCAGGCAGTCTTTTACAATCCAATCCAGCAATTCAACCGAGATCTAACCGTTCTCGCCATTACAATTTATGGAGAAGGTGCTGTTTTGGATAAGACCGCCCGTTTCAGCCAGAAATTCGGCAAGAGCAAGCGAGAAAAGAAAAAGCAGCAGACCAAGCCCAAAGACCTGGGACAGAGCAATGAAGAACCGGTGCCAGCGCAGGAGAATTCTCGAAAGCGCAAAGCTGACGACTTCGAGGAGCAGATTGTCGCAGATGACACGGCGGACCCTGCAAAGCGGCCCAGAGTAGATGAAGCTCTTGAAGGGGAAGATGACCTCCCAGTCACGCAATTAAATGGTGGCCGTTATTCTGCTACTGAAAGCACAGATATCAACAGCGACCAGAAGGATACTATCTCGAATCTAGAAGTGCAAGAAATGAAACCAACCACAGAAACACCAGCACCCCGACCGAGAAAGACCCCTTTCACCATACTAGACGCATTGTCCGCAACTGGACTTCGTGCATTTAGATATGCAAAAGAAATCCCATTCGCTACAAACATAGTTGCAAACGACCTCTCTCTGGAAGCAGTCAGAATTATTGAAACCAATATTGACCACAATGAAGTCAAGGGGAAAGTTCATTCAAATCTTGGAGACGCTCGATCCTTCATGTACAGCAAGGTGGGTAACGAGCATCAGAAGCAATCAGAAGGATATGTTCACCGCTTTGATGTTGTTGATCTTGATCCCTATGGCACAGCTGTACCATTCTTTGATGCCAGCCTTCAATCTATCCACGATGGAGGCATGCTCTGTGTGACTTGCACAGATGCAGGCGTTTTTGCTTCTACAGGGTATCCTGAGAAGACCTATGCTTTATATGGCGGGCTTCCTGTCAAAGGTCCGCACTCCCATGAAGGTGGCCTCCGGCTCATCCTGAACGCGATTGCCACTTCGGCGGCAAAGTATGGACTCGCCATCGAGCCACTTCTTTCGCTTTACATCGACTATTATGCACGTCTGTTCGTACGAGTTCACAAGAGACCGCAAGATGTGAAACTTCTTCCAGGAACAACAATGGCTGTGTACAGCTGTGGTCACGGTTGCGGATCCTGGACTACACAGCCCCTTCTGCGCAACCAACTTCAGAAAGCTAAAAATGGCGATACTTTCTATAAGTTCTCCTCCGCACAAGCGCCAACAGCTGGTCCAAATTGTGACCACTGTGGCAGCAAAACACATCTCTGTGGACCAATGTGGGCTGGGCCATTGCATCACCCCTATTTCGTAAAGCGAATGCTTGACAGAGTACCTACCCTCGACAAATCAATTTACGGCACCGTTGAACGGCTTCAAGGAATGCTTACGTTAGCACTTGAGGAAGACTTGTCACTAGAATCACATCAAATTCAAGGAAGCAGCACTGCTGCACAGAAACACTCCAATTCTGCAGATCCACAAATCATCCCTCGTATGCCTCCAGCAGTAATTGATCCCGCGCCATTCTTTATTATGCCCACGTCGCTCGCCAAGGTCATCCACTGCGTAACACCTCCTGAGGATCAATTTCGAGGAGCCATTCGCAGCCTAGGCTACCGAGTATCCCGCTCACATTGCAAGGCAGGAAGTATGAAGACGAATGCTCCCTGGAATGTTCTCTGGGAGATCATGCGAGAGTACATGCGAACGAAATCTCCAATCAAAGATGGCGCAGTGAAGAAGGGCACTCCAGGATGGAATATCTTGGCGAGGCTTCGTGGCACAGAAAGAAACTTTGTGTCTGACTTGAAAGACAGTAGCAAGATTCAGATCTCAAGATGTGAATCGAAGGAAGATTTGAAGATAGTGTTGCAAGGACTGTTATATCGACTAGGAAACGAAACGGTCGAGGACGTGATGGACAAGAAGGAACCAGCAAATATGTCAAATACAGCCAATGGTGATGAGGTGGTCACCGACACGACCGTTGATCTCGATAAAGATTCACCACAGCTCTCAGTAGACGTCATTCCAAGCAAGCTCAAGATTGTATTTGATGGAAAACTCGGCAAGGAACAGGATCGTGGGAAGTTAGTGAGATATCAGATTAACCCGCGCGAGAATTGGGGTCCGATGAATCGAGCAGGGAGAACCGCCCCATGAGGGGACCTCAAAGTTACAGGCCGTCCTCGGATTGTGATTGAGTCACATTGTTCTGAAACTAAGGGAGCTCTGATATCGTCGAACCGTCACTAGCACCACAGTATTCAACTCCCCAGGCAGAAATCAAAGTGCCGTACACGGACAGCCTTCAAGGAAGGGTCCTAGCACTGAGCGTGAGGGGGAGCTTGTGACTTTCCTCTCAAGCGGTCGGCCGACCGTTTTCTATTCACCTACCGGACGAGGGAGCATGATCCGCTGCCTTGTCACCCGGGACCTCACTCTTCATTTCATGAGAGAAGGAAATACCACACTTAATTTGATGGTCCATACAAGAATTTTCTCAAAGGAAGTTCGCTTCGGTTGGTTGCGGTAATTCACATGATCCTTTGTTTGCTCTCACTTTCAAAGCCATTATGCTACCCTTCCGTCCAGCTTCTCATCAAGCGGCCTTTCTCAAAGGCAGAGATCTTAGCGGATGTGAGGAAACTAGTTTTCTGAACTTTTGTTCCCGGTGCCGTGTCTATTCAGATATGGCCTCTCAAGTTCCAGCTCCAGTGCCACACGATGGTTCGAGGTACCTGCTCCGAAATAAAGCCAACGGTTCGAACCCAGGAACTGCAGGGAAGGCTGATGCGGCAACTACGAACGTAAAGTTCTCATTATACTAAAAGGCCTGGCCGGAAGTGCTCACTGTATCTAACTAGATCAAAACTCGCTACACAAGGCTCGCTTTTGAGTTGATGACTGCGAATCTCGATCTTCTCTCCGAATCAAGCCCTCTCACGACGGACGTACCATTGGATGGCCAAATCGATACATTTAAATCAGCCTTCCAGGCGGCGGGGTTCAGCCAAGAGTATGCAGAGGAGCTTATCGGTAGCGCTCTCGTCCGGCATGAGATGCGAGACCAGAGGCGGAAAAGGAAGAGGCGTCTCGTCATGTTCGAAAAGCGGGTTCGTCAAGTTGCCGACACCATGAAACGGATGGCGAAAGATATTCCCAAGGAGGACACCGTAGTAATGTCTTCGGAAGAATGCAAGAAGACAGTAAAGGGCGACGTGGTAGCAAGGGTGAATCTGAACTCAGAGCAGTACCAACTGGACGATGAGAAGCTCCTAGCCGAGCTGCAAGACCTGGTCAACAAGGGCAGAATCTGGATATCGAACGCGCCGTCCGCATCTGGCTTTGATGACGAGGATGATTGGACAACGGGCCAACAGAGCCTGGGGGGTGGCTGGTACGATGGCCCTGCGTCAAGCGCGGCTAACGTCAAGCTCGAAAATGCATACAGAAAGCCGGAATCATTGTCAAATAGTAACGACCCTTCGCAATCGCCGCCTGCGGATGGATTGAATTGGAGTGATCTGCTCCCTGAACCAATAGCTTGAGAGCGCGGGCGTTTTGGATCTTTTCTTCTGGAATTCCTTTGAGGGAAATGCAGACAGCACACAGCGAGCGGTTTTCGAGCAGTCTTTTGTTATAGGGTGTGCATTTACAGGCAGCCTCTTCGAATCTAGAATCTCAGCGAAGGGCTTCGACTTGACAGCCAATTTTGATTACATACGGTGCAAATCCTGGCGGGAAAACTCCGTATAGCATCCCTCTGATAAGGTTCTACATATGCATCACTGATAGTCTTCATTGGCAGTAATACATAGAAAATGCTCAGCTGACTCTAAATCTTCCAGTTAACTAAACTTGGTCCCCGTGAGCTTCGTGGCGGGCGCAAAGTGAGCATCATCCTTCTAAGATCTGGACTGATCGACATCGCACGCCTACCGCAAGCCAGATTCCTTTTCAGCATCGACCTCGCATGACAAGATCCGGCCATCGAATACGCAGGTTGGTACCTAGGTAGTACCCCACCTCGTACCTGAGACTTACAGGTGCCTGCTGGGTGCCTGCGCAACGTATTTGTAGTTTATATAACCAATTCGTAGTTCATTCGGAGGCTATTTGGTGCATTTCGGAGCCAGATGGTGCCGAAAGACAGGCGGGGGCCTAAGAGATCGCCGCCTCCACTATCTCACTTTATCTTCGTTCGCAAGCTGACAATATCGATGATGGGAGTCCAACTCGATCGAGTGGACTTACTTCACCAAATTGGCAATTAGTCCTTCTGCTTAGAGATGACGCCATGACGAAAAAAGCAACCGACCGTGCGAGAGATCTAGGCTATCCACGTTGTATATCTACTTCTATGGTTACTTGCATGCCTTGAACTAGCAGGTAGGGACCCAAAGGTATCGAGCTATTTCCTTTCAATTTTTTCTCATCGTCACGCTCAAGTTCCCCCAGCTTTGCTCGCGCTACATAGAACAGGCCACTCCCACCCACAGGCTCCAAAGGGAAAAACTTCCTATATCAGATTCCACATGCAAGTAAAGGCCACCACCAACAGACTGTTCGGCTTGTACAAACAAGCAATGGCGCAAAAGCCGGTCCTCATCTCGGGCGCAGGGTTGGCGTCGCTCCTGTTGGCGCGGTCGCTGCTGCGGTCTCAGATTCCGTTCCAGATCTTCGAGCGCGATGCGTCGCTCAGCTTCCGCGGGCAGGGGTATCGTCTTCGGATGTCGCGCGAGGGACTCGATGCGATTGAATCGGTGCTCGACCCGCCGGCGTTCCAGCGGTTCGACGACGCGTGCGGGAAGACGGGCGGGAGCGGACTCGTCGCGTTCGACGCCGTGACTGCTGAGGTGACCGAGGAAGACAACCAGAATCTCGGGTCGCGGGACGGGAAGGTCGTGGGGATTGCGCGTGGGGATATGAGAAGGTTGTTCTTCGAAGGGTGTGAGGACTTTGTGCACTTCAACACGCACGTCACGGGCTATGAGTTGACCGGCGGTGGAGTGCGGGCCATGTTCGCCGACGGCTCAAAGTCGGTCGAGGGCTCGCTGCTCGTCGCAGGCGACGGCATCAAGTCTACCATCGCCAAGCAGGTGTCTGGAGGGCTTCTCAAAGTCTACGACCTCGGCGCCAGAGGGATCCATGGACAGGCACCGACGGCCGCCTTCAAGTCTCTCGGTGAAGGGGTGTTCCGCGCCGTGGACAATACGAACCCCAACGGCCGGCTTTCCATCATTACCAACGTTCGTCCTAACGACATGGAGGATCCCAACGTGGAGTTCGGCTGGACCATGGTGGGTGTACCTGGTGTGATCAAGGCGCCCCACGATGACTATAGCATAGTCGGGAAAACGGCGGCCGACCTCGCGAAGTCGCTCACGAAGGATTGGAATCCTCGCTTCAAGCCGCTGTTTGACCAGATGAATGAGTCCGAGGCCGCTTTCTGGAAAATCACCTGCTCGACCCCGACCGGCGTGCCTGAGTGGCCCAATGTACCCAGAGTGACCGTGATTGGAGACGCAGCTCACTCGATGACCCCGGCTGGCGGTATTGGTGCTAATACTGCTTTGAGGGACTCGGCGTTGCTGGGTGGATTGCTACGTGATGCCGGTGGCTATGCTGACGGTGTGACCGCAGCTTATGAGCAGGGCATGAGAGTGTATGGCAGCGAGGCTGTCAAAACAAGTTATGGCCAAGCCACCAAAGCATTCAACGCCCAGATCACTGACTCAAGTCCGACTGTTTGAGGGGCCAGCCTGACCCATCCATCTGATAAACTATGGTGTCTATGTTGGAATGGCCTGGGGCTACACAAGAACACATTAGAACAAAGACAAGCCTCGTATATTCTGCGTCTGTGTTTTGCAGACAGGTGAACTACGGGATTATCTACTAGCCATGGATTCTGGTAGATCGATCGCGGCATGAGGGTGTACCGTGGCCAAAACAATTATGTATACAACAACAATTATATACACTAGGAAGACCGCTCAAATCTTACTTATGCAAGAGTTTGGCCACCAGGTGATCATGCGTACCAATAAAGATGTCGTCGTCTCGTCATCTCACGCCGTCAGTCATCGCCCGCATCTCTCTGACCAAACCTCGCACGACAGCAGCCTAGGATGATACCAGCGGCGGGCTGCGAAGATGACCCAACACTCCCATCGAAATCAGAATGGCATATAGGACTAAATAGTGATCCAAACTGATAGACAATCAGGGTGGTCATTGGTCATTCCAAGCGTCCTTCCCACCCACGTCCTTCATTGTGTATATTTGGATTGGGCGGGTACGACGCCATGGCAGCAGACAGGTATTGTAGTGATGACCGTGCGTAGGAGGTTCGGCTGTGTTCGTGTAGCTGGCAATTCTCAATATTATCAAGTCTCCTGCCTCGCGAGCAGTTGGCTGACGTGAAACATCCCGGGGACTGTTGCCGTGTGAGAGCTCTTCCTTCTATACCCTGAGGGCAATGGGTATGACGCAGCTTGAGATAAGTCTGAACGGACAGCGATTGAGGATTGTCGAAGGGTCGTGTTTATAGAATTGAGTCAGTGGTATAATCGAGATTATTCACTCTATATCAAAGCTGGTGCCACAGCCGCAACTGCTTTTCGCTCTCGGGTTGCCCACAATCTTGAACTGACTCCCAATCAACTCAGTCGTGAAGTCAACGGTGCTGCCCTTGAGCAGTTCCAGGGATGGCTGGTCCATGACGACCTCTGCCTTTCCTTTTCCACCAGCGTCCTCCATAGAATCAGCCGCAAACACAGTGTCTTCTTCTTGATCAATCTTTGAGCCATCTTCTAGGGACATCAAGTATTGGAAGCCGTGGCAGCCGCCAGATGTGACGGTCACACGGAGGTGGGAGTCTGAGGAGGAGGATGAAGAGGTCAATGTGTTCTTCTGAGGAGGTGCGCTCGTTATTTGCCGGAGGCGCTGGATAAATGTCTCAATCAAACGAACACTTTCACAGGAAGGAGGTAAAGACCCACCTTTGCAGCACGTTCTGATATCTCGATGGACATATCAACGCCGTTGTCGTCCACGCGGGGGTTCTGAAGGATTACCGTGGCTCGAACATTTGGAGTAGTTGAGAATTTCCGCCACGACTGGTATGGCGAGCCGGTAGAGGAACTCGCCCGCATGCTTCGTGGTGCTTGTGGATAGGCATGGGTGGTGATAGGCCGGCAAGCTTGGAAATAGGATCTCGGGTCATGACGGCGTTGTAGCGGCCGCGTGGCTCGGAATACAAGTCGATGAGGTGTCTGCGACATCTTCCAACTGGAGGTTCCCTGGTAGACACTCTTTATTCAACTCAAAAGGTGTCTATGTGGATGGAAAAAGTTGTTTTGAATATCTGGCGGGCGACAATAAAGTGACGCAAGTTGGAGAACCCGATGCCGAATGGCAGGCGCGGAAAAACCTTTGGTTGCGGTTGCTGACAATTCGCGACTTCGGTTTCGGAATTTCCACTTCCCCGCATCCGCCACCAAAATTTCATCGAAGGGAGTCAGAAACTCAACAATCTGATAGCAAACGGTGACGGGGGATATTAATGATATTGGGATAAACACCAGCCCTTCTGTGGCCAATACTATCATTTATTCCCCTTCTGAAACATACCTACGTTGCTACAGGACAAACAAAGCCCTGAACCTGCCCCATTACCGGAAGAAATTCGCAAGGCTGAGGGTTGGAAGTGCAGATATGGGAGAACCAAATGCCACGGCCAATGCTCCTTTAGAAAGCTTTTCCAAAAATACTGCCGAGCATCTAGATACCGCTGACCATCTATCTCGCTTCCGCAATGAATTCTATATACCGACTCTTGCAGATCTAAAACGGCCAACGTTGGCCAAAGCATCCGATGAGCTGTTATCACGCCCGGCGACCTATCTGTGTGGGAACTCCCTCGGGCTTCAACCCAAACGAACAGCCAATCTGATTAATGTTTTCCTAACCCAATGGCGTACCAAAGCCGTCACGGGACATTTCGTCGAGCATTCTGACTCTCCTCTGCGGCCTTTTCTTGATGTGGATGACCATGCTGCACGGCTTATGGCTCCAGTTGTTGGAGCTCTCGAGGCTGAAGTCGCCGTGATGGGCAGTCTCACGGCAAACCTCCATATCTTGATGTCAAGCTTCTACCGCCCAAGCAAGAAAGGCGAAGGAAGGTACAAAATCCTCCTTGAGGGCAAGGCCTTTCCCAGTGATCATGTAGAGACTCCGCCCCGACTGTTTCTGAGGTGAGACAACCGTGCTGACTGGGAATAGTATGCAATTGAATCACAAATAAAGCATCACAATCTCGACCCCACGGAAGCCATGATTATGATGGAGCCAGTTGATTCTCAATCTCCGCTGCTGTCAACTGACCAGATCCTGCGAGCAATTGATCAACATTCGTCGGAGCTTGCCCTCATCCTCCTTCCAGGAATACAGTTCTACACAGGCCAGTATTTTGACATGCAAAGAATAACTGTACACGCGCATTCTCACGGAATTCTCATTGGTTGGGACTGTGCGCACGCGGTTGGGAATATCGATCTTCAATTGCATGAATGGGATGTGGACTTCGCTGCCTGGTGTACTTATAAGTACCTCAATTCGGGACCTGGTGCAATGGCTGGAATTTTTGTAAATGAAAGATTCGGCAAAGTCGACATGGAGAACACAACCCAAAAGTTTTGGCCCCGTCTCTCTGGCTGGTGGGGAGATGACAAGAGTAGCCGGTTCCAAATGACCAATCGTGAGCCAGTGTCTGCGCGAAGCGTTGCTCGATGCTGATATTGGCAGAATTCTTTCCTCGTCCAGGCGCAGCTGGATTTCAGCTCTCCAATCCTAGCGCCCTCGACTTGTCTGCAGTTGTTGCGTCCTTGCAGATATTCAACGAAACCTCGATGAAGGATTTGCGACAAAGATCCATTAGACTAACAAACTATCTGGAACAACTGCTTGACCACTTGCGACAGAAAGTGCCAGGCTCGTATGAGATCATCACACCCAGGACCTCTCAAGAGCGTGGTGCTCAGATAAGTATTCGCCTTGCTCCTGGATTACTCGATCATGTACTCGAGATTTTGGAGGGCGAAGGTGTCATCGTTGACGAAAGAAAACCCGACGTCATAAGAGTCGCTCCTACTCCTTTGTACAACACTTTCGTTGATGTGTGGCAATTCTGCAAAGTCTTAGAAGGAGCACTGATAAAGGCAGCGGAGGCGAAATAGGAACAAACATCACTCATCGGTCGCTCATTCAGAGGACTTTTACGAGTCGTCCTCGCTGTCACTTAGATCAGCCTCTCGCCACAACACGAACTCGAAGCGTCCATCGAGGTTCGCTCGAATGTACTCTCTTATGATGTCTTGCTCCATCTCGCTTAAATCCCACTCAGGATCCGCAGCCATCAGAGAAAGGTTAAAGCCTCTCTGAGCCTGTGAATCAAGACTTGAGAGAAAGTCAATGATTGCATCCATGGGAAACCGAGTCAGAGCGTATAAATTCAGATTTTTCAGCTTCTTGAGATGTGCAAGAGCTGGGAGAATGTCTGCGGACACTTCACCACCACTAGTCCAGAACTCCTCCAACAGTGGAAGGCCGAGTGCTAAGGAGATGATGTGTTCTTCTGAGAACTCATCCGAGACATCTTTCAGGACTAGCTCGCGTAGATTTGTCAAGTTGCAAAGTCCTTCAACCATGATCTGTAGGTCATCCGGTGTGGTGTCCTCGCCATTCCCTTTGAGAAAGACGGATTCCAAGGATTGTTGCTCCGATAGCGCACTGTGGAATAATTGCGCGCTCGTGTGTCGGACGGTATAACCTTCGAGTGAAAGCGTTGTCAATCTGACAGTTGGTGAGTAAAGCACACGGCTGAGGATTGCTGGTCCGTCAAAGAACTTTTTCAATCTGAGATCGCGCAGCTTACGACAAGAACTTAACCATTCAACAATCTCAATGAAAACATCGTTGTTTACTGCCTCAAGTTGAACTGTTCCAAAGTAATCGTCGAGCTTCAGAGTGTGGATTTCAGTGCAAGCTTTCAAAGCATTTAGGTTCTGTATTGCCTCTCGATTGAGATTGCCCAGATCCAGTTGCTGCAACGATTTGTGATGTCCGAGTGCTTGAAAAGACAGCTTGCCTATTTCGTTCTGGCTGATGATCTCAAAATAGGTAAGAGTATCTGCAGGAAGTTCATTGAGGAAGCAAGCAAACGATTCGTCTGCATCGGGTGATAACCAATCATGAATGGTCAAATTTCGAAACTGGTCACAGTGCTGTGCGATTGATTCTCCGGCTCCATTAGCAAGCGCCTCCCCTTTCCACAAAACCAGTGATTGTAGCTTCGGCGAACGAGATATCCATCTAGGAAGAAACCCGGGGCTAATATGGCCATCGATCTCTTCCAATAAAGTAGTCTTGGCCGTTACTGCATCTCCGATCGCGTTGACAGTAGCCACAACATCTACAACCTGCTTATTAAATTCTTTCTTGGGGAAATAGAAACGCTGCAGAGGACCTGCGAAGAATGCCTTCCTCACAGCACCCATGAATTTTTGGTCCTCAAGCATGAAGGATAGATTACGAAAGTCCAGCGTTCTGATATAGCGGCAATAGGGCTTGTAGCAAGTCTTGTCGTCGAGACTAGAGAGGGTGATTGACCGCCACAGCAAAGTCCACTTGCGAAAGAAGTCAGCTTGCTCGGCAGCTCTTATACTAAAATTGACAGGGCGCTGTTGAATGTCCAGGTATTCTCTTTGCTCGAAAGCTGGTGAATTTTGGTGCAATCTGTAAAAAATCAGGAAGAGTGTCCACTGAAGGTCTTATGACGGTAGGACTTACTGGTACATTGTCCTCAACGCAGGGTCTGCAAATGACTTAGAGCTTCTCGCGCATCTGTAAAGAGAGCCGAAGTCACCGTCACTGCCGAGTTCCTGACAAATGATTGACAAGATTTCTTCGGGCAAGGTGTTGCCCCCATACTGGTCAGCCATGGTAGACAGTACTGGGAAAGCGCGACGGAGACGAATGGCCAGATGCAATGATCATGGGAATTGTGTGTCGCAGATTCGAAAAGGCTTGATGACGGGTAGTGCAAGATACTGATTCATTAAAAGTCTGTTGGTGATAGTCAACAAAGGAGATGTCCTGATACTCACGTGGTTGAACTGTTAATCTTCGAGGATTCTGATGTGTACGGGTGACGTCATCCACTTTACGCGTCTTGAAACTTTCAAGGCCAGAGCGCGTCGCTTTAACGGAACTCGCTGAGGACTCAGCGGGGAACGAATATCATGGGTTTGAGCCTAGTACTCAAAACATCAAATTTTATGATGTCCGAAGCTCAAACTCAGACTTCATGAGACTCCAACATGCCGACTTTCCTATTCACTCTGTTACCTAGTGGCGTTGGTCACTTACATGAACTCCTGAGCTGCTTGGCAAAGTTTGATGAAGATGTCTCCCTAGAAGCAACATCTCAATTTGTGAGTCCAAGCCAGAGGTGCATCTCCAGCAGCTAATACATTCAGCTCCGTTTCTCAAGTTTAAACATATCGAAGACTACCCACGCGGCTTTCATCCTCAATTCAGCTTTCTTCCAGAAATATCATTTCTCAGCCGGTTCAGAGGCCCCAGCAGCCCAGAATCCGCCGCGAGTCTGGACGTGTAAAGTTCAAATTCGAGTGTGTTGCGTACCAGATCCAAACTCGAAGTTTAGCTCACTGAATCTTAGGCCTTGCTGTCTATTTTCAAACGCCGACTTGCAGAATCGCGAGACAAAGACACAGCACTTGAGACGTGTGAATGCGAGCTCCAAGCAAATTCTGATCAGGCTGAATGCCGCCTGATATTCCGGCTCAATTGTAAACAGGGCGTCATCAAGACATATCGACTCTTCTATGAGTCCGGTGAGATTTTACATGCTACCTTCGATCGAGTTGGCTCTACCAACCACTGGACTGTATCATCTCGAACACTCAGAGACGTGGTTGAATATTTCGGCCCGAAGACGGATCAGCTAGATTGGTTCTACCAGGATGGTAAAGTCACTTTTACGAGCTACACGGAGAAAATCCAGAGCGGCAGAGAAATCCTCAAGCAACCAATGCACACTTCGGTTGCTCTTGAGCGGAAAGACTTTGATGGATTTGATGTACAGGAAGGGTTACACATAGGGACTATGGTGAAAGACTTTCGGGCCATTGTCGCACACGCAGAGGCCATGCGTGTTCAAGTTACAGCCAGATATTCGCGTGGCAATCGACCGATGCAGATCAGCTATGAGAGTAATGGCCTAGTTGCGGAGTTCACACTAATGACTAGGGGAACGAGCAATGTCCCGAATACATCACAGGCGAGCACACCCGCACGTGAGATTTCCATGCGTTCAGCATCGCGACCACCCGAGACACTGATAGGCACTGAAGCATCAACCGCTGTTAAAGCCAAGCGGCAAGCAAAATCTGCAGAAATGCCACCACCCGCTCGAACCTCGTTCCATGACACCGCTCAACCGTCACTAACTAAGACGGGCTCGCGGGACGGTGCGCCAGCACCTTCCGCCAGCATAAATCCTGACAGTTTATTCATCCCGGCTGACGATGATGATCAGCAATGGGACGAGCCGAACTTCGAAGAAGAGGCCGATATCGTTACATGGGACAACACGTCTGAGGACGTCTCGGCTTCAAGTTCCGTCCGTAGGATTCGTGATTCAGAATCACATTCGTTTGCACAACTACGGGACCAAGCGCCACTCGTTACGTCTTTCCCACATGAAATTGCGCCAACGCAGCGACTATCGCAAGTTCGAGGGATCTTTGATTGAGGACAATGAAGGCCTCCGGGTGTTGAGGCTCATCCACTTCGCCCGCAAATTAAAAACGTCGTAGCACAGCCGGCGGCGACATTCTTGACAATGATTCCGTCCTTCAAATGAGGAGGAAGAATTTGATTCCAACGGTCGACAACGTTTCCCTTATCGTCGAGTTGCTCGCCACAATTACCATGCTCTCCCCACCCCCAAGCAATCACCTCTCTAGACCAGGTGATTCCAACACAGTGCTCACTCCCAGCCGCAAGGGTACGGAGAGGAGGGAGTTTGTTCGACGCGAGTTGGCCCCGATCGTTCCTGCCGAAACTTCTTACCGAGAATGTTTGTGTCGAGTTGTATGAGTGAATTGAACTCCATCCCGAAACAAGAACGTCATCCTGCTCTAAAGCATTCAAATCGTCCAATTTGAAGGATTTGATGTCGCCCCACACAACAGGCTTTGTGCCAGATGGAATCAATACGGTGTATTCTCGGCCGACCACAACGTTTTCCAGGTTGACCCATCTGCCAACAGTAAGCAGTCTCGGTGTCCACAAGACCTTCTCCTCCCGGACACCATGCCCAAGCTGGCCTTTCCGACAGGCTCCCCAACCAATTACCGACCCATCAGAGGTGATCACGACGACATGAGCCACACAGGCAGCAATGCCGACAATTTGCACACCTCCTTCGACTTCGAATACTTTCTTTGGCATGTGAGACAAATGCACATCAGACCCAAGACCGAGTTCACCTTTAGCGCCAGATCCACACGCGAATATGATTCTCTGGTGGAAGACAAAGAAGGACGCTTCCCACGTCGCCGCGATATCTGTCACTCTCGATTCGCTACCGCCAGAACGACCGCCAACCCCTTCAAGCGCCGAAAAGTCAACTTCCTCAAATTCCACTCTCACATCCTGCTTTCGATGATCAGGCAAGTACCCAAGCCTCCCATCAGCATTCCTTCCCGCTGCAAATACCGTTCCGCTCTCCATCAATACCAAGGTGTGATTCCCACCAGCGACAATCTTCTTCACCTCATCCCCTTCATTAACGTCGCTTCCATCTCCACTGAGCCCGCCGTGCTTATACTTAAAACAACATCTCTCTGCCCTCGCCAGATCGTTCAGGTGACCAACACCCAACTGGCCAGCACCATTCGACCCGAGTGCGTAGACCGGCAACATTTGGATTGTTTTTCGTTGAGCCTCGCAGGATCTGTGGGGTTTTTCGGCAGGAGTGAGGGTATTTGTAGTCTTGTTCGATAGACTGCCAATTGATAATTAATGCATCTAAACCACGATTGATGAGATCATGCTCAAAAATTCGCGACTTGCTCTTGGTCCAGGAATGGGTAAGAACATGTCTGTGGGATATTTGGGCAATAGGAATACACCAGAGAGGCAAATTTTAAGACAAAGCCATCGTAGAAAGATGATAGGAGTGAAGCTGGCAAGCAGCACTGGGAGAGGTGATGAGTTGGAGGATTGGGATGGAGGTGGGTGAGGTCAACGAATCCCATGGCGCCAAGTGATGGATAAGGGCCCGGAACTCACTCCCTTTGGGACCAAGGATCATACCGCGCTGTACCCACCCCTGCTCACGCCTACTCGTAAGTCTTGCCCCTCCCTTGTTAGATGATTGTTGAGATCTCTGTCTCGTGCTACTCTATTCCCTATTCTACTCCATGAAGGAACTTACCAAGGAATTGATACTAGGAGCCCCTTTTCCATGATTTCCGAGTACCCCAAATGCTGACCAATGGCGCTTTCATCGACCGATAGCGCAGGCTTCTGGCCAATGCCGTAGAGATTGGGTATCCACAGTGTGTTAGCGTGTCACGTGCTTGGATAGTTAGTAGGCGCTAATGGAGTCTTCGCGCCATCAGGAGAGCTAGCCCTTCAGGGTTAGCTGCAGTCAAGAACTTTCTTTACGAGTAGTTTACGCCTATCTGGGCGTCCTCAATTTCACAAGGAACCACCCACCCAGTAAAAGCTGCTCAATTCTTCGAAGCTCATCGAAACCAGATTTTCATACAAGCGCGACTGGAAAGTACTTCTCAAGTACTTTTCAGTGACTTCGTAGCCGCGATCCAACGTTCCATTTTCGGCTATGTCGTTGGAAGGGCTTCAGCCTCGTCAGGCTGTCAATATCTTTTCTGCCTCTCTTGCAAATGCTTCCATAGCTTTCATCTGTATTTGTGGTCCAACACTGATCCTCGCCACGCCCAGTTCTCGGAGCTGTGCGACACCCAGTCCATGCGGTTGCATGACCAACATGACATTAAGGCGTCCGTCAAACTCATTGACCATGGTCTGTACCTCCTGTCGACTCACACCTCGTTTCCCGCCCCATACAAATACCGTCGTTGCCCCTGCAGCGATATATTGTTTGCCTCGTAAGAGTACCTCTTCGAGTTTTCCACCCTGAACCAGCACATCACATCGGGCGTTTACCACAAAGTCTGGTATGCCTTTCTTCTTTGCAATTGCTAATGCTCTTCTCACCCGCTCTGCTGCCATTTCCGGGGAGTAGAGCTCCTTCTTCATCTTGTCGCAGTCTTCCAAATTGACTCCTACCACTCCAAGGTCAAGGAGAGCGGTAATTGCCTCTTCAAGACGGTCTCAGTAGCCGTCCTGGATGTCGACCGTCAAAGGTTTGTTGAACTCTTTCGCCACGGAAGCGATGCCTTTGATTGCCAAAAGGTTAGTTTCGAGATCCAAGTCATCGTCTGGGGTGCTATTTGCGCTGGCAACCGAATAGCTCGCCGTTCCAAGAGCCTTTCTGCTAGGCAGCGAGGCAACGGCTCTAGCCGAGAGAACGTCATAGACATTTGCTACAACAAAAGGCTGCCCTGGCTTGTGAAACGATTTTAGAGTCTGAGCGAAGCTATTAAGCGACATGTTCAGGTCAGTGTGAGGTTGGTCCAGTGCGTTTGAGATGATGTTGATCTTTAATGGCTCGCAGGCCGCGGCGAGTCTATAATGTACTAGGAACCGCCCCAGTATGTCGAGGCAGCCAGATCAACATGACCAAGCATTTCTGAAGTGACGTTGAGCGGCCGGGAAATGCTAACTCCTGATTAGATGCTGCGTATCTAACACTTTGTGCCAGCTATGCAATACGAGTCATCTGCCAAGATTGGGATACGAATGGATTTGGCGCTCTGCTACTTTCGGCCTACGGTGCGGACCAGGTTGGTCCATGTCCGCTCCTAAGGGGCCCGTGAGGCCTCTGAGGAGTCTGATCAGGTTAGTGCACAAACGCTACATTCAGCGCCAACTGAATACTTGTGGGAGTCTCTATTGCGCTTGGTGAGTTCTTTGCGTCTTGGGAAGTTACCTTTTGGAAAGTAATGCAAGTATGCAAGTATCATGAACTGATGAAGTGAAGATAATATCTTATTGTTTCGCTAACTCACCGTCGAGGCCATGACAAACCCACGAGATGTGCAATCGACTTGTCTTGGAAATCAGGCCATTCGCCCGCATGATGTTGGCTATAAGAGAACGATGAGGTCCTGAATATTGAAGTCTATCTCACTAATTCCGTCATAAACAATTTTCTATCCACGGCTTGTCATCTGCTTCTCATTCGTCATCACACTGACTCACATTCCCACGCCCTCCAAGATCCAGCTTCAGAATTCAGCCACCATACCCAGCCCCCGTGACCGAATGGCATAACGACACCTACGATGCCATTGATCCAAGACGACCCGATTTATCCCAAGCTGGCAAAACCATCGTCATCACGGGTGCTGGCCAAGGTATTGGACGAGAAGTTGTCTATGCGTTTGCCCAAGCTGGAGCCATCACAATCCATATCCTCGGACGTACTAAACAAAAGTTGGAAGAGACTAGAGACGTCTCCGAAAACTCTCACCACGGTTTGAAGGTTTCTGTCCATGTTGCAGATTTTATAGACTGTTCAGCTGTTGAGTAAGCAGCCAGGGAAATCGGCTCATGGGATGTCCTTGTTGCCAATGTTTGTTATCTCCCAAGCCCAGGTTCCATCCTGAGCAGTGATGCTGATGAATGGTGGAAGACATTCGACGTAAGTTTTCCCTCAGGCCCAAACTTTGAGTCCGCTCGATGTGCGGTTGTGAGATTCCGTAGATCAATATCAAAGGCAGCGATGCTCTCACTCGCTCATTCCTCCCGTACAAGAAAAGCGGCGCCGCGAACATTGCCTACTCCACTGGCCTACTTCCCGTTACTCGCGCAGGAGGAGTTGAGAATTGGCAAGTACTCCGCCGCGTTTAGAGGGTGTATTAGGTTGGTGTCAAGCTCTCATCTCTCTATTCGTTCACATTCTGATGGCCACAGCGCCCTCTTCATTATTTACAAAGTCATGCTAAGCCATACCAACGAGGACGCCGCTGAGGGACGCCGCATCTTACAGTCCATGGAAGACATATCACTCGGTGCCCTCACGTTCTCAAGAGCGTCATACCTTGATCGATGCGAGAATTACCCTCCCGAGGACCTCTCGCCATAACTCCCGTGTGCCCTGTGCCAAGCTGCGGGAATACAATACAGGCTATGGAACAGCACAAGTGACCCAAGTTATAAGCGACATTTTGACCCCCTCGAGGGCATAATGGCTGAATCCAAGAGGAGGCAGGTAGTAGCAAGTGAGTTGATAATTAGATACGTGTGAGTGTGTTATTAATAGTTACTTCGCTGACGCTGCTGCAACAGGTGAACATCTCACAATCATGAAGGACTTTGACCAAGGCTGGCCACCTGTAGCTGTTCCGTTCCAGGGACCTTTTATCAGTGCGCGAAGAGGAGTAAGCTATAAAATAGTTTGAGCGTTAGTCATGTAGAGATGAACCACCCAGGTCAGTTACCCCCGGTCCGTTCTCCTCCGACTCGCATCTATACATCGTACTCAAAGCTCTTTCCAAGCGAGGCTTTGAAGATAAATATCTAAACTCGATGTCCACATGCTCCTCACTCTGTTATGTTTCGTGCGCGAGACTTCCGGACCCAACATCTTGCTCAGGAGGGCACGTCGTCTGCGCAAGCCGACCGGCGATTCTAGGCTTCAGTCGCAGAGCGAGACGACCAGCGCAACGTGACGTCCAACATCCTCTTCTCTGCCCTCGTCAGAATATTAGAAACGACCGAAACATTTGTTATAGAGTTTGAAGGTACGCGAAGAAAGTAATGAGAGTGAATGGATCATTGACATAGGGTGGGCAGGACATACTATGTAGCTATCATACATCGGAACGTGGGAGATAGATACTATTTAGATAGGAAGCCAGTCAAGACAAGATAGATTCCCTAGGCGTTTTCACACCACGTCATTTTGAGTTATCTGCTTGCCATCCTCGGACTAGCAAGGAGTGGAAGGAATGAACCTATAGAGTATACTAATTCACTGCTGACACAACATACGTAAGTCAAGTCGCCCTGATCTATGCCTATGTACGTTGGAAGTCCCAACTTGTAACCATACAGCCAGTTTTGGCTGCTGAACACCGGAAGATGCATTTATGAATCATACCATCATCAAGCCTGCCTGGCTGACCGAAACCTACAAACCTCTCCACCAGGAAGATTGAATAACGTGGAACTGGCCCTTCAGTGGCGTTGTGGCACTTGAGTCGCCCACTAGTACATCGAAGGCACCTTTCTCCATGACCCAAGCATCTCTTCCTTCATCCCAGAAGCTAGCGGCGTATTTCTTTGACATCACAATCTGGGCCTTGGCAGTCTCTCCTGCTTTGACGAACACCTTCGAGAAACCCTTCAGTTCCTTCTTGGGTCGATTGATGCTCGGCTTCTGTTGAGAGACATAGGCCTGGACGACCTGAGCACCATCAACATTGCCAGTATTTGAAACCGAAACAGACATTACGATGTCCACACCATTATCATCAACGGTGAGGGCGCTGAGCTCAAATGTGGTATAGCTTAGACCATGTCCGAATGGGAAGGCAACCTCCTTGTTGGTCTTCTCGTAGAATCTGTAGCCGATATACACGTCTTCACCGTAAATGGCACGGTTTCGTTCAGATTTGTAGTTCAGGAATGCCGGGTTGTCCTCATTCTTGACAGGGAAACTGAGTGGGAGCTTTCCGCTTGGATTAGTATCACCAAATATAACGTCGGCAATTGCATTGCCTGTCTCGTTTCCGCCGTACCATGCTTGGACAATAGAGCGTACATGGTGAACCCACGGTAATGTAACCGGTGTACCAGACTGGAGAACGATAGCTGTATTAGGGTTAGCTGCAACCACGGCTTGAATCAACTCGTCCGTTCCTGGAGGAAGGTCCATGTGTTCTCTGTCGTGTCCTTCAGTCTCCCACTCCGCGTTCAATCCTGCACAGAGCACGACTTGATCAACCTCTTTTGCAAGTTTGACGGCTCTCTCAATCTCGGATTGCAGTTCTGCCTTCCTCTCAAGACCGATCCTTAGCCCCCCTGAGCCAAAGCCAGTAGTACCAGGAGTAGTGAAGGACATCGTGGGAAAGGTGCCGAACTTGGTCAGGATGTTGTAAGTGACACCCTTTTCCAATTTGAGAGTCCCAATCTCTTCTGCAGTTCCAGAACCGAAGAAGGTGTTCCCGGGCCGTTGATTTGTTTCGTTGTCAACAACCACCTCTCCATTGACGTATATCTTGCCACTGCCAGCACAAGCAAGACTAAACTCGTACTCGGCAGTTTCGTCAGGAGTGAAAGTACCATTGAGTTCAAGCCAGTAGAGATACGTCTTCACAAGTGGATGTTTGTAGTCCACGAGCAGGATGTCAGACTTGTTGACAAAAACTTCATCAACTGCCTTGCGGCTAGTGACAGATGGCGGCTCAATGAAGACCTTCATAGTGAGACCAATTTGGTTGTCTTTGGTCTTGGTCACTCTTGACATCAAGGGGACTGACTTCCAGGCAGGGGCGCCTAATTCGTATTGGGCTCCGGGCACTTTTGACCGGACTCCTTCTAGCGGACTGACGGCATAGTATGGTTGAAGCGAGGCGGAGCCCCCGCCACAGAATGAAGCGTACGCAGCGTTGGGTCCAATCACAGCAGTTGTTTTGTCCCTCTTGAACGGTAGCACATTGCCCTCGTTTTTCAAAAGCACCAGGCCGTTGGAAGAAAGGGCTCGTAGAGCTGCAGCAGTTTCAGGGCTGTCAATTGTAGTTTCTTCCGCATTCTCTGGTATTCCTAGAGGCTGTACCTTCTTGACCAGCTTGAGAACCTCACGAACTCTCGTATCGACCTCGTGGAGGCTAAGCTTACCGCAGCCAAGGGCTTGGTTAACGAGCTTGGCTCGGATGTATGATGGTCCAGGCATCTCCAGGTCAAGCCCTGCCTTGATTGCTTCGGTGGTGGAATAGGTACCAAACCTGTCCGCGATTAGTTGCTGTTGTTCTGCGGGGGGCTTTGAATGTAGCATACCAATCACTCATGACTAATCCATCGAATCCCCACTCCTTGCGTAGAATGTCATTAATCAGTCGAGGATTCTCACTCGCATGCACACCATTGACTTTGTTGTATGCAGTCATGTAGCAGTCAGGTCTTGAATCCTTCTCGGCAATCATGAATGGCATCAGATAGATCTCGCGGAGAGCACGTTCCGTCAGAATGCTGTCTACACTCTGTCTTTGATCTTCTTGATCATTGCAGACGTAGTGCTTGATGGTGGCAGCAACACCGGTTGATTGGATTCCGTTGATTGTTGCAGCACTCATGGCTCCAGCAAGGTAAGGGTCTTCACTGAAACTCTCGAAACCGCGACCACCTAATGGTGATCTCTGCATGTTTGTGGTCGGACCGAGAATTACCGATGCACCCTTCGCTATAGCCTCATCACCTTGCAATGTGCCACCCCTCTTGACAAGGGCAGTATCCCAGGTGGCAGCAAGTCCAGTTCCTTTTGCAAAATCAGTAACAGTATTGTGGCTAGAAGAGAATCAACCCACCACATGGGAGACAAGCAGCGGGAACTCCATTGAAGAAGCGGGTGCCACGAACGCCATTGGGCCCATCTGATAGTCGGATGGAAGGGATGCCCAGCCGGTGGACTGGGGCGGTATGCCAGAAGTCAATTCCAGACAGTAGAGCGACTTTCTCGGAGATGTCTAGTTGTGAAAGAACATCTTCAACATCAAACGGGCTCTGAACAGGCATAGAACCCATGCTGGGCAATGTAGTACCCTCGGGGTCAACGATAGTAGAGAAGGCGGGAGCAAGGGAGGAAAGACACAAGGGAAGAAAAGGCTGACGGTATGCGGGCAGAGAGCAGTTTTAAAGAAGATTAGAATGCAAACCAATACAAGCTGAACCTACACTGTACCGACACCTACGGGTAGCTAGACAGCCGAGTCGTATTCGCCATGAGGCAGTGGATGAACAGCCAGTGGATTGTGGTGGATATGAATGAACTCTGGTGGTGGGAGAACTTCGGAGGCCCACTGTCGCTGTGAGAGGGAAACAAACGTTTGATGGTTTGATGGAAAGAGCGATGGTGAGTCCACGGCCATGGCGTGGCACCCACATGGATTGACGCCGCTCAACCGGCAGTCACAACCGCGCTCTCGGGGAAGGGCCCCTCCGAAACAAGTGCAAGTGCAACCGCGATGTCTGGTACATACCGTGATACCAAGAAGGCCCTCCCTCCGTACATCTGTCTGTAGTACTCGCACACAATCGACTTAACAATCATCGGCCACCAGCCTGCAGTCATCATCATGACAAACATCGCCGGCATGCCAATACACCAACGAAGCACTTACAATCCTGTTGCCGACTCCTCTCCAGGGCACTGGCATGACGAGCCCACAGACTGACTCTAGGTGGTGGCCAAGGTCGACCGGGAAGCGCCTGCATCACCTCAGGGTGGTCAGGACAGGAGAGGATCGACTCAGGTACCCCCCAGCGAAACCTAGCAAGCCAGTGACACACGCGGATTCTCGGAGACCCAGCAAAGACCCCAGGGACAATCGGACAACGACATTGATGGGGAGCTCGCAGAAACAGGTGAAGTGGTGAGACGAGTTTAGGCAGAATTGCTTCAATGGTGGCGATTGGCACAAAAGGATAAACTTCGGAGATGCTAAAAGGCGAAGGACCGATTAAGCCAAATTAGTGACTGATTATTATCAGGCCCTTGAACAACCCACACCCCCAGAGCCTCAGTCACCTTTATCATTCGGCCCTCTTTTTTAAGCCCCCACCTCGAAAGGCGATCGCGGCATCAGCACCGAGTCACCGACTGATTCGTTTCCATGCCCAGCCCGAAACCTCTCAAGGGCTGTCCGGCACTCGTGTCCTACATTAGCACTAAAACATATCCTGGTTGGCGGTATGATAATGCCAGCCTAACCCACAAATCCTGGAGACTGGCTCTACGGAATACGTCGACACCTTGGATCTTGCACAGATAACATCCATTCCCCACACTCATGCCTTGATCTGGCCTTTGCGACCTTCATACCCCACCAAGTGTGGAGGGGTCGGTCTTTGGAGAGGAGGCGCAGGGCGACAGTGGCCATGTACACCGTCCCGCCGTTTCGCATTTGGAGATCGAGAAACCCTGGTCTCTCATGCAACAGCATGTCTAGGCAGCTCTCCAAAGAGAAGTCCTCTTGTTGAAAACCTCGAAATATACGTTCAAACTATGTGCTCTATCCTATACTTATGCCATACCATCCGGTCGCTTGAATGGGCGAACACGGCTTGAAGCTGAAAGGCCGAAATACCGTCATTTCTGTAGCATCCACTACCTTCCAGGTAAACCCTCTCACCGTCATCTCATCATCAAACTCTGGCCGTTCACGGCAAAGCCACATACACTGCGATAGGGCAGTGATCTGTTCCTCCAGAGGAGTGTGATGCTGCATTAATCTTTCAAACAGCATGCCCCAGTGTCAGTGACAGCCGCCCCCTTGTACAGCTCCGAGCTTTTCTCACCCTCCAAACACTCAACAACCTCATGATTAAGAACTCACCCTGTCCATGCAGATAGACCAGCTGTAGGAGGCATTGACAAAGATCTTCCCCGCGGGAAATGACTCCGTTGAAGACGAGACGGGCCATCTCTTGCATTCTGGGGCTTCTTCGACAACGTTGCCGCTAGTTTTCGGACGACCGAGCAGATTCGCGGCTGATTGCTCCTGGCACTCGAGAGTGGTGTGGTCCTGCTCCTTTACAACTCCAGCAACCGCGTAGTAGGGTTCTGCATGATACCGAGCTCGATGCAATCGCCGTTCAACAGCATGAACACGTGGCCCTTGCCCCTGGCCCTCATGCTTCGCTGTGGTCTGGATGCGATCTCATGACCTCCCATCCTACGTGCCGAGTACGACATGGTCACGTCAGCGGTGACAGGAGCAGGATCAAGAGCGGGAGCAGGAGGAGTAGTAGGACTAGGAGCAATGATGTCCGTGTCGAATCGGGTAGAACATTTTCCGGAAAACGCCCAGAAGGCAGGATTCAAACCAGGGGTCCCACCAGACGTCGATAAGATCGTCGTTTGCTGACGTTAGTATGGACCGCCATCGCCATGTCTTCGTACCATGCTGTGTAGCCTTATCAGAAGAGGGATAAGCTTCCAAGCTCAGATATTTCCACGGCAATCAGTTATGCGTAGTGTAGTGGCTTCCCGTATGTACTAGCAGAGTGGGTGTTTGAGCAATGGAGATCGGAAAGATGCAGCTCCACTCATCAATCCGCACCGAGATACATACATACATAAGCCTGAGGAACCGAGGACCATATGTCGGTATGTAAGTAAGGAGCCCACGCCCTCGTACACGGCCAAGCGCTCGTCGTCGCTATCCGTCGGCGACAAAAGCGATGATAGGCAGCAGGATCCTCCCTATGCCAATACTGATGCAGTATGAGGAAGGAAAACACTCATACATACCATCATAATCTTCCGGTGGAGATACCGCCGGCCCTCAGCAGGAAGTGGTTGCTCCCTTTGGAGTGCCTTCTGGGCCCAGTGGCATATCAAGCCCAAGCTTGCTCACCCCGTCATCCCAATGGAGTTCCATCCTTAAACCCTCACAGGACGTGCAGGAAGCTCACGGCGGGATCCCGATAGAATACGTGCAGACGGGGAGTTGGGGAGATGGGCACCGGTGACCATACCCGACATGTCAACGCTCTGTAGACGCACTTGCATTGCGCAGGGCGCCACATCCGAAAGCTATCTTTTGATTGCTTTGACATCATGTTCGTTTTTCGGCGTGCACGCCCAAGACAAATTTTCAATGCAGCTATCTCTCACTATACAGATATCTCTAGTAAAGTAGGTAGATCACGGGTTAGTCTGGGCACGCAGGCTTGTTCTATTTTTAATGTCGATACGAAGTACAAGCGGTTTCGTTTGGACAAGAGCCAGTGCTTCAGTCCTGCCAAACCTAGGTATGCAGCGCACTTGGACGGCTTCGAGGAGGTTCTGGTCTTGTATAGTATCTGTGTCCCACCTATATTGCTGGCACACATAGTTGATCCTCCAGTAATGGTACGAACACTGGTGAATGCAGGTCTAGCTAGGTCAAGTTTTCAGGAGTCGCCATCGTGTTCTTCTTCACTTCGTCAAAGCTCTCGCTGCGTCCGAGGGGTCCAGTCTCATAATATGTAGCCATCATGGAACCTTGAGAGATTGGGGGTGGCCAGACTGATTGATAGAGATGTTGGCCCGGGGCTGGTCCTTTTTGTGTGTACAAATCCGTTCGTCGCCGTGGCGTTTGCCGGTCAGGGCGGAAGGGCAAAGTCGCTGCGCAGTTGAGATGCCATTGTCCCGAGCGCGAGTAAAGAGCACTGGTTCTCATCTTTTCTCTCTCGGGGACTCGGTTTCTTCAAGTTGTATTCCTCACAGGACTTTACCCTCGAGCATGCCACTTCCGCGGGACGAGAAGATGCCCATGATTCCGAACCCGACGTAAAACAACGCAAGAGGATAAGCGACCAAACCCCTCATCCCCTTCATCCGGCCCACACTAACAAACAACCCGGAGCTGCTAAAAGTGCACCATCCGACAGCACACGCCGTAGTAACGTACCCAACCGCAGTGTCCATTGGCAATGCGACGCCGAAAAGCGCGGTGAAGACCAGCGGGAGAAAACAATACCCGAGAACACTCGCGCTCCGGGAATAGGTCAATGTGCTCGAGAAATGTCCGCCGGCACGGGAAGTGCCGCCATCGCCGTGGTCTCTCTGTGCCTGGGCCATCTGGTCGGAGTCGTTGGGGTCGACGGGAGGTGTCATGAGAGCAAACATCCAGTGGAGAGCTATGGACCCGAACAAGGCGATGCCGTAGATGTATCCGTAGAAGAACTTGCCCGACAGGGCCAGAAAGGTGCCGTAGAGGACGAGGAAGAGGAGGCCGCCGTAGAGATCGCTATCGTCCATGATGTGTGGTGAAGGTCTCGTCCACGGGTTCAACACGGCGATGGTCTAGAGGAGGGTTGATTTGGGTCAATGTGATTTCTCGCGAGCGATTTCTGGCATGCCAGGTGGTGTGAGCATGCTTACCTTGGTTTTGATGTGGCCGAAATTGACGCCCAACTCTTCCATCAATCCAGGCTCGCCATCATAGCCCTCGGTGCCAAACGCAGCCAGCCAGCCAGTCCGCAAGCCTCCAGACTCTCCCATCCGCCCGCTCACTCCCTGCATGCCCGGGACAGCGCCAAACGCCGCCGACGAGCCTGCGCCATATCCCGCATACGCAGGAGCGGTGCTTCCTGAGCCGTACCCGCCATATGAAGCCTGTGACGGCGTCGTGTGGCCCGAAACATTCGAATATGTTGATGGATAGAACTGGAGGTTCGATGCGCCGCCGCCGCCACCTCCTCCACCGGGATTTTGACCGTAGCCTTGGTTGTAGTAGGACATGATGTTTGAGGGGCCGCCTGGGCCGGAGGGACGGAGATGTGTGCTCGCTAGATGGTCGGAAGAATGAAAGACGTGGGTGCTGATCAGAGAGGTTGGGAAGACGCGGTGCTCACTCTGGTTAATGTCAGTAAGCAGCAAGTTTGGTTGCGTCTTCGATGGGTGTTGGAATTTCGGAGGTGCAGTGGGTAACTTGGTTGTTATTTCTTTGTACGTCGATGATATTGTGCTGAGAAAATCCCCGAGTGCCAGTGAGGGACACAGTTGTTCCCCAAACTTGAACTCCAAATGATACTAATTAGTTAGTACGGAGTAGTAATATTACTGTATAGTATGTAATTATTATGATGATCACCGCCTTTCCTTTCGAATATGGCCAGACTGGCATCAGCAACCGATATTAGGTAGCCGACCAACACCGCCTCACAAACGAAAAAGCCACGTTGACTCAGGTTGAGTATTATGTACATTTTGGGATTCTACGTCATTACTACAAAAAATTGATGCCAATTCCGAACGACACTCCTTTTCTGGCCTCTTCATGTTTCCGAACAACGAGAGGTAGAGAGAAATTGAGCTCGAAGCGTGCCACAGGATGTGCATAGACCAGTCCCACACCCGCTGATAGACTCGGAAGACCATTTCCAAGTTCTGTCACTGCATTCGACACCCCTTGTCTGACTTCGTCGCTTGTGAGCCCGCCCTCTTTATCCGGATTGCGAATTGCTAGTAATCTGCCACCATTCACAAAAGCCTGGAAACGGAGAGGTTTGTCTTTGCCTACTTTGGGGAGAGGAATCAGGATATTGGCACTGCCTGCCGCATAGACATCGCCTCCAACCGCGTCTTGTCCATCGTGAGGCCCTAGGCCAGATAATCGAAACCCACGAACGTCTGTCGGTCCTCCTAGTTGAAATCGATCGTTGATTCGCGACAACTCAGGGTCTGCATTTGACCCTAGTGCCAGTGGGTATAGAATACCAGCACGAAGGCCAGTTGTAAAGCTGATTCCACTGTCGCCTTTGACAAATGGAATAGGGATCGGGAGGGCCGTCTGTGTTTCCGCTTCCGTTTTCCAGAATGCAACATCCCCACGCAGAGGCCCCCAACCCGCTAATTCAGATACTGTTTTGGCGTAATAGCCTCGGGTGGGCAATAGAGGGCTGTCTCTTCGATCTCTCGTCCACGTATGAGATATGCTGCTTTTGACCGAATCTCCAGCTTCGTTCTTCACAGTGGGCGAAGCGTTCTGTGCAAGCCCCGTGACTTGCCGCCAAAAGCCATTGTATCCCACCTCATGAAGCGAGCCACCTGCAGTGAGCCACCGGAGTTTCGTCCAACCGCCCTTGAGGATCTCTTCATGGCTAGCAAACACCTTTTGGGTGGAACTCTGAACACCTCCAATTTGGAAACGGAAATCCGGGTCGCTGAGAACAGGTGTATCAATTGTTGCTGAATAGGAAGATCGCGTTCGTGTTCCCACTGATGCGTTGACATCGAGAGTTTCTGCTCCGCCCAATACATTCCTCCACTGCAGGTTTGCGTAAGCCGAGCCTTCGGCATTGCCCAAATCGGTGCCGGTCTTTGCGAATAAACGACTACGCTCTTTTACAGAGTAGTAGACCGCGACATCTGTCGGGGTGGTGGAGGGATCTGTTTGAGAGGGTTTGTCGAGGAAAACCGAGATGGGTTCGTGGTAAATCCCTATGAGTATATCAGAACAAAGCCACTAGGTATTGCGCAATGCCGATTACCGAATCTTCTAAGCTTGTCAGCGGTTTTTGAGATTTCACGGATAAGTTCGGACTGGGTATACGGGCGGTCGCGGTTGGCACTCAATAACGGATTGACAAGGCGATGGAGAAAACCGCGGCGAGTGTTGGGGGCCCCGAGGACAGTGACAGAGGAAACAGTAGTAGGTAAGGTAGAGTTCTGATCGATCAGCTCAGCAAGCCTTAACTGACTGAGTTGGAAGGTCTGGTGCCGTTTATCATTGAGCAACTGCTGGCGCCGTTCAAGCTCTTGAGGATCGGCATTCTTGAGTAGATTGAAGATTGTGTCCTCGGACGCAGAGGCCGAGGTGGCCATGAGGCCTGATTGGGCGCAGGAGGAGTTGACGGCCAGAAAGTCGTGGAGAATGAAGCTCTTGAAGGTCGTGGATTTGAGTTGTTGAAAAACGGATTTGCTACCAACCTTGGAAGTTGGCGACTACAGCTGGCTGGCCGCATGCCCGCGGCCAAGGAAGCTGAAATGCCAAGGCTTGCGCCTAATGTTCGAAGTTCCAGCCTCGCTCTGGGGTCCGCTGGAAGCACGAAGGGCCACGAGACGCCTAGGGCCTGTGTACTCGTATGTAAGGCTGATCGGGCGCTTAGGAATCGACTATTCGTACTAAACTACTAGAATAGTCATGCTGCTCAATTATGGCCTTTGCCTGTAATCTCCGCCCACCTCGGCATCGGCCTTCGTCTACTGTAAGTTGGCCCCGCTTACTAGTACATAGTTCCTCGTCCTACTAAAGTGCCTCGTAGGCAGTCCGTATAATAGCCGACAAATGCCACGGTATCCCGTTGCTACCCCCGGAAAGACTCCGTTTTGTCACGTGGCTCAGGCCTAATGCTGGCACTATGGGTGCTACTCGTGTGCTCCCCAGGCCTGTTAGTTACCTACGGTTTCCACTGAATGTTATTATTGACTGCCTGTCGATTCCAACATCACCACCGGATGCCGCCACCAGCACTCTCGTAACCTTCATCTTTTACCTTCACCTCCACATCTCCAGACACCACCTGCAACAACTCGACTGGAAGAAATAAGGAGATTTCATCCCCAGATCATCCTCAACCTACTTTGTTCTCCTTACCAGTAATCTATTTCTCTGACATTGTTCATCATTTTCCATTGATTTCTCTGTCGCCACAACTATCCACAACCCGTTCCTCGTTCGCTGCAGGTGGCCGTTCGAGTTCATCACAATTCGACCCTTTTGACGATGGCAACCAAAGCTGCGTACAAGCGACTGACTCGTGAATATCAAAATATTCAATCGAACCCTGTACCATACATCGTTGCCCATCCATCCGAATCCAACATATTAGAATGGCATTATATCCTCACTGGTGCACCCAATACACCCTACGAAAACGGCCAGTATCATGGCTCCCTTATCTTCCCACCAGACTATCCTTTCGCCCCACCAGCCATCCGAATGCATACTCCGAGCGGTCGATTCCAACCTTCATCTAGATTGTGCTTAAGTATCAGTGACTTTCACCCAAAGTCCTTCAATCCTGCGTGGTCGGTCTCGACGATCTTGATAGGACTCCTATCATTCATGAACAGCGAAGAAATGACGGCAGGCAGTGTGGGAGGAACTCCAGCAGAGCGAAAATGGTATGCTGCCCGGTCAAGATGGTGGAACTCTACTGGCGGTGGATCCGCGTCCAAACCTGTGCCTGGAGTACAGGCCACCACCAAGGGCGTAGGAAACATCAAGGCAGGGGACGGCGGAGTGAAGTTCAGAGCGGAATTTCCGGAAGAAGATCAGGAAAATTGGAGATGGATTAGCCAACATCGCATAGATCCAAAAACTGGACGCATGCTCCCTGACCTAGAGGGCGAGGAGGTGCAATGTTCTCCTGAAACTGCAACACTCCGTCGGATACTGGGAGGAAGTGGCGGTGGCGTTGGGGCAGTGGTCCATGGAGGCCAGGCTGCCCGAAACGCTGGCCAAGGCTGGCTGTCTACCAACAAGGTCTGGATGGTCTTCGGGGGACTCTTCCTGTATTTCATAGCGGCCAGAATGATCAGCGAGGCGCAAGGATTATGAATCAGGGTGTGCACGATGAACTTTATTCATGATTTACGGCCGGCATTAATCGGTGAGAATGGGCCGATCCACGTACATTGACCTTTGTGTGTTTCGAGGAGGAATACGGAGTACTGGAAAATTCTCGATCTACGAGTAAGCGTGGCGTCAAGGTCTTGACCGGAGGAACACATCTCGTTCCAAAGTGATAGAAACATGTTCTTCTCAACATTTATCGTAGATATTTCTTCAAATGCCGAGGGATCCCGTTGAGGGCCGGTTGTCGAGTACGGTACCTGGTATCTCGGAATGGCAGTCGAGATCGGTCCTTGATGCTGCGAACACGAACCAGTTACAATGCCACAGACCACCATGGCTGGGGTTAAAAGGCCTCCACTTTGGGGAGGCAGTGGTGCTAGTTGGGGACAATTAGGCTCTCGGAAAAATACCCGAAGCAAAAGCGATACAAGTCAATTAGGAAGTGAGAGCCTGTCGCTAGCGGGAACATATGCAGAGTCAACCTCCCACCTGGGCCTCCTCCACCATAGCCCTGGCTTTGGACCCTGAAGCCGTGGCCCCCCTTAAGCAGAGGCAAACCACCTCGGGGACCATTGGCAAGCTAGTTGTCTGACTAGTAAGGAATTTGTTGAAACAAAATGTCCATCATACTTCGGTAGGCCATCTGCTACCCATATCAGCCTCAAGATTCGTGAATGGTAGCTACGAAGTAGATATGGAAGTCGGGGTGCCGGTCTAGAGCCAGGCAGTAAAGTCAGCAAGCGCCCTAAGGGAATACCTCGGTCGGCACCTGGGCAGATAGAATACTCAGGAGGCTAGGTCCAGTGCTTGTCAAAATCGTTATCTTCCTACCTAATCTGGGACTGGCAATGATGGGATGGGCCAATGGCCCCTCCACGTCCCTACTCGTAACGAGGTGGTTTCAACGCCTTCACATGCGGAGTGCGAGGTGGCGGGACCACGATCCTGCACCCCTAGGCACCTGTCTAGGCACTTAGGCACCTAGGTTGCGATGATCTGCATGCCCGAGAGGCCCCTCGGTCCACTTAGCCTGTTCTCCATTAGCACCCGAGCCCCATTCTCCCAACGGGTGAATCGCCGCCATCTTAGACTTCTGCTAGCACCGCTAGTCTTGTCAATTCTGATTCGTAATGAAGTACTCCGTACTCCGTAAATCTCTGGAGTCTGCATGTTCGGTGGCATGGTGCCTTTCGCTTGTCCTCTGTGCGATTCCCCTCGCTCTCCGTCAATACTGCTCGGTGCCAGGTATTCCGTAATAATGGGACCTAGAAATCCAAACCTTCGCAGACACACTACGGAGTAATCTGTACCTTGACACCCAGATCCAAACTCCCCCCGGTCGCCCCTAAAAGCATACCGAACTAATTGTACATTAGCCAGCGAAGCTAGCCTCATCTGTGAACCGTGACCCATCTATTATTGACAACCAAGTTCCTCATTGCAGACTCCATTGCGACCGGTGGCCTCTGTGCTTTCTCTTAAACTTTGGCCTTGCCATGACAAACACGTGGTAACTCTCGACTCTCGACTTCATCCTCAACCCTAACTCTCATCCTCATCATACGCTGTCTCAACTGTTGTTCTCTCCTTCCGCCCGATCAGCAGTCATGCTGAACCAGCCTCGTCTCGCTTCGTGTCGACAATAACATTTGCTTGGCTGCCATTTCTATTTCCCATTCCCTACCAGGACTTTGCCAGATAATTTCTTGAAGGCGGGCATTGCATCATAGCTGTTTTCCTTGGTGTATGGACCATGGATTGGAAAGAGGAATCATGCGCCGTATTTCGTCCGATTCTGGTGAGACAGTCCTACCCTAGGCCTTGCTTCTCTTCTCATGATTCCCATGATACTTCTCTACACCACCCCATCTCTAATATCAGCCTGCCGACCAAACTAATACCCCTGGCTCCCTCTCTAGACTCGGTCAACTCGACTTCCAATTCCGCCTCCTCGAGTGTTAACTTCACATTTGTGAACCAAGCCGAGGACATCGTCTCCTTATCTCACAGGAAGATCAGCGATGCCAATCAGCGACATGCCATCCGTTCTCATGTTATGCAGCGTGTCCGTCAGGAGGAGTTGGCCCAGGGCAAGAAAAGGCCAACTGGTCGCGATCTGCCTAAACGACCCTCCCGAATTGCCATTCGAAGCAGGTCCACTGACTCAGACTCGTCGGGGGTGAGCGATCCCAGCTCTGCTCGCTCCGAATCCATCGCCTTGAACACTCCTGTGCCCTCCTCCTCAGCAGCCTTTGACGGTGGGGCAACTACCTTCTCTCCTCCTCGACACCCGTCCCAGCGGCTTCAGTTGTTCATTGCACCGGCTGTTCATGAGCTTGACCCGTTTGATACTCTTCCCACCCATGGGGTACCGCACAAATCTGTCGAAGGTCTACTACAATATTGTAAGCCATAATACTCGACGAGCTTTGTGGAACTGACAAAGGCTTCAGGTTTCGATACTCTGCTGCCCATGACCTTCTCGATCGAGACCGCTTCCTACAGCGAGCGAATGGCCAGACAGGGCCTGGTTCTCCGGCAGAAGGCTACGAGTCCGGCTGTATTCCTCGGCTTCATGGCCACCGTCGCTGCTCATCGAGCCATCCTTCGAGGCAACCATCAAGACCTTGCGCCGTCCGAAACTAATCATGATGACCTCATCACAGATCCAGATTACAAAAGAGTGAAGCACCACACTATTGTTGCTGTTCGAAAGATGATCGAAAATCGCACCGCCAGAGTGGGCCAGTACTTGATTGATGCTTGTTTTGGCTTGGTCTCTGTCGCCACAATCGTTGGTAATTTCCGCGAAGCCAGAGTACACCTTCAAGGAATTTCACAGATGATGTCCATTGCCGAGATCTCTCAAGAATCTGTAGAATGGCTCCCAATTACTGATGTCAAGCTTGCCACTGCACTACTGTCCAAACCATCATTACCTCTCCCGTGGGAACGCCAACCGATCCCGCAGGAGATTTTGCAACTGGTTTCACCGCCATCAGATTCGGATCAAAGCCGTTTGGGAACAAGTTTAACACACTTCGCAGGATTGAGTAGCCACCTCAAGGAATTGATTTCCCGGCATCGCGACATTTGCGACATTTGCGAGTTCAATGTACAAAACCAAGGGAGCCTCTCGCATTTGCAAAATCGTACTTTGAACCGAAAGGCCACGGAACTCGAATATGACTTGACGGCATATCCATACGAAACATCACTTTTTGAACGCGACCATAATAATCAACCAATCATACCTGCGCTTGAGAACATGGTCCGACTTGCTAGTTTAGGCCTCTTAGCCATTGCGCCACATGCCATCCTCCCTTCAACCGGGTCAGGTCGAGCCACAACGCATCATCAAAAACGTGCTTTCGAGGACTGGTTGAGAGAGCGGCGGAATAATTGTGGCCGACCAGAGCTGCAAGTCATCCTATGGTCATTGTTTTGTTTTATCCAATGCGCAGAACATCAACCCGAAGCTGACTTCTTTATCCAACAACTGGCACTGCTGACCCGCGAGTTGTGGCTGATCAAATGGCATAACACTGAGGCTACCATGTATGGATTCTTATACATACCGGGACTTCAAGCAAAGAAGTGGGAAAATATCTACCACTCGGCGATGAGTGTACGATGACGTGAAGGATCCTGTGGAGCCCTCTCATATTGACGAATCCCATGTTACAATGAAGGAATTCATCCTGCCCAAGACAGAATTTCCACAAACGATCGAGCATGAAATGGCGTTCTATCAAGGGTGATCAACTCTCGACCCCAGCATCAGCACCCAAAGGTGATATTCGACCTAAGACCCACTATCCACCAAGGGTTAGCACCATGCTCCATGCCAGGAAACGCTTACTTGACGATCCTCTAGTCTGCGAGCATGGCGATACGTAAGATCTATATGTTTGTAGATGTATGCATAAATATAAAGTTGATATCGATCTTGGTGCGACCAATACCATACGAGAGAGAGCAGCCCAAAACAAATATGCAAGGGATGATAAGCCGTCTCCCTTCTACAACAGCACAGTGGGATTCTTGCTTCAAGAGAAGGATTCATTGATTGGAGCGCATAATCATGGGTCACATCAAGCTCAGCTGGAGCGTATAAACAATGGCTTCCCCCTCAACACGAGCCAAGATCCCCTTATCAGAATCACCATCTGAGGGAGACAATGTTGCCCCACCCCGTAAGACCCAATTACAAATGTAGCAAAAGGAAAGAACAAGCTTGCAACAGGGCGCTTTGTAAAGGCCCCTTACGCTCGCATAGGACGAGGGCGTAAAGGCCAGCAAGGTTGAAAACTGATAGCAGACCCAATACCACCATAGAAACTTCATACACACTGTCACACAGACATAAACAGCTTCCAAACATCCCAGACCCATGACTTAAGTCAAGCCTGCAGGGTGTCATGACGCGCGTTTGTTCAATTCGCTTTCCTTTCGCCCACCTCATCCCCCATAAATCTCACTTTTAATACACAATATTTCACAAAGGATTCAAGGGTTGCTTCCTCCTCGTCGTCGTCTGGGTGGATAGAATCAGCTCGTTGGTAATGCCTTGTGGCCCAAAGCAATCGCAGATCGAATAGAAGACACTCCAATCACTCTTTCACTTCTCCAAATTCTTCCTTGAGGCAGCCTCCTCTCTGACGCTGGCGCCAGTGGCACGGTGCCAGATATCCCCGCCCCAGCGCATGGCACGCTCGGCGGCCGCCGTCGGTGTGTCCAGCGCGGGGCGAATATCGAGATAGAAGACCGGCTCGCCGGTGCTCTGCACGCCGCCGGAGTAGTAGTCGATCACGTAGCGGACCTCCCTCACGGAGCCGTCCGGCCGCCGCCGCGCGACGTACCAGTCGTGGCGGTCGAAAGGCGGCTCGCCACCGAACTTCTCCGGCATCACGTACCCCAGCGCACTGAGGATGCGTGCCTTCGGCGTCGGCTCCTGCGGCCGGCCCTGAAAGCGTAGAAGTTTAGGCTTCGTCGCAGCAGAGGGGTCTTCGGGATTTGAAGGAGTGGGCAGGTTGAGCGCCTCGCGGCGTGCGGCGAGGAATTCACGCTTCGCCCGCTCAAGCGCGATGCCCTCCTCGCCTTTGGAGCACAGAGCCCAGCCGTGCGCGAGCCCCGGACCAAAGATTCTTTCCCACTCCTCAATCTCCGCCCACGCGCCCTCGTTTAGGAAGTTGTGCACCGCTACCATGCTCTCCACGGCGTCCGCAGGAGTGTCCGTGTAGCCTTTGCGTAGCATCGCGTTGTACATCTGTTGTGGTGATGGATATTCCCAGTTGCTGTCGCTATCGCCCCGGGGAATTGAAGAGGCCTCGCGCTCGAGTGGGAGGGATATCGTTTGCGGGGAATTGGCTTCACGGGTGTTGGAGAGGGTTGGCATGTAGTTTAGTGGGTTGAGTTTCGAGAGTGTGGATTGGGATTGTGGTTGTGAGAGAGAAGGGGCCGGTGCTTTTTGCGATGATGATTGAGGCGTTTCTGGTGAAGCGGGATTGCGGAGCGGATGGTTGGGCGATTTCACCGGACATGAGGGTGGTGTTGACGTGGGTGAGTCGAGACGTGGAATGAAAGGCGAAGCGGCGGACTCTTTTTGGTTGTGCATGGGACATGATGGCTGTGGAGAAAAGGTGTTAGTCGCTTTGGAGATGTAATTCATCCAGCGAGAAAACGCATAGGGATGGGTATATTTACCGGTGGAGTAGCACCAGGCTGGGTTGGAGGATGGCTGCTCGGTAGTGGTACCACAGCGGCTGCTGTGACCGAGGGCATGGGGATGTCTGCCCAGAACCAGCCCATGTTGTTAGAATATGAATGTTTGAAAAGTGAGTACGAGGATGGAAGCAAAAGGAGTAGCAGTAGAGAAGATGGGAAGAGAATTAACAAGGCGAAAAAGAAATGGAGCAAGAGGAGGATAGACCAGGGTCCGAGATGGTCATCATCATTCCATCCATCTCCATCTTGCACGTGATAATCAAGCATATGACTTTCGCGAGAGGGTATTCGCTTAACCTTCTCGATGCGGTTATCGCTTGACTTTCCTATCTTGTCCAATATCTCCACGGTTCATCCTGCCAGCGCCTCGCAAAAGATCCTAAATGAACTCAGCGAAAGCGCATGCCAGTGTAACTACACAACGCGCTGAGCACATTACAACTGTACTTTGAATACAGCCACCAGGCCATCTTGCTTCTTTCATACCAACATTTCCCTCGTCTGGCCCGCGCCGACCTCACAATGAACTCCCCTTCCTCGTGACATTCTCGGTACTTTCTCAACCATACCTTGCCGCGACGCCCACCATGGCCACCATGAGCGACTCGAAGCAGTTCAAGCAAGATCTTGTCGTCTCTATCCGCTATCGAAATGACCTCCCTGCTCCCCCTATGCCCCCTAAGCTCCTCGACATCGACACTGGTGGTCTTGCACAATACCTCACAACCGGCTATGCCTCTACCCTTGCGAAAAGGGAAGAACCCAACATAGAAGTCGATGCTGAGGGAGGAATGCCCATCGACATGATCGGTGTTCCTGGTTATTTCCTGGGTGACGAATCTGCAATTATGGCATCTGATGTCCAACCAGTCATCGAACCAGCCGACCAAGCACTCCTTCTCACTCTCGACCAACTCAAAAGTCAAGGCGCGATGGACAATGTCTCTTTTCTACGCAAAACTCAATACATGAATTCAGGACAGCTTTCCCGAGCCCCAGACGCTCTTTTGAGACCTGGAAACCCCAAAACCAAAAGACCGGCAGACCCCAAAAACGTACCCACACCAGTCGCCAAAGACGACAAGGAAAATATCAGAAGACACATTCAAAAAGGCTTCAATCTAGCATACCCCGAAAGCGTCCCTTACAACCCTCCCGAAGCAAAAGCAAACCCAATCACACCACAAGAAAGAGATGTCTGGAGAAATCCCATTCATCCAGACAATCCACGGTTAAAGCCAGTGGGCTTCTACCCAGTAATACCCGACCTCCAGGCTGAGACTGATCTCGGTGGTTCGTGGTATGCCCTGAGGTTTGAAAAACCTCCTTTACCACCATACCGAGGGCGCAAAGACGATCGCTTGGATGCTGCTCTGTTAAGTGGCATGGAAAATGAGGAAAAACATGCTGAATGGGCCATTAAAAGGAAGGCCTTCGAGGAACAACCTGAGCTTTACGAAGACCCAGGACCCGAGCCATATACCTGGACATTATTTGTTCCCAAACAACCTGACTCGGGTTCTCGATATCATCAGATATTTGACGATTCAAATCCAAGCAAGGACGATCCCAAACTCGTCGACCGCCTTCTTGAAGAATCTGCGGACGGAACACTCAGACTGCCTTTTGAGCGAGCACGCATCTACCCCACTAATAAACAAACATCCCTACATCAGGATGAGGCGATGGCAATAGCTATCGTCGATCCAGACAAATTGCCCTCCCATTCTCGATTTCGCAAACAGGGTCCAGCAGCATATTACTACCCCATTGTGGAACGCATACGCTTCAAAGCTGATAGAGGCAACTTGGGCAAAACGCCGTCGCAACCACAATCCCGGCAGTTGGATGAGGAAGTCGCTGATCAAGTAATGGTTTCATTCCGTGAACCCAACCCCTCGGAAGCATGGCGTCGCGCCCAGTTTCTCGGACAATTCGACCCATCATTCGAGGCCAAGTACGAAGAATTGGCTCGTGCGAATGAAGAATTCGAAGAAGCCGCCCGTGCCGAGGAGATGTTGCGGGAGCAGGACGCACAAGATGTCGCAATGGAAGATGCTGACGATGCTGACGGAGCCGAGGTCGGCACGAATGGGGACACACACAAGGATATAGATGACGATGATCGTGGGAGCAGTTCACCCCCCCCTGGAACAGGGAGGGTCAATGGGCATGGCCGCGGAAGACCAAGCGCGGATGATGAAGATGGTGATGATGGCGATGAAGATGATGAGATGCAGGACGATTAGGTATTGCATGCTTCTTCTGACCCTGCTTCGTTCCCTGCGTATGCGGATCTTCTCTTGGTTTGAGACTATGTCTCTGGCACACCAATTGCTAGGAGGGTTCTTCCACGTGCATTTGAATGCATTAGACCATTCAGAAACGATACACGAAACTACTCATCACAGTTGTATTCTCATAGCTAAGATACCAGCGACCGTACAGAAAATAATAAAAGAGGATGAAATGGCAGATGACATGCACCAAACTCTAACTCCGTAAACCTGCGTTGTCAATGTCCAGATTCAACCTCGGTGGTAGCAAGAAAGTGACAAGGTTCTAGTTATCACTTGAGTACACCACACACTTTTGGAAGGCTCTATATAGTATATCGCATCAATCTAGAGATTTGAATTTCGATGATTTCAATGATGATTTATTTTTGGGGGGTTTATCTCAAAATTTTGGTTTGGAAACTTTTATTGATTTTCTCAGACTTTTTTATCTCCTCAAGGTGACTTTGCCTCCCAGCGTCATTTGGAGGCGCATGTTCAGTCCCCATCGACCCTTCGCCATCAAAGCTGCTTGGAGCGAGAAGCGATCGCGACTTGGGAGGTAGTAGTGCAAACATACGTGCAAGTGTCTAGGTGGCTGCCTTTCTCGCGAGCATGTCGCCGTAGGAGCGGAGGTTAAGAACCACTCATCATAACATGGCATAGCCCTCGGAGTTGGCTGCTCGGCCCGCATCCACCTGATTGTGTTTTGCTTGCTGTCTGTCGATCGCGGGAGTCGCCGCATGGAAGGGACGGAGTTTCTCTCTCGGTTCGTGACATGCCTTGTGGAATTGCCTCCTTATGGTAGACGTGATTGCACCCAGAATCGTTTCGGTCAATTTCTTTGCTGTACCGCCACCACCACAGCACCTCGCCTCATCTCATGGGGTTTTTTGACCGACCCAGTATGCTCGCACATGCGTACGGTGCATAAGCTTGTCTTCAATACTACATTGAATTCTTAGAAAAGCTCCCTTCCTCAATAACTCCTAGCCAGATTCCGGAGATACCAATCGACCAGTCTCCGACCCTGCTTAGCCTCGCTGATATGGATGAGGTCACCTTCAATAGCATAATCCAATTCACTAGCATTGACAACATCACCATCTAAGAGGCCGCCTTCAGACCAGCGAATCTGGCGGCTACGTTGCTTGTTGACGAGCAACCAGCTGCGAAGTTTCTCAGGCTCAACCTCGAGGAAGCTTGAAAGCTTCTTCAAGTCCATAGTGGTGTACAATTTCAAGTAGGACTTCACCGTGGGGTTGAACAGAGTGTTCTTGACTTCATCCATGAAGATGTCCGTGTGGTGCTCCACGGGGTCAATATTGAGGCTCGGGTTGTCGAAGTCCGGCGGTGTTGGGTTGATAAACTTCGGGCACGCTGTCTGGAACAACTCCTTGTACACAGGCAGGGACTCGGGGCCACCGCGTTGGAGCTTGGCAAATTTCTCGCCGTATTTCTCTCGGAGAGCAGTGTGGATTGTGTCGTCGAGACGTGTGGGTACGAAAGAGACACAGATGGCGATCAAGGCATACATCTGTTCCGTCTTCTTGGCAATAGCGTCGAATTGTTGGTTGCCCTTTTGGAAGTTCTTGGTTCGTGAAACATAAACCAAGATATGGCTGAACATGCGGACTGCATCGGCGTACCGGCGGAGCATCATGTAAGAGAAACCTACGTAGTAGTAGGTATTAAGGTGGGCGGCCATGACACGGGCGAACATGGCTTTTTTGTTCATCTCAATATCATCGAGTGTCTTGAGGGCCAAGCTGAAGTCACCCAAAAGACAGTGTACTCGCAAGAGGCCGATGATAGAGAAGTAACCCAGCATGCGGTATAGAGGGCGGGATCCATACTCTCCTGCAACGGTAGCAGGGTCCTCATTTCGCTTTTGTGCTGCTAGTTGTTCGTTGATTTGACTGCGTTGTATCAACGAGTAGAGGACATTAAGCACGGAGTAGCAGCCCCAAGTATTTGGGTTCTCTCGCAGTACTTGTGTCTCCTCTTCGGTTGGTGCTGTCCTTGCAACACGATTGCGGTAGCGGCAGAAGGATTCGAACTGATAGATGAACTCTGGAGATTTCTGTTAGCCTGCTGTTCTTGAATGACCGTCTTTTCATTCTTCGAGCCCACTCACCATCAATCACATCCCAAGCCCAATAATATGAAGGTTGTTCAACCTCGACGGGTCCATCCGAGTTGAGAATGTAGTGAAATAGAGAACAGTAGTTATCATAACTGGCGAACTTTGTCTCGAGGGAGGCTTGGTATTCTAACGGAGCTGCAGCAGCCTCCAGTTGGGCTCTTAAATCTGCAGGACCGCCCGTAAGGGAATCTGCTCGAGTGAGATCGGCGCCATCAACATAGTTGTTGACTTGTTCTTGATAATCGGCGACCAGTGCCTCCTCTTCGACATCATCATCGTCTATCTGTGGTCGATTACCGTTTGTGTACGACATCGTGGCGTGTCTTGAAAGAATGAGATTAACAATTGCCTTCAACGAAAGCCTGTGTAGTGGGTTGAATTTGGACCGCACTCGAAAATACTGCCAGATTCAGTCTAGTGGGAAAAGTCTCAGATCTAATCTAATCTCGGCTCGGATAAATGTAAGACCTCTCAGCCTTGCCCCTCTCCTTCCTTTAGTCACAGCCACGATGCATACGGAGACAAGCGCTTCACAGGCCAACGCCTCGAGCTGAACTTTTCCAGAAACTTGCCGATAAACCCCCTGGCAGATTCCCCCTCTTGAATTATGGCATCCTCATATGAACCCTTCTCCGGGAGCTTCAAGTGTGCACTGATTCAACTGGAACCTAAGGTGAAGCAAATACTTGAGAAAGTGCTCCGAGTAAATCTCAGCAACTAACTCTCACTCCAGCCGCTTGATGCGGAGCACAACTTCGCAGCAGCATCAGCTCATATACGCGAAGCGGCCGCTCAAGGGGCATCCTTGGCGGTGCTACCCGAGTACCATTTGTCAGGCTGGGTGCCTAAAGACCCTGGGTTTGCCACTCTCGCTCGGACAGCATACCAATATGTCCCCAAGTATCAGGAGTTGGCCAAAGAGCTCAAAATCAATATTGTCCCCGGAACCATCGTCACCGTGGACCCAACCTCATCAGCCGCAACAACGGAATCCAACGGCACGGGCCCAGCATCCTCCTGCGCCCATCCTCCGGCACTACTGAATATCGCACCGTTCATCGCCTTCACGGGCGAAGTTCTCGGCTCGTACACCAAAGCGAATCTCTGGATCCCCGAGCGCACCGTCTTGACATCTGGTCCCGACTCTGTGCGTCAAGCAACCTCAGGATCGCACCACACACACACAGCAGACGAAGGGCCACCCAAACCACACACGGTGATTGAAACACCACTCGGCCCCGTCGGTATCGTCATCTGCTGGGACTTGGCTTTTCCAGAGAGCGTACGCAGCCTCGTACGACAAGGTGCACGAATCGTCATCATCCCGACCTTTTGGACCAAGGACGACTTGACGCCCGAGGCACTTAACTACGGGCCGGACGTGGACGCGCAGTTCCTCAAGGCAGCGCTCGTGACCCGCTCGTTCGAAAACACATGCGCCGTCATCTTCTGTAACGTGGGCGGTCCGGTGGACGAAGGCTATACGGGTTTGAGTCGCGTTGTCTTACCGCTGGTCGGGCCTGTGCAGGGTTCTTTTGAGGGTAACGAAGCCGGAATGAAAATTGTGGAAGTCGATATGCGCACGGTCGATGTTGCGGAGGAAAATTACAAGATCAGACAGGACCTTGCCAGAGAGAACTGGCATTATGGCTACAGTCATGAAAAGTGAGGTGCTCTGTACATGAATCGTTGTTTCGAGGGTTTGCAATCAGCGTTCACATCCACAGCTACCTACTAAAATCTGCCGTCCGTCTGTTGAATCAACGTAAACGAACCCATCCACGAGGCCTCCAATCATGGCAAAGATCTTTAGAGTGGCGGCCCAAGACCTAGGTGCGATTATCGTTGCGAGTGTCTGAAGCTTTGGCTAGGAGAGGTTTTCGGTCATTAGTTTTCCGGATTGGAGAAAGAGAGAATTCGGTGTACTCGTCAGGTTAGTATTCGATCCGGGGGCACATATATCTGAGGCGCGACATCATGCAGGTTTTCGTCGTGATAGCGTTTGAGATCCTATTGGTGCAAATGAGAACATGGTACCCTTCAAGTCTGATGCTGACTACTCTCAAGGGATGAATGTGGTCAAGGTCTTCGCGAATCGTATCTGCGGTCATCTCAGGTGTCGCAAATAGAATTCGCAAGTTACGAGTAGCTCCATTGAGTTCGATCTGACTGGTAAGATATCGTAGTATGTATTGTTGTTTCTCAACCCTTTCCACAGTAACCTAGAGAGGTATCCGTTAGCGAAAGCAGGGGCCGCGGGATTTCTGTCTTAACACCTACCCGCTTGTCCTTGATGTAGATATTGTTTCGCTTGGCTCAGACACAGCTCATGGGCTGCAGTGAAATCCACGAAGGGACTTGCTCCATCCTAGCTTTCGACTTCAGGTGAACACTCAAGATGGCTCCTACTCCCATAACAGGTCTAACATCGAGAAGCTCCGTGGTGCCTGACAAGACTCTAAAGACCAGCGAGTGATCATCATAATGTGCTTGCTGACGGGCTAGTTCCTCTCCGTCCTGTTCATCAAGCCCTGGACTTTGAGCGCTGTCTGATTCTTCTTCCATGTCTGGCAGTATCCTTGTCTCGAGTCAAGCATCAAGAACTTCCGTTCGTCATTATTCAATTTGTTGGTGCTACTATCGCCCCTTATCTTTTGCGCCACCCGTTGCCCCAGCCGTCTTGCACCATGTCGTATTCATGAACTCTGCTGTGGCTACCAAAGGATACCAACAATGCCTGAAAAGCTCCTGCAGAACCTTCTCGTTGATGGCCTAATGACCCGTCAAGGCAAATGGCATATAAATTGTTGACATGCTGGCGTCCTGATCTGTGAAAGCCAAAACCAAGGCTAGAACCTGGCGGATTCCGAGCCAGGTGCGTCACCCTTGCAGAAAGTTCATCAATAGCAAAGAGTTCCTCGCGAACTTTCGGGGGCCAACATCACCGTTGACCCAATCAAAATAGACATAATGCGTATGACTTTGGCATTTCATAGTTCTTTCAGGGACTTGTTAACTGTGTCCATGTCTCCCTGCATTAGCTGCTTCTTCAAGTCAGTTCCTTCTCCGTCTGGTCCTTCCAAAGCTGCTTGCACTGCTTCAATAGATCCACCTATCAGACGAGCACGTTCTTGTGGATGGAGATCTAGGTATTCCTGAAACTCCTGAAACCATGTGTCATCCTTTGCAGGGCCCTTGCCGTCATAACCCACACAAAGTTCCGCTAGTATCAGGAAAGCCTGGCGGATGGCAGTATCGCCTCCATATCGTGTGAAGATCTCGGTTTGATCCACAGGTTTGAAGATGCTTTCTGGATCCTCTTTATTGATTGCCCAAGCAAGACAATTCATCCTGTCCTCGAATGTCCACCATTTTGGTAAAATGCCCGCGGTTTCGGCCAGGTCGAGGAATCGCTGAAAGTCCTCAGTCGCTAGAAAAAAAAGTCAGTAATGCCACCCACATGCGGTCGCATCAACAAATAGGTGAGATAATGATAAGGCACAAGCTTACCATCACCTTTGGCCCACACCAAACCATCAATTGATTTTCCGGGGTAGTAAAGACCATGATCTTCTTCTCGAGCAGAGTGGTCTGTGTCCACCCTCATGCGATATGTATCGATGAGAACTCGCAAGACTTCATCATGCTCGTACGAAGTCAAGTACGCCTTTTTCGAGCCCTTTCCCTGAGCCAAGTTGCAAAATGGTTTGTGCTTTGTCCAGTGATCTTTTTGACACCTAAGCACCGGGTCAGTCTTTGCCATGATATAGCTAGAAGTCGGCGGCCACATACTCTCTTGAGCAGTAATCAACCAGAATGCACCCGCTACATCTCCTCAACGGTTTTTGCATACCAGTCGTCATGCAATTAGCACATATCCCGAGTCCTTTGCTGTGCATAAACTCATGCTCGATTTGACCGATATAGGTGGCACCACACATTGGAAAGGTTTTCTTTGGAGTCGCCATATTTGTTCTCCTTGTCCTTGCCGAGTTTACAGCGAATGACAATGAAAATCAGTTATATATATGGAATGGTCGAAAGGAACCTTGTGGAACGGGGTAGAAATAGGTAGTGATGACTGTCCTACCAGCCTCTTCAAGCAGCCAACAACTGGGGCCCGTTGGCGGGACTTGGCAAGGAAAAGGGTTCAGCCTTGCGCCACCAACGAGCCAGCTTGTAAGTTACTTAAGTTGATACCAATGCCCACACGGCCCGAGATCTGCACAACTACAATGACATTTATGAGCATGGAAAGACTTAATGATTGCGAATTGCGGAGTGGAAGATCAAGGAAACATTAACACGATAGACAGAGAGCGGTTTGATGCTTCCTATAACCCAGAGGGGCATGAACATGAGCCATTGTCGCCCAAGCACGCTCATAAAAGAGCCTGACTTTCTAAGACGCCATTAATACATGCACTCCCTTTCAGGCAGTGAAATAGTGTAAAGGGAATGCCAGTCACGTGGGCAATGTTCTGTACAGTTGACCTCCTTCCTGGCTTTGATGCAAACTCAACTCAGAGAAATCGGGCCTTCTGGACGGTGAGCTGCTCGGTTGGACTGCTCACTCAAAGCAAGCCAAGGCAGAATGCAAACCTACAGATGATGATTTCCGTGCACAGAGATCCGGGTTTCTTTTGGCCCAATTCAAGGGGCACGATGTCAAGACTTCCCATCCCCGGGTCGGATACAACGTGTGCCATAGAGACAGGCGACTCACCGCTGCATGCTCCCAGGTTCTTCGTTTCACAGCCATATGTCCGCTACATAGTCCGCTGTGAGGCGAGGGTCCTCTCCGTAGCGCGCCTGCCACGAACCAAAGCCACCCTCGAGAACACATACCTGCTGCTCAGGCTTTGTTCCTTGGTTGTTCTTCTTGGAGACATCATCACCGTCCTCATCGGGTTTCTGGGAGGCCTTCTCTTGCGCAGCAACTTTGGCGGCCTCAGCAAGAGCTTTATCTTCAGCCCTCTGTTTAGCTCTCGCGTACATCAGAGCAGCCTTGGGTCCTCTCTGTTGACTTAGCATGCAGTGAAACACGACCTTTTCCTTGTCTTTCAATGTCCTCAGTAGCTCGGGCATCCGGACGTCTAGTTGGTGGATTGGTATCCATGTGCTCCCGTTGATGCTTCCTCCGACATGATCTTCGTCGCGCACGTCAATCACGGCCAGCTTGGAACACTGTTCCGGGTCTAGTATCAGAGGGGCAAGGGTTGTGGGATGTAATTGCGTGAGGGATGAGAGGGTGATGGTGGGTTTGGAAGAGGCCATTCTGCAAAATTGATATCGTCTTTGGCTTAGCAATTGCTGTGAGTATCTCTTAAGATACATCAGACAGTAGTTGTGTATGTTCAGAGGCCTCGGAGTTGTCGAGTGTGTTGAACTTGACTCAAGGTGCTCCGCAGAACCAGCCATGTGATAGGCTATCGGCATTGAAGCCACGTGATTTCCAAACATCTCCCACTTCAATCCTCAATGCCAGTCTTGCTACAATCACCACCATCCACTTTATCCCTACCGGAACACGCTTAGCAAAGGTCGTCTTCCTACTGCTTTTCAGCAGCAGGCATTATGGAGCCCTCACAAGCTCTCCAGAGATGCACTCGCTTCGTTCTTCAACATTCGACCCGACGCTCCCTGCCAACTTTAACATTTCCCACCCTTCGACCAGAGCTCCAATGTACAAACAGCAAGCCGTCTTCACAAAAGTCATTCTCCTCCAGCTCTAGACAGAACAACAGCGAGCTCTCATCTATTTCAGCACTGCTCCGCGATTTCAAGAAAGACTTGAGATCAGCGCAACCGGCGGATGAACGGCTGGATTCATTGATGGGAAACAACAACTACCAACGGGCCCGAAATCCATCCAATCTCGACGCCTTCGAAGGTACACTAGGAACCAGCAGTAGGAACAACCAAACACAGCAGGCCAACGCCACAATGAATTCCTTTGCTGCCGTTGTGAACCGAGACGAGATAGACCCATTCATGCACACCAACCTGCGGCTGAAGCCGTCACTGGGCCGCACCGTAAAAGTCGTCTCCGGCGACCCTAGCCGCGCATTCCGTGTCCTCGAGAGCAAATGCGCAGCCAACAAGGTCCGCCTGGACGAAGTCGCACAGCGGTTCCACGTTCGGAGAGGCCAGCGGAAGAAGCTTCTTCGCATGAAGAGGTGGAGGGCGCTGTTTAGGGAAGGCTTCATTGCCGAGTGCGATAAGATTAGGAGGATGAGGAAACAGGGCTGGTAAGGCAATTGGTGATGAGCGTGGCTGAGGAAGGAGAAATGCCCTCGATTAAGGGCGGGTTCGTCCACCGGGGTATGGCACGAAGAAAGAACAAAGACAGATAGAAGAAGACATGCTCCTCCTTCCGTCAGGACTAACAAATGCCACATACAACATTGTACATCACATCATCAAGGGGGAAAATCCCCTGCTCCTTTTCTTTCATCTACTCTTGAGGACACCAACCGAATTACGGACTCACTTGGCCTGGGATCAAATGTAGCCTCTTTTGAATCTACAGCAGTGTCGATTATATCTATCGATGTGTTTGATTCCGGCAGGCAGGGAGATTTGGCAACACGAGAGATCCGCGCAATGGAGATCAGGTTCTGGCTTGTATGGAAAGTATCAATCAGTTGATCTTGGTGGGTAATGTGGACCTACTTACTTTGGATCCCTCATGGATAATCGATCTTGATCGATCGATGGATAGCAGCTGGAGAAAGACTGCTTCTGGCAGATTTTCCCATCCTTTGCTCCTCCATAAAAATGCCTGATCCGCTTTCCAAGCCCTCCCCAACAAATTCCATCCTCGGCTTATATCTCGCCAGGCACTTTTGGTATTGGTGTCCGATGACCTTCGTTCTCTGCTGATAATCTTGCAGGTATCATCGAAAAAAATCCAAGAATGGGAAAGAGACAAGAGGCGGCACACACACCAAAATACAACCTAGGAGTTCAACCCCAGCTTCTTGGCCAACTTCGCGACCTCGAGCAAATTGCAGACCTCGTCATTCTCACCAGTCTGCTCACGGGTCTTCATCTTCTTCTTCAAGTCCTCCATTATGCCGTTGACCATCGAATGAGTCGGCTTCTTCTTCAGCACAGACCTGAAAACATGCATCTGGGCAGTGCTAGTGGTCAACCCGGGCGACTGCTTATCATACCAGACGAGCAACTCCATTACGTCGGCGTCGATGACGGCGGTCTTGCCGCTGACGACCTCACTGCAGTTTGGTTTGACGCAGAATGCCTTGAAGCCGTGCTCGGCGGAGCCCACTTCGGCGTCGACTCGAAGCTTTTGGGTGCATTTGTGGCAGTACACGTGCAGGCAGTTCAGGACGCGTGAATCTCGTTTGATCTGTTCGCATTTCGAACATTTCAGATGTTCGGCGATTGGGAGCGCGTTCTGGGAGTGTGCGACTTCGAGTTTCTTCATGAATAGGACGAATGCGGTGGGAACGGCTGTTGGAGGGTGAGGATTAGCTTGTGCGTCATGTTTGATTATATCTTTTCTCCTGGATGAGGAGCTGTCACTTACCAACTTCTTTGATCGGTTTGAGTCGCTTGGTAACACGATTGCTGTGGGTGAAGGGAGATGCAATAGTGCGGGCAGGGGCTGATATAGTACCAAGGCCTGGTCTGGCAATCGGACGAACAGGAGGGGTGGCGTAGAGTTCTTGAAGGAGATCGCTAGCACTGCGTTGATTGCCTGGAACACCTTGGGTGAACGTATTGGTGTTTGCCTGAGATCCGAATCCGAGTCCTTGTCTGAGTGGTGTGGGAGTGATCGGCAATCTCTCAGATCCAATTCCAACAACAGCATCGCTGGCAGCGGTGGGGCTATTGCGGTAGAAGAAGCCAGGCGTTCCTTCGGACTTGACTTCAGAGTCTACAAGAGACGGGACTGGTTGCTGTCGATAGGCGTCGGTGGTATCGTCGAGATCCATGACCTCCAAAGGCGCGTTGGCATCCGAGCCCGCAAGCGAGCGAACGGGAAGTTTGCCCTTGTTGTTGTACTTGATGGCTCTCTTCGCAATGGAAGAGAGAATTGAAGGGGGCTGACCAGACAACTCGGTCAAGAGGGCAAACAAGACAGTCTTCTCCTGTGCATCAGTGCAGGTGTCAGCAGCGACAGCTTGGACAGCGGCCATCAATTCGGGATCGTCATCCATCGACTTTGAGAGCCCCCTGAAGACAATGTCACTCTTGTTGAGCCCCTCCCAGAAGTCAGCCTGAGCCTGACTACGCTGGTCGGCGACGAGTTGGGTGAGGATGTCCTCCATTGTGGTGCTGATCTGCTCGTTGTTCTCGAGCAGCTGTTCGCGGATCGATTCGAGTTGAGAAAGAAGAGAGGCTTCTCGAGCCAGAAGTTTTTCGTTCTCACTCGTCAGTTGTGAGATCTCAGCTTGGAGATTCCCAGTGATAGAGGGCAGAGACTTCATTTTTATTAACGAAACAAAGATGAGATATAAACGGAAGTCAAACGGGCACGTGATAGCAGCTGCCTCTTTCCATCTCCATGAAGGACGGGAAATCAGCGTCACCTCATGTGACTGACTAACAGGGACAGAGTGAACTTGAGGTGACTGACTCCAGCGGGCGCATTCACTTCATCGATGGTGTCGCGAGGGTGTCGCTTGTCCAGGGCAGTGAACGCAGTGAACGAACCCTGGATTTGATCACAAAGAGTTCCCCTTTTCTCGATGTCAATTGCCCCAGGATGTGTATGGTGACGATCAGCGCCCGACCTGTACGCAACAGGATATCCCCAATACCTGCATGTCAATTTCCAAAGCTCCCCCTGATAATGCTTTCTAAGACGGCTCCTTTCTCACCCGGGGGTTCCTGCCTCTCAATCACAATCATTGCTGAACTTTCAATCGCTGTAGATTCTGCTTGTTCTCTTCGCATCTTCTCTCGTCTTGCGGCGATGAAGGCCGATCTCTCTTTCAGCAAAGTCTGCACTCAGAGCCCTATCTATACTCATAAGTGGAAACTCAAGCTCAAGGCATCCTTTCACACAACATCGCTTCTTCTTTCTTCTCCTATTGGGCATTTTTGGCCACGCGCAAATATCACCGTATACAAAGGTCGAATCTGGCGAAGATTATGTGTAAATTGAGAAGTCGTCGGGAATTGGTGGCAAAACCAATCCGCTTCCAACTCTCCATGCTGTCCATTTGAAGCAGTAGACATATTGAACAACGCCAAATGCAGAGGCGTGTTGTGAGCCGGCGCGTCAAGCAGGAGGGGAGTTTGGTGAATAAATATTCTGCAAAAGGGGGAATCTACACAACTGTACCTGTGAAGAATCGGCACTTTTGCTGTGCGGGATACTGCATTTGAAATGCATGGTATATACCGTGTTAGTATCGATTTTCCATAGATACACACAGACAGGTAACGGGTCCCTCTCAGTTTATAGCTCTTTAATCTATATATCTCAGTTAATGTAAAGGAGTGATATTACCGAGTAGAACCCCCCCCCCCCAACCCTTTTCCCCACCCAGGGCGACCATCAACCAACGATTCAACGACACATCTGCAGCCTAGACGTACTCGCAGACTCGGACTCAACTAAGGATCCGCATCCTTCATATCACTCTTGAATCTATCCAGGGCACGCTGCTTAGTCTCATGCCAATCCACATAGGGGGGTGGATATCCCAGCTTCTCAAATTCGTCCTTGCTTAGGCGGTTATAGGGATCAAAGACAGCTTTCCCCTGGACGTCCTTCAACTCAGGCACCCATTTGCGGATATATTCGCCGTCGGGGTCATTGCGCTCGGCCTGGCTGACGGGGTTGAAGACGGTGTAGCTGGGCTCCCAGCCCTGGGTGTTATTATTCAGGTCCCAGTCGACAAGAGTCTCGGCGAAGTAGCGCTCGCCGCGGCGGTAGTCGATCAGTAGGTTGCAGTACAGATAGCTCGACACGTTCATGCGCAACCGGTTGTGCATCCACGCTTCCGCCTTCAGCTGCCGCATCCCTGCGTCCACGAACGGCACACCCAGCGTGCCCTGCTCCCACCGCTTGTACCCTTCGTCGTCGCTCTCCCACTGCACGAAGTCGAACTTCAGATTCTGCGGCATGTTCATCGCCGTGTGTGGCGTCGTCACCGTGGTCTGTCGGTACAACTCCCGGAACACTAGCTCTCGCACCCACGACGCAATCCCTGCGGATGCGTGGGGTTGCGAGAAGTCTGCTGAGCCGCCGTTGGCTTTGCGCACGGCTGTCAGCGTCTCACGTATCGAAATGACGCCCGCGCTGAAGTATGGTGACAGACGGGAGGTGCTGTCTTTTCCAGGATTGGACCGCGTCGCCGCGTAACCTTCAATCTTGTTTTGGATGAAGTCGTTGAGTCGGGAGACGGCGGCTTCGTGGCCGGCTGGCCAGAGTTGCCGGATGGATTTTCTTTCTTGGTCGCTGGCGAATTGTTTCTCCTTGGCCGCTTTCGGCACAGCGCTATCGAAGTGGGCTTGGAGGGCCTTCTTCGCCGATGCCGAATTCTTCGACGGTGCGGAGACTGTGTCGAGAGGACTGGGGTCAGACTGAATCTCCGCGAGCCATGATTTGTGGTAGGGCGTGAAGACTTTCATGGGCTTGCCACCGCCTGTCACCATTGTGCCGGGTTCCATAACGGTCTGGTCGTGATGCAAGGAGACTTGGAAGGAAGCGGACCCCGAGGTGGCTTCTTGAACAAACTTGACGTCTCTCCTGAGTTCGTCCGCTTCATACTCGAAATTGGCAAAGGAGACATTGGTTTCCCTGATGAACTTGCATATCTGTGGCACGATCTCATCACGTTCCGGGGCTTCGAGAAAGACAATAGGAATGTCTAGTTGATGTAACTCCGTTTGTATCATGCGCAAATTCTCAAAGATGAAATCCGTCCGCGCCGGGCTTGTACCGTGCCAGTGAAATTCAGCGGGGCAGTTCACATAAGCACATAGCAAAGGCTTGTTTGACTTTTGCGCACATTCAGACGCAGCATTGAGAGCTTTATTGTCATGAATGCGGAGATCCTTACTGCGAAACCAGTGCAGCACATTCTGAACGCCTTTCCCGCCTCCCTGATCTGATAGCAACCCCGTGAGCTCTCCAAAAGGTGGGTGGGCGTCAACCTCTTTGGCGCGCTTGGTGGTTGGGTGTTTGGTTTCAGGGTGCTCTGGCCCGTTTCTTTTGGACATTGCTCTGGCAGAACGAGTACTAGATATCGAGCTTGTGCAACGAGAAAGAAAGAACTTGGGTATGACTGAAATGTACGTGCTGGGGCAAGTATATGGGAAGGGACGTCGGGGGGATATACAAGATTGAAGACGAACCGAATTGGGGGAGGGGGTGGGGGCGGGTTGTTGGCATAGGACTCTGATCAACTTACTGACGAAGATCTCAGATCTGGCATGAGATGAAGCTAAGATCTGAACATGGTTGGGTCATGGAGCTGATGATCGATCCGATCAAGGGATCACTAGGCACGCCCCAGATGGTCCAAAGTGGTGACGTAAGAATAGTAGAGTACTGGCTCCTCTGGTGGAGTTTGCATTGAAGTGAGCAACTATGGCTAATAACTGAGTTGCAGCATCGAGTTATACAGCTTGTACGAAGGTTTCTGTCTTGCATGTTGTCCAGCTGGATCTTGGGGTTGGTGGATGAAGGACAAGGCTGCTCAGAATGTAAGGCAGCTGCCAATTCAGCTTCGACTCAGAATGGGGAGAGGCTTCCGAATCATTACATCGGCTCGGTGTCGGGCGAATGATTCACACCACCTGATAGTGCCACACATGTTTTGTAGGAGCAGCACCAATCTGCAAAGTGGCACGACGAGGCTTTTGGTGCTATTCTGACGGACCCAAGTGAGTGTGATGGTCTGGAAAACGTCTTAGTGGGCGATTTGGAGCCGATGAGGTCTCCAACCCCAGATTCCATCTTATCTATACTGCATGATCTGTGCCAGTGAATCCCCGGATCAACATTGGCTTAATGCGTCCCGATTCCCGACTTTCCCAAGGAAAAAGGTGGATGCTGTTGATGTGATGATTCCAATTGCTGTACGTGACTGTGTTGTCAGTGCACAGTGGGCTGGCTTGACAGATGTCAGGCAATGATGGAAATGATATGCTGAGCCTGTGGGCCACGGGAGCAATATCCGGGGGTTGCGGCCTAGAACGAGACTGATAGACGAAGGTGGCTTACGAGTAAATCAAGGGAAGCTAACACTTGTGTGGAACCCTGACAATAGTACTGTATTATTTTTACCGACGACTCCATATTATGCGGATAGGAGATCATCTCTTAGCATAACAAGACCCCCCGGTTAAAGCTAAATGCCCGTTTCTCCCCCCTGGGCTGTGGCCGGCTGCAGTACGGCCAACAAGAGGGAATTCTAGAAAGAATGGATCTCAGATTCAAGGGGCAAAACCAGTGAACGCAGTTCAAGACGCTAGAGACGGCCTGAGTAGCTCTGAGGTTGTACCATTGCATACAGTATCTGTGGGTCTCCACTATTGTTTTTTCCAGACACGCTATCTGTACGGATAAGGGGTATTTGCTATTCACGCTTACATAACTCTTCTGATTCCAGTAAGCAAGTCCGGCTGGCAATCACGCGTTTTTGTGGTGCATCACATGATCGTGTTGATCCTCGCTGAGACATTCCATCTACGGTCTACCACGCACAATTGATTTCGTGCCTGTGTCTGGTCGAATCCGGTGTGATTGCAAGCCACATGTGGCAATCTGTATCCAGTGTCGGGTTCTCGCCGTCCGACACGGTGGTCGTACGAGTCAGCACAGGGAAAGACGCTCGGGGAAAATGTTGGGCGTTTGGGGGGCTGTCATTGCCGAGGCTCACGTTTTTATGCTGGGCTTCGGGATAATCTCCACCCGAGACAAAGTTAGTGATAAGGTTGGAAGTTAAACCCGTACGAGCCCTGGTAGGCAGGTACGGACTGCTGGCGCTGGCGGTGGTGGTGGTGGTGGTGGTGGTGGCATCTTCTCGTTTGCCTCGCCTCGAACTCGAATCATTTATCCGGTGCGGAGGGCCGACTCCGGAGTACTGCGTATGGACTCCGGACCACGCGGGATGGTCGAGGTACTCTATTGTTACCTACAGTACTCCGTACAGACTACGTGAAGGTAGGTATGTACGGAATAATGGTGTCCACAAGGATGTCGCCCTGGTTCTGGCCCGGCTTTCCCGTTCAGCACTGCCGAGAAGTAGTTCCGAAACTTTTGCTTGAGCCAGAAATTCCTCCTGCTAGACGGTCAAATCCTTAGCTCCTTATTCTTGTTTACAGGCACTGCTCGGTCCTTGTCCGTGTTGACTAGTACATGGGAGTACTCCGCAGTATTCACTTATTTCCCACCATGCCTTGTGTAGATGACGGTGACCTGACTGCTGGATGCATACCCAGCGGTGCATTTCGTTCTTGGCTTCACTCATCTTTCTCCAATACTCCGTTCGCGGTGTTTAAAGTTTGAAGATGGCTTTACCGACAAGGAAAAAATCGAAAGGCACAGATGCGACAGGGTGGAGGCCTGCCGCCTTACCCGTCATTCCGACCGGCTTTGGAAATTAATAGTCTGTCAAGGTGCTGTTATGACGTCGTTGACAGCACTGGCCATCTTCCTAATTCGATGAATGACCTCGTCCATGAAATAATGAGTTTGCCGATGTGCCTCGTTTCGACTTACCCTTGCCTTTGAAATGCTCCGTGTCGGATGAAACAGTCTAGGTACCTTCCAAAAATGGTACCGACGCCGATTCCAAGATTAGGGATCGCTTTGAAAAAATGCATTGGCTTGTAGAGTGCATATCTCGTAACACAGTACATTATTGTATGCTATGGTACGGGGTATCTCCATTACCGTCCTAAGCTGCGCAATGCATCCACGGCCCCGAATCCCAGGCTGTCAAGAAGTCAATACCTCGTATATGCGACGTCATGTGCGGGTCTGGGCCGGAGTTCAGAGCCCCAACAACGCCTTGCAGCTTGTGCGCATCCAACACGTGGATAGCGGGCCACCACAGGTGGATATTTCGAGGTGCGAGCATACCGAAAATGAAGTTCAACGACAGTGAGCAGCCAAGTACAAATACTGAGGAATTTGACCAAGCTCGTCGGGAAAATGGGCAAAGCAAGCGGATATGCACTCGAAGGTGGAAGTCTTTCGACTACTGTTAGAACGACTTCTGCAAGTCGCTCAAGTGGAATGCTTCATCGTGGATGAGTACGGAGTACTGCGAGGGATGGAGTCTTGATCAAGGAGGGCGATCACTGATGACCCTAAATGAGGGCAACGGATGATCAGGTATGAACACGACAGCAACTCATGACCTCCTCCCACATACACGTGCACCTCCAAGACGTTGGCCAGGATGCTGGAGGTGAGTACCACAGCTTCCGCCGAACGGTCTCAAACGGAGTTGGGCTGATGGGCAGGTTCACAACTCGCTTCGGAGTTGACAAGCATAGAGTGGTTGAACATCACACCAATAAATGGTGGGAGATCAGCTACAGTGGTCTTGTTTTAGCCTTGTCGGCGGTTGCATGGAAGAGGGAAGAGGGGAATTTCCGAGGAGAATACATACTCCGTACTCGTAGTACGAGATCCCTTGGTCCCTAGCAAGCACTGCTCGTAATATGATCTACTCTTCTTTCGACACGAGGCTTGAGGTTGCATCCCAAAATTTGATCGCGTGTGGGAGGGCAGCAGGAAGGAGCGAGCAGCTGTGTAGGGGCAGTAGGACCGAGCCCGAGCCTGAGCCTGCCTGAGCCTGAAGCACGTCTCAGCAAAGGGGGAAGGCATGACGCGGGACAATTACCCTGTTTGGTCGCCCAGATCGTGCCCCCCTGGGTGCCAGTGAGTGTGTGATGCTACTTGACCAGGATTAATTACATAGTAGGATTACACTGTCCAGTCGAATCATCTTTAGGGTTGCGACGAATCTGATGGTGGCTGTGGGAAGACAATCTCATTCAGCTTCTTTCTCAGACAAAGCCAGATGGACGCTGAAACCCGATTTCAAGCAACTGGAATCCAGGGCAACTTTAAAGAGGAACATGAATTGCAGGGACCAACTTGGGCAGCCGACAGCCTTCCAAGCTTCAAGGCTTGGACCAGCCATGTCCGAGTGGCGCCTGAAGCGAGCGGCTTACCGAAGCAGGTCGGTGGTCTGCCCTGCAAGTGAACATCGATGCCAACAGCCTAACGCGGCCTCTCTTCCCGCGAACTGTTAGGCACAGGCACCCCCGACTGCCCTCCCCCGACTGCGTCCTCGGGCCCTATTCTCGGTACTGCGTGGAAAGAGGGTGTACTGGTTGCTAAGCAATACTAATACAGATACCAATCTACATGCTGCAACTGGTAGCAGGAGCAGCGTTAACGGTAACGCAACCAAGCTGCTCGGTATGATGGTATCTGATTTGCACAAAGCAGCACATGGTCAGCAAATTGTATATCATGCTGAGAGATTGCCTGATCCCAGGCAAGTTTGCCATTCCGGTTCTCTTTCGAGTAGCCTTGCTGTGGTATCCTTCGAATCGCCTTCCCTGATCCCTGTCTAGTGTTTGACTTGTGTGGCCACTTGGCCACCCTGAAGCAAAACATTTCCAGTGCTCGTAGGTACGTCCCTGGGTAGGCCAGTCGTTGACTCGCCAGTGTCTTAGGTCAATGGCCGTTCTTCTTGGGCTCGGCCTTGATACGGCGTCAACCAAAGCAAATGTCTGCCTCGAGGCGTTGAGTGTTTCCATGCCGCAATACTCGTAACGTGTTGTACTCTGTGCATTTCAAGGATTTCGCATTATTACGAGTACTCCAGTACGACCTAGTCCGCTGACTGAGCTAAATGGCCCCCTGTCAGATGTCAGTACTCGTACGCGATCCGGACACGAATCAGGCGCCACGTTTGCCCGTTTTGCGACTATGACCCGTCATGATCAAGGCCAGACCGCGAACAGGCGGAATTCTCCCTGGTATCTGCTCGGTACCTCGCACGGGATGGAGAAATGGCTGCAGTGACTTCGGTACCATCAATCAAGGTTAGCAGTAGAGTTGTTTGTTGTTGTTATTGTTATTGTTATTGTTATTGTCATTGTCATTGTTATTACGTGGTATTGTTATTACTGTTCTTTATTTGCCATCACTTATTTTTGCTCGGCTCCTTGTCGGGTACTAAGAAAACAGATACATCGGGATGGCCAGTGATAGTGCTGTAGTATTCCCGGGCCCCCTGCTGGCCTACAACAAAACTCTACTTGCCTTTTCGTCCGCCTAATCCGGGGGGCGTAAGAGTAGAGTTTGGTGTGTGCGTCAGACAGCCAGATGAACGATGTTCTGTCCCCGTGCGAGTAAGTGCGCAGTTCTAGAGTTTGGCCGCCCGGGTATAACATGCTACATAGACGGAGGGCGAGGTACCAAGTGCTCCGAGTACGGGTTCGACAAGTACGAGAAAGCTGCTCGTCGCAGCGCAGTTGAGCAGATGGGTCCCTGGTCGCAACTTTGGTGCTCCGTACGGAGTGCTGGCGAGCTCGTAGTTGGCAGTTCGCATGTACGTGGCCCTTGGCCCTTGAGAAAGATCCATCCCGGGTTGCCTGCCCCCCCTGGCGCCGCCACCAGCGCCCTCCCGATCGACAAAGTTAGTGGGTCTGCACCGTGAGTGGCTAGAGGTGACAGTCCTTGTGGATGCCCACCGTCACAGCGTCTCCAACGAGCGAGCCAACAGCTCACGCTCACGGGCAAGGACAAGGGCATGGGCACGGGTGCCCCTCGTCCCCCTGCAACCCTGGCATGCCTGGGCTGGACTAGCCGTGAGCAATTAGCACACTAGCAGTTAGTGGGTTGGGTTAGGTGGTGTTAGCAGCTCCCACCTCCCTCTCTACCGAGTAACTTGCAGTAACCAGCCGACTAGCAGCACCGTCCACCTTGACCACCCTGGAACCTTTTCTGCTTCCTTCTCTTCTCCGTCTGCCTCTCTGCTCTCTGCTTGGTCTGTCCTGTCTGTCTGATCTTCATTCTCACGTACTCCGTACAGTAAGGAACAAGAGAATTCATCATCAGCACCACCACCACCATCATCTCTTTCTTTCCTCTTCACTCTCCCTTCACCATCCCATCTCCCCTTTCATCATTCCCTTATCTTTGCACCGGAAGTGCCAGCCATCCCTGCATCTCGAGTCCGAACCAGACGCGTCACTTAACTACCGTCTTCGCTTTCCTCAGAACTCGCCTCGCGCACATCAAATCTTGAATCCATCGACGCCTACGCCTCCCGTCACCCTTCCAAGAAAAAAATCCTAGTTAGTCGAGTTCGGCCTTTTGCTGCTGGCCCTTTTTTTGCCTCACCCAAGAAAATTCTCTCCCTTTTGGTAACGCCCCTCGCTCTTCCCCCCCCATCCCCCCATCCACCCTTCCACCTTTCCACCTTCCACCTTCCACACCCTTCCCACCGTCCGCCATCAAATCCATATCCACTCGACTCTTCCCCCCAAACAAAATCTTCCCACCTGCCTCCCACGCCCACCTCGTCGGACCCAGCAAGCCCATCTTCGTCTCCTGCGAGTCACCGACAGGCTAAGGGGACCCTCATCTATACTGTTCCCTCCAACAACCTCGTAACACTCTTCTGCACAACCAATTTTTGTATTCCTCCACTCCTTCCTGCCTCCACTCTTACCCTCTACCCTGCACATCCTCAACCATCACATCACACCTGCACCGCTGCCGCCCTGTCGCGTGTTCCAACACCTAGACAACCTCCTGCTAGACAACACACACATTCACACATTCAGCTAGACTGTTGGCTGACTGTGCACTCTCTGCGTACCTGCAGACTTTCTCTCCAAAGGCCCTCCTGTCGACAGACCCCCATTCTGAAAATTTTCAAATCCGAACCTTTCCAGTCCTTACTGAAAGAACCGACGTTGATCCGCCCTCTAACCAACCCACTCTCCGTCCTCTTCAGCCTGATCTTCATATCTATCGCCCTGCTTCAGCGTCCAATGGTCTGTTGAAGCAAAGCGGATCTCTGTGTGTCGTCCATTCTGGTAATGGACCCTAGACAATCTCTCTCAAGGACAACATCGTCCAACGTCGGGACTCCTCAAAGCGCCTACAATCCAAACAACATGGCCTCTGCCTACGCCATGCCTCCCTACCAAGGTAACACGCACCTTCCACCCATCAACTACTCGCAGTTGCCTCCTGCCACCCAGAACTACATTCCTCAACAATACCGCAATGACCTGCCACGCTACACGTCCGCTCCTTCAGCTGCGTCCATCCCTTCGCCAGCTCCGGACCATCGCTACAGCGCACACATGAATCCACAAGCTCCCATGGGCGGCCTTCCGCCTACTTCTGCCTTGCCTCAACCGCACATTCCTGCCCAGCAACAGCAACAGCAAGCCCAGCAGCAGGCTCCACCTCCAAACCACCAAGCATATCCAGGTCAGCAGCCAAACCGACAATCATACCCTCAGCCTCTCGCTCCTGCCCCTCCTCGACCAAGCCTCGACGCATTGGCGCCACACTACGGCCAACCAGACAACCGACAGCAGTCTTGGTCCGGAGCCGAGTCCATACCTAGTATGCAAGCTGACATTGGTCGAGACCCTACCAGAACCCATGTGGTTGGCTCACAGGGTAGAAGAGGCATCCTACCCAGTGCCCCTGGACGCCCACCCGTCATGCCCAACGGTGTAAATGGCTCACCAAAGAGCAACGCTGTGCCTCAGAAGGATGCCGATGGCAAATTCCCCTGCCCAAACTGCACAAAGACCTATCTTCATGCGAAGCATTTGAAACGGCACATGTTGAGGCGTAAGACCAGTAATTCCCGTCGCATCAGTTGAAAGTACTAACATTGTTGTCAGATACTGGCGATCGCCCATACATGTGCGTCTTGTGCAATGACACATTCTCGAGAAGCGACATCCTCAAGCGCCACTTCCAGAAGTGTTCCGTCCGCCGCGGCAATCCAACTGGAGCCAGTCACTTGTCCAACCCCGCAGCCCATATCAAGAAGTCACAGCAACAGGCGGCAAAAGCTGCAACTGCTTCGCCTGCAAGTGCAACAACCCCTCAAAGTGCGGTCATGACAAATCCTCCATTCACCAGTGCTCCAATGTCCAACACATCTGCTCCTACTACCACCGGGCCTTCCCAATCTGGCATGGCATATGCCATTCAGCCAAATGGTCAACCAGATATGCAGCGCCAAGGACAACCCATTCAACCGGGCTCAGGTCCTGGTGGAATGGACCCCAATGCCAACCCATCCTGGTCAATGCAACATGCTAGAAGCAACCAGATGATGTACCACTCCAACGCGAACCCTTCTGACCACTTTGGCATGCAGCCTGGGGCAGGGGATGACAAGCGCAATGTCATGCCTGGCGCACACCATATGGGTGACGACTGGAACCACATGTTCCCTGCAGGTGGCAATGAAGGATACATGAACCCCATGTTTGGAGGTTATGATCAATCCCAGAATGATGTGAAGAAGGATTATGAATCTCATGAAGGTGGATCGAATGGTTATTACATTCCCTCTACGAGCCTTGGAGCTGACGGTACGCTTGGACCCCCTCTTTGGAACCCGCATGCATCTCAACGGGATTTGTTCCAAGCGAAAGTGAACGCGCTATTAACGTTTGTTTTCCCTGGTGGGCTACAGGAATCGCTCCAAGAGCAACAAAATAATCCCCACATAACATCTTGCCTGACCGTTGACGCCATCCAACATTTTCTCGATCTTTTCCCCAATTTCCAGGGCCATTTTCCTTGGCTCCATTTACCAACCTTCGATCTCTTGAATGCTTATGATGGCCTCGTTCTTGTCATTATTTGCAGCGGCGCCGTGTATTCTGACAGAGTCTCTCAAAGTCAAGTTCGTTCGTTGATGCAACGCGTCAAACAAAGCCTCGAACGAAATTCACATATTCTCCAAAACCTTGAGCTCGGATCCTCTCGTCCTCACTTCTCTCTATCTGGGGTGGAATTTGAAGAGCTTCTTGCCCTTCAGATCCTTCAGAGCCTTTTCGTTTGGCACGGTGGCCCTGGTGAAAGAGCTGTTGCCCGCAATGAGAGTAGACGGACTATGTATTTGGTACGACAATTCGATATGTTGACCTTGGCGAGTCCAGACGATCCACTTGCCTACAGCTATCTCCACAGTCTGCAACCTGGTGAAGAGGCTGATCCTTCTCGATGGGAGTGGCGTTCATGGGTTGAACAAGAAAAGCGATCTCGGTTGATGTTCATGGTGTTCCTATGGGATGCTGCTATGTGTATCTACTTCAACGTCGCACCCCACTTTTCTTGTGCGGAGATCAAACTTCCTCTTCCTTGCGATGATGCAGCTTGGGACGCCCGAGACGCCGAGACATGTGCACAGGCTCTTGGACTTCGTGGTCCAACTGCACAAGCTACCATTAACCAGAGTGGATCTTTGCGCCTAAAACAACTGGAATTACACCACGCTGTGAGTGCCCTGCATAGTTTGTCGGTGCTCATGCAACCTCGCACCACGAATGTCTATTCCAAGTTTATCTTGATCCATGCTCTTCAGGTTGAAATCTGGCAGCTTCAGCGGCAAGCACTTCTCGCAACTCCAGTCACACCTCAAGGTGGAGATGGCAGCTCGCCTTTTTCGGTTACGCCACAGACAAGTCAGACCTACAAGTCTATCAATGCTGCCCTCGCTCGATGGAAGCATGCCTGGGATGAAGATTATGCGCTCCAGTATCCTCCTGGCGACGGGTATCGACCCAGTCCTAAGCGTATTGGTTTCTGTCGAGATGGTGTCCACTTTTACTGGCTAGCCCGGACTTTCCTGCAACCCAACCGAATTCATGATTGGCAACTTGATGCAGACCAGAAACTGCGACAAGTATTACACGGCCTGCAAAAAGCCCGTGAATGGGGTCGGAGTGATGGCGCCAGGCGAGGTGAAGAACCTGGCAGTGTGGCATACATCGAGGATGATTATGCCTCTGCAGCACTTGAGCTGGATATGAGAAAATTATTTCGACCATTGCATAGCTTGTCTGACAGCCCTCTTCCGACAACACAGCATTATCCATCAAACTTCCAGTGAACTTGTGTCTGTTACCCTTGAATGCTGGGTTCGCCATACAGGAAAATACATACGTTGGTCTCCTCACCGCAGAGGAACATTGTCTTTTCAACCTGAGAACAAACCTGAGAACAAGTTCGACTGTGTCATTCTCAAAGTACTGCACATATTCAACATGAATTATGTCTACCTACGATCCGTCTGCTCATTGCACTCGCAGATCGAGTAAATTCCTCTAGTCGTTCGAAAAACGTCAACATTTCTGCATGGATACGGCGTGTTTGATTTGCATTATTACGAGATTACGAGCACCCTTGCTGATACAGTTCATTGTTTATTGCTGACCATGTCACTTGAAACATCACTGCTAGTGGGTCTGTCAAGGGAATCACAATTTCCATTGCTTCACTGTACGGACGGCTAAAACTTCTAATTATGGCTTTTTCAAAAGCGGCGGCTGGCATGATCCAAGATCAGGTCCCAAATGGTCAGGTGAGAGGGGTAAGAGACGTCGTGATTGTGGCATGGATGGGCAGGTCAGCCTGTAAGGCGATATTATCACTCGCTTCTTCGAGACACGTTTAGGCGTTCCATTCTGTTGAAGCTATGGGAGGCGGTCACTGGTCTTATGGGTTTATGGGTTCACGGTCTGTTAGGGTTTCTCTTCTGCGTTTGCATTTGCATTGCTTTTTCATAAATGGAACATCATTTCAAGGGATGAAAAAATTGTCGGGGGAGCTGCTTTCACGGAAGACTGCTCTGTTCGATACAGGTCAAGGTCATGGTCAAGTTTGGCGGTTTCCATCTCTGCTCGGTCACATCCTGATTGAAAGGACTGCACCGATTTGAATCACCTTTTATTCAGCAACCCCGGAAAGGACTCCAAACCCAGTCTTGCAGCCTCTCTTTTTCCTTTTCTTGTTCACATAGCACAACATGACGCGACCGCATAGATAGAGTATGGGGGGATTATTCAATCCCTCTAAAGATATGAATTATTACATGGGGCTTATTTTGAGAGAAACAGACACCTTTAATGGGAAGCCCTTGAAGTTTTAGCAACAATGTGTTCTGATAACTATTGAATAGCATGTGGATTTCTTGTGCCACCGTGTGGTAGATATCAAGATTAGGCCATTTCTACTATCTAGAGTACAGACTACGTAGACATTGTAACTTGACAGTGCAAAGTATTGCCTTCCGCAGAAGCTCGCGAAATCAGCTTGTTCGTTGTTCCCTCTTTTCGGTATCGTTGGATTCCCCTGTCGTGGAATGGAAATGGTCTGATGTCGGTCAAGCTGGTGGAGTGATACGACTGACGATTCCTGGCATTTCCGCGTCCCATCTATCTATCCAACTATCCCTCCATTCCGCAAGGCCCCCATTTTTCTCTGAGATGTGCCTGCCGGAAGATTATTTACGCACAGACAAGCTCATTGCACTCCGTACCTCGCATCATGAGCCCTGCGGCTGTCATCTGTCTGTGCCTTCCCTTCATCCCGCGTGGGCAGTAAGATTGGTTCGTGTCGAGGCGAGGTCAAGCGGAGAGAAGGGAGACCAGCGCTTAGGCAGGGGCGAGGAGGGACTTGGAGTGCGAAGCTTCAACACCGCGATGACGAAGATGCTGCACCGTCAGGTGGCCTTGCGCTCGTCCTCAAGGCCTGGCCGTTCTGCGACTGGCTTGTTGTACTCACGACTTCAGGGGTCCGGAACAGATTCCTTGCCCTCCTTCGTCGGAATGGGGTCCGATGGAGGCCGAGCAGGCCGACTGAGTATTACGAAGGAGTGTGCACGAGTAGTATCGAGCACCTGGTACGTCGCTCCCCCACCCCCGGTGTTACTCGTACGTCGATGGGATATCATGGATACGCCGCTAACATGTGCTCGGCTATAGCAAGAGCAGCGCCTGATCCTGCGTGCCTGTCTTTGCAAACGGCCGCTGGCGGCGGGGAATGGCGGTTCCGGTCCCCCGGTCTCCATGCCTTCTTTTTCACTACTAGATGCAACTCCTTGCTTTCGCGTTTCTGTGCTGTACACGTGTTGCCGCCGTTGAGTTGATCCTCCTGTGCCCTCAACTACGAGTGTTGTGCTGTGGAGCATGGTTCCACATTGGTTCAACCGGGTTATCCAAGTTCCTCGTGAAGTCAAAACGTAAAACCAAAACGTACTCGTAATTGGCGGTCCAGTGGTAGTGGATTGGACGTCTGAGTAGTAAGTACTAGTACTCCGTAGTGTATGATTTTCTGAGACGTATGTCCAGTGGCTTGGGTCCTCTTGATTTAGAGTCATCTCGGATAGGAGGCGCTAATTTCGGCATCTGTCTTGTCTCGGACACCAACATGTTTCTGATGTATCTCCGCCCTGGTTGAGCCTGCGAGTCATGCACTGCCTACAAACTGAATAGTCTTTGTCTCTGGTGATACCTCTCGGGTCATCGTCGTTGGATGATCACCGCTGGGGAGCCTTGCCCACGCCTGATACTTGGTCCTCCGTCGTGTGATAGTTCTAGTTCGTAGTGAGAATTCATCACCTTTTGATCCACATGCAAGCGGCTCGTTACGAGGTCGCCTGGATGCTTGGACACGCCAGCTTTCGCTCAGGGGAATACAGTAGTTTGGTTCCTTTTGTCTCACTACGAGGGACCTGGCCCTGAGCCACGGTTGATAGCCTGTTTCGGTGGCTGGAGGGCGTGCATAACAGGTTCGATCCACGATTTGCTTGCTTTGCCTAATATTAAAGACGCGCTGACGCAATTGGTGAAGAGGTGAGACTGTTAGGGCTCCAGATACTGCCTGCTCTGGGCACGATTTTCCTTTTAACAATTGGCCATGTTGTATGCTTTGTGCTCAGTTTGGGCTATGCTATTCTCAAAGCATCAGTCTTGTGGTGTTTCATTGAATGCTCGCTGGTTCGAAGTGGGACTTCTGGAACATTTCTCGTTACAACTGCCGGGGTTGGAGGCTCAACTTTCCCATCTCACCCGCGTGTGAGAGCACGGAAAGTGGGCTCAACCTAGCAGATGTTTGATTGGACGTGATATCAGCTAACGTCGAACTCATGTTGTGTTGTTTCGCATCTTTCATGTTGGACAAGCAATGGCACCCGACGGTCGATTTCGCTTGGTGGTGATCAAGCAAGATTTGCCGTGTGGGGCCGTTGGCCTTCTCGCCTCTGTTTCAAGTTAATTTCGTGGACCGCCGTTGCGCCCCATTCGATACGTCGTCCATGGGTCGAAATTCCTCGAGAGGTGTCTCACCAAGCAAGATATGGTCTTTGGAAAGCCTTGCGATTTCATACTTCTTCGCGTAGCTTTCAGAATTTTCGAGACATCCACAATTATTCGAATCAGATATGGCGGCAGAAGCGGTCGTCCATTTCCATGCTGGGCTGCAAGGTCAAACAATAGTGGACTGCGTTACGGAGTGCCGAGAGTGAGGCGCTTTGTACACTTTAATCACAACGCCGGACCTGGAAAGAGCGCAATCCTTGCGATACGGAGTCATTTCAACCTCTCCAAAGACTGTCGGACCGGCCATGTGTAAGACTGAAATACCCCGTATTGGCAAGATTGACTTGAAATTCCTTGAATTTTCTGGCCTTGGCTTTCTTCTCGAATAAAATGTCCAATTCCATATAAGTCAACCCTTTGGGCTCAGGTAAGCGAAACCAGCACCATAGTAGACAGACGGCGGTGGTACCAGCGAACACAAAGCAGGATTTCCCTTTCCAGTCCCATGCTGAAGGATTCAACATTCGTGGTGTGATGATATTGGTGACGATGCTGACCACGTTGTAAGCCACTCTGGCTAGGACCACCGTCTTGACTCGGAGTCGACTGGATGGTATCTCGGCGACGAGAACATAGCAGACTGGGCCCACTGTGAAGTCGTAAACGCATGTTAGAACAATGATCAAAGACCCAAGCGCCCAAGAGGTCGAAGTGCTCTCTTTCAATATTCCTACGCATCCAGTGACAACGAGAATGACCAGAGACCCAGCCAAACCCCAGATATAGAGAGTGCGTCGGCCGATTCGACGCATCCCGAGCCAGGCCAACATCCCGGCGAAAATAGCTCCTGCATACATACCCACGGCCAAATTAAAGCTGTCGGCGGTGCTGAAGCCTGCTTGTTCATAGAAGTATGCCGCGAAACCGGTCAAGGAGCTTCCGCATAAGGCTTGTGTGCACCAGACCATAGTGCAAATTTCAGTCCGACGAAGGTCAGTTCCTTTGAAGCAATCCATATAAGAAACACCTCCACCATTTAAATACTTCTCCACCTCATTGGTGTGTCGCATCATCGCAACAGTCTCGTCCGCGTTGAAATCGGGATCCGCACCAGTTGTAGTGAGACGCAATAATGACTTTTTAGCCTCGTCGATCTTGCCATGGCGTACAAGCCACCAAGGACTCTCGGGAGCGAAAGAAACCCCAATTAGGATTGGCACCGCAAATGCCCATTGTAATGCAAATGGGATCCTATAGGACCATTGTGATGTGTTATGCACGAGTCCGCGAATCACGCCAACACCACACAGCTGCCCAATAAGCCAGCACAAGTTCACGCTGCTAGTCAGGTAGGCTCGAAGAGCGACTGGCATGACTTCGGCTGCGTAAGTTGTACTAAGAGTCTGAAAAACACCCCTGACAATAGGTTAGTGGGATATCGTGAGATGAGAGATGGCACCAACCAAGGTAATCCGCAGAGAATCTGTGCGGCTAGAAGCATATTTATGTCAACGGCAAAGAAAGCCAAGAACACAAAGAGGCACATCCACACAAGTGTGAAAACCATGGTTTTATGATAGCCAAAGCGGTCGGTCAAAAATCCGTTGAACATCAGCCCTAGGATTTCTCCGGAGACAGCAGCATTCGTAAGTCCGGACTGCCAGGCAGGTGAAATCTGATAGTCGCGTTGCTCCGATGGGGCATTTGGGTTCATGGCAACGCCGTAGGAACGCCTGAACACTGGAAAGGCATAAAAACTACTGATCAAGGTCAAATCATAGCCTTCCATCACAATTGTCATGGACAACAGCAGAGACCACAGCATGGCTTTGGGATAAAGACGACAGCCTCTTACAAAAGTCATGTCATGTTCGGCTTTTGTTGCAGCACGGGCGTCAACTGAGAGGCGGCGCAATCCAGGAATAGCAGCGGAAAGGCCATGGAAGAGATCGTCGTTAGACGAGGTGACATGCATTTGATTGTCAGCATCTTCCTTTTCAACGTCGGCACCGGTTCGAAGAGGTTCCAGTCGGGGCGCCGCTTGATGAGGACCAAGAGTTACGAATTCGAGGTATTCGGACGGGTGAGGTTTCGTAGAGGGAGTACCAGGAGGATCTGCGACGCCATGGTCGCTCGTGCTTGAATTGCTCATGCTAGATTTCCGTAGGTGGCGCCCGAGTGAAAGACCCTTGGTTAAGTCGGTCTCATCATTGCAACGGAAGAGGCATCTCTGCGGGTGCGCAAGGAGACAACCAGTTTCAAAAGGAAGACTCGGCGATTGAGAAAACTGCGGACAATCAGAGGGCCAGGTTGAGAGGTAGAACCGAGGCTGATGTCAATGCGAAAGGAGGCTTTTCAATGGCAATGACTGAGAGATGATGTTGGATTTGGTGTGGGTTGAGCTACAGCATAGTTCCATAGCTGGACCAGGACCCATCCTGGGGAAATGGTGGGGACAATCGAGAGAGATGATGACGGATGATGCTGCTCAACCCAGCCACCAGAGCAGCAAATTCGGAGCAGTCACTCGCCTTGATCTCTTGGGTTCTGGGCTCGTGGACCACACGATCTGGACCAATTTGCAGATTGCAGCCGAAAGAACGACCGCGGGGGATGGATAGGTTGTTGATGATTGGGAGAACGGGAACACCCAAGCGATTTTCGAGGCGGGTAGGGGAGGATGCCCCCGCAAAATCCAACAATCATGCCGCCGGGGTCAATCCAAGCGACCATCCAATTATTTGGCGACGGCGAAACCAGGACTGGCTCATCATGAGATGTTCGGCGTAATTCTTTGCCTTTGGTTCACGCCATGTCACGCTGTGAGCTTGGTGGCTTGAGATTTCTAGGTAAACATGGCTTTTTTCACCGTAGCTTGTCGGAGGGCATCTTCAGGCCCTGAACACGCCTATGCTGAACTCGGTCCGAGTATTGCGTCTTTGAAATTGCAAAGGACCTGCTGAGATGAAGTGATTTCGCCAGGGGCTAGTTAGTACTTACAGAAGTTACAGTCTACGCCTCCATAGCTGGCACTGTGCGTCACATGACCATGGCTGCCAAGGCCAAATCTGAGCCACAGCGACTTCCTTCTGAACTCGCCAAACTTGGCAGGTAGGCAACGACTTGGAGTACAGAGTACAGTGTTCCTCGTACAAGGTATCGAGTATCTATCCTCAGCTGGTTTGTATGAGATTAGGTTCAGAGCTGAGGAGTGATGGGCCTCAGTCCTTCACCGCTGCCTTTTCCCTGGGTTGCATAGTTGGGCCCATAGACCTCTGGTTCCTTGCCTCCCTTCTTCAATGAATCAGCTCATCAACCCGCGGTCGAGCACCACTGGGTTCTCTGAGGTCGTGTCCTTGACACAGCCTCCGTTTTTCCGGACTCTACAAGCGTGTACAACATGGTAGGGCAGTATATTAGCAGCCGTTGCAAATGACCTGCCAAACAATCTAACACAATTCAGTAGAAGGCGAAAGATAAAGTGTGATGGGAATCGCCCGCAATGTGGAAGTTGCATCTCACGAGGCGTGTCGTGCTCGTGGCCAGACTCTGCGGCACCGGGAAATTACAAGGTAGCCTCGCAGTGTTCTCCTTCACTGCCGCAAGAACGGTCTTCTACAGACCAGGAGCGGCGCCGCTTGAAGCGGGTTCGAACGGGCTTTGAGAAGGATGGCACCAGAGCTCCGGTGCACCTGTCGACAGCCTTGTGCTCTCACGCGTTGGATATCTTCCTCAGTCGACATCATGCCATTGAGTTCTGCTCTTTCTTCCACACAGCATCACTGGATGCCAACGTAATGTGCATTCAGCATTCATTCCTCGCTCATGCAATTGTTGCTCTTGCCAGTCTGTACGTAACGGACGAAGATGCTATCAAGTATGGCTACAAATCTAAACAGGAACTGTCAGAATGGCATGCAGGGATCGCCCGGCAAGCCTCTCGTCAATCGGTAGATGACATATCAAGTAAGCTTATCATCCACGCAATTACCTCGTACGCGACGCTGACTGTTCTAGTCGCATCTATTCAGGCTAACCTTATCCTCACCCTACACGAATTGTTGTCTTGGAAAAGTCTCAAGGCTTGGGTGCTCGCAGGAATTGCGATACGCCATGCACAAGCTCTACGGCTAGGTTCCGAGTTCAACGATCGACTCTCAACCCGACAGAAGGAGATTCACCGGCGCACATTCTGGGCTTGTTTTTTGATGGACCGGTTGCTATCATATTGCTGCTCGAGACCGCAGATGATCGACTTGGACACCGTCCGGATCAATTTACCTTGTCCCGAGAGCAGTTTTGCTTTCGAGGAGCAGTACGATGGCCCGAGCCTCAAAAGCTTCAACCCAGCCACCAGCGAGGTTTCTCGTACCGGTATTGCACCATTTTTCATCGCATTTCTGAGTCTCTGGGGGAAAACAGGGTACTTCATGGTCGCCCATGGCCGCACAGCCACCAAAGAAGCACCGTCAGATACTCATGGAACGTTCTGGCAGCTCGATCAGAAACTTAACGACTTCTACAACGCCCTTCCACCAAATATAAGGTGGTCAAATTCAAATTTTAAACTTTATCGATCAACAGGGCAGGCAAAACTATTCGTCACATTCCATCTCCTGCTCAATCACGCGAGGGTCCTTTTACACCAAGAATATCTTCCACAGCTAGATAGTCCTGGTTTGGAAGAGGCCGAGGCTACGATTCATAACAGTGCCGAACGGGCCTTAGACTCGAACAACAGAACGATTTCAATCTGTGTATCGTCAGCAGAAGGCATTGCTGACATAGTTTCGACGCTGTCGAGCCATGGACTATCCAAGCCGGTCGAACTTCAATCTGCGTTCGGTGCAAATGCGATGATTGCTGCTGCCGGTGTCCAGATGTGGATTCAGCATACAGAAGGTTCCTCAGAAGAAATGATTGACGTTGCAAAGTACCGCATCCAGCAAGTATCCCACGAGATTCGGTCGTGGCAATCTGAATGGCCTGTGGCAGTAGCCTGGGGTGATACCTTGAAATCTCTTGGTCAGCTGTACGACACTTTCTACACTCAGAGCTGCAATCCCGCTAGCATCTTGACCGAGATTCCAGATCGAGAAACTGCTGAAGCCCTTTCAAACTGCGGTGAGGTCTCCGTGCAAGCCACTGAACGCCCTTCTCAAGGTGTGTCCGAAGGCAACGGCGTTCCTCACCCGGACTCTGTATGCCAACGTCTGTTTGACAAGATAAGGTTTGTCATGCTTGCCTCACTCGAAAACCCAGATGTCAAAAAGCGGATGCTGAAGTCGTATCTTCGGACTTTATGGCAACACATGTGGCTGTATGAAGCTGTACAAGGCGAATACAGAGCAACGAGCTTGGAAAATCTCTGCTGGGATGATGATTGGATGAACGCCATCGATATGGATGGCAATTTATAGCTTGGAAGTAATCTAGGGTAACCCTGACTTCTAACGATTGCATCGTCTCTTCGCGCAATAGGTAGTACCGGATACTAGGAATCATGCAGGAATGCAACGTGCAGCGAGCAGTCCATTCTATTTTGCGCCGAGTGCAGTTTTCAACGCCCTAATCGTTTCTATATTATACTGCCTTCCTGCATCGATAATACCATCGTATTGCATGAACGGATGCGAGGCGCCCTTAAATACGATATGCTCAACTTGGTTACCATTTTCTTTCAATTTCTCCACATAAGCGGCTCCCTCATCGCGAAGCGGACACAACTCCGCTGTTATCACCAAGGCTGGTGCAAGGGTTTTGAAATTCGGAGCATTGATTGGCGATGCCCTCCAGTCCTATGGGTAGCTTAGTCAATAACGGACATCAAAATTGAACTCGGACCGCCTTACATTCTCCACACCTTTCTGTCGAGGGTTTCCAAGAAATTGATTGAGCACGAACGTTATCCGTGAGACTGGGAGTGCAGCAGTGAACTCCAGCTCGCGGTATGAATTCCAAGGGTTGGAAGGCAAGATCTCACCCGCGGTCGTGACAGTATTGAGATCCACTCCTGGTACTGCTAGCATTTGAAATGCCAGGGGAAGGCCCGCATCTCGCGCGAAATGTGCCATCACGGCGCTGAGGTGACCGCCCGCGGACACGCCTCCCACAGCTATGCGGTTCGGGTCAACGTGGAACTCGGCAGCTTTATGTTCAAATACCTGCAGTACTGGGTAAGCTGAGCTCTGTGAGACATCTTGTGCGAGTAAGGCTATTGGTCACTCACCCATTGCAACGCAGTCCAGCTGTCTTCAATCGGAGTAGGGAAAGGATGTTCTGGGGCCAGTCGATATTCAATATCAAAGCAGACTGCACCCACTTCCCTGCATACTCGTCGGCAGTATGGATCGTCCATTGCTAGTGAACCAAACGTCCATCCACCACCATGATAATTCACATATGCAGGGCGAAGAGAACTGCTCTGATCAACAGGACTAGGTTCAAAGATGCGAACATTGATTTCGCCATCCTTGACAGTACACTTCTGTTCAGTGACACGAAAGACTTCCCCTCCTTCCGCACGTCCATATTGTATGGTGTATTTCGATGGATTTGCGCGGTACTCTTCGATTGGAACTTGGTGGGTGTGCAGGCGACCAACGTTATACTTGTTGTAATACTCGACATACATGTGGTCAAATCGGGGAACGAGCTCATCTGGTATTGCATTCAGCATGGGCTGGAAGATTGTTTTCGTAGCCATCATCCTTGGTCCGAGATGTCGAAGCAACCTGAGTCTCTTTTGTCGTATCGATATGGGCGAAGCAAGATCAAGCGGGAAGCTTCACCAATATATCGTGGGACAATGAGGGACCGTTGGCATGAAACCCCTCTGCTCCCTCGGCTCCCGTCTCCATTGGATTATCAGATGTTCATGCCTTGGTTGACCACATTCCCTTCCCCAATGCACTTGTGACGCGGAGTTGCCGAAGGAACTCGCGTAATATTTTCAGGCCTCGCTCCTGATTTGTGAGAACCGAAATTTAATGCCTCAACCACATCGGCCGAACAGGGTTATTGAATGTTGGCTCCCGTCTGAGGACTCTCTCATCGTTCGAGGCTCGGTCAATCGTGGAGATTCGACTGATGTGGTAAGCGGCCGAACCCCCAGCCTTTAGGCGGATGCCGTGGCCGCGGACGCGAACTTGAAGGAGCCTAGTCGGTCTAGATATTTCCAGTCTCTCAGTGGGTACAGCTCCGATCATCCACTTTGACAGTGGATTCCGCCACTGCTTGGTATCTGGGGAGCAGCCCATGGTTGAAATTTCCTGGTACGGAGCAGTGGCCAGACGAGGGCGGCGGATAGTATATTATGGCCTCGCAAGAACCATGATTGCCCTAAGCAATACAATGCTGAATGCATCAATCTTGGTGTTGGACAAGCAGGAATAAATTAATCCTACTCCTCTCACTCGAACCGATTCTTTCCATTGATACAAGCCCCAGGTATGGAAAAAGGAGGGCATGAAGTTGGAGTGATGGGTAGCCCAGCTAGCCTCGGGAAAGCCACATCTTATGAGGGTACTGGCATCTTGCAGCCCTTGGATCCTCAGATTGTTGGCAAGCTGCGTCGCAAGATGGACCTCATCTTGCTCCCAACGCTAGCAGTCATGTATACATTCAAGTGAGTCACCCTGAAATTGGAAGATATGCCAGAGAAGCAAAAGCAATAGGACTGACACCGACTACCACCGTCTTTGCAGCTCTCTCGATCGCAGCAATCTAGGCAATGCTAGAACGGCCGGCCTCGAGAAAGATTTGAAGATGAAGGGAGATCAATACAATCTGCTGTTGACTAGCTATTATATCGTCTTCTGCCTGTTCGGGCCGGTCATGGCTGTTTTCACCCGCGTCGCTACCGCCAAAGTGGCCCTGCCTTGCATGATGCTGGCTTTCGGCGTCGCCTCTGCCGCAACAGCGGCCACCAAAAATTTCGAGGGTCTTCTAGCGTGTCGAATTTTCGTCGGCATCTTTGAGTCGGGCTTTTTGGCATCGTAAGTGTTCATCGCTTATCATTTACAATTACCACGTGTTATTTGAGTGTTGCAGGATACTGACACTGTGAAAGGGTTGTCTTCTACCTCTCTAAGTGGTATACTCGTGCAGAAATTGCGTCTCGAATTGCTGTGTTCTACGCTGGGACAGTGGTAGCTTCGGCATTTGGTGGCCTTCTTGCATATGGAGTCTTCCAAATTACGGGCGGCGCGCTCCACGTCTGGGCATATCTTTTTATTCTGGAGGGCTGCATGACCTGCTTGATCGCTATCGCTGCGTATTTCATACTGCCTGGAGACATCGGCGATGCTTATTTCTTGACGCCTACTGAAAAGAAGATCGCAACAGCTCGAATGCAAATGGATGCAACGCAAGTACAAGCACCGAACTTTATCTGGTCTGAAGCGCTTTCCGAATTTAGGACTATTCACGCGTATGCACGAATATTGATCGCTGTTGCTTGCGGCCTCCTACCGCAGTCAAGTGCGAATTTCCTAGCTATTATGACTGTAAGATTGGGATATTCGGTTGCTAAAACAAACCTTGTGAGTCGAGCCATCTTAACCACTCGCTTTTCTATTTTCTCTGGGCGGTGATTGACTGTGGTTACTTTCACTAGTATACGGTTGCTCCAGCCGTGACAGCGACGGCATTTGTTCTAGCATTTGCCTATTCGTCCGACCACTTCCGCGAGCGTGGCTTTCACATGGCAGTGCCATGTGCCATAGGTATGATTGGCTATATCATACTCATTGCAGTCCATGTTGAAACGCATAAAGGGATTGGATACCTAGCAATATTCTTCTGTACTACTGGTGTAAGTATCAGCTACCAATCATCCGGTGTCAGCACTCTGTTGCTAATGTAAACCCGTGCAAATGACAGGCATACCCAATGGCAGTTATCTTCTCTGCATGGACAGTAGCAAACATCCCCAATCTCAACGCCCGGGCACTTACAACTGGAATCTTGCTCTCGATATCGAACGCTACCGGATTGGTGACATCAAACATCTTTCTGTCTCGAGAGGCCCCGAAGTATATGACTGCGCTGATCGTGAACACCACCTTTTCAGCACTCGGCATGGGTTTCGTAGTTAGCTATAGTTTGTATCTGCGACTGCTCAATCGAGCACTGGCCACCAACGATCGACCAGGAGGTCTATTCGGGGAGGACAAGTTGGACCGCGGCGAAGGGTTCAGATTTCAGCCCTAGATGGGGCTTACAGTCTCGATTAGCGAGTCTGGAGCTCCTATTTGCGCTCCTGTCAAGTTGGACTCCAACTAGATAGAGAGCTCCAGCCTTTGAAATACCGAGATATAGTTCTAATACTTTCTGCTTGGAGCATCTCGTCATTGAAATCTTGTCGTCGCCCCTTCTCACATGATATGGCCACTTCTAATGCGCACTCGCGCCAGCCACCCTACTAAAGCATGGCCAAAAATCCTCTTCAAAACTCTAGATCCGCCGCTGAGCAGTCGACGAAGTTCGGAAAGGCAAGCAAAGTATCACCCGTAAGACTACAGAGTGCCAGACGTTTTTGGTAGAAAGGAAGAAGAAGAAGAAGAAGGAGAACCGCACTGCTCAAGAGGATGGCTGGCACCACTGCACATTGTCTACAAGGAATAGTCCGTAAGGAAACTCGGCCGAATCCCGGGTATAGAGTGCTTCAGCATGGCCCGTCATAGCAGCTCGCGTTCTACGGGCAAGAGAAAGTAGACCAGTAGATGCCGCCGTCGATACAAACAGTGTGGACGGAGTGGGGTGGGCCCTGGCCAGTTGTGTGACGCGGCACAACGGCAAGTCTCCCGACGCGTCGAGCGCGTAAAGTGCCTGCAGCCAAATTTCGCGGTATAGTCCACATCCACATCTGCAATACGAGAATGTGCCACTCCCTGTGATTGAAGCCGCTCTTCAACATTTTTGCAGAGCGCCCATTTCGCATCAGTAGCAGATGTCATTCTACGATGGCCGACTTTGACCCCTCCCCACGATCTTCAAAGCGAAGACGAACCGGTACATATGCCACAAGACGAACGACATTAAGCAATGCCGATGCGAATTTGTCCACGGAAGTTGGAGACGAAGCTGCGCCCGAAGATGAGGGTGTCTCTCCAGCTTTCCCAGTAGCTACTTATGATGAGGCTCCTGCAACAGTTGAACATTCATCGTTGAGCAGTGCCTCTCGTCGAGCTACTGGAAACACGAAGCAGAAGTCGCGGGACACCGTACGATCGTCGGCAAAGAGAGCATCAGAAGCAGCCAAACAGGAGGATGGTGAGGCCGTTCCCGCTTGGCGGACTTCGAAAGAGGTGGACCAGGACGATTACCCAGGGGAGACTACCTCGGGTAAGGAGACAGAGGCCCAGACCCCGGGGGACACAGCCGACACTCAAGCGCACACACGATCCAGCGGACGCACACGTCGACTTCCCAAGCGCTTTGCTGGTGATGAGGAGTCGGCTGATGTAACTTTTGTGTCGCAAAGGAAGAGCAGGAGTGTTCAAAGGACCACAACGAGGCTGTCGTCTCCAGCTCGCCAACAGTCACTTCAATCACCACAGCCGAAGGGGATTTTGACTCCTTCAAGGAGAGGAAAGCGCACAGGACCCAGGAAATCGGTCGTCTTCAACGGCGATGATCATGACAAGCGGATAGAAGAGCAGCTGGGGTTCAAGGACATCGGTAGCTCGAGCAAGAAAAAGAGATCCAAGCGTGCTACGGCGAAAGAGGCGGTTGATGGCCGTGAAGAATCACCAGAGATTAGGGACACGGAGCAAGTGGGTCGTGAGAGGGCTACCACGCCTCTCGAAAACGATGACGATGACGACGACGACGACGACGACGACGACGACGCTCTACATTTCGATGCTGTTCCAAACATCGAGGAGATTCTCGCACAACCCCTAGAACAAGGGAGCAATAGAAACCCAGCAGGTCAACCAGCCAGTGTAGAGGACAACGAGTATGTCCTCAAAATCAAGACCAAGATCCTCAACCGCTTGACCGCCAATGCCCTCAGCCCTGTCATCCATCTTGAGAAGGAGTACACGACACTCCACACCCTACTCAGCGCGACCATCACGGCGGGCGAGTCCAACTCGCTCTTACTGCTTGGGTCTCGAGGATCCGGCAAGACGCTGCTCATCGAGCACGCACTACAAGACCTGACACGCAAGCATGCCGACGACTTCCACATTGTCCGCCTGGATGGTTTCTTCCAGACAGACGACAAGCTGGCCCTGCGCGAAATCTGGCGCCAGCTCGGCCGCGAGATGGCCGTGTCGGAAGACGAGACGGGCGAGGTCTCCAGCTATGCGGATACTATGGCTAGCCTGCTCAGCCTTCTGTCTCACCCGGAGGAGTTTGGTACTGTCGGCGACGACGTCATGGACATCGCCGTACCAGCCCCGGGTGGTGGTATTGCCACGGCTGCCACCAGCGGCAAGATTTCCAAGAGTGTGGTCTTCATCCTCGACGAGTTTGATCTCTTCACGACGCACCCCCGCCAGACCCTTTTATACAACCTCTTCGACATTGCGCAGGCGAAGAAGGCGCCCATCGCGGTCCTCGGGTGTAGCACCCGCATGGATGTGGTTGATCTGCTAGAGAAACGCGTCAAGAGTCGCTTCAGCCATCGCTGGCTGCACGTCGCATCCATGAAGAGCCTGGTTGCGTTCGAAGATGCCGTCCGTAGGAATTTGTGCTTGTCTGTGGATGGCCATGAGGCGTTGGGCTTGTCAGCCAGTGAGCTTGAGTGGAGAGGAAAATGGAATGAGTTTATCAAGGTAAGCGTTGGAATGTTCCTTCTGCGGATGATGGCAACGGCACTGTAAGGAGTCGGCGCAAAGAAAACTTACTGACACAAGTGACAACCGGCAGACTCGATTCCTCGCCACACGGCCGATCCAAATGCTCGTCAAGAAGAGCTTCTACAGCACAAAGTCCATCCCAGATCTAATGGGAGCGTTGTACATCCCCATCGCGACACTTGGTCTCGCTGAAGGGTGGCAAGATGGTAATTCGGAGGAAAAGGGCGCCCAATTCGTCTCGCCTTCCACGCAGCCCTCCCTGCTTGCTCTCCTCCCACAACTCCCCACCTTGCATTTGGCGCTGCTTGTTGCTGGCACACGCTTAGAAACGATTCACAATCTAACCACTATCAATTTTGCTCTCGTGTATAGCCACTACTGCGATCTTCTTGCCCGATCAAAGTTGCAACAGTCGTCGTATTCTGCTCTCGCCGGCGGAGGGGCCTTCACGGGCGCAGGATTACGGTCTTGGAACAAAGACACCACACGCGGGGCGTGGGAGGATCTAGCTGCATGGGAGGTCATTGTTCCTGTTGGCGGGTTGGGTGGCAACAGCACATCAGTGGGGAAACTGGGCGATGAAGGAGTTGGGAGCGACGGAGCAGGTAACCGGATGTTCAGGCTAGACATTGTACTCGATGATGTGGCTTGGGCGATTAAACAGAAACTGGGCACGGCTGGTGCAGGTAACATGCTGACCAGGTGGTGTAAAGAGGTATAGATGGAGATCTGACATCCTATGATGACCCGAGTAGGATCGAAGTGACGAATGATGTGTTGCCACAGGAGATGAACGGCTCTCGTTCGCCTTGTTGCACGATAGGGCGCTGTGGCCTCTCAAGAGTAGCGTTGGGCATGATATCAGAAGAAAGGGGTGTAGGTCCTAGGCGTGATTGCCCGAAAATGAAGCTTCACCATTGCGGTCGCCCCCTTAATTCCGAAAACAACTTGGGCGCCAATGTAGAGCTGTGCAGTCGAATTACCGTCTCCTCGGCCTACTGCCTTCGTAACCAGACACAGCGTCGATTATCTACCACGAGTCTCTGCTTGATGAATCCACTTCGTGATCTGCTCATGCATTGCCAGCGCAGAATAGCATCGCGTTGATGAGCGACCGTGGCGGATTAAGTGTGGACACATTGTCCTGTGTTGGACATATGAAAAGAATGGCAGCATCTGGAAAGTCCAGACCTACAATAATTGCAGATGAGATTCTGACGTGGCAGCTTGTGACAGAAGTTGAAGTGTGATGAGGGCAAAGGATAAGAGACTAACAGGCGCAGATTTGACGGCCAGAGGTGACCACAAGGGAAAATATTGCATTAGTTGGCCAGACCACCAGGGAGTAATGTGGATAGGGAAAGTCTTCCACGAGCTCGAGACAATTCCACCGGTCGACTTGACGAATAGTTTGGACAAAAGCAAGACATATGCCTGAACCGTGGGTCACTGCACCTTTTCTGTGGACCGCAGCATCAGTACTTGGTACGTGGCTCAAAAGGGCGAGCAGGCGGTGACGGTTTCTTTCAAGAAGTGGATGTGCAGCAGTTTTCAAATAACTCTTCATGTGCCGATTTCACATTGGCCCACCACATGTAGTCATTTACCTGCAAAATGCAGCGTTGAGCCAATCTGTTCTCATGGGTACACAAAGTCGGTGACCGCAGATGGCCTGTAGAGGCAAAGAACTATGTTAGCTTCCTCTTAGGTTTTAAGTTCCGCAAATTGGAGTCTGCTATTCCCTTGCGGTACCTTGCGGTACCTTGCAGTGTTGGGCAGCCGCCGCATCGATTAATGTGAGGCCGTTGGCATGCTCCTGGCGCATTTCAGTATTGCCACAAGCCTGATTACCCAGGTTCGCACTGTGATCGATACACTCCTCTCTTTCTCTCTGATCTTCGAGTCGGTTGCGGTCTCTGATAGGCCAAACGTAGGTATGGTGACCTGGCTATGCTGTGAGGCACAACAGAACAAGCGGAGAGTTCTTCGACCAGTCCAAACAATGAAGGACACGTTGAGGATAGCGGTTGGCTTGACCAGGGACGGAGGCGTAAGAACAGCTTCCGTCCGGGGTTAGTGTTTGGTGGCACCTACTAGTACTTAGTAAAGTCTGGCAGCACCCACCAGGAAGAAAGTTTCTCTCAACCTCAGGCTCTCGACGTACCGAGAGTGAAGAGACAAAGCGGCTATTGTTCCGGGCGAGCTATGATAATGGCCGACAAAGATGCTGGACCAGCTATTCCCTCCTCGCAGGGCGCAGCTCGTGGGTGAGATCCCGGTAGACTGGAATCGAACGGGGATGCGGGTGGAGGAAGACGTCCCCCTCCTGGCTACATGCCTAACACGTCGGGGGCTCGTGCCTGCCCCGAAAACGCGACGAGCACCGCACCCGCTCTTTCCGCTTGGACGCGTTTGCATCTTGCCTTCTGCTTACAATTAGGCCGCACCTGCCGCTGCAGTGTTCAGGAACGGGAAGGGCCGACCAGGGGTTATGACAACTTTGACGAGTCGTGCCGCGTTCCTTCTTATCTGGTCTTGTTGCTGTCCGTGCCCAGGCTGGTGATCCAACTCTATTTTGTCTTCAACACATCCTGCCGACAGGTTTCTCCTTTGTTATCATCGTTGAAGCATACAGGCCCTTGGCTCTATGCTACCTTCACTTCTCAACAGTCATCCGCAACTCTCAGCAACCATATTTTGCGAGATGAGAATCAAGCCATGCCCATCATCGGCGGCAGAGGAGGGCCGGGGGATCCCCCGCTGACCATGGTGCACCTGATTCATGACCTCATTCAACCCTTCCTAGGAGAGGAAGGCCATCATGATGAATACTAAGGCTCAGCAGCCGCAGGTTACCTCGGCGAAAGACTCTCTAGGGTGGTCACACAGCAGCCAGTCTTGTATACTACTGCTGCTTCACTGAAAGCTGAGACCTTTGACGAAGTAGTGACGGAAATCTGAGTTGTACTGCTTTCACAGGGCAGTGTTCCAATCTTCTTGGATTCGACCCCCATGGGCTGAGGGCCCTGAGGGCCCCATCGTTGACTCGAAGTCGGACGTTGCAAAGAAAGCTTGAACATATGCATCGCTACTCATTGTTGGTTTGCACAACATGATGTGTTGGTTGGTTGCCATAGAGCAACATAGCGAAGACGTTGATCCTATCCATGTCTGTGGAAGAGATAAGTCTCAGCCTTATTCATGATCGCTGAGCATGATGCATAGTAAGTGGCCACCACTTTCCGAATGCCGGCCCCACTATTTTTGGCTGGATATGCACCGATGGTGTCGATTGGCACATCCCGGCAGAGTGCACGTCTGGATCAAAACATTAATGGCGTTACTGATTGGGTCCAATCATGAGGTTCCTGTTGATGGAACGTTGTCATCGCAGAAATGCAGTATTCAGCCAAGGGTATCTGCGGACGGATGTGATTTTGAGCATCAAAGATTATCAGTGAAACTCCCCTGCTCCATCCGGCAAGGATCATAGGCAGACAGTACCTCCAGTTGCTGCACATTGCTGCACACCCGCTTCCGCCCAGCCATACAGCGTTGGTGTTGTCCCAACGACGTTCTAGGAGTGTGCACGCAGTGCCTTGAGGCTTCCTCTTACTCGCCGGAACCATATCAGACGGATCGCCTGGTCAAGAGTTGATGCGGCTGATTTCTGACGGTGTCATGACCGGCTCGGTCCAGGCGTGATCGCAGACAGGCAGGTAGGCCCGCTACTCTTTCGTGGATCGTCCGTCCGTACTAAAGCCCAGAAGAGGATGGTGGCTGGAGGAAGACTTTGCGGCTGCCAGGCATAAAAACGAGCATCACCCCTCCTGAATGTCTGCAGACCTTTCATAACACCTTTCAGCGAAGCGATCGAACCTAGACCTGCATTGGCCATCGGTTTTGACGACATTTTTTTGCAGTACTAAGACCGGAGGAATACACTTCGAATCATGGAGCACGTGAACAGGCCAATGGAAATGGCCCGGCTCGCCGGTATGTGCAACCCCATCATGCCCATTACTCGCCTTTAATCAGATTGCACAACATCGATCACTGACTTCCCCCAAAAGACGATACAAAGTCATACGCATGGACGTATGGGCCTATCAATACTAGAAGACCTGACTCATACGTCCCAGGTATGTATAGCTACGTCCAATCTTCGTCCATCCGTTGAACCCGTTGATTTACTGACTTTGTGAATCATGATATTGAAGGGACACCAGCTTCCGAACATGGAGGGCGTCACCGATTGCCAGCGAAGCTTTCCCGATTCACCAACAAAGCTACAAACTCCAAAGACGATGAAAAACCACAGCCGCCTCCGCCTCCACCCCCGAAGCCTGAACCACTCCCAGGAGTGAGCTGAGAATTCATTTGATCATAGGAGCCGAAGAGTTCCATCGTCTCGGACTACGATGCTAGAGATTGCTAGCTGTAAGCTCAACAACGGCCTTTCTTGAAGAATGATGCAACAAATCGGTTTTGATATCGAAGGGCAAGTCGCTGGTGAACACACTCTCTTTGGTTCGGTGAGAACAATAGGTTTCAATAGCGTCAGTTCAGTGCTCTAGTTGGCTTCCAGATCTATCTCGAACTACTAAACATTCACATAAAGTCGTTGTTGTTCTGCTATTCTACTCTGCTAGGCGTGCAATGGCCGATTTCAAGCTAGATCGCATCGCTTTGGGCACCCGTGCTCATCGCCAATGAATCACAGCCCACGACATCCTGACGGGATCGTAGCCGAGGGACGATATAATGTATAAATATCAGTACTTCCGATGGTGCTACTTGACCATAGGCTGGGGAACAGCACATCGGCTGAGACACCATGGGCAAGGTACATCTGAATCCCATTCTTCTCGAGATCAAAGGACAAGAGGGATCAATGTCGACCAATCAGGCCAAGAAGTGGAACGGACTTTGCCTCCATTACAGGTCTTGACTCAACGCCTGCCAGAGGGATAGAGAATCATGGTCGTCCTACTTCCCAGTCAGGGCCACTTGACAGAACACGAGCTTGTATCTTAATTTTGCCCGTCATGGAATGATCCCATTCTTTCGCAGAAGCAAATCACTCTCCAATCTCTTGCTTGAGCTGCTTCGAATTCTGCAGCAGACTGATTTGCAGTCAGCACCCATTTTCAATGTTGAACAGCGAGCGAGTTTGGCATGGGAGGTACGACTGCGGATCCAGCACACGATTGCAAAGCTGTGCCTGGTTAACTGGGACGGCTCAACCCAGTAGATGTCTGCGCCTTGGCTAAAGCCCAAAGTCCCAGTGCGTAACTGGGTGCCCTGAAGCGGTGGTCTCGGCTTTGATGTCCACTAAGCCTATCTGGCCCTGGGAGCCTTTGACCCTGGCGAAGCAGAAGAGCCCCAGACATCTGCCTTCTGGGACCTCGATAGGTTGAACACATCCACCCACCTGCGCCATAACAGCCCAAAGCCAGCAAAGAGAAAGTTTGCTGGTTGACGTGGACTCGGTTGGTACGATTGCCCTTTGTTTGCTTTCTTTGTTCCGGTGATCGCCTCCCTGCGCCATCCCCTGTCGATTTGTTCTCGTCACATTCTGAACCATGCAATCACAATCAATTGTTGATATTCAGAATGTGTCTTGCACTGCTGCCTTGCGGCCTGGTCTCCAATAGGACACCTGTTCCATGTTGCACAGCAGCTAGCTTGTCATTCTGCGCTCTTTGCATCCCAAAATCACAGCCACGCAACTCGCCAATTCGGATCAACTTGGTGGTCGATGTGCCCTGCACCGGCTGACGCAAAGGCCTGTCCTTTGTATATTGACGGCCCTCCAAACCTTGCCACAAGTAGCAGTGTAGCATGCATAGTACAGGTCAGATTTGTTGTTCCTGGTCGTGGGACGCATTGTCCAACCTTTTTCGTTGCCTGAAGAGGCCATCGCGAGGCGTATTACCCCTCCTAATATCAACCCCAGCATGTTTGGGAGTCTTGGGCCAATGGGAGGGGTGTGGCCTGTCCTTTGTTCCAGCAAATCCCTCTCGCAAATTAACCATAGAGGAAGCCACTTTTGGCTGCCCAGTGGATTGGCGTTGCGACTTGCCAGAATCATGATGCTTGTGACTGTCCTATTAATGTTCCATTCTGGCGACAGGAAGGCAGGGTGACACAAGAACGACAACGACAACCTCAATTTTGGTGAAACATCTTTCACTCGTGAGAGCTTCATAAACCCATTATTCGACTTGTTATCATGCTCTGATACAAGCCTTTCTCCCTTGAGATGGCGAAGCCTCCTGGTCGAATACACTCCCGGGAGGTTTGGGAAGGCTACCGGGAGCTGATCCACAATCTCTATCTGAAGCAGAACTGGAAGTCCCAAGAGGTGACAGATTTTCTGAACGACAACTACAGCCTTGCTATAACTGACCGGCAGGTGAAAACCAAGATCAAAGACTGGAAATACAATCAAAAGAGAACATGTGCTCCGTTTTATCGAGCAATGTTAGTCGTGTCAAATCATCGACGAGATATCAATGGCTTGAGTACTGTTTTCCAAGTCCCGAAGAAGGATACCAGGGTAGAGGTCCCCACTAAGAGGATCAAAAAGGAAGTGGAGAGGCAGAAAGAGTTAGTGGACTTGCCTTCCATTGAGGAAGCAGAGAGGCTCCTGCTCACTAAAGGCTACACATGGGGCACTCCCAACCCTTTGTATAGTACAGAATGTCTTTACCCAACTCTCCAAGACCACATGAATTTTGACGTTGATCGGTCTGATCTCTGGGACTGGGTGACAAGCGACGAGGAGGAGGGTGAGCGAGAGGATGAGCATGGTGCACCTACTACAGCCGAACAGTATCAGCCTTACCCACCACTACATGTTGCCGCAGATCCGTGTGCAACAGTTCCAGGGAGTCGCAGCGTTGACATGGAGTCTTTAACAAATCTCACGGAGTCGTCACTGAATATCACGATGAAACTGCGAAGACCCCAACGCCCTATTCGCATGGCATCATCTCCCCCACGCAACCACCACTTTGTCGATTTGAAGGGTGATTTCAATGGAAACAACATATTCCCCACAAGCTACACGATCCCTGCGACACTCGACTATATTAATCACTGCCGCCTGTGTCCAAGTGACCACTCACACGAGGACTTTGACTTTGGGGAAGCGATGGACCGTTTGAGTCTGGCAGGCGAACAGAAAATGCATGTGAGTCAATGGGCTGGCCCATGGTTCTGGCATGCTTTCGGTAATGGACTTGCACTACCAACTAGCAAGTCAGATGCGATAGATATCTTGAAACGATTGCTAAGAGAGCAGCCGGACAATCAGTATATTTTCCCCTGCTTGAGCTGGATGATTTTGATACTGGGATCCAATGGCAAGCACGCTGAGTTGAAAGAATTTCTCACGGCGAGCTGTGCGGTCATTGACGAGGAAACAAATCAAAACCTATTGTACAGCTCAATATTTCACTATGCTCTTGCGGTTCGGGAGAAGAACACTCATGACAAACGCAAATACGGCGAAAACTTTGCACGCCTGCATGAGCCAATGAAGCTGGTCTGGCGGAGCGATCATCCCAATGTCTTGGTCAATCTAACATTTTGGGCATGGTACCTGCTTGATGAGCAACGATATCCAGAGGCCATCGAGCTCTTGGAAGGCTCTCTCCCTTCGTTCGAACGTGTTATGGGCAGGCATGATCTCCTGGCAATAAATTGTCGCACCATCCTCTCTCGTGCATACGAGGACACAAGAAACTATCCACAAGCCATCTTCCATCTTGAGCAAGCCCTCCAATTCATGGGCAATCATCGGCGAGAACTTGATGCATTCAGTTTTGAACTTCATGGTAGACTTGCAGATCTGAAGAAGCACAATGGGGACCTTGCTTCGGCGGAGCAACATCTACGATACTGCATTCAAGGCCGAATGCAGACATTCGGACTCCGGGACCAGTCGATCTGGTACTTCATCAATTTGCTGTGTGGATTGTTGGGCGACACTGGGCGAGGCCGAGATATTGACCAACTACTAGTGGACCTGCAGCAACGCTCTGACTGCCCCGGGCGAGAACTTGATGCGCTGCAGACACGACTGAGGTACTATTACGGAACCCGCAGGAGGATGTGATGATCTGTTGTCAATGCAGGATGGAGCAGCCGCCTACATAGAAAGCACGCTATGAAGATTGCATAAGAGAAAGGGAGGGGGGGGGGGGGGGGTTGAGAACCTGGACTCTTTTTCCTTTGAAAGGTGATATCCCTATTGCTAATGGAGAGGCTGTCTGAGCACGTTCGGCTCAATTTGATGCTTTTAGGAGCATAAGGATTTGGGGCACTGTCGGCAGCGAAAATTTCTTTGTTCCTTTTCTCGCAGTTTGGTTTGGGTTGTTTAGATATGCTGTTGATGCAAGTTCTTGTCTTGGTAGAGTTTGTTCAATGCGCCATGTCGGATGAATACTCACTCTGCTTAGTTTTGGCGCGGGAAGCAGGCCACTCTGTCCATTCTCGTTGAAGCCATTCCTTTCTGGGTGGCTGAGAGTTTTCTCTCCTTGTTGCTGAGCCCTGTTCATGAAAACCTCTTATTTTTGTTTATGTTATCGGATGACTTCCTACTAGTAATACTGGAATCATGACTACCATCTTATCAAACCTTACTCACATACTGCTAGCCCCCGTCCATGCATGCAAGTGAACCAAGTCCGATGCCCTACTAACTCCGGTGGCGATTCGTATGTTTCGCGGAAACAGACAGCAGAAACGAGATTTTCCTCACCTCCGAATCTGACCGTGCGGGTGCTACACATGGCTTTAGCCAGACACCTAAATAGACTACTGAACTGTGGTGAAGCCTGGGAAGGTCTGGATGCTCGGATCTCTGACAGGGCTCTCAGGGATATACTGTGACTTACGTAGCCATTAATCAAGTCAATCAATAGAATTATTCTATTGGAACGGACATGCAATGCAGTATGTACTAGACGGCGATTCATCCGCTAACACCCTAAATAAGGATTAAGTACAAGCAATGCGTTGATTCCTGTTCCAGCATTCCACAATTGGGGCGCGCTAGGTCTTTTGCGTTAGAAAGGTTACTCCGCTGGGACCGAACGTCTTAGAGAGGTGACGAGCTGGTTTAGGTCTTTACCTCCGCCATCGCCTCCGCCTCGCCCGGCCTATTGATTCCCCCGCGAGAACGATGAGGATTGCTTCGCCGTATGGGAGAAAGGCAGGCAGTGGAATGCATTTCTTCATGTGCGCCCATTTTTGCTGAATCTCGATTCTCGGTGGGGTGACCGTTGGAGCGTTTTGTAAGCGACTGTGCTCGTTAACGTTGAGATGACCACAAAGAAGAGGAATTCCTCGAGTTCTCAGATTACTGATGACCAGAATTGTTTTCATTGTTCCAGGCCATTTCGCCAGGGGAAGTGGAAGAGTCTGTAGAACAAGATTGAGGCCTCATTGTAGGACCTTCTGAGTTGAAGGGGTGCGATTTCTCGCATCCAGGGCCTGCTGGGGCTTGCCAAAAGTAACATCCTCAGCCCTGATGAAAGGCATCCTGCAGGATAACGACAACCAATCGGTTCTGGTGTTTACTTTTGGGTAGGCATGAGAGTAACTTTGTTGGAAAAAGGAAGTTCATGTTGAATTTGATTCATGTCTGATCTCATCCTCAAGCATCAAGCATACCAATAAGCTTTTCGTTCGGTTTCAGCGGGCGAGTTAATTGTAATTGTTTTGTGGTTGCAGCATCCTGCTTACTACGAGCTCGAAGCTTGGCTTCGCGCGCCTGTCGGCTCATTGAAACTCGAGTCTCGGCTGCGATAGATGCCGTCGGCCAATCTGACAGCCTCAGACATCTGTGTGACGTCGTGGACTCTCACTATCTCAGCACCACCAGCCACACATGCCGTTACCGCCGCGGCTGTACCGAATTGGCGGAGCTTCGCTTCCTCAACACCAGTTATCTTCCCAATAAACCCTTTTCGGCTAGGGCCGATGAGCCAAGGGTATTTAGATAGATCTTCTTCCCCTGGTGAACTGGGAGGCTTCCTCAACTCTGCCAGGTTTCGTAGCAATTCCAGGTTCTGAGCTTCTGTCTTTGCGAATCCGATACCTGGATCAAGGATGATGCGCCAAGGTGGAATTCCAGCCTTGTGGGCAGCTCTGACGCGTTCACCGAGTTCTCGGCGCACGCCGTTCACAACACCGTCAGAATATTCCGTCAATTTGGTCATCGTTTTCGGGTTGCCGCGCATGTGCATGATCACGATGGTTCTGTTGAGCTCGGCCACCGTGGGTAGCATTTGTTCGTCAAGTAGTCCGCCAGAGACATCGTTGATGATATCTGCACCTGCATCGATGCATTTGCGAGCGACTTTGGAGTAGAAGGTATCGACACTGACAACCGTGTCTTGCCGCTTCATCTCCTTGCATTGTCTAACGTAGGGGAGCACGCGGGCAAGCTCTTCTTCAGCTGTCAAGAGCTCAGCACCAGGTCGTGTGCTCTGGCCACCGATGTCGATGATATCGGCGCCTTTCTCGAAGAAGGTACCAAACATCATCCTCGCATCTCCATTTTTGGGCAGTTTCTCTGCTGAGAAGGAATCAGGCGTGGCGTTGAAAATAGCCATGATCATAGTCCGGCGAGTTGGGTCTTGGCTTCGGATCAGTGGGATACGACGATTGGGTTGGACCATTACGACGGGTGACATGGAGGGATCGTGGCTTAGAGCGTCGAGGTGCTGGCTGATAGTCCAATTTGGTGTGGTTCCCGAGGATTCTAGTGGTAAGACGTAGTCAGGCAGGATGCTGTGAGATGGAGTAAGTGGTTAGAATGACATTGTTCTTAAGTCCCAGAGACTAGATGTAAACCTACTCATTGAGAGGGCGGAGGACAAACTCCCGTTCTAGCATAAGCTTATGGGGTACCTCGAGCTCTGGAAAGTTGATTCTCTCATCGTTGTAAAGCAGGATATCAAGATCAATGGTTCTTGGTCCATTTTGGATGGTACGCTTCCGAAGAAGTGTATTTTCAATGCTTTGTAAAGCGTGCAGAAGCGGTATGGGCTTGAGATGGGTCTTTATCTCACAGACCCCATTCAAAAAAGGATCTTGGTCATGGTGATACATGGGCTTGGTCTCGTAGAGATGGCTCAATTTGGTAATATGGAAATTTTCTTTCTTCATGAGTTTCAATGCTGCTTCAATATTTTCGACGCGCCTTGTGTAGGTCATGTTGCTCCCCAAAGCGATGACAGCCTTGTTGCACGTGGCTGCAGGAGTAACAGTCTCCTCCATCGTCTCTATTCTTGACAGGGAGGACTGGGGGAAAGCTCGAGACATGGTCGATAAGCGATATTCAGCTCTGGTACTTCTCTGATTGTCCTGACCAAGACTTATCAGCTTGCCCGTGGTTGAGACATGTTGATATCGGACACCAAGATATGGCATCTGGGGATGGAAACACTTGGCAGTCTGTTCACTCCGAGGGTTGAACCATCTAGAGAAAATAATCCGGCGACAATGTCGAGGCAAGGACATAGATGGTGTCCCGGAGCTCTATTTAGTGATGTACAGGAAGATTGTGAAGGGAGGTTAGTAACAGCAACGAGAGGTAGTCGTGCAAATCAAGCCTCGAGGTTCGAGATATGTCGTAGCTGCATCAATTTGGCAACGGAAAAACAGTTAGACACCGACTAGCGCGATACTAGCGTCGAACCAGGGAGCGAACCACCAGACATGGCACCTTAGCCGAGAAGGGGTTCACGTGCCATTCTTGGGGAAGGGTTTTGTGCACGTGATTCACGTGATGCTCGAATTAGTGAGGACACTGAGGGGGACCAGGAGTGCCCACGTACCTCCACAACAATGTGTCGATGGTCTCGTATTCGGTCATCCTCTGTGCTAAAGGTACCGAGTGCTGGAGGAACAAATTATATCAGTGAGGCACGGAGCACTCGTCCACACCCCGTACGCCTTTCGGCGACCGAGAGCGGCATGCTCCCATGTGCTCTCATCAATGCCAGCCCCAGAAAAAAGGCGGCGTGGTTAGTGCTGCGCCGAGGAGTGGCTCCAATTCCCTGCTGAGTATCTGCCTCGGTACTTTGCCCATTCTCCACGACACACGAAACCAAGTGCACCACTTCACCCTCACCCACTGGCCTGACCCTGATCCAGTCTTCTGTAGTTCACCTTTCCACTGATTACTTTTACATCGACCATCTCGGCTTTGCGTTTCTTTGTCCTTTTACATATCTGCTGCCTACGTTCCTCCATCAACTACCAGAACACATCTCATCCCTCCCTGCGACATCCTAGACATCCCAGCGCCTGTACCAGATACTATAGCAGTTCAATCCATCTTCCAACATGTCCTCTCCACAGCAACTCAAGACCACCGTGACCGATCTTCTGAAGATCAACCATCCCGTCATGCTGGCAGGCATGAACGTGGCTGCTGGTCCCAAATTGGCGGCCGCAGTCACCAATGCTGGCGGTCTGGGCGTCATAGGCGGTGTAAGACATGCACATGGAAACCCCGTCGCACACGGTGTGGCTAATACAGAGGAAAACAGGTCGGATATACTCCAGATATGCTTCGGGAACAGATTGCCGAATTGAAAGGCTACTTGAACGACAAGAACGCTCCCTTCGGTGTCGATCTCCTCCTGCCCCAAGTTGGCGGTAGTGCCAGGAAGACGAAGTGAGAATACTCCAGTACAGCCACAAAAGATCAGTCCACTGATGGAAAAACAGCTATGACTATACCAAGGGAAAGCTTGATGTCCTGGTTGACATCATCATTGAATCTAAAGCAGCGCTCTTTGGTAAGATATGGTTGTCGCTGCACTTATGAGTACGACTGACCTTGGGTAACAGTCTCTGCTGTCGGCGTGCCCCCTAGGGAGGTTGTGGACAAGCTCCACAAGCATGGAATCCTCTATGCGGTAAGTCACATGGGCGCAAGCCCTGGACCGCGCTCTGACTGATTGCCTAATCTACAGAACATGATTGGTCACGTGAAGCATGTCAAGAAGTGCCTCGAGCTCGGTGCCGACATAATCTGTGCCCAGGGTGGCGAAGGTGGTGGTCACACTGTAAGCCCCTCACCTCGAAACACACATCTTCCGGCACTGATATCATCTCTAGGGTGACATCCCTACCAGCGTCCTGATTCCAGCAGTAGCCAAGATCCTCCGCGAGGCTCCGAATTCTAAATTCACTGGCAAGCCCGTTCAGCTAGTCGCTGCAGGTGGTATCTTCAACGGCCAATCACTGGCCGCCGCCTTGATGTTAGGTGCTTCTGCCGTTTGGGTCGGAACGAGATTTGTCCTGTCCGAGGAAGCTGGTGCTCCCAAGGCACATCAAGAAGCCGTCCGAACCGCCGGCTTCGACGACAACATTCGCACCATCATCTTCACCGGCCGACCTCTTCGTGTCAGAAATAACGAATACATCCGCAACTGGGAGGAAAATCGACAGGCGGAAATCAAGGCTCTTACAGACAAGGGTGTCATTCCGGTATGCCTTCGTCAACCATGCCCCCTTTCTCGTAACGAAGCAAATCCATAAAACTAACATTTCATCTCCTTTACCAGGTCGAACACGACTTCGAAGAGAAAGGCGACGACCTCTCCGACGAGGACATGGAGAACGCCCGCCCCTTCCTGATGGGCAAGGCGGCTGCTGTGGTCAACGAGAAGAAGTCCGCCCGCGCGATTGTCGACGAGTTCGTCAACGACGCGGTTGCCGAGATAAGGAAAGGAAACGCTCTCATCGTTTCCAAGAGCAAGCTATAGTTGCTTTTGACTTGGGAAGCACTGCAAAGCCAATTTGTCACTGGTGCAAAACTCTGCAAATTTAATTGCCCAAGCTATATATATATATTCTTTGCTATATTGTAGTTTGAGTCATCTAGTGTGAATTGATGATGGCGGTTGAAGACTCCTGATTTCTGTTTGTGGCTCACATATTCCCGTGGCATGTGCCGATACGCCGAAGTGTCAGAAGTACTACCGGTCCAGGAGCCAGCCCTATCGTTGTCTACATGCGCACACCTACTTAGTTCCTGGTGGTTGAGGGCCATTTACTCACCTTGTGGACAAACTATAAAATTGAATCAATACGATAGCTTCCATCGAAATTATCCAGCCATCTGACCCAATGTCAGTGATATGGACAATTGCAGATGAATGTGGGACCTACTTTTTGGCATTGTCATGAACTAAGGGGTTGAAGATCTGATCACCACGGACACCATAGGACTTGCGAGACACTCGAATAGCCACACAGGGACCGGGGCTGTCTGGCACAGTCTCGCTGAGACCTTTGATCAACGCACCCTTGACGACGGCAGTCCAACCCTCGACCGGCTGAATGACTTCGATCTTGTTGCCTACAACTTCTATGATATAGGCTCGAAGATATGAAGATTGCCCGAGACCACCAACGAGTATAACGGCCTTTGCTTGCTTTGTCTGTTTGAGTTGAGAGGTAGCAAGAGTGATGATGGAATAAATGACGGGCTCGAACAAGGATTTCATCTTTCCTCTGCTGACCGTCAGTCTTCCTCGCTTGATGCCCTTTTCCGGCCTGTCGACCAATCCCCTAACTCTGATCATAACGGACTCTTCTTCCCCTCTGAATTTGCGCTTGACGGAGGTCTCAAAATCCCGGAGAGCTTCGTCGATAGTGTCATCGTCGTAACCTTCTGCGTCGGAGATGTCTTCTTCCAGAACTCGCCCGAAGATGCAATTCAAGAAGGTTGAGCCGCATGCATGGCCGCTACCCGGGACTGCCTCTCGAACTTTGAGCAATGGCTGAAGTTCGACTATGGAGTATGAGATCAGATCAACCATACCACCTCCTGCATCGCACAACACAAATGAATCTCCAGGAGAGGGGATGTGGTGATCCATCGAGCTTAGAGCAAATACAACTGCATCCTTAGGTTCCAAAATAATCCGAATATCATTACCCATACCAGCATCAACACCACATCTCTGGGCGCGGGCTTTGGCAGCATCATCACAGATTGCTGGAACTGTTATAATGAATCGTAATGGGGTTGAATTGACGACACCTTCGCCCAGTTTCAATTTGAGTACGTGGAGAGTGTGCTCTCGCAGGCAACGGAGGCACATAGTTGCAAGGAGTACTGGACTATTGGCACCCCCATAAGCTGGCGGAAGGGCTTTGGGATCGGGATAGTGGACACTCAAGTATGAGACCGCCTTCTCATGTTCGGGGTCCAGGCCTAACTTGAACCACTGATAACGCTGTTCGTCTTCCGGAATCTGGAATCCCCATCGTACCGTGCCATCGGAGAAGCACAACTCAGTTGGTGCTTTCTCGCTTGTTTGCCCCTCAAGGGAGCCCTCAGTGTTGGGCCATTGCACGATGGTAATCTGTTGATTGGGCTGAAGAGACCTCAGTGATTTGCTGGGAAGGATAGCTGCTGACAGTGATCAAGATGGAGACTTACTTGAGCAGTTTGGGCCCATGCAACCCCAGAAAAGGTTGTTCCAATATCAACTGCAACTATGATAGAGCGCTCCCGTGCCCCGTCAGAGGCATTGGACGCAAGTTTGAGGGTCATATCTGCTGGAGTACTCTAATCGAGATTCGCAGGATCGCAGAGGTCGATGGATGCTGAGTGAGAGAATTGGAAAAGGAAAATATCTGCGTGAGATTGGGGCTGTAGGCAGGACCTCTCTTTGCGACAGATCAAGTGAAATGAAATAGCGAGACGCAAATTGAAGGTCAAGTGAATGCGAATGTGAATGATAACAAGCAAGAACACAAAATCACTGCCTCACCTCGCACCTTCCCTTCGATCTTGGGCTCCTACCTCGCCTTGCTTGTGATATTAATCAACTCTCCACCACTCACCCTATCATCGCATTTCGTACCTGTTCCTCTCTCCTATCTCGGCCTTATCCCAATAAATTGGCGATGGTCTACGGTTACCTTTGGCAGCAGATTGACTGGATGCTGCGTCCAGACCCATCGACCAGACAAAACCAGCCTCGGGATGGCCATATTGCGAGATATCTCGACCTAACCATATCTCAAGATCCAAGTATGATTCCTTTACCCAGATTCAGCTGCCAAGCCAGCTGACCGAGTGTGTGATTGGAAAAATACGCCCGGAACCATGCGTCTCACTGGAGAGGCTTTAAACAGCTACCATGTTATTGACAGCAGAACAGGGCTTCCATTGCGTCCCTCTGCGAAGGTTGTCCCAGATCGTGAGAGAGGAGTAGGAGAGATCTTGTTTCTTGTTTTCTCGGTTTGGAACGGATTGGCACGAAGGCGAAGGCAGCTGCCAGGCTCTGCAAGCCAACAGTTGTTGTCAACTTTGAGCATGACGTGTATGCAGGCGGCCAGCGCAAGGGAGCAGGCGTCTAGTTACAGTATGCGCCGAAGATTTTCGCTCAACGAACGCTTCCTCAGCCATGGTTGAGCAGAAGTTGTGGCATGGTAGGATGCGAGTGTGATAGAGTATGGTCCGCAGCAGAAATGTATTCAGGGATGTATCTTTCCAGCTCAGAGTAAACTCGCAAGGAGTTTCTGTCGCTTCTCAGGGGCAACAAGGACATAGGAGTGAAGGAAGCTGCCTTTCGGCCTTACAGGATATGTAAATAGAAGCTGATCATAGACTGCGACAGCAGTTAGTCTCAGCCAAACTATGACTGTCTCCTGCCAGTGCTTGAATCAACTCCGTTCATGGCCTTCCTACCTTGGTATCTATTGATATGAGCATGCACGAGGAGTGAGAAGAAGTTGAGTTTGTATGCCAGAAGGTTCCTTGGCAAATTACAGGCTAAACCTAATTGGGTGTATGTATAGATTTCAAATGTGTGAGCCGTCGCCACTAATTCCTGTCGCACCCCATCTACCAGATCCGATCTTTGAAACAATCATACGATAGTAACAGCAAACAACAATGTCTAAAACTGCAACGTAAGCCCTCATTCTCTTCAACCCTTTAAAGAGCAACGTTCTCTGCCGATGTCAGTTTCACCAAGAAGCGTGCTAACCAACATCTCGACGAACAGCCGCCCCGACTGGGCCGATGATGTCTCAGACTCCGAACAATTCGACTCCTCCTCTCTACCTGCACCCGTCACGACAGTCAACAAAGATGGCACCAAGACGACGATCTCGTACCGAATCGACGACCAAGGTCGCAAAGTGAAAACCACCCGCAAAACCCGGACGACAGTGCACAAGGAAAAAGTGAACCCGGTGGTGGCGGAGCGACGAAACTGGGCGAAATTCGGGCTCGAGAAGGGCAAATCGAAAGGGCCGCAGCCAGACACCACCACCGTTGGAGAGAACATCGTCTTCCGACCCAGCAGAGACTGGAAGAACGTGCAGGCCGACGAGGCCAAGGCCGGCGGCGGCAAGGCAGAGGAAAAGAGTCTGAAGGAGCAGCTGCGCGACAAGAAGGTCAAGTGCCGTATTTGCCAGGGCGAGCATTTCACCGCCAGATGTCCCTTCAAGGATACCATGGCCCCCGCTGACGACGGCACCACCCCCGTCAACGATCCCATGGCCGAGGACGAGGACGGTGGCAAGGCTGCTGGTGGCCTCGGCGTCGGCGGCAGCAGTTACGTCCCGCCCCATCTCCGAAAAGGCGGCGCGCAGGCGGCTGGTGAACGTATGGGTGGAAAATACGAGAGGGATGACCTTGCTACGCTGCGTGTCACGAATGTGAGTCCCCTTCTGTTTTCTTGTTTCTTTCCCTGCTTTAGTTTTCCTTCTCTGTCCACTGGTTGTCCCGCCGTTATATTCTATTTTGGGGCCCTGTAGAATGCTGACCTGTTTTTCTTCTTTCTGTTACAGGTGTCCGAGATGGCAGAAGAACAGGAACTGCGCGATCTTTTCGAACGGTTTGGCCGTGTCACGAGAGTGTTCCTGGCTAAGGATAGAGACACGGGCCGTGCCAAGGGTTTTGCTTTTATCTCTTTCGTTGATCGGTCGGACGCCGCAAGGGCATGTGAGAAGATGGATGGTTGGGGCTACAGGCACCTGATTCTCAGGGTGGAATTCGCAAAGAGGACCACCTGAGTGAGGCAGACGACGTATGAACAGACGACGACGCACGTGACATGATGAACCCCTCCACTGATTGCTCCTTCTAGCATGGCCCGGTGGTACAGACTGTACCATCTGGAGATGGAATTCTCTTATTACTCAGGAGAAGTACACTTTCTTGCGTTCATACACGAGAGACATATCTTGACGGATTCTGGGAGAGACTCAGCGCCGGCTCAGCATCATCCAAGAGCCTTTGGAAGCAAATAAGACCATACTGTTTCCTCCTCACTGCAACGGGGTGGAAACAATGCAATTGTAACTATTGTTCTCGGGTTATTTAAGGTCCAGATGCTCTTTTGGCTGGCTCAATCCCCTGCCGCTCAATAAATGCCCCTACATGAGACTCGATACTGTGTGATATGCTATCACGGGTTGAGCGACGCTGCTAGATTCGCGGCACATAGATCGTAGTAGCCCAAGGTTCATCAGTTCTGGAAGATCGTGAGAGAACGAGGGAAGGGCAAATCCGACTGACCGCTTCGAACAGGAAGCAGTATTGTCCATGGCGTCTCAGTGGCTCGAATGACTCTCACAGCCTGAGCTTCATACGAACATGATCCTCGTAGACTGGACCACGAATATCTCTGCCTGCAGCCAGGTGGCCCGCCACGAAAGCCCTGATGAAAACACGTCATTGACATCGCACGGAGGTCGATGAGGTTTCTTCGGGGTCTGCGAACATATTGCAGTAGTAAGGTCAAGAAAGCTGGGAACGAAGAAACATGGCATATGGGAGGGAGGTGCCAGGATTATCTTTGACATTGGGCCAGATCAAAACCGCTCGATGGGGCAAAGTAATCCAGGAATGCTAATACTCGAAAGGCATTGGACGGCATATTCGATATATTCGCGGACTGGAGATCAAGCATTGCGCGATATCCACGGCCTGCCTTGGGCCTGCACCTGTGCAACCCCGGACGTGCGGTTGAGACAACACGGAGAGCATTGCGTGGCCAGCTTGGCCCTGCTTACCATAATGTGCCCGCCTTTGGTTCAGAGATCACAAAGCGAGACAAAATGCAAAAGAGAGCCAGTGCGGACCCCCGGAGAGGTTCCAAATCAGGAAGAAGTGGATTCTGGGGTTCTTGGGACAACGTGATCGAGCAATGGGAGGCTGGGCCGGCATCATGTTCTGGTGGCCTTTCCTGGGCCACAGAGAGCCACCGCAATAGTCGGACCAACATCAGACGTAAGACGAACTGTTGGCCCAAGCTGCGAAACAGGCAGTTGCGGTGCAACCTGTCAAAGTCTCGGGATTTGTCAAATCAGTAGAGCGTTAAGAAGTGGGTAGGCGCCTGAGTAAATTGGGAGTGGAAGTCGATGCCGGGAGAAGCGCCCAACATGGATGATTGTTCTCGCAAACACAGTTGCGGTGAGCCTCAGTGTAAGCATGGATCGGGCCATCATCTCAATCGCCCTGCATTGTGCAAGCAGCCATGTATATCGTGTGTGGACACCGACCCTGGCAGCCACAAGAAATGATGATGGGGCGCCGCTGTGGGCAAGCCTGACCGGCCGGAAACTGTGACTGGAGCTGGGCAAGATGAGCAATTAGCAGAACAAGCGGATCCTCTACTGCCGGCGGGCAACAAGACTGTGGTTTCCTTTGTCACCCTGGACCAGCCGATGATCCCGGTGAACAGGATCTGACCAAGAAAGTGCTTCACGCCACGTTCGAGGAGTTGAAAATAATGGAGGTGGGGCAGGAATGACTGACTGACCGTCTGACTGAGCAAAGAGTAAACAGCTGAGAATGTGGATGGAACCGAGACGGTGATTGAAGCTGTAGCTCCTTCAATTTCCAGAATGAATGGTTGTCGTGTTGATGAAAGGCGGGGATTATGTAGATACCAGGGCAGATGGAAGATGTACTCGGTACCGATTCCGGGGCGGTTGACAGGCGGAAAGAGCAGTCGAGTGGTAGTCCTTGGTACATAAGGGTACTTACCCGAAATAGTGGTATGTATACCGCAGTGTGCTGACACTCACACCTTCCTCCACACAATCTGCGTCGCAAGCCCACCTTTGCCCGTCGCTCTTTCCCTTTGCAACTTCCAAGCTTGAGTCCATCTGCTCCTGCCAAACCAGTGGCAGTCTCACCCGTTCCAAATCCAGCCTCATCTCACCTCCTGATCGTCAATCTCAGTCTCATCACCACCATCACCACCAGCCATCATCAGGCAGCCAGCCCACGAACTGTCCACTCATTTTCTGTTCTCCAGCACCCTCTACCACATCCCATTCGCGCCAACTTGCTCCTTTTTCGGCAGTCCTTCACCATTTGGAAGCAACCAATGGATTGGCACATTTAGAAACCATCATGCCGCTATTTTCCGCGTATGTGCACAACATACTTGCATGCAAGTGGCAACCAGGCTTCGGCCCGTAGGCCCATTCTGAATGGACCAATCAATTCCAGCCGCTCCCCCTCCTTGGCTGTCGTCTAGCCTACTCTTTTGGGATTTCCAAATCAGAGATGCTTTGTACACGGCCAGGTCTAGCCTGTCATCAGAGCCGGTATTGATCTTCATCGAGTCGATGTGCCATGCCCCATCGAGGCCTCCCAGCGAGAGACGCAGCATCGCTTTGCCCAAAAGTCTATTGACAACAAAGGAGTGTTGTGCGGCTTGTATGCCTTCATGCCCACAGCCCCTGGCATGTCTTCGGCTATCCATACCTAGCTTTGGGACCCGCCAATCGGAATGTTCCTCTTCTACCTGGTCGCTACCGGTTTAAATTGCCCCTGTTCACCGACTTCGATTTCTAGCCAATATGTCTCTGGACTGGATGACGCTTCCCATCGTTTGTTTCCAAGGCGGCTGCCGATCAGGACTCGAGCACATGGGTTGTGGCCTTGATTTCTATTTGGGCTCAGACATGAAAATTGTTCGAGAAGTATTCCGTGGCTTCAGATTTCGACGTTGAGGTGCAGTCGGCCGCTTGACTCAGGCTCTACGCCTCCATTCTGCCATTACCGGAGGCGGACTACCGTGATGGATGAGGCTATCTATTCAGAACAGTGCAAACAAAGCCCGTCTTTGAAGGTGGGTCCGATGTCACAACCGTTCTTCTGTGCCCCAGGTGTGAACTCACTTCCTCTAAGCCCCGTGCGCAACGTTCAAATCTCCCTGGAGGCCATCTCCATCACTCTCTGGTCAGTAAGTTATGGAGGCCAGCTGAAACAGGCTTTTGGGAGGTCTGTGCTTGAATGATCTCTTTGTTCCTGCGTCGCCCCAAAAGATGTGCATCCTCCAAAAGTCCCATACCAGCACGGCGAGCGCAATGATACGATGGCCAAGCCATTATTGTGGCAATTTTTAGCCTGATACCAGGGCTGCTGAAGAAGGCCGCCTGCAGCACAGTTGGGCGGTCCAAAGCTAAGAAAATGAGGTCTCGGATATTCATTGGCTTCTTATATGCAGCCTTCCATCAAATGGTCCTTGACAACAACGTCTGCTTATTCCCACGCCCTCACCGAATAGTGCCAGCCAAATGCCAGATCTCGAAACCATGGTGATGGCTGAGCTAGTCATTTCTACATTCGCTCAAGACGTTCCGAGTTGCAATTCCAGCCTAATCAACGGGGCCAGGAAACGACCAACACAGGTGTGGGACCCCTGCTGCTGTCTTTTGACCACCGCTCTCATGCTCATTTGAATGCCCTTCTTGCCAGCCTTGATCCCGTTATTGCCTCCAAAGTGCAGAAAAACCTCTTTCTGGTTGATTTGCTTTCCCACTCCTTGCTTTCTTCTCATGAGACTCTTTCTGGTGACCTCCTGTCAAGATTCTCCAATCCAGACAGCCACTCAGCTATTCATATCTATCAAGTCCTTCTTGGGCGCTGTGGAGTTTGACTTCAAGCATCCAAAGTTCGTACAGAAGGAGCCGCCTACCGGACTACATCCTAGATAGCAAGGCTCGGAAACTCGATGCGAAGTGGAAAAGGCGGTATCGCGAGATCGAGATTGAGGTACGTGACGACAAGAAGTGGTGAAGGTGGATAAAGCCGCAGCGTACATTTCTGCTAGCCCTTGCACCGTGGTCGATGGTGAGGCGGAGTGTGCTTCTCCATGAAACCCTCACTGACCAAAGGTGGTGCATAGATCACAATTCCATCGTCGATAAAAATCTCGCTAGGTCAGTGAGAAAGTCACTGTTAAAGCTGCTCTGTTGATCTACCTTGGGAGCCCACTGCATGAGACATCACCTGCGATCACATCACCTGCGATCACATCACCTGTGAAATCGACCTATGCTAATCTTCAACAGAGCTCCTTCACCCTGGTGGCTTGGTGGAGAAGCAACTTTGCCCTGACTAGGCTTGCGATTGGTAGTCCGGTATTGGATTTTGCAGAACCCCAGCCACGCAAAGCTAAGGCTTGCTGCTTGGGCAGCGGCTCCCAATCACATTCTAACTGTCTTTTGGCTAGCCGAAGACCCGGAATCCCTCGATCCACGAGTGCCATTCTGCAGAGCTACAAGCCTTTGGGGACGGACCGAGGATTGTTCGGCTTGAAGAAAGTCTAAATCTCCCTGTGCTGATTCAGCCTTGTCAATGATCAGTTCAGAGTAATGGCGACTCACAGCATGGATCCTAGTATGTATTCTGTTGAGCAGCATTCTTTGCACGATCCTCTATGATTCCTTGTTCCGCATCCATTCTCAATTTTGAGCTTGGTACACCGCACATTGGCTCTACAAGTTAACACTAATATGCTGTATGCGGATGAGCTGCCAATCTTACGGCCATTGTGCATCTGTTCTGCGCCGCGCTTGCCGCGTACATTACCTGGACCAGGATCCCCGCCTGTGACACCTGCCTTCCGAATTGGTGTTCAAATGGCAATTGCTCACGGGGTACCCCCCCTCTGCCCAGCCGAAATGCACGATCTTGTGCCAGGCCTCTCTCTCTTTTATCAAATCCTCACTTTGAATCTGAATCTGTTTCTATTGTTACTGGCTAACAGCTCTACGTGCAGCATTGCTTCAGCATTCTACCCCATTCGAGTTTCCGATTCCATCAGAATCCAAATATCTCGGTCAGGAGCGTCCGTATTCAAATCATCAGTACTCTGCCAATGACTATCCATTCTCGAGTCGTAGACCGAATGGCGGTTTGACGAATGATCAAGCAGGAACAAATGTAGCGGTGCCAGCAAACAGCGCCATTGAATTTGCTGGTAGTTCACTATTGAATGAGACACCATCGTAAGTATCCAACTACCCTTTCCCTCCTTTGGTCTACTCAGCCTTCGAATACACCCAATAAGGTTTTAACGCCGGGTGTCCAGCTGGTACAAGATGGCGCGACCTTGAAGTTGGGCATCAGCTTTGCCCCTCTCTTGAGATCTTGTAAAACTGTGGAAAGCACCGCGCTTTGGACTGTTTCTCCACAAGCAGCTTGATCTGCTCTCTACATGATCCTAGAGTTGCACTTGCACGGTTTCACATATCACCCCTACACTATTGCTTCAGCAAATTCTCTGATCGCTAACCTATGAAATGAGGACCACAGGTATCACTCAAACTCTCAGCTGCTTTTGAGTCCACCTGATTCTACTAGCGGCTCAGGAATTGCAAGTGGTCTGCCGACATCTTCCTCCAGCGTGTATGCGGTACTTCCAAAGCCGTTCCCCAGCCATGTAGCCTCGGTGGACCATTTTTCGAGCGCAACCCCGTGGACTGGATCATCGATAACTGGCATGGAACGTCCTCGATAGTATGTTTTCTTTCCTTGATGATTTATTGATACCTTCCTCTGAATGGATGCTAAGATTTGCTGCATAGTCAACCTTTGTCGCCTCCCCTAACTACTCACTACACCACGGCTAGTGGCATTGGACCACTTGTCCCCGGCAGACCGATGGTGGAGAGATTGTCACAATATCAACCAGCGCAGTCGATCAGCCCAGGCATATTTCAGCAACATTCAACCCGGTATACACCTGCCACATTCCACCGAAACGGCATAGGTCATCCGTATCCTGTGTCTGAACACGCATTTCCAGGGCAGATGTCGTCGTCATTCCATGAGAACACACCCAGGGCCTCGCAGGAGGGTCCACTATTTGGCGACACACATGTCATTTACCCAGTCATGAATGCTCATAATCAGCAATTGATGCCAGAAATCTCAGCGACCATCCAAAAGGGTTTTTTCCAAGTAGAACACAAGTGGACTTGCTACCGCCGCAATTATTTCGCAGTGGCTTGCTCGTTTAGTTTCAAGAGCCCATTGGCCGAAGGGCCGTACTACTTGAACAGAAATGGACAACGCGAAATGATCCATCAATTTGCGGTCTCAATTTCAGCCAAGACCGCGTCAGCTTCTAACGGAGAGAGTGAAACTCGCGGCCTTGTGCAACATACTCCCAAGCGCGATAAGGCTACGGAATCTGTGCCTGGAAGGCACCAGATATCTCCAATGCCTCATTCAAATGCCGGTAGCAACGGCGTCTATCATGGCTCCAGCTCCTTGTACCAAGGAGGACAGCACATTCCCTCTGCGATCATGAGCGCCTACATTGGATACGATAATGGCGCCGCCAACAGCGTTCCAACGAACCACACCTTTGAGAGAATCCAGTTTCAGAAGGCGACCGCTAACAATGGGAAGCGCCGCGCACAGCAGCAATATTTCCTGGTGGTTGTTGAGCTTTCCGCAAGTGTGGCAAGAGCCCGCGGGGACGAGTCTTGGGTTGTGATCGCAACTAAAGAGTCGGACCCAATGGTGGTGCGGGGTCGCTCTCCAGGCCACTACAAGGATAATGGGCGACGAGACAGCGAGTCAAATATGGATCCTGGCCGAGGAAGTGGCCCGGGAGGAGATGGAGCACCCGGAGGACTAGCCTTGCCTCCTTACGGAGGAGGGCATTCTAGCATGGATTGGCAATCGACCCAACGGCAGAGCGGTTCTTATGGTGCATCATATCGACAGGCCATGAAGACTGAGTTTTCACCGGCCAACACATTGGCAGGCACGCCAACAGAGGCGGAGCTGAGTCTCTCCGATTCTCAGACCGTCAAGTCGTCCTGCACCTTTTCCACCGAGCAATCTGTAATGACGCCACTTTCGGAAGCAAGTGACGAAGCCTTATTCAATCTCGATCATCACACGGAGAGCCGCAAGCGCCCGTACGAGGATGAGGATGAGGAGGATCAATTGCGATTCCATCATAATGCTCCATTTACTGACAGTATTTCTACTCTTGCAGACCTGTCAGCCACACCCTGGTCGAAGCTACTCTGTGCACCTTCCTGACCAACAGCCGCAAACGGTCATCGACATGAACTTGGAAACATCAGAATCAGAGAGGTGACCAACACTTTGAGGCATATTTCACGATTTTCTTGGAAGATATTTTGTTCTGCTTTACTTTGAGGGGAACACCACAGGTTCCGGCGACGATAGTGACGATCGTTCATTACCCTCTAGAGATACCCCAAGTCCATTGAGAAGGTGCACGGCGCAGAAAATCCTTTTGTGGGGTGACAAACCACAGAGTTCATTCGTTTTGAAATTACCTGGCAGCGCATATAGGTGCATGGAAAACAACCAATGGCTCAGAGGATGGAAAGCATCTGGGGTTCGATAGGTACGGAGTAACTAGGGACATTCAGCGAACATGGCAATTTCATGACCTGGCATTAAGGCATGGTGTGGGAGAAATACAGGGGACATGGGCAAGGCACGTACACGTAGGGGCTAGCACTAGCATGGTGAGTTTTACACAAGGGACGAATTCATCTTCGAAGGAGTAACCGCTTATGGCCCAGCCCGCACTGCATGACATGAAGTGATGACACTATGCACCCGGACGATACTTCTCGCATCGACACTACATAAATGACGGCCAGGATTGGAAGTGAGCGTCTTGATGGGTCTATCGTAGATGTGCGGATGGGCACGATTCGTATCAGATCGACAAGAGGTCTCACCACCCTCCGGTCTCTGCAGTTGTAAGGTGCACAAGTTTCGAGTAGGGAATGACTGAGATTCGCGGAATGCACCTGAAGGAATATGCTGGACTCTCCCTGACGTACGTGTTAAGGTTTGATGTTCCACGTTACTCAAGCCTTATACAACCATGCTCCTGTGCAATCGCTTCTACCAGAATATGGGGAGAATAAGAGAACCCGTAGCATGGTAGGCATGCATATTGCCAATGTGCAACCCTGATTTTCCAGCTGAAAGAGTCTGGCCTTCTTCTATTGACTGATGGCCACAGAAATTGACGATTGCACACTCAGGAAGACAAGGCATCTGTCTCTTCTTGTAAACAAGGACAAACCAGCACGCTACAGGTTAAAAATACTTGTTAGGTAGGCTCCTTTCCCCAAAATCAGACCTTGTAGGTTGCGAGAGATCCGGAGCGCGACCTTCCCTGAAGGTCAAAGTTAGGAAAGCCATCGTCGGGTGCGCCTAGGATGCAGCATGAGACTTGGATATCGACGGCACGGCGCAGGTCGTCGATAGGCTCCCGATCTCAAAACGGGCAACTTGAGAAAAACTGCAGCAGGTTAGACCACCGAATGGTGGTCTTACTATGTATGGAGTAGTTCTTGAGTCAATAGGTGCGCACCTCGCAACCGTCAAGGGCCGAGCCGATTTCGTTGGTCACTGTCACGGGTGGAGGGATTGTAGGCTCTCTCAGGTGCCTCGTATGAGCAACGGGATGTCCGTTCAAGGCACTTCGCCTGCCCAATTGACCTGTGACGCCAAAACTCTTTACACTTCTCGATCGATCTTTCCATTTTAGCGCTGACGCGTCCGGATCCTAGGTCACCTGTGGCCGAAGGATGTGCCCCTCCTGGCAATGTCATGGTAAAAGCCCTTTCGGAAATACAACTCGCCTCGTGGCTGGTCCATCACAGCTTCTGCATGGCTGGCGGCATTTTGGTCGTGTCGGGTGGCATCTTCGACATCTGCCCCGGACGAAGGTCCTGTCAATCAAATGGGACAGGGATACGAGTTCAGATCAAGGTATGATCGAGGCGTCCTCTATTGGCACAACTTAGGACTGGAAAACGTATCCGCTACTTGGTGAATACTTTCACAATCGGCCAGGTAGCGTGACCGACCTGCCTGCCTGCCTACCAGACCCTGGGACGAAAAGTACGTTGGAAAGCGAAAGCTCACTTACAGCTCTGCACGCACCGGAGGAGAAAGAGAGAAATCCTACTCACACCTACTGTTCTCGGTTGCGTCTCCTCCACCTGTGGCGTTGACTAGTGCGACTGTTTCTTGCTTTGAACAGGTGACCTCACGATGGACGGTGTTCAGTCGTCAAGGGGAGAACTCGCTAAGGCGGTCTATACGAGCATTGCACGCCATAGAGCAGAATGCATCACGTTGAATGCGTGTGGACGACGTTGCAAAAGACGCTCGGCTGCAAGGATCTTCGGTGCCAGTCCACTCCTACTGCCAAACTCTTTCGTGAGCGAGGGAGGGGTGGCCTGTGCAGGAGAACATCGGGTTACAGGTATGGCTACTCGGTGCTAGGCCCAAAAGAAGGGCTCCCTGAAGACAGTCCAGGCGCGCGATTTTCATCGTTTTGAGAAGGCATCCTCACCCAAGATTGAGACATATGAAACCACAATATGCCCTGGAGATACGGTCTCTTTCCCGCCCAAACACAGGGCTAAAATGATCGGTTTATCAACAGCGAGAGAAGAAATTCAATAAACCTCGAATGCAGACTGTCGTCAAAATTGGCAGTTGCTGGCGCAATGCCCCGACTCAGAGCTACAGTCTCGCGTGGATGACGGCAGAGATACTTTCCCGCACGCCCAGGCCAGCTTCAGAACTCGGCTTTGGTGCCTATTCGACCGTGCATTGGGTCAAAAAGGGCCTACCGAGGATTTACTGGGCTTGCTCAACGCCGTTTTTAGCGTTGTCAGCCGTCAAACCCTAATAAACAGCCCGATGTATTGCGTTTTGCTGTTTGTTTCGTTTCCAGCTTTCGGATCCGCCTGCCACCTGTTAATTCTAAACCTAGTCCTTGGAGGTATCGTGTACCAACTACTTGTACGTCCAGCCACCAAAGAGCTGGTCTGCTGCACCCGGATACGAAGTCCGTCATCCTTTAGCGGAAGCGCGCCCGCGACTCCACGAGATTTGAGCGTCAAGCACGAACACAGTTTGAATTTCGGATCTGCTGACCAGCGGTCAATCAGTCTCCCCGCGCATCATTCCGTACAACTTGAGAATCGATCGATCGCAAAGCGGGGACCTCTCTGAGTCAGCAAACCTAGATGGCACGACCCAGGTACTCGGTACCGAACTTGTCGATTTATCCAAGCACGTTCACCTGAAATACCGCCTAGAGACTCGGAAGCACTGTGCCATCAATCCATATTTTGGGACTTTGACATCTCTTGTCAGCTTCAGTATGAGTCAAAACTGGCAAAAGATCGGATGGAACGTCGCTTGGAGACGCGCGGACGCACAGGCTTTCCTGTGAAGAGACAGGCTTCGTGGCAACCATATAGGGAAGCAATCATGAAGCCACATCCTACATGAAGTAACAGTAAGTTGACAGTCTTGGGACAGCTTTGCATGACCCATTGCCTGAATTGGCTGGTCGTCCTTGGTTTCTACTATTGAGGCCCAAGAGTGACAGTGCGCTGATCATGATACATCCGACATCTCTGTATCTTTAAAGATCGGATGACAGCTCTGAAGACAAGATCTACATCTCCCTGACCTATATGGGCGACCTTAGATCTATTCATTTGTCATTCTCGGAAGGTTGGCCCCATAGGTGAATGGCGAGAGATCTCGAAGATGGTAGATGACCACGACGGTACTCAAGATGTTTCCCAGCGGCGCATATATCGGTCCTTTACCAGAGAAGAGCTCTTCAAGAGTTCTGTGCTGTTTTTCTCGATAAATCATTCTACCGACTTTGGATGTCAGTTCGCCCAACATACTCAGGCCTTGGACATTGAATGCAGCTAGTAGTGCTTCCCGGCATCCACAATCAACGAAACCATCTCCCTGGTCGCTTGAGGGCATTGATCCCTAATCGTGTCAATAATGAAGACAAGTGCGTGACCCACAAGGTATATTGTTTCCAGATGTGTAAGTCGGTTCGCACACCGCCGACGGACCCCGGTCCCAGTGCAATTTGTTTGATTGTGATCGTGATCAAACTCGGTTGACTAAGACTTGCTCCGTCGGCAGGGCGATGGGCGATGTCCGACCGATACCCCCCAAGGGCGAAGGAAGAGGAGATCTAGCTAACTAGTAGACAAAGCGGATCTGTTAAAAGGCCAGAACGGCACGCTGCCGCCATCCGTTCGAGGTATGAAGGCCGCGTACCCACATATACCTTCACTAGCTTCAGTATGCCAGACACCAGGTAATGCTGTTCATTGGGTCGATATGGTCATGGCTATCAGCCCATCACTCTGTGGGAATGACACTCTCTTCCGGGTTTGCCCCGATGCTAGACCAAGAAAAGTATCAAGGACAGATCCCTTTTCCAAAAAAAAAAAATTCAACATCGTGTTATAACAGTACCAGACTTTGTGTTCTGCCAGCTTGAAACCCCTGCCTTAGAGGCTTCTGCTATGAGCAGCACATGCCGAACTGGACTCATATCTCTCCAAGCAAGGGAACCAATGAGAGGACGACCTTTACTTGATATTTTTTGATCCTGATAGGTTCTTAGCGTGAATAATAGATATTCAATGTATCCTTAGGGGAAACCCTGATGCTCAGCTTGACCTGACCTGACTTGCTCGCATGAGTGCATGTTTTGCGGCATAGGTGGGTCTCTACCCTCTCTGTTGCCATGCAGTGGCCCAAGGTGTTAGTTTCAAGACTCTCCCATATATTCCATTTCAATATTCAAGTAATTCTCTTGCGGGCTACGTGCTCCGATCTATTGCGGTGGGTGGGTGTGAAGTTAGCATGTATGACGGCTGTGAAATTTCTGTCGTCCAGATAGATCCCTGTCGAGCACCGAGGGGTCGGGATAGGCTTACATTCACTCTGGTGAAGAGATATTCTCCAGCTGGAAATCCAGTCGCGCTCTGATTCATCGAACCAACACAGTGTTCGGTTTGTTGGCAGCCTGCTCCAAAAATCTCGATTCTCGAGTCATGTAGAAAATGCTTCAACTATATCGCTTGGCGGTTTACGACTAGGAGAGTCAATAGCCGGTAAACCGCTAATTATTTCTGGTATAGATCCTACCTGCAGGAAATCCTGGAGATCCAAAGATTCGATTAGTTGTCAAAGACGTTACGTTGGAGACACATAAAGGGGCTTAATCATAAGGGGTGCCTCTCTGAGTCATGGGGGTACAAGACGACGTCATTCTTGACTCGCAAACGGGAAAAGTGGCATCACCGCACAACTCGTTCGGAGGGGTTGACAAAGTTCCAAACGCAGGGCGTTGCTTGAGCCCGCTCACCACTTTGTACCGTCTGACCACATGCGCCGAAGCTGACCCAATAACGGATGAATACCCATCATCATCATCATCATCAGTGACACACAGGCAAGCGACGATGGTCTCCCTACTTGTCGGCGTCTTCCTCATCCAGCTCTTTTGCCATCTCGTCCTGACCATCGGCTCCAAACCCATCAACGATCTGGTATGGCTAGAGCACACACATATCACCCCCTCGTCCCCTTTCGCTCCTTCAATCGAGAAATACATCCACTTGGAAATCCCATATAGCCTACACTAAAACGTTTCTGACTTACAATTTACAGCTATGGCAGATCTGGTGCCGCCTCCCGTTCGCATCGTCGTCAAGGGACATGCAAGAGCAGGTCCAACTGCGTCGGGAGGTCGTGCGCCTCAAGCGCGAGATGAATGCCATCAGTGCCCAGGACGACTTTGCCCGGTGGGCTAAGATTCGCCGCGAGCATGATAAGGCGCTGGAAGCGCATGATAGGAAAGGTATGTGGAACCGCGAACGAGTCTTGCGTGCTACTGGGAGGGACCTCGTCGTCTTCTTCTCACCGCACATTTGCATTCCGCGCTGTTTCTTCTTCTTTTCTTCGGTCGCCGGCAAAGGGCTGACTTGGTGGGCTACAGCTGCGAACGTCTCATCAACAAGAGGCTCCTTCGACACCAAAGCCGGCATCGTACGGTGGCTGTCCACAACCGGACTGAGATTTGCCCTTCAATGGTGGCACGCAAAGACCCCTGTTTTCACATACCCGCGCGGATGGTTCCCGTGGTATGTCGAGTGGGTTCTGGGCTTCCCTCGATGTCCTTACGGCGGCGTTAGTATCAATGTCTGGAGCACGGCGTGCGGCACGGCGATTGCACTGGTCTCCGATGTCATTGTCTATATTGTTCTCTACGTCCAGGAGTCCAAGAGTGGTGCGACGGTCAAACAGAAGGAGACGCACAGGGTCAAAGTGCCTGTCCCTGCTGGGAAGACTTGATGAGATTTGACCTCTGTTCAGAGAGGCGGTTTCTCTGTTTCTCTTCACGGACCATTTAGATGAGACATGGGAAGAAAGAGAGAGAAAATGAATATTAGATTTGTGTCTCTCCAACTATTATTTCTCAACATGAAGATGCTCTTACGCATATCTGGATAGGCATATTAATAGTTCATCAGGAGTTTTCAATCGTTGCTCGTCAATGACCAACCATGCTCATTTCGAGGTCATGGAGATCTAAGTGCTTGACTCTATGATTGGTATATCATCACTTGAACCAGCCCATTCCTCTCAAGTATTTTCGGTTTCCACCTCTTGCCTCATCTTGAGACCATGGTTGTCCGAGTCTGGTCCCTTTGATAGGACATCTGCGACACACGAGTCGCCGCTTTGCATTTAAGCTACAGACCCAAAAAAGTGTGGCTCCGCGCCTCAAGAATAAGCCCCGTCGAGTTACTCTGTCATGAAACCCCTTGAGAGGAGTAGAGACCGAGCAATCGCATAACTGTGTACGTGTGACGAATTGCGCAACCTTCGAACCAGCTCTTGGATCCCATGAGAACTCCACCTCTTCCGCTCCCAGTATCGCACCCTCGCTATCTCTTTCCCAGAACAGTCCCCAACCGCCCGGATACCTCATTCTATCTGCATCAGAATGCCCAGCCCGGAGGCCCAAGGGACGGACTCGTATCTTCATCCAATCCGGACACCCATCACGCGTCAAAAAATGAGGCATACTGTGGGTGGAGGTTCAAAGTTGCAGAGAAATGCAAGCGACAAAGAGGTTAGAGCTAGAAAGAAGACGGGTGTCAACGAGAAGAGGGGAAGGCGTGTGATAAGCCGCTGTGAAAGTGCTTTTATGGCGGCGCCTTTCGGCAAGTCCTAAAATCCATCTTCGGAAAGATGCTCAGGTGGTCCGGGGACTTTCTCCCAAAGCATGATGGGTGTGCAAGATGAGCGTGTTCTCCTGAAGAAAAACAACTGTGCCTTGCTGTGCGTAAGCTTTGAATGCGATTCTTTGAGCGCGGAGATGTTGCGAAGAAGGAGATCAGAGACACAGACGGATAATTTTGAACGTTTTGCTTGGAGAGATGACAAAACTGCCAAGAAAAATAAACCAAACATGCCAAGCTGTTGAGGTCAGAGGCTAGAGCCTTTCTGGTTGGTCCCTGTCCCTGGGGAACTTTCGCTCACATCTCCGAACGCCTTTCCTGCCATTGACTCCGACAGACCTAGCTTTTATAGCAGTGCTCAGCGTCTGTAACCACAAGGGCCAGAGCAAATTTGTTCTTATCGCCGTTCTTGCCTCTACATAGAAACAGGAACATCAGTGTCTTGGGTCGGAAACAGACGCAATATCAGACGTGGACTACTGCCCTCTGACAAACTAACACCTTGCGTCATGGCTCAGCGAGGTTTGCGGCCGTTGGCCAGTGTGGCCTCTCACTGCAAGCGAGCAACAACAGGATCGATTTATCGACGAGAGTCAAGCATGCTTGTGACCAGCTCGAACCTCAATACATCACCATCCATCAAAGAACAACAGACGACACGACAAGTTTCGGCACAATGCTCCATCATCCCTCTTCGACGAGCTCAAGTCAAATCTTATGTACAATCTCGGAAGGGGTCGTCAGAATCTTCTTCAAGTGCGCTCAAGCAGACTCCCTTGTATGGTCTTCACTCTAGCTTGAACGCCAAATTGGTCCCCTTTGCCAATTTCTCCATGCCCCTGGAATACCCAGACCAGTCGCACCGGGAATCTCATCTTTGGACGCGAGAACACGCCTCATTATTCGACGTATCTCATATGGTGCAGCACAAGCTATCTGGAGAGCTGGCAGAGGAGTTTCTCATGACTATCACTCCAACTGCACTCAACGAGATCGAAAAACATTCTTCCAGCTTATCGACCTTACTCAACAAGGAAGGCGGAATCGTCGATGACACGGTCATCACCCGCATAGGCAAAGATTCTTTCTATTTCGTCACAAATGCTGGCTGCCGCGAGACTGACCTTCCATTCATTGAATCTGAACTAGCCGACTTCCTAAAGTCGAAATCTGCGTCCAAGGACAAAGTCAACTGGCACATCCTAGAGCATCATGCGCTAGTCGCCCTACAAGGACCTGAAGCTGCAACTGTTCTTCAAGCCCTCGTATACAACGACCTGGAAGATGAAGGTCTTGATACTGATCTTAGCACTCTATACTTCGGTACAAGCCGATGGTTACAATTGACCCTCCCAGAAAGTGGAATGAATACCCCATCTCTCCTGATCAGCCGAACGGGTTACACTGGCGAGGACGGCTTCGAAATTTCTATTCCTCCAGAGAACGGAGACTCGACCGAATTGGCTACCTCCATCGCAAAGGCACTGACTGTCGATTCGTCAAAAGTCCGCTGGGCAGGTCTCGGAGCACGAGACTCGCTCCGCCTCGAAGCAGGCATGTGTCTGTACGGACATGACCTTAACGACAAAATCACACCGCCCGAAGCCGCGCTTGGTTGGATTGTGAGCAAGTCTCGTCGTAGCGAGCATCCCAAACCTCCATTCAACGGACATGTCAAGATCAACAAACAACTTGCTTCACCGAAAACGATGCAAGAGCGACGTGTTGGCTTCATAATTGAGAAAGGCCCCGCAGCACGTGAAGGAGCCGAAATCCTCGACCTCGAAAACGACAATAAAGTCATTGGCCACATCACTTCAGGAAGTCCGAGTCCCAATCTTGGCGGACAGAATATCGCGATGGGCTACATCAAGAACGGCTTTCACAAGAAAGGCACTAAAGTCGGTGTCAAGGTCAGGAAGAATGTAAGGAAAGCGGAAGTGGCCAAGATGCCGTTTGTCGAGAGTCGCTTCTATCGTCCAGCTTGAGAAGGAAAACCATCAGTGGATAGTGTATAATGTGGAGTTGTTGAGAAGACAAAATGTTCCATCATTTCTTCAAACGCGGGGTGGTGATCTTGTAGCAGGTCAATATGTCTAGCTACCTGGGTGTGTAAAGCTTGCGAGCGCCCTGAATGGTACCTTGCAAGCTTGTTGTACGTCATGATACAACTACCGAGTCTCATTTCTTCAGCAAATAATTCCCCGACCGAGTGATATGACACTTTGCCGAACTTTCCTATGCCTGAAGCATCTCTTGATCGATCTCTAAGCCAGATCGATTAGTTCTCGCAAACTCCGGGCGAAAAGGAGCAAGGAATTCCATTGCAACCGTGGCTTGGACTAGGGTGAAAACACGCCTATTCAGCATCGAAGCTGTGGCCAGAGACAGTCAAAACAGCGGGATGCCTATATTAACAAAGCACGAAGCTCGCGCTGGAGAACGCCGATCGACGCTGTCAATAAGGACCAAGATTGGCCGTCGCACTACCATCATATCGGTTGCGAGGCTTTCAGTCATGCTACAGAAGGATATCCCGCGACTTAGAAAGAGAGATTCGCGCGCCCAAACTTCCACGTCGCCTACTTTGTCAAATATGACTCGTTCGAACGAAGACCAGATGAACCAAGGATGACTGGGTTGCGGCGCCGCCTCCGACCTTTATATGGTTCGGGTGGATACCGTGAACGCCCTTCCTGTGGGAAAAGCTCAACAAGGAGGTCGATATCAGATACTAATCCGGCCCTGAGGAAGACTGCAATGCTCCATGCCTCGTCAACGCTCTCCATGGTTTCCAAGAAATATGCCTCTTGCCCTGTGACAATCCAATTTATCAGCACTCCACGAGATGCGCGACCCACATTGAGAACTAAGTTAGACCGTGTCATAGCAAAGAAAGACATAATAGTCTCTCCATGCCGAGGATCGTGTCCCTTTCTTCTAAGCTCAAAAGGGAGCCGAAATCACCACTAGCCCAGAACCTCAATCGCTGACGCATTGACGATGACGGTGACAAATACATATCCCAGAAGCTGCTGCAACAATGTCAAGAAATTCCTTCAAGCTACGTCGTTGCTGAGGTTGCAGAATGATTGACTTCTGAATTCTCTCTCCATGATTGGTCTTTTCGGGCTTCACGGAAGCGGGATTTTGTCATATGTCTAATCTTCAGGGACATACTGGAACTGAAATGTGGAGTGAATTATCTGCCGGTAGATGCTGTAGTAATATCAGTCCCAGTGATAGAGGGGCATACCGAGCTGGTTGCTCCGGTACTCATGTGAGTTATCGCACCGGGCTTCAAAGCCCCAATTTTATGAATTCCGGTGTGCAAGGGCGACCATACCGTACTCCTTGATTGATGAACATGTCTCAAACGACCGAAGTGGTGGTCCTGACAGGATTTTCCTTCTCTCGATTATTATCCTGGTGAGGACACCTATAGGATGGATGCCTCAAGAGGTCCTATACTATACTTGTAGGAGCTGGTCCCCAGGACTGACTCGCTTGGATTAGCTACTTTAGATTGTTTCTTCCTGCCCAACCCACACCTCCCTTCTAGGACACTTTCATTTCAAAGCAACAAATCCCCATTATGTGCCACTCCTGCCTGAGGATGGTAAGCCTGCTGTGGAGCATTCTGGTTCACGACGTATGGATTGCCACTCAGATTGTTTGTTGGGCTGGTGAGTATATCGCCACCGCTGTTGTCACTTAGGCTCAGGTTCTTGAAATAGTCATCCGCCGCTGCAATGGCTGCCTGGTGGCCAGGAAGCGGCGTGCCGCCAGGGGTCGTAACGGTCGTATTGAGAAACAGTGGGTTGGCAAGGTTCATCGGCGAGCCGAGCACATTGTTCATGTCTTCTTTCTTCTTTTGTAGCGCTGGTGAGTCTTGCAGTCGACGCGTTCGTGCGGTACGGAACACTTGTTGTACCGGTTTGAGGTAGATAGTCGCCAAAGTGCCTATCCCCAGGCACAACTCTTCGAGGGTGGCAGGGTCGAGTTTCTCACTTTCCGCAGAGATTGGCGGCTTTGTTCCCATTACAACTTTCTTTGCAGTGACAGGGTCTGCAGAAAGTAGTCGCCAGTACATGAAACCTCTATCCCTTAGGTCAGGATCATCAACTTCTTCGGTGCACCACTTCAACACTTGGGGCACGATTGACGATCCTTTGGTGGGACGGTGCAGGAACAGTTTGACCGTTGCGGTGAGGAGCGAAAGCTGCACCTCAATTGGCTCGTCATGGAAAGTTGCGAGGTAGTCTTGCAGAAGAGAATCGGCATTGTCAATTCGATCCGCGTACTCTCCAATGATCCAGACGATCGCAGCCTTGGCTTCAGGTTCATCGAGGTCGTCTATTTGACCAATCACAGTAGAAATAACCGACTCGTATTGATTAGGATATTTACGAAAGATGTTTTTGATGACAACTGTTGCTTCTTGAACAATGTAGGGTATTTTGGCATTCACCAATTCCAGAAGTGTGTCGATACATTGACGAGCAGCCGGTTCAATCTTGATGGCGAGTTTGCCTATTGCGCGCACAGCTTTGCGCACGAATTGGACATCAATCTCGGTTGCATATTCTCTGAGCTCGTTCAGAACCACAGATATATTGTTCTTGTTGGCCAACATGAATATCAGCTCCAGTTTCGTCACCTTGACGTAGATCGGATCATTGTACTTGCAGAAGAAGACGCGAATGTCATTCTGAAGCACCTCGGGACGTTGTTGCAGTATCAGAATAGCATTTCGTAAAGCGAGATATTGTATCTCGGGTGGTTTTGCAAGTAATGTGACAAGAGGTGGCGACAGTTTGCGTGATAATTCATCAATCTTCTTTGCATCTGCAATGTAGTTCATCAAGTACATGATGACGCGTATGCAAGTAAGCACAACAGCGGAGTTTGAGTGTGAGAGACGTGAAGCAATCCTTTCGGCCAATAGAAGTGCCTCTCCGGATTCCTGAGGCACGTAAGACATCAGAGACTCTAGAATGTATGTCTGTGACCATTCATTGCAATCCGGAAGGATGGAAATGATTTTGGATGCGCTTGAATAATCAATTGTGAGTCTGATGTTCTCGTTCCTCTCCCAAATGTCCTTGAGGGAAGCAAGGGCACTGGCGACAACGGTCGGGTTGTCATCCTTCAACATTCTGTTCAGTCTATCGATCAGATCCGATCCTTCGACCAGGCGCTTATCATGGTCGTAGATCTTGGCGACAGTAATGGCAGCAGTCTTGCGAACATATGGATCTTGATCACCCATGAGCCTTTTCAGAGGACCCACAGTCCCTTCAACGAACTCACGAACATGGATGTACGAGACTGTTCGTAGTGCTAGGGCTCGGATTAACGGATTCGGGTCTTCCATATCCTGACAAGTTTAGAGTCATCCAGATTTCCAGGAAGGGAAGTCTCAAACCTCTTGCAATAGCGGCAACGCTCGCAATGCCACGTCGGGCTTTGTGCGGGCATAATGCTGAAGGTATAAAAATGACCTGAAACTAGTTAGCGTTTGCAATCTAATGCTCGAAAGTGGCTCAGCTACATTTTCTTGATTTCCAAAATCGGAATTTGCATGCAAGCAATGATATCTGGAAACAAGGCAATCATGTCGTTGTTGCTCATCGTCATATTGGCCACGATTTTCTTGAGGGCATTTTTCTTTGCCGTATGATTCTTGTCCTTCTTTCCGGTGCCTGCGAGTTCTTGTCGTAGCTCTGCAACTTTGCCCTGTTCAATTGTGTGAGCAGGGGGTGGCTCAGGGGTATTTGCGAGTCCAGCTTCCGCAAGACCCTGATGAAGCTGGTGGATGGTACACCACTCGCATCGACAGACTTGCTTTGCATCAAGCAATGCATCACGCGCGCTGTCATCAGGGCCCGGAGCCATTTGTTGATTCCTTTACATGAACACTAGATGGGAAGTGCGAAGGGCAGGAAAGGTGGTGGTTGTAAGAAATGAGACCACATGGTGAGACATCAAACAAAGAGAGAGAAGTGGAAGCAGCTGGGCAGAGGCAGTTGGAAAGCGCAAATACCACTTACACGCGCAAATAGTTTGGCATCACCCTGATTCGAAGACATCTTGACTCGTCAATGTCGACTTTGTTCACTGTTTTCTTCACCTCCGCTGACGTCTCAGCAGCCAGGGGCTTAGTGCAACTTAGAGAAGATATCCCGTCAAGTCATGCTATACTAAAGCCATTTCTCTCACTATTTGCCTCGAGGATTGTAAGTGTGAGGATGAGGATGAGGTATTGGAGATCTGAAAAGATCATTCGAAGAGTGTAAGATGAGCCCTTCTTGACCGACGACTTTACAGGCCTGGTCACAAGGGTATCGAGTTCACGGTCGTCCGTTCGTGCCAAGCCTCCACGGAAGCTGTGTTCTTCCGTGCCGGCATTTACCTGCCCTCAGTTCTAACATCAAACGCATATCATGCCTTCAACCCGCAACAGCCTAGCCAACTCACATTCTCCGCGCAGGTCTTCCCCTCAAAGATGAACCCAGCGCCTCCTAAATGGGTCGTTGACCTGAATAATGGATTCCCCGCCAAATCAAAGAATGCCGCCAGCATCCCCGACCCTCCTGGCTTCACCAGCACCAAAGCCCTCACAGGAAAGCAGGTTGGTGCAAATGTAACATGTTGCAAGCACTCTAGCTAAACAAGATGTAGAAGGCACAAGCAAGTGGCCGAAAACCACCGACTCCCGAGGAAACGCAGACGTTGAAGATCAAGAAGGCATGGGAGATCGCTCTAGGCCCTGCGAAACAACTGCCCATGCAGGCGATCATGGGCTACATGTCCGGCAACTCATTGCAGATATTCTCCATAATGATGGTTTTCATGCTGTACGTATAGCGCTTGAAGCTGAAATATCTGGGTCCTAACAATGCGCCAGGTTCAAAGGTCCCATCCAGGCGATCTCACAAACAAACACCGCCTTCTCCAAATTCGATAGCGCTGGCACTCGGACACAAATGCTGGGGATTAAGGCCGTCTACGTCCTCATGCAATGTTTATTACTGGGCTTAGGAATCTACAAAGTGAACAGTATGGGCTTGTTACCAACAACAAGGAGTGACTGGCTGGCCTGGGAATTTGAAAGACAGCCCCTCGAACGGGCATATTTTGCTTTTGGCCAATAATAGAATTCATATACAACTGGCTGGATGTGGTATTTCCGCACGCTCACGAATCAAACTCAACTGTCAATCTAGAAGACAAAATTCTGAAACAGGTTTTTAAACAAGAATGAGGTCTCCTCCCCAGGCTGCCCATGTTCGTCAATACTTTCCCGACAGCGCCTGTACTACGACGACAGTTTCCACGCCCGGTTCTGGGGAATTAATGTATACTGTTGCGCGTGCCACACTGGCGAATTGACCGCAGGAGAGATATTTATGGTCGATCATTTAATGCTGTCCACATTCTTAGCTCGAAGGAAAGGGAATGATCAAATTGTAAGAGTCTCGAGTTGCCATCGCGATGTTCACCGTTGTCCCCATATCCAAGAAGGGCGGGAAATACTTAATAAGACGCTTCAAGCATTTTGGAAGCGAACTTTCCGGGGCCGGTGACCCTCAACTAGATCCTGGATCCGACCTAAAGAGGGTGCCTCAGGCACTTGGTCGCTTTCTTTCTCGATGATAGGCAGAGGGTCGCTAGCATTCGAGGCATTTTGTGGTTCGCCTCGCTCAAGAGCAAGAGCCTCGAGTTTCTCAGCCATCTCCTCGCCAGCGCCTTGGGACAGGGCCAGTTTCTGAGATTTGTGTTAGCCATATGATGTCAGTAGAGTAAGCCATAAGAGGCGTTGGAACCGTTGAATGTCGACCAATATGAACCAAGCCCGGGTCTTCTCACCATACTATGTCGTTACAAAGCCCAAGCCTAGCTGGTCGAACCCAATAACAAAAGGAATCGAGCTGGAAATTATACTTACATTCAACGGCTCCACCAATCCACCACCACCACCATCTGCCTGTATCTCATCCAGTAACTTCACATCGACCCCAAGCAACGCTTCCTGGCGAAGCCAGGCAGGCTCCGTCCGGAGCTGGGCTCTGACAAAAGCGGTGCGCTCACGACAGGCAGAGGAGCAAAACTTCTCGAGCTCGGCGCGATCAAGGAGGCGGAAATCCTTGCCACCCTTCTGATTCCACACTTTCTGGCCCGCGTTGACAATTTTCTCGTTGGGCCGCGGACACAGCGAGTAGCCGCAGCGGTCGTCGACGTTGCGCTCGTAGATCAGGTCGTCGAGGTCGGAGGGCCGGAACACCGCGAGACATTGCTTAAAGAGCGTGGCGTCTGCAGCGAGCGGCCGGCCTGGATCCGCGTCCGGGCGGGAGGGCAGGTCGTATGCCTCGACGACCAGGTCCGCGATCCGGGATTGTAGTCGTTTGCGCCCTTCGATGTCTTGCGCGTGTCGAAGGGCGGTGTTGCGGATGCGTTCTTCACGATCGGTCGTGGCTGGAGCTGAGGTTGTCGATGTCATGTCGTTGGCGTTGTTGGCGTGCCATTGGTTTTATTGGTGCATCAGTGGATCGGTGGCCAGTTGCGTGTCAATGTGATGATACAATCTGGCTGAGAGATATCACATGAAGGCTGAATCTTCACTACCTGAGTACCTGAAGACGTCCGTAGAGAGAAACGGATCGTTCAAGAAAATAATCCAAGTCGAGAATGAATGCGGGGAAGTTGCCTGGTCGGGTCTATTTGTCCAAGCCAAAGGCCTCGCGCGATAGCACGATTACGAGGCTGCCACTTGCCACAGCAAGATGAATATTGGATCTTAGTGGTTTTGGATTCTTGTCTTTCATTGAGTCTTGCTCTTAAGCTTGAGGCATAACGCCGTGTCGTCACCGAGGCATGGAACAGTCAAATTTAATTCATTACTTGTAGATACGGGCAGCTACTCATCAACGACTTTATATCATGAAAAGCTAAAAATTATACCTAGGAAATCAAGGGAGGACATAAGACATACATTGACGCCACACCTCCATAACAGCTTCATATAAGCCATTTTCGGGATCTGCCATTAAACCATCTTGCCATCGGGAGTGGGCGAAGGTCCCTTCTCTCGGAAGTGTCACACTCTCCTCCTTCGCCTTTGGTTCTTCTGCTCATTGCAATCTTTGGGGTTACTGTTACCGACGCTGGATTGCTTTTCGCTGCATCTGTTCTGTGTTCCTGATGCGCTTGAGAACCTGAATTGAGAAACCCTGGGTTTGGAGGTCCAGTGGCGGTTGTTTCCGACAGAGGTACAAGGCATTGGAACGGAACGTGAAGCCTTTCGGTCATAGCATCGACCATAAAGGCGCATAGAAGAAGAAGGTCGTTTGTAACAAACGAAGTGAAGACTACCGATGTTAATTGTTGTTGTCTTGTTGTACTTGTTGCGTATTGAAAGGACAAGGCAAACTGACAGAGGAAGACTCGCAGGCTATGGGGAACATCCATCGAGCTTGATAGAGAGGATTTCCTCGGGCATCGCCTTGCAAAGATGAGATGTTCAGGGCCAACAATGATGTGAAGAAGGATAATGGGGGCTATGTGGGATATCATTGCGAAAGTATTCAATAAACACCTTCAGAACTTACAAAGATGATTGTGACGCTTGTGGACACCAGTAGAGTTCGGCTCTGGCGAACAGACTCCCCGGCCCATTCTTGCGAGAAAAGAGCTTACGGAATGTTGATGCCGCTTTGTTCCAAGCAGAGAATGCCCATAACCTGTGCATCGAATTAGAAGTCATTCGCTGCGAAAACAGGTAGGGAGTGGATGGCTTACAGCGTCCTGTATTGTCCTGGATGTTTGATCCATTTCCTCAATGTCGAGAAGAACGTACAAAAAGCCCTTTCTCACGAATGGCGTCTGGAGTTCACTCACATAACCCCTGCCACACATTTTTCAGGCAAAAGAAATTCAAGACGAGCTCAACACACTCAGAACACTGTTGACTTCCAGTCATGGCTACATTTGCATCAGCGCTACGCCCAAGCAATAGCGCAATGGCGGAGCCCTGTCCATCAATACACGGCCATTTGCGCATAGAGCTTTTGCAGAGAGGAAGGCCAAAGTGAGAGTCAGTCACAACCACTTTTGCAGCCACCCCCTTGAAAGGGAGAACGGCAAGCCCGCAGGCAGTCTCTACGCACACGGAGCGGTGGTGGCTCCATTGCTGTCGGGTTCTTGTAGTTCCATGAACGAGGTAGTCTCTGGATTTGCATCCATGAGCGACTTCAGAGCATGTAGCAGTAGCGAAGTGGTCCCCGACGAGCCCAGAGTTGTAGTTGGTGTTGACGGCCAGAACATTGACACGGTAACTATGCCTTGGGAACAGTCGTGGGGCCCTTTGCTTAGGCTCTACCCCGTAATTATACGGAGCACAGAGTACGGAGTTTCTTTCTCAAACCTTCGCGAGAGGGAAGCCTTAGAGAATGAGAACACAGCAATACCTGGCAGCCTGCCCTGCTTGTATTACGTAGTCAGCTAGTGACTTAGTGGTATCATTAGCGAGTGAGTTAGTGGTGTTGTCAGCTATCTAAGGAACACTAAAGCGCCAGTAGTCAAGCCCGAATTCCTCGCTACAGGTATTAGTGGTATTGGTGGTCCGTCCTCCGTACTAGTATCGCCCACCAAGCCCATAACCGTCCCTGCAAGAAGATGTGAGGGAAGGTACGGAATACCCACCTGCTACCTGCATAATACCGTTTGGGTCGTAGTTACCTTAGGTCGTGCTCGACCCCACGTTCAATGAGCCACTTCTGTCCACAAACTCGAACTTGGATCTGGCACAATCCGTTTGCAACTCCTCCAACGTGACTGCGACTGTATTCTCTATGCAACTACAGGGCTCGCTGTCCATGTGATCCAAGAGTTGTCAGTATTACACTCAACTTGGCACGTATTTGACCGGAAGTGGCGCAGGTGCTGCGTCACCGTCCTTGTGCCCGTCTGGTCCCTTGTGTTCGAGTAAGATCTCCCGTCCTCGTCCCTCCACAACAGCTGCCTCTGCGCTGCCTCCGCCATCCTCGCTCAACATCTGCACAAACCTTCGACATGCCTTCGGTTCCATTCAAGGTCAAAGCCGTCTTTGACTATAAGTCGGATGAGCCGGACGACCTCAATTTCTCCCTCGGTCAAATCATCACCGTGACCGAAGAGGAAGATGCCGACTGGTATACTGGCGAATATGTTGATGCTTCTGGAGACAAACTCGATGGGATCTTTCCCAGGAACTTTGTCGAGAAATATGAGCCTCCTGTCCCCTCTCGACCTGCTCGAGCTCCAAAGCGAGCTCCGCTTCCAGATCCTGTTGAGGAGACCCCAGAGCCTCCTACAGCGCAGCCTGTTGCTCCCACTCCTCCCGATCCGGTGGACCACCCGGAAGAACAACACATAGATTCCCCTAAAGACAAAGATGTTGTGGAGCCAGCCAGGCAAGAGCCATTACCATCACCTCCCATTTCTACTATTGCTGTCTCTGCTTCCAAGCCGCCCACCACTAAACCCGCCGCATCCAAACCGCCTCCACCTGTCGCAGAGAAACCGACTTCAAGCTCTTTCAAGGATCGAATAGCGGCGTTCAATAAACCTGCTGCGACTCCAGTCACTCCATTCAAGCCCGGTGGTACCGGACCGGGGGGTACTTTTGTCAAGAAGTCATTCGTCGCTCCACCACCGAGCAGAAATGCCTATATCCCACCCCCAAGGGAACCACCGCCACCGCAAAAGTTCTACCGCCGTGAAGAAGACCCCACCCTCCAAGAGTCCGAACCCAGGGACGCACAAACAGAACCACCTGCTCAAGAAGACGCCCCTGTCGAAGACCAACCTAAACCCCAAAGCTTGAAAGATCGGATAGCACTTTTACAGAAGCAGCAGCTAGAACAGGCAGCAAGAAGTGCCGAGAAGAGGGACAAGCCCAAGAGACCTCCTAAGAAACGGGTTGAATCTACAGAAGAGGTTGAGCAGACTGGGTTGGCAGACCCAGCTCTCGCTAAGGTGGAAACCAACGAAACCGTAGGTCGCCCGTCAGGCGACCTCGCTGAGGAGGCAACTCATCCTTCTACCAACATTGCTACTGTCACACCGCAGCCCCAGCCTTCGAGGGAACTAGTTAGTGATACCAATGATGCTGATGATTCAGGCGCTGGGGACGAGGAGGACGCACAGGAAGTCTCTACCGAAGAGGAACGGCCCAAGGCCAGATCCTCAGAGAAATCATTTTCAGATCCACCCAAGCAGAAACCCAATACTGTCGAAGATGGCGAAGATGGCGAAGATGGAGAAGATGACGAAGAGCAAGAGGAGGAAGAGGAAGAAGATCCTGAGATTAGACGGAGAAGGGAGCTGAGGGAACGGATGGCCAAGATGAGCGGAGGCATGGGTATGATGGGTATGTTTGGCCCTCCTGGAGGACTAGGTGCCCCAGCGCCCGCCCGAAAGCCAAAAGCTTCAGCCGAGTCTAGTCGGCAAACATCGGAATACCATCAGCAGGAGGAGTCTCAAGAAAGAGCCACTCCACTTCGCGTAGCGCTTCCTGGAATGTCCAATATGGTGCCCAAACGGGAGGAGGAAGCCTCTGTGAATGATGGCAGTGACGAGGATGAAACCGCAAGGCCTACTCCTCGCGAGCCTTTTTCACATGGCGAGGCTGAGGATTATGTCTCCAAGCCCTTGCAGCGACGTTCAACTGATCGTCCTGCTCCCCCAACTCCACAGGGTATGCTCATCAGCCCCTTCTCATGCACTCTCCACTGACTTTCTACAGAGCGTCCGTTTCCGCCAGCACCACCACGCGAAGCGAGAGCGGTTCCTCCACCACCCCCAGCAGGTCCAAGACCAATCCCACCCACACCACAATCTCCAACCTCGGGTATGGTATCCCATCCATTGTACGGCTCTTCATTGACACTCCGTCCAGGCCGAACCGCCCCACCAATCCCATTGAGCCCAACCAGCCCTGACCAGACTGGTCATGACGAAGCAACCGATGAGGAGCGCAACTTGAACTCATCAAATATCACCAGATCTCCTCTGACCGATACTACAGCTAGCCCAAATTTTAACGCACCACCGCCTCCTCTCCGTAGAGAAGAGCCTCCCAGATTGGATACAACCGAGACCGGAATCTCTCCAACCAACGAAAAAAGAGTTAGTCGTGTTCCACCTCCGATTCCCATGAGTCCGACTTCCCCCCAAGCTCGGGCCCCTCCTCCACCTCCACCTGGCCAACCTCCAGTTAGACGATCAACTAGCGACTCCAGAGGTATTCCAGTAAAGCCTCCCGCGGATGAGGATGATGATGAGGAGGAGGAAGAAGTGACCGAGTATGATGGAGACTATGATACCGACATTGCTTCCAGTGCAAAACACAAGGATGCCTTGAAAGCCCACAACCGTGACTCCAGCCTCGACGACGGTGTGCTGACGGACGATGCCATAAAATCACCGAAAAGCCCACCACGCGGAGCGCCTCCTCTACCACCTGTCCCATCAGTGGCCGTACCTCGCGATACACCGCCACCTCTACCACCAGCAGCAGCCCCGAAGTCGAGGAAGTCTATGGATGCTCCCCGTGGCGCTCCTCCCCCCGTGCCTCCCCCCAAGGTCGCCAATGATGACGATGAAGACTATGATCCTTATCGATATGGTGTACAACCTCAGGGTGCCCCAACTTATCCGCCTAGGGGCCAGTACTCACAACTCTTGCAGTCCCCCAGGGAAGAAGTAGAAGAGGATGACTTGTATGGTGGCAGTCAGCCACCTTCCTCTATCCCTCCACCCCCTCCGCCATCTGACAGACCTGCTCCCCCTCCACTTCCCCCACAGGCCGATTATCAACCTCCCCCGTCATCATTCGCACCACCTCCTCCACCACCACCCGGCCCCCAGCCAGAACAAAATCTTGATGTCAAACGATCCGGTACGGTTTCTCGCCGCTCTATGGAGCATTCACGCACTAGTGGGGAACAGGGCTTTATTGCGCGCGATATTGATGTCGGGAAGAATTCACTTTGGTGGACTCAGGAAGCGCTTCCTCCGCCAGCACTACAGGGCCGTCAGGATGTATTATATGAGATAGAGACTTCGTCATCAGCGAACCGGAGTGGCCGAACGACTGTCTCTAAGGATGTGTTTGTGCTGTACATGGACTATTCCTCAACTACCGTCAATGCCAGTTTTGACAGTGCCGACCCTTCACACGCTACCTTTGAGCAGAACCACGAACGCCCCCCGCCTGCACCTAGGCGTGATCAACTTGAAAGCGCGTCAGGACAGTTCGGCGTGCAAATAAGCAGAGCCGCAAATAGTCTGGCAGGATCCGCTGTAGGTGATGGCTCAGGACAAGCCCTTGTTCTTGAAGTCTTGAAGCCTCATGGCACCGCCCTACGTCCAATTGGCAACAGAGCTTATGGTGCTTTAGTTTATGCTAATCTAGGCAATGCATCGACACAGCAATTTGATGAAATTCGACCTGGTGATATCGTTACTTTTCGCAATGCCAAGTTCGCCGGTCACAAGGGAGGGCTTCATGCGAAGTATAGCATGGATGTTGGAAAGCCTGATCATGCGGCGGTAGTGATTGATTGGGATGGTACAAAGAAGAAAATCCGTGCTTGGGAACAAGGTCGTGAGGAGAAGGGAAAGAAGCCAAAGGTGAGGGAGGAGAGTTACAAGGTTGGCGATCTCAAGAGTGGTGAAGTGATGGTGTGGAGAGTGATGCCGAGAAGTTGGGTTGGGTGGGATAAGAGTGGTTGAGACAATGGATAGACTGTTGAACCTCGCCACCAAGGAGGAAGCTTTCTCAACGACATAGCGCTGTTCCGCTTTGTAGGCTTTTAGCTGAACGACGACCAGCGACGAATTGAAAGAATATGCATCGACAATACAAAGCATAGCGCAAGAACTCTCCTTATATTAGATTCATACCAATATCTCATGGCCGAGTCATTGGATGTCGTTGACAGCCATTGCCATCACGCATGAAGGGAGACCAAGAGATGGTACAATATATCCAGGAAAAACATGGCAGATAAGCATACTTTTTGTCCTCAGATCATCCCAGGAAAGGTTTACTTGGACTACAACCACATGGACGATGGTCAAGTGTTTGATATTATCGACCACGACATCTATAGGTACTGGCGGTATTGGTTATGAATAGAGATCTGCTTCTTACAAGCTCAAACGCGCAACTCAGCCCTCGATTTTGATCTAACCACCATGCTCCTGTGGCGCGGCCGTCTTGTACGGCAGAACCGATCTCCTGATGCCCTCCTCCAGGTCAACCATAGGTTCATACTTGAGACGTTGCTTGGCCTTGTCAATGCAATGATAATGATTGAGTGTGCTATAGCGGATGCCGAAGCGCGTGAAAGCGGCCTTGCGGCGACCAAACGACAGAACCCAGGTCGACCACTCGGCAACGAACGCCATCGTCATCGCCACCCAGCGCGGGATCACCCGTACGTCCTTATCGTCAATCTCGTACCCGGCCGCGGCACCTATCTGACGCGCAAACGTCCAGAACCGGACTGGCTGATCGTTCGAGACGAGGAACGCTTCACCGTCAACGCGGCTAGCCTCTTCCACGGGCTGGTTGGTGTGGGACTCGTGCGTGATGAGGAGAGCCTGTGCCGCAAGAGAAAATGCCCGTGCACTGTTCTCGATATACGTCCAGTCTACCAGGTTGCTGTTGTCTCCAACCTGATATTTGTATTTGCCGTTCCGCGCGTTCTCGACCAATGCGACCGTCGTTTCCCCATGGTTGGCGCCGAACGGAGTGCATTGTCGGATTGAGACTGTGTGCATTTTCCATCGTCCTTGGCTTCCTTCGTTGCTGCTGGTGCTAGGGCCGTAGCCGTTAGCCTCCAACACCATCGTCTCCGCGACAGCCTTGCTGTGTGAGTAAGGTTCGCACTGCTGCGGCATGAACAGCACCGGCCACGACTCGTCAGCATTGCATAAATCGCTGTAAGAGTCGTGAATGACACCCGCAGAAGAATTGTACACGAATGCCTTGACCGTGCGAGTCTCTCGGGCGAGGTCCAGGAGGACACGCCGTGCCTCGACGTTGATGCGCATGTAATACGCGAGATCGTAGTTGAACATCGGCGGCGAGACCAGATCGAATACGACGGCCGGCCGCACTTGCTGCAGGACCTGAGCCAGTCGCGCAGAGTCACAGATGTCGCCCTTGTGGTAGTTAGCCTCTGGGATGAAGGCTGTATAGTACAGCTGGTCCGGTCCAACATGGCGGTCGAAGATGTGCACATCTTCTGCACGTGCGACCCCACATTTGGTCACGATATCAACGATGATGTGGTGTCCGATGATGCCACAGCCCTGGAAAGATTTAGTGCAAGTTATATATCTTCCAGAGAGATAGCGAGGCGAAAGCTGAAATGCTACCGTTTGATAGAACTTACCCCGATCAATAGAACAACACCAAATGGCTTCTCAACCACGTTCATGACTGCTCGCTCGCTGTTCTTTCTTCCAGTAGTTTGGCAAATGCAAGCCTCTGCTTTATTTTCAAGTCCTCCAACTCCTACATAGCTGAGACTTGAGAATGGGAAGCCCAAAAGATCACTTTCTGTTGTCCTGGTGGCCTGAAGGCTGAACCGAGTTCTGATATGAGTTCCATCTAAGGCTAGTCTAGTTGCTAGGATATTACTTTAAGGTGCGTGCCGTTCAAAAGTGGCGGATACATTTAGTACGGCGCATCATAGAAACATGCACTTGTGTGATTGCAGCCCACCGTTGCGGCGGCGTTGTTAGTGCCGCTGACCCATCGGGTCGGATGCATCGATAGAGAGATAAAGTCGTTTCTCTTCATAGTTGCTCTCTCATATAAACTGTCGGCTTCGCTTCGCAAGTTTGACTCTAACCCGAACCGATATCTCCGGTATTACTGGCTGTTAAGCCGGAAAGCAGCAGCCCTCATCTATTATTAGCGAACTCTGCTCACAAGACCACCTCGGTCCATGGCATCCAACATGTCTTCCGCGATTGAGGAAGAGGCCACTATCTCCATTCCCAGCCTGGCCTTTGTCGCTGTGCTGGGATACTTCATTTACCGATACTTCTTTTCTGCTCCGCGGGGCGGTACAGATGGCAATTCCTCGTCATCATCGAGAACTCCAGGCCTCCGATTCACCCCGGCGCAAGTCGATCACATCGCCCAGATGTTTCCCCAGCTCAGTCGACGTGATATCATGTGGGATCTACATCGCAATAGAGGCAGTGTACAGGCGACTATAGAAAGAGTATTATCAGGTCGAGGCTTGGAGCCGGTGAGTGATTCCACGAGACACGACAGTGATACAATTCCACCACGACTAACATCCGAGGTGTTTTTCAACTAGGCCCCACCCTCTTTCCAACCGCCACCAGCATTCACACCGACATCATTTGAGTCGACAGCCGCAACGACGACATCGACAGCAATCTCCACGGCCTCTCTACCGCCGGATCTGATCACGCGATACAATCTGCAGGCAAAGGTGAATTCGAAGGGCAAGGAGAGGGAAGAAGATGGTCCGCTGCCCGGCTGGCAGAGCAACAGAGATGCCCGTCAGAAAATGCTTCAGAACCGCAGAGATGAGATGATCTTGGCTGCGCGACGGAAATTGCAGGAGAAGGAACAAGGTGCACAGCTGCAGCAGGAGCCGCCGCAACCTACTGGACAGCCCTGTTAACGAACTTTTTTCGTTTCCGTCTTTCCACGGTTTGGTGTTGGCGCAGCGATAAGGACTTTTCCTGTCTTCAGCTTAGAGAAGAAGCCATGCGCTGGGTGGATCGCAAACGGACTTATCAGAGTGAACAGCCAATGACTTTGTGGAATGAACATATTAATGTATTTCATATCATGTCAGGTTTAGTCAGGTCATCTCGTCGTCTTCATCGGCGTCGTCATCGTTGTACCTGCGGTTCTCTCTTTCTTCGTCCTCCCGTTCGCGTCGAGCTTGTTCTCTACTAGCGTCAATCTTTCTCAACCCATCCATCACAGCCGTAATGAACCCCCGTGACTCAGAGATCTCCATGGCACAAACACCATCGAGCCTCAAGCCCACCCCGTCCCCGCTCAACACTTCGACGCCTTTCCTCATTTTCGCCAGTCGCACTTCACGTATGTCCCTGAGTAATTGCCGCACACGATCCGGCTCACCAACGTCATCGCTTGCAGCTTCGAGCAGGATCTCGGAGAGTTCAAACCAATGGTACGGCAAGGCAGTAGGGTGGGCATCGACGGTACAGGAGGGAGCGAAAGGCGAGGATGTGTAGAAGGGCTTGCCCGAGAAGTCGGCCTCCCGTCGCGCCGGAATCGGTGCCGCTGGAGAGAATTCATCACGAAACGCCCGTGTCTCCAGGTCGAGGATGAATTCTAGGTTGTCGGTCTGCAGCCACGGCGGTGGCACCACGTTGGCGCGCCGCTGCCGTTTCAGCAGCATTGCTAGCCACAGTGGTAGTGTCGTTCGTTGTGGAGGGATCAGAGGTCGTGTTGGGCCCTGTCATTTCGAAGTGAATCACATGGTGAGTTACATGTCCAACAAGTAGGGAAAAGAATTCTTAAGCTAGTTTGTCTGAGGGAGGCTTCCTCACTCCTCGACATGCTTGCCGGAGGCTCAAGTTAACGCGTGTGGTAGTAGTGGTGGACTTACGCCCAGTAAGTCGAGTCGGTCGAGGCGCTGTCGTGGAACAATCGTCACTTGCTCCATTTCGCACAGGAACGCTACCTCTGTCGGCAAGAGACCCGGCGGTTGAGGACATGCCATGGATGCTCACAGCGCATGAGACCCGACCAGATTCGGGTCATCAAGATGTTGTGTTCGTTGCGAGAGTGATATGGGTGGAATGCACCTTCGTTCGAGTACGTGGAGTCTCAACGCGCCTTGTTTAACACGCGCCATTGCAAGGCTACCCACTGGAGGAACAATTTATTGTCTTGGCGCGGGGTTATTTGCGCTAGCACGCGCTTGAACCCGCTAGACTGTACTTTAACGGAACAGCCGTATTACTATTATGTAGATATCTACGAGATGCTCTGGGTCTCCCTTTTGTTCCTATCGCCCACAATGCCTGCTGTGATGGGTTTGATCTTCTCAAAGACATGAATCTCCCCTTCAGGACCACAGCGGTCAGGCACAACGCCTACATGGGTTCTAAACTTCCTTTGCTGAATCGGAGATTGGATTAAGTCTCAACTATTAGTTCGCGTCTGCTTGCTACTCATATCGCAGGGTACTGTCCTGGACACTAATGCTCGATATCGCTTATTGGTCTTGACGACGCCACATAGGGAGTAGAGACCAATATTCCCCCCTCAAATTATATCGCAGGCGGCCCAAGAGGGCCGACTATCCTCCCTCCCATGACACCTTGCATGCTTTTGGTGCGGGGTATTGTACAGCCTTCGCCTTATTATCTCACCCTTATCGACCACCTGTTTCGAATTGCTATGATTCTGGCTTTCATTTCAATTTCATGCTTTTCTGCATTGGCTTTTATCTGCTCGTATTGGCAAGACGAAGAGCAGCCCAAGTAGGGATGACTTTCCCGCATGTCTTGAACAGTGGTTTCCAATAGACAACATCCCGACAAACCCACTCCACGTGGACATCGTCTTCGTCCACGGCTTCACGGGAAACCGAAATACCACCTGGACGCATCGATTGGAAGAGGAGCCATGGCCAAAAAGTCACATTACCAGCAGATATTGCCTTTTGCAGGGTTTTAACCTTTGGATATGATGCATATCCCGGCCACTTAGGACATAGGACAAGCAAAACCATGCTTCGAGATCATGCTCAGAACTTCATTCACGAATTGACCGCCTTCAGACAAAAACACGGTGGCTCGTCCACGCCTTTGATACTTATTGGCCATAGCATGGGCGGACTACTGTTAAAGACAGCTTTGGGATTCGCTGCCGACAGGGGTTCTGCCAGCGGTGAATATGCCATTGTCAATAAGATTGTTGGCATATTTTTCATTGGCCCTCCTCATATGGGAGCTTGGCCTGCAGAATGGGCAAAAATCCCCGCCCATGCCCTTGGGACTGTCAAAAAAATTAAACATGACCCTTCTGAATGTGCTACAGGAGGATAACCAGAAATTTACTCGATCTTCACGGATCATTTTTAATGTTCAGATCAAGACTATAAAGGGAAGGGCACGATGTTGCCGTCTGGTGCTTTTACGAGGAACTCCCAATGAAATCGTTTAATATAGTACAACCATCCTCAGCGAAGCTGGAGGAAGATAATGATATTGGAATTCACAAAGACCATTCAGAGATGGTCAAATCCAGGGCTGGGGAGGGTACATTAAAGAAACAGCCTGAGCTTCGTACTCTTCTAGAAAAGATGAAGGCCATTACCCAAGATTCAGTACACAATGTAGAGGTAGAATACTCTCTGCAGGTTCGTTCACGTTTCCAAAATTCTGTACAGCGCCCTGAAGCTGAGTTCCTGGAAATTTCTCTAAAGTTCGCCGCATTGTTTCACCAACTAAGCAGGATTGAGGATCCAGAGAAGACACATGTCAGTGGATCTATCGCCACCCATATTACATTGCTTGGCACGTTGCGAGTCTAAGGGAAGAGGGGTCCAACAAACCACTCAGCCCCTCCCTACTTGTTGTCAAAGGCCCTTTGGGGAGTCGTAAGTCTACTTTACTTCGGTCGATGATATTACAGCCCCCTGCTTCTCGAATGGGTGACGGAGATCTCTGCATCAAGTTCTTTTTCGCGAACAACGTCGAAGGCTTGACTGGGTCAGTCTCAGGACTTTGGCGCGCGGTGCTTTTTCAACTTTTGAGGATATTCCCAGAGGTTGCAAGGTCAAATGAGTCCATTGAACAGGAAATAAGGAGCAAAACCTGGGACGAGAAAGAGCTATGAAACTTCGCATTGTCTGCCGTCAAGAATAAAGCAGTCCGCGGCAAGCGAATCACCCTCGTTGTGAACGCGGTTGACCAGTGCACCGATGGCAAGCCTTCCGACCTGGTATCAAAGCTAAAACGTCTCCACGATTCGGCGATGTCTAATCTGTTAGGCCTGAGTGTGTGTGTGCTTCTTGCCGAGAAACCAACCTGGTGCTATCCTCTGACTGGCGTGCCATTGATATGGATGCTTCCAATCGAGTGAATGTTGAATCAATTTTACGTACTCGGATCAAAAGCTTTCTACCACCATCACCAGAGTCTGACATGCTGGAGCGCGTTCTGCTAGAAAGGGCGATAAGTAATATGCTCTGGCTCAATATAGTTCTGGGTCAACTTCAAGAGCTTTATCTTTCCGGCCATAGCCCTTTGTTCTTGCTGGAGGACTTCAAGGTTATCAGACCAGCACTTGAAGAGATGTACACGACAAGTTTAGGAAAACTCGGCGCACAAGAAAGAGAAATATGCTCAATCATGGTGAGCTGGCTGCAGGCTGATAAGACCCCCCTCTAGCTCCAGGACCTCGCTTTTCCTGTGGACTTGTGTCTCGTTGACAAGAACCAGTCAGTAATTGGTGACTCAGATTGTGTACAACGAGCTGTCGGGGCATCACTTCATGACTCCTTCGCACTAGAAAGGTTCATGAAACACAACACCTATGGCTTCTGAAGGTGGTTCTTCGGAAGAACGTGCACAAGCAGAACGTGCACCTTGTCGGCTTCGCTTATGACTCGGTCAGGTCATTCTTTTTGCGATCGGAGCAGGGTTTAGCGGCTTTAGGTGTCAAAACCCCCGAGCTATTTGAATCAGCCAGCAACACCCTGGTTGCTTAAGCATTTCGATCGTTCTGCAAAATGAAGGAAGTGCAGGGATCTTTCGCCCTGGATGCCAACAGAAAACCGAATTATCATCGCTGTATTTATCAAAGCTCCATGGGATACTTGCATACAGCTTCACAGCCGCTGCTCCCGCTATCCAGACACTTCGCCCAGCACGCACTTGAGCATACTGCGAACTCCTTGTGGTATCTCGCACGATCTCCACCGCAGTTCATATTCAATATGCAGCAGATATTGAAATGCTGGCTGTATTTAGTGTGTTCCACAACAGAACACTTCGAAGAAACTGGGCAATACGATGATGGTTTCTGGCCATATATCCTTGGTTAACACTCCAGGCTGAAGTTTGTCGCATCAATGCCTTTCTCATCAATGGCAGCAAATTTGCAATGAGTACGCGGAAGGAATTGCCTTTGTTGTTCATTTCAAGTGCGATGCCGATTTCTCAGTTTGTGAGTTCAGGGTAATTAATTCCGACCCTATTAAAAAATAGCACGAGCAAAAACAGGCTGCACCGAAAAGAACTCCACGCCTGACGAGCTGACGCATCGAGTCAGATCCTTTTAGACTATCTAAGGATCCAAGCCTTAGACTATCTACAAATCCCGCTGTACCTGTGCAGGGGTTTCACACTAGGGATGATAGAGGCCGCATCCCTTTACTTCTATATCATCAATGGAGTTCAGTTGCCACTAAGACTATCGTGCTCGAGCTGAGCAATCAGGACGAGCACCAGGCGTTTAGCGATCCTGAGAACAAAAAACTGCTGTTCAAAACATGGGCCTATTCATCCCTCGGTCTTACAGCACATGTTGGTACCCTCGCTCATATTCGATTGTCTCTCAACGATGATGATCTATTAATCGCTGCGGGGTGGAACAGCGAGACTGCCAATGTTGAAGCACAAGAGCCAGATACCGAAGTCTCAGGTCCAGGAGCAAGCATAAGTCAACTACCATCAACTAAGCACCATCCGTCTTCATTCCATTCTATCGATATCGAGCTCCCTTGGTGTAAGATGCTACGGGAATTTGAGGTAAACCGGGCTAGACAACAGGGAGCCGACAGGGAGCCAACGGCGAAAGATCTGTGACAAGAAACATCCCATCTAACTGCAGCTCTCTGTGCGTTAAAGACGACTATGAAGCATGCACCATCCGCTATGAAGATGAGATGATATCCCAGAGATCATCACGCTCGAGGAGGTCGTCCATTGCGCAGGCTGAGGCTCGGGACTGGGCCTTGTCGCTTCAGGCCTTAGATTTCGAGTACAACCTACACGATGCGGAGACTTGGTCTGTGGCATCTGTACGGTCTATCAGCAGGTGGGCTGACTTTGACGATATTTCGCCTAAAAGTTGGCTCAATGAAGATCTAAGAGTCCTTATTGACGTCGATGTCCTATTTACGAATGTCCAAAAGGCCAAAGCCCATGAGCCATGACGAAACTGGGCGATCGCTCGTCCCCCCGCATGGGACGGCACAAAGCCCTGGGTGTACCCTGACATCGTAGGAACCAGTCATAATACAAGAAGGGAGCAAATGCGCAAATATGAGCTCGCAACAGAGTCAATACCTGCGCCAGTCTGGCTATGATTGAGGATGCTATCCATCTGTTACGACGGAGCTTTTCCTGCTTCTGGGCACTGCAAGGCGAAGGCGCATCTCGTGCATGAATGCGTCAATGAGCCCGGGTAGACGAGAGAAAAAGTATCACAGATTCGATGTACGCAAGGACGCCTCTTGGAAGTCTTGCTCACTTCTGAAACCAGAATATCACGGCCATTGCTTTGAAGTGGCCGCTGCAGGAACGGCACCAATGATTCGATGCAACGCCCCACCTCTAAAAGATGGCGGATCGCCTAGCGTCATGCACCGCAAACAAATACATCGCTTTGGAAATATGGAAGGAATCGACGTGGAGAACCATTCACGGTCAAGACACTTGTGGCTTTGAGACATTTTCATCCCCTTGGTAGACAAGAGGGAGCAGTTGTTTAATCCTTGGCAACTCAAAGACGAGAACCCGGTGTTTCTCAATGCTTGTGAAATGCTCATAGTTCGACTCATAGCCGGCAAAAATGTTGCAGGCGTGATCCGATTCGCGTTGCGCCACCTTCCTATAACAGCCATGTTCTAGGCCTCGAGTCTTCCATTAAAGAGACAGTTGAATCGAGAACGTTGGCTGCAATTCATGGAGGGCTAGCGAATAGATTCCCATGCTTCACCCTTACATAATATCGACCCCTGTTAGCCTCCATGTTTTCCTATTGGCGTACCAGAACTAGCCTTGAGGGAACGGTAACTCCACGATGAAGAATGCGCGAGTCGTGTCGAGATGACCCGCTTTTCTTCCTCTTCGCGGAAAAACTTTTGTGCATTTTCGATGGCCGGGTATGCATACACGTTAAACGGCGGCTCTCGCTCCATAAGTTCGCGATACCTCGTTAGGAAATTGCTCGGTATTTCGCCTCGGATGGCAGGCTTGGCTTGTGGAAGTCAACACGGGCTTCAAGGATGGAATGAGTCTATCAAGCTTCTGGTTAGCAGAGGCGCTCGCGTACCGGCAAGAATGCATCATAGTCGTTGAAGGACTCTCTAATGGCTTGGGAAACTACCTCATTTACGAGGATCATAGTTGCCAACCAAGTAGCCGTAGCGCTGAGCTAGATATGAAAGATGACTAACAGCGTGAAGAGAGCCCGAAAGCGTGATGTTACAGAGTATATTCTTCGATTCTTCCCTAACCCCCTTCTGTTGGTTAATGGACTTCTTGGCTGGGCCACTCGAGGATCTGGATGCATGACGGATGTAATGCATCATACATCGCTTAAATGCTCTTCGTATCAACCATGCAGCTGGCGATGATAACTTGAAAGCCACAAAGGATTGGTCGTTGGTAAGCGATGAAGTAAAGAGTTATAGTTATTAATATCTGTGTCATGTATGAAACAGGCCCGCTTGCTCATGCTGCCCTTGATAACCTCACCAGTGACCTTATGCAAAGACGACTACTGCCCTGTGATTCTTGACTGCCAACGATGAAGAACGACGTGACGGTTCGAATCAAATTCATATTCGACCGCTCTAGTCTCTCCTCCCAGAGGGATTATGAGCTTCAAAACTCGGAGGCGAGGTCTCACATCGCAAAAATCGTCCACACCCGAAGGAAACTCAGTCCACTACAGAAAGTGGAGACCGTTGCAATGTGAGCAAATTTGGTTCAACGCCGTCTACCATATTTGCCTTCGGAAGCTCGTAGTGACGTGACAACTTAGAAACCAAGCCTCTGCTCACCCGAGTCATGGCTGGTGCACCACGAAAGATGAAGGCGAATCTGATCTTCGACTTTCACCGTTGACGACCCACCACCTAGACCCACTTTTCAGTGTGCCTCATCCGAGGGAGGGTTCTTTCTACAGGGCTATGGATATTTGTTAGCAGCAATGTGGCTCCCCTTGCAATGCTTACTGACAGTGGTATCGAATAGGGTTTCAGTGGATCCTGCCGAGCGCCGCCCCTGCATTCGTCATTTTCAACGTCGGAAACATGTTCGCTTCTGTGAGTTGGATGGACCCAGGAGTTGGGTAAATACACCTAACGAAGCCTTTTCAAGTACTTTGCTAGTCCCGGTTGTCAGAGCGAGGCTGCTCAACACTGCATAGCCGCACTGGCATATGGCTGCCTCGAACTGCACCGTCAGGAGACCATGAGCTGGGAGTTTGATTATCGCCAGGATCAAATGAAGCACAACGGCCTTGCAATCGCCCTCCTCAAGAAAGAGATCGCTTCAAACAGTTTCACAGCACAGAGTCCCTCCACGATCAACACAATCTTTCTGTTGAGTTTCCTTGCGGTAAGATCGTAGAATTCCCTCCAAGCCTGTTCGCTCTAGATGTTGACGGCCGGCTCAGCAACTGCGGGGCGAGAGTGAAGAAAGCGCAATGCATCGCAGAACCTTGAGAAGACTCTTCAGTTCCTTGCGAGGACCAATTAAGCGCACAGATTTCGACACACGGTATGGAGAAGTGCTATTACAGTAAGTTCGTCCCCCCTGAACTTGCTAGCTGCCCTAACACCTGTTTCCAGGTTCAGTTGCTGGATGGACCTCTTGGAAGGTCGACCAAATGTGTTGGAGATCATGCCAGACGATGACAAGCAATCCGTGCTGGTTTCGCCATTTGATCGTTCTATGGTAAACAAGGGCTACGATACTGCAGCCGTTTTGCCCCGTGGGTTTCAGAACTTGGTGGATGAAGGACGTCTTTCCATGGATACCCGACGTCTCCTCGCGCGATTCTCGCACGCCTGTCGGTACGGATTGGAATCTGTGCCTAAGGCCGAACAGCACTTCCCAGATTTTGCCATGGCAAGTCCTCACGTAACTTCTGCGGAGCCGACCCTGGAGAAATGCCTAACTCTAGCCTTGATCTGCTATGCCCATATGAGATGGGCTATCGCTCCGAACTATGTGGCTGGTATCATGTGTCACACCATATCAAGGACGAAGCTATCTCTAGCCCTAGCTTTAGCTCCCAAATTTGATAGTGCTGCAGAGGTCGAATGCATGGTCTGGGTATGGATAGTGCTGATCGACTCTTACAGACTCCAGGGCTCCGTGCTTCCTACAAATGGGTTATCGTGTCTCGGGGAATTCAGATGGCATTATCCAGACTGGCACAGTTGGGCGGCGATTGAGAAAGAAATTCTGCCGCATTTCTTCTGGCGTGATGGAGACTCAGTAGCGATCAAGCACGCATGGAATCAATCTGCTGTGAGATAACTTTTCTGGAGCAGTTGTGACGGGAATTTCAGAAGCGGGGAGAGTTGGAAGGAAAGCATTTCGTTTTGAGAGCAAAGTAGCCTCAGTTGATAGAGGCAATAAGGAACGGCTGCTAGAACTGATATCCACCGGAGCAATGATGTGCAGATAGTTGAGTCCTCTTGAGGCACTAAAGGAGATTGGTCCCTTGCAGACATTCCTGCACTGTCAAACCCTCCATCCCATTGACATGTAGTAGATCATTCGGTACCAAACGTTCCATGAAAGATCTTCTGGACCGAGAGAATGCGTGTTCGAAGTATTAAGGGGAGGAAGGCATTGGAAAATGTCATCAAAACGGCCCACTGAGATAGGAGAGGGGGTGGGACATTCAGGGAGAGAGTTGGGTGACACTCTTAGATAACTTCTTAGTCAGCGAGGCTGGTCATCACGTCGATCACGATTGGCTGGCTGAATCTCAAGGTTGCTCTTTCCCCAGAAACTTGTTGCAACATGTGATGGACCATCCGCGGCGACCGCGTTCCCGCCTAACCTAGACTGTACTCAGTCTGGAATTAAAGCGCATACATCTTGAACTACATCTGTAACATCATCCGATGCAACTTGTTGCAATTAAGCCGACTTCTAGAGCAACGGACCTACTCACTCGGTCACATTGACCTGCTCAGGATGTCTTCAAAGGACTTCCCGGCGCTCACGACGAGCGACACCCGGTCTTCCATATCTGCCGTCCCAATGCATGAGGTCGAGCCAAGCCCAGTCGACGAGGAAGAACCACCAGAGTACCCGACCAACCCTGGTGACGTCGAGAAGCAATCGCTCCCATCATCTGCATACAACACGACCAACTTCCTTGGCCTCACGCCCTCGACTACACTCAAAGTCCTTTCCGCTCTCCAGAAATACGCAACCATCCCCCCCACCCTCTACCTCACCATGCACTATGCCAACACCAGCCTCATCCCTCTCCTGACTCAGTCTGCCCGAGAATCCGACAAATACCTTCTCCTTACGAGGCCGTACTACCAATCATTCCCACTCGAGCCGCTGCTCATCTTTGCTCCCATCATAACCCATGTTGCAAGCGGCCTCGCTCTAAGAATTTATCGAAGGCGCGCGAGTGCAAAGAGACACGGGGCTGAGACACACACCCAGCGCAAGAAGATTCCCTGGCCGCAACTCAGTCTTACCTCCGCATTGGGATATGCCATGTATCCCATTTTCGTATTTCACGTTCTCACACAACGCATGGTTCCCAAGAAAATCGACGGCAGTTCTGCAGGTGTGGGGCTGAGATACTTCGCTCATGGAGTCGCGCATGATCCCTGGGTCACCAACATTGGATACGCTGTCTTCGTCTCCATGGCGAGCTTCCACTTTGTCACAGGTGGGGCGAAATTCCTCAAGCTTTCCAAGGAGTACATCACCGAGGGCGGACACTCGGGACAATCGCGAAGGAAGTGGAGAGGACGGATCATCAACGGGATTTCAGCTCTCACTGCTGCTGTTTGGATCGCTGGTGGACTTGGGGTTGTTGGACGGTCAGGCAAGGGGGTCGGCTGGGAGGCATCCAACTGGGACAAAATCTACAAGGCTGTGCCCCTGATCGGCGCCACATTTTAGGACTAGCGGGATTTCATTTGGCTAGCATGTTGTATAAAGTGCTGGCACCTAACATGAGTATTGGGTCTGCTATTCTTAGAGACGGACATGTATCACAAGGAGTAAGCTGGTATCGCAGCGGAGAAGTCGCTTCATTGACGGGGTGGTGTGCTAGAGATCCAAAGAGGCCATCTCTGATCGAGCATGAAAGCCCACATCACACCACGGAGATCCCTGAAGCCTGAAGTGTCAACTCAGTAACTCTCGAACTCTGGTCTTCGGACTTTGCAATCACTGCAGTCGCGAACGCACTCAAGGGAAGAAATACAAACAATCCACCTCGTACTGGTGCACAATTCTCCGTCTGTCCGACTTCAAGGCCTCGGGGGTTGTCCTTTTGGCTAGCTCCAGCACAGTGACATGCATACATCTGATAATTCAGTCAGAGTTGTATCCATAATCGCGATTAGCATCGCTGTATTTCAAGAGGAACCCCTAAGAAAAAGAAATATGTGTCTCTGGGTTGACAAGGAACCTCGTCGTGGGTGTCGTTTATTCCACTGTCCCCAAGGGCTGCCATATCGCCCAGGAGATGGGCCATGGCGACTGCAGGTTACTGGAGAGCGAGGCGGCGCAAGCGTCAGCCTGAGTTTCACTTCATTCGTGCGTTCGCATATTGATTTGTCGGCCTGGAGTAAAAGGGGAGGGATAAAAAAGAGGGTTGACTTACAAGTTAAGATGCTGAATGGGGAGCATAAATGCTAATGAAGGGGCGCCTTTGGGTGATACCTGGTTTTCCACACCCAATGGCGGCGGTGATAGAGGTGTCGACAATGGCGTTGTTGTCGATGCCGATACTGCTGTCCCATGCATACCATTGACAACTTCGAACCTGATGTGTTTTAGAAAAGGCAGGCGGTACCGTATGGCTTGGAGACGGTCAACGAGGGACTGGGCTTCTTGCCGTGAGTGCGCCAAAAGCGACAACCTCTGCACAGAAGCAGGGGTGCATTCTACAAAGGAAACATTCATGCCGGGCCAGGTGAGCGCCAGCTCGCGGATGTTTGGTGTCACCATCAGGAGTGCTTCTAGAAATGTCGTGAATGTTGCATCTGGGGTCAAGCTGGATGAGATATGTAGTACCCGGAGGCTTTCACAGTGGTGGTCATAGATGCTCCTGAGCGTCCTCGAAGTCAGGAAGATGGGTCCAAAGCTCACTTTAGTGGCCTCCTTGATCACTAAGCGCTTTAAAGGTCGAATACGATCCAAAACGAGGTGACTTATGGATTGGATGACTTTGCCCTGGTGCCCATGACTTTGCCTCATCTGCAACCCTCTTGGGGGCCCGATGAGGCTTAGACTCTCAATCGAACCCAGCAAACTGAGGATTTCTGCTGCGCGCGCCTCATCTGTTTCTGAGAAGCCTGCTAATTGTAGTGAATGTAGCTCTCTACAGGCTGCAAGGCTGTCTAAATGGAAGGCATCGAAATCGATCCTCAATCTGTGAAGCGTTGGATACCGCGCTGTCGTCCACTCTAAGAGACCATTGACGAGTGTGCTGGATGGTACGCTTTGCCTAAGGTTGAGAGGTGGTAGAAGAGTAAATTCGGCAATGTTGGGCATCCTTGAGAGCGCGCTGGTAATTCGATTGATTTCTATCAAATAAGGGTGCTGATCGGGTGCATTAGATATGCCAACCGAGATCCTTGCAAGAAATGGTTGCATGACTTCTGCATCTACCTCTTGTAGATGAAGGCAGATATTTGTGATCATTTGCAGCAGTCCTTTCGGTCGGTTGCTCACAAAATGTATCAACTCCTCTTGAGAGCGACAGGTTAGCGGCCTGCAGAAAAAAGACTCCTTCGCTTCTCCGTATATCTGTTTGCATACGCAAATGAGACTCAAGTGGTCGCGCCACTGTAGTGCGAGCATCAATTCGTAGATATATCTTCGAGTTTCTAGGGGGATGGCAAGAAAGGGAGATGATGACTCGAGATCTGAATGGCGGGTCGTGTATGTCTAAACCCTTGTGAGTCCAACTTCTCTGCAGCTAGCGAGAGAGACTTACGATTTCCCGCTTATCCGGGGTTCCTAGTCGGAACATTCCCATTGTGATATTGCAAGAAATGAGAAGTAGTGGCCTGAACAGAAAATCGGCGATTCGTGGGTTAGAGGGTTGATTCTAGCTCTGAGTTGCAAGACAGCCTTTGTACAGGATGAGCAACAACAGTAGTTGTTTACCAGGGCGCGATTGTGCAATTCTTGGAAGAATCTGGTTTTCTTGATATCTGTGTGCTGTACGGGTTGGTCACAATGGGCGGGAAATCAAGTACTGAAGCATCTCGCGGAAAGTCATACGATGCTGTTGTCCCCAGCTGTATCTAAATCCGGCAGGCTGGCTCCAGATCACACTGTTCTCTCAGAACAACAGCCATGTGTTGTACTCGCAGAAGAAAGGACAAAGGCAATCTCTGCACACCAAGAGTATGTGGACACGAGAGTGTTGTGATTCCACAGGCCGCACCTGTCTCAAGATCGTGGGCCCTGATTCTGTGGCGGTGAGGATCAAGATCGCTCCTGAAAGGAGTACACCACCACAAGCGCTAACCGTGTGGCAATGAAGGGATTACAACCCAGTTGATCAGCCCACGTTAGACAGGGCCGATGATCTCCTAGAAAATCATGCGCATCTCAGCAGGGACAATACTAGTGGACGAAAACCGGCGAAGGCAAGGCTAGCCGAAACAGCTCTCATGTTGTCATCAAAGCAGGAGCCCACTATCTTGGGCAGGCCGAAATGAGGCTCGCCGTGACGGTCGGGCGATTTGCCTCCAACGACATTCAGGCAAGTTTTGCAAACCCAGGTTTGCAGATGGAGATCTGATGTTTCGCTTGGCCATCAACTTCGAGTGACCCAAAACCATTGGAATCTCGGATCGGGACATGGATGCGCGTTTAAGCGATGCAGCCTTGTTGACAACCCCTGTTCAAAGTAGCTGGGCAACTTCGTAAATGGTGGCCTAAAGGAGATAGTGGCTGCATGTTGAGGTCCACACGTCGAGCCCTGATCACTCTGCTGCACCTCCAGGAACCTATTGGGGAGAGCCGCAGGGGAACTCCATCTAGTCTTGTAGATGTCCAGAGGAAAATTGATGATGTGACAATGATTGCTCCTGCTCAGACCCAGATACGCCAGAGATCACTCCATACCGAGTGCACTTGACGATCTAGTGAAAATCGACGGATCAGATATGTGGACCAGGAGAATGGCTTGGACAGAGGCGAGGACCTTGTTGGGAGCACTACCTCCGTACTGCAGATGGAATACTCTAGGGAGTAAGAATCGACATATGCGGGGATCTCCAATGGTTGGTACATGTCAATTTCAGGTACTCCGTACTCACGGCGCAACCAAGGATACAGTCGTTGGGCCTTGATCAACAGATTGGCGGTATTAGCTGGGACTCAGTCCGGTCAGCCAGCAAAGGTGGTTGTGTGGATTTACGATTGAGGATAAGAAAAGTCACGAGTAGGAAAGTGGGAAACAAAAGGCGCCGCGGTCCTATCGCCAGCGTCAAATCAGCAGGAGCGAGGCAATGACAGGTCAAGGCAAGAGCCCAATCCGGGAATGAACGAACACAATATCATCAACAGAACAGCTGAAATGGCGGCGGCCAAATTCAATGCGTTTGGATGAGGCTAGGACTCTAGGACTCCAGCTGTGCGTGTCGGAGTCCTACTGACAGGAGAAGGCCTGGACCTAAACGCCTTTCTTGAAGCCCAGGAGACGGAGCGTGGCCATCAGCCACCGACAGGGACAGAAACCGACATATAACACCATCAGTCCGGATTGGGTGTTAGTTGGTGCTTAGAATACCATATCCCATGTGATGCCCGACCCACGCGTGTGTGAAGTTGCCGTGTACATGGACATTCAGGTCATCTTGGAATCCTGACGCTCCATGTGGTTGCCACTTTTTCTGCGACGAGACACGAACCTTGTGAAACCAACCTCTGGTACGCAAGTAGACGAAACTGATGCTCACGAGTCCAATCCGAATCCCTGATCCGACCATTTTGCAATCAATACATGTCTCGACCATCTCGGTTTCTCTGTGACCACGGCGTTTGTCGCCGTGGCAGTTTGGCAATCCTCTCCCTTTAGATCCCCATCCTTCTACGCATGCTGGCAAGCTTCTGTTTTGGGATCTTGCAGCCTAGGGACGTTTGTTATCGACGCTTTAGACACGGAGCAGAGTATACTAGATGCGTGTGGCGCCTGTCGTCTTGGAAGGCCTTGCAACACCAGACACTACGTGATGGGCACTGCAAGCGGAGATATACTCCCTTGCCACCCTCAGAGAACGGTGCCGCATGGCCTTCTGGGATTGAGACCACGTCACTCTTCGGTTTATGCAGTACATCAGGGTTTGAAGCTGAAACTAATATATTCCTGCGGCCACGTTGCAGCCTCCATGCATATGACCATTCCCCACCGGCTCCAGCCTCCGAGTTGAAGAAACGCTTGCGCTAATACATACATCCACAATTCTTTTGAGAGCCGAAAGTCCCTTGTAGTCAAGGCCCGGTCCATTACACCTTCAGGAGTTTGGCAGCATAGTTGGTGATAGTGTCGATCTGAGGAAAGCTCATTTCCTCAAGCTTTTGGGCATAGGGAGTCGGCACCTCCGCACCCGTCACTCGCCCAGGGGGTGCTTGTAGATAATCGAATCCATACTCGACCGCCAGTGCGAGAATCTCCGAGGCCACTCCGAACGCAGGGAATCCCGACTCAACGGCGAGTAAATGGCCCGTCTTCTGGACTGATTTGATGATGGCCTCCACATCCATTGGCTTGATAGACCGGAGGTTGATGACCTCTGCATCCACGCCGTACTTCTTCTTCAACACTTCCGCGGCCTCGAGGGACTGGCCAACACATCGGGAGAGGGTGACAATGGTGAGATCTTTGCCCGGTCGCTCGATCTTCGCCTTGCCAAACGGGATTACGAAATCGTTCTTTTGAGCCTCTGCACTCATGGGGAAGGATTGACCGTAAAGAAGTCTGGCTGTGTTAGCATGATGCCCTGAGAATTGATGACCAGCTACTCACTCGTTTTCCAACACGACTACAGGGTTGGGGTCGCGAATAGCAGCTTTGAGAAGGCCCTTGGCATCCTCTGCGCTCCAGGGTGTCACGACTTTCAAACCAGGGATGCTGCCATACCAGGCCGAATAGTCTTGTGAATGCTGTGCAGCAACACCAGCGGCGAAACCATTCGGTCCGCGGAAAACAATTGGGCATGGCTGAATGCCACCGGACATGTAGTGCGTCTTTGCTGCGGAGTTGATAATTTGATCGATGGCTTGCATTGCAAAGTTGAAGGTCATAAACCTAAGACCAGTGTCAGCAGGGAGCCTGGTGCAAAATCCTCACAGCTACGTACTCGCACACAGGATGGAGACCTGCTAGTGCAGCACCGACAGCCAAGCCGCAGAAGCCGGACTCGGTGATGGGGGTGTCAATGACTCGCTTAGGACCAAATCGGTCGAGCAAACCTTTGGTGACCTTGTATGCGCCTGCAACAGACTGTAAGTGTATGCTTTTCTCTGCACTGGAAAGAGCCACTCCCACCATTGTATTGAGCGACCTCTTCTCCTAGAATGAACACCTTATCGTCTTGCTCGAGCTCTTCGGCAAGGGCTTCGTTGAGAGCATCACGGACAGTAAATGTCTGGTTGGATTCCGAAGCATAGCTCCTTACTGAGGGGATGGAGGCTGGTGCAACTCTCCTAAAGGAAGGTCTTATAGAGGATGACACAGTAGTTCGCTGTGACAACAGTCTTCTTGCAGGACGGAACAGTCTTGATGCAGACATGGTGAAGGGAAAGGCGTTGAATGGAGGATTATTATTTGGGACCAGGGGAATTGTAAAACCCGCAGAGAAGAAGTGCTTGAGAAGCACGTCTGCAGGTCCTTAGTAAGGAATGGCTAAGTCGGTCCCGACAAAGAAATCCAAGCCAGACGGAAATACTATGATTGCAGTAGGGAATGGAAATGTAAATGTCGAGGTCGTGCTCAGTCAAGCTCACGGCGTGTTGGGACGAAGCTCGCTGTTGGTGTCCAACAATACCGATGCTCCTCAATTTATTTGGAGCTAGTCTAGATGGGGCCTGCTCCAGCTCGGAACAATAAGCTCAAGTTGTTTATCCGCCTCCTTGAGGTTTGCCAAGATATACGGCGGATTCTAGCTCCGCATTGTGCTGTTGAATAAATTGACGTCCCGGTCCTCCGTAGCTTGAGGGAAGGTCGTGCTTGGGGCAATCCCGATTTGCACGCTAGAAACTCGGGGGAGGGAGTCTGGTCAAAGAAAGCAGAAGTTGGAGAGTCTGGCGAGGTCCCGGCGCCGAGGTCAGACTCAGCAGCGCCTCATGGTTTTGCCCAAAGGGACAAGAGCGGTTATTCACGAACCTGATTGAGAAAAGTAATTAAGAACAGGCCAGTCCATCCAACCTCTTGTCTATTAATTTCACATGTTTGGTGTTCCGTTCAAGCGACTGATACCGCGCCCCCCCTCGCGCACCAGCACGCATTGCACTACCTGCAGAACCACCTGCATCACCATCTGCAGCAGCAAAATTGGCAGGAGCTCCGGACGGTCGCTCCTTCACCGTTGTTCCTCCTCGAAATCATCGTCACTGCCTCTTCGCCAATCAACAACACTTCCATCCCCCGCGCTGGCGCCCACAAATTCTTCACCTCCCCTCCTCTCTTCAACACTTCTTCCTCAGTCCGCAAAAATAGCTTCCCAACGTTCTGAAGCTATTGCCAGACATCTTTGTACCTCCGCCTCCGCCGCCTCCTCCTCACAGTCTTCAACCATGTCTTACGGAAAGCCGTCTGAGTATCATCCTCGCAAGGTTGGTGCTCTGCACACCAACGAATTCAGAACCTACATCGAGAAGGATGGCGTCCCTGTCTCTCCCTTCCATGACATTCCTCTCTATGCCAATGAGCAACAGACAATCTTGAACATGGTTGTCGAAATCCCCCGCTGGTCCAACGCAAAGCTTGAAATCTCCAAAGAAGAATTCCTGTAAGACTGCCCCGCCTACCGGCCTTCCTTGTGACAATCACATTCTGATAGAGAACGTTCCAGGAACCCCATCAAACAGGATGTGAAGAAGGGCAAGCTTCGATTCGTCCGCAACTGCTTTCCCCACAAGGGCTACCTCTGGAACTATGGCGCATTCCCCAAAGTGAGCAAGACAGCCAAAATATACCGATCATAAATAACCATGAGACTTTAGACCTGGGAAGACCCTAATGTCATTCACCCCGAGACCAAGGCCAAAGGTGACAACGATCCACTCGATGTTTGCGAGATCGGTGAATTGGTTGGCTACACTGGTCAAATCAAACAAGTCAAGGTTCTCGGCGTTATGGCTCTTCTAGACGAGGAAGAGACCGATTGGAAGATCATTGTCATCGATGTAAGTCATTTCGACAACCGATGCCCGAGAAACTCTAACACCTTTCGTTTCTCCAGGTCAATGATCCTCTTGCACCCAAGCTCAACGACATCGAGGATGTTGAACGTCACCTTCCAGGCCTTCTCCGAGCCACAAATGAGTGGTTCCGTATCTATAAGATCCCAGACGGAAAGCCAGAGAACCAGTTCGCTTTCAGCGGAGAGTGCAAGAACAAGAAGTATGCCGAGGAAATCATCCGGGAATGTAGTGATGCTTGGGAGCGTTTGATTACCGGGAAGCAACAACGCGGTGATCTCAGCCTAGCAAATGTCACCAACCAGTCTTCTCCAGACCGTGTCGACCAAAGCGCTCTGTCCAAGATTCCTCGAGGCGACAACTCTCCTCCCGCACCTATTGACGGTACTGTGGATAAGTGGTTCTTCATCTCTGGTGCGGCCGTCTAATCGATCAATACGAGAAGCTTTGTAACTGATATCATCCAGGAGCTGGAGCCACCTCTACTGATTACATCAAATGAAGTTATGAATTGGGGAAGAATATCCGCTCCCGACAGCGATGAGATAGACAAAAGGCAACCACTCTTGTAGGTAGTGAACTAGACAAATGATGAGCGTTTGCTTCTAGACGGACAAAGTGTTCATACCAAATCTCCGCCTTTCCATGATGGAGAGTGTCGACGGCACCCTCGGGCGGCTGAAGCACAAGATCCCATCCCGGAAAATCCTTGAGGATATTCCACAGGAATGCTAAGTTTCTTGAAATCATGCATATTGCTCAGTAGATATCTACATCGACAACGGGCACAGGCGGTGACAACGAGGCCCGAGGATATCCCTCCAAGAATCCCTTTTAGAGCCTTGTGCTGCATAGATATACAATCATGAACATGACGAACAATGCATGAAATTTGAGCCCCAGCCAGTTCATCATCATCATTACTGTACACTGCAAGACATGTAAACTCTCAGCCGCGCCAAGCCTCGATGTGGATGGAAATCCAGCCAAACGTCACCCGCCGATCATTCACTCCCGCCGCGCAATAGTATTGCTAACCCCCCTTATACCTCAAAGACGCTCCAATTGAGACCACGCGCAAGTAGTGTATGTAGGGGTCTCAAACTCTTCTGTCTGTCTACAAGAAGCACCTTCGACATCAGGCGCAACCCAAACCCCCCCCAAGGAGGACAACCCCCCTGGCATCCAGCATCCAGCATCAGCATCTGCGGTCCAGCCTCGTCGACATCACGCGCCTGTTCCCGGGATTCCTTCACCTCCTCGTCCCGCCAGTCCAGCCGGAAGATCTCCTGGGTCCATCATGGCCACCCGCCGGCCCGCAGCACAGCAGGGCGAGAAGACCATCGCGGAGGCTCAGGGCGGGCCGTCCACTGCAGACATGTCCTCAGACACGACGCCCGCGGTGCCAGCGTGAGTTCTCCCTGCCCCTTCGCCCCTCACGCAGATTCAATGACTGCAGTGGGTGAGCGGTGTTTGGCCGTTTCGGATGCGGTCCTGGAGGGAGAGGGGAGAAAAGGACGAGGAGGCTCCCCATCTCCATCTGCATCCCCATTCTTTCATCGCCGTACCCCTTTTGTCCTCATGAAGAATCTAACGTCGGGATGCTATTTCCCCTCTCACAATTAGGCACGTCATCTACAAGCTCCTTTTCTTCACGGCGGCCATGGTCTGCGTACCGCTCGGCTCCTACTTCTTCACGTTGAGTTTTGTCTTTCGAGGTTCGTTAAAGATAGCCCTTTGTTGCACCTGTGCCCCTCTGGCCCATGAATCCTCACTCACACACATATACATGCACTTGATGTCCTTAAACTAAAGACCAACGTGGGGCTCGATAGGAAACGCATCCTATGCAGGAGGGTTTGCTGCTGTAATGGCGAATGTGGTCCTCATCGGTTACATTATCGCCGCGGTCAAAGAAGACCAGTCGGACAAGATCGAGGAGAAACGGAAAAAGGGCCAATAGTACGGTGTGTACTGAAGGTGGTCTGGGACTAGCGGGAGAAAAGCTGCATTATCTCTCTTGAGGCATTACATATGGGAGTTCTCTGGAATGCAATGGAAAGGGCTTTGGAATTCGGTGCGTCGGTTCCTTTCGGATCCGTAAACGAATGCAGTCTTCTACTTGCTACAAAATATCGCAAGTTGTCCGCGAAACCCATCTAGCAATCGACACCTGGCCATTTGCTGCAAAATTGGTCCTATCAGCTCTGCAATCTCTCGTCATTTCCATTATAGACCGCTACCAATGCAGGTAACCGAGTCCACTCCCAAATCCGCGTCATTACATCAAACATTAATCGTCAAGAAGTACCATCTGAGAGAAAGTCTTATACTTTGGCAAATCCGGGTTACCATGCTGCCAAGAAAGTGATCGGAGGTCCCAATTTTTGATGTGCCCCGAATACGCCGAGTATGCAGTTCGATTCTGGTCCAGCTCTTGCCCATGTGACAATTAGGTTTCCCGGCGACTGAATCGGCGTTTGATCCAGCTCTGCCTCTTTGCCGGCGGAGTCGGTCTGTCATCATTTCCATTAGTGTCTCCGCCGAATTGCGAAGCATTGAGGTTTATAGGCTGCCGGCCGTTCTGAAGGGGGTAGGCATTTGCAGGTGGTAAAGGTGCCTGGACAGCGTCCGGACCGTAGGGACCATCATGCATGATTTGCGGGGAAAAGGGTTTTGTCGGTGCGAATTGGTTGAACTTGATATCGTTGGCGTATGGGTTCTCGGCACTAAAGTCATCGGGTTTCCGAAGTTGATGGAGTTGATCGAAAGAGCTATTTTGAGAACTTGGGTTTGTGGATTTACTGTACTCGTCAGAACCTGAAGTCATCGTCTCGTACGAGTGCTGGTATGAATGAGCAGACATGGGGCTGTGGTTGTTCTGGCCGTTCGCAAGCTGTCCATTTTGGTAGCCATTCGAATTGGCATGAGGATGTGAGATCTGGTAGGCATTTTGGTAGGCATTTTGATATCCGTTTTGCATCCCATAATCCGGATTGGACTGTTGGCGCATGCCTCGGCCATACACCTGAGCAGAGCCAGGCTCTTCTTCGACAGAACTTTGTGGTCCAAATCCGTAGGATCCGCTGCGATAGTAACCTCCGCCTGGCGTGGGTCGTGAACGCTGGGGTGAGTATCCGTTGTCTAAGGAAAAGTTAGTACATGACCTGGCCTGGATGACTTGATCATGCTCACTTGAATAGTAGCTTCCCCGACGATTCATGTCACTATTCCAACCGATTTGGGAGGGCGGCCTGCTGTTGAGGGAGGAGCGTCGCGAAGTTGTGCCTTCGGCAGCTGCATTAAATGCTCGAATAGTGTCCAGTGGTCTCTCCATTCGGCTACGAGTAGGATTGGACCGATCCGGGTCAGCTGCGTTCGATGTCAGTCCTCATGTTCTGTTTTGGCTTCGAGTGGGAGAGGCTCACTTATCACGTTGCCTTCAACATCCTTGTGCATCATCAGCCGCAAATCGTCCACTGTGGACGCTTCCTGTGCTTGCTCCGCTGAAGAACTGGTTAGCAACGTGTTCTCCGCTGACCGAGAAGTGACCAACCTGGAGTTGCCTCGTTTAATGCCCTCGACGGGTCTGCTTTGGTATTCAATCTCTTCTTGTCTTTGGCACTCTCTGTCAACTCGAGCCTGTGGCCGGAGGAGCTGCTTCGGCGGGAACGTTGCGAAGTATAGCTGACAGAGGTCTGTGCCCTTGGACGGGTCTCTTGGGGTTGGGGCGAGATTGGAGACATGGTTGTCATGGCAGTCATGGAACTTGGTACCGACAATGGCAATTGTACGGTGGAGACTGATAGATTGCGGTCGATAGATTGCGGTCCAGATAAAGGACCCTAACTACCAAGTATTTGAGCAAGAGATACCAGATCTCCGAGCCTTGATGTAAAGTTGAGTGTTGTCAAGCAAGCGCTGGTCTGGTGGAATTTGAGATGTTGAACAGAGACAAACGAGAGTGAGCTTTGACGGAGTGACAAAATTGTGCAACGCACGTATCGATCTCTGGAATTCTGAAGAGAGCACCCGAGTGGAACTCAACGACGTGCCAGAGGCGCCAGTGGTGTCAGTGTTATGATGGTTCGGGTGGCGGGGGGATGACAGGGATGATAATGGTGGTGAGGGCTTGTTTCAGGACAGACAGACAGGGGTAGGAGGCGCAGTGCGAGATGGCGATAGTAAATGGGGTATTTCTGGTCGATGATCGTGCCGTCCAAACTATTATTGAATCTGAAGCCGACCCAGGACAAAGAAGGAAGGAATGTGGAATGGATCAACAACGGGCAGGCAGGGACGACTTGAAGTCTGTCGGTCGGGACGTGGGTGACGGTGTTGGGAACTTGGGACTGGATGATTGCGCGGCTTGAAACAAATGCCTTGAATAAGAAAGAAGAAGAGGTGCAAAGCCACGTTATCAGTTGGTGGACTGCTCCCTGTGGTGATAATATTAACTAGTAGTGATGACGAAGAAGACGTTCATGTCGTAGACTCGTAGTCGGTACGATAATGAAAATGCTGCATATCTCGCAGTGGACTGGGGATGGCACTGGCTAATAATGGCAGGTACGAGTATGATCCGCGTAGGTACTGCGAATTAGGAATTGGGGGAAGGAGCCATGCAGAAAATGAAGGCGCGGCCCCAACACGAGCGAAAACGCCGATGGATCTAAGCCCCTTCAGAACTAGCCCACCAACATGGCTGCAGCGGCCTGCGTCCCTCAGCTCCCATCCACTCACCCGTCCTCGCCTCCCACAATTGACGACCTCTTTTCTTGATTTTTGGACCTTCCTGCGACGCACGTTCCTCTTCATGGTAAACGATGCATTAACCTTGAATGCTATGGGTGGCTACCCTGGTTCAAACAGATTTTCCGCCTCTTGGATACCGAGTATCCGTATATTCGCAATCCAAGTGGTGACTCCACGCCCGTGGCTATCCAAGCATCCGTCTGGCTGTGTTGGAAATCTCATCCAGGCCAACCCAGCACTAATTAATCCACATACTCCGTATGGAGTACAATTCAGCACACGTTGCATAAAAGGTAACTCTTGTGGCCTTGTTCGTTCTGACGCCTCTGAGACCGCAAATCTTTTCCAGCAAATCCGAGTCCTCACTGGCGAGCTTCAAGACACGATCGACCGCCGAGTCTGTCTATCCACAAATTGATCACCTATGGATAATTGGGGACTCCTCCTGTCTGTAACTAGATGTGATTCTTTCTCTGTTTCAGCATTTCTCCCAGCTTTTGATGAGAGACCTTATATGGGCCCGGAGACGCGCGGCCCAACACATACCCATCAGAGCTTCACTGGTGCATCATGACAAGCATTTTTCTCTCCTCTGCACCCATGCTCGATGCTCTGTGCTCGCTACGCGAAAAAGGAGGGTACGTAGCTGTCTCCAAACAAAAGCCGGCCCACCCAACCACCATGCCGTCAGTTTCCTTATCCTTGTGGCGCTATCTACGGGGATCCACCCGTCCCTCTACTCGGATGCCAGCTTATCATAACCTCCGACTCGCTAACTGCTGCGTGGCTACATCATCGATTTGAGACAATAGTGGCACTTCCGTAACTTTGTTTTGAGTAATATTTCCATGGCATTTTCGAATGCCGCCTTTCACATGGATATTTTCTGCCGCTCAAAACTAGTTGAGACTATCAGTTAGCAGCATGATTGTCCTCCGTATTGAGTGTGTGTCTCTTGGAATGGATACCGAACCATGGAGCACGACGTCAGAATACGAGAGGAGTAGATTCCAGCAGTGTTCCGTACACCGTTGGACGTTCTACAGAGACCATTACCAGGCCCTCCATGTGTCCCTGTTCCTAGTCCGGACTTGCTTATCCTCGGTCCTCCAGCTCTCAGCCTCTTACTCGTAGCTGTCAACAATCCATGCTGCGTGTACTTACTGTCTCGAACGAGCGCTCGTATGCATGGCCCGGCCTCCGGAAGAGAGAAACGGTGTAATAATCGTTCCCGCTCTCAGGTTTGTTGACGAAAAGTGGTGGGAGCCATGTTGCTTGGACATCTTGAGAATTTCAGTGCTGTCAGTGCACCAGCCACACCAGAGGGTCCCGACTCTTGACAAACGCTCGGAGAGAAACGCCACCATCACGCCACAATGCGGAGGGGCCGGCGCCCAGGTACCAACACTCGTATGTACGAGGTATTCCGTTACCTGTACGACTAGCGAAGCACCCGGGGGACCCATGTGAGCGCCAGTATTTCCTGTCAACAGCACAGACATAACATCTACGAGGTACCCTGGTGGGATTTTGAGGAGCTATTGAATTCAATTGCTCTCTTTTGATACTAATTGTTCCACAGGTTTCTGAACAGGGGGAACGCTCGTTGAAAGCGTCGCTGCCACTTCTGTCGGCCTTTGCCGTTTGTGATTTACTTGCGAGAACTACCGCTCTGCAGCCCTTAACGGTGTTGAACCTCCTTGGTCAGGGAATTCCTGTGAGATCGCGCGTCAAGCATGTCAATGGATGGTTGACTTACTGCGCCCGAGAATAAGATGATGGATGTTACAAGGGTTGTGCAGGGCTCCTCTTTCACATTTAACCTGCATGTTCAAATCACGAGGGTTATGATGTCCAGCTCCAACCCAGCAGAACTTGGGCCAAGCAACGGAATCTAAGATCAATCGAGCCCAAAGACTATTGCGAATCGGCCGTCATCCTCGAAAATTATTTGTTACCTTGGATGAATCGTACCGATCGCACGAAGTGGAAATATCCGAAGAGCTGTCAGGAGCATCTGTTGATATATACTACATTGTCGAGACAATATCACACTCTTCTTTGGTTCTTTCCCCCAAACAAGGTTCCGTCGCAGAGGGCCTCGATTGCTTGGATCTATCTCAAAATTCAGGTAGGTACCGAATGTCACTCGCCACAGACGCAGTCAGTAAAGGATACCCTCAAGGAAGAGAGTTCTGGTCGGCTGAGCTGGCCTCTTTTGCATTACTCTACATGAGCTAGACACCCTCCACGGCCCGGAAAAGTGCCACCGAAGCGCCCAGAAACAGCCTCCGAATCGTTGCAAGCGTCAAAGGAAGGCCTCTGGAATCATCCCACCCCGAAGAATTCCCTTCAGTGGCCCCTCTTTTATACGGGAGGTATCTAAACACTGGTGCAACCAGGATATGTACATGGTTGATGTGGATATCCGCTTGCCCGATTCCAAGGGTTTCTCAGGCGAGTGAGTGTAGAACGAAGCCATGCTGGCAGAGCTAGATACCTTGGAGATCAGGGTAAGTGGTTCGTGACCTACGGCTGTGTGGTGTTCCTGGGAACAACACCGTTCAGCCACACGCAAATAGCAAAGGTGAGTTCAGTCCTGTCCCATGAATCTGGTCAGAAGAACGGATCAGCCAAGAGTGCAGATGGACCCCGTTCCTTTTGAACGAAAAGTGAGTGTATCATGGGTCCATGCTAGGTACGAGACACGCACAGACTTTCCCTCATGAGCAGCGTTTGTCCAACACTCCCACGCCGTCGATCCCGGAGATCCAGTGCTCGGTTTCATTTCTCCCGGCTTGAAAGAGAAGCATGCGAAAATCAAAATGAAGAGCGAAGGGGTGATGGGTAATAAGAAACTCATGTCGAATATGCCATCGTGCAAGTTCATTTTTCGTGAGACGATTTGCGACCGCCGTCACACTGCAAAGATGCCAAACGTCGACATTCCGCCCTCTAGGCATATATAGCTGTATCTATCAGCTGTATCTATCGCTTGTCAGGCGAGTGCCTAACGGAGCATGAGAGCAAAGGCCGATAAACGTTTCCCCGAAGCGTGATTGACTACATAGACAATCCTCCAGAGCGGCCATTTGTCCACGGCCACTGGCTCCATGCAATCGTGTGCCCACTGGAAAAGCACTCTTTTCTCTCGCATCGGGAATTCGGGGTAGCGCTATCAAGCGAATTGGTGCAGGGCATACGGATCACTATGATTTACTGGTTCTAGGCTTTTGCTGGATATATACCCCTTGGCGTCGAGGAATATGAATATCTTGTTTAGTATCTTCTTACAACACACGGCCCAATCCCCTGGCTCTGAGCTCTTGAACTGGTGCTAGACACTTGAGGCTGCGATATCATCCGATCCCAACATCGACTACAGGCTTAAATGGGGTGAGTTTCCGGAACGACTGCACGTCATATCATACCCTTGTATTTTATCTGTAGCGCACGGGAAGCAAAGGTAATGGCTCTATCGGAGAAAAAGAAAAGGCGCTGTCAACGGGGGCTCGTCGTATCCATTTCTTGAGCCAAATTCCTGGAAGAACAAATTCTAGGTCCAACCGCTCCCAACAGGCGTCTTCGACTTTACTTTCGGTCTTATGCATATTCACGTGAATTGACATTCTGGTGCTCTCTGACGCTGGATCTGAGTATATAGTGAAGTTCAGAGGTCTTCTGAACAGCGACTTGGCACAAGCTCCATAATTCGGTGCGTTCTTGTCAGCAGTCCAACTCTTCTTTCCTTATCGTGCTCTCTCCAAGCAACTGAGCTCACCGTCCAGCTTTTCGAGCACCTGCCGAAAGTTGAGGATGGAATCGAGGAGGGATCGCGCTTGCTTCCGTGGGTTCGCTACCCTGTGCAAATCGGTCTACAATTTGTTGGGTGTAGAGGCGGTATTCCATGAGTAACCACCAGCGTCGCTGAATTTGTATCCGTAAGAGGCAGTAAAGTCATCAAGAACAGCAGGACCACGAGACCCTATCACAATTTGTTAGTCAATGCTACTTTGGAGTGAACTAGCTAGATGGACATACCGTAAGGATATTCCATCGGAACAATCTCTTTCTTTTCATCCAAGTAGTGAAGAAGGGGCGAGAAGATTCTCCAGGAAGCATCCAATTCGTCGTCACGAACGAAGTTGGAGTGGTCTCCCTTCATGGCATCAAGAACTAAACTCTCGTACGCCTCTGGGATCTTCAGATCGGAGAAGCGACGGCGGTATGTGAGATCAAGTTCGGTAACGACGGTTTGCATCGACAAACCGGGGAGTTTCGAGTTCATCTTCAGATAGACCGACTCGTTGGGCTGAATACGGATAACGAGTTCGTTTCGAGGGATATCTTTGAAGATACCAGATGTAACATCCTTGAACTGGATACGGATCTCCGTCTTTTGCTCGTTCAGAGCTTTGCCTGCCTTCAGGATGAATGGGACACCGTCCCACCTCTCGTTTTTGATGAATGCTACCATCGCACAGAATGTGGGACATCTGGAGTCTTTGGGCACTGTGTCATCTTCCTTGTATGCAGGCTTGGTACCATCCAAGGACTTGCCGTATTGTCCGATGATGACGTTCTTGGGCTCGATTTTAGGAATCCCACGGAGAACCCTAACCTTCTCATCGCGAATGTCCTCGGCAGAGAAGGAGATCGGACGTTCCATAGCGAGGAGAGTCAGGACTTGTAGCAAGTGATTTTGCATTACATCACGAATGATGCCGAATTCATCGAAGTAGCCGCCTCGTCCTTCGGTACCAAAAGGCTCTTTGAACGTGATTTGAACACTGTCGATGTGATTGCGGTTCCAGGTTGCACCCAGGAACTCATTGCCAAACCTGAGGATGAGTAAGTTCTTCACCATTTCCTTTCCGAGGTAATGGTCGATACGGAAGATCTCCTCTTCCTTCCAGTCAGGCTCAAGGCTGCACATGATCAGTTAGCGAGTGTTCTTTCTACTGGAACTAAGGGAAACTAAGGGAGCGGGTCGATCGCTTACGCCTTTTGTAGCTGCCTTGAGCTATCCAAGTCTTTACCGAATGGTTTCTCGATAATGATTCGAGCAATGCCGTTCGGGGGATAGCAATTGCGCTTGAGATGTTGGGAGACTGGAATGAAGACGCTGGGAGGCAACGCCATGTAGAAGACTCTGTGGCCCTCCTTACGATTCTTCTCAATTTCCTTGATATGCTGGTCAAGCTTTTGGAAGGGCTCATCTTGGTCATATTGTCCAGAGAGATATGTGCAAATGGAGCAGAATTGGTCCAGCTGCTCTTCCACCTCTTTAGTTGGGGTCTTTATGTATGATCTGACCCTCTTGAGATATTCAGTATGATCCATTTTAGTACGGGCATATCCGATGATCTTGATGTCTTGTGGGAGGAATTTGTTTCGGTACTAGTTGTTCGTATTTGGTAAGCAAATCGAAATTGCGGTGCGGAAAGGTGTTGACATCTTACCAGGCCAAACAATGCAGGAAATGTCTTCTTCTTTGCAAGATCACCTGAAGCACCCAGGACGACTATGACAGTGTTCTCCTTGAGCTCAACAGTTCTGTGGATTTCACCCCGTCAGCCATCATATTCTGGTCGAGGTCGTGGGGGGATGGGGTAGATAGTGCCGCGGAGTTAAGGAATGCATTGGCGCTCACCCAGCGTTCTCAGGCTCTTCGGGACGGAGGAGGGTGTCCGCCATGTTGGATGGTGTATTCTGATGAGGAATATGAAGAAGGATGGACAGGAAGGTGAAGAGAAGGAAGACGAGGGAAGTGACAGTTGAGCACAATGACAAAGCTTTGGGGGGAGGAAATATGATTATTTGCGGCGATCAATGCAAAAGAATGGTGGGGCAGCAGCCGAGTGATGAGATGGGAAATCGGCCCTGCAGTGGGTAGGGGCCTTGGTTAGGACGGCAGGACCCAGGACGTAGGAGCCGTGGGAAGGGGCCTGGGAGGTGGCGGGAGGGCAGGTACGACGGCAGAGTACTCGGTGCAGGTGAGGTGGTAGTGCCTGCCTCCGAAGCAGTGGGCGCGGTGAAGAATTTGGCGTGGTTCTTAATCAATAGACCCGGCCTTTTCGGACCTAATCTCGCCCGCAAGCCAGGAGCAATTCCTTGGGTTTCCTCTGGGATCTTGGACTTCAGGCTGGGTGTATCTGCTGTCACAGCAGTCGCCGATCTGTTTCAAGACCGGACTGCGAAACAAGTGGAAGGAAGTGTTCCCAGGTAAGTGAGGGGGAAGAAGAAGTGATGGATCTGTTGCATTACCAAGTCCTCTGGAACAAATCCCTATCAACAATCTTATATCAGTGCCGCGGAGGGAGATGCGGTCCAAACTGTCGTCACTCTAATCACTAAGCAATCGTGCCTGGAGTGGGATTCTTCGTATGTAACTTAGCCTATCGTATCTGCATTGCATTGCCAGCGGAATCATCGGCTCCATGAATTGCCCCCCCCCGACGGCTGGGTTGCCTGTCTATTTAAGGGCGCCGTGCTTCGTCATTCGCAGGCTCTTATGTAATCTGTCTAATTCTGCAAATGCAAGCCTTCATCGCGCTCGATCGTTTTCAAAAACTACGAGGCATTGTCCACCCTGTTCACAGAGCTTCACCACTCCGTCCACCCTGGTCTCTTACATGGAGAGAAGCGCTACCTTGTACGGAGCACTCAAACAGGTATTAATTCCGGGTTTCGGAGTTAGCGCCAGGAAAGAAGGTGCAGACGTCCACACCGACATCATGACAGGACTTATGTTTTGTACTATTTTCTTGGACGTCTGCCTTAAAAGGTGAGATTATGGCGGAAGACAAATACATGGGACCTTCACACTCGGGTCCTTGTAGAACCAGGCGCTCAGGGCAGAGCAAGCCTGAAGAAGTCTAGAATCACCAGCACTCACCAAGAATCTGTTCCTAAATCACTTGGAAAGTTGTCCTCGTTCTAGACTAATCAATGGTGAACGATAATATTCCGTAGTATACCTAGGCTCAGTACAGTGCCGCGGTACGGCTAGACGAAGTTCGACAATCGGTGTCTGGCCTCCCGGTCTGCGAGTATGGTCAAGGTGCACTGGATTGATATGCGAATTTCTCCGGACCTGGATAATTAAGTCGTACCTCGGCCAGAAACGATGAATCAGAGCGTTCGGATCTGGACCAACCCTACCTATTTTAGGCGAAGTTCTGACGCAGGAAAGAATACGTACTTAGTGGGTACAGTAGTCCTTTGTATGAAGTAGTTGGAAGCAGGCACCGAGGATATAATAGGAATTGTTATACAGTCTATTTGATCCCAATAGGCTGATTCTGACCTACCTGGATCGTCCAATACAGGATGTACCTTTCTTTTGATGTATAAGATATATTAGGATTTGTTGAGATTTCCCAGTTGGTCGGATCGATTACTGGCAGTCTGGTGCCTTATGCCAAGGTTGACTGTAGAGCGGCGAAAGGTCTTCCCGCATTGAGAACATCAACATGTCTTGGCATATTATTCCCGAAGCGCACTAGTGGCACACAATCCTAATTTTCGAGACTGCGACACATTTGTCGACGGCACTTCCAACGAACGACTACCACACTCTCTGTCGCCAACAGCCTCCATTCTTCGTCCCTTTCGCACAAATACCGTCAACATGGTCTCCGGCGGTGGTCACAGATGTGAGCAGATTCTCTACCCGATAACTACTGTCCCAGCATTCGGCTATGCCGTTGTTTGAAGACGCACGGAAAGAAGGAAAAGGGAATTAACGACTGACAACACTCTCTTCTAGTATACGTGAAAGGCAAGCACTTGTCTCACCAACGCGGAAAGCGCAACACAAACCCCAACACCTCTCTCCTTAAGATCGAAGGCGTCGAAGATACCAATGCCGCAAAGTACGTTCTATCCACCATGCAAGAAGGACCCAAAGGGATGGGAGTGGAGGGAGAAGAATCCCGCTTGACATTGATCTCATTCTAACGTATTTCATCCGCCATAGATTCTACCTAGGAAAGCGAGTCGCGTTCGTCTACCGAGCCCAGAAGGAACGACAGGGCAGCAAGATCCGAGTCATCTGGGGCAAAGTCACCCGGCCGCACGGAAACTCAGGCGTCGTCCGAGCAAGATTCGTCCACAACCTCCCTCCCAAGAGCTTTGGTGCCAGCGTCAGAATCTTCCTGTACCCCAGTTCGATATGATTTGACTTCTTAGGCGGAGCGGGGATGGGCTTTGGTCAGAGGTGATAGATGGGTGAGAAGGCAAGGGATCTCGCGGGGAGATTAGTTCGAACTGGCCGCAGAGTTCGGTGAATATGGCGTGGGCTCAATTGCTTAACCTCATGTAATGAGATGAGATATTCTCGAAGGAAACAAAAAGGAACTAACTACTCATGATTGACAATCGGCCCCTGGTCCAAGTATTACTTCATGGTTCGACACGACATGGAGGCAGCCAAACTGCAAGTATGGGCGCGCGGTTTTCCCCGTGTGCATGAATAAGAATCAAAAACTTCTTCGACAATTTAATATGCCTGGTCCATGTCAAAAAAATCCCCTCACCTGACCTGAGAGCGTCGGAGGCCGTCCGAACCGTCAAATCATCATCAAACTGACGCTGGACTGTATTTCCTACCTGGACTTTGGCTCATGTTTGGCGAGTGATATCCACATTACTACCATATTGCTATTTTCGTGCATCTGTCTCGTTCCGAAGGCACTCTGCTGCCTTTTTCTGTTCTTCCCAGAGCCACGTGTAGCATACAATTAAATCTGAATTGTTGGCTGGTAATATTCCGGAACATTCTAACTGAAGAATGCCCCATTCCTACTCGTACATTCTGTGGTACTGGACGATGTCATGAAGTCCATCTAGTCTACATTAATATCGATCCCAAAACTCAGACCACCCTCTTTAAGCGTCTGGCAGCCTCGGCACTGATGACACTGCACAGGGCGCCGACAAACATGCATACGGCAATCGCGTTCGGGGCATTCTGCTTCAGATTCAACCATTTGTGGTGCGCTGGATCAACATCAGCACCATCAACATCGTTTGCCCCAGGCTCTAGAATAGAGAAAACAATCCAACTGAGGAAGGTGCCGACGAACTGGGGGAGCGTGGTGTACACGTTCAAGACCCCGAGATATATCCCTGCCAGTTCACCGGTGGAGGCGTGCGCATTGGGATCCTCAGGGTGATGGAGTCGAAGAACACCGTCTGAGAAGATGCGACGGTGCCGCCGCGCTTCCTCCATCTCGATGTCATCGGCGGCATCAGGCTCGTCGACGCTACCGTGCACCGACGTGTAGCCGGGAGCAATGGAACCCTTGATCGCTGCGTGCGGGCCAGAGGACATTTGGTTAATTTCGATGCCGAGAAGCCCGAACGGCGCCCAGCATGAGATGGCCCAAGGGACGCCGCACAACGCGACGAGCGCTGTCGCCGAGTGGAGGCTCCTAGTCCATGGTGCAAAGACGGTGATGAAAGCGAAGAGAAGGTTGGAAAGCAACCAGGCCGACGTCAGATCGGGCTGCATTGTTGCCGCCTTGACCAGAATGGTCTGAAGCGGTTTCGTCAGTGAAGGAGGTGGGCGAGGTGTGAATCTCACCTCGCCGGCTTCTGGGGCTTTGACGACGTAAGGGAGGAGAACGGAAGAGCAAAATGTAATGAGAGAGAAGATTACAAGAGCGACACTTCCTAGGCGGCCGATGTTGCCCAGAGCATCGTGTTGGTCGTTCGAGCCCGCAATTGGTGGAGGGTGTTCGTACCGATAGTATATCTCCCCGACGAATGTGCTGGAGTAGAAGAGAAATGGGAACCTAGACGGTTTTGGTGAGCGAAGCATGCGTGAGGAAACAATGGTTACCTACCATCCAACCCAATTCCAGAATTGAACCCAACAGATAGCCTGTATCCTTGGAGGTAGATTCAGCGTGCGGTACCATAGGTTTGCCAAAACTTCCTTCATGGTAGTCGTGTCATTGTCGCCGGAGAGCCTGACACGTTCGGTGACCGCCCAAGAAGTGATCCCCACTGTCAGCCACAAGGCAATAGCCGAAATAACGGTCATCTTCTTAAACTGTGTGTCTCCGCCTAGCCAGCCGGGGAAGATAGCCACAAGGTCAAAACTCCCGATGAAATATCCGAGCAGGTGTCCCACTGCAACCAATCTCGAGGCCCAGGCAGAACCGGACTGCTGCTGCGAGATGGGCAGTGTGTCGACGATCAGACTTCGACCGCACGCTTGAACAGCATTGACCGAGAAGTCGAGCGCATAGATGCACAGAATTGCGAGCAAGAGTGTAACATCCTTTTTCGACTGACCCTCTGGGAGGAAGACTCCCACCACTTCTGAGGTCCACCCTAACAGCAATAGTCCAATGCCCGTGATGATAGATCCAACTATCATGTATGGTCTGCGCCTCCCATATCTAGAGGTTGACTTGTCTGCGTATGCGCCGACGATAGGCTGCATGATCAAGCCCGAGAGGGGGCCTGCGATCCATACCAAAGAGGTCTTCGACTTTGTGAGGCCCAGTTGGAGAAGGTAAGGTGTGCCATCTGCGGAATCAGGCTGTCAGTGAATGTTCGATTATCTAAGTAGCAATTGCAGCATACATGTCATCTCGATTCCCCATGTGAACCTGTTGAGCGGGAAAACATTAGCGACTCACTTGACGGTCGTCGGGGGCGGACATGCTCCCGTGAATGTACTTACTGCAATCCGATCAATGAACAGGTGAGCAGACACATGCGCATTGCCTCGCTTGAGCCTTTGATGGAAGGAGTACCACTCCATGATGTGGACTTGTTCATGGCATAAGCATCCGTTCTTGTTGACGCGTCGACAAGCGAGGGGAGAGATATGCAACGGATGGGCCTATGACGCCTCAAAAGGGATCAGCTGTTGCATGCAAGAAACGAGTGCGAAGAGTTGGTCGTGGAGGATAAGGTCAAGGACAGAAAGGCGCTGGAGATTCAAGCATCCTGAAATTGTCGCGGCCATGCCATGGCTGTGCCCTGTAGCCCTGCATATCTTGTCTTACGCAAAGGAAGCTGTACGAGTACTAGGTACCACCTACTCCCTTACATGTCTAGATCTGTCAATCCGAGTTAAACGGTCCCTGACTCCTGGCTGGTCGGCCGCGGGGACTTCAAAAGACGCTTACGAGTACGTAGTTTCTCCGAAGCCACACCGAATCTCCGACCCGTCAAGAAGATAAGGCCGTTGCCCCTTAATAATGTCCTCCGTCTACGGCCTACCATTTCGTCCTTTTGCTTAATCAAGAGCCAAGGTGTATGCTGCAAATATCTGTTCCCGTATAAAAAGCAATTATGCCCTTCTACGCCTGATGACTGGATTATTCATCTACACGACGAGAAAAGCCTGTCGACATGCGGCCTTTGGCTGGACGGTATCATGCTGGTAAATGGAAAAGCGTCACCTATATTTCTGTGTCACTGTTGGAATATGATCCGGGTTTTCTGACACCGGGCTTTCCATATTCCACCTCTATACGTGACAGGAGATGTTCTGCTTGACCCAGACTGAAGTGGGAGCCGCTGAGGGCACCCATCTGCTCGCTCCTAATCTTAGATAAAACCAATGCGTGGCATAACGGCATTGCCTACCGGCCCAAGGTTGATATCATTCCTTCAACCCGGTTTCTGACTCCCTCGTACACAATCCCAGGCGGATCCGCTCTGTATATAAATATTATCATGATTTATGGTGACCCGTCCTCGACCCTTCCACCCTCTCCTCGCCTTTTCTTGGCGCACCGGGCGTGCACAATGGTCGGAACTGCGTAGCCGGGACTCTACGGTCGATCAAAGGACTCTACGGTCGATCATGGTGCCAAAATGGCTGGAATTTTTAGCATGACGCGACGCGTCTAAATGGCACGGGCGCTTTTTCACGGGTCCAGGAGGGGCTTGTCACTTTGGCGGATAATAATAATCTGGACACGGCTGTTCACATTGTTAAGGAGCAGCGTTGCCGGCGAAGACTCTCCATGCAAAGCTAAACATTAATTCTTTACCATCACAATGCGCTCTTCTCCCTAGCCATTGCCTGCTCTATGCAGAAACACATGTTCGACCTCTGCGAAAATGGCCTCTGAAGATTCCTTAATGCTCTCTGACGACGAACTCTTCAATCCAGTGGTCAAGCCTCAGCATGAGACCATTGAAACTCTGCCCCTCCACCGACCGACCATAGACGACTATGATGACTCTGACTACGAGACACTCGCAACCCTACCACTTGATCATTCTGTCCTCAACAATGGTAGATCGACTAGTGGTGGCCAGACTCAACCAACTCAACTCATACCTCGATTATCCTCACCCGATATGCCTTCATCCCCTCCAAAACTTCCGACTGTACAGGTTGCAGCGTCTTCCCCAGTAATTGGCTCTTCTGCAATGCCAAAACAGCGTGGGATTCTTGCTAGTGCAATGGCCCCGGCGGGCACCACCTTCCGCCTACCAACAATCGCCGTTCCACAGAGACGTCCTGAGCCAATTACAATCGACAGTGACGATGAAGGTCCAACATATCGCGGGGGCTCTTCTGATGACGATGAAGGGAGTTCGAGGAAAAATGACCTCAAGACATATACCTTCTCGCGCAAGCCTCAACCAGAAAAGGTTGCTGAGTCACCCCAGGGACAAAGTGATGGCTCAAGTCGGTTCAGTAAAATTGCTTCTAGCTATATGTATCGTGCTTCCTCGAACTCATCCTTGGCATCAAGCTCGACGAAGCGGTCTGCAGACACAAACGCGAACGCTTACGGCAATGCTACAAAGAAACCCCGACAGGCTGGTCCAGCCCGAGCGCTTCCTGTGCAGAAAAAGATACCAGAGATGGACATGGATGACATCAGTGACTACAATACACGCCAAAAGGTTAAGCGCCTCCTGGCCATGGTCAGAGGCGTGTCCGTGCTAGAGAGTTTCACTGTCCTGCAGAATAAGAAAGGGAATTACGATGATGCGGTCGAACAGTTGTTGACGTTGAGTGAAAAGAGAGAATCCGATGGCAAGAAAAATGCAATCGACCTGATTTCAGATGATGAGTTGACTCTAACTCCGGGTGTCCCAAAGCGGCCATTGCTGCATGTGCCCAAGCAACATCCAAAAGCCCCGCAAAAGACAATCGTGGAGAAATGGGGCTCGACTCAGATCCCCAAGAAGCCTCAGAAAGTGATCAGTGTGTTTGATACACCACAGCCACGCCCAAAGAAAAGAACTTTGATCCGTGGCCGGAGGCGTTCTTCCACTCCGCCAGCACCTCTCCCAACTAAACCACTGCCCAGAGCTGTTCAAACCATACAGTCTGACGATTCAGACGAGGCAGACTCGGCTGCAAATTCAGACGCCGAAGCCAATCCAACGTTTCAGTCTCGCGTTCTTGAGTTCTTCAATAAGTGCTCTGCCGCAGACCTAGTTGACACTGCATCAACCAGTAAGGAGCTCGCTCAGTTCTTTGTCTCACAGCGACCATTTAAATCTCTTGATGCCATCACCGAGATTCAAGATCCTAGCCTTAAGCCCACAAAAGGTCGTCGCAAAACCGCGCCAATTGGTGAGAGACTTGTCGAGAAGGTTGAGGCAATGCTTGAGAGTTACGATGCGGTCGACTTCTTAGTTCAGAGGTGCCAGAACCTTGCTAAACCGCTGGCTACTGAAATGAAGAGATGGGGGATCAATATGCACGGTTCGCAGAGTGGAGAGCTTGAAATGGTGTCCCTACACGAAGTCCAAAAGACCCATGATTCAGGGATTGGAACTCCAGTCAGTGACGAGGACCCTGATAACGTCAGACAACCTGGCTCTAGAAATCGCATTGGCCAACCTTCATCGATGTCGCCGGATATCCAGATGAAAGACTACCAGATCGCCGGAGTGAATTGGCTCAACCTTCTATACAAAAGGAACTTAAGCTGCATACTCGCCGATGACATGGGTCTGGGAAAGACTTGCCAGGTCATCGCCTTTTTGGCACACCTTTTTGAAGAAGGTCACGCTGGCCCACATCTTGTTGTTGTACCTGCTGCTACTCTAGAGAATTGGTTGAAAGAATTCAAACGCTTCTGTCCAACTTTGCGCGTTGAGCCATACTACTCTACCGTTCCTGGGGAGCGAATGATGCTGAGACAGACTTTCGAAGACTCCAAAGAAGAAGTTAATGTCATTGTTACAACGTACACTATAGCCAAAGCAAGGGACGACTTTCCTTGGCTTAGAACCTTTGGATTTGACTGCACAGTCTTTGACGAGGGCCATGTGCTGAAGAACGCCGACTCCCAAGTCGCCTCCAAGCTAGTCAAGATCGCATCCAACTTTCGTCTTCTGCTCACTGGAACACCTCTGCAAAATAATTTGAAAGAATTGATCAGTCTTCTGGCTTTCTTAATGCCGGATGTGTTCAAGGACAAGCAATCAGCCTTAAGGACAATCTTTTCACACACTGTCAAGGCTATGGACGGCAATCACGATGCCCTCCTTTCGGCACAAAGAATCACTAGGGCACGAAGCATGCTTACGCCGTTCATATTGAGACGCAAGAAATATCAAGTACTCGAAGACCTACCAAAGAAAGAGCGACGGGTAGAGCTTTGTGATATGACTGCTGAGCAGGTGGAAATCTATCAACTCTGGCTCGAAAAAGCCTACAGCATCCGTGAGAGGAGGGAGAAGGGGGAGAACATGGGTCAAGAGTCCTCCAATATCCTCATGAAGTTGAGGCAAGCCGCAATCCATCCATTCCTCTTCCGTCGTCTCTACCCTGACAAAATCCTCCCCAAAATTGCCAAACAGTGTCTCCGAGTAGAGATGTGGCGCGAATCCAACCCGGATCTCATTGTTACCGAGTTGAAGGCTTATTCCGACATGGAAATCAATACTTTATGTGATGCACATGAAGAACTGAAACGTTTCGTGCTTGTCAACAACGAGTGGATGGCCAGTGGAAAGGTTGAAAAGACTGTCGAGCTACTTCGCAAGTTCATGTCAGAAGGGCACAGAACTTTGATCTTTAGCCAATTCACAATGGTACTAGACATCTTGGAACTCGTCTTGCAGCATGAAGACATAGGCTATTATCGCTTGGATGGTACGACCAGAGTTTCGGAGCGCCAGGATATGATCGATGAATTCTCAGCAGATGACAACAAAACCCCTGTCTTCATGCTCAGTACCAAAGCAGGCGGTGCAGGCATCAATCTTGCAACAGCCAATAAAGTCATCGTGTTCGATAGCGGCTTCAACCCTCAAGATGACATCCAAGCAGAAAACAGAGCTCATCGAATTGGCCAGACCAAAGAGGTTGAGGTCATCAGGCTGGTTTCAAGAGGCTCAGTTGAAGAACAAATTCATGCTATGGGACTCGCGAAACTCAAATTGGACGAACAAGTGGCTGGAGATGGAGCAGAAGAGCAGCCACCGCAGAATGGAGCTGAGGAGACTGAGAAGGAGGCCGAGGGTCGACAACTTGTGGAAAGCATGTTTTTCGCAAAGTTGAATCAGGAGCCGATCGACCAGTTGAAGGCAGAAGTTGCCAGTCCTGCAAAGGCGAAGCTTCCAAAGTCCGAAGAACCAGCACCGGAACTGAAACCTAATGATGTGGAATTGGAAAAATATCCTGATGCTAGCCAGAATCGCCAGGCAAGTGTCGATCTACCCGCTCGACCTAGAAGGTCCAAGCGGGCTTAATGACTGATATCCATTGTCTGAAGCATTGGGATAGTGAACGATGGGTTGAAATGATGGGCGGTTTGGAACGCTACATCTTGTCAATAAGCATCCTAGCCTCTGCTTAGGGGCCCAGCATCAAACACCCTATGCCATAGGTATTTATTGAATACGAACTAGAAGAGCATCGACGGATTCGATTTAGATCCTTCACAACAGAGCCGCGTAACCAAGGACAAGTCTCCACAGCGGGACAAATTTTGTGGATATCCTTTCAACGGAACATGCTTCAAGAATCTATCAGTACTGGTACTAAGTGATGGATCGACGCGGTTTCATTCTCGCTGGGCAAAGCAACCGAAAAGCTGCCCCATGACCGACCACTGCTAGTCCCATTGATTCGTTCGGCCAACCTTGAACCGCATTCGTGAGCAGCTGTGCAAAAAAGCCGTTGGTCATTCCCATTCCCATTCCATTGCCCGTTCCTGATAATTGATGGCTCCCGGCACAGCTCGCCTGCTTGCGCAGCAGCGAGCTTTCGTCGATGAGGACTTTTCCCAGGTTCTGATATTGCCAGCATTGCCATATGTTCCATTTCTTGTCTCGAGGCTAGTCGACGATGACAAGAACAATTTGAAAGGCACCTCCGATTTACACAATAGCGCTTTCAGAACCCCTCTAGCATGACCATCGCACTCGATATTGTCCTGCCCGGCATTTGTACCTCTACATCCCTGGTTGAACCTGCTTTTTGTGGTAGTACTGGTGATTGGCTTGTTGGCGAAGGGCTTCTTCGAGAAGTCAAGCTTGAAGACATCTCTTTGAAGGACTAATTATGGAACCGTCTCTGAATGGACCACCCAGCATTTCCTCACCGAACACTGCGAGGTTGAATTCACACCCGCCGTGGCCAAACAAACGTACTACCCTCGGTGACCCTTTACGTAGCATTATGTCCCGGTGGGTTTAACTTAGGTAGGCCTAAACGCTCTCCCTCAAGGATATATCACTCTTGATTTCATGAATAGGTAGCCATGCGAGGAAAGCATGTCCTAACTATCACATCTCACTCATTCGCAGGTCATTCAAAGGACAATTTTGATCTGATGTAAGTCTAAAGTCCATGTCATTTCCACACCTAGCTGGTGATTTCAATTCCCATCAGCAGGGCTCCTGCCAGATGCCCAAATTTCACTGATTTTCCCCTGCTGTGTAGACTCATGCATCCCCAGAAAAGCAAAGTAAGCTCAGTTCGTTCCGAACATTTTCACCCGATCCTCCAGTGGAAGATACGTGCGTTCTCTCGATCGCTTTAGGCCGTCAGCCGGCGCCCCAAACACCAGCTGGCTCAGCAACTTCCAGCTTTGCGGTAGTTTCCACTCCTGGGCCACCGCTTCCGAGAATTCAGGCATGAAGTTATAGTGCTGCAAATTGCAGCCCAAACCTTCAAGTTCCAGCGCCGTCCATGTGATGAACTGGTGCATGCCGGACGAATGATGGGACCCTGGTTAGGACATTGGCTTAGCCAGTGAGGGGAAGAAGTTGACACGACTCACTTACAGTCACCGATCGTTGCCTGGATGGCTGGGTTCTTCTCCTTCAACGTATCCAGTGCATCCTGATCTTCAAGCCACAACACAGTGCCATAGCCAGCATGGAAACCTTTCACTCTGGGCGCCAACGCCTGATAAGCACCTTCTGGCATGGCGTTTTTCAGACACTTGTCGGCAATGTCCCATAGTTTCTCGTGGTCAGCTTTCACGAGAATGATAGCGCGAGCAGATTGCACATTAAACGCTGAAGGCGCGTTCTTGACAGCGAACTCCACTACTGACTGGACCTTGGAGTCCGGAATCGGTGAAGTGTTCGTGAGCCCGTAGCAGGAGATTCGATTCTCGATCGGAGCGAGGAATAGTCCGAGTGCTGTTGTGCTGGAAGACATGGTGGATATCAATATGCAAGTCTCCGAGAACGGTTTGTGTTTGATAAATGGTCCGCAAAGACAGTGAATGGCTGTTTGTTACTGTGTATGTCTTGTGTCTGAGGAAACATAATACAGTATTTATATACTTCCATCAGCTGGTTTAGTTCATCAGCCAGTTCTCCTACGTGATTCGCTGTCCCGAGGACTGCGAGGCACGACCCACCAACTCTAGACGCTAGTCGAGTCTTGCACCGGACGCCTTGCTCATGGGGAGAATTGTGCAGACTATCGGCCTTTGAGCGAATGACTCAGTAATTTCCACGAGATCGCAGCAACCCGGCTCACCCTTAAGAGACGAGCCGATTTTGTGGAACCATGGAGCTGCCGTCTACCATAGATGCCGGCACGGTTGGTATCGTAGCCGATTATCAATGTAGAGTCGAGGATGCCCACTTCATTTCTTGTTACAGACAAGCTTTCGTGCACGCATCTGGCCGGCTGCCCCTTCCTCGGCCCCGAAGATGCGTCTTCGCACGGCGCATCGGACCTTATCATACATTATCTCCTCGTGAAACCAGCATGTATTGGGGCAGCCTTCCAAGACCGACCATCTCCCGAGTACGAGGTCCTGCGAGATGAGGACAAATACGCAGCAATGAATGCAACCGACTACGAAGCCAAGAGGGGTTGTGCGTGCAGGCTTAGGAATTATGCTGCCAGTAATGTGTCATCAACATGTGGCACTGGCTAGTTGTGCTCCACGCCTTTTGTGGCATGAATTGTGCGCATGGAGCCATTGGCTGGACCGACACAAGTCTAGCTAGCTGTAGCGTTAGAGAACTTGTCTGGCCGTTAAGCTAACCTCTAGCAGATGCAGATGTCTATGCAAGGAACAATGACCGGGCTGAGCAGACGATGCCTCCAGGCCACGTGAGCTTTGAGATCACAACAACCAGTTGCCGAAATGTGCGTATTCTCACCAAACCATTAACATGTTTATTTGTTCTGCAACCCTTGTCCCGGAGAGTCCAAATCGCCGGGGCTACAGTCCATATCTGCGTCACGTGACGAGCCGTGCAGGGAGGATGATCTTCCATGCCAAAGTGGCGGCGGTCGTTGCCGTTGTGGAGCCCGTACGAAGGTATTAGAGGCCTCGTAATACGATTAGGTATGTTGGCACTCGCCAGAGAGAGTGGTGTAGCGCAGTGGTATGGGATTGGGAAAGAGACAAAGAGCGTAAGAAGAACTCTACTCGTCTGCCTGGCTAACAGAGATCCTTGGCGCCAAGGCTGCCCACCGTCGTTCTACAGAAATCACCTTTTGTGGATATCATGTCTTTCCACCTCGTCGTCCCGTTGATTCTACAGTAGTCTATGTGCTCTATCAACAAGATTTTCATCCTCTGGCCAGGGATCTGGGGCCGTTCATGGCAGGTCAATCAGTTTATGACTTTGAAGCGGCCATACCATCTTACCGACCTCTATGGAAAAGGAGTAAGAAAAAGAACAATCTACAGCCAAATAACAAGCAACATCCGGTAGAGAATCAGAAGCTTTCATGCCATCCATTGGAGTGCTCGGTGTGAGCAACCCTGTCAGGATCCAACAATCAGTGATCTGGAGGGTTCACTGATGGTCAGATGCAGGAGACGAAAGAAAGTTGCGAATAATGAAGGCGTTGTCGAAATATGAGGCCATAGAGCCTCACTCCATCTGCCGTATTTTCTGAACCATGACAATGACAGGTGGTAGTTTCAGTGCTTCCTTTCCAGCCAATAGGAAATGATACTCCCGAACAGTGAAATCTGAAGCATGAGCTTTCCAAACCCGCCTCGCGCCGAAGTAATTCATGGTGGACAAAGCTTAGCTCCCGGCAAGAGCACTCGGCATATGGCTACTCGCCAAAAACAAGCCGATATCAGCTACCGGCGGGGCCACCCCCTTGCAGAAAAGCCTTTTGCAACCAGCGACGACGAATACAATGGATTCGGTAGACTCGTCTCTGCATCTCGCCTCCAAGCTGGCTTCAACAAGACTCGGAAGCCATCTTGCATTTTCCTGGCAACTGGATGTTGAATGTCTCCCGTTCCTCACTCTCTCATCATTTGCTCCCGCATATCCAGCTGAAACTCACAATCATCACGATTACACAGCAGGACGCGTGTCGTCCCACATTCCAGCCCCAAACTCATCCCAAGATCGCTCCATGTACCAGTCACCAACTTACCCAGGACTTCTAAGTGTCATGCCTAATCCAAGCGTGGTAGATGGCCGAACAAGTCCCCAGCGGTTCCAACCTTTCCCCGGAATATGCTGGTGGAGCCTGGGGTGTGTCCCTAACACAAGCCTTAGTTCGCGAACGGCAGCCTCTTTGAAGAGTTGTCCGTCTGAGGCCGGACCGGTCGTTGTCACCGTCACCACTCAAGGTTTACGTTCTATTTAGAGATGTCTCCATTAAGCTGTCCCGGTCCGAATCAGCCTCCCGCGGCTCGCCACGCTTCCCTGTCCTTCCCCGAGGTTGGACAGCCCTGTCCTTATCAATCTTCCGACTGAGACTACTACAATCTCGTCTTTCCTGTGGTATCGCCCTTTTCACTCCGGTAGTGCGTCTGCTAGCTTCCTCCTATTGAGCTGCCACAATTGACATTCCCCTACGTGACTCTTGCTGTCACAAAGCTTGCTCACTACTCTACTCGTGCACCCTCGAGGCACGATCATGGCTGAGACTTCAGCTTCCAGAAATGCTTCAGTCAACAGTGGCGCCCCACATGGCAGCAACCTGCAGCCACATGTAAGCCCTTGAAATCGTTATTTGGGGTGTTTTCTTAGAAGGCAATCCTGTGTCGAACGCAAACGAGATAGTGCAAGGCAGGCTAGTACTGACTGGGTCTTTCATTGTTTGTAGAATTGGCCTCTTTGGTGGCGAATCATCATCCTGATCAACATCAGCCTTTACAACATGTTGGGCAATATGTTTGCCGCCGGAATCTCGCCTCTCTTCGGCCCGATCATCAAGGAATTCCATGTTCCCATTAGTCAAGTTTCGTGGCTGTCCTCTTATGCCCTGTTGACACTTGGTCTTTCGGTATGCGTTGATTCCTTCTGATGATTGAACCAACACTAATCTAGAGGCAGAATCTGTTTTCCATCGTATTGTACAGATACATTGGAAAGCGTCTGACAATCCTAACCACACTTGTCGGGTTCCTCGGATGCAACATCTGGACCGTTTACACCACGTCCTATAACTCTTTGGTCGCAACCAGAGTTGTTGGAGGCCTTTTCAGCGGTGTTATCGAGTCCCTCGGTCCGGAGATCATAGTTGAGACGTTCCAGGAGAAAGAACTCGCCTCAGCCATGGCCGTCTACGTTGGGTTTCTAGCTGCTGGTTCCGCTCTGGGTCCCATCTTTGCTGGTGTCATTGAAACACAAACCAGAGAGTGGCGATGGTTCTTCAAGTTCTTGGCCATCATTATCGGATTCAATCTGCTGGCCTCAATCCTGATGTTGCCTGAAACGACTACGAGGGGCGTCGCCCCTTCGTATACCCGACATATAACGGAGGACAATGTGGATTCCAAACAAGACACGACCAGCGAGAAGGTCGAGTTTTCGGTGCTCCCTCCGGTCTCTGCAGAACAACGGCCGCCGCAAAGTCACCAATTCTGGCAAGTTTGGGTGGAAAAGTCCTTTCACCTCCGACTCAGCGACCTCCCACCCAGACAGGAGAGCGCACTACAATACCTCTACCGACCATTCTTCATGCTACAATATCCCTCTGTGCTCATCACCATCATCATCTTCGGCCTCACGATCGGCTGGACTGTCGCAACCTCTATCGTCCTCAGCAACGTCTTCCAATCTCCACCTCTCCTGTGGACGGCACGAGCAGTCGGCCTTCTCAATATCGCCCCGCTCATCGGTCTAGTTGTCGGTCTTCCCGTTGGGGGTCTCCTCGCAGATTGGCGAGCCTACCACACCCGTCAGCGAAATGCCGGCGTCCACGTCCCCGAGAGTCGTCTGGTAGTTGTCATCCTGGGCGCCGTTATCAGTCCCGCGGGCGTCCTGATCATCGGTCTCTCCATGCAAAATCACACACACTGGCTCGGGCCCGCATTTGGCTGGGCATTGTTAGCTTTCGGCCTCACCGGATCGGCTAATGTGCTGCTGAGTTACACGATCGATTCGTACCCACACAAGGCAGCTCACACTGCCCTGCTCGTCAACGTGGTCAAGAATGTGCTGGGATTTTGCGTGTCTTTCGAAAGCATGGACTGGTTCCTGCGTGACGGTGCGGCCAAACAGTTTGGTGCCATGGCTGGAGCATTGTGGGCGAGCTACGTTTTTGTCATTCCGCTGTATATCTATGGGATGAAGCTCCGGGAGAGGTCTTGGACGTGGTTCTAAGCGGCACCCCTTTCCAGGACCAGACCGAATGTTAAAGAGGACAGAATCCATTGAATATTGGAAAGAGGAGCTGAAAAGTATCAATAAGGCTTTGAGACGGACAAAAGGACCGCATGGTCGATATCCTGGCAGATTGGACTCTTGTTTAGCTCGTGGAGAGGGTTTAGAGAAATCCAAGTTTCCACCAGTTGCCAGTGTTTCCATTCCAACCTATGTATAGTATATCCGCATCGAGCAAATTCGACAACATTCCTGAACGTGCCAATCCTGGAACTTTTCGCCTCCGTGGCCGTGCCTGGCAGTAGGTATTTTGTCCGGTTGAAGTTCGTTCCCTTGCAACCCGGCATTCACGTCACAATGACCCTCCCCATCTGCCATGTTGTCCCTTGAACCAGCAACGGCATTAATTCCTTACAGCCAAGGTGCAAAACACTTCGCGACGTGTCCTACCCAACCTCGCGGTCGACAATCGTTTTCAGATGCAAAGGCTCAGGATCACCGATCAACGATGTTGACATGAGAAGAGACCCCTACGATATGTAGCTGTCGAATCCGCTGGAGAGGCCCCCGTTGTGGTATTTTCTCGGTGAAGAGGGTTCGCGTTAGTGTTTGCACGAGGAGATGCAGTTGTTGTAGGTGATGTGAATCAAGGCGAAGGGGGCGGGGTCTAACGGTCATGGACTTCTCGAATTAGTTGCAACTCTGGAGTGAGCCACAATCTCAAGCAGGTAACCAGATGCAAAGCATCTCGTAGAGCACTAGGTTTATCAAGTGCTATGGTTAAAATAACCTAATCCGACACACCTCAAGGTTCGCATGCTCTCTGGGGTCATTGAACAGGGCAACTTCTTGAGACCTGACAACCTCATTACTGAGACACTTGATTTCAGTATCGTAATAAAGATCGCCCTCTACGATGACTTTTACCATGGAGCACCTGGGCAGCTGTTGTCCCTCTTCGACTGTGCAATACCATGTTCAGAACTGCTATAAGGATTACAACTCTCGAGTACAGTGTCCAGAAACCTATTGAGCGGACCTTGTCACGCAGTTACGCGACACCTCCCCCAATGCTGTTCTCAGAAATACTACAACCAAGGTAGGATGAATCTGCAATTGATAAACTCCTATTTTGTTATACTTCTGTGAGTAGGACGTTTCTCCGGACCTTATAGAAGGCGACCGGGTAGGATATCTGGGGAAATGCGGACCCAGATAGACTGGGCAATCCCACGACGCGGACCTTGATACAAGCACTGAAGACCTCACTTGTGACTAGTTGTCGAGATGGCCATATCAATCCGTGTTCTCCCTTCTCATCGCATCAGCCCAGAACCCAACCATAGCACCAGCCCATGAGCCACGCAGCACACCAGAATGCACCAGAACATATGACAACAAGAGGGAAGGAGTGTAAGCCAACACATGCAGCATTGAGAGCGGCTGAATGAAGGCAATAGAATGTCACAGCTTCTGATAAGTCGAGCTTGAAACGCTTGACCAGGCCACTTATCATTCGACAAAGAGACAGACGCTCGGAACATTGATTTGTGTTTTCTGTGGCTCTATCTCTTCTGTGAGAGGTGAGCTCTCTCCATATTTAGTCCCAATGGACAAGGAACAAAGTATACCGTAGAACTGGGGAGGTATAGGCTTCATTGGTCGAGCAAATACAAGTGATATGACACTAGACACAATTTTCAAAATTCGTCAAGAAACCGCTTTGTTTAAAGTATAGTTGTCTATCTTTAGGAAGTAGTTTTCTTGACACATAACACGGTGAATCGCTCCCACATCAACAGTGACTATTACGACTATTTCTATGACTGCATAGTACTCATCTCTCTCCCTCCATCCCTCTCTCTCTCTCATACAAGCAACAATGAATACATGGAATGTCATCCTACAGCCATTGCGGCTCGTCATATAACACGTCTTGCTGGATTCAAAAGTGGCCTCGGTCCCATAGGATGCGACTCCAAACCGGCCATGATAATGGTTGGGAGCTGATCTTTACTATCTTCAATGAGTTGTCTTCTCTCTTGTCAATGACAGCTACGGGATTAGGTGTTGACTGGACATCTTTTATCAATAATGCACCATTACTACCGGTCTCGCCCTCACTGCCCTTTTTAATTTAACAGACCGCCCCGAGACAACGACATGGCTCAGCGCCGGTGAGAAGGAGCTGGTCATCTATAGAGTCATGCTTGTACGTGTAAACATGACGGAACTGCTTGTCGAGTTCGGTGTCCGGAAATTTCTTCATGTAATCTTTAACCCGTTTACTCTTGCGGTATCTACGATTGTTCTATTGCTCAATATCACGTTCCAAGACCTTGCTTTCGTAATCCCTACCACCGTCCGCACCACCCTATCTGATAGAACATTGATTATCTAACGACTTCCAACCGTTCCTCCATACATATTCCGCTCTGTACTGGGAATTTGCGGCTTCAGTTGGAAATTCGGTCACCGAAACTGATTCGATGCCCTCCGGGAAATGATCGAGAAATGGATCCATGGCCTCGGGTAGAGGCATCCAGATTTCAGGCGAAAGGACTAAACAAGAGTGGCCGCTTTTGTTATTGAGGGATTGAGCTACTGTGTAGGGATACACAGAGGGACTTGTTAGAATCGCTATGATCATATCACCTCAATGAGCTACGCCGACTTGATCGGGATACGGTGATCTACCCTTCACATTCGCGCTCATACAATTCGAGTCGTCTCGTTATCGTAACATTAATGTGACTTGGGATGTTTAATGCCGTTTCCCTCGGTAGTTCCACCGTCGAATGCAGAAAGTTCTCCTCCAGTCAAGCATATTTGATTTCTAATGAATGTGCAAGTTTTCCGCCCTCACCGTCTGTATTCATCCCACACACCGATTCCCGTGCGTTCCCCGGAGGGGCGGATGCGGGGCCCAGCTAGCCCAGCCCATTTTTGGTTCCTGCGCACGTAAGGAGAGCATCCACAGGATAGGGGTGGTTAGTTCTAGACTCATTGAAAAGTCATGTTTTCGTTAGAGTTCATCACAACTCGAGTGACTATACGGTCATTTTACCTTACATGCAAGGGCTACGTCAGTTTAGTATTGGAGCTTTCTGCTGGGGCCTTCTCTTCCCGCAGTCTCATATTGATCCCCAGAATCATTGTGATCCATTTCGGCATCTTCTGACCCGGGCGGCAGTTACGAGCTCAAAATTTGTGCTGCCACCATTCATCATAGACCTATTTAAAAGACTAATGTTAAACCGCGATATTCTTCGAGGTTTGGAGCACCTACACTTAGCCAATATCTTACCATCATCCAAAATTTAACTTGACATCGAGCCCCTATAGATATCTCGATTGCAATGGTTGCAAAGCGCAAGGTGGCCGTCAATACCTACCCCCTCAAGGAGGAGGACCTGAAATATGTCCCTCCTTACTTCCGAAATACTGTTCAGACCCCCGAGGAAGTTCAATGCCCTAAAAAAGGCGTTTGGCCAACATGGCTCTCGGGCTCCTTCATTAGGTATTAGTTATCCCTTTCATAATCTGGCAAGTTGTCATCGTCCTATTCTCTATCTAACAGACCTCGCAGATGTGGCAATGGGACATACACTGTTCCGCTATCCGAAGATGGGTCGAAGCCAGATGCTGTGCTGCAGCACTTCTTCGATGGCCTTGGAATTCTACACAAATTTCGCATGGAAGGCGGAGAAGTCTTCTATATGAGTAAGCATAATTCAAATGGTGTTATTGAGCGAGCGAAGAAGAAGGGCTACCTCGAGACTCATTTTTTTGGTCCTAACCCGAACATGCCGCTTGTCGAGGCGGAGGACCCTTGCTACACCCTCTATGGGAAACAGGTATGTGAGAAGCAACCGCTGCAGTGCCACGAGTCTGTTGAAAAGTCCAAAAGGATATAAATGTTTAGTGCTGACTACCACTGTGCTTAAAGCAATCACTATACCTCCCAGAAGGATACCAGGAGCCGGATGCTCTCAACATGAACGTGGTTGTTCGCCGAGGTTTTGCGATGCCACCAAGCAGCAACCCATATGATCGAGGTCGAACGGCCGGTGTGCCAACAAAGGATGAGGTATGTTTGTGGGAGCCATAAAGATAGGCCTAAGTACTCACACGTCCAGCTTATTGTGCTTACCGACTTTAATGTCCTACAAGTCTGCGACGCTAAGACTCTAGAACCCAAGCGTCTCTTGACTTATGGCGAAATCGACAAAGATTTATCTGGGTTGGGGATCTGTGCCCACCCACCTAAGGACCGGATCCGAGGTGAGATCTACAACTATCTTATCTCAAAGGACGGCAAGCTTTGGATCTTTGCTATAAATTATACCACTTCACCCGCAAAGGTGATGTGGAAGGTAAGTTCAAGCCTAGTCAAGCTCTAGAAAGAGTGACTAATATGTATCACTGTAGACTGTCCTCCCCTGCCGTCCCTGCTACATCCATTCACTCGCCATGACTCAGAAATATGTTGTCTTCGTTCGCAATCCGATTTCGATGAATTTTTCAGATCCCTCAAAGCCCGTGGCACAGATCATGGAGGTTGAGGAGGACATCCCAACCTCGTTCTTCGTGCTTAGCAAAGAAGATGGAAAACTGTAAGATCGTCTCTTCTATCATAACGTACATTACGCACTAGATCTAATAACTCCCGCCCCTATAGGCTCGCTCAGTACGACGCGCCGAGCTTTACCTTCTTTCACTCCGTTAACGGATACGATTTCCAGACCGCAAATGGCGACACCACCATCCACATCGACCTATGCAGCTACGACGAAGCCACCATACCTTATCGGGAATACACTCTCTCCAATGTCGTCGACCCTGCCGGTCCCTACGCAAATGGGACCCTGACACGATACGAACTCGCTGATCTGAATATCCACCAATACAGCCTCTCCGGTGCACCCGGTCGTGTCACCGTCGCCTCCGCTATCGCTGGCACTGGCATGGAGCTTCCACGAATCTCCAAATCTGCCTCGATGAACCCATCCTATCGATACGTCTACGCCACTGGCGGTAACGGCGAATCCGCCCCGGGCACGCTCGTGCCAATGGGTCGTCTCAGCAACGGGCTCAAAATCACGCAGGCAGCCTTCTTCAATAGTATCGTCAAGTCCGACTGGGCAACTGGGAAGTTCCTGCGCTGGAAACCAGATAATGGAGAAAGTTGTCCATGCGAGCCGATTTTCATCGGGAGACCCGGTGCCACCGAGGAGGATGATGGACTCGTTCTGACGATTGTTTGCGACAGGGAGGGGACGCGTAGTGTACTGGTTGCCATGGATGGGAGAACTCTTACGGAGGTAGCGAGGGCGTATATGCCCCAGGTTTATGGATTGGGGCCCCATGGGACGTTTGTTGAAGACTACTAGACTACGTATTGTCCATTTCAAGTCAAGGTTAGCGACGAGAACATGGTTCTGAATTTTAGAGAAGAGAAAAAACAAGGAGGTTATAATTGCCTCCTTGTTTATCCGTCGCTTGGCCTTCAATTCTCGGTCCAATTTTTGTAGTTACAAAACCTCTTGGCAAATTTGCTGTCCGGGGTGGAAGTCCATTAGGCAGCGGGAAAATAGTGACAGAATATCCAATTATTTTCCTCGTGGACGGGGATTCATGCTTCTCCCCATTCAAATATCCTGACCAATAATTTGCTCCTGGGTGCTGGATATCCATGTCTGTAGCCTTACCAACCTATCTCCGAAGGCTACGGTATATCCGTGAGTTAGAATAGATATCGCGACCTGAACGCAACGTGGCTCCAAGGTACACCAGAGGCGTCGAGGCCTAGGCAAGGGGGTGCAATCTCTCTGTATATCCTGAATACGAAGAGGATTAAGGGCACAGTCCCTATAAATGTGCGTCTACGACTCTACGCCTTCGAAGGATGGAAGTTTGCCACGTTCTCAGGCCATGGAGAATTATTCACACTCTCGCAGGTGATAGTGTAATGGATGAATGCCTATCAATCCTATGAAGCCGAGGTATTAGGCCAAGGCTGAACACACAGGGGTTGTGGACATTTACGATATGGTCGATGTGATTGATTGTTGAGTGCAAGTGCCATTGCCTACGCCGACGCCCTCTCTATCTCGATCCGATCCCTTTCACTTCCGACCCCCTTTCTGACTTGATTTCAGCAGCACTCTGCATATAACTTGCTGTACTACCAAGTCGTCCCATCATATCTGCGCCATTGCCTCCTCCTGTACTCGCATTACAGATCCAGTGGCTTCTAGCTCCGTTCGCGTCGAAAGTGCCACATACCATGATGAAATTGTCCCTGAAGCTTTTGGAAAGCGAAAGAACTACACAACCCCGTAGCTTATTGGGGTTGTTGTGGCAGTAAGGAGAATCTTGAAGTTTGTCACAGGATCCTGAAAAGCTTGAACTACGAATCGTATGGTGGGAACAAAATTTCCTGTCTTCGCCACTTGTGCTAAGCGGAATTTAACAGTCACACAAGGTGGTGCTTGGGGCTTTACCGTCTCCTGTGCCTTTGCATGGTTTTATAAAAGTCTTGCAGCGCATCCCATGTTGGTATGCTGCCTATTGGGCCTCCTAAAGCCCTGGAGCATCCTTGGTACTATGTCTAGACATGGTGGAAAAATCCAACGGAAAATGAGAAGAATCGTGTGCAACGATAGCAAGACTTTCTCAAGTCAGGAACCAGCTACCTTGTGCTACAATCCACTACGCCGCAAACGATTGAATATGAGCTGGCAGGTAGTCCAATCTCACTGCTAGCTTAGATCCTTGAGAAGCTTCATCCTTAGTCGCACAGATGACGAGATCTCGACATGAGTCAGCACCCACTGGTTCTCAACGGCAGGACGACCAGCGAGTTCGAGAATTAACGCTCTGAGTTCTCATCGGCGCATGACCTCGAGCGACCGTCTAACTTCTGCAATAGATGGATTCCGAATGTAAGAGATGGTCGATGCACCAGGCTTGTTGGCATGAGCGCCAGGCAATATTGTGCATATGAGTGAAGCTGGTATTTCGTAAGTAATAGAATCTGGTGGAGCTTGGTAACAAGCAAAATATAGTGGTCATAGCTATACAATTTAAGTATTAGCTGGTTGTTTAACGTTGAATTTAATGATAACTAATACGTAGCCTCAAAATTCATCTATAGGCCATGGAATAGCACATTAAGGGCGGGCTTATGGTTAACCATACGGTGTTGCACAATTACATTCAAGCCCTATCTCTGCGATGCACCTTCACAATGACCTTATCCTTTGCAGGTGTGCCCACTGGTTCGAACTAGCGACTTGGTTAAATGAAGTCCCTATATATAACTTGTGTAGGTGATTTACCTTAAACTGTCCCATGAGTGTAGCCACCGCCTTGAACATCTCCATCAATGCGATGTTCTTGCCGATACATGTCCGGGACCCTTGTCCAAACGAGAGCTCGGTTCTTTCCATGATTTTTCTTCTCTCGATGTACGCCTCCTGAGATTCATCTTTCGCTTGTTGCCATCTTTCAGGTCTGTAGATGTGTGCATCTTCGCCGAAAACACGAACGTCTTGATTAATAGCGCCAGCTGGACAGCCAATATTGGTGTAGGGTGGAATATGGATACCGTTTGGGAGCTCCAGTCTGTTTGGACCTGTATTTCTCTGTAGATTGAACGAAGTCGAACTGTGTAGGCGAAGTGCTTCTTTGATTACCCCTTCGAGAAAACCTAGCTGCTTGAGCTCTTCATAACTCGCGAGATGAGTACACCTTGCTTCTTTGAGTTCATACAGGAGCGTGTCCTGTGCCTGCACATTTGCCGCTAAGAAATAGCAAATCTCATTAAAAGTCTTTCCGGGACTCAGTCCACCGGCAATAAGATTTCCCGAGGTAGTAATCAACACTTGCAAGCGATCCATCTCGGGATTGTTTTGGTGTGTCGCGATGAAATGGGCCAGCAGATCAGGTCGTGACCGGCTCTCTACATCGGGTTTCTCAAGGCGGCTCTCAACCGTCTTCTGAACTACCTTCATAAATGGCGATGGTTTGGTCTTCCTCATCAACGGGTTGTCCTGGAAGATTTTGTGCAGCCATGGCATTTGCGAAACCACCCCAGTATAGGCGCCAAACGCTTTCACGCTTTTGATCAAAGAGTAAGCGTCTCGACCTTCAAGGAAACCCAGCGTGTCTCCCATGGTGATTTTGGCGACCACGTCAAAACAGTCTATGAAAGTACTTAGCGAAGACAATAGAGGACTAGAATTTACCCACAATAATGACACCACAGACTAAGGTTCATTGGAGTGCCTGTCTTGGCATGCTCGTTGCAGACGTGGACAAGTCTATTGATCATCTCATCCACATACGGCTCGTATGCCTTTATTGAAGACAAAGAATACGCATTTGATACAAGCTTGCGATATTTGCTGTGCGTGGTTTCATCTGGTATGCTGAGGAGGCTCGTGGTCACTCCGGCTTGCCGGAATGGGACGTAAGCATGGCCCTGAGTGTCATCACGTAAATTCAATCTTGTGGTTTCTGCTTTGGTCCTTTTATTCGAGAAGGCTCACTTACCTTGTCGAGCCTAGAGCGGACGCCATATATCACAGGGATGGCAGCAGGGTCCGTGACAGAAACATTCCTCGGCCCTGTTCGAATTACGTCTCCATATCGCTCCTGTAGAGTTCGATTGAGGGACACTCGATTATCCTCTCGATCCGTCTTCCAGGTCACGTACACTGCCCACAAGTTGGTATATCGAGCTATGAAAGGGCCCGGGATGTGCGATAACCCGGCCCTTTTGCTCTTTTGAAAGAGGGTAACACACAAAAAGGATAAGGTTGCTCCCACAACTACAAGCACACACTGGAGATTCTGGACTGTGAAGAGTTCAGGAATAGAAGACATCATGGAGGCACCGGAAAGGGATTTGCAGGTGACCATTCCAGGATGGCGGGCAATGAGGGATCGTTTTATACTGGCCACGGGTGCCGACAGCAAGTCTAGGGCGGAGGAAACTGCTTTGCTTCCATGCATTGCTTCACTTGGGCATGGTCAGGGGCTCGATCGTCCACCACATAGAAGATTGCCACAAGAATACCCATAGTTTTGGGAGTTGAGAATGCTGATGCGGGGACACGGAAATCGATGCAAGTGCACGGAATGCCTGCAGATCCCTACCGAACCTAAACCTTAGCATTGTGTCGGCTGACCACCCGCCTGTCAGCACATCCTTGAGTTTTGGCATACAGAATTCTACCTAAGCACTGCGCATGCGATATCAAATGGTAACATTCTTAGGGTCAAAAGATGAATCGTTCTTTCCTAGGCGTACACCGCACCGAACCCAATATCGAACTCAGAAACCATGTCCAGCCCTACGGAAAGCGAGCCGCAGCCTCGCAAACGTGTAAAATATGTCAGAAATGCGTGGTAAGAGACTTGCGCTTTTCTGCTGTGATTGAGGCTAAGCCTGCGTCGCCTCTGCAGCGTCGAATGTAAAAGGCGCAAGATAAGGGCAAGTGGCCTTAAGTTTCCTTCTTGCCCGCCATGCTGAACATTGACGATAGTGCTCCGGAGACGAGCCCTGCAGAGGATGCAGGACGAGCAGGAATAGATTTTGTACTTACCTACGAGACCATACCACACCGGGCAGTCCAGACCGGATTGGATCTATAGCAAGGTATGCGGAGGGTCTGAGTTACTTCTCGTAAATCATTCTGATCACCTCCAAAGAGCAAATCCTCACCCAGAATCTTTCTCTCAAATTGATCAGAGCGAGTGGTTGCATGATCAGGATTATACTGCGCAGACTGGCGTTTACCAATTGACACAGCAGCACAGCCCGACGGCAAGTGGGCGCACCGAAGGACGCCGCACGGATACATCTTTGGGTCAGCAATTGGATTTAGCCACATCTACGACGCCACTCACCGGCTATGAGCCCGTCCAACAATCTCACTTTCCTCCAGAACTTCGCGGTTGTCCCAATTTCGAAGGGATTGACAAGCCCAAATACGTCACATCGAAGCTGTGCCCTAGCCAGCAATTAGGTACGACGCTATTGCTCTGTTTTGAGGAACTCGAACTGTTCTACCCCTGCGTAGACAGGCTAGACTTCTACAATCGGCTGTCAGATCTGTTTCTCCTGCACAGCACTTGCCAGGGAAAATCAAGTCGAATTCCCGTTGATGGGGAGCTCCTTTCTTTGGCTATTTTAACGTGTATGTTACTGGCGGTAGGCACCTACCTAGGAGGTGATGGGTCACTAAACTCAAACCGACCGTCTCCGACAGAAGACTACTACCGACAGGCGTCCTTGTTATGGTACTCCGAAAGCAAAATGTTGCTCAGTCAATTTGAGAGCGCGGAACACCCAAATATTGACTTACTCAGATATCACATCCTCGAAATCATCTACATGACGATGTTAGACAGGAAAGGTGGAATTTCCAGGTCTTTAGCCCTAGCCGTTGATTTAGCATATTCATTGGGTGTCAACAACGAGAGAACATGGTCAGCCTACACGACTCGTGAAATAGAGTATCGCCGCCTCTTGTGGTGGACGTTAGTCTATATGGACTGCCGCGTCGCGATTAGCTTCCAACGACCGCTGCTCCTGCACCATGCTAGTGTCGGCGACTTCACGGAAATCTCGTTTGGCCAGTATACGCACGATGCTACACCCGGCACTGATCCACATCTAAGTGGACTGGGAATGGTCCAACTATCTTGGCCGATGCCCTCAAATCCGCCAGATTTTTATTCAGACTGGCTACTATTCAGTATGCGTTGGAGTAAGGTGGTAGCCCAAACTTGGGACACAATGGTGTCTGTTAAAGCTACTCAAACAGCGGCAGCACCAGACTCGATAGAAACGGCGGATATGTCGCTGACTGAGATTCAAAACACTCTGCCAAATGCCCTGAGTTGGAACACGGGAATCCTACCAAACTTGATTGAGGCGGGAGATATGGACAGAGCCTGCCGTTTCAAGGTCATTGTATTTGAGGTACGTGCTTGTCACTTTTTATTTCTAGCGTCAGTGTCCACCGCGGTGGAGGCTAATGACACCCAAGGCGATAAACGTCTTACGATTAGCAGTTCGGTGCAGTTGGCTGCGCTATGGCCAGAACGTCACACAGAATAGCGACTATGAGGGCACGGCTCAAATGGCCGAGACCTTGACCTCATCTGTGATGAATACGATTGTCACATATTTAACATTGCGCAACTATGCTCGGCCATGGAGCACTTATGCAAGCAGTCTGCTTGTTCAGTTGTCCTCTCAAGTTGCGCCTATTTTGAGGGCTAGAAGTGCCTTTGTGGATAGTTCTTGCGGAGTGATTGCATCGATTAGCAATGCCCAAGCTTGCATGCAGGAATTGGCAGGAATAAAGCTGTTTGCCGCAAAGGCAGCATCTACAAAGCTAACAGTCATGCTAGAAGATCTGCATTTTCCCATATTGGGGAGTATTCCAAGGCTCTTGTGTGCACCGAACGCGATTCTACCAGACAATGATGTTGACAATGCGACTCAAATTCTTCGTAACTGGGGAGATTCTCTTGATGGTGCAAGCGATACAATTTGGGAAAACATGTTTTCCTTAACGTAACACTGCTGGTGAGGAAATGATATTGCCACTCTAAAATAATATTTCTCAATTTGTCTGAAGAGACTTCTCTCACCAGTTCCCCTTCTCTGTATGTGGTCTCGGGCCGGTAACTTCGAATAGGAGTAGACTGGCGCATAACACTATGTCTTACGCCTCCTTGAATCTTGTTATGGAGGTTTCCGTGATAAAGCTGAGTGGGTGGAGCGGAAAGATATGCAGGCCAACGGAACACGAAATACAAAAGTGATGATTAATTTGAACCCACCTGTGAGTAGGATTCAAGGTTAACTAAAATTTAGCGATAAATAACTGTGAAACAAGTACAATATTATAAATAGGCGATATTAGTTACGTATTATGACGTGAGCTAACTAGCCAATAGTACTCCGCCGGTAACTTATCTACATCCGTTTAGAAACTACGTAGCTAGAGTCAGATCCCATCAGATCAGCCTTCTTATGGAGTCAACCCCTACTAACTAGCGTTGGTATCTATCCACCCCGCGTTACCTCCCGTGGATGATTCTGTCCCGTCATGAGGAGACTGCTCAGAAAAGGCCATCTTTTTAATTCCTCATCGAGAAGTCCACTACCAGCTTGCCAGGAGTTCCAGAGTGATACGCCTCAACAAGCTCATTCAGTTTGGTGAAAGGATAAGTCTTGACTCGTGCTTTGACATCATACTTCACACAAAAGTCCAACATCTCCTTCATAGCCTTGTTTGAACCTATTAGCGTTCCCTCTAACCGTATTCGCCGAAATACCAAGTCTGCTGCTGATACCTGAAATCCCTCGGGTGGAAACGATACAACGACAACCAATCCTCCATTGCGGACCAGATCTACGCCATAGTCGAATGACTGCTGACTGTCAGTCAGAATTAGGACAGCATCAAGTCCCATCTCCGAGATGTGTGCCGCGCCGTCCGTTTGACCTAACTGTTGGCGAATTTCGTCAGCTTTGGTTTTTGAGGCGTCCACAATGTCTGCACCAGTTCCCAGCTCCTGCGCAAACTCCAAGGCTGCGGGCGCAATGTCAACGCCTAGCGCCTTAAGCCCCATCTTTGTCGCAAATTGTAGACCCAAATGTCCCAAGCCACCTCCACAGCCTATAAACCCGACTCTCTGTCCCTGTTGAAGGCTGCACTTCATCAGAGCCGCATAAATCGTAAGTCCAGCGCACATCAGCGGGGCGACTTCAACAGCAGTCATCTGATCCGGAATCGGTGACACTTGCTTCGAATCTACTATCGCATATTCTCGAAATCCTCCAGGTCCGTGAACGCCGAGGCCGCCATGAGTCCAAGGGCAGTACACCGAAAATCCAGGCTCATCAGGAACCGGACCGGAAGGATTCTGGCATTCACGGCATTTCTCACAAACATGATAGCCACGGCCTGACACAGCGACAGTGTCTCCGATCTTCAAGCCGTGATTCGATGACTTTCCCCGTGGAAGGGCCACCACTGTTCCGGCGTATTCATGGCAGCCAATGTGTGGAAGCGGTGGTGGATGCATGGTGCCAGCCGCCACCACAGCGTCTGTATGGCAGTATGATCCTGCATCGACACGAATCAAGATGTCATCTGGATGCTCGATTATAGGAAGAGGGATATCACGCAGTTGGTAGGGTTGACCGAATTCTTCCAGGATGTATGCTTTCATCGATGCGGGAAGTTGTTCGGACGCCATTGAAGCTTTCACGTGATGCGTACGCGTTGCGAGGTAAACTGAATTGTCTAAAAGCTGCACTATTGCTTAAATTTTGGGAAGCTGTTGTGACAGGTAATGAAGATGAGGGTCTTCCAAGTTGTAGCGAATTATCTCCAGGAAATCCCATTTTCAACGATTTTGAGCATCCAGGCCCAGCCCCACCGCGGCTCTTATCATCGGTCCGTGGCCTCTGGGGGAGCTCATTTCCATATGGTACTTGGAGAAGCAAACCTCAATGCTAGCCCCGCGAGCGGCTTGTGAGAATGCTAGGTTTTTGGTGTGGGGGAAGAACTGCTCCATCTGCGGATTAGTGCCAATAGCTCTTGGTTGGTCGAATAGGTTCCGACGTGATATTCATTGCTATCTTCGTTCTACCATAATTGTGCTGAACCTGCTATGATATTCTTCATCGGTACAGCCCAGTCCTGTACAAGTTCAAATTCGCCCTCTAACATACAATTTTTTCTGAACTTAGCTGTCTAGCCAGTTAACACAAAAAGCCTAGAATTTAAGGATGTCACTACTTGCGTGCTTGGGAGATACCATCTCACATAACCTGCGTCAGCTAGACGAGCAATTGTCACCATCACACGGTGACTCACCCCATCTATGGGATCCCACGCCATATGGTAGACTGGATGACACGGACAGACTTCCCTCGCAAGACGCTTTTCGCCTGATCGACAAAATTCGAATTGATCTAAAAGCTGTCGAGGCCTTGATCACGCCTACACACTTCAGATTGGTCGAGTTGGGCCTCCTGCCATACAAAGTAGCTGCTTTGAACACTGTTGTATCTTTGAATGTGGCCGATACGCTCACTGAGCTTGGTGGAGTGGCATCTCTATACGATCTCGCCCTCAAGCTTAATACCAACGAACATAAATTAGGTAATCACTGTGTCCAGATATCAACACCTAGACCCCACTTAGGCTAATTCATTGAGCAGGAAGGATCATGCGTGTACTGACAGGAGAGTTTATTTTCCAAGAAGTGTCGAAAGGTGTCTTTAAGCACTCGCGACATAGTATAGGCCTTACCAGATCCTTAGGAGCCCGCTCCTTTATGTCATTCATGTACGTGAACAGACTATAGAGACACTTTAGATGGCTCAGTTGACTCTTTTTAGTACTGATCTGGGAATGAGGTCTGCCCTTGGTATTCCGAGCAATGTGTCTCAGTCAGAAACTAAAGATAGCTTCACGGAAAGGACGGCCCCATTCGTAGGAGAAGTGTCCAAGGACGGCAAGACATTCTTGGAATATTTCTCGGATCCGGGTAATCCAGAAATGGTCACTTTAGCTAACGATGGTATTGTTGGTTGGCTAAATGTAGGTGGCAAATCAGACCAAGAGAAACCGACACTTACTTGGAGCATAGAAACTAACACGAAGGGCGCTTCTCACAGACTATCCTTGGTGGGAACTTGGGGAAGCTACAGTCATTGACGTTGGCTGTGGACCAGGAGACAGCGGCATTGACGTGATGAAGAAGTACCCTGATCTTGGTTGGGTGTTCCAGGATTTTGAAGCCGTTCTCGAGAATGTCAAAAGGGTACGATCGATTTGAGATGACCAGTAGGTAACGTTGACCAAGTATAGGCAATTCCAGATGAATTGGGCTCCAGGGAGAGAGGAGGCAGAATACTTTTCGTCGAGCAAGACTATTTCAAGCCGAATATCAGCAAGGGTGATGTCTGGTATCTCAGAGGTGTTCTGTGAGTTCTGAGAGCAGCAATATCATAGACCTGATACCGGGACTAACAAACCTTGGTCTCAGCCACGAATACGATGACGACGACGTACTTAGAATTTTATCAAACTTGGCAACTGCTATGCGTCAGACAGCCGGATCTAGGATGATCATCAACGAAGTCTTCGTCGCAAGCCCTGTTATCGCGCCTGCTTCTTCGACATTTGCTCCATCGGAACATATTCCTGAGAGGCAGTCCGCTCTTGCGGACATGGCTAATGCAATGACATGGAGCACATTTTCGCTGTTTGGGGGAAAAGAGAGGTCATATCAAGAATATGAAAAGTTATTGAGTCAGGCAGGATATAGAGTGCGTCGATTCTTCAGGTTAAGGACCTTTACGGTTATGCTAGAGTGCGAGCTTGTTCAGTGATATTGAAAGATTTCAAAACACCTCCAACGAATGATATGGCTACGAGAGGTTAATCTAAAGTAGCTCTTAAGTATACATCTGATGTCGCTTGACAATGGAGGATCTTCCGCCCAAAACACCAAGTATACTCTTTTCAACATCCTGTAACCCTTCATTGTCATCCATATCCGCCTTTGAATTCCATTTCACCACAATAACATACGTGCTTGAGTCGCCGAATATCGGGCCATAGAAATAACCACGAAATCCTTCCGACCGGTTTAACTTGTCAAGGGCTGTTGGAAATGATTCCCCTAGCTTTTCGATGTCCTCTGAGCCAGAGATCTGAACTTCGATAACTAATAACTTAATCAGCAGCTATCCCAAGATGCAGAGGAGAGTTGAAGAGGTCTGTACCTTCACAGAAATTTGCATCACGCAAAGCCACCTCACCTTGCCGTGTCCACAGATAGCAAGGTTGAAGGGGTGTCTCTAAGTTTGGTACAATTTTTTCACCAAACAGCTTTGCAGCCGGTTTAAAGCCTGGGGTTTGTGACAAACAATCATGATTCTCCATTGATCGCCAGAACAAGAACAAGCCTGCCTCCTCCGGATGTGCGTTCACATTTTCGAAGACTTTTAATCCTAACGGAGGGGGGAAATTGCTGGAAGCCGCTGCTTGGTTGGATATTGCGAATATGGTCTTGAAATTTGACACGACGTCGGATTTTCCACCAGCTTTTGCTCGTGGGCAAAGGATCTCGCACAAAATCTCGTCTGGGATTGTAGCCATGATGTTTTCTAATAGTAACGTCAAATGTAAAGGAGATTGATTTGCAGTTTATTTTTGGGCCCGGCCTCTACGTTGTCCCTACCCTGAGCCTACCGATGAACCCCAGTTTTTTACATAAGGGCACATCGGCCCCATAAGGTTTCTATATTGGGCATAGCCTGAGAAGCCATGTGGGGGTGGGGACCAATGGGCGCTCCCATGAAGTCGAAATCTCCAATTGTGGGGGAATGGACGCTGATTGCAACCACCGGAATAGTGACGCCAGTAAGAGATCAAGTCTGATTTCAGAGGCGCCTACAGTGCTCGGAAACAAGCCAGTGAACTTGTCAGCGCCCTGAGTGTCGACTACCTGTTCATTCGGGACCCACAAATGTAGTTCTCATTTCTAACAATGGTGAGCCCTGATGCCAACTATTTTACAAATATGCTTGTTCACGCATGATGTTACGTCTCCTAACCTTCAAGCGTTAGTCTCCCCTCTTTAGGTGAGATCGCGTTTTGGCCTTTATGGGGGAAAGGAAAAGATGGCAGCACTGGGTGACCACTATATTCAAAGAGTGTATGTTCGAGTCTCTCGATGGAATATGTATACCGATTCCTGTGAAATAGCAACCACATATGCAGTGGGTCACAAAAGCTCCCCGAGATCTATACGTCAACATGATCCCAATTGCACTCTCATCTGTTCTGAGACAGTATCCCACCCATCTATCACTACTTTTTCGGCATCGTAGCCCCACAGTGAATAGCTATCCAGTACGCCCTTGGAGGTATCTAAAACTTTGACCATCTTCTTGCTTGTTTTGTCGTGTAAATTGTGCCATTTATCCCGCTGAGTGACACCCACTTGCTGTGCAGCCTTCACATGGTCGTAACGGAAGGCAAAATAAGAATGTAAAGCCAGCGGAACCTGATGTTTGCCAGCATTTGCGAGGCACAACGCCAACGTTGCGGCATCCTCCACGGCTTGGCTGGCACCTTGTGTAGACGTTGGCAGGAAGGGGTGGGCGGCATCGCCGAGCACTGCAACTAGACCTGAATCTGAAACCCATTTATCCAAACATGGACGGTAGACAAGCTTCCAATCAACAATGTTTTGTATCATCTCCCACACGCGGACAAAGGCAGGATCCCAGTCGTGAATTGTTTCCAGAATTTCCTCTCGCTTTCCAGGAAACTGCCAACCTTCGTCGATGTTTGCTACATCTTTGTGTGTGAGCACAGCGTTGATCTCTGTTCCCCTACGTACGGTGGTGACAAAGCCATGCAGATCGGGCCCGATCCAAAGATTGACACAGTCTCGCGGTAGTATTAGTCTAGTCTGACCTCGGCCGAATGATGGATAACACACCTTTTTGCAGAAATTCTTCTACCAATGGATCCCCTTCAAATATTGAAGTAGTGCCGTAGGCTCGCCATACCGCATAACCGCTGTGAATTGGTGCGTCTTCGACCCCTAGAACGGCCGTACGTCCAGGGCTCTTCACACCATCTGCAGCGATAACTACATCTGCCACAATTTCTTCTCCGTCAGGGAGAAAGATACTTGGTTTGTCAGCATCATAGGACTCAATCTTTTGTCCCACGCGCAGATGGACTCCATTTTTGATTGCATGGTCAACTAGAATCTTATGATAGTTACCTCGGTGTCCAAGTAGACCTCGACAGCCGTATCTAGATTCGGCTGTAGCCAATGTCTCGTCTCGAGCGATGATCTCTCCGTCCCAGTTTCGCATGATGGTATCTTCCGCACGACTCGAGACTTGCCACATGTCTTCATACAGACCCCAACGCTTGAAAAGCTTTGAAGAATTCGAGCCGAACCCAATAGAATCACCGATTGGCAGTAATTCCGCTGCCTGGTCCAAAAGCGTGACGTGCATTCCTTGCCTCGCACATGCGATTGCGCATGAGGCACCACCAATACCAGCGCCAACGATGATCACATGTATCTGGTCTAAATTCCCAATGGAGCCCATGCTGATAACGAGATTAAATGGTGGGCACGTCTAATTATTTGCACTGGAGATTCGTACGGTTTCCAGGTGGCGATGGAAATCTTCGAAACTGGGGGCTTGCAGTACCTGTAGTGAGGAGCTGGGGAGCAACAAGACAATAATCGAAGTCAATTCTTAACGTATCATCATAAACCACCAGTGGGATGAGGAGAGTTAACTAGCGTTCTAGGATATCATTGTTGCCTCAAACCCCACATCTGCCGAACAATCGAAGTATGTCGGGCCCGCAAATCCCTCCACAAATCGCGTGACTTGAGCATGGGAAGTACCTCAGTCTTCTCAAACATTGCTATGTGGTTTGGAGCAGAAGCTGTGGGGATCTGGAGTATCTCAGCCTTACTGGATTGCTCTCTTTGGCACTTAAGTCATTCAGGAGATAATGCGGGGAGATTCAGAACTTGGGCCCCTCTGGCCCTCGGCCCATTGGTCCCCACTCCACTGACCTACTTGTTGTCTCGGACTTCATTCTCTCGTTTTGCGAACCTAATCGACTGCGTCTAGATAGTCTCTTTCCAGCGATGGCACATACAGATCAGTGCATGCGATGATGCACTCGGCGATGGGTATCATCACGTGAGTCTGCTAAAAATGCTCCCCCCAAGCGAGGTTACAGCATCCAAGACCATGAGAAAACGACCTCATATCTGCCCTCGATGCCAAAAGGCTTTTCTGCGTGCCGAGCACCTAGATCGCCACGTGAACACTCGTAGGGATACCACAAGTCTCTGGCTGATAGCTCTTTCGAAACTCACGAAATCTAGACGAGAATTGGAAGCCACACGTCTGCACTGCATGTGGCTCGAGTTACGGCCGCCATGATGTCTTACTGCGCCACCGCAGGACTTGCCCAGTGTATCAAAGTCAAATGCTACAAGCCTCCCTTCCATCCACCCTGTCTCCTGCTAGTCATCGAGATGCGACTGAAGATAGTGTGCCAGCCGCCAGTCAGATAGCTGCGTTGGACAGGTTTACGCGGGTGAGTTATGTTGTTGGCATTTCACCGAACGAGGTGTTGTCATTGTTCCGAGAATGATTGTCTTAGGTAAGACAATTGCTGACACTGTACCGGATCCCAGGACCACAACATGGACAGATCTATGAGTATCGTGAATCCTTCCGTGATGAACTCAACGACACGTAGCAGCGACCATGGACCACAACTACAATCATTGCAATTTCAATTCCCTTCTTCTTCTGCCACAGAACTTTTCGAAAGTCGTTCTAGAAGTCTTCCTGTCGGCTCGCCAAACGGGCAATTTCCCATTCTGGAGCCACATCTTGATCAGCCCCAAAGTTACAACCTTCCAGCAAACAACGCACAACAGCTGAACTTCCTAGACAGGACTTCTCGGACAATTGCAGATTCATTGAACACAGCAAATGTCGCTCCTACATCTATTGGTTCACCTGCCCACAATCCAATGCCTGATAGCGTGATTGAATTCCCAGATCTCCAGTTCGACAACGAATCCTTCTTGGAAGATGTCTTACTCTGTCAGTTTGCTTACAATCCGTCTGGCCTCACTGTACCCTCTTCTCCGGCCGCAGAAACAAGGTTCTTGATAAATCTCCCAGATTGTACAGACAACATAGTCCAGCTGGACGCTAGTGAACTACCGAAAGATGCAGGCAGCCTGGATACAGGTCAGAAATTCAATGTCAATCCAAATTGTGCCTTTCAGATCACGGCAAACGAGCTTAAGCTATTTCATGCCAAATTGATCATTGTCGATGCAGATGCTAATCTGGACAACTTCAAGAAACCTAGCCTTTCCCGTACTTTACGATGTATGATCGCCTATTTTCGACATTTTGACCCTCACGCCCCTTTCATCCACTATGCCTCTTTCAATGTTTCAACAGAGCATCGTAAGTAAGGATGGAATGGCAAAGTATGAAATGCTGTTGGCTAACAACTGTGTGTTAGCTGCGCTAGTCTTGATTATGCTAGCGATAGGTGCAGTGCATTTGTCTGAGAATGAGTTTGCCCGATCGGCTTATGAAGCGTCTTGCCTGTTGCTCGCCCAGGTAGTGTAATCCAGAATTGACATAAAGCAACTACTCATAACGATTGTGCAGTACGAAAAGCAAAACCTCGGAAATTACAACTCGTCATTCAATCTCTGGGAAGCGCAGGCAGCGCTCCTCTGTGCACAATATGGTGTCACCAGTGGCAACCGTGATCTATTCTATCAGGCGCAGAAACATCTCTTCACAACACACATGGTGAGTTCTCGCCAGCTAGTGGCTATGTTTGCCAAGGTTTCCTCTTCGAAATCGCTCTACTAACTATTGGAAAGATGATGGGTAGGATAATCGAAGCGAACCGAGCGCTTCGTGTTCAGGCTGGGGACAGTTGGGACACGTGGGTTTTCCTGGAAAGCTGTACACGGTACGTTGTTCGTTGTGAATTTTTCTCGCTAAGGTAATCCGCACGTACTGTTGCTGAGAGGCTTCTCGTAGTATCGTGTGTTGGATGTTCGTCGTCTCAGCAACATGCTTCAGTCTTGATCCCCTTACGTTGACAGTTCTACCACCAATGCCTGAGCCGATATCCTGCCCCAGCGACGAGACGATCTGGCACGCGACGTCTGAAACAGAGTGGAAGGCCGCTTATCGAATTGGCTTCAACCATAACTCAGTGGACCTGTGGTCCCTTGCAAAAGCATTGCACCGTGGCCAATTTCCCGAAATTTGCGGTAGAATCAGCGCATTCACGCTTTTAGCATTTATTAGTGGACAACTCTGTACTATCTGCACCAGAGAACGATTGAGAATAGATATACATGAATCATCTGATTCCTCCTATATCTTCAAGGGTGAGCAAGCATTATCAATATGGGAGGGTTTGTGGCGAAAACATCCGCGTGCCGAACAAAGCCTGACCAGACTTGACGACCCACTACTCAATGACTGCTTGTCTATGCTCTGCTCCGCATACTACCACCTTTACGTCGGCGACGAGCTTGTTGTCCTGAGGAGGATTGCAGAAAACCCCGACTGTGGTCTTGAAGTACCACATTGCAAAGACTATGGTAGAAGTTTGAAGGTCATAAAATATGCAGCAAACTCTTGGCTTGTACGAGCCAAGATTGGCGTCAGATACTTGAGGAAGACTAGAGGGCTTGAGTTTGGGCCTCAAGCTCTCGCTGCAGTCTATGAAAGCGGTAAGTGGTCCATAAAGATTTATTTCGTGTGGTATTGACCAACCTTTCAAAGCATTATTACTAGCGTGGTGGCTACACCTGTATGGGGACAGCGTGTTGGATCCTTCCAGCTCAACTTATGCCAGTAAGGACGATCGTGCACTCGCAGTGGCCGTAGCGAAGATTTTCAGTGGCATCATGAACGAACTTGATGAACAAGGTACATTTCATCGTCCACATAGTAGTGCCTGCTTGGATGCCATTGAATTCTACACATATCTCTGTCGGGACTGGGTCTGGGAATGTTCGTCAGTCATCGAGTCGCGACTGCGGACCTTTGCTGTCCATCTCCAGAATCGCCGAAACGCAAATCCTTGAACAGTTTGGTCTCCCCCATATACCTGCTTTCCATCTTGGTTGGAAAGAACAGCTTCCCCCAAACCTGAGAGCGAAACACCCACGGCCATCTTGCAGAATCTTCTTTCCCATCAAGACTCTCACAGGAACTGTCACACAGTGTTGGTCGAAACTTGTGGGGTAGGATGTCCATCTAGTTCCAATTGTCAAAAGGGATGAAGCCAGCTGCAAGTTTGATGGCATATCACACAACCAGGACCTCCATTAGTGGAGCAGGTGGGAGGTCCAAGATCTGGGGTATCTGCACCAGGACGCTCCAAGACAGAAGGCGCTTGTGGGGGACCTAGCCTTATTCGTCGTACCCCACAACCTCCTTACGCTTGTCCTGGCATCGACATTCTTACTGGAGTGGTCAAAAGCCCAAACAAATCCCACATCCTTACCTTGAGTAATTCACAAATCCATTCTTCACCGCTAATTTCCTGTGACATATACCTCATAAGATTGATCAGACGCGCACTTCTGCGCCCAGCCCTTCGCTGAGATGCATCACCCTGATAAACCGGAAGAGGCTCACGTCGACCATGCAGGGGTCGACGATCAAATCATGGCCCAAGACGACATTTCTCCAAGCTTAAAGATAACTCAAGACTCCTACTGGGACAACAAAAGGGGCGTCGCTCTGTGTCTCCTCTTTAACATGGCAGCATTCGAGTATGGACTGGATCAAGGAATGGTTAACGGATTTCAAGCGATGCCAGGGTTTCTCCTTGATTTTGGCTACAAAGACTCCACACTTCCCGGAGGTATGGGGATCTCCACTACCGTGCAGCAGCTCATGGGCAGCCTCGTCTCGCTTGGCATGTTCTTCTCGACCCTCATTTCGGGCTGGGTCTGTGACAAGATAGGCCGCAAAGGAGGCTTGCTAGTCGGGTTATTTCTCATCGTGGTCAGCACCACGGTACAAATGGCAGCAATCAGTTTCGGTGGCCTCTATAGTGGCCGTATATTACTAGGTCTAGCTAATGGCTTCCTTCTAGTTTGTTCGCAACTCTACATGCAGGAGACCATGCCATCGAACCTACGATCCCTTAGCTATACTTTCTTCCAGTTCTGGATCTCCTTCGGCACCTTGATTGGAGTCATCGTCAATAATGCAACCGCAAAAATCTTAACCCGGGCTTCTTACCGAATTCCGCTAGGAATCTTGTATATTATCCCACTTCTTCTTGGAGTTGTACTCTTTTTCCTTCCAGAGACCCCACGTTACCTGGCTTCTCAAAACAAGCATATCGAAGCACACAATTCCTTGAGGTTCTTGAGGGACTCATGCTATACTGATCTTCAGATCAAAGAAGAGATCACCGAAATAACACATTCTCTCGAGGTCGACCGAGAGATTGTCCAAACTGTTGGCTACCGCGAGCTGGTCCGAGGGCCTAATTTGAAACGCACCTGCACCTGCGTTGGGTTGGGACTGTTTGCTGCAGCCTCCGGAGTTCCATTCATCACGCAGTACGGCGTTTATTTCTTCATGCTGTCTGGAGACACCGAACCGTTCCGCGACGTCATCATATTGGTCTGCTGTGGAATTGCCGGCGTCATGTTCACACCACTTTTCACTGGCAAGATCGGCAAGCGTCCGATCTTGATGTTTGGTGGGATCGTGCAGGCCCTTTGCATGCTCGGGCTTGCATTGCCTTACAGTATCCGTGGCATCGATACGACGAGTGGGAGAGTTATTATCGCCATGTGTTGCATCTACCTGTTTTTCGCGTCCGCAACCACAGGCCCTTTTGCGTGGCAGGTTGCGGGTGAGATCCCCAACCAGCGGCTGCGTGGGCACACCTTCGGTGTCGCCGCTGCTATCACATATCTTTCAGGGTGGTCTATCACATTTACCATTCCATACTTCATTAATCCAACGGCACTAAATTGGGGTGCTCAGTATGGTTATATCTGGGTTGCCAGTAATGCTCTGATTACTGTATTCACCTGGCTCCTTGTCCCAGAAACCAACAGGCGCACGCTCGAGGAGATTGATGAGATGTATCTGACTCGAGTTTCCATCCGTAGTTTCGTTACATATGACTGTTTGGGGTCAAAGGATGCACGCTTGCAAGCTGTACGGGCTTCGAAGACAGAAAGACTTGAGGTACAGGAGGCCTCTGGAGCTGGGAATTAAGAATGATTGGAGTTTATGATATGCTAAGTCCACTGAGCAATACAAGCCTATAGGCCTTGACATTCCTTAGGTTAGTTTAGGTTTTAGAGTAGCCAAACCGCCCAATGGGTTGCTGGGTTGCTATAGACGGAACCCATCCCAAGACGTTGTGCCTGTAGCAAGGAATACGGCTGACTGCCACTTACTCTTGACAACCCTCCTTCTGCTATTTCAAGAGCTCGGCCTCGAGCTGCAAATTCTGAGACCACAGCATGCAAAGAACCGAAAGTTAGGCATCCGAAACACAATTCAGGTATATAAGAGATGCCGTGGGAATGAGAATTTGTTAATGGCTCTCATGAGTTGTCCGACGAATTGTTACACTATATAATAAATGACTAGATGCTGGTCGTCTATTATATAACAGTACTAAGGTGCTAAGGTATACTTACTACTAGGGCATTTACTACTTACTTTATATAGACATCCCCTCTTCTCTCTCTTTGTCAGAGCGGATGCCATAGCCCCTAGCGATTAAGCCAAAAAGACGTGGAGTATCGGCACGAAGTGTCGATATCTCAGGCAATCCACTATATATATGTATTCCATGGCATCCCGTGACAGAGATCTATAAGTAAGATAAGTAAAATAAGCTATTAAAGAAATATAATACTCTTCTAATAACTTGAGGGCCTCAGGTTAGTTTCAAGAGAACAGCGTTTATTAGTTCTCGAATGGTAATCCTGCAGCTTCACGCGCAATTCCGTACATGGCGGCAATCTCACTGTCCAGACCCTTTTCTGCAATCAACTTGTCAACATATTGCTGTAGCACTCCAACAGTTTTGAGCTCCATATCACATTGAGCGGCAAGGGCCTGTGCGTATGAAGAGTCCTTTCTGGCAAGCTTGACCGCTCCAAGGAGCTTGTGTTTCTCACGCCAATGGTAATTTCCACTGACCATTGCTTCCGAGTATGCCCTGAATGGATTTGCCCCAGGAAATAAGGCTGTGAGAAATTGTTGCAACTGCTTTGCGCCCAGTCCAGACTTTTCGGCCAGGACAAGTCCTTCCGAGAGCAATACGGCCGCATTGAGAACGAATGTGTTACCAATGATCTTCATCAATGAAGCCTTGCTAGGAGATTGACCAGAGAAATCAATCACCGCCTTCGCCATTACACCGGTGCAGTAGGGTTTGACCATGTCAACCGCCTCTGTGCTTCCAGCAATAGCCATGTTGCACTGAGAGGCCTCTGCCATAAGGGGACTGCCGAAGACAGGGCATGCCACGAACTGTGCCCCTTCTGTACTGACGAGTTCTGTTTCTTTCGTACTTGTGTCTGGGTGTACGGTGCTGCAATCAACAATCACTTTTCCTTTGACGTTAGTTTTCAGCACCTCGGCGATGACTATCATGACAGCCTCATCACTGGGTAGGCAGTAGAAGATGATATCGGCACTTGCTACGGCATTGACAATGGAGCTGGCACTGGTCGTCTTTCCCGGAGCTATCTTCTGAGAGGCTTCTTTCATCGTGGTTTCGACTATATCGAATATGGTGATCGGCTTGGACAAGGCAGATTTTTCTGCAAGGTTCTTACACAAAGCCTACATTTTTGGTCAGTCAGTCTCGCAGGCTAGAGTGTGGATGCACCACAATCTCAACTCACCACACCCAGCTTTCCCAGTCCAATCCATGCAACCTGTGTGTTTTCCGCAGCCATTCTCTGCAAGGGTTGATAGGACCAATATTGGCATACACTTACTCTGCACGGGTAAGATATGCGAATACCTTTCAGCTTTCATTGTCCAACTGAGATGACAGGAACCCCCTAATTGTCCCAGTAAGCACACATGGGGAGCCGTCGTTTCATTTGCACATTTGAAAAGTATTCCAAATGCTCAATCTAGTCGCCGGATATCACTGATACCGACATTTCAGTGTCGGCATTGACCCGAAACTCTGTCAGCTAGTCCGGGAGACATTGCCGAAGCAGATATCCTTTTGATCCGCCCCCAACGAATCGTAGCAAATTCGTTCTAGTCTTAGCTGGATGGAGTCTATGGAGCCTCAAAATTGCCATGTGAGTGAGTTGGTTCGTTCAAATTGGAGGGGTCCGGGTTCCATTGCCGCTGAATCTGGAGAACCTGGAGGGCACTCCGGGTTCCACTCGGTGTAGATCTTGAACCACATGGCAGTGGAATATAGTGAAATATAAAACACGCAACCTGCGAAGATTGCAACTACTCGAGGACCAGCATACGACTAGCATCTAGGGCTTCAACCCTTTGCATAAACAGTCAAACATGGCCGCCACACCCCAACACCCCGACATGGACAAGAACAATGGCGAAGCCGCTTTCACATTTGAGTCTGTGGGGCCCAATTCAAATCAGCTTACTTCTAGCCATCGGGAATACCTTCTCCAGAGGCATGGAACGCTAAATCTCAAACCTGTTCCATCCCAGGACCCGGCCGACCCTCTGAATTGGCCGGCCTGGAAAGTATGCCACCTCATTTTCCACTAGGTCTTCGCAAATAGACTGACCCCTCCCCTCAGAAAAACCTCAACCTCTTCATGGTGTCTCTACATACCATGGTCGCTGCGGTTTGCTGTACAGGTCCGATTCCAGCTATCGAGATCTGGGCTCACTTGTATCAAAAAACACCAAGTGATGCCAGTTATCTTGTTAGCGTCGTGGTACGACTTTTGTACATGGGAAACGTCTCTGGTTGCTGACGCCCATATACAGCTTGCCATGCTGGGTATCGGTCCGCTTGTCTTCGCTCCCCTCTCTAACACCTTTGGACGCCGACCTGTCTGGATTCTCACTATCTTCTGCGCCATGCTGTTAAATATTGGAGTTTCATTCGTCCAGAGCTATGGAGGTCACATCGCCTTAAGGATCCTGATCCCATTCTTCCTGTCCCCACCCATTGCACTTGGGGGTGCCGTTGTGGCAGAAACCTTCTTTGCTTCTCAATGGGCAGCCAAACTGGTGCGTCGAACCCGTGTATTCTTGCTATTTATTAGTTTTGCAGCTGATAGGTACATCTAGGGCTACTGGACGTGAGTTTAAAAGCTACCTTACGTCCATCTCGTGTCTCTAAGCTAACAACTCTGCGAAAGACTTGCCCTCAATATGGGGTAAGTGCCCTAGTACCTAGCTCCACAAAGGGGCATGCACGCAAGTCAATTAACTCGGACAGTATCCCTGGAGGCCCGTTCCTGATGGGTTTCGTCGTTGAACACCTATCATGGCGATGGATGTACCGTATCTTCGCAATTGTAGGATGCTCTCCAGCCATTTGAGGTTCGTAGCTTGCTAACGATGCCAGGTACTCGCCGCCGAACTCATCGTGTTCATTGTGCTCAGTCCGGAATCGCTATACATCCGCACAGTGCCGGATGAAGCCCCCACAGCGACCAACGAACCCCGGACAAGAAGAGTGGTTGGCCGATTTCGCTTTCGACAGATCAACCCCAAGAAACTTACAGTTAGAAGCTTCCTTGAGCCACTCTTCTTGCTTGGCCACGTCAAGATCTTAGTGGCAACTATTTCATATGCAATGGTGTTCAACTGGGTTCTTGTATTGCTGATGGTTGAAGTTTCACCGCTTTATGGCGTATACTTTCACTTGAACGCACAACAAATCGGGATCAACTACCTGTCTTTCCTTGTTGGGTCAGTACTGCGATCTTTCCTCAAGTCAACTAGAAGACGAATGTAGTGCTGACAGCGACCAATCGACAGCGAGATTTTAGGAGAACAAGTCGGCAGTCGGCTGTGCGAATTCGCCCATCGACGCCGAGTTGCTCACAAGACCAAAGCCGGCAAGACTATGATTCCAGAAGATCGTCTTATCTTTGCCCAGATCGGCTTTCCAACAATCATCGCTGGTATTGTCATCTTCTTCGTGCAGGTTGCGAAAGCAACGGAAGGCAAGGGTCCACATCATTGGAACATCACACCAGATATCGGAATTGCCCTCGCAGGCTTCGGCGCCCAGATTGTCACTACAACCATTTTTACCTGTAAGACCCGCACTTCCTCGAAGTCCAATTCATCAGATTTAATCAGCTGTCGAACTTACAACTGACCCGCGATTCTTGTATAGATTGCATTGATGTCTGCCCAAAATCTCAGTCTGCTTCGGTGGGCACGGCCATCAACTTCGTCCGTCTCGAATGGAGTTTTGTAAGCTTTTGTGGCGCCATCACCATGAAAGTTGTATTTTACTGACAGCTTGAACCTGGCAGATTGGTCCCTTTTGGTATCAACATCTGATTTCGGCATGCGGATTGAGAGGCACAGTCGCTGTTTTAGCTGGCTTGACTGTAGCTTGCTCGATTGTCCCGGTCGCGGCCCTCCAGATCACAGCGTGTAGACAACAACGCAAAGGGCAAATTGGAACCTGATGCGAATCCTTCGGGAAATCGATGACCCTGATAAGCATTGTCAGACAGCACGCAACCGCTGTGCACACCACTAGCCTCAGGAACAGCACCAACTGTCGCGAGACCCTGTACATGCTCAGTACTCTCAATCATCCCATGACAATCACAGTCCGCGCGGTATAGTGGCTGTTGGCAAGCAAGCAAGCAACAGGGCAACAAGGGAAATGTATATGAGAGACGTTGTAGGTAGTGTTGACAGGGGTTAGAGCGCCAATTCATCAGTTATGGCACGATGTGTGATAGTGAATGATCCAGGTGAGAAGTGTGACAAAATGTGTGGATAGAGATTTGCTCCATAAGTCCAGTAAACTTGTCAAACGGATGTCTCGCGAGCAAAACGAGATGATGCTGGGCTTGGTCCTTGTCCCGGACTCGGTTTGCATTGTGTTGGTGGATTTCAGCACTCATGGTGTGATGGGAAGGGGACATGATCATTCCTAAGACGGTCCGAGGGACTCGTCAGACTAATATAGTATCCTACATAAGTACGTACTAGTCTAGCGCCTGGGCGCTCTCGGTCCGCTTCGGATAGCGTTCGAATAGCTCTCGGAGCTAGTTCGGATGCGTCAAAGCGATGTAGTAGACCCGGTCTTTACAATCGCTTGGCATCGCTAATTAACCACAATGGTGTCAACGGAAAGAGCTGGCCTAGCGCCTTGGCACAGACCATCCATTTATGTCGTACCTGACAGAACTGAGATTAGCTCACAACAATCATCAACTTCCGTGCTTTAGAAACGAATGCTGCTACACTTGGAGAAGCCGAACAGCAAACTGTGCACCAAGGAAAGCTTCGTAGGACCGATACCACTGATTAGAAATTGAATTACGACTTCGTTTTAGAAAATTCACCTCATCTGTACCTTCTGATTCAACATCATGATCCCGTTCACTACCTAGGACTTAAGATACAAATCATATTTTATCTTGGCAAATGCACCTCATCTATGTCTTTTGATTCAATGCCAATTTCCCCCTACCTGAGGAGCTTGATTTCGTGGATATCGTCCTTCGGAAGCTCTTTGATGGCTAATGTCCACACTCGACGGTGTTCAGCACCCAGCTTGTAGTTCATCCTGGCGCCATGAATTGCTTCTAGTGCCCGACCCTGCATGACTTCGTGATACTCGGCCATGATCTTCTCCAGTTCTTTGCCCTTAGCTCCTGTATCACGGATCTTGGCGATTGCTTTGGCTAGATCCACCGCGTCGTGCAACGCAGACACACCGCCTTGTCCCCGAGCTGTTTAGAAGATTGCATGTTAGTAAAGTGGCTAAATAGAGAGAAATTTTTCTTGCAACGTATGAGAGGGGCAAGTCGCCCGCTCCAATACATAATACTAATAGGCACTTACTCGGCATCATCGAATGAGCGGCATCTCCAATGCAAGTGATCCGACCAGGTTTCAAATCGGACCCTTGAAGCTCGACCTCGTGAAAGGAGAGAGGCGGTAGCACAATACCATCCACTGTGGTCTTTTCAATGGGTAGACGCAGTGAAGGGTCGAAGGATGCTGTCTGCTTCTGGACAAACTCGAGCAAGTCCTGTGCTGTGGCACTCTGCGTCCAGTACGGCTCTCCTGGGTGCAAATCCTCCCAGTACAGCGACCAGAAACAGTGAGCAGTTTTGCCGTCTTGGTCCATGTGGTCGATGGCGGCAAAGAAGCTTCGTTTGTCATCCTCGGTGCTGCTGACGGTGTAGGCTGAATGCGCAATGTTGAGTTGCTGCAGGAGATCGTCGCCGGTGACCTTGTAATTGCCAAATACCGCCTGAAGAGGGGGTCTGTCTTCGTGATATTTGTCCGTCACATACTTCAACACTGGTACGGAGGTAATGCCTGTCAGTCCCTGGACGGGTCCGGATTGTCCTTCAGCGAAGATTTCACTCACATTTACTGCGTGCGCCATCGGCACCGACGAGGAGATCACCTATGGCTGAAGTGCCATCTTCAAAGTATACCGTTACATGGTCGTTGGTTTCCTCCACTTTGATGGCCTTCTTGTTCCACTGTACGTCGTAGCCATGGGTCAACCAGTCACGCAAGCGCAGCCGGTTGGCTCGGAAATGGTCCCTGGTCCCCTCGTCCTGAATGCCCCATCGTCTGGAGGCGTCGTCGGCATTATACCATGCAAACTGAAGCGGAAGATCAACGGGGTATAGGTGGTCGAGAACTTCGGTGGACGGCATGTCGTCTGGCATATTTGGTATTAGGTGTTTGTGAATCAGATTGTGAGTCCCCAACGACCAGCCCTGAAAGCGGCTATTAGGACCAGCATCACGTTCGAAGATTTCGAAAGAAATGCCTCGCTTGCGTAGCATTTGAGCAAGGGCTGGGCCGCCCAGGCCAGCACCTATGATCAAGACATGGGGATAGGGGCCCTGCATTTTTGGAAACTCGCGCATTGCACGGTCTGTTTCGAAATCGGGACAGTTCTGATAAGATTGTAATTCGTTCTGTACCTGGATACAACGGAAAATCTATCTTCTCGTCTGTATGTGTCCCTTTTGTCTTTTGTATACCTTGACTAGCAACAAAGATTGGTGGGAAGAGAACTAGGATGATTGATGAGTACGAAGGTCCGGTTATCGAGCAGCCCTGGAAGCAACCCCCCCCCCCC